ACCAAGTTCAAGCATATTCCGCTCTCACCATCATGGCATTCATTGCCATTTCTCAGGTATAATAATTAGGATTCGGCATCCAACTAGTGGTTTCGTTTTCAGGTGCAAACAGCCGTGTTGCCAGTGTCGAGCACGGAAGTAGCACTCACTTCTTCTTCTTCTTCTTCTTCTGCTTCGGAGACGACAACGGCAGTGGACACGTTGGGCTCGTCGCGAGTGAAGAGAAACGGAGGCTGTGGATGTTGTGGATGTGGATGTGGATGCTGTGGATGCGGGGGCGGAGGAGGAGGAGGAGGAGGATGCGGATGCTGCTGCTGCAGACCACGGTCGGTTACTTCTCTCCACTTCTAACACGATCCTCGCCGCTTTCAGATGCTGCTGCTGCTGCCGTCGTTGCTGCACGTGCTGCCGAACTTGCTGTTGCACGAGATGCTGCACTTGCTGCCGTCCGTGCTGCTGTGGATGCGGTACCCTCTTCTTCTTCTTCTTCTTCTTCTTCTCCGATCCTCATCTCATCTCTTTTCAGGATGCGGATGCGGATGCTGCGGGTGCGGCGGCGGAGGACGCAAGCGTCGTTCCCTCCAGAACCTCCGAATCGACGAAGCGAACCGTGCCCTCGGAATCAAGAGAAGACCATCCAAGAGTGGAGCTGGAGCCGGAGCCGCTCAGGATTGCGCCAAATGCTAAAGACCCGGCCGGACTATTTATTCTCCTTTTTATTTATTTTTCCATTTCAATAAAAGCCTTTAACATTTAAAAAAATGACAGTCATCCGAGGTCCCAAGTCAAAGCCAAAAGGTTTGGTTACTTATACACTTTTATTGGGTCGAAAGATTAATAAGAGAAGATTAATACAAAAGTATGCAAGTAAGTAAAAAAGAAAAAGAAATGAAAGCAGTTAGCAGTCGGAGAGATCGATACTTTCCTCGCGATCATCCTCACTATCAGCAGCAGCTCTCTTCCAGTTCTCAGTCGTAGATGGTCCCTGGTAGTCCGGGATTCTCTTCTCCGAAGCCTGACGCCGTCTCACTGGCATCACAACTTCGTCCTCGTCCTCTTCACTTTCGTCGTAACTGATGTCACTCGGCTGCTCCGACTCTTCTTCTTCTTCGTTCGACGCATCATATCCATCCGAACTCGAGTCCATCTCTCCAGAAGTGCCCCGTCTCGACAGCCATGGAATCGGAGTGGAAGTGGCCGCCGGTGAGAAGACGTCGTTGATCGGGCTCTCGTCGTCCGACTGCGGAGGAGTCGGGAAGATCGAATCAGCAGAATGATCGTAGGAGAACTCGATGCTCTGAAGACTTCTTCCGACGAAATCCTCCTCTTTCTGTCCAGCAATGCAGCCGAAGTCGGCCAGCTTCACTTCGGCTGCGACGTCGTCGATCTCTCCGGCGTATTGGAACTTCGGCTTGGAGGCGTTGGCGTCGAAGAGTTCGGCAATCATTCTACTGATGTCTCCGATCTCATTGGCTGGCTGCGGCATCTCCTCTTCCTCCACCGAAACATTCCACATGAGGTCGGGATCTTGCTCGGGCACGGCAAAGTTCATGTAGAAATCCATTACCGGCTTATCTCTTCTGTGCAGCTCGTCCAGCATGTCGTCGAATTGCCACTCCGTCGGGATCGGAGTTGAAGTCGCGTTCATGTAGAAATCCATTATTGAACAGGTTAGGACGTTCTGAAAGAATAGTTTGATTATTTAACAAGAATCGATTGAAAGAGGGAGAAGAGAACGGAAAGAAAGACGGGAAGATCGGACGGAATGGAATGGATGGATGCGTGCTTGCTTCCGAGGTATTTAAAGTCGTCGCGATGTTCCAACAAAAGGGCGGAGTCAAGAGAGTTCTAACAGGGGACCGTTGAAGACGGACGTATACCCTGACCCTTCTTTCAGTAAGAGAGGGAGGGGAGAGGCGGAGTTAGAGGGAGACAATACTGACATTTATGGCCGTCTTTGAATGTCCCAGCTGTGTGAGGTCACGAATGTTCACCTCCACGGGGCCGGAATCGAGGATATGGGAAAGTAGTGTTCATGGTCCGCAAAAAGGCTAAGTAGGAAGAAGCCAGTGATACTGATGGAAATTGTGATTGTTTTAAGGAATATATCTCGAGAAGCGATGATCATTCTGAAATGTGGTAAACTGGAAAATTTTTCTAAATTATGTGCTGCCAACTTTGTAATTGAGCGTTTTGTATCGAAACTCTTAATTTTCAAGTTGGACCCCACTTTCTGGACAGTATGAGTTCATAAATGTTCCATCTATCTGATGATATCAAAGTTCGTTTACACGGGACTCGTCGGCATCAATACTGACATCAAAGAAATGGATCTGAGAAAGACCTTCCCGAAACATCCCACAGTATACCATGGTTTTCGGCGGCGTCCCTTTCAAGATGTCTGCACGCAACCACCTCCCTTACTGAAAACATCGTGGGAAACATGAACGGAACACGCTGGGGTATATGATGTCGTCAAAACTTGGCTCACTAGGAAATGATCCCAAAAAACGTCGGCTTTATCGAACCGGGATCAGAGTTGAGCGGAATTCCGTCTGCCGTCTTCCGTCTTCCGGATTTCAAAATTCCATTTCCGCTCAACTCTGACCGGGATGCTTCAAAGGTAAATTGGGGATCGGGAATATGGTGTCCATATTTGCTGTCGACATCATCTCAGGCTTGCAAGATTCCGGGCTCGATCAAAGGTAAAAGTTGGTGGAACGAGCCGGTTCGGAGAATTTCAAGTTTCGTCTGGAAGAGTGAATCAACGCTCCAACTAGCTGACGTCAAAGTTCCAAGTTGTTGACTTGAGAGAGGCTGAAATATCGGACGAAAGCAGCGACAAAGGAAGCGGAATGACGGATTTGACGCCGAGTTCGAGCATCTGCTGCACGGCTACAGAAGACTTTGTGTGATAATTTTAAATTCAAATTAATAAATCTATACGAAACAATACTTTATTTTGTATCACGAAGATCCAGAATTCACATTAGGAGGAGGGAAACGTCGTCCGTAAAAGTTGATCATCTTCCACGTCTCAAAGAAAGTGCCGACTCGGTACGGCCACGGGAACTCGCGCAGAACTTGCACCTGCTTCGGACATCCAAACTCAATCTTCTTAATGTAATAGAATTGATCCACTTCGTCCTAAAACTCTCAATCAGTCCTACAAAGCTCACGTTTCAACTGACCCATTGAATGTAAAAGTGCCACGTGGCTTCCAAACGAGTGATCCTGTCTCCGTGCGACTCCTCGCTCGTGTTGAACTTCTCATAAGTGCCCAGACTGACAATCATTGTAAAGTACGTGTCCTCCTTCGCCAAATCCTTCTCCGACGTGTCGATGGCGACGCGCTCCAGGAAGGTGGCACTGTAGTTGCCCGTCCAGAACTTCTTCTCCACCTCGTCCAGCGTCTCCATGTGCTCGCCTCCGCAGTTGTAAATTTCAATCTTCGAGTGGTTCTGAACGAGATACTTGAGGAATCCCAAGTCCTGATAGACGCGTTTCGTGAACGGAATCATCGAGACAAGAGTGAGTCCGGTGATGTTTCGGTAGGCTTCGTAGCTCGCCTCGAGCATGTTCAGTCTCGGCGGGCACGGCACGTCAATCATCGAGATGAGCCACTCCCGGCCGCCGTGCTTGCTCTGCAAATCGGCAATTGTCAAAGGCCCGGAAATCAGTCAAATACTCACAAAATCGGCGGTAATCCGAAAGTTCCAGTCGGTTTCCGTCGCCTTCCCGTCCCAGTCCAATCCTATAACCAATCGATACGTGATTCGCGCCATTATTTGCACTTCGTTCCGTTTAATCTCTTGAATTTTCACGAAATCCGTCTGAAAAACATGAGCCATTTCGATTGCAACTTGATGACTTAAATGCCGAAAACTCACATTATTTTCCTTGGGATGCCACATTCTGCCAAACAGTTCGTACCACCGTCGGAACTGCACATCCGTGTACTTTCGCGACTCGGACGTCTCCCGATTGCACACCGTCGCCGTCAAGTACTCGTTCTTCTCGAGTCCGCCCAACCAGAAGACGGGAAGTCGTTCCGGGTTTTTGAGTTCTCCGCGGAACGGCCGCGGCGTGAACAGCATCAGGAACTTGTCAATGTCCTCGGCGTTCCAGAGTTCCTCGTCCGTCGAGTGCGAGTTCGTTACGTTCATTTGTCCGAACTCTGTGCAGCCGCCCTTCACGGAGATCTCCGAGATGGTGAAGAGAACGTTTCCGCCAATTTTCGGAAATGTCAAATGCAAGGTGATCTCGTAGATTTGGGTGGAGAAGTAGCCAAAGTAGGACTCCTGTTTGAAAGAGGTTCGCATTTTGATCTCCTCCCGTCCTTTGCTCGGCAGAATCTCGTACATCGAATCGTCCTTCACCAGGTTCTTCTTCCATTTTTGACGGTCCCGGTCGAGGTAGCTCACGAATTGAACTGAAAAAAGGAGCGTGGTATGTGTGGAAGAAATTCGAAAAAGTGTTAAACGATAAGACACTGTTCCCCGCCAAAGTACTTGCCATAGCCAAACGGCGTGACTCCACAAATGTCGACGGTGACGTCTTTATCCAGAACGGCGACGAACTGATCCGAGAAAACCTTCCAATTGTCATTCTGCGAAGAGGCCTGTCCGCGAAGCCACGTGGTCACCAGAATCGCATGGTCCTTCTTGATCTCGGCCACCTGCTCGTCCGTCGCCGAGTCGAACGGTTCTCTGAGGTTCATTTCTGGAAATAGGATCTACTTTTTCTCCTCTGGTAATCCAGTAAGTACCGTCGAACAGCTCGATAGTCTTCATCTCGAGTCCGAATCGTTTCACAACTGTTTTGAGTGCATTTCGGATTTTGAACGCTTCGACAAAGTGTCCGATTAGGAGAATTGCCACGAGAGAGCAAAGCAGTCGCATCTCCGGAATCCAACAATAAATGTTCGTGGGAGAGGCGGAGTGTCATTGTACAGTGGGACCTCACGTGAATAAAAAGTGTATACAAAAGTTTTGGCACTGGTTTACTCGTAAACTAACTCCAAAAATAGCAATTTTTTACATAGATCGACGCAAAATCTGGCCGGAAAGAGAACATCCTCTTGGGCATGGGTCTGAAATCGATAATCGATCCTAATGCCGGTAGAGTCGATTTTATGGTCCACAAATGCTATATTACCCTTTTAAGAGTTTTCCTACAGTAATACTTTTTCTAGGTGATCACTAAAGATCATTGAAATCGAATGGCAAACAACCAAACAACACTCTCGCCGGCGCCGCTTCCGGAAAACTGTCAAATGCGAGCGGAGAGGCACGTAAGAACCGGCGGAAATGTATAAAAGATCCGAAAGAGCACACGAATTACCATCGAAACACTCCATTTCATTAGCAAAATGACCAAGTTCCAAGCATATTCCGCTCTCACCATCATGGCATTCATTGCCATTTCCCAGGTATAATCATTGGGATTGGGTGTCCAACTAGTAGTTTCGTGTTCAGGTGCAAACAGCCGTGTTGCCAGTGTCGAGCACGGTAGTATCACTCACTTCTTCTTCTTCTTCTTCTTCTTCTTCTTCTTCTTCTTCTTCTTCTTCTTCTTCTTCTTCTTCTTCTTCTTCTTCTTCTTCTTCTTCTTCTTCTTCTTCTTCTTCTTCTTCTTCTTCTTCTTCTTCTTCTTCTTCTTCTTCTTCTTCTTCTTCTTCTTCTTCTTCTTCTTCTTCTTCTTCTTCTTCTTCTTCTTCTTCTTCTTCTTCTTCTTCTTCTTCTTCTTCTTCTTCTTCTTCTTCTTCTTCTTCTTCTTCTTCTTCTTCTTCTTCTTCTTCTTCTTCTTCTTCTTCTTCTTCTTCTTCTTCTTCTTCTTCTTCTTCTTCTTCTTCTTCTTCTTCTTCTTCTTCTTCTTCTTCTTCTTCTTCTTCTTCTTCTTCTTCTTCTTCTTCTTCTTCTTCTTCTTCTTCTTCTTCTTCTTCTTCTTCTTCTTCTTCTTCTTCTTCTTCTTCTTCTTCTTCTTCTTCTTCTTCTTCTTCTTCTTCTTCTTCTTCTTCTTCTTCTTCTTCTTCTTCTTCTTCTTCTTCTTCTTCTTCTTCTTCTTCTTCTTCTTCTTCTTCTTCTTCTTCTTCTTCTTCTTCTTCTTCTTCTTCTTCTTCTTCTTCTTCTTCTTCTTCTTCTTCTTCTTCTTCTTCTTCTTCTTCTTCTTCTTCTTCTTCTTCTTCTTCTTCTTCTTCTTCTTCTTCTTCTTCTTCTTCTTCTTCTTCTTCTTCTTCTTCTTCTTCTTCTTCTTCTTCTTCTTCTTCTTCTTCTTCTTCTTCTTCTTCTTCTTCTTCTTCTTCTTCTTCTTCTTCTTCTTCTTCTTCTTCTTCTTCTTCTTCTTCTTCTTCTTCTTCTTCTTCTTCTTCTTCTTCTTCTTCTTCTTCTTCTTCTTCTTCTTCTTCTTCTTCTTCTTCTTCTTCTTCTTCTTCTTCTTCTTCTTCTTCTTCTTCTTCTTCTTCTTCTTCTTCTTCTTCTTCTTCTTCTTCTTCTTCTTCTTCTTCTTCTTCTTCTTCTTCTTCTTCTTCTTCTTCTTCTTCTTCTTCTTCTTCTTCTTCTTCTTCTTCTTCTTCTTCTTCTTCTTCTTCTCTGATCCTCCTCTTCTCATCTCATCTCTTTTCAGGATGCGGATGCGGATGCTGCGGGTGCGGCGGCGGAGGACGCAAGCGTCGTTCCCTCCAGAACCTCCGAATCGCGCTGGCCAACAAGATCGAGGGAATCGCGAAAGTGGTGAAGGGAGATGCTCAGGTTCAGCCAGCTCTGCCACAGTTGGCACCGTTCAATGATGCTCCGGAGACTGTCGAGGAGAAGAAGGAAGTGATCAACTGAACTGTGACACGGGTCTATTTATTTGCACTATTTATTTTTGCACATCAATGAACTGGTTCCTAAACTTAAGAAACACTTTCTCGAGTTGATACTCATACTCCAACTACAGGATCTCCTGCTTGACATCCTCAAGACAAGTTCACAAAGTCGCCGGCCTCTGATCCTCAAGATCTGGAAGTTGAGTATCAAAATCGGAGCGACGATACCCGTTCTTCTCGGCTGGAATGACCGTTCTAGCAGACTCTAGCACTGTTCTTCTTCATCTTATGAATCTTTATTTGACAGAAAATATAGAGAGAAAGTCCATTATATTGCTCATAAAACAACGAAATCATTCCAAAAACTTGCGAATCGATGCTCTGATATACTTCTTATTCAGATACGCCTCCGTGGCCTTTCGCCCCTCCTCTCCCAGTTTTGCGTACAGTTTCGGATCGTTGTGTCTCACAGCCGACATACACCAGAATCTTTCCGCCGCTTCTTTCGCCAACACCAACAGTCTCCAATCGATGTGAGCCAAGAACCGATCGAATTGCTCGGTGCAAGCTGTCAGGCGCTGCATCTCGGTCCTCATGGGGAACGGCTCCGGCCAGACGTAGAAATGGAGATTGTGGCTGTTGTCGGCCCCCTGATCGTAGACATTCAACCGGAGGGTTCCGATGACTCCGTCCGAACGGATGATGTCCATTCCGGCGGACAGGTCCTCGAATTGATACTCATAACTGTTCATGGTCCAGGGAATCGGCAATCTGAACGAAATGTGGATAGACCTTTAAACTTTCACTACTAAACACTCACTTGTACTTCTTTTCCCTCCTCTCCGGACTCCAACGCTCGGCTTTCAAGTCTCGCAGAACATGTTTCGAGCGAAAACGACGGCTATTCGTTATAAAAGTGTAGAGCTTCGCGTTCGGCACCTCTCCGTTCATCCACCTACTCAAAAAAGTGTTCATGTCGGCGTCGGTGAACGCGCAATTCTCGAAAAACGCCATTTCGACGTTCAAATCGATTACTTGCTCAATTGTGAGCCAATCGGAAAAGGTGACATGAGCACGTGGCGGACTCGTGGCGCACTGAAATGAAACTAGAGTTCAAATTTGGCAATTTGAAGAAAAGTGATCAACTGTAAAGTATTTGAGATAATCATTAGTTCTTTACGGTCACAAATAGTGATTCAATAGTAACTTTTCAAAATCTTACCATTTTAAAGTCGACTTTTTCGTCGGAATTCAAAATAATCTCCAATTTCCTCGTCACTTTCAACACCTTCAGGAACTCGTTCACCACCTCCCCAGGTACGGTCTCCAGTTCAATGTCCAGTTCGGTCAGTCTGACATCATTCCACGAATATCCCGATTCCAAAAAGGCGAGCAGCGGGTCTTGCGGCAGTTCCGAGTCCACGGCCACCCACGCGTCATCCGATTCGACCGATCGATACGAACAATCGATAATAGTCTTGAGGGCGGTCATGTTCTCGAAGAGTTCTTCGAAATTGGCACTTTTGCAGATGAGCGACCGCTTCTCACCGTCGCCGAACGACAATATCTGCCCACTTGTAGAAGGATCCGGCCTCTCGAACAAAATTTGAAAGGCCGAACCATTTGGCATGGAAATTTCGAACTCGACGAGCGGGCTTTCGTCATACGACGGAACGTTCTTGAATGAGAATCTCGTTTCCAATTCTTGCGCTTTCATTGTACGCCTGGCCACTGATCTCCAGACGTCCGACTGGAATTGGAGGGCGATTCTGAAAAGCGGAAAAATAGATTGATGTACTCTTTTTTTTTGGGTCAAACTTACAAGTCGATCGGGTCCAAATGCTCACAAATGTTGACCATCGGTACAAATGGGAGTTTTGCGAAGAAATCGATGAGAGCGGGGTCCATGTCGAAAAGAGAAATGAGTGGAAAAGGGGGTGTTGTTGTTCCTTTTTGCGTGCTGTCGCGAGGTGTTGGCAGACAGGCGTAGTGTGCGCACACTGCACAGAACCCCCCGATCAGCACATTATATTGTTGCGTAGGCGTTTAAGTGTGCAATCTCCGATGCTCTAAACATGTTGTTGTTTCAAGTTGGGTTTCTATGAGTTTGAGGTCTCAGAACGCACGATTTTTCAGCAAGGCGCTTCACCCGTGACCGTCAAGGGTTCATGCCAATTTTTAAAAATTGCCGCGTACCCGTGACCGTCAAGGGTTCATGCCAATTTTTTTAAAAATTGCCGCGTACCCGTGACCGTCAAGGGTTCATGCCAATTTTTAAAAATTGCCGCGTACCCGTGACCGTCAAGGGTTCATGCCAATTTTTTTTCTGCGTGCAAATGTAGGGCCAAAATGTGGATTTTTCATTGGCCTGTGGTTTTCAAAGAGGTTTTTGTGCACGCTTTCCGTGACATTTTCACGTATGAAGTCACCCAGTCGTGGAATACACAGGAAAAACGGGAACAGCGAAGAATCACTGAAGGATTAGACACGCTAACCACTGAGCGTGGAACAATCGGTTACTGAACTCCCGTTTCGCCGATTACTGATTCCTCACTGATTCCTCACTGTCCAGCGTTCGCTTCCCGCTCTTCCCCTCCGTTCACTGATCCGTCGCTGATTCCTCACTTCCTCGCGTTCGCTTCCCGCTGTTCCCGTTCACTTCGCTCATTGTTTCCCGTTTTACTCGAGTCTTTGCCTTTTTTCACTTGGACTAAGGGGGAAGAGTATTTCGATGTGATGGTTCAAATAAAAATTATCGGAAAATTGCAATTTCTCATGAGAACAAGTCCAAGTAGTCAAAGGACACGAATGATATCGCAGTGTTTTGCCTTTGCAGTCAGCAAAAAGTCACCCAGTTGAATTTATATGCATTTTCGCTCCAAGTTAAAAAATTTACAAACAAACTGTTCGTCGCTTTCTTCTTTACACACTTTAAGTGTGCCTTACCGAAATTTTTTTTACCGAAAGAAGTGAATTTCGGTAAATTTTCGGTAAATTTTCGGTAAATTGTTTCGAAAATTTACCGAAACTCTTTCGGTAAGGCACACTGCACACTTATGGGGTTATTCAGGCTGTGAAAAAAAAGATTGTTTTCCGTTTTTTTCGTTTTTTTTTACGTCAAAAAATATAATTCAGCGATGTAAAAAAACGGAAAACAAACAGACGCTGAATAGCCCCATTACATGAAAATTGAACAAAGTGCAAAAAAAAAATCGATGAACAGTTCGAGTGAAGAAATTTTTAAACTTCGAAGGCAAAACTTTGCGACAGCGGAAAAAAATCTCAGAGTAACACAGAAAAAAATCATAATTACAAAAAAGCAAGTTACCGCTTCCAACATGATACTTATAAATGCTAACAAGGGCATATTGTCAGGACTTGTAAATTTTTAGAGTGTGGGCAAGACGGCAACACTAGACTAATCCTAGAGTGATCCCTGTTTCAAGAGTGATCCTACACTAACTTCTCAGTGATCCCGTTCTGTTCAGTAGCTCCTCACTAATCTTTCGCTCATCGCGTTTCACTCATGCTTCGCTAATTCCTCACTGCGCTCCTCAGTAATCGGACAGTGATTCCTCACTGCTTAGCGTCCCCTTCAGTGGCTGTTCACTGACCGATTACTGATTTCTGGCTAATCAGCGTCTACTCGGTGATCGCTCGGTAATTCCCGAGTGTTGCCGTTTTTCCTGTGATTTCTCGTGCTTCTCTTCATTGCTTGTAATATCCTTCGACCATTCTTCTCGGCCGGAATGAGTCAGATCACACTGTTCTTCTTCTTTTTCTTATGAAACTTTATTTGACAGAAAGGATAGGGAGAAGAGCAAGAGAAGAAGAAAGAGAAGAAGAAAGAGAAGAAGAAAGAGAAGAAGAAAGAGAAGAAGAGAGAGAAGAAGAAGAAAGAGAAGAAGAGAGAGAAGAAGAAGAAAGAGAAGAAGAAAGAGAAGAAGAAAGAGAAGAAGAAAGAGAAGAAGAAGAAAGAGAAGAAGAAGAAAGAGAAGAAGAAAGAGAAGAAGAAAGAGAAGAAGAGAGAGAAGAAGAAGAAAGAGAAGAAGAAAGAGAAGAAGAAAGAGAGAAAGGACAGAGAGAAAGGACAGAGAGAAAAGATGAGGAAATTGTCTGAACGATAGTTAATCTACTCGCGGAGCATGCCGACCAGCACGTAGTTCTTCTTCAGATCGGCCGGATTGTCCACTCCGCTGGGTCCGTTGCACTGGGGACAGGAGTGGCTGTGCTCCCAGCGGGCGACGAGACAATCCTCGCAGACGGTGTTGCCACACTCTGGAAATAGACTGAATTGTTTGAAAGATCTGTGAAAATGCTTGAGAGCCAAAAAAGACTATAAAAACTCACCGAGGAGCCTCGGAGTTCTGGGACCGTCCTCCGTGAACTTTTGTCCACAAACAGCGCACGTCGGGTCCGGAATCTGAGCGTTTGTCTGCTTCAGAGAGATGCACTTGGACTTGGCCGTCATGACGGAGTAATAAGCCTGTATTGATCCCCAGTTGAGGGAGAACGCGAGGTTGTCGTAGCGCTCCGCTTCAAAGCTCAAGCGCACCATATCCTCAGTCAGTTCATCAATAATCCGGAGCTTTCCGGACTTTATCGCTTTGTTCTGGACTTTGACGAGCTCGTGTTCATGCTTCTTCTCGATTTCGGCCATATTCTTCTCAAACTTGTTGTGCTCCTCCTGTCTCTGGTCCTTCACTTTCTTCACTTGCGATTCGAGCATCTTGATCCGAGCCTTCAGCGCTTTTTCAGAGTCTGGTTTAGTGGCGGAAGAAGACGAGAACGGAATAAACTTTTTGAGGGACGACATGGTGGGACAGAAGCAGAAGCGGAATGATCGACGGAGAAGAGAGCGGATGTGAACGGGATGAATGATGCAATGAATCACCGGCGGAAGCACCGCCCATTTTCGAATGTTTTGTTTGTTTTTATGTTAGCTGATTATGAAACGATTAGTCATCTTTGAGAAACGAAAAGGTATTGTTTCGTACGGATTTATTGAGTTGAATTTAGAATTATGTCAAGAAAACACACAAAAAGTAAATCATGAACAATTAGAAGTACCTCTTTCTCTTTTCCGCCGGACCATCGTCTTCACAAGCCTCTCTCTTTCCGTTCTCATTCGTCCACTCGGCCATGCAGTTGCCGGTTCTCTTCGGCTTCTCCGACTCTTCCTCATCTTCGCCAGACGTCTGCTGTCCACCACAAAGTCTTCTGTAGCCGTGCAGCAGATGCTCGTAGTAGCGAACGGCCGAATTCGTCGTCACATCCGTCATTCCGCTCTCTCCGTCGCTGCTTTCGTCCGATGATTCAGTCTCAGCCGTAGATGGAGCCTTGTAGTCTGGGATTCTCTTCGACGGCGCAGCACGATGTCTCACTGGGGCCACAGCTTCCTCCTCGTCCTCTTCTTCATCTTCCTCATCTTCTTCGTCACTCGATTCAGCACCAGAGGGTCCCTTGTAGTCGGGGATTCTCTTGGACGGTGCGTGTTGTCTGACGGGCATCGTGCATCGTTCCTCGTCCTCTTCGTAATCACTATCTGCTTCACTCGACTCCTCCGACATGTAGTCGGTTTCATACAGCGACTCCGGCTTATCTCTTCTGTGCAGCTCGTCCAGCATGTCGTCGAATTGCCACTCCGTCGGGATCGGAGTTGAAGTCGCGTTCATGTAGAAATCCATAATTGAACAGGTTAGGACGTTCTGAAAGAATAGTTTGACTATTTAACAAGAATCGATTGAAAGAGGGAGAAGAGAACGGAAAGAAAGACGGGAAGATCGGACGGAATGGAATGGATGGATGCGTGCTTGCTTCCGAGGTATTTAAAGTCGTCGCGATGTTCCAACAAAAGGGCGGAGTCAAGAGAGTTCTAACAGGGGACCGTTGAAGACGGACGTATACCCTGACCCTTCTTTCAGTGAGAGAGAGGGGGGGGGGGAGGTGGAGTTAGAGGGAGACAATACTGACATTTATGGCCGTCTTTGAATGTCCCAGCTGTGTGAGGTCTAGAATGTCCACCTCCACGGGGCCGGAATCGAGGATATGGGAAAGTAGTGCTCATGGTCCGCAAAAAGGCTAAGAAGGAGCCAGTGATTCAGATGGAAACTGTGAATGTAAATGAAAAACGACCAATTGTTTTAAGGAACATATCTCGAGAAACGATGATCATTCTGAAATGTGGTAAACTGAAAACTTTTTGGCTATTTTGTGTTGTCTAGCTATGTATTTGAGCGTTTTTTTAATCAAAACTCTTCTTTCTTGAGTAAGGCGCCAATTTCAGAACGGTATGAGGACGCCAAGGTTCCAGCAAGCTGACGACAAAGTTCATCTCCCTTAAAACAACTGGTCGTTTTTCATTCACATTCACAGTTTCCATCAGAATTATTGGCTCTTTCATATATAGCCTTTTTGCGGTCCATTAACAATTCTTTCGTGTTCTGTTGATCGTTTTTGCTGCCGGCACCTGGATTTCGAGAAAATGGCGCCGGAAAATTTCCACTGAAATCCTGTATTTTAGGCAATTTTCCACCCTTGGAACAGTCGCGTGAACTCCCTTGATACGAATGCATTCGGAAACAACTGAAATTGTCGGTTGTAAAGAGCAGTGGGTATACACAGATAAAACGCGATGCATGCATTATGCCAACACCGTGAAGAAACCGTGGAGGTGCATGCATATAGCATCGATTTTGGATCCACAGCGCACCGCAACGGGAATATACTTCGCGCGTGCATGAAATATGCGTTACTGTCCTCTAAAACACACGGATCGCGCGTGGAAGGAATATGCCATATCAGTTCGAGCGGCTGTCGCTCTTCGCCGTTGGCCGTGGATGCATTATGGAAGCATTATGCCAACATCGCCAACGGAAACGGCTCATTACCGTACTAAAAAGCTGCACGCGCGATCCACATTAATTGCATAATGCATGCATCGCGTTTCATCTGTGTAGTGGGTTCGACTAGTAGGCATGGGTCTGGGTTCGGTCCCGATCGCTATAAAATCTTTTTGGGTTTTTTAACGATCAACAGAACATTTGATCCTCTTGATATAAGCTATCGAACTATGTCGGTCACGGCCCATAAGGCCCTGTTGATCATTCCCTAGTTAGCCTTTTTGCGGACCATGAGCACTACTTTCCCATATTCTCGATTCCGGCCCTGTGGAGGTGAACATTCGTGACCTCACACAGCTGGGACATTCAAAGACGGCCAGAAAGGTCAGTATTGTCTCTTTCTCTCTCTCGATCAGAATTGACATCGTGCGGCGCCGACGAAGAGAATCCCAGACTACAAGGGACCGTCTGCTGCTGAATCGAGTGACGAAGAAGATGAGGAAGAAGATGAGGAAGAGGACGAGGAAGAAGATGAGGAGGAAGCTGTGGCCCCAGTGAAACATCGTGCGGCGCCGACGAAGAGAATCCCAGACTACAAGGCTCCATCTACGGCTGAGACTGAAACATCGGACGAAAGCAGCGACGGAGAGAGCGGAATGACGGATGTGACGACGAATTCGGCCGTTCGCTACTACGAGCATCTGCTGCACGGCTACAGAAGACTTTGTGGTGGACAGCAGACGTCTGGCGAAGATGAGGAAGAGTCGGAGAAGCCGAAGAGAACCGGCAACTGCATGGCCGAGTGGACGAATGAGAACGGAAAGAGAGAGGCTTGTGAAGACGATGGTCCGGCGGAAAAGAGAAAGAGGTACTTCTAATTGTTCATGATTTACTTTTTGTGTGTTTTCTTGACATAATTCTAAATTCAACTCAATAAATCCGTACGAAACAATCCCTTTTCGTTTCTCAAAGATGACTAATCGTTTCATAATCAGCTAACATAAAAACAAACAAAACATTCGAAAATGGGCGGTGCTTCCGGCGGTGATTCATTGCATCATTCATCCCGTTCACATCCGCTCTCTTCTCCGTCGATCATTCCGCTTCTGCTTCTGTCCCACCATGTCGTCCCTCAAAAAGATTATTCCGTTCTCGTCTTCTTCCGCCACTAAACCAGACTCTGAAAAAGCGCTGAAGGCTCGGATCAAGATGCTCGAATCGCAAGTGAAGAAGGTGAAAGACCAGAGACAGGAGGAACACAACAAGTTTGAGAAGAATATGGCCGAAATCGAGAAGAAGCATGAACAAGAGCTCGTCAAAGTCCAGAACAAAGCGATAAAGTCCGGAAAGCTCCAGCTTATTGATGAACTGACCGAGGATATGGTGCGCTTGAGCTTTGAAGCGGAGCGTTACGACAACCACGCGTCCTCCCTCAACTGGGGATCAATACAGGCTTATTACTCCGTCATATTACTCCGTCACCCACGCGTCATCCGATTCGACCGATCGATACGAACAATCGATAATAGTCTTGAGGGCGGTCATGTTCTCGAAGAGTTCTTCGAAATTGGCACTTTTGCAGATGAGCGACCGCTTCTCACCGTCGCCGAACGACAATATCTGCCGAGTTGTAGAAGGATCCGGCCTCTCGAACAAAATTTGAAAGGCCGAACCATTTGGCATGGAAATTTCGAACTCGACGAGCGGGCTTTCGTCATACGACGGAACGTTCTTGAATGAGAATCTCGTTTCCAATTCTTGCGCTTTCATTGTACGCCTGGCCACTGATCTCCAGACGTCCGACTGGAATTGGAGGGCGATTCTGAAAAGCGGAAAAATAGATTGATGAACTCTTTTTTTTTGGGTCAAACTTACAAGTCGATCGGGTCCAAATGCTCACAAATGTTGACCATCGGTACAAATGGGAGTTTTGCGAAGAAATCGATGAGAGCGGGGTCCATGTTGGGCGATTGGAGGACGTCCGAAAAGAGGAATGAGTGGGGGTGCTGTTGTTCCTTTTTTTGCGTGCTGTCGCGCGGTGTTGGCAGACAAGCGTAGTGTGCGCACACTGCACGATTTTCAGAAAGGCGCTTCGCAGTTGCGCAAAAGACGATTAGTGAGTAGGTACATAGATTTTAAAAGAACAAAACGAAGCGAGAGATGTTAGGGGGGTGCCCTCGACGAAAAGGGTGAGAGACGCAGAGAAACGAGACGGTCAGAGAAATAGTGCGCGCAGACAACGAGAGCAGCGAGAGAGTGTACGCAGACAGACAGCGCGCCGCCGCCGCCGCCACCACGGGCTCGACGACCCCCTCCGGTAAACAAACATGAACTTGTGTCGGCGAGATCAAAGGTAATTAAATTTAATGAGCTCATCATTATCTTTTTTTGCAAAACTTGATGAATCATCACCAAAAAAGATTTGCCGACCAAATCGAACACGCTGATTCAAATGGTGCTAATCTCATATCCCAAATCCAAAATTTTTTAAATTTCAAAAAATTGTCAATTCAAAAAATTGTCAAAAATCGAACCAGTGCCTCAAAAACGAAAAAGTCCGAACATTACCAAAACACTATGGTAGTGGACAAAAGAGCATACCGCGATTCTGTGTTACATGATGACCTCTTCCCGTTACTCTCCCCCCTTCGCCCCCCCTGTACATCTCCCCCTTTTTGTTTTGTTTTTTGTCGTTCATGCTTAATTGTAAAATAATCTTATAAAATAAAAAACCACATGTTTTGTTTTTTGTCGTTCATGTTTTATTGTAAAATAATCTTATAAAATAAAAAAACCACACATCAAAATCTTAGAATCTTGTTCCTACGCGCCATCTCTTCGAGACATGTCGCTGCTTGGTCTGGTGTATCCCAGTGTTTCTCGTTCAAGCCAGAAATACGACAGAGAGCAAGGTTCCGGGCTCTCGAAATGGCCGTGTACAACATTCCTCCGCACTTATTCCAGAAACTGTTGCAAATGACCACGACACCATCCACCGTCAGTCCCTGAGCCTTGTGTACGGTGATTGCTTCAGCTGCAACGATAGGAAACTGGTTCCATCTTACTCCGTTGTCAACGTATCCAACTCGAGGTACTGCGATCATTCCGTATTTTCCTGTCCTAAAAAACATATTTTTAAAAACGGAAAAACTCAAATGACTCACTTCATCATCAGCATATTTTTCTCAATTCCGAGAAATACACCAATAGTTCCGTTGATGATTCCTGTGGAGAAATTCATGTTGCGGGTGATCATGACACGACATCCCACAGCAAGTTGGAGTTTTGTGGCCTTTTCCTCTGCCTCATCTGACTTGTTTCCTCCATTTCTGTTAATAACTGGTGCGATCTCCAAAACACCTCCGAGCTGATTCAGTTTCTAAAAACAGAATGATTTTCCCTTTCTTTAAAATTAATTTACTCACATATCTATTCAGTCTATTAACCGTATCGTTTTTTGCAGCCAAAATCAGGAACGTCTTATGAGGATTCTTCGTCTGAAGCTCATCCAGTTGATCAAATGCGTCCTTCTCTGTTTCAAAGGTGAATGCGCACAGTTCCCGCAGATACGACTCGTCATCAATTCTCCATATTCCCCACCGAAAAAATTTGAGAACTTCGAGTTGTTTCCAGTGCTCGTTTCGGTAGTTCTTTTCTAACTCTATCATGTGGAACAAGGACCATGATGGAATTTTGTTGGCTGGAGAAGCAGCGGTCCAAGACTTCATCATTTTCGTCGGTAGTGCTGAAATTGTTCGTCTCTAAACGTTCAGCTTTCATACAACAAACCTTCGTAAACAGGTGGATCACAAACCGGCGACAACTGATAAAGATCGCCAAATGCTATCACCGATAAACCACCAAAAGGTTCACAAACTTCGCGCGTTTGTTGAAGTGTGTGGTCAATTCTGGCCAAAAGAATCGAGCTGACCATGCTTATCTCGTCAATGAACACGTATTTGGCGTTCTTGATTCTGGATGCTGTTTTCATTTTCTCTTCTTTGGTAAGTGGGTTGAAAAGAGAATCATGAGGTGTTGCAAAGTTCTATAATAAAAAAAGAAGTGTATGAAATTAAAGGAAATGTTACCAAACGAAAAGCCGTATGGATTGTAACACCGTTGACGTTGCATGCAGCCATTCCTGTTGGAGCACACACTATGACTGCCTCATCATCAATCTCTTCAGTGCAGAGTGTCTCCTTCAAAACTTGGAGAAGTCTTGTTTTTCCTGTTCCGGCCGCACCTGTGATGAAGAGACGGAGCGGGTACCCCTCCTGAACAGTAAAAAACGTGTGTGCTAGCAAGAAAAAGAACATACCTTCAGTCTGGTGAGAATCAAATCAATCAAACACTGGTGTTCCCTGTCATTTTCAGCTAGCAGTTTGAAACATGCGTCGACAGATTGATTAAGGCGTGGATCGTTCAGATTTCGATGTGCAGTCCTCGGTTCTTGATCGTCACCATCGTTTCGTTCCGAATTTGTTGACCATGGAGAGGGAGATGTCGATTTCGAGCGACGAAAATTGGTGCGAGGAGCTGATTCCTTAGGAGTCAATAATCGTCGAGAGAGAACAGATTCACTGCTATTGCTGTGCAGGCTACCAAAGTCTTCAAAAGTAGGTGGACAACCAAAAACCGGAGAAGATGTCCTGGGGAAAGTTTCACCAGCGGTTGGAAAGATGAGGGAAACATCAGACGGCGAGGAGATTCCGTTTTCTCTTTGCGGTGAAGATGAAAAAAGCCCCGTCGTGTGCGCGAGTGAGTCAGTAGGAGAGATAGAGCGGTAAATTTTCGGGTGAGATACCGTATTCTCTTGAGAGGAGTGGAAAGAAGAAGAGCGTTTCATGATTAGGTGGGGGCAAATCAGAACACGGAAATATTTTCTCTCAGTTGGCCGTCGAGACGGTGCAAAATGTCTGTGCCTGGTGCCTCCATAACACGATCTGTTTGTTTCAGTGAAAGTGGCAAGGGAGCCCTATCTGTGCGCAGTTTGTGACCTTGGTAGGAGGTATGAGCAATTTGGTAGTTTGTGACCTGGGTAGGACGTATGAGCAATTTGGCAGTTTGTGACCTTGGTAGGAGGTATGAGCAATTTGGTGCCCTGGGAGCAGGAAAGAACAGAGTTCAAGGTTACATAGGTTTATCAAAAACGTTTAACAATATCAATTAATTTCCTCAATTTTTTCAGTGTTGGTTCTTTCTTTTGAACAGTGGGAGGTCGAAGTTCCAAAACTTCTTGCTGGTTTGAAGCATGAGATGGTGGCGACAGATGTTGCAGAGCGCCATCGCTGAAAATAAGAAAACTAATAATTATTTTTCTCATAATCGAAGCTCACGCAGTTGGAAACGGCCTCCACCGACATCAACAGCCGGTTGTGTCGAGTTGTGTTTGGTACAGTCGTAGCACATGTAGATTGGTAGCGGAGCATCAGCCCAGGTTTTGAAGATGCGGGATGGTAACATGACGCTGTCCTCTTCTGATGGAAATTCCCATTTCTTAGCCTGTTCTTGCATCCAGCTCTCAAAAGAAAGTATTGAACTGTAAGACCAAAAAAAAAAAAAAGCGAGATTCTTTACCAAATTGCTTCCAACTGTGTCATCCTTTTTGATAAAACGTTTTTTCTTCGCAAGCGTTCTCTCAATTGCGACGGCAGCCATTTTAGCAGCCATCATTGCGGCATGATCCTTCTTTGGTGTTGCTGGTACGACGTCAAACGAGTCCTCTTCATAGTCCGATAGCTTCTCAGCATCTCTCTTCATAGTTTTTCTCGGAGTCCAAGTTTTAATCTTATCCTGTTCGGAGTACATGTTGTTGCTAGGATCGTAGTCGGTCAGTGGCATGTTTGATGTTCACAAGACTGAAACAACAATAAAACATACATGTTTATAGGAAAAGAGTGGAAACCGCAGGCTGAAACGGGACAAAAAAAGGAGAAGAAAGTGAGATGATATTATAAAATGTGGGCGGTGTTGAAATTGTAAGTTGATAAAAGTGGTCACTCCGAGCCGAATGGGTTGCGAACAAACAAACTCAAGGAAAGTGAAAGCGGTAGGAATGGACATTTTTTTACAAAAAAGATGCACCTTACATCGAAATGACTGATGACTCATCAACTGCGCGCGCACAAAATGTACTGTTTTGCAGGAGGCGACGGGTTATTAGGAGAAACATGGTGAAAACGTCAAAATCATGGAGAAATGTGGAAAAGATGACAAAAGTGCAACGATGAATCAGCAGTGGGACGGACGGGAACGGATGCCAAGGAGCAGCAGGCGGAGTCTGAAGGTGCGAGTTGTGTTAGGAGCAATCGGAGAGTGTTCCTACCTTAACTTTTTTCGTCTAATCTTTTTTGTGAAAGTAGAAGATTGGATTGGACCCTTTAGCAAAGTTGAAAATGGTCCCTTCCGGCTTTTTCTTTTCTACCTTTTCAGTCTTCTCCATTGTTACCGGTGAGGCGTAGTAGACAGATTCCGAACCATTGTTCATCTGTAATGTCTAGTCTATTCAGTTTTTAATAGAGTAATCCCTTACCGTATCATAAGTTCCCTGTTGATAGTCGTAGGCGGCAACCATCTTTGCCATAGTTTTCTTCGGAGCCGTTTGATTTTGCATTTTTTCAGAATGTCTGAAAGTGAAGAAGCAATTGTTGCGGAAGTCTTGAACAACGTTCTCGATCAATTGGAAAGAGAAGAAATTGTGAACGGTGTGGTCAATGAACTCTTGGATGAACTCGAAACGAGAGAAATTGTGAACGATGTGGTCAAGGAACTCTTGGATGAAATGGAAATGGAAGAAAAGAAGAGCAATCAACAAGACGGTGCACATCAATTGGGACAGGCGCAAGATAATGAACTTGTGGTGTGTTTTTATTATTTTTCAAAATAAAAAGTGGGCGTGAGATCATGCGGTAAAAAAATGTATGTGTGTGTGTGTGTGTCAGTGAAAGTAGGAGAGAAATAGACGAGAAAGTTTTGCGTCCACACAAGTGAAAAGTATGTAGACCTTGACGAGAAAGTTTAGCGTGTGTTACAATCATTACGAAAACTTTGTTTTTAGGCACAAGTTGGTGGGGCATTCGTAAAAGTTGTAAACACCCGTGTTGAAGAGGGGAAGGATGCTTTCAAGGATGCTGTGAAAGTGGTGCATTTGGATGTTGAGCTCGGAAAAACTATCACTGTACATCCGAAAGGTGCTGAGGTATTTGGAGATACTGTCATAAAACTTATCCACAAGTACGCTCCATCAACCAAAGATACACACTTTACTGTAGCTGGTGTATCGTTTGCTTCCGATGAATTGAAGGATAATGTCGGTCTTCCGTTCACAACAATTGACAAAATTCGAACCCATCAAATTGTGGATGCTTTGGAAAGAATGTCTCAATCAAACCGTTCCCCTCTAGAAGTGAAAGTTCCCCGTTTGGGTGTCAGACTAGCCTACCTCACCAGAGAGAACGGTAGCGGAAAACGAAGACTGATTGATACCGAGTACATTCTTGGTTCTTTCCCAAATAAGAAGAAGAAGATGCCCACCCGCAAAACTACCCACGATGCGACCTCAGGGAGAGATTTATTGTGTGATGAAGCGGAAGATGTTGGAGATGAATCCCAAGATGTGTCTGGAGACGAGACAGCTGATGGGGATGATTCAATCGATCAGGATCTCACCGGAGCTACCAGAGAAAAAACGATGAAAAAGTTGCAGTGCATAATGAATAACAATGGTAATATATTTTTGTCAGTGTTTTTCAACATTTATCTTTTTCAGTCACTGAAGATTGCCTACCACATGCTATCTACCAGACACTCCTCTACAACATGTGGGAAAAGGACAAAACAAGTGAGCGGTATAATGCTTTTCGTCGGGCCGAGAGTAAAACAGGAAAGACAGAGAGAGCTGCATGCTTTGAGGCGGTGAAAAAATTGAAAAGGGTATGTTGAATTGGAGAAAAAGAGAGATAATTCCGTGTTTTTAGAAAGCGGAGGTCACCAAAAAAACACACTTCGACAAAAACGACATCGGAAAGTTTCAAGAAAAGTGTTTTGGTGGAAAATACCAACTGATTGTGTTTGATAAGTACGCCGCAACACCATACTATAGAGGACCTTTTGTTGGAAAGGGAAAGGAGTTGTATCTTCTTTTGGTGGATGGACATTACTCTGGTGTTCGAAACGTTAACCCTCTTTTGAAAACATGCTACTACTGCTCACTTTGTGACACGAAATCAAGGGATACAACGAGTCATTACGCCTGTCCTCTCTTGCATCGCAAATGTGGACATCCCAAAGAAGATTGTCCTGTGACCGACCAAGATGAGAAAATAATGTGTTGCAAATGCACAGTACAATTCAATTCACAAGTTTGTTTTGACAATCATAGGAAAAAAGGTAACCCCTAAATCTAGTTCCAGAAAATATTTTTATTCAGGACCCGCCGGTGGAAAAAGCCGTTGCGATTACACAAAATACTGTGGTCGCTGTAAAGATGTATACTACACCAACAAGCGGAACAAACATGACTGTCTCCATTTCTGCAAACGGTGTAAAACCAGAAGACAGGCGAATCATCACTGTCTCATGGCAAAGGCCGAAAAGAACGAGAAGGCACTCACCAGAAAAAGGATTTTTTTGACATTGAGGTATGAAAAAACTGCCACAGCTTTTTGGGAAACTCATTTTCAGAGCAAGGCCGATGACAAAACAGGTCGTCGAATTCCTGTCACCATCGTAGCGCTAAAATGCTGCGCTGACTGCAAATCGAATATACCCGAGAAGCTGATCAAGGCAAAGGATGAAGTTTGCGAAAATTGCTCTCCGACAGGCAGATGCAAAGTTTTTGAAAACGTTTCGGGAGACAATCGTGCGGTGGATGTCAAAAGCGTGTTCGTGAAGTGGCTTTTCAGTTGTGAACACAGGGGGAGTGTTGCTGTGGCCCACAATGCTGGCGGGTAACAAAAAAATGGGTGAACAATTTTGAAAATGTGTTTTTCAGATATGATGGTCAATTTATTCTTGAAGGTTTGCTCCGCAGTGACCGATCGGCACCCAAGATCGTTCTGTGCGGGACCAAGCTGATTTTTTTGGAATACAATGGGATCCGGCTAATTGATTCTTTGAAGTTCCTCACGATGTCTCTCAGTCAGGTCGGAAAGACCTTCAACCTCGACACCCAAAAAGGAGATTTCCCGGTCCTTTTCATCGACCCAAGAAACTACGACTATGAAGGCCCGCTTCCTGAAGACAAGTACTATGCCCTTGAGTACAAACCATCGGCAGCCAAAGAAAAACTCGTCGAGTTCCTTAATACTGAAAGAGCCGCTGGAAAAGTGTTTAACTTTCAAAACGAGCTGTTCAACTATTGCTACAACGATGTTTTCATCTTGGCAAAAGCCATGACCGTCTTCGAGCAAGAGTTTGAAAATATGACAAACGTCTGTCTTCTAGAGGTATGTTTTTATTATTTGAAAAAACAGCAACAACAAAACAACGTACGAACATGATCCTAGATTGTCGGGTGGTGGAAGGAGAACCTGTAAAAATAAAATTGTCAGGGTTTTGTCGCAATAAACGAACAGCGATGATGAGCAACTGTTTGGTCCGTTGGGTAAGACCGAGGACTTGGTATGGCAGTGCGGCTCAGATCTGTAAAAGAAAAAAAGTCATGACTGAGTAATGAAAATTATAACATACCAGGTACGCCAGAATTGCCGCATCCATACTCGCGTATGTTATTTGATCTGTGCGCAGCGAGTTCCTGTCCCAGTCGCTTAAGGATTCGGTCTTATGAAGAACAAAATGTTGACCAAATCGGCGCTTAGCTGCATCGGCGAGGCTCTCAGACACGCGCCGGCCATCCCTCGTGAAAATCACGCGCTGGGCATCATTCGCGATAATTTCGTTGTCCTTGAGAAGTTTCTCTTCTCCGTACGTGTACACCGTACGATAGTTGCTGATCTCACGGAGAATCCGTATAACTTGCTCGTCTCCGTTTCGGTCCTCCCTCCCAACGCGCCATAATAGCAAACGTTTCGAGCTTGGATCGGCTATCTGTACCAACGCCGTCTTACCACCGTAGGCGCTCTCGGTATCCAGATAGATGTTTGATCCATGAGAGTTCGCTCCGAAAAAGTACCGATTGGCAACGTCGGCGCCTTCTTGAGCGCTGTTCGCGAGATGTGTGGTGTATTGTTGGAGTTGATCGGGGTATGTGAAGGTCGGTTGCTCGATGACGCCCCGGCTCACCACTTCTTCACCCGTTCGGAAAATACGAGCGAGTTCACAACGCAATGCCGCACATTTGTCGTTGTTCGGGTTATCCAATACCCGAAGAGAGTTAGATATAAATCGCTCACTAGTTCGTGGTGAAACATCCTGGTCGCGTCTGTTGATATGGCGGGCAATGTCCGCAAGAGCCCCAGATGACATCTTTTTTCCCTTTTTGATCCAGCTATTGGTCACCCCAATACCGAAAACAGCTCCGGGACCTTTTCGTGCTTCTTCTCTGATCGGCATTACTGAAAAAAACATGTAACCATTATAAGAAGGATAATAAGAAGGGATAACAGACCGTTCACATAAACAGCAAAATATCTAATAAAAACCGTTTTTTAGGAGAGTACTACGTCCGCATCGGCCGCTGTCAAAGCTTTCCGAAGGAACCACTTGAACCCACACAACCCTATTGTTTTGGATGCAAAACCTTCTGTTTCCATGAAGGTTTCTGTTGCAAGTCAGAAATATTTGGCTTGGTTCGGTGTGCAGGAGAAGGTCCAAGTGGAAATGTCAACGACCTATGGAGAGAAAAAAATAGGAGACTATCGTGTTGATGGTTTTGTGGCACCGTGCACAAAATACCCTAAAGGCCTCATCATAGAGTTCTTTGGTTGCTACTATCACGGCCACAAGTGCAGATACTCAGAGAACTCGTTCATCGGCGAAAAACGCGTTGGAGACATACGAGAAAAGGATGAAAAAAGAATCAAAGAGCTGGAAAAACACCATCCTGTCGAGGTGGTATGGGAGTGCGAAATGGTCAAAATAATGAAAAAGGATCAAGATATGAGAGAATTTTTCGAAAGCTACGAACCTGCGGTAAGACAAACATAAGAAAGACATTTGATTAAATTTTTCAATTTTAGGGTGTGTTACAATGCGAGAAAGCTTTGGTTGGAGGACGAACAGAAGTGTTCAGATTGTTCAAGGACAATGTGAGGAGGATTTTGAGATATCTAGATGTCGTGAGTCTGTACCCTACGGTGATGAAGCATGAAGCCTACCCGATCGGCCCCCCGGAGAATGTAAACCAAAAGGACATTCCTGTACCCATGACACGACCCGGAGATCTCAATTTTCGGGGCTTCATTAGCTGCAAGATCATAGCACCACGGAATCTAAAGCTGCCTGTCCTCCCCTTGAAATTCGCCAAAAAACTCCTTTTCGCGCTCTGTCGAAAATGTGTGAAAGAACAGAACAAACACACATGTACCCACACCGATGACGAAAGGTCTTTCAACGGAACTTTCACAACGATCGAAGTACAGAAGGCTTTGGAGAAGGGATACAAGGTGATTCATGTTTATCATGGTGTTCGCTATCTTCAATGGGCACAAATGGATCCACAAACAGGACAAGGAGGTCTTTTCACATCGTACATCAACCAAATGATGGAGGAAAAGATTGTAAGTCTCTGAAAATCCGCGAACACAAAATAAAAAATTTTTTAGTACTCTTCTGGGTGGCCTGCGCATGTGAAATCTGACGAGCAAAAGAAAGCATACGTGGAGGATTACCGTGAAAAAGAACAAATATTCTTGAACGATTTGTCCCGCTTCGTTGAAAACCCGGGAAAACGTGCTGCTGCAAAACTGATGCTAAATTCGTTGGTATGTTGAAATAAAGGGACCATATTCTCAAATAGTCCTTTTTTTCAGTGGGGAAAATTTGCACAAAAGGTGGATCGTACCAACACATCTATTTTCACCAGCATGCCCGAGTTTTGGAAAATGTTTGATGACAAATCAGTCATCATGCAGTCCGCACGTTTTGTCAACGATACTATAATTGTTGAGCACTCAAAGGAGGAAGAAGCATTGGAAAGCCTTAGAACCTCAGCCATTCATTTGGCCGCGTACACCACGTCCCACGCACGTCTCCGTCTCTACCGTTTCATGGAACTTGTTGGCGACGACAACATTGTTTATACTGATACGGACTCCATCGTATATGCAATCCCGGAAGGGGCCGACGATCCATTACACCAGTTTGAGGGACCATACCTTGGCCAGCTCACTGATGAATTGGCAGGAACCATGACCGAATTTGTCACTATCGGACCAAAAACGTACGCATACAAGGAGACACTGCCTGATGGAACAGAAAAGGTTTATTTGAAAATAAAACAAATTTTCAATAAAATTCTAAATTTAGGTTGTGCGCAAAGCCAAAGGGTTCTCCCTCAACACGCAGGTTGACAATCTGATCACTTTTGATTTGATGAAGAAAATGGTTGAAGAGGTATTGGATGATTGTGATCAGAAATGTACGGCACAAGTTCCTCAATTCACAATGAAGAGGGATAAAGAACACAACGTGTACGCTAAAACATTCTTGAAAAAGTTCCAATTCACGTTTAACAAAAGACGTGTGATGGCTGACGGTTCTACTCTTCCTTTTGGTTTCTGTGATTAGCTTCCCCATTGTTTGAGCATCCTTTATCATGTTTTCCTTTAATTTTCCGGTTTTCGAGATTTTCTAGCAAAATTTCCAAAGATATCCCTGTTTTTCGAAATGTTACGCTTGTTTGTTGCTTTCTTGGAGTTTCCAATAAAGTTGCATAATATCTAATACGCGAGAAAACAGACGGTAAAAATCAGTTTGGGCGACCTTGTCTCTCATTTCTATCTTCTCTCTCCCACAAAAAATGGTCAGATTGGCTTGGCAAAGTACAATGCTAATTGTTGGACCCAGCGGACAAGGAAAAAGCACTCTGGCCCGCCAAATTGTTGAACAGCGTAACACTATATTTGATGCAAACAGCAAGGTGGTCTTTTGGTACTATGATACTTTTGAAAGTGTTCCCAACTCGTTGAAAAACCGCCCCGACATTTTACTACGTGAAGGTCTACCAAACTTGGAGGAACTGAAGAAATACAAGGATCAGCAAGCTTTGATTGTAATCGACGATTTAATGACAAAAATCGATCAAAACTCTGGAATGGAGCGCTTAGTGTCAGTTTTGGCTCATCACTACAACATGACCATCATTTTCCTTCTTCACACGATTTTTTACTCTAAAGTGATTAGAAACCTCAGATTGCAAGCAAGCTATATCATTTTGTTCAAAAATAACTCGGACAAGTCTAGTGTACGTTGTTTGGGATCACAACTAATGCCCGGCGAATGCAAAACTTTTCTCTCCATTTATACCGACGCAACTTCTCAACCCTACACTTATTTGCTAATTGATCTTCACAAGAATTGTCCTGAAGAGCTACGTTATAGAGACAATCTCTTACCTAACAAAATCACTCATGTCTTCACTCCCAAGTAACATGCCTCAATGGGATTTGGATACTCTTCACACAATTCTGGACATTTGCCACAAAAAGGATGTGAATCTACGTAAAGAATTGATTAGAACAGTTCCTGATGATGTCATCATCTGCATGTCTGACCTAATTTACAAGACTGTAAATCGAAAAATTCCCGTTTCACGCGCAAATGTTGTGAAAATACGCGACGAATCAAGTAATTTGCGACATTTGGCTAGAATTGACAATATTGATGAAACTAGAGACTATTTGGTGCAGAAAGGAGGATCCCCAATCGTTGCTCTATTACCTGTTTTGATTTCTGCCGCATCAGCCATTCTCGAACATGTCCTACGGTAAATATGTGCTTCTATCTCTCGAAGAACACCAAGACCTTGTCGCAAATAAGAAAGGTGATCAAGACCTTGTGGGTGAGTTGATAAAAGCGCCTATGGATAATGATTCAAAAGTTGCTCACCTTCAAAACCACATTAGTACCAATGTAAAGAAAAGGCTTCACGAAGATGAGCAAAATCAAGAAAAAACTATACAAACCCCACAAACTGTCCTTCATACTGAGAAACCACCAAAACTACCGAAAGTGCACCTTTCTATTGACAATACCGAACAAATCAGCTACGATGATGATGACGTTTTTCCTCCAATGTCCCCACGAAATATCAACGATAATGTCACTTTTACTGAACCTATATCAAAAACGCCAAAACTGGTGAAAGAAGAAAATATTACACCGCAACATGCAAAAGAAGCCTTGATGAAACATTTTTCACACCACAAGGATGTTTTTCGAGTGGACAACACTTCTGGCGGCACATTTTATGTTAGAGGTCACGCTGTGAAGCACCCTATAGGTCGTATTCTTGACGATTATTCATCTGTAAACAGTTACCAAAGACGCTTATCAGAAGGGCCTATGATCACAGCGGCTCTTGAAGAAACTGGATTTCCAGACAAGTACATTTTGAATAAAAAACGGAAGTATCCCGAACGGAAGAGTTCCCGAATCATTTCAAGAGCAGCCAGCAACAATTTATGAATGGAAATTGATTCTCAAGTCCTTGATAAACTCTACCACGATCCAAAACATGGCTTGCGTGGTGTTTCCCAACTATTTCGGCAAGCAAAAAAGATTTACCCACACATTCGGAGGCAAGATGTCGTGAACTACCTTCACTCAAATGATGCTTACACACGTCACTTTCATAAAACTAGAAAGATCAAGCACAATGCGTGGGTTGCTACCGGCCCGGACAGTCACCACATGGCCGATTTGGCAATTCTTCAAAGTCTGAAGGCTCACAACAAGGGGTTTTGCAACATTTTGGTGGTTGTTGATGTTTTTTCTCGCTACGTTTTCGCTCGGCCACTGAAAAACAAAGAATGTTCCACAGTCACCAAAGCATATGAAGATATTTTGATCAAGACTCTACGGATCCCCAGTAGGTTGTATACTGACAAAGGTGATAGAGATTGTATAATCTTTCCAAAATTTTCTTTCCAGGTACCGAGTTTATGGGCAAGACCTTTCGTAGCTTTGTCAAAACTCTAAATATTTGTCATTTGAACCCGAAAAACACCAACGTGAAGGCTTGCTATGCTGAGAACGCTATTATGCGCATCAAAAACAAACTTGAAAAACATTTTACCAGTTCGCAAAGCTACGACTGGATCAGTGTTTTGGATGAAGTTGTGGAGGGTCTCAATTCTACATATATGGATTCCCTTGGAACTGCTCCCGATAAAGTTAAATGGGAAAATGCAGAAAAAATTTGGCACCGACTTTACGGAGGTGGTGTTGCAAGGGTGGCAAAGTTCAAGGTTGACGATACTGTTCGTGTTTTGTTGGAAAATTCGCCATTTGCCAAAGGAACTCGGGCAAAATGGAGTGAAGAAATCTTCAAAGTTGTTAAAATCATCAATTATGATAACCCAGTCTACATTTTGGCCGATACATTGGAAAGAGAAGTAGATGGTATCTGGTATGAAGAAGAGATGATTTTATACAACAAACCTGATAATGTCTATGATATTGATAAAATTATCAGAAAACGTACTAGAAAGGGTATTCGTGAATGTTTTGTTAGTTTTAAAGGTTATGACTCTTCTTTCAATTGTTGGATCCCTGAATCTAATTTTTTGTGAATAAATGGATAATCTCAACTGGACGTGTGGTAATACAAACTGTTCAAAAGCGCTTATTGTGTTTTGTTCACAAGTCTTCATCATTTACGCAGTGTGTTTCGTGGCACTATTCAAAATTTGTTCGGGACCTCCAAACGATCAACAACAGTGGTTAACGATTCTTGGCTCCTGTATCGGATATCTTCTACCAAACCCCAAAATCAAGTGATGAGTTTTTATGTTACTCTTGTGAGCAATGCTCAAAAAAACTCTACAATTTCAAACTTCTCGACCCAATTACCAGCTACACTGTTTTTTGACCGTGAATATGAGGTTGGTCTTTCTTCCATCATTTACCCGGGATCTCACGACCTCATATCTAATTTTGCTGAGGAGGATGGAACGCGCGAGAACGAGTTTAAAATTTTGCATAAAAATGTGGAGATAAAAGGCAAACTACCAAATTGTTCCTTTTCTACCCCCGAAGAACTTGTCGCCATTATGAACGATAGTTTCAAGAAAACAATGATGACTTCTTTCAACATACCAAATGAACACAATTATGATCTTTTCAAATATAATTCTGTTTTGAAACGAATTTGTGTTGAAAATGTTGAAAACGTCAAACAGGTTCATTTTTCTGCAAGATTGAGCTATTTTTTGGGAATTGACCGGATTCTGACGGAATTCCCAACAACTGGACAGTATTCTACATTTTCCGGATCTGATCTCATGTACATTTATGCTGAAGGATTGGTGGAACCGCAGATGATTAGCCATATAAAGGCGCCGCTTTTGAAGGTTATTAGCATAAACTCAGGAAACGGAGCAAACATCGAAAAATCCTTTGTAAAACCACTATATGTCAAAGTTCGGCCTAGTGAAGTGAACCGTGTCTCCATCCAGATTAAAAACGATCGAGATCATTTCATTCCTTTCAACTCTGGAAAGATTGTGCTCGTTCTCCACTTCCGACCAATCAAGTTTTCGTTTGATGGCTGATCGTGTTCGTCGTGTGTGTTGTTTCAATTCACCTCTACTACCATGCTTGTTCACTTTGACCCTGACAATTCTATTGACTGGATCAATTTTTTCGAAAATGGGACAAATCAAGTGGGTTCCAGTGGATTTCGGGCCGGGAGCATTTATCAACGAGGAAATGGCCCGTTTTCTCAATTACTCGGAAAACTCTTCATTTCCGCTGTCCCTGTTCTAAAACGTATGGGTCTATCGGTGGGTCAAGAATTGATGGACTCATCACTTCGTGTTGCAAACGACCTAGTGGCTGGTGACTCTTTTAAACGGTCTCTATCCAAAAACGCTTCAAATTCCTACAATACTCTGGTAAACCGTGCAATTGGAAAAATTGGACAATCTGGTGGTCGTCGTCGTCGGAGGAAGACACCCCGCAGAAAAGGAACAAGTAAGAATACACACCAAAAGGTGAGAAAAGTTCGAAGAAAACAAACAAAAAAACGAAAATCAACAAACCGTCGTCGAAAACTTCCAAAAGCATCCCGCAGGAAACGGTCACTCGCCAAATCATCTTCGAAAAAGAGTGACATTTTTGGATCATGGCCAAACTAATTGATAACAAGAGCACACCGTGTGCTAGTGCAAACATCTGTTTATTTGATACCCCACCAAGCCAGGTAGCTTACAACAAGGGAACATGGATGACCTTTTCTCCGTCAAACCCAGTGGATTCTAAAGGACCATACACATTCAACATTTTTGATAGTGCCCACTTTTTCCAACTCGGTAAAACATACCTCACATTCAAACTAACGCTACGACAACAGTCATCATCAAAGCCTGACACTGTTGGAACACTTCCTGTCATCTCGTGCGCAAATTTGATTGGATCTACTTTTTTCAATCAGGTCAAGCTATCCTTTAACAATGTTTTGGTCTACGATTCTACCGATTATGCGTACAAGGCGTACATTCAAACTCTTTTGGGTGAAAATGACGAAACAAAAAACGGTTTTCTGACCGCTGCTGGATGGGTTCAGGACGGTGACGATATTAAAAGTAGCGTTAGCAAACGTGGTATGAAGAATGGAAAAACCCTTGATTTTTGTACACCTCTCCACTTGGAACCTTTTCAAACGGAAAAATTGTTGGTACCACACATTAATATCCAGCTGACTCTGTATCGAAACAAGGACGACTTTTGTCTGGAGAGTTCAGACCAACAACCTGAAGGATTATTGGAAATTTCTGACTTGAAACTGCACATGAGAGCGGTCGATGTTGTGTCATCTGCGGCTATTGCTCTGGAGAATAGACTGAGAAAGACACCAGCACAGTATCCGTTTACTGTAACCAAGGTGAAAACTATTTCAATTCCTGAAGGTCGCACCGAACTTCCCTTCAATGTTTTGTATCACGATCTCGTCCCTAGGAGAGTAATTGTTGGTCTCATTGCCCCTGAAAACGTGAGTGGCGCTTTTGACAAGAATTGTTTTGATTTCGCCCACCACGATTTGTCGGAGATTCAACTGGATGCAGGCGGAACAATGTACCCTCCTCAACCTTTGCAGTGTGATTTTGAAGGAGGTAATTATGCACAAGCTTTCACGAGACTCTACGAAGAATTGGGATGTGTTTCTCACAAGACTTGTCCAAACATTTCTTACAAAAAGTTTAAAAACGGTTTTGCCTTCTACGTTTTCAACCTAAGTCCGCTGGATGATACAAATTCGTGGGAATTGGTAAAAAGTGGTTGTACTCAGCTTTTCATGCGGTTTTCCAAGAAAACACCGGCCGGAGGGTTGACAGCTATCGTTTTGTCACAATATGATGGAATGTTCTCGATTGACGGTTTTCGAAACGTGGCTGTAACCCAACAGCACTAGTCCGCTAGTCGCATTTACACTAATTATGCTTCCGGGGACAGGTCGCCCCTTCCGTATGCCCTCGAGTTGTCCACCACCTCAGCGTGGAGTAAGTTTTTCCATTTTTTCGCATAATATGTCTTTTTTCAGTATGTAGACATTAACTTGGCTTCTCATTTGTTGATGCTCACCGGAGCACCGATTGATCGCTTGTCTGTCACCAAAATCCGAGAATTGAACGAAAAACTGCAAAATCTTCAAAAAACCAAAGTATGGAACGGTTGCAACGGTTTATATGTTGATTCGGACGCGGAATTGAGTTTGTCAGTACTTTTCCTCAAAACTCTTGGAAATTACGTTTTTCAGGGATGCCACACCTAAAAACTATCATTTTGTGAATCGTGTGATTCTTCCTCCTATCGATAAGCGACGCTACATCTCTGTTCGTAGGTACTTTGAGGAAAAATACAATATCACTCTCAATTACCCCTGTTCTCCAACATTACGCGACACTGCTGGTCGCATGTACCCCGTTGAAACTATTTGGATGCGTGTTTGTATTTTTTAGTTTGTTCATTTATTTATTGTGATAAATTGCAAGAAATGTCTTTGACTACTACACAACTGGACACTTTTCTCTCAAAATGTCGAATTACACGAAAAAACTTTTGTGGAGTGTTTCCTAGCGATGGTCAACCAGATGTCTTGACAAGACCATGTTCTTTTATCTGGAATACAACCCCAAAAGGAACTCCAGGAGAACATTGGGTCGCTTTGTGGATAGATGATCGAAATTTTGGTCATTATATGGATAGTAGCGGAATGGACCCTCAGAGTGAATTTGTACACTTTTTCAACAAGAACTGCATACTTTGGAAAAAAGTGACCCGTTTTCCGGTTCAGGGATCGTTATCCGATGTTTGCGGGTATTATTGTATCTACTTTTTAATACAAAAAGCAAAGAAACTAGGAAATAAGCAGATTAGGAAACCTTTTTCTGGAAACAGGACCAAAAACGATATTTTTGTGGAAAAGTGGGTAAAAAACCATTTGAAATGTTGTGAATCTCGGGTATATAAACCCCTTGTCTCAAAGGAAACTCAGTTTGCATGATCAATGTTCTCTGAAGCTGTTGAAGTACCACTCCCTTCGGACAATTCTGAACATATGGATACTAATGAGAAGATCTCAACTGTGGTCCCACCACAGGTCCTTCCTTCTCCAACAACGTATGATCATCTGAAAGAAAACACTCAGAAACCTCTACCACCAACCTATCCACAAATGTTGCCCTTGTACGAAGAAAATTTAAAAAATATGGTCTTGGTTGGTACTATCAAAGTCTACAAAGATGTGCAAGGGGATCTCCACATTTCTTCTGGTCAATAATTGGTTGAAGTACGGTTTCCTTTTTCAAATTCAAATTCAAATTCAATTTGTCTTGCGCTGTATAGGCAAACAGTGGCGGTACCAGTGACTAACTTACGCCAAACACTGAGAATTTTGGTGTGAAGGGGGTGGAGTGACAAATTTTTTTCTCATTTCTCAGAGTGATGGCGAGAGAAACCATTTCTTGTCATTCTTTTTGAATTTTTGTCTCCCAGTTCTCTATAATTTTCCAGCATTTCCTGCTTTTGTCTCTCTTTTTGTTTACAGATGTCGAATCCACCTCCACAACCAAACGAGCTCTATCTGGTTGTGCCCAAGCTGACCAAGGAGTTTGGAACCAAGATAGCCGACTGTGTCGCTCCAGGCTGTCTTGGTTGGGGAAGCACCCACTTCGGGGCATATTACCACACCACGCCCGATTGCTGCCCCCAGTTGCACCACCGTGGTCTCCAGAAAACCGTGGCAGAGCGGATTGTGGAGCTGAAAAGGGAACGCGACATCGCGATCAACAACACCGCAGCAAAAGCTCTGGTGAGTACATTTTCTTTTAATCTGTTTCTTATTGTACTGGTTTTAGCCCCCCCTTCGTACCAGCAACAGTCGGTTTACACCATACGGTAGCCCAACACACCCACAACCATGTTTCCAAACTCCTGGGGTTGGTCATCAGATTTTCCCTCCTCATCCATCTGTATACCAACAATACGGTAGCCCAACACACCCACAACCATGTTTCCAAACTCCCGGGGCTGGTCATCAGATTTTCCCTCCTCATCCATCTGTATACCAGCAATATGGGAGCCCATCATTCCCACACCCGTTTCTTCTGAACGCTCTTTCTGCTCTCGCCATGTCTCCACATTTTCCAATGCCCCCAACCCCCCTGTCTTCTCCAAACCGGGCCAAAACTTCCGCTCCATCCACATCCATGGCCCCCATTTCCGATCCAACCACGTCTGATACCGCTTTTGTTCGCAATACTCCACCGTCTTCCAATACTTCTCTGGACTCCAAGTCCCCGTAGCTCCCAACACCTCTTCTTTGGCCCAAAATCTTAATCTGTCTAATATTAATCTGTTCAATCTTAATCTGTTTAAGCTTATTTAATCTGAACTATATTAAAACTTTTAAACTTTTAAAACTTGTTCCAACCGTTCACTCGATCAGTATCTGTATGTTGGTCTCCATTTTCAATTAATTCTGTTCAGAACTCTTCTTCAAAATGTCGGAATGGTCAGGTGAGGTCAGTTTTTCCAAACTTTTTGACAGACCTGGTGATTGATGTTTTCAGTTTTTGGAATTCCCGGAAGCAGAAAGAGAAAGGTTGGAGAATTCGGCGTCACGCGTGAAATTGATGCACAGCATTGTGGCTTCAACGGAGGTGAGAAAACGTAGACTCGAATTAAGTATCATGCGTCATGCTACCTCACGCAACATAGGAAAGGAGTTGGAATGCTGTAAGAAGGTAACTAATATACATGAATATCTGTTAGAAGTTAGTATTAATTACTCAGGAAATTGCTGTGGACACAGAAAGAAAGCGACTGTTGGAAAAGAGTTTGTGGCTCCTCAAGGTATTTCACTTTTTTGTTTTGTTCTTTTGCTCGCAAAAAAGAGGAGTTAATTTCAGATATCGACTGACGCAACGAAAGAAAAGATTGAAGACACCAAGAAATGCATCGATTCACACATCGCGGAGAAACAGATGTTCACCGAACTCCGAGACCAACACGTAGTCGAGGGGGAAAAGAAAAGACTCATGCTGTTGAACCTGGAGCGTAGTGTCAAAGCAAAAGAGATCATGCAACCAGCGAAATGGATGGAAGAGGGCGTAAACAACACCGCAGACGGTCTCTGCAAAGGCTGCGGAGCCTATAAAAATGTAGGCATTCATTTCTTATAATAGTTTCTAGAAAATGCTCACTTTTCAGGCATTGGGTGTGTTGACTAGCATGGAAGACAGAATTGCTAGGCATGATCTAGCGACGAAACCATTTTTTTAAAACATCTGAATGATAAAAATTTTGTTGATGACTCTTATTTGTTTTCTATACTTTTTGTGGTATTCGTCCACATTTTTTAATATTATCTGTCTATCTATTACAATTATAATTGAATAGGGAATTGAGGAAGATGTCGGGCGTCTCCAACGAAAGTCAGGAACGTTTGAGCCGGTACAATGAGGAGCTTGATTTGCTCAACCAGCGTAAAGATGAACTTCGCAGAGAGATGAACACACTGTCGACAACAGTGAACGAGATCGAGAAGGAACAGGATTCATGCCGCTCGGAACTGTCGAAACTCGCGAAGGTATGGCTCTCAGTGTTTATTCTTTTTTGAAAAAATTTCTTTTTTAGGAGTCGACGACCCTTCGATCAATCGCCTTCGAGGCCGAAACAAGAGTCCGTCGGGAGGAAGAGGAGCTGCGCCGTCTCCTCGCGACAAAGACAAGGTTCGAGGGATATAAAAAAACCTCGATAGAGGAGTTGGTCGCTCGCAAGGTGGAGTGCCACCAGGCCGAAAAAATTCTCCATCAAAGGAGAAAAGAGATCGAAAAAATGAAGACGGAAGAAGAAACACTCACGGCGATCACAAGGACGGAAGGGAAGAAAAGTTTTGCATGCGACGGATGCGCATCATGTGTGCAGCTCAAAACGGTACAATTGCATAGATTTTCTTTAATTCATTTTTGTTCCTCAGGAGTTTGAGACTCGCATGGCGAAAATGATGGAGTCGGCGACAAATCTGCTCCACCGATACACCTGCCCGGTCTGCCTCGAACTCTACGAGGATGTGAGTCTGTTCCCTCAGACCTTGCGTACGTTTTCACATAAAAATTGCATTCGCTTACCTTTAATTTTCAGCGTGCGGCCACACCGTTTGTAACAGATGTAGGGGACATCTGAAGTCGGAACGAATCGGTCTGGACCGATACAGCACATGCCCGGTCTGTCGACAGCCCTTCAACGTCGACAGACCATATCCAGCACAAGATCTGCTGACAAACAGTCCATCGTTCATCCACTTCAAGTAGCGACTGTGGTTTTTTTATAAGATTATTTAACAATAAAACATGAACGACAAAAAAACAAAACACAATGAAAGATCGATATCGGATTTGGATATAGACGAGGGGCTAGATGTTTTCTCTACCATGGCATGTACATGAGAGGGCAGAGGGAGTAGGATGACTCACCTGACGAGAGGGTTCCTCTCGACCATTGCGCGTGATGTCATGAGAAAAAAAAAGGGGGTCGTACAGGGGGAGAAGGGGGGCGAAGGGGGAGAGTAACAGGAAGAGGTCATCATGTAACACGGAATCGCGGTATGCTCTTTTGTCCACTACCATAGTGTTTTGGTAATGTTCGGACTTTTTCGTTTTTGAGGCACTGGTTCGATTTTTGACAATTTTTTGAAATTTAAAAAATTTTGGATTTGGGATATGAGATTAGCACCATTTGAATCAGCGTGTTCGATTTGGTCGGCAAATCTTTTTTGGTGATGATTCATCAAGTTTTGCAAAAAAAGATAATGATGAGCTCATTAAATTTAATTACCTTTGATCTCGCCGACACAAGTTCATGTTTGTTTACCGGAGGGGGTCGTCGAGCCCGTGGTGGCGGCGGCGGCGGCGCGCTGTCTGTCTGCGTACACTCTCTCGCTGCTCTCGTTGTCTGCGCGCACTATTTCTCTGACCGTCTCGTTTCTCTGCGTCTCTCACCCTTTTCGTCGAGGGCACCCCCCTAACATCTCTCGCTTCGTTTTGTTCTTTTAAAATCTATGTACCTACTCACTAATCGTCTTTTGCGCAACTGCGAAGCGCCTTTCTGAAAATCGTGCAGTGTGCGCACACTACGCTTGTCTGCCAACACCGCGCGACAGCACGCAAAAAGGAACAACAGCACCCCCACTCATTCCTCTTTTCGGACGTCCTCCAATCGCCCAACATGGACCCCGCTCTCATCGATTTCTTCGCAAAACTCCCATTTGTACCGATGGTCAACATTTGTGAGCATTTGGACCCGATCGACTTGTAAGTTTGACCCAAAAAAAAAGAGTTCATCAATCTATTTTTCCGCTTTTCAGAATCGCCCTCCAATTCCAGTCGGACGTCTGGAGATCAGTGGCCAGGCGTACAATGAAAGCGCAAGAATTGGAAACGAGATTCTCATTCAAGAACGTTCCGTCGTATGACGAAAGCCCGCTCGTCGAGTTCGAAATTTCCATGCCAAATGGTTCGGCCTTTCAAATTTTGTTCGAGAGGCCGGATCCTTCTACAACTCGGCAGATATTGTCGTTCGGCGACGGTGAGAAGCGGTCGCTCATCTGCAAAAGTGCCAATTTCGAAGAACTCTTCGAGAACATGACCGCCCTCAAGACTATTATCGATTGTTCGTATCGATCGGTCGAATCGGATGACGCGTGGGTGGCCGTGGACTCGGAACTGCCGCAAGACCCGCTGCTCGCCTTTTTGGAATCGGGCTATTCGTGGAATGATGTCAGACTGACCGAACTGGACATTGAATTGGAGACCGTACCTGGGGAGGTGGTGAACGAGTTCCTGAAGGTGTTGAAAGTGACGAGAAAATTGGAGATTATTTTGAATTCCGACGAAAAAGTCGACTTTAAAATGGTAGGATTTTGAAAAGTTACTATTGAATCACTATTTGTGACCGTGAAGAACTAATGATTATCTCAAATACTCTGCAGTTGATCACTTTTCTTCAAATTGCCAAATTTGAACTCTAGTTTCATTTCAGTGCGCCACGAGTCCGCCACGTGCTCATGTCACCTTTTCCGATTGGCTCACAATTGATCAAGTAATCGATTTGAACGTCGAAATGGCGTTTTTCGAGAATTGCGCCTTCACCGACGCTGACATGAACACATTTTTGAGTAGGTGGATGAACGGAGAGGTGCCGAACGCGAAGCTCTACACTTTTATAACGAATAGCCGTCGTTTTCGCTCGAAAAATGTTCTGCGAGACTTGAAAGCCGAGCGTTGGAGTCCGGAGACGAGGGAAAAGAAGTACAAGTGAGTGTTTAGTAGTGAAAGTTTAAAGGTCTATCCACATTTCGTTCAGATTGCCGATTCCCTGGACCATGAACAGTTATGAGTATCAATTCGAGGACCTGTCCGCCGGAATGGATATCATCCGTTCGGACGGAGTCATCGGAACCCTCCGGTTGAATGTCTACGATCAGGGGGCCGACAACAACCACAATCTCCATTTCTACGTCTGGCCGGAGCCGTTCCCCATGAGGACCGAGATGCAGCGCCTGACAGCTTGCACCGAGCAATTCGATCGGTTCTTGGCTCACATCGATTGGAGACTGTTGGTGTTGGCGAAAGAAGCGGCGGAAAGATTCTGGTGTATGTCGGCTGTGAGACACAACGATCCGAAACTGTACGCAAAACTGGGAGAGGAGGGGCGGAAGGCCACGGAGGCGTATCTGAATAAGAAGTATATCAGAGCATCGATTCGCAAGTTTTTGGAATGATTTCGTTGTTTTATGAGCAATATAATGGACTTTCTCTCTATATTTTCTGTCAAATAAAGTTTCATAAGATGAAGAAGAGCAGTGCTAGAGTCTGCTAGAAGGGTCATTCCAGCCGAGAAGAACGGTCGTCTATCGTCGCTCCGATTTTGATATTCAACTTCCAGATCTTGAGGATTGGAGGCCGGCGACTTTGTGAACTTGTCTTGAGGATCTCAAGCAGGAGATCCTATAGTTGGAGTATGAGTATCAACTCGAGAAAGTGTTTCTTAAGTTTAGGAACCAGTTCATTGATGTGCAAGAATAAATAGTGCGAATAAATAGACCCGTGTCACAGTTCAGTTGATCACTTCCTTCTTCTCCTCGACAGTCTCCGGAGCATCATTGAACGGAGCCAACTGTGGCAGAGCTGGCTGAACCTGAGCATCTCCCTTCACCACTTTCGCGATTCCCTCGATCTTGTTGGCCAACGCAATTCGGAGGTTCTGAAGGGAACGACGCTTGCGTCCTCCGCCGCCGCACCCGCAGCATCCGCATCCGCATCCTGAAAAGAGATGAGATGAGGATCAGAGAAGAAGAAGAAGAAGAAGAAGAAGAAGAAGAAGAAGAGGGTACCGCATCCACAGCAGCACGGACGGCAGCAAGTGCAGCATCTCGTGCAACAGCAAGTTCGGCAGCACGTGCAGCAACGACGGCAGCAGCAGCAGCATCTGAAAGCGGCGAGGATCGTGTTAGAAGTGGAGAGAAGTAACCGACCGTGGTCTGCAGCAGCAGCATCCGCATCCTCCTCCTCCTCCTCCTCCGCCCCCGCATCCACAGCATCCACATCCACATCCACAACACCCACAGCCTCCGTTTCTCTTCACTCGCGACGAGCCCAACGTGTCCACTGCCGTTGTCGTCTCCGAAGCAGAAGAAGAAGAAGAAGAAGAAGAAGAAGGGAGTGATACTTCCGTGCTCGACACTGGCAACACGGCTGTTTGCACCTGAACACGGTCCCACTGGTTGAACACCCAATCCCAATGATTATACCTGGGAAATGGCAATGAATGCCATGATGGTGAGAGCGGAATATGCTTGGAACTTGGTCATGATGCTGATGAAATGAAGTGTTTCGATGGTAATTCGTGTGCTCTTTCGGATCTTTTATACATTTCCGCCGGCTGTTACGTGCCTCTCCGCTCGCATTTGACAGTTTTCCGGAAGCGGCGCCGGCGAGAGTGTTGTTTGGTTGTTTGCCATTCGATTTCAATGATCTTTAGTGATCACCTAGAAAAAGTATTACTGTAGGAAAACTCTTAAAAGGGTAATATAGCATTTGTGGACCATAAAATCGACGCTACCGGCATTAGGATCGTTTATCGATTTCATACCCTTGCCCAAGAGGATGTTCTCTTTCCGGCCAGATTTTGCGTCGATCTATGTAAAAAATTGCTAATTTTGGAGTCAGTTTACGAGTGAACCAGTGCCAAAACTTATATATACACTTTTTATTCACGTGAGGTCCCACTGTACACTGACATTCCACTCCTCTCACGAACAATTATTGTTGGATTCCGGAGATGCGACTGCTTTGCTCTCTCGTGGCAATTCTCCTAATCGGACACTTTGTCGAAGCGTTCAAAATCCGAAATGCACTCAAAACAGTTGTGAAACGATTCGGACTCGAGATGAAGACTATCGAGCTGTTCGACGGTACTTACTGGATTACCAGAGGAGAAAAATGGATCCCATTTCCAGAAATGAACCTCAGAGAACCGTTTGACACGGCGACGGACGAGCAGGTGGCCGAGATCAAGAAGGACCATGCGATTCTGGTGACCACGTGGCTTCGCGGACAGGCCTCTTCGCAGAATGACAATTGGAAGGTTTTCTCGGATCAGTTCGTCGCCGTTCTGGATAAAGACGTCACCGTCGACATTTGTGGAGTCACGCCGTTTGGCTATGGCAAGTACTTTGGCGGGGAACAGTGTCTTATCGCTTGATACTTTTATCGAATTTCCACATAGACCACGCTCCTTTTTTCAGTTCAATTCGTGAGTTACCTCGACCGGGACCGTCAAAAATGGAAGAAGAACCTGGTGAAGGACGATTCGATGTACGAGATTCTGCCGAGCAAAGGACGGGAGGAGATCAAAATGCGAACCTCTTTCAAACAGGAATCCTACTTTGGCTACTTCTCCACCCAAATCTACGAGATCACCTTGCATTTGACATTCCCGAAAATTGGCGGAAACGTTCTCTTCACCATCTCGGAGATCTCCGTGAAGGGCGGCTGCACAGAGTTCGGACAAATGAACGTAACGAACTCGCACTCGACGGACGAGGAACTCTGGAACGCCGAGGACATTGACAAGTTCCTGATGCTGTTCACGCCGCGGCCGTTCCGCGGAGAACTCAAAAACCCGGAACGACTTCCCGTCTTCTGGTTGGGCGGACTCGAGAAGAACGAGTACTTGACGGCGACGGTGTGCAATCGGGAGACGTCCGAGTCGCGAAAGTACACGGATGTGCAGTTCCGACGGTGGTACGAACTGTTTGGCAGAATGTGGCATCCCAAGGAAAATAATGTGAGTTTTCGGCATTTAAGTCATCAACTTGCAATCGAAATGGCTCATGTTTTTCAGACGGATTTCGTGAAAATTCAAGAGATTAAACGGAACGAAGTGCAAATAATGGCGCGAATCACGTATCGATTGGTTATAGGATTGGACTGGGACGGGAAGGCGACGGAAACCGACTGGAACTTTCGGATTACCGCCGATTTTGTGAGTATTTGAAGGATTTATCGGCCTTTGACAATTGCCGATTTGCAGAGCAAGCACGGCGGCCGGGAGTGGCTGATCTCGATGATTGACGTGCCGTGCCCGCCGAGACTGAACATGCTCGAGGCGAGCTACGAAGCCTACCGAAACATCACCGGACTCACTCTTGTCTCGATGATTCCGTTCACGAAACGCGTCTATCAGGACTTGGGATTCCTCAAGTATCTCGTTCAGAACCACTCGAAGATTGAAATTTACAACTGCGGAGGCGAGCACATGGAGACGCTGGACGAGGTGGAGAAAAAGTTCTGGACGGGCAACTACAGTGCCACCTTCCTGGAGCGCGTCGCCATTGACACGTCGGAGAAGGATTTGGCAAAGGAGGACACGTACTTTACGATGATTGTCAGTCTGGGCACTTATGAGAAGTTCAACACGAGCGAGGAGTCGCACGGAGACAGGATCACTCGTTTGGAAGCCACGTGGCACTTTTACATTCAATGGGTCAGTTGAAACGTGAGCTTTGTAGGACTGATTGAGAGTTTTAGGACGAAGTGGATCAATTCTATTACATTAAGAAGATTGAGTTTGGATGTCCGAAGCAGGTGCAAGTTCTGCGCGAGTTCCCGTGGCCGTACCGAGTCGGCACTTTCTTTGAGACGTGGAAGATGATCAACTTTTACGGACGACGTTTCCCTCCTCCTAATGTGAATTCTGGATCTTCGTGATACAAAATAAAGTATTGTTTCGTATAGATTTATTAATTTGAATTTAGAATTATCACACAAAGTCTTCTGTAGCCGTGCAGCAGATGCTCGTAGTAGCGAACGGCCGAACATCCGTCATTCCGCTTCCTTCGTCGCTGCTTTCGTCCGATATTTCAGCCACTCTCAAGTCAACAACTTGGAACTTTGACGTCAGCTAGCTCGCAATAGACCGGGCCGAAACTTGAAATTCTCCGAACCGGCTCTGTCCACCAACTTTTACCTTTGATCTAGCCCGGAATCTTGCAAGCCTGATCCAGTTCACCTTTCTTTCACACTGTGATATTATTATTGGGGACATAAGTCCCCAATAAGTGGGCACCGAGTCGACTGAACCCACGGCACTATCCAAGATGTCGACAGCAAATATGGACACCATATTCCCGATCCCCAATTTACCTTTGAAACATCCCCGTTCAATAAAGCCGACATTTCTTGCGATCATTTCCTAGTGAGCCAAACGTGACGACATCATATACTCCAGCCTGTTCCGTTCAAGTTTCCCACGATGTTTTCAGTAAGGGAGGTGGTTGCGTGCAGACATCTTGAAAGGGACGCCGCCGAAAACCATGGTATACTGTGGGATGTTTCGGGAAGGTCTTTCTCAGATTCATTCTTTTGATGTCAGTATTGATGCCGACGAGTCCCGTGTAAACAAACTTTGATATCAGATAGATGGAACATTTATGAACTCATACTGTCCGGAAAGTGGGGTCCAACTTGAAAATTAAGAGTTTCGATACAAAACGCTCAATTACAAAGTTTTCAGCACATAATTGAGAACAATTCTTCAGTTTACCACATATCAGAATGATATATTCCTTAAAACAAATAAAGGTTCCATCAGAGTCACTGGCTCCTTCCTACTTAGCCTTTTTGCGGACCATGAACACTACTTTCCCATATTCCGGCCCCGTGGAGGTGAACATTCTTGACCTCACACAGCTGGGACATTCAAAGACGGCCATAAATGTCAGAATTGTCTCCCTCTAACTCCGCCTCTCCCCTCTTACTGGAAGAAGGGACAGGGTATACGTCCGTCTTCAACGGTCCCCTGTTAGAACTCTCTTGACTCCGCCCTTTTGTTGGAACATCGCGACGACTTTAAATACCTCGGAAGCAAGCACGCATCCATCCATTCCATTCCGTCCGATCTTCCCGTCTTTCTTTCCGTTCTCTTCTCCCTCTTTCAATCGATTCTTGTTAAATAATCAAACTATTCTTTCAGAACGTCCTAACCTGTTCAATAATGGATTTCTACATGAACGCGACTTCAACTCCGATCCCGACGGAGTGGCAATTCGACGACATGCTGGACGAGCTGCACAGAAGAGATAAGCCGGTAATGGATTTCTACATGAACTTTGCCGTGCCCGAGCAAGATCCCGACCTCATGTGGAATACTTCGGTGGAGGAAGAGGAGATGCCGCAGCCAGCCAATGAGATCGGAGACATCAGTAGAATGATTGCCGAACTCTTCGACGCCAACGCCTCCAAGCCGAATTTCCAATACGCCGGAGAGATCGACGACGTCGCAGCCGAAGTGAAGCTGGCCGACTTCGGCTGCATTGCTGGACAGAAAGAGGAGGATTTCGTGGGAAGAAGTCTTCAGAGCATCGAGTTCTCTTACGATCATTCTGCTGATTCGATCTTCCCGACTCCTCCGCAGTCGGACGACGAGAGCCCGATCAACGACGTCTTCTCACCGGCGGCCACTTCCACTCCGATTCCATGGCTGTCGAGACGGGGCACTTCTGGAGAGATGGACTCGAGTTTGGATGGATATGATGCGTCGAACGAAGAAGAAGAAGAGTCGGAGCAGCCGAGTGACATCAGTTACGACGAAAGTGAAGAGGACGAGGACGAAGTTGTGATGCCAGTGAGACGTCGTCAGGCTTCGGAGAAGAGAATCCCGGACTACCAGGGACCATCTACGACTGAGAACTGGAAGAGAGTTGCTGCTGATAGTGAGGATGATCGCGAGGAAAGCACCGATCTCTCCGACTGCTAACTGCTTTCATTTCTTTTTCTTTTTTTACTTACTTGCATACTTTTTTATTAATCTTCTCTTCTTAATCTTTCGACCCAATAAAAGTGTATAAGTAACCAAACCTTTTGGCTTTGACTTGGGACCTCGGATGACTGTCATTTTTAAATGTTAAAGGCTTTTATTGAAATGGAAAATAAATAAAAGGAGAATAAATAGTCCGGCCGGGTCTTTAGCATTTGGCGCAATCCTGAGCGGCTCCGGCTCCAGCTCCACTCTTGGATGGTCTTCTCTTGATTCCGAGGGCACGGTTCGCTTCGTCGATTCGGAGGTTCTGGAGGGAACGACGCTTGCGTCCTCCGCCGCCGCACCCGCAGCATCCGCATCCGCATCCTGAAAAGAGATGAGATGAGATGAGGAGGATCGGAGAAGAAGAAGAAGAAGAAGAAGAAGAAGAAGAAGAAGAAGAAGAGGGTACCGCATCCACAGCAGCACGGACGGCAGCAAGTGCAGCATCTCGTGCAACAGCAAGTTCGGCAGCACGTGCAGCAACGACGGCAGCAGCAGCAGCATCTGAAAGCGGCGAGGATCGTGTTAGAAGTGGAGAGAAGTAACCGACCGTGGTCTGCAGCAGCAGCATCCGCATCCTCCTCCTCCTCCTCCTCCGCCCCCGCATCCACAGCATCCACATCCACATCCACAACATCCACAGCCTCCGTTTCTCTTCACTCGCGACGAGCCCAGCGTGTCCACTGCCGTTGTTGTCTCCGAAGCAGAAGAAGAAGAAGAAGAAGAAGTGAGTGCTACTTCCGTGCTCGACACTGGCAACACGGCTGTTTGCACCTGAACACGAAACTACTAGTTGGACACCCAATCCCAATGATTATACCTGAGAAATGGCAATGAATGCCATGATGGTGAGAGCGGAATATGCTTGGAACTTGGTCATTTGCAAATCGGTGGATATGCCTCCGCGTTTCCCGGCGGCTTTTATACCCGGTCTGTCCACGCGCCACCACCGGCCGCCCTCCCGTTTGACAGTTTTCTTCCGTAAACCAAAAAACACACGCTCGACGCGCAATGGCATTTGGTTTTTGAGATTTTATTCGGACTGGCACAGATTGACAAAATGAAGGGGGTGATCACAGGAAGGGGGAGGGGAACGGTTACCATAAAAACTATAATAGACTGGCACCTCGAATACCGTTCATTCAAGACGATATATCTCAGCTGCCGTTATAGATATGAAAAAGTTGTCAACAGACAAATTGTTCATTCAAGCATTTTGAACACGTTCTTAGTTGACCACTTTTTGACATCTCTACTAGCAGCTGAGTTACTTGTCTAGTTCGGGTGATGAGTTCGGGTATGCGTGAGCAATTCGTTTTTAATAAGAAATTTTTCGTTGCACTTATCACACAAAAACTTGCTGTGATGAGACTTGATGTGAGCACTCAAAGCCTGAAAAAAAACAACTATTATTCATTTGGTCCCCTCCGGCTCGTACCTTAGTGCACTTGTATCCGGGATGATTGCAACCGGGAAACGTGCACTGGTGTAGCACCTTCATATGCACCATCTGAACGTGCCTCCGTAGTCCGCCACGCCGTCCAAACTGCGTGGCACAGAAGGAACACCTCCAGATGCGTTTTTTGCTCGGACTGTGGAAGATGATCAGGTGCTCGCAGAGTTGGAACCCACTGTGTTGGTCTCTGTGGCACTTGTGACAGATGAACTGGAATCGGGAGACGATGCGCGGGACAAGGGGGAAAAGGAAAGAGAGATGAAGAAGAAGAAGAAGAAGAAGAAGATAGACAGCTAGAAGCATGGCTCACGTTTCCGTCCTCCGGGAACGGTATTATCCACGATGGGTCCGAAAGAGTGCGAGAAAGAGCGAATGGGCGAGGAGAGGACGGCGACCTCTGGAAAATGTGAAAATGAACGTTTGTGGAATGCAAATACGGAACAGAAATCAACTTTTATGGTTTCAACTACAAAAATCTGTATGTTCCGGCGCGCAAGATGAGTTGAAAGTGAACAATGATTTTGCGGAATGAGGAATGAGGAATGCGGATTCCGCGAGTCGCAGCCCCACCGCTTCTTATCGGTTTCCCCCTTTGCCAAACGTCTCATACATGCTTCGAATTCTCATTCTCACCTGCCGCTGCCGATCATTACCATCAAAACTCAGTCTTAGCAGTCCCTCGTCGTCGCTCTCCGATATCATCAGATTGCTTATTCGCTCTTTGATCCGCTGGATGCTCTCCTCCAGATTCCACGACTTCTTGCCATACTCTGTCGGCGGCGGGACCGGATCCGATCCTTCGAGATCCGACGCCATTGGCTGTGAGAAAGTGTATATGTGGCGGCGGACGGGCGGGCAGAAAACAGACACTCGAATAACAAGAAGGGAAGTGAGAGCGGCCGGACGGGCAGTTGCCATGGAGCCGCACGCAGAGGAGCAGGCGCCGAGAACAACAACACCTCCGCCGTCCCCTCGTCCATATATCACTTTATCTTTTGAGGGGAACGAGAGAGAGAGAGAGAGAGAGAGAGAGAGAGGGAGCATATACTCCGGGGGCACAATTACTTCTTATTCTTCCTCTTCTTTCTCGTTATCAAAAACAACTAGCGGAAGCCAAGGGGGTAATGAGATTTATTAGAACAAAATTAACAATATTGTAGATTACTCTTTCTTGGCCAGTCTCTCGATCAGGCCGACAATATACTTCACGTCCTCTGGTTTGATGGTCTGTCTGCCTGCGTGGGCGGCCACTCCGTTCGACTCCCGCAGCACCTCGACGACGTACGCTTCGGCGGCCTCCTGAAGAGCCTCGAGGGACTGATTTGTGAAGGACAAGTCCGTCATGTAGTCCTGCACGATTTCCCTGCAGACGTCCTGGAAAGGGCGCTTCGGCAGGAGAAGGTCCGCGGTCTTTTGGTATCGACGGATCTCCTCGAGGACGACGGTTCCCGGTCGGAAACGGTACGGTCTCTTGGCTGGACCACGGTATGCGTGGCGCTGCTGGATAGTGTACTTCTTGGCTTCCTTCTTGGGGGCCATTGTGAACTGGAAAGCAATCGATTAGTGGTGGCGAATTGGGAGGAAAGAAAGGAACAGAAGAAAATGAATGTCTAAATGATCCGATCATTCCAGCAAGGAACGATCAAGAAGTAGGCGGAGTCTTTAGCGGATGTGTCGATTTTTGGATTGTCTCATTTGCAGGTAGGGTAGAACAAACAGAAAGTATACGGTATACTTGTTTACTTTTCAGGTCTATTCTATCGTCAACCAGAACCTCAAAGTTTACAGATCTACTCGATCACGTTTAAAATCCAAAGTATCTAGAAGATCCAATCAGTTTATTTATCAGAGGGCGAACAATAAATAAAAGGATAATAAATAGTCCGGCCGGGTCTTTAGCATTTGGCGCAATCCTGAGCGGCTCCGGCTCCAGCTCCACTCTTGGATGGTCTTCTCTTGATTCCGAGGGCACGGTTCGCTTCGTCGATTCGGAGGTTCTGGAGGGAACGACGCTTGCGTCCTCTCCGCCGCCGCACCCGCAGCATCCGCATCCGCATCCTCAAAGGAGATGAGATGAGATGAGGAGGATCAGAGAAGAAGAAGAAGAGATATATTCCTTAAAACAATCACAGTTTCCATCAGAATCACTGGCTCCTTCATACTTAGCCTTTTTGCGGACCATGAGCACTACTTTCCCATATCCTCGATTCCGGCCCCGTGGAGGTGAACATTCTTGATCTCACACAGCTGGGACACTCAAAGACGGCCAGAAATGTCAGTATTGTCTCCCTCTAACTCCGCCTCTCCCCTCTTAGTGGAAGAAGGGTCAGGGTATACGTCCGTCTTCAACGGTCCCCTGTTAGAACTCTCTTGACTCCGCCCTTTTGTTGGAACATCGCGACGACTTTAAATACCTCGGAAGCAAGCACGCATCCATCCATTCCATTCCGTCCGATCTTCCCGTCTTTCTTTCCGTTCTCTTCTCCCTCTTTCAATCGATTCTTGTTAAATAATCAAACTATTCTTTCAGAACGTCCTAACCTGTTCAATAATGGATTTCTACATGAACGCGACTTCAACTCCGATCCCGACGGAGTGGCAATTCGACGACATGCTGGACGAGCTGCACAGAAGAGATAAGCCGGTAATGGATTTCTACATGAACTTCGCCGTGCCCGAGCAAGATCCCGACCTCATGTGGAATACTTCGGTGGAGGAAGAGGAGATGCCGCAGCCAGCCAATGAGATCGGAGACATCAGTAGAATGATTGCCGAACTCTTCGACGCCAACGCCTCCAAGCCGAAGTTCCAATACGTCGGAGAGATCGACGACGTCGCAGCCGAAGTGAAGCTGGCCGACTTCGGCTGCATTGCTGGACAGAAAGAGGAGGATTTCGTCGGAAGAAGTCTTCATTGCATCGAGTTCTCCTACGATCATTCTGCTGATTCGATCTTCCCGACTCCTCCGCAGTCGGACGACGAGAGCCCGATCAACGACGTCTTCTCACCGGCGGCCACTTCCACTCCGATTCCATGGCTGTCGAGACGGGGCACTTCTGGAGAGATGGACTCGAGTTTGGATGGATATGATGCGTCGAACGAAGAAGAAGAAGAGTCGGAGCAGCCGAGTGACATCAGTTACGACGAAAGTGAAGAGGACGAGGACGAAGTTGTGATGCCAATGAGACGGCGTCAGGCTTCGGCGAAGAGAATCCCGGACTACCAGGGACCATCTACGACTGAGAACTGGAAGAGAGCTGCTGCTGATAGTGATGATGATCGCGAGGAAAGTATCGATCTCTCCGACTGCTAAATGTCTTCATTTCTTTTTTACTTACTTGCATACTTTTGTATTAATCTTCTCTTCTTAATCGTTCGACCCAATAAAAGTGTATAAGTAACCAAACCTTTTGGCTTTGGCTTGGGACATCGGATGACAGTCATTTTTGAATGTTGAAGGCTTTTATTGAAATGGGAAATAAATAAAAGGAGAATAAATAGTCCGGCCGGGTCTTTAGCATTTGGCGCAATCCTGAGCGGCTCCAGCTCCAGCTCCACTCTTGGATGGTCTTCTCTTGATTCCGAGGGCACGGTTCGCTTCGTCGATTCGGAGGTTCTGGAGGGAACGACGCTTGCGTCCTCCGCCGCCGCACCCGCAGCATCCGCATCCGCATCCTGAAAAGAGATGAGATGAGATGAGGATCGAGAGAAGAAGAAGAAGAAGAAGAAGAAGAAGAGGGTACCGCATCCACAGCAGCACGGACGGCAGCAAGTGCAGCATCTCGTGCAACAGCAAGTTCGGCAGCACGTGCAGCAACGACGGCAGCAGCAGCAGCATCTGAAAGCGGCGAGGATCGTGTTAGAAGTGGAGAGAAGTAACCGACCGTGGTCTGCAGCAGCAGCATCCGCATCCTCCTCCTCCTCCTCCTCCGCCCCCGCATCCACAGCATCCACATCCACATCCACAACATCCACAGCCTCCGTTTCTCTTCACTCGCGACGAGCCCAACGTGTCCACTGCCGTTGTCGTCTCCGAAGCAGAAGAAGAAGAAGAAGAAGAAGAAGAAGTGAGTGCTACTTCCGTGCTCGACACTGGCAACACGGCTGTTTGCACCTGAACACGAAACTACTAGTTGGACACCTAATCCCAATTATTATACCTGAGAAATGGCAATGAATGCCATGATGGTGAGAGCGGAATATGCTTGGAACTTGGTCATGTTGGATCGATCTGATACTTCTCCCCCCGTCCAAATGCCTCTCTTTTATACCCCACTTTTCCGGCGTGTCCATTTTTCCTGCTGTTCAGTCCGGAAACTGTCAATTTTTCACGCGTGCCGAGATCCGCGCGCCTCGACGGCTCGCATACAAACAAACTGGATCGTGGGAGACGAGGAGGTGCAGACAGTGTACCTAACAAAAAGTTGCGGCCCACATCGACGCATGACTATAAAATGAGACGGTGAGTCGACGAATGATCATATCACTTCATTTCGTTTCGTTTCAATCATGAATCAGCTCGTCCTCGTGGCTTTTGTAGTCATTGCTCTCGGTGCGTACTATGGACAGGTCCAAGCAGCCGTGTTGCCAGTGTCGAGCACTGAAGTATCACTCACTTCTTCTTCTTCTTCTTCTTCTGCTTCGGAGACGACAACGGCAGTGGACACGTTGGGCTCGTCGCGAGTAAAGAGAAACGGAGGCTGTGGGTGTTGTGGATGTGGATGTGGATGCTGTGGATGCGGGGGCGGAGGAGGAGGAGGAGGAGGATGCGGATGCTGCTGCTGCAGACCACGGTCGGTTACTTCTCTCCACTTCTAACACGATCCTCGCCGCTTTCAGATGCTGCTGCTGCTGCCGTCGTTGCTGCACGTGCTGCCGAACTTGCTGTTGCACGAGATGCTGCACTTGCTGCCGTCCGTGCTGCTGTGGATGCGGTACCCTCTTCTTCTTCTTCTTCTTCTTCTTCTTCTTCTCCGATCCTCATCTCATCTCTTTTCAGGATGCGGATGCGGATGCTGCGGGTGCGGCGGCGGAGGACGCAAGCGTCGTTCCCTCCAGAACCTCCGAATCGACGAAGCGAACCGTGCCCTCGGAATCAAGAGAAGACCATCCAAGAGTGGAGCTGGAGCTGGAGCCGCTTGCGACAAGTGCTAAGGATCTTTTCCATCTATTTATTTGCCTTTTATTTATTTCCCATTCCAATAAACACACATAATATGTGACAGATTTCTTCTGTGTGTAATGAACACGAACGAGACGAAGTGCATCAGTTTTATTACATTAAGAAGATTGAGTTTGAATGTCCGAAGCAGGTGCAAGTTCTGCGCGAGTTTCCGTGACCGTTTTCTGATAGAAGGGGAAACATTGAGATCGCTGAAACGAAAGAATCATCAGTTTATTCAACAAAAGCGACGAGATGGATGGAGGGAGAACAAAAATGTAGTTGCAGTCAACGACAGTGCTTGGATGAATGGAGACAAATATCTTAACGGTCAGCAGGAATGATCATATTATTCCTTCTTCTGGAGTCTTTTCAGAAATTCGACCACGTACTTCATGTCCTTCGTCTTGATGGTCGTTCTTCCGTCGTGGATGGCCGCGAGGTTGGATTCACTGAGAACCTGGACGAGGAAAGCTTCGGCGGCCTCCTGCAAGTTATCAAAAGTAGGTAATAGAACGGCGAGGGCATTCACAGCAAGAACCTTCTTCTAGTATTAGTTGAAATAACCGCTCTGTGTCAATTAGGCTATTTCTGAAAGTTTTGGCAATGAAAACTGGAAAATATAGCTCAAGCTCCAGCCTTTAGTTTCGCACTTTCTCCTGAAGAAATTCCTCCGTTTGAAGTACAACTTGTTTTGAGACAATACGTTTATTTGAAAAAGATTCGAAACAGAAGGATCCCAAGTATCTCATCCCTTCTTCGCTTTCTTGACTGTCAGTGGTCCCTTTCGATTGAGCATCTCCTTCAACACCGGAAATTTCTCTTCGGAAACATCTGAAAATCGATGCTTTCCATGAATTTTCCGATTTTCCGGACTCACTCGCAGTGTCCCCATGAAATTGAACGAGATGGACTTGAAGATTGTGGCGGAGAGTGAACGACATTTCGCAAATGTCACACACGAACTGAAACCCGTTTCTTTTTGGTTTATAAAGTCTGCTCCTACCAATTTCTCCTCGTAATTGCACTTTCTGCCTCGAGTGTACGGCGGCGGGATCGTTTTGACCGCCTGAAGATTGCAGTTTTTTGGGTAATCTTTATCAGGGAAATCGTTATTAATCTAGCTAATAGATTGCTTTTCTAGCTAGACTGATAAATTTGTCTAATTAGATTGATAAAGAACTGATATTAGATTCACAATGCATTTAATTAGATTGACACTTTGACCGAAAGTGTTTAGACATTTAAAAAGATATTCACATTTCGATGAATCGATCCGTAGCTCTTCCTCTCCTTGCTTTTCTCTGCACAAACTTCCGGAATCTTTTCCGTAATTTCCCTTTGAATCACTCCTTTTCTTTTCGTATATTTCCGTTTTGGTTTGACAACTACTTGCGTTTCCGGAACATTCCGAGCCGGCTTTTCGCACTTTTCAAACCGGAAGATCGTCGAAATCGGCGTGGAAGAGGCGGTCGGCGGCACCGAGAATTTTCCCGAAGAATCTTTAAAAAATGTTTATTTTTCTCCATGTTTTCCGATTTTTCACTCACAAAACACTCGGCTCTCCACGTCGATCAGCTCTTTTTCGTCTACAATTTCGAATGCGTCGCCTTCGGAGTAACTTCTGACGGCCACGTCGTTCCAGAAGACGTCCGTGTTGTCGTGAAGATGACATCCACGGAATGCTTCAGAATTTTTCGTTTTTTTTTCGCAGAAAAACAAGTGCTCACCTTCAATGCACCAGAAACAGAGCTCTCGACCGATCAGCTGGACTTTTGTAGACATTTTTTCACCGAAAATCTTTAATTTTCAGACCTTGCGTCAACAAAGAAGATAAAAGTTCACGCGACAATTATTCGACGTTTTATTAGACAAGATCAGCTATGAAACATGAAGAGAGTGGGATAAAATGAAAGTGAAAGTGCAGAAGAAAAAGCAAAATGGAGGAAATGTTTGTAAGCGAAAAATGCAATGAGATCCCGTCTTGGAGAAGGATAGGCGAATGAATGAGTACATTATTTTGAGGATATACACTTATTAATATTATGATATTGATATCACGATAGGGCCTAGGAGTCAATGTTGAACTGGCGCAGGCTTCCGCTCATTGCCGCGCGGAACGAGCTGCGCGACGCCACGCGGTCGATCGGAATCGATTCGTTGTTGGAACCGTTGCCCAGCGACGACGGTTTGCGTGGCAATTCCACGTATCTGAAAACAGAAAATTATTAGAAAAGGAGCTTGATTATTCGGGTAAACCTTCTGGAACCGCGACTGCTCCCACTCGTCTGGCTTCTCTGATCATCGCGTGTCCTTCCGCAATCCCCCTCCGCCGTCTTCACACTCCCATTCGTCCGATTCTTCGTCGGAAACGGCGACGTCGGCATCGACGCGTACCCGCTGACCATCGACGGCTGCGGAAATGCGGCGCCGGTTAGGATGGCCGAGTGCCGATTCGAAGGATTCGTCGTGTACATGTGCGGCGGGAATATTTTGTCGGTGACGTTGTGCGTTGAGTTCGTCGCGTTCGCCTGGCTCTGCGTTGACGCCGATGCTGACGACGCCTGGCTCGGCGGGTACCGGAATCCGCCGTCTGGCGCGCGGAGCTGCGTGTAATCGGCGCACTCCTCACCCATCACGTAGTAGCACTTCTCCGAGAAGTGCTTTTTTTCGACCACATGCTGAATGTAGCCCAATTTGAGCATTTCTCCGGCGAACGCGCACGACTCTTCTCGTTTCGCGAGCCCGCGCACGTGGTCCAGGAGCCAATCGACCAAATCTCTGCCAAGAAACGACATCGGAATCGGGATCTTGAGCCATTCGCGATCTTTGATCTCTAGGCCGGATCCGGGCGCCGCCATCACTTCCACAACGTACTTTTTGTCGGTGAGCACGTTCAGTTGATGAACCGAAGGGGGACCGCCTCCGAACGGGGTTCCTGAGGCCGCTGAGCTCATAGACGGCCATTCATCGGGGATTGGAGTTGCAGAGCTTTCTGGAACCAGAAAAAATATTCAGGGGAAGGAAGGTCTAACAAACCTTCCGGAATCGAGAGCATGCCCTTCATTCCGGGCGTCACATGTTTCAGCCATTCGTTCGTGTCGATCGGTCGCACCGGCTCCTGCCGCGGATTCCTCGGGAACGCCCGTTTCTCGCCTGTCTTGGCCACAGTCAAAGTGAGGTGTCTTCTCGCGAGCACCGCGTCTCTCAGCAACTGCACTGCCCGCTTATTCGAGTAGTTTGATAGACTGATGTTGTTGATCGCGACGATCATATCTCCCACATCAATCCTTCCGTCCAACGCGACAGCCCCACGATCTTGAATGTCTCCGACGTAGAGTCCGGCGTCGCCGCGCGCGTTCGTATGCCCGGATGGGATCATTCCGAGTGGCATCGACTCCAGATTCAATCGAACCGTGATCACTTCGAGACCCATCGACGAGTCTAAAATCGAATCTCAAGTGAATTATTGGCCAAATTTGCGGGTTCGTTACTCACCGGTAATACTCGATAACGAGGAAGATGTGGTGGACATGTTCCGGAACTTTCTCCTCATTTCCTTCTGCTGCTGTCGGTACTTTTTGCGCAAATGTTGCTGCGAAACCGACGTCAGGTCCGTGTTGATCGACCGGCCGTCGTCCTCATCTTCGTCGTAATACGTCTCGCCGCCGCCGTAGATATCCGAATCGGTCACGTCGAACGTCGACTCTTCGTAGTGATTTTGAGGACGATGCGACGACGGTTTCTGATGATAATTCGGATAGCGATCGTGGGCCTGTCGTCGATTGAATGCGTGAGCCTTTTTGACGTACGTCGGAAGCGATGACGCTTCGGAATCGGAAACAGCACTGGCGTGCTCGTAATATCCTCCCCTTTGTGATTCTCTGGATCCCTGGCTTCCGTGCTTCTTCCGCCCATGTCTTCCGGAGCTCGTATCCGAATGAACCGACCCTTCGACCGTCAGAAGATACAATTCGAATCGATCATTCCGTAGCGGATGCAGTCGCCGTGTGTCGTCTCTTATTTCTGCTTTTACTTCTCTGAAAAAAATTTAAACTCTTTAATTTTTCGTTTGATTTGAACACTTACAATCCAGTATCGGGATCCAATGCAATGCAATAGTACTTGAAATTGGTCCTCGGCAATTTGCGAATCACATCTCGGAGCGTAATGCAATCGGGCGGCACGTGCACCTCCACCAAGTACGGCAGCTCCTGATCGTCCATGTGACAGTACACTTTCGTGATCGTTCTCGCAAACGTGGCGGGCCTCGGAAGCGGCTCCATCACCGACGAGGCGCCTTCGTTGAACTCTTTCGAGAAGTCATCCACATAAATTGCGGAAACTGAACTGTTTTCCTTGTTATTCTCCGATTTCCGCTGAAATGTACCGTCATCCTCTCCGTGACTGTCTTCCTCTTCCTCTCTCTGATGCCTCAATCCCTGTTTTGCGGCGATTACCGTGCACGGAGTGGCCACATCGGAGGCGTCGAACGACGAATCGATTGGCGACGGGGAATCCGTCATTTTCCGGCGAATTTCTATCTTATCTGAACGAAAATTAGTCCATAAATTGGGTTTCAACATTAAAAGTGTGTTTTCAGACAAGATAAGGAGGTGAAATTTATTAAAAACGATGGGAAAAGGGCAAAATTTTGAACGACAAGTGGCTAGCGCTTTTTTTTCACTTTCGTACGCAAACACCATGACGGCCAAACGCACGCAATTTCTTTGCGCCTCCTCATCTCGCACACTGTCTCGTCTCGGCCCTTCTGAAGGTCAATTGACATGTGGTGGTGATGATGGATGTCAGTTTATATACATACACAAACCCCAAATGTAAATAGATACAACAATTGACGGAAAAGAGGATCATCACAATAAATGTTAGTAAATTTGCATGCTCTTAAAGACCAGAGAACCCAAAAATTGGTCAAAATTGAATCAATTGCTAATTTAGTTGACCGGAGCCAGATTTCGCAACAATTGTTGAGCCAACGAGGAGAAGGCGACGGAGAGAAGCTCTTTGGAGTCGTACGGTGCCAGACTTCCCGGTTCCCACGAGTTCACCGACGATTTGTACACCTGAAGCAGGAAAAACTGATTAGATGGAATTGCAGGTTAAAAACCAGTACATTTTTGATGGCCTGTGACACCGAAATCGAGTATTCTTCATCCGGAAGTCCCTCAGATTTAGCTGCTCTTTGAATCGCCTCGACAATAGTCAGCGGCACTTCCAGCAGCTGCGAAATCGCGTCGAAATCATTGGCGCCATGTCGGAGCAAGATTTTGTTCGTCGCGTAGAACCGTCCCGAAATCTCGAGCAAAAACGGCTGCAGCACCACAATCGCCGCCTCTTCCACCGCCTTTTTCGACTTTTTCGCCGCCTCGGCCTTGGCCTCACACAGCCTGCGGGCCTTTTGCTCGCCGAGCACGAGCGGGCGGAAATTGGCGAGATAGGCGGTCTCGTCAAAGTGCAGACTGCGCGAGATGGCCATCGCGCCCGCTTTTGTGAACGCATCCGACGCGACGACGACCGTGTCCGAGTCGCAGTTGAACAGTGCGAATTCGATCTGAAACAAGAAATTCATTGGTTTTTGGCCTGTTAACAGCTAAGTTAGAGCCCCGCTGGAGACCCTTCAACTGACCACTCCGTGCTCGGCCAAAAACGGTTTCATGCCCGGATCGAGGGTGGTTATGACTGTCTCGACGCTCGCCTTCGCTCTCTCGGCCACGTCGTTGAGCAGTTTGCTCTCCGCGACCGTCTTCGTCAGCCAACTCATCAGCCCTCCGCTCAAGTCCACTTTATCCGTGAACACGTTTGCGTCGCCCGCTGATTTGGTCGTGTCGGCGTGGCTGGAGACTTCTAGAACGGCCGGAGAGCTGATTTGTTTGGCCTCCACGATAGGCGTGATCGGAATTTCCGTTTCCAACGTCGACGGTTCAACGGCTTCTCCTCCTTCTTTTCGATTAAAACTTCAGCATTTTCAGTCGGTTTCGGTTCTGCCGGAGGCGCCGGCGACACAGAACTGGGTCTCGGCGCGAACGGATTCGCAAGCGGCTTGTAGGACTCGGGCGGTCCTCCCGAACCGCTTTTTTGGCGTTGAGAAGGGCGGCGACGTTCGGTTGGAGCACGGGCGGTTTCGGCATTTCGAAGGAGAGCGGCTTCGGCGGCGGAGGCATTGAAAACGCCGCTGCAAGAGGATTCTTTTAAATTATGATTTTCAGTTGTAATCGCAGGTTAGGATCGTCGAAAATTTCGAACATTCCAAAACTAACCCTTTTTCTGCGTCTCCTTCTCCTCGTCGCCCATTTCTGAGTTCTGAATTCATCAAAATTCACCAAATTTCCACTCTACACTCGATAATATCCATTTCGATTGCACGATCCGTTCAAATCCGTTATAAAATTCGAATAAAAGTTCATTTTACTGATTAAAAACAGGGCAGGGATGATTAGCGCTAATTTTTTGTTATAAAACATTGGCGAGAATACGCAAACGGGCGGTATTTTCTTTGGGCGAAGAATAAGAAGACATTTTCGAAACGAAGAAAGAAAAAGAGTTGGCCATTGGTTTCAGCGGAAATTTCTGAAGTTACTGGAAAAAAACAAGGGGAAGCTGGAGCGACGAAAACCGGCAAAGAAAAGCAATAGAAATTCGTGGAGAATGAAATAAAGTACAATCACATGCCTTATACAATACAAGAAAAAAGCTAATTTATGTGAATACGGCACTTGGGACGAGGCCTTCTTTCGAGGTGATTCCCGGCGTCAACGTGGCTTTGCAGAGGAAGTTTAGCGGGAAATCGACGAGGACACCTGCAAAGAACAGTTTTGTAAAAACAGCACATTTTGCAGATTTTGCTGCGCTGAAATCATAAATTTTTATTTGGGCCATCTGAACGGTTTTCGGACAATATCGTTGTCAAAACTGCAACGTTCCTAATATCTAATACATTACTTCAAATCGATTCAACTTTTTCAGTTTTCAGTGAAATCTGTCCGTTTTGAGCTCAAATTGATGAGGGAAATTCGAACTTCCGGCCACCTGGGCCACGCCCATTTCTTCATTTTTGGTCGCCGTGAGGAAAGTGACATCAGGCAGTGATGTTAGCGACATTTCCGACGAAATAAGGTTACAGGGTTTCAGCATTTACGCACTGATAAAAAAGTTGGACCGCGTATAGTTTGATGCGTACCTTTGAGGTCGCGAACTCGTTCCTCCGCCTGTTGGGGCGAATATTCGGACATTGGAATCTGCGAAGTCCACTTTTGGAACTCTTCGAACGTCTCGACAAAGTCGGTCGGATACGAGCGGAACACCTCCTCGTAAATCTGCGCGTTGCTCTTCGCCGTCGCCTGCCACACGTCCACGTAGAAACTGTCGGCGACCGGATCGTCGCACGAGACCGCGTACGCGAACTTGGCCTTCCGACGCGATTCGGCCAGGAGGCCGAGGTGTTCCTGAACAGAAAATGGTGCTAGAGTCTACATTATAATCCCTCGTACCCTCATGCACTGCATCCGGAGACTCTTCGCGAATCGTCCCGCCTCATACGGCTTTCCGTCCATCACCGATCGCTCTTTGACGACATCCGTGTACACGCAACACACCTCCGAGTCGCGGTTTCCGCACTGAAAAAATAAAGAAGTTTTGGGTCACTAGATTAGACTTTTTGAACACCTTCCTAGGCCTCAACTTTTGACATAGCTGCCATATTGCAACCTAAACTTTGCAGACTTTTTGAACTTGGATCGAAGTAGCTTAGGTCCCCCTGTCCATTCCGATCGTTTATTACATACTAGCAAGTTGCTATTAGCAAACTAAGCAATAAATACCTCTTCCTAAAGTCTATAAAATTCTGATTCATGCACTTTTCGTCCATTTCTTCTTCATTCCTCACAAAAAGTGTGCATGATTCACCGTTTCTCTCTCTCTCTCTTTCCCTCTCCATCTTTTGGTTGTCACTGGGCGAGGAAGAAATAGTTTATTTATCGTCGATTTTAAGGAGGGGCGGAGGCGAGAAAACTATATAAACAGGGAGAGGAGGGGACGAGGAGAGAGCGAGAGCCTTCCCAATTGTTTCGAAACTCTAGAAAGACAGAATGGCCGTGGATTGCGACGCCATCATCGAGATTATTCTCTGCATTTTCTTGCCGGTAAGTGATTTTAATCCATTCCACTCAAAATTTCTCCAAAATTCCAGCCTCTGGCCATCTGGTGGCACACGAAAGAATGCGACGTCCACGTGCTCATCGACATCATTCTCTGCCTGCTCTTCTGGATTCCCGCCATTCTCTACGCCGTCTACATTTGCTTCTTCCGCAAGTAATTCCAACGAAATAAACCGCTTTTTTTGTTCAATTCTGAATACCTGTGATCTATCATTGATATTCGCCGATCCGATGATGACCGTATCATCATCCACGATGAGCAGTTTGCAGTGAATATACACCAGTTCGGATACCTGCAAAAATATAGTATTAGAAACTGTGAGGAAGGGCGTTTATGACGATGTTTGCGGGCGTTTGCGAGCGGCTATGCAAACACAACGTGATAAAAAAGTGTTGGAAATTTCGCAAAAAAAGAACGAGGAAGTATTGATCTTCCTATACTTTTAACATACTTGCTCATCAATTATCAATCATTCAGTGGGACCGTAATTTGAAAGATTATCAAACTTGGATTGGACTATCTAACTCGAAAGTTTCAGTTCGATCGGTTCATCTCATCTAGAGATATAGTGGCCCAATGAGTTGGGATCGAAAAGGTCGAAGAGTCAAAGTGCTGGTCCCTGAAAAGCCTACCAATTTCTGTCCCAACTGATCATAAGTCCTCAGCGATCCGACGTGAATGTACTTGAAGGGATCCGGCATCACCGCCTTCAGTCGTTGAATCAACGAGTTCGGTCCCTGGCTCAACGAGAGGTACGTCCAGTGAAGTACGGCCTGAAGAGAGGATCCGCCCGGCGCGCCGACGTCGCCCTCGAATCCCGGAAGCAGCGGAATCATGATGTACACGCGGAAGTTCTCTTTTTCTCTAAAATATTGAAAATCTGCAAAGGCTACAGTCCCGCGGCTTACTTGTAGGCCCGAACGATGCGGTTGTAGATGACCTTGCAAATCTCGTTCGTCACGTCGTTCGAGTCGATCATCGAGACGAAGAATTGGTTTTCAATGTAGACGTAGTGCTGAATCACGGATGTTATCGATGATTCAGAACATTCGGAATTCAGAATACCTTCGAATTGGCAATCAGCGACAAATAGGCCATTTGAATCGAGTCCTCTGTCTGATTGAGCAATCCCGACCATTTGGAGAGCGATCGGAGCACCTAAACTTTTGCAATTTTCTCATCAATTCTGAAAAAAGGCTCAACCTGAACATTGACCATTTCGGAGGCGTTGGCAGTCTTGAAGACACGTGGCACTCGCACGTTTTCGTAGCTTTTCGGCAGGAGGCACGGGTAGTTGGAGTCGTCCTTCAACTTCTCGGTCTTTGTCGCATTCCACCGCTGGATAAAGTGACGGGCGACGTCGCGGGCGGGTGCTCCGAACGTCACCGAGTGGATATCGTGCCACGGCATCCGGGGGGTCGTTCCTCGATCGATAAAATCGTGGAACGGCATGTCGACCTCCACGAAATCCTTGGCGATGTAGTTGACGTAATCCTTTCCGTACCAGAGCTTGACACCCCCGTCAATCTGATCTTCTCCCTCCTTCTCGTCCATTTCTCTCAGCCGCAACCAATCCAGCTCGTAGCCCATCGTCGCTTCGTCACTCTCCAACATCTGCTTCCACTTTCTCTTCGCCCGATTCGATTTCCAGTTGCCGACGGCTCTCGAGATCCTCCCGTCCTTCTTCGTTTTCCTCCGATTCGGCGGCGTCTGTGCCCGGTGCTTCTCCTTCTGCACCGCCCCGCTTGCCACGTACTCTTTGTACTTCTCGGCCGCCTGCGCAAAGTCCATTCCGCTCTTCGCACACTTCTCCATCATCGAGGGCGCGGGGCCTGCTTTGTCGAGGATTTCTCGGGGAACGTGCTTGCGTTGACGGTCCAGGCTGGACACGACGCGTCGGATATCCTTCTTGCTCTTCTCCGAATTGTCCTTCACCACTTTCACGGTCGTTGTGGTGGTGGTGGTCTTGGTGACGAGGCCTCCGGAAGAGGTGGTCGACTCGACGACCGTCGTCTTCGTCTCTTTCCAATTCTTTTGCGGATCGGCGGGGCTCGAGTGACGGACCGCCTCGTCGACCGGAAACCGGTTAAGAGTCCGCACGACCACACCGCCCGTCTCTTTGTCCGTAAACACTGTTTCTTCGGTGACGTTGCTCTTTTCCTCCGGCTCCGGCTCACTCGTCTCGTTCTCTTCGGCGGCTTCGTATTCCGACTCCGGACTCGGCTCCTTCACCTCCACATGATTCCTCGGCGTCACCTTCTCGTGCTCCTCGAGTCCGAGCGGCGAGAGAGTGAGCGGCGCGGTCATCAGACTTCTCAGGCCACTCGCCATGTTGGTGTTCACCTGATGGGCTCCCGAGTACTGTACGGAGCCGAGGTCGGTGAGAAGATGTCTGTGATCGTCCCATCGTCCGAAGCATAGATCGACGCCTCCGACAAACGAGATGAGTTGATCGATGACCAACAGTTTCTCGTGGTGAGCCCAGAAGAAAGTGCCGGTGGACGGATAGTGATCCGGATGTCTCATCACTTTGATGTTCGGATGCAGGTTCTGCAGGGTCCGTTTCGTGTAGATACTGTTCAGTCCCAACGCCATCTCCATCTCCTTGTACAGCAAGATGAAGACCTTGACGCCCTGCTCGGCTTTTCGCTTCAGAATCTCGTCGAGTCGCCAGTAGTTGCCCTCGAGCGCCGGCCGCTTCATGTAGATCTCGGGGCTAAGCCACCAGTCGGCGATGAATATCTCCTCGCGCGCCAGCTCCATCATGTCGGCCGCGTATTCCATGTACGGCTTCGCGTCGACGAACCATTTGGCGTGGCAATTCTCGCGCACCGGGAACGAGGAGGAGAAGCGGTGCGGCTGCAGCCACACGTTTCCGATTCCCGACATCGACTGCTCAATGATCGCCTTCCACGTGGCCGTGTCCTGCACTCGACGACACTTGAGATGGAGCTCACTGCAAAATGTAGAGAGCATGAAAGTTGGATCCCAAAGAACTTACTGTTGTGTATTGGTAATTATGAGGCCGGTGGGGATGCCTTCGGTCTCCTTGCCTCCCGCGGCCACTTTGAAGTCTCGATCCATAAGAAGCACCATGCGGATCTGCTCGGTTCGGTGATCCATGTAGGCAACGAACGAGTCACGAACCATCAGCCATCCGAAATCAAGGAATCACGTGTTGATCTCTATTCCAGATCCCTCTCTTACCTCTTACTCCACGGCAACAGGTACCTGACGCAGCACTGTTTCCAGCCGAGGAACACGCGTGCACCGCCCGGCCGCTTTTTCACGAATCCCTCGGTGTGCTTGCCGCCCAGCTCGTTGACGAACGAATACCGAGAGACCTCGAGGAACTCCGCCGTCTCGTGGTGGTTCCGGTTGATCGGAATGTGCAGAACCATCTGCAGCCAGTTCTCGAGCAGCTCCTTCCGGTGCTCCAGATTCGTCACCATCGAGTCGGGCATCATCGGAAAGCGCGGCAGCGTGTGGCGGTCCTTCTTGCGCTGGCGACGCGATCGTTTCGGCGACGCTTCGGCCGTCGCGTCGGGCTCTTCGAGTATTCCCGACTGCACCGCTTCCTGCATGGTCACCTCCTTCTTCTGTGCCTCTTCCTGATCTCCCGGTGATTCCATCGAAGCCAACGGCGCCGCGTTGATCTTGTTCGGAGTGTCAATGCCATCCGAATCTCTTTTGAGCACCTCCAATTTTGGATGTCTCTTCCGTTTCGACGTCTGATTCGAGTACGGACAATCGGGTTTGTGATCCGGTATGATGTCGATTCCCATGTGCTCCAAATAAGTGTCAAATCGCTCCTGAGTTCTGAAAAACACACAAAAATCCCTTGATTTTTGAAAACGTTGAAAATCATGCAAGACCGGGTACAAAACGAGCACAACGACGAGCGGTGCACAACCTACCCATCATGGACTTTTCCGCGGAATCTGAACGGGAGGTTAGTACGGTTTTGAGGGTGTGAGAAGTGGAAAAAAGCCAAACTTAGTACGAGTAAGGAAGGAAAAATGTGAAACCAAGAGAAGCTAGTCCCGTTTTCCGATTCTCTGATCTATATAAACCTTTTGATGGGGGCCATGAACTGTTCGCGAGCGCGATGGGCCATCAGACGATTGTTGAGGAGCGTGAAATCTTTGTAGTTCCGTACGACACTCCACCGGAACTGACCGTGCTCCAATTCGATTGTGTACCTGAAAAAGTTCCCTTTTTGTGAGTTTTTTAAAGGAATATTCAGAGTTTCCCACATACAAAAGCGTGTTGATGAAATGGATGCCGCGATCGGTGTTCTTCTCCACTTTCACAATCTTCGCGTTCACCGGCACTCCCGGAATCCAGTATCCGCGGCGACGAGCCTGAGTCTGAGTGTCGTAGATCGACATGTACGGAATGACGCCTAAAAGTCAGAAAGTCCACTTTTCCGTGGCAAGACCCAGCCGGCGAACCTTTTCGTCCCGGCGTTCCTGGCAAAGATTGCTGTAGCGCGGCGGCGACACAGTCACAGTACTGGATCTCATCGTCGTCCGAGCTCTCGCTGTCGTCGTATTCCAGAGATTGCGGGGATGTCACCTGAAAATCCGAAGATATTTGAAAAATTTGCTGCTGACCCCCACTGGCTCCGCCTTCAAACTCGTGGCCAAACCATGTGCTTTTTCAGAAAACTTTTCTTTGAGAGCTCGAACAATGAAAATTATACAAAATGATTGAAATCCGACTGTCTTCCCTCGAAATTTCTGGCGTTTTGGCAAATTTTCCGCGCGGATTTCGCACGCCGAAAAACCGATCTTCTTATTTTAAGCATTGGTTTTTAAAATGATCAATCATGTAAATACAACCATTTTGAGGGCTTGAACAATGGAAAGCGTTAAAAATTATTAAAATTCAAGAATTTCTCTTTAAAATTTTCTTCTTATTAAAAAAACGATCCAACCTCATCAATGTGCACCGTCTTGCTGTCCCGACGCACGTGCAGATTGCTCGGCGGACTGTCGGCGCGGCCCTCGTGCTCTCGGAACCGAATCACCGCCTTCTTCTGCTTTTCGGACGCCTGCGTGGCCGGCAACAGTCCCGGTATGCCTCGATCATGCATCACCGACGAGTCGACTGAAAGGAAGAGGTCTTTGACAAGAAAAATCATATTTTTTATGGTTTTTATGTCAAAAACTGACTCGAATTGTTAGCGGTGGTGTCGACGGGCTCGAAGTGTCCACTGGACGTCGTTCGCGGCCGCCCATCCTCCCCTTCGCTCTCCATGCGCTAAGACGTCTTCTGAGGTCTGAAGTCGTCGGGCGGTACCTACATTTCGTAATGTTTCATGTTTCTCCAAAAAAGAACGACAAAAAACGCAAACGGCCCGGGTGAGTCATGGTTCTGTGCAAATATAGGGGCAAGAGAGCATGTAAAAAGAAACAACAAAGTAAATTGGGTGTGATTCAGCAGTGACATCATGGCTCCTATACTGACTTAACAGAAAAAAAGAGAGAATTGATAAAGATGGGGGTGTAAATCGTGAGAAATTCCCACGCGGAAGCGAGTAATCGGCCGCGCACTGCCCTCCGCCTTCTTTCTCTGATCGTCTGAACGCTCTCGTCGGCGTCCAATCTCTCGCTTACTCCACTTGTTTACATGAGTGTCGTCGGCATTTATTGATCGGTTTCCTATGCAAAATAAATGAAAACACTAGCAATATCAAACTGTTGCTTGAAACCTGTCTACTCTAGATAATTCGGTGTTTGTGCTGTAAAGTTGATACGTGATAAGGAGAAAGGGGGACCGAAAACAATTGTGAATGCTCGTTCTCGGTGGTTGACTAGAGTGTGCATATAAAAAGAGTGTTAAAAATTCATACCTATTTGTGAGTGCTCTTGGCTGAAAGGCTGAAAGCGTGTAATATCTATATTGAGCTCAGAAGTCATAATATGTTAAATACTCTGGCAAGAAGTTCTAAGTCAAAGTTTTAGTCTAGTTAAATATTCAAGATTATTAACCAAGTAGAGTTTGTAAATACAGCAGAATGTATAACTGGACTGAAAAATGTGAAAATGTGAGAATGCGTCTAACAATTCGAAATGTAACATGAACAACACCAAATAGATTGAAAAAGAATTCTCAAACTCCAGAGTTGAAAACTATACAATTTAGCCTTCACTTTCAGAACCATGTCCTTTGGAATTCACTCCCTAACAACTACCTTGTAACCAATGCACATAAAAAGGAGCAAATAACACACACAATTCCAGTTTTCCGCACTCTTTTCACATGAAAAGCGAGAGAACGAGCGACGAAAGAGTATTACTATTTTGTGCAACAAACAAACGAGAGGTTTGACACTAGAAACCAGTCGATTTCTCTTTTCGCTCTCTCGCTTTTTTGTTGTTTTCCGTCACTTTTTCTTCGAGAAAAATGTTGGAAAAAGCGGCTCGCGAGCACTCGGCTCCGCGGACAGAAGAAGAGGAGATGAGATGGTGGCGGCGGTGCGGTTTTTTAATTGTTTACAGCGAAACATGTGAAGCGAGACGAACTCAATTTGAGCACAAAGTTCACGTTTCCAAACTTTTCTACTTTTTTTCTGGCCGCCGTATGCGTGTGAAAAAGAAGAAGGGGCATTTATTTGCACAGAGTGCTGACTCATCAGGTCACCTGAAACCGAATATTGGAGTGCGTTTTTAATGAAGAAATGACGAAAATGAACAAAAATCAAGAGGATGAGGTCAGCGATGACGGAATTGAAAGGAGAAATGAGTATGCGCCTTTAATCTACTGCCGCATCCCTGGCTTTAATTTATTTGATTATCGCGCGGGCTTTTAAAGAAAATTGACTTCTGATTTTCGTATTATGGAGCTGGAACCAGCTGGAAAAGTGTACTAAATAGGCAAGGGACGAAAAGCCATTTAAAAGAAAAGCTGAAGAAAACTCAAAACACGTCGTTAAATCACTATGGAAACCGACAAAAACAAACATCAAGTGCACTTAAGTTAGATTACAAAAAAAATTAGATTTGATTTCGCAGCTTGAAGGCGAAAGAGTGACATAGATCCATATTTGCAAACTGAAACAAAAAGTTGTCGACGAGAGAAAAAGTGTGGAGAAGATCATTGAAATCGCAAACAACTTTTGCTGGCCACTCTCGCGCTTCCGGAAAACTGTCAAATGCGAGCGGAGAGGCACGCACGTAAGAGCCGGCGGAAATGTATAAAAGATCCGAAAGAGCACACGAATTACCATCGAAACACTTCATTTCATCAGCAAAATGACCAAGTTCCAAGCATATTCCGCTCTCACCATCATGGCATTCATTGCCATTTCTCAGGTATAACCATTGGGATTGAGTGTCCAACCGTTGGGACCGTGTTCAGGTGCAAACAGCCGTGTTGCCAGTGTCGAGCACTGAAGTATCACTCACTTCTTCTTCTTCTTCTTCTGCTTCGGAGACGACAACGGCAGTGGACACGTTGGGCTCGTCGCGAGTGAAGAGAAACGGAGGCTGTGGGTGTTGTGGATGTGGATGTGGATGCTGTGGATGCGGGGGCGGAGGAGGAGGAGGAGGAGGATGCGGATGCTGCTGCTGCAGACCACGGTCGGTTACTTCTCTCCACTTCTAACACGATCCTCGCCGCTTTCAGATGCTGCTGCCGTCGTTGCTGCACGTGCTGCCGAACTTGCTGTTGCACGAGATGCTGCACTTGCTGCCGTCCGTGCTGCTGTGGATGCGGTACCCTCTTCTTCTTCTTCTTCTTCTCCGATCCTCATCTCATCTCTTTTCAGGATGCGGATGCGGATGCTGCGGGTGCGGCGGCGGAGGACGCAAGCGTCGTTCCCTCCAGAACCTCCGAATCGACGAAGCGAACCGTGCCCTCGGAATCAAGAGAAGACCATCCAAGAGTGGAGCTGGAGCCGGAGCCGCTCAGGATTGCGCCAAATGCTAAAGACCCGGCCGGACTATTTATTCTCCTTTTATTTATTTCCCATTTCAATAAAAGCCTTCAACATTCAAAAAGGACTGTCATCCGAGGTCCCAAGTCAAAGCCAAAAGGTTTGGTTACTTATACACTTTTATTGGGTCGAAAGATTAAGAAGAGAAGATTAATACAAAAGTATGCAAGTAAGTAAAAAAGAAAAAGAAATGAAAGCAGTTAGCAGTCGGAGAGATCGATACTTTCCTCGCGATCATCCTCACTATCAGCAGCAGCTCTCTTCCAGTTCTCAGTCGTAGATGGTCCCTGGTAGTCCGGGATTCTCTTCTCCGAAGCCTGACGCCGTCTCACTGGCATCACAACTTCGTCCTCGTCCTCTTCACTTTCGTCGTAACTGATGTCACTCGGCTGCTCCGACTCTTCTTCTTCTTCGTTCGACGCATCATATCCATCCAAACTCGAGTCCATCTCTCCAGAAGTGCCCCGTCTCGACAGCCATGGAATCGGAGTGGAAGTGGCCGCCGGTGAGAAGACGTCGTTGATCGGGCTCTCGTCGTCCGACTGCGGAGGAGTCGGGAAGATCGAATCAGCAGAATGATCGTAAGAGAACTCGATGCTCTGAAGACTTCTTCCGACGAAATCCTCCTCTTTCTGTCCAGCAATGCAGCCGAAGTCGGCCAGCTTCACTTCGGCTGCGACGTCGTCGATCTCTCCGACGTATTGGAACTTCGGCTTGGAGGCGTTGGCGTCGAAGAGTTCGGCAATCATTCTACTGATGTCTCCGATCTCATTGGCTGGCTGCGGCATCTCCTCTTCCTCCACCGAAGTATTCCACATGAGGTCGGGATCTTGCTCGGGCACGGCGAAGTTCATGTAGAAATCCATTACCGGCTTATCTCTTCTGTGCAGCTCGTCCAGCATGTCGTCGAATTGCCACTCCGTCGGGATCGGAGTTGAAGTCGCGTTCATGTAGAAATCCATTATTGAACAGGTTAGGACGTTCTGAAAGAATAGTTTGATTATTTAACAAGAATCGATTGAAAGAGGGAGAAGAGAACGGAAAGAAAGACGGGAAGATCGGACGGAATGGAATGGATGGATGCGTGCTTGCTTCCGAGGTATTTAAAGTCGTCGCGATGTTCCAACAAAAGGGCGGAGTCAAGAGAGTTCTAACAGGGGACCGTTGAAGACGGACGTATACCCTGACCCTTCTTCCACTAAGAGAGGGGGGAGGTGGAGTTAGAGGGAGACAATTCTGACATTTATGGCCGTCTTTAAATGTCCCAGCTGTGTGAGATCAAGAATGTTCGCCGGTCGGGATCGAGGATATGGGAAAGTAGTGCTCATGGTCCGCAAAAAGGCTAAGTATGAAGGAGCCAGTGACTCTGATGGAACCTCTAATTGTTTTAAGGAATATATCATTCTGATATGTGGTAAACTGAAGAATTGTTCTCAATTATGTGCTGAAAACTTTGTAATTGAGCGTTTTGTATCGAAACTCTTAATTTTCAAGTTGGACCCCACTTTCTGGACAGTATGAGTTCATAAATGTTCCATCTATCTGATATATCAAAGTTCATTTACACGGGACTCGTCGGCATCAATACTGACATCAAAGGAATGAATCTGAGAAAGACCTTCCCGAAACATCCCACAGTATACCATGGTTTTCGGCGGCGTCCCTTTCAAGATGTCGGCACGCAACCACCTCCTTACTGAAAACATCGTGGGAAACCTAGAAAGGAACACGCTGGGGTATACTAAATTCTTCAATTGACTGTTCCAGGAAAGAGGAGAAGCGGAGTTAGAGGGAAACAAGGTATACTTTCTGGCCATCTTCCCCTCTGCGGGGCCCGAATGGAGGATATGGAAAAGTACCGTCCAAATAACCAAATATCATTTATTCGAATAAAAAAGCGGTCAACCACAGTGATATTATAGGATTGGACAAATAGAGGCAGGTATCTTAACAGTAAGAATGCACTTGATGACGGTTTAACATCAGAAATGATCATATTATTCCTTCTTCTGGACTCTTTTCAGAAATTCGACCACGTACTTCATGTCCTTCGTCTTGATGGTCGTTCTTCCGTCGTGGATGGCCGCGAGGTTGGATTCACTGAGAACCTGGACGAGGAAAGCTTCGGCGGCCTCCTGCAAGTTATCAAATATTAGACTGTATTAGAAGATCATCAAAATACAATGCCGTTCATTCAAGACAGTATATCTAGGCTGCCGGTAGAGATCGCAAAAAGTTGTCCACTAATAAATTGTTTAAAAAGACATTGTGAATGTTTCATCAGTTGACAACTTTTTGATTTCTCTACCGACAGTTGAGATACAGCGTCATCAATGAAGAACTCTTCTATTACAGCGCTGAACCAACCTGAAGAGCCTCGAAGAACTCCTGCGTGAAACGCATATCCGCCGCCTGATCCTGTGCAATCTCTCTGCACAGCTCTTGGAACGGATGCTTTGGGAGCAGAAGGTCCCCAGTCTGTTGGTATGTTCGGATCTCTCGAAGGGCCACGACTCCATGTCGGTACCGGTGCGCTCTCATAACTCCTCCAGTCATTGGGGCTTTCACAGCAGCAACCTTGTTATCGCCTTTATTCTTGGTGCTTGGAGCCATTACGAACTGGAAAATGATCGATGAAGGGTTACAAAAGGTAAGAGGAAAGGAACGGAAAGAAGAAGAGGAGAATGAGAACAGTCTGCTCTGAAAATGAACGAAAACGAACGAGTATTTATATGAAACCCGGATGGGCGGAATCGGAAGCCAACGTGGACATGTTGCAGCAGAATAGAAGAGAAAAGTATATTTTTTATAGGACCCGAAGTTCGCGCCAACCCGGAGGTTCCACCTTCGTTCCATCCTCGTCCAAACCCGTACACTCTACAACTCTTTGCTCTACTGCGAATCCTTCTTTCTATACAATATCTCTGGCTGAATGAGTTTACGGCTCAAGTGAGAATTTTTGTTGAAATAACCGCCTTGTATCAGATTCTGAAATATCTTCAAAATTAGTCAATTTCTGGTAATTTGTCTTGAAAACTTGAAAAAGATGAAACGTTTGAAGTATAACTTGTTTTGCGACAATAAGTTTATTCGAAAAGAGTCGGCAAAAAAGGGTCACAAGTTTCTCATCCCTTCATCGCTTTCTTGACTGTCAGTGGGTGGTCCCTTCCGATTGAAACATCTGAAAATCATGATTTTGCTATACTTTTTCTATATTCTACCCTTTCTACCCCCTAATTAACCACATTATTCTGCCTTCTCCTCCTTGTTCCCTCCAGTATTCGTTTTTCCGATCAGAACTGTAGTTTGTCAAGTACTGTTTGCTAAAAACGCTATAGCTCAGTTGCCCGTAAAGATATCAAAAAGTGTTCAATTGGTAAAGTGTTCATTAACATATTTTGCACATTTTTTCAGTTGACACCTATCCGCTATCTCTACAAACAACTGAGATACATCGCTTTGAATAGTAGACGATGTTAGGGTGGTACCAACTGAAATCAGTTGTAAGCCCGATTGTATATTGTAGACCAATAATCAGCAAACAAGACCTACCTGACCTCCTCCTACTCTTTCTTTCTCTCTCTCTCTCTCTCTCTCTCTCTCTCTTTCGGGGGAGAAAGAGGGAAAGCGCAATGTTAACGGCGAGACAAAGATAAAGAGATAAAACAGTCTGTCGCAAGGGAAAAAGAACAAGTGTCTTTTTCGTTTTCCCCCTTTTTTTCCTTTTCTCCTTCTAGTTCATTGCATATATTATGAATCTTTGACGAAATCATCATTTTGAAGAAACTGTGTAAACCATCAGATAGAGAGAGAGAGAGAGAGAGGAGAACTTGATTGGCAACGAGGAAAGAAGAAGAAGAAGAAGAAGAAAAAGTAGAAGAAGACGTCGTTTTCTCTTTTTCTCTTTCCCACTCATCTTCCCAATCTTACCCGGGGGCGCCGATATTATCGATTCGCAAAACAACAACTTTTCACAACTTCTTCTTCTTCTTTTTCGTCGCCATCATCATTACTGATAAGCGCAAAGAATGGTGATAAGCACTCGAGCATCATTCCGTCGTCAAATCAACTAAACACGACGCAATGTGAGTCCTCTTTTTTTTGTCGAAAATTCCATTCTAATCCGGGTCGACACGGAAGGAAACGCCCCCCTCCCCCGTTTTCGATATAAAAAAGGTCAAGAAAACAGCGAAAACAGTACCGGTTAGGCAATTTCGAAATGAACGTGAAAACTGGGCGAAGTGTGTCGCTCTACAGAGCTCCCGACTATTATTCCAGGCCTTTGCCACAGGTAGACCCCATTTTTAAGTTCATAGTGTCTAAAATGAACAAAACACCGTCAAAACTTTGTTTTCTACTTGAAATGGAGAGTTTCATTGATATTTGATACAAAATAGGAATAAAGTGCAAAAGTTCGGTGGAGCGTACTTGCTTTCAGCTAAGAATGGCTGCAGCGGCGGCGGCGGCGGCAGAAGCTCCTGCTCGGCTCGACGGAAGATTCTGGTTGGAGGGAACACCGTACCTGGCCGAGGAGAACGTCGGAGCTGGAGCTTATGGAGTTGTCTGTAAGGCCCTGGATACGGTAGGTCTTTTGTTGCAGTTATTGGCCTATTTTTCAATTTTAGCGCATCAAAAAGCAAGTGGCGATCAAAAAGATACCGCGAGCGTTCACGGCTCACACCCTGGCCAAACGGTCCCTTCGAGAAGTTCGAATCCTTCGGGAACTGCTCCACGAGAACATTATCGCCGTTTGGACATGTTCACCGCGGAAGGATCGCACGGAAAAGACATTTATCTGGTGATGGACCTCATGGAAACGGATCTTCATCAGATTTTGCACTCGCGACAAACGCTACTCGAACAACACTTTCAATACTTTTTCTACCAGTTGCTCAGAGGTTTGAAGGTAAAAGCGAAAAACAAAACGGTCTCAGTTTCACGTGAACCATAATCCACACTATACTTCAGAGTGGTGCATGGAAACTTTCCTCCTAGACTTTTACTGACAGCGGGCGAATGGACGGGGAGCGCACGCGCTAACCGCTCGGCCACACATGTCGGAGAGAAGAGAGGGGCGAAGGGGTAGACATTAGCGGGGGGAGACGAGGAGGCACGCGAGGGCAAATGCGATTATTTCGGTTTTTGCAGTACCTCCACTCGGCGGGCATCATTCACCGCGATCTGAAACCCTCGAATCTTCTACTCAATGGCGATTGTCTTCTGCGAATTGCGGATTTTGGAATGGCGAGGGCGTGCGCCGCAGCCAGTACAGTTCGGGACGATGCGAGTGTCGGAGGACACATGACGGTGAGGCTTTTTTTTTGAAAAAAGTCAAATGAGCTCTCGTGCTGCGGATGCCGCGAAATTTGAATTTTACTGCAAAAAATTCAGATCAAAACGTTTTCCAATGAGTTTTTTAGCGAATTTTCACAAAAATATGAAAAACACGTGTTTCCGACTAATTTTTGAATTTATGACCTGAAATTTGTTGAAAACGAAAGACGAGTTGCAATTTGTGCGATAGAGCGCGATTTATTACAATATTTCCAGCAATACGTGTCAACACGCTGGTATCGAGCCCCGGAAATACTTTTCTCGATGGTCGAATATGATACGAAGTGAGTTACTTTCCTCTCTGCTCCCTTAAAAATAAAATCGTTGCTTAGAGTGGACCTCTGGTCGGCCGGCTGCATTTTCGCAGAAATGCTGCTCCGACGGCAGCTCTTTCCGGGCAAAGACTCGGTTTCGCAAATAAAAATGATCGTGTACTACCTGGGCAGTCCGGAAGAAGAGGTTCTCAGCAAGATCACGTCGCAAGTGGTCCGCGAATCGATCGATGCGTGCGGCCGCAAGACACCCCTCCCCATGTCGGCAGTCTTTCCGAAAGCAAGTCCCGAGGCCAGGGACATGGTCTCTTATGTGAGTTTTTTAGGAATTAGTTTATAAATGAATGCGTCCTTCAGCTGTTACAAGTGTCTCCGTGGCGGCGGTACTCGGCCGATCAGATTCTGCAGCATCCGTTCATGGCCAGATACCACAATGAGCAGTACGAGCCGCTGTGCCCGCCGAGGTATGTTTAAGCTCTAAAGACCCAATGCTCAAACTTTTTCATTTCAGAGTGCAAGTGGACGTCGACGCGATCGAGCAGTTCGAAGGCGCGCAAGTGATCGCCGGACTCGACGAAGAGGCGCGGATCTTCGAGATGAAACGTGGCACCAACTACGAGACGAGGTTGGCTCAGAGGGACGCCTCGGCCACGGCCCTCCGCAAATGGGCTCCCGACAACCTGGGAGGACAATAATTTCTGTTTTTGTTTTGTCATCGTTGTCGCGACGTGCTTTCTGAGTTTGTTCACTTCTAACTGCGTCCAACTCGCTAACAAAAATGAAGTCTCGTCTTCTACTTCAGCTAATCTTCATGTTTGTGCTCAAATGTGTGCCGCCAACACATAAAAAGTCAATTGCAGAAAAGATCCGCCGCCGTACCTCGACGAGCACTCCAATCAGACATTCGAGCCCGACAAGGAGGGTCAGATGGGTCCGCGCGAGGATCCGACCGATTATCTCGGAGTGGCGAGACAATTCGAGAAGAGTGAGGGCACTGGAGCACATTTGAGCAGTAATTTATGTTTTTAGCAAGAGAAAGACAAGATCATGACGATAATTATGATTCGGAAGGAACGCTGACGAGCCTCTCTTCCGCCGAAACCATAGACACTATCAGGGAGGTCGAAATGGACAGAAGGTGAGAAATGGAATTATGAAGAGCTTGAAACTCGTTATTTTGCCCCGTTACAGTATGGAAATCGAAATCGCTTCGGAAGATTTAGACGTTCCAAGTACATCCGAAGACCGTGAGGACATCTTCAAAAATGGAATACAATGGCCGTTGGACGTGGCCAGCACCTCCAGTGCACCGCCCATGTAAGTACTTGAAGCCGTCCTACTGATGTTGTGCATCTTTTTCATCTTTTTCAGGTTATCCGGTGGAATCCCTTCTAAAAAGCCCAGAAACCATTTGGAAAAGCGAAATATCGATCGGATCCGAGAGGGTTACAGTGAGAAACGAAGGTTCTTTCCGAAACTCAGAGACAAAAGGGCGAATGTGAGTGAAAATGGGCACATTTGGAAACGATAATATAACACAATTTCAGAGTGACAGTTCCGCAAAGTTGGACGAGAACGATCGGATAATTCGTCTGCGCAAATCGCGGCAAGAGCTCAGGAAGACTAGTAAAGACGACGATCGAGGAGTGTGACCGAACACTTTGTTTTGCTAGAAATTGTGATTTGATAAACGGGTTTACAATACTATAAACGTCGCCTTCGAATGAGTCGACAATATAAATGATATATCTCAGTTGCCGGTGGAGGTATCAAAAAGTTGTTAACTAAGAAATTGTTCATTACGACATTTTTCACATTTTTTTAGTTGACAGCTTTTTGATATATCAATTGGCTGCTGAGCTATGTCGTCATTAATGAAGGGTTCAAAGTTTATTCAGTTCAAACTTCCACAATACGCTGCCACTCCTTCTTCTCGATCTTTCCGTAATGAATGTCCGAGAGAGTAGTGTGAAGCCTGAAATCCGTTTTTATTTCGGTCCCTTGTCGTCCCACTCACTTCTTGTACAGCTGATACTTGCTCTGAATGGTGGGGATGGGCAGCTTCTCCTGAATCTCCTTCTCCTTGTCCATGTGCACAATCTCGGCCACCGGGCCTACGTTCGCCGCGGTGCCCGCCACAAAGAACTCGTAGACGCGCTTCTCGCGAACCGCCCGGGACAGCTCATCCATCGTGAATTCCCGCTCGGACACCTTCATCAGATTCCATTCCCTCGTCAATTCGAGCACCGATTGGCGCGTGATTCCGGGCAGAAGGAGGCCCGAATCTGTGGGCGGAGTGATCAGCTCCAATTCGTTTTCCTCGTTGGTCCACAGGACGAACAGATTCATCGCGCCCGCTTCAGTGACTTGACGATCCTCTCCGGACAGCCACATCACCTGATCACACTCGTGGAGCGCCGCCATTCTGGACAGAAAATGCAGGGGTTTTTCGCAGTTCCAAATTTTCTGAGCTGCTCACTTTCCGATGGCGATCGTCGGCGCGTAGTTGCACCCCATCTTGTACTGCCCGACACCGCCCTTCCACGAGCGGACGTATTCGGGATCGGCGAGCAGACGGATGCCCTTCTCGTAGTTGAAGTAGCTGCCGGTGACGGTGGTGAAGCACGCCCACTTGGCCTGCAGACTCTCGGCCACTCCGATGCTCGGTTCCGTCGCGAAGAACATCGGACGGATGTAGAGGGAGGCGTGCTCGGACCGAGGGACCAGGTGTGAATCCATTCGGATGAGCTCGTCCATCAGAAGGAGTGCTTCTTTCGTGTCAAAGTCCGGCAACGTGGCTCTTCGCGCCGATCGCCTCATTCGTTCCATATTGAGCTCAGGGCGGAACACACGGATCTACAACATCTGAGCAATGCAAACGCGCTCGGCTGCACTCAGCACAAAGCCAAGAAATACCTTGCCATCAACGCCGTAATAGGCCTTGAGGCCCTCGAACACTTCCTGCGCGTAATGAAGAACTTTGGCGGCTGGATGAATGGAAAAGTCCTGGAATTGACGGATCCTCGGGTCGAACCATCCGTGCTTCACATCCCAATCGATGTCGATCATGTGGTCGGAGAAGTAGCGGCCGAAACCAAGTTTGACGGGCTGAAAAGATCCACTGAACTACTGGGACCAAGTTCACCGACATCACTGGGAATCCGCTGCTTTTTGCTGCTCTTCTCGACCACCAGATTCGCGTATTTGAAGCTGTTCGCGGCGGCGGTTGAATGGATCGATCTGAAAGTTCCAAGAAGTTTTCAGAAGGCGTCGGCAAGCAGACCTTCTCAGAAAAACGGGAGAGAATCTTTGCATGTCGAGAAATTTCACTAGTAGATGAGTAATGATGAGAGCGGGAGGGTTTTCAGTGAATTTGAAAGTTCACGGAGCATTTTTTGGTTGATCTTTTCGAAAATGTATCTTCCTCTGTGGTTATTTTCCATGATTTGGTATCAATTCGACATTTTACACACTAGAACTCAAGCACAGCCCATAAATACGTGGTTTTTGATCTACAACCGAGGTCAAAACCAGATGCCTCTGGCTCCATGTGCATGCTGTTCAACGTTTGTTCAATCTTCAACTTCAGTTTTTCAGAAAGACGTCGACGCCACCAACGTACACATTTTTTTAAAGAAACAAGAAACAAAGAACAAACTCGCAGAATGAGAAGGCCAAACTGCTGATGTTATTGTTGTGATCACTCTTTTTGATCCGTCAAAACTACACTCACTTCGATGCCTTTCCGCTTTTGCCTATTATTCCCTTTCTCATCGTTTCGCGCGAAATGATATGTTCTTGCGAAGATGTGGTGTTGCGTCACACCACATCCTTCGCTTCCATCCTCATCATCTCCCGCTCTTCTGATTTCGAATTTCGAATGGTAGCCCTCAAAGTTTCATGCAGAAGCCTTGGCTCCTTGGTTTCCGGATTGTTCTTAATGTTAGTCATGCCCTCGATCTGTCTGTTCTCCGATGATTGGGAGACTATTGCCCTTTTATCGGTATTCTCAACTTTGATTTCTCTTCTTATCGCCTACGGAAAAGCCGAAGAAAAGTTCGCGCCAACTTCAAAACGTCAATTGATATGCTCAATGTTTGGAATGCTCACTTGCGCGGTCACTCAGCAAGCAGTCATTTGGATCGATTATGTTGGTGTACCAATTTCAAAGCATTATTACGTTTTATTTTTCAGAAAATATACTACTTTATTGGTGGAGTTCAATTTATCGTTGTTATACTTTTCGGCTGGTTCATTTTCGATGGATGTACGCGATGGAAATGTGAATATCACTTGCTTGTGACCCCGTTTGTCTTATGCGTAGTGGTCGTTGGTACTATTATTCTAGAGGTGAGTCAGAAGTCATCGAACTACTAAGATCAATGAATTTTCATAGAAATCATGGGCAAAATGGATAGTATCAAATGTGATCATAACCACATTTCTCTTCGATATCTACAATTTGCTAGCCGGACGCACTGAAGTTCATGAAGCCGAAAAAGAAGAAACTCCTCAAATCCAAGTCAGAGTCGTCTGTTCGGACCCATTATCTTCAGCCGAATCACTTCCACCGCCTTCCTATTCCGAAGTGACTGAAGTGTTCAAACTGAAGAATGACGTGGCGAAACTGACGAACACCGTGAACAGTCAACTACAGACCATTCGGATGATGTCACGGGAGATTGGGCGGCTGAAGAACGAGGGAGTTTTGAGTTAATTTGGTGTGTTAACGGATTAATAAAGCTTTTCACTTTTTTTAAAAATCTTCTCAGTTTCTACGTTTTTAAAGTTAGAAACAGGTTCAGCCTTTTTTTTCAATTTTGCAACCCCCAGGACTTGCCAACATTTCCCTTTTGCCCGGATCTTTTCTACACGCCATCCGTAAACATTGGAATATTGTTGAAACAATGACGAAGCCTCCCAAATGTTTTTGATACAGATTGTGCCGCCCTTTCCGCTCCCGAAGCGCTTCATTCTACGCTATGACGTTCGCCAGTCTTTTGCTGATCGCCATGCCGATCATATGGGCGTACACTTTCAAGGACTACTCGAATTCCTGCTCTTCCCCACTCGCCTTTCTCGTCGCTACCGTACTCATAGGAGCTTTTCCCGTCTTGAGCTCCATGAAAAAGGGCTGGATTAGAGAATTTATCGGGTGCACGCTGATCCAACAATATGCGTTTCTGTTTTTGGACTCTGCATTTCAAGTGAGTCTACCGACTATTGAAATGAATTTTTGTGGTAAAGTACCTAACTGCAGAGACTTTCCTACTGTCTTCTCATGGCCACCTACGCTTCTTGCCAATTGGTCTACAATGTCAACCGCCCCGGACCGGCATCCAAACTTGATAACTTTTGTCACTGGTATTTTCACATCAACCTTGTTTCTGTAGCTGCATTAGGAACTATCACTTTTGGTAACTATTACATTTTCAATTGAATTCTAAACTATCGAACTGTAAAAAAAGGAGAGAAATCAAGAATTAATGTGTCTAAACTGCAAATTTCTTCTGAACTCGTCAATCTCTCTCAACGTGATCGGCGGCAGTATTTGCAGTTCCTCTGGGTTCTTCAGCACATTCTCGGCGTCTTCTCGAACCAAATGCCGGTTTTCTCCGTGCGCCACATCGTAATGATATCCGCAGCCCATTATCAGAGGCACAATCGGAACGATCACGTCCTGCAAAGGCACACTTGTAAATTGCAAAAAATTTCGAACATTTTCAATGCTTTTCAGTTGAAATTAGAAATTAGTGCTATTTCAAAATTTTGGGGCATTTTCGGAAAAAATCAAACTTTTCGCTTGTAAATCGATCCGGCGGCGAGCAGGACGATTGTGGTCGTGGCGGCGGCGAGCACTTCCCATTGCAACTGTTCTCGGCGCTCGAGGAGCTGAAAAGTATCGGGTCTCGACTGGAAGTCACCGTAAACGCTTACTTCGACCGCCCTTTCTTGCGCCCACTTCAAATTGTCGGCGATTAATCGATTTTCGAACTGAAATTCTTTATGTTGCTATACTTATGCCAAAAGTTGGTTTAGAAACCGGTGAAGAACGCAGAAGATCGGGCTCACTAACCTGAGAATCGTAGAATTTTGTCAAGCCGTCATTTCCATCGAATTTCTGCTCTTTCGCCTGTTTTTGGCCCATTTTGATGGGAAATTCTGAAAGGTTCTTCAAATTTCAAGTTTTTACATCTCTTTTTTGGGAAAGATATGATTTTTATGCACAAAATTACAATTTTCAGGAAAACTAGAAAAAACACGTGTGGAGACCCGTTTATGATAGAAAACAACAAAAAACAAGCACTAAAACCTAACAAAAACTACAGAAAACACTGAAAATAAGTAGTTAGTAATTCGTCGACTCTTCCTCCCGCAACTGTTTGCTTCGATTCCGAACATCGGCCACCGACGGCGGCAGCGGCACTAGAGAATCCACAGAATCTTCCAGAAGTATCGTCGCCGATTCTAAATGAAACTTTGAAAATTTCAAAGATTGAAAGAGAATCCTCACCGGAAATCTTCTTCAATTGATCGCCATAACAGAAATGCGCTTTGTAGCCGATGAACGACGCCATCGGGAAGATTGGGATGACATGCAGCAGGTTTCTGCAACATTTTCGAGGTTTTGAAATGTGTCGAAATTAGTGATTTTCACCGAGTTCATCATGAAAATTCAGGAAAAACTGACTTGTGATGGAAGGAAGAGAGCGCGGAAAGAACAACAACTAATCCGCCGCCGCATGCGATCCAATTGAACTTCTCTCGCTCTTCCGCAAGCTTGAATGCGAGCCGACGACGTTCTTGAAGTTGTGCCAGTGCGAGCTCCCGTTCTATCTGCAAAAAAAGCATAGATACCGGATTTCTTTGGAAAAACTCACTCTTGTCCGCTCGAGCTCTTGCAAAACGCCTGAGATTTGAGCGGAAGTGTTGACGGGCGTGGAGAACAGACCGCCCATGTTGATTTCGGGCCTGAAATGAAAAAAATTGAGTGAAAATTGAGCAGCAACGGCTAAAAAGAAGCGGAAAATGAAGAAAATTGAGAAAATGATGCAGGGGGTCGTGGCCGCGTGGTGTATAAATTCTAGGCCAGCGCAGTAGGCGGAGGTTTAAAAAGAGTTGGAGGAATGGGAAAAGCACGGGTAAACAATATTTCTACACAAAAAAAGCAGTTTAAAATGGGAAAATCTGAAAAAAAAATTCCGTAGTGTTGAAGATGCTAACTGCTAATTGTAAGGGGAACAAAACCATTAAAAAAACCAGAAAAATGAAAAACCAAGAAGAGTCTGGTTTTTTTTATCAGAGGCATACGATAAAAGATATGGTTTCCATCAACAATACACCAACTTCTATTGTCTGATCACACACAATTCCATCTTTTGAAAATGTTTAGGTTTTTGATCATTTTTCCAGCTCAACGCCATCCCCAGTCTCTTAGGCTTTTGCTCTCTAACAGAACAGAAACGGAAAAGTTGTGAAGAACTGAAGAGAGAGAGAGAGAGAGTGTGTGTGAGAGTGAGAGACGCAGGCGACGGGGCCTGGTCGACATCTGTCGGGCAGCCGTGACCCACGACGCTTCTTCAGTGTAAACTCCAACAGGACACTCTTCCTCTTCTGCTCACTTGGCCACTTTCTGCTTCCCTCCCTGCACGTACTATCGCCGTTCGGACGTTCCTCGACCGATCCGACAGCTTTAATAATGTTTAGATTTGTGAGCACGTCACTCATTAAACCAATCTCAATGATCGAGTCTTCTGAGACTAGTCACGATCTAGATTCTAGAAACTATTGAACATCTTTATATATATGTAATTATCCGTGCGGCGCCGTCTCAATTCAATTCTCGCATTCATCGAGACGTCCGTCCGCCTCCTCAAAGTATATAGAAAGTAGGAGAAGGAGAAGGACGATTTATTTTGACATGTCACCCATCCCTATGTTTCTTTTCCATCCTCGCTCGCTTGCCGATTATATTGCTTGCAATGCAAACGTTTATTCATTTCTTTCTCCTCTTCACCGCTAAAGTTTCCTTTTCAGAAATGAGGGTATTTTCGATCCCTCTTCTCCTTATTCTTCTGGCCACACTCGGCCACAGCACCACAATAACGGACCTGCCGGAATTGGTTGTGGTCACTGTGGCCACGGAAGAAACCGACGGGCTCAAGCGGTTGATCGAATCCGCGAAGGCATTCGATATAACGATCGAAGTGCTCGGATTGGGAGAGCAATGGAACGGCGGAGATACGCGCGTGGAGCAGGGCGGAGGGCAGAAGATTCGTATATTGTCCACGTGGATTGAGAAGTACAAGGACGCCGCGGACACGATGATTATGTTCGTCGACGCGTACGACGTCGTCTTCAACGCCGACGCCACCACAATCCTCCGAAAGTTCTTTGAGAACTTCTCCGAGAAACGACTTCTGTTCGGCGCCGAACCGTTCTGCTGGCCCGATCAGACTCTCGCTCCAGAGTACCCGATTGTGGAATTCGGCAAACGGTTCTTGAACTCTGGCCTTTTTATGGGATACGGACCGGAAGTGTACAAGATTCTGAAGCTGAAGCCTGTTGCGGATAAAGATGACGATCAGCTCTACTACACAATGATCTATTTGGACGAGAAACTGAGAAAGGAGCTGAAGATCGAGCTGGACTCAATGTCGAGAATATTCCAGAACCTGAACGGAGTGGTCGAAGACGTCGAGTTGCAGTTCGCGGAGGACGGAACGCCCGGAGCCTACAACGCCGCCTACAACACGAAACCACTGATAGTCCACGGAAACGGACCGAGCAAATGGCACCTGAACTACCTGGGAAACTATTTGGGAAACCGATGGAACTCGCAGTTGGGGTGCCGAACGTGCGGGCGCGAAAAAGAAAGTCTCGAGACGAAACCGCTCGTCGGACTCAGCCTCTTCATCGCCAAACCGATCCCGTTCATCGAAGAGGTTCTGGCGAGAATCGCTGATTTCGACTATCCCAAAGATCGCATCGCTCTCCACATCTACAATAATCAACCGTTCTCCATCAAAACCATCCAGACATTCCTGGAAACGCATGGAAAGTCCTACTACACCAAGAAGATTATCAATGGAGTTACGGAGATTGGAGAACGGGAGGCCAGAGATGCGGCAGTGTAAGTTGTTCTCAGTAGAGCGCACTTCCAATGGTTTTATAGTGAATGGAACAAGCAGCGAGAGGTGGAGTATGCGTTTTTCATGGACGGAGACGCCTATCTGACCGAGCCACAAATCCTCAACGACTTGCTACAGTACTCGAAGACCTATGATGTGTAAGTCTGGAACATTAGAGCATTTGTGAGCGTTCATTTTAAGAGGAATAATCGCTCCGATGATCGGACAGCCCGGAAAACTGTTCACCAACTTCTGGGGAGCCGTTGCGGCGAATGGTTACTACGCGAGAAGCGAGGACTACATGGCGATAGTGAAAGGAAATCGTGTTGGCTTCTGGAATGTTCCGTTCATTACCTCGGCGCTTTTGGTCGATAAACAGAAGCTGTCGGCGATGAAGGACGTCTTCAGCTACAACAAGAACCTGGACCCGGACATGTCGATGTGTCAGTGGGCGAGAGACAACGGACACTTTATGTACATTGACAACGAGAAGGTCGCCGGGTACCTGATCGTCAGTGACGAGTTCTCGGAGACTGTCACCCAGGGAAAATGGCATCCGGAGATGTGGCAGATGTTTGAGAATCGACAGCTCTGGGAGGACAGGTACCTGCACCCAGGCTACAAGAAGATCATGGAAGACGGCCAGGTCGTCGAGCAAACGTGCCCGGATGTCTATGACTATCCGTTGCTCTCGGAGCGATTCTGCGAGGAGCTCATCGAAGAAATGGAGGGATACGGTAAATGGAGCAACGGCGACAATCAGGACAATCGATTGGCCGGCGGGTACGAGAACGTGCCGACCCGGGACATTCACATGAACCAGGTCGGGTTCGAGCGACAGTGGCTCTACTTTTTGGACACGTATGTGAGACCGGTGCAGGAGAAGACGTTCATCGGGTACTATCATCAGGTACTGACAAACACCAGTGAAAATATTCAAAGTACTTTGAATTTTCAGCCAGTGGAGTCCAATATGATGTTTGTGGTTCGGTACAAGCCGGAAGAGCAGCCGTCGCTTCGCCCACACCACGACGCGAGCACTTTCAGTATCGATATTGCTCTGAACAAGAAGGGAAGAGATTACGAGGGCGGAGGAGTCCGTTACATTCGCTACAATTGCACAGTAAACGCGGACGAAGTCGGTAAGTAAGCTTGGCCGTGGCCGTGTTCTCAGCGAATGCTAGTCCTCAAAGCCTCGGACTCCTCTCGGACAAATTCTTATTATTATTTTTTCATTTTCCAGGCTATGCAATGATGTTCCCGGGAAGATTGACCCATATGCATGAAGGTCTGGCCACCACAAAAGGCACCAGATACATTTTGGTCTCTTTCATAAACCCCTAAATCTTGTTATCCACATTTTCTGTTGATTTTTGCTTTATTTTCCTATTGCTTTATCTTGTATTCTTGTGCCTTTCTCACGGGATTCTCTGTTGTTATGCCTTGCTAATTTATTGGATTAAATAAATGAGTAATAAAATAACGTATTTTGATGCTCTTAAATGTTTAAATCTCTGAAACGACTATCGAAAATCGAGAAAATTTGATATCGCAATAAAAATGACAAATACACGGTTTAGAATGCTAAGCAAAAGCTGCAGACTATTCCGACGATGTTTTCAGACGGATGTAGACGTCATAGTTATTGGTAACACTCATTATCAGCGATTTTCTACTGAAAACATGAATTTTTCAGGCGGAGGACACGCGGGATGCGAAAGCGCGGCGGCAGCGGCTCGTTGCGGCTCCAAAAACCATTCTGGTCACCCAAAATCGGAACACGATCGGAGAAATGAGCTGTAATCCGAGTTTCGGAGGCATCGGGAAAGGTAGATCTGCAAATTTCCGACGAAAATTGATAATTTCTCAGTTCAGGCCATCTAATTCGAGAAGTGGATGCTCTGGACGGACTCTGCGGACGGATTTGCGACAAATCAGCCATCACTTATCAAGGTTTCTTTAAAATAAACATTACAACGTTTTTTCAAAATTTCTAGCTCTAAACCGAGCACAAGGACCGGCCGTTCTCGGGCTGCGCGCGCAAATCGATCGGAAATTGTACAAAAAGCATATGCAAACGGAGATTAACTCAACAAAAGGGCTGGAAGTTTTGGAGGGAGAAGTAGCCGAGTTGCTCGTGAAGAACGATAAAGTTGTAGGCGTCAGAATGGCAAATGAGATAATTATTAGGTTCGAAAACCTTTGAAATACTGCTGAAAACTTTAAAGTTTCAGCACAAAGTGCGTGGTGATCACCACTGGAACCTTTCTGCGCGCACAAATCTACCAAGGCACGTCGACGTGGCCGGCGGGGCGAATCCACGAAAGGAGCTCCGATCAGTTGTCCGAATCGTTTCTGAAACTCGGATTCCAGCTCGGCAGACTTCGAACAGGCACCCCACCGCGGCTAATGAGGGATTCCATCGACTTTTCCAAATTCGAGCTCGTTTCCCCTGACCGCAAACCGATTCCCTTCTCGTTTCTCACCAAAGCCATCTGGATCAGCTACGAGGATCAACTTCCGACGTACCTTGGGCACACGAACGACGAGGTGTGTCGGATCGGCCACGAGAACATCCACGAGAACTTGCAAGTCGCCTCCGAGACCTCCTCGCCCAGATATTGTCCTTCGCTTGAGTCGAAGCTGCTCCGATTTCCGAAACTCCATCATCGGCTGTTTCTGGAGCACGAGGGGCTCGATTCGCCGCACATTTACCCGCAGGGCATGTCGATGACGTTCAAGCCGGAAGTGCAGAAGCTCCTGCTGCGCGCCATTCCGGGCCTCGAACACGTGGAGATTTTCCAGCCCGGCTACGGAGTTCAGTACGATTTTGTCGATCCGAAGCAGTTGCGAAAGTCGCTGGAGACACGGAAAGTGGAGGGGATGTTTCTGGCGGGACAAATCAACGGAACGACGGGGTACGAGGAGGCCGCCGCGCAGGGAGTCGTCGCCGGGATTAACGCAGCGCGGCGGGCGCAGAGGGAGACGGCGATGGAGATTCGGAGGACCGAGGCGTACATCGGAGTGCTTATCGACGATCTGACGAGCCTCGGAACGAACGAACCCTACCGAATGCTGACTTCCCGTGCCGAGTTCCGTCTCCACCTCCGTCCGGACAATGCGGACGTGCGGCTCACGGAAATCGGAAGACTTCACGGAGCAATCGGCGAGCAGAGATGGGCGGAATACAGAGAGACGAAGCGAAAGCTGGACGAGCTGACCGAGAAATCGGAAGGAATCGTGATGAGTGTGGCGAAATGGAAGAGAATTGTTCCGAAGTTGACGACGAGTCGCAACGAGGGAAAAGTGCTGTCGGCGTTCGAAATGGTGCATCGGTACGATCTGCAGAAGGAAGATCTGGAAGAGATTCTGGAAGTTCACGTCGATGAGGATGTGTTCGAACGGCTCAAGACAGAAGGAAGGTATCGGATGGAGCACGAGAGAATGAAGAACAAGGTGAGTTCGACGACCAAAAACGAACGATTCTCAATTTGTCGATTCAGAGGCAAGAAATCGAAAGAGAATCGGCCACCGAGATTCCCGATCACATTGACTTTTCGAAAATGCGCGGAATGAGTTTGGAATGCGTCGAAAAGTTGGAGAGAGCACGGCCGAGGAACCTGGCGGCCGCCACCCGCATCGCCGGAATCACTCCCGAAGCCATCGTCGTTTTGATGAGACATCTAAAAAGCCCGGCAGTTAGAGAGCACAATAGTTAGGATACTTATATTGTTGTTGTAATTGGTTAGAAATTTGCTCTAATAGAGGAATACGGATACGTTCAATGAGAGAGAAACATGAGTACATGAACAATCTTTATCCATAAAATCAGTTGGGACCAATCAAATAGTTCACTTGTTCGGCTTCTGCGCGTTGTCAAAGGTTCCAGCGGGACGAGTGGTCTTGAGGTCGCTCTTCGGATCGGCCCGAGTGCCTGGAGCATTCGGCGTCGCCTGAGCAGCGAAAGTGCCCGCCGGACGAGTAGTCTTCAGGTCGTCGCCAGGAGTAACCGGAGTGCCGGGGGCAGCATTCGGCGCCTGCTGTCCTTTGAAGTCGACGGCCAGACGGGTTGTTTGCATTTCGTCGCCGGCGGCGACGGGAGCTGCAGCCGGCACGGTCCCATCGTCCTCCTTCTCGTCGTCCTCGTCCGACAGCGACTCGCCCTCCTTCCTCATGAACATCACCACCGTCGCCTTCTTTGCCTGCGGCTGTGCGACCGGCGCCGGCGCCGACGCCGTCTTCACCTCGCTCTTCGGCTTCTGACGCAGTTGTCCCTGGCGGTCCTTGTCCTCCTCCTCGTCGTTGCCCGTCGGCTGCTGCGTCTCACCCTCCTTCGGTTTATCGTTGATCCCTTGGAAGAAAATCAAGATCTTCTTCTTCTGCGTTTTGAACTTTTTAACGTTTTGGCGTTCGAACACTTTGTCCAGCACAGCGTTCTTCGGCACCGCCGCGTAGACGATAGTGAACCTGTAATCGTTCTTGTGACTGGTTGAAACTTTAAAAACCGTTACCTATCTTTAGTAGCATCCTTTACAATAACTTCCGGTTCCAGTCCCTTGAAGTAGCATTTGAAGGTCATCTTTTCGCCGGGAGCAGTCTTGATAATAGCCGGAATCGTCTTGTAGCGTTTCGGTCCCGTGTTTTTCCACTTGATCGCCACGTCACAATTGCATCCGTTGGTCACTTCGATGGTGGCCATTTGCTTTTTTTCGACCGGCAAGAAGGTGACGGACGTCGACGGATTGAACGACACTTTTGAGAGATCCGCATTCGTGATGCTTGCCATTTCAGCTCGTTATTCGATACGATGCTTTCGTTATCAATGGAAAGTTCAGAACTGTTCAGCCTTTCTAGTTTCATCCCTTTTATAGAGGCCCTTCCAAACTAATCAGTTATCCTAGAGGTCAGGTCAAGGTCAGAGTGTCACGTTGCATTTGTCATGCTTCTCTTTCCCGAACCCGATAATATTTCCCATTTTCATCTCCGAATATAAGAGCTCAGAAAGAATGTCGGCACCACCGCTTATCCAACTGAACAACGGAGACAGAGTCAATCGTTTTACGGTTTTCAAAAAACTTGGAGAAGGTACTTTCGGAGCGGTCTACGCGGTGCGCGACGATTCTGGAGCGGAGCACGCGCTGAAAGCCGAGCTGGCGACCGAGAAGATTCCGCTACTCAAACTGGAGCTCTACGTGATGCAGAAGTTGACGGCGAAACGCGCCAAACACATGGCCACTCTGATCGGTGAGTTCGCCCCCGCGAGAACAGCGGAACACATCGGAAAGAGTCCTCGTTCCAGACAAGGGACGCCATCAGAACTTCAACTACATCGTCATGAAATTTCTCGGAAAATCGCTGCAAGACGCGAAGAAGACGGGTCCGAACGGGCATCTGACGCTCGGCTCGGCGATCGGCGCGTCCGTGCAGTGCCTCGAAGCGCTGGAAGAGCTACATTGGTGCGGATTCCTGCATCGCGACGTCAAACCGGGCAACTTCTGTCTGGGAAGAGCAGAGTGCGGCGAGTTGCGCAAGGTGTTCGTGCTCGACTTCGGACTGTGCCGTCGATTCGTCAACGATCAGAATGTGATGTTGCAGCCGAGAAGGAAGGCGCCGTACCGGGGAACGCCGCGTTACGCGCCGATCGCCTCGCACAACGGCAGCGAGCACGGACGAAAGGACGACGTCGAGAGCTGGTCGGTTACTGTCGGTTTAAAGGCGCACAACGCAGTTCGCCCACAGGTTCTACATGCTGGTCGACTTTACGAACGCGGCACTTCCGTGGAAAGTGGTGACGGGCATCAAGGAAGTGGGCGAGATGAAGAAGAACGCGCGCTTCGAGCCGGGCCTCTCGCAGATGCTGGCGGGCTGTCCCGTCGACGAGTACCGCCAGATCATGACCCACATCGACAGTCTCTCCTTCTTCATGGAACCCAACTACGGACTCGTCTACTCGACGCTCCGCAAACTGATGCAGACGAAGCAGGTGCAGGAGTTCCCCTACGACTGGGAGACCGAGTACGCAGCCAAATAAATGTGAATATTTCAACAATTTATTTATTTTTAATTGATTAATCAACGCGAAAAGTAATACATGGCGAATCCGAATGCTAGCGTTGTGATCAGGATGCCGACGTTGTCGTATGTAACTTCGGATTCCCGTTGCGCCTCGTTACGGATCATCTGAATAACCGAAAAGTTCTTCGGAAGAGAACCGACGGTCGTTTCGGGGAGAAGGGTGGGCAGGCGGTCAAACGGACAGATCAGCACGGTGTTGTCGTTCGCGCTCAGCAGTTTCCGACAGCATTCTTCGCAGAGAGAGTGACCACAGCCTGCAAACAAAAAGATGAAAATAAGGTTGAAAATGAAAGTGATAACTCACCCAAGACTCTCGGAATGAGAGGTGCCACTTCACTAAACTCCTCGAGACAAATCTCACAGATTGGGTGCTCCTCCTTCTGTCCCGTCGCCCTTGCATGTGCTCGTTCCCGGAGCTCTTCCTTCTCTCGCCGCTCCGTCGCGACCTCCTCCTCCAAATTGCCATTCCTCTTCACCGAGTCGGAGAGTTTCGTCCTCAACTCGGCGATTTCATTCTCCAGTTCCGCTTGCTTCGTTTTCAAGCTTTTCAGAACGCCCGCTTCCACCGATCTGAGGGAGGCTGATTGGGTGATCGTCGTGGTGGTGATCGACTCGTCTCCAATCATTTTTCTGGAAAAATATGATTTAATAGGAGACAAAAAAGAAGAGAAGATTGAAAAATAAACAAAAAATCAATACCAACTCGAGGTACTGAATCGCTCTGCACAGGCCGGTCCCCTGCCGGCCAACTGAGCAGAGGTCAATCGTCTATCGAGCGCACTACACTAGTTCGGTCGAGAGCCGTCGTTTGAGAGACACGCGGATAAGATCCTCGAACAGATGTTCACTCCTTTGATGGCCTAATTGTGCATCGAGCACAGAGAGCACAACTTTCGGGAAGAATTCGGTTAAAAGAGAGTTTAACACTATGGAGCTAACCTGTGGCACACGTCTAACACAGAAATGCAACATGGCAAAGCTTGATCAGACTCGATTCTCTAAGAATTTGTGATTTCTCTCGTACTTTTGTTACTCACTGTTCGATTGTGGGATAGGTGATTTAAAGCGGACAGTAATCATACTCGAACTATAATGATCAGCTCGACGGGATCTATCGGAATGTGTATACAAAGCTATGAATGGCTGGTCATCTGTGAATAATTTACTAAGGATATAGAAATAGAATTGGGTAGGAACAGTATAGATATACACGTCAACAGGGGTAGCAAAAGCAAAAGGAAACGATTTCAGAATATAAGAAGAAGAAGAATGAAGAGAAATTAGTCATCTTTGGGCTCTTTGTTCTCTTTGCTCACGTCGTCTGGAGTGGTGCTGAAGCCCGAATCTTTGCCTTCCTGCAAAAACGTTTAGTTATGAATCAGGATCATGGAATCAGTTCTCATTTCCCAACTCACCTCAATCAGCATCGTCGAGTTGGCTCTATCGAGAAACTCGTCGAGCACGTCGTCAGTGTGCACTTCGGATCCACGTGGCACCTCCATATCCTCCTCGCGGAAGTTCTTCGTCTCATCGTGATCATCGTCGTCTGTGTAGAAGCTGTTGGAGGCCTGACCTCCAGCGGTCCCTTGTGCTTCCGGAGCCACTGAGTGAAGGGGAGCGGGCACCGAGGGAATGTTCAATGGAGGAAGAGCCCCGAGCGGAGTCAGGAAGCTGATGTCGGAAGTTGGGGCGAGAGATTCACCCGCACCGCCGCCGGTAGTGGTGTCCATTGCCGAAGTGGTAGGCGTGTTTGAGGAGGACATCATCGGATTGCCCAAGAATGAGAAGCGTTGTCCCACAGCACCACCTCCGGATCCACCGGGCCCTCCGAACGAGAACGGTTGGAATTGCGAGTTGGCGTTGGGGAATCCGAACATGAAGCTTGAGTTGGGCTGCTGGAGGGTCTGGTTCTTGATCTGTCGCTCGGCCTCCTCGAACTTCCTCTTCCAGTAGTCGGTCTTCTTCCGCGAGCTCTCCAACTTGTCGTTCATCTGCAGCAACATCTTCACCAGATCGTCCTTCTCCTTCTCCAACTTTTTGATTCTCGAGTGATCGCTGCGTTGCGTCCGCTCGTAGTTGTACAGTCTCTCCTCATAGTGCCCTCGGATCTTTCTCTTCAAGTCCTGATACTTCATCGTCTTCTCGTACACCTCCTCCTCCGTCTCCTCATCCTCCTCGTCTTCCTCGTCTTGACGTCTTCTCGGATGATGTCGATGGTATCCAATTGGCGAGGTGTTCTCACTTCCATATTCGGACGTCTCCCATCGTTGGTTATGGTAGTGACCTGGCCGATGGGATGATGTGGACGTCATCATGGAAGAGGAGGACGGTATCGACGGGTTATTGTTCTGACGACGACGTGGATGTTTCTCCTCGTGACGGTAGTTGTCGACGGCGAACGATCGGCTGCTCGCTGGCTCTTCTTCGACGTACCTGAAAAAGGATAAATAAATAAATAAATAAAACAGCAAATGTGCCACCACTCTCCTCACTCACAAACGAACCAGGTCATATATTATCCGACCACATCTTCAAAGTTTTAATGGCCTACGCTCACACACGTGTTTCTCATTCACCCGTGATTGCCTCCCCCGGTCCCCAAAAACTTACTCTCCAGGACAGCTCTTCGGTCCTTTCCTCAGCCTTTGCGTGTTCTGGGTGTGATAGGCGGCCGTCGGTGGCAGCATGAAGTCGTCCTGGCTCTTGAGAACTCCGCGGTGTCGCGACGAAGAAGCCGACGAGGATGGACGGTGCGATCGGCGCGTCTGATCTCGTTCCTGAAAAGCATTTTGTTGAGAGTTACGCTCCCAAAACCCTATAAAACCGCTTACCAGTGTCGCCTGCTGCTGCTCGTTTCCATTATCATCCTCTCCTTTGCTATGGCTTTTCTTGTGCCCGAACAGGTTTCGGAAGAGGTTGGCCATTTTTGCGTCGCTACCTGAAAATGCAACAAACGTCAGTTGGAAAAATGAGTTGAGAAGAAGAAAGAAGAGGGGGTGGAGGAGAGGTTGTGTGTGTAAGTGTGGATGTGGTGAGGGCGAATGGGTGCAGACTGTTTGTGTTGTTGGCTGTTGGGAAGAGACCACTTGTTCATATGTGAACAACTTTTGTACTTGTCGAGATAAGGAGTGGCAGGAGGGGAGCGCTTAAAGAAGCTTAGCCCCGGGGGTATAGAGATAAGACATAGAATGGCCTAAATCTTATCTTAACTTGTCAGGGCCTAAGTCTAACAAGATACAAGTGTTTGAATCTTAAGTGAATTCAAAAAAGTTACACGTTAAGAAAATAGCTTCAATGCTCTAGAATGTTTTACAGGCTATATAGCTAGGTTACAGGTACTAAGTTGACAAACAAACAAACTTTTATATCTATAAAATGCATGCCTATACTCAGCTATGTACATAAATAAAATTGTAACTGTGGATCAACAATGTCTGGCCTACGCCTTAGAAGAGCAAGGAGCTGGTCACAAGACAGATCGACACGAAGCGAATAGATGGTGGCTAATAAAAAGAGGATGTGAAAATGGAATGAAATTGGGCCAATGTCTCTCTTCCTCTCTCTCTCTCTCTCCGACCACATCAAAGACCTTTTCGCCGCGTTTCCACTCTCTCTAATTAGCCTGTACCGGCTATTGATACCTACTTAGGTGAGAGACAGGACCGTGCGCGAGGGGGGCAAAAGAAGATGTTTGTCGAGAAGAAGAGGAAAAAGGAAAAAGGGAAAAGATCAAATGTGCCGCGAGCGCAAAGGGGGATCGTGTGCGAAAATCTCTGGCAAACATGGCTGTTACCTGTGGCGGGTGAGGTGGTTGCGGATGTGGAAGAGTGAAAGTCTAGGTCACGCACGCCGCCTGCAGAGAAGAAACGAAGAGTCCGGGACTATAAAAGTTCTTTATTTTTCGAATGGCCTTCGCCTTCCTCCTCCATTTCCGCTCCTATCTTATCAAACCCTTTCCCCCCAAATTTCTAATCTCCTAATCCGCTTTCTGCTGCCCGCCCACCCACTCCACCTCCATCACAAGTGCGATAAAAAACAAGAGACGAATGAATGGTGGTAAACTTTTTCTTCGAAAGAATGCTCTTCGAGGAACGGAGAAGCGCGAGCGGTCATAAATTGTAAGACGATGCGGTTTTGCTGCGGGCAGAATGAATGGGTGGTCCTTGCCGGAGGAGGAGACGGAGGAACGACACCACGGAATTAATCTTTGTCAGAATGGAGAGAGGGGCTGGAACAAATTGAAGGAAGGAGTTCAGATCATGACAAAACTGCAAAACTAACTCAATCTTTCAGGCGAAGCTATGTCAGCACTCTTTTTCTAAACTTTGAGCCTAGACTCAACTGGAACAACATAAATCCGACCGGCAAGCTTTCAAAAACCAGCGATATAGGTGTCCTGTAAAAATAAACCGCGCCGTTCGGGTTTGTACAAAGGGGATTAGGAGGGGGACAGCAGTCGGAATACAATTATCGGTCTCCGACCGCATCTGCTTGCTTTCCGCCTCTGTCGGCAAGCAACACCCTCCCTCCCTCGACAGGTGCTTTCTTTTCTTTCTTTCTGAGAGTGATATGGCGCAATCGGACGGAAAACGGGCACTGTGATGCAAGTGCGCTCTGATGAAAAGGAGCGCAATTAGAGGAGGCTGGGGGTCAAAGGGAAACGATTGAAGAGAAAATATGAGCTAATTTTTAGGCCAAACAACACTTTTTCCGAAAATTCTTGGAAAACTAACCAAACTGTCACTTATTATCAGTGAGTGCTCACAAAACGAGGGCCGTAAAGTGAACACATCATCATTTTCGGCAACATTTCGCCTTATCAGTGTGAGCATCAAAAATTAAAGTGAATCGATCGATAGTTTGAGTGTGCGAGAATGAAACGGAGGAAATGAGCAAAAGCCGAAATGTTTTATAGTCTTGGGATACCGCGCATATAACTTTTATAACTTTTTATTTATATCTATTGACAGAGGCAAGGAGACGATTCCTGATGGCTTGGGAGAGGATTTGAAAAGAGACGTTTGGCGGCAACCTCCCTCCTCCCCTCGACACAACCGGGCGGTCCCTTTTGAGAAGAAATGAACAGAGTGTGAGAGAGAGAGAGAGAGATGAAGGGAGAGGAAGAGACCTTCAAACACACAGGCACTCTCCCCTCTGCCCCGTCTGTTTCTTTGACTGTACCGAATGGCCGACGGGCCAGCGAGTGCACCGAACAAGACTTTGATTGAGAAGGAGAAGGAGAAGGAGAAGGAGAAGGAGATTAATGATGATGGTTCGGACGTTTTGCAACTAGGACGCTTTGCAACCAAAAGCTTACTCTGTGTCTGCTTGCAGTTTCTGTCCTGTACAAGTCTGGGAAACTTCACAAAGAAGGATGCGTTAAGGATTAAGGACACTTTGCAACTAGGACACTTTTCAAGTAATAGGTAGGTGTATGTTTTGAAGCTGGGACGTATTGCAACCAACTGAAACTTTTTGTAACTGGAGACACTTCGCAACCACTAAAATCTATCTTGCGTTGCAATTATCTCTGTCCTCTCGAAGCGTTTGTTTGTGCTTCACAATAAACTATGTTTGACTGTAGTTAAAGAATGTGTTAAGACATGGACACTTTGCAACTAGGACACTTTGCAACTGTAGTCTGAGCATATTTGTACTTGCAATTGCAGATTTCTTCTAGAAACCTGACGACTTTGGGCCAAAACTTAAAAGTAAAGCTTACAGTCGCTTAGCAACAAAATTACACTTGCGAACATTCAAATGCTGTCATTTTCGTCAACCTTCGCATGTATAAGTAGTGCCAAATTAACACCCTCTCGGCCGAAAACATCAAAGGCACCCGCCGGCATGTCCTCTCTCTCTCTCTTCCAATTAACACAAATTCAAATGTTCTTTTTTCACATCAAAACTTTTATCATTCTCATTCTCATCATCATTGTCTAGTAACCGCCTCGATAATACTGAAAGGGTTGATAAAAGGGGGTGAACGAGGGAACGGCGAACTGATTCGGCTGCGGATTCATCCATCTCTGGTCGAACTGCGGCCACTTGTCCTGCGGAAGCGAAGACGGAAAGAGTTCGAGTCCGGTGAACGAGCTCTGCGGCTGGCTGATTTCCTGTGGCGACACGGTTACGGGCTCTTTCTGGAGCGGCTGTTGGGCTGCGAACAGGGGACGGATCTCGTCGGGTTGGAGCAGCATGAACGGGGCGAAGATCGGCGCGAGCAAGTGGGCCACGAGACGGTCGACGCGCTGAAATTTATATTACCATGAATACTGGCACTTCAATAGCGTTCATTCCAGACGATACATCACATTGAGGAGCTACAATATATAGAAAACTCACGTACCGATTTCAACGACGAATACTTGATGCGAAGTCCGGTGCGAAAGCGATACTTGATCTTCTCGATCTGGAAAAAGATACAAAAAGATACGTGGTAGCAAGCAAATTGTTGTTCTTTGTTCTCGTGCCGCCCAGATCCCTATCGGTTACCTTCTGAATTTGCCCGTCATTGCCCGACACCTCGACGGCCGTTTGAACCGGCGAGAACTTCATTACGTAGAGGATGAGGCGGCGACGCAGCTGAAAATAAAAAAAAAGGGTTTTATAATTGAAACTTGATCTGTTACATCGCCATAGAATTTTCTTCCGTTCCTCACGTAATCGATCACAATTTCCTGTGATTCCACATCCAACTCTTCCAATTTCTCGTCCAAAGAGCTCTCGTCGTCGATGTCTCGGAACGGATCCGGCGGCGGTTCCATGGTAGTTGTCGTTGTCGTTCTTGTCGTGTCGAGACCCATTTCATCCGACACCTCATTCTCCTCTATTCCGTTTTGCGAGTTTGTGAGCAGCGGGAGAATGAGTAAAAGGATCGGGAATCGCAGATTTTGCATGTTGCTGAAAACTTCCAAATTACTGAAACTTTTGAAAGTAAAGTCGCTTTAAAAACCAGTAAGAATGGTCTGTCAACAAGTTTATGAAACTGAAATGTACGGACTGTATGACGTCGAGAATCACCTGGAGAATGACGGGACTAATGTGGTCAGAAGACCGGAAACTATTGTATTTTGGGAATTTTCAGCCTGAAGTTTTGTCGTTTTAATTCAAAAGTTGGATGAGGCAAGCTCGGCATTTGCTACTTTTAATTAGAAGTTGCAAGACTTTTTAAACAGGGGCCCGCTGCTCGGGCCGAGCTGACGCTCGAACGCGGCTAAGCCGCTTGTTTCTTTTTTATATGTTTTTATTTTATATTCTAACCGTTAAGAAGTTCACGTGTTCTTTAATTTCTCAATTTCTCCGTCAAAATTTTTTGTTTTAGAGATGAAGTGGGGCTTTTCACGGGTTTGTCCCTCTGCCTGTTCTTTTCATTTCTAGAAGGCTTTCATTTTCTTCAAAGTTTCATTTCTAAAAGGAAAATAGTTGAGAAATTGAGAAATAAGCACATGAACTTTCAAATAGTAATAAGAAAGAAACAAGCAGCGTAGCCGCTTTCGAGCGTTAGCTCGGCCCCGGTTTCGAAAGTCTTGTTTTAATATACGCATTCACATAAAATTAGATGACACTATTTTGCTACTTTTGACAACACGCTTCTATTCAGCAAAGTCACACCAAATTTTCTGTAAATCTTTGAGAGGTTAGGTCGCAATCGAACAAATCGCAACCTCATTTTCCGTTCGATTTTAATGCTGTTACTGAAGCGTGTTGCAAAACGTACAGATGGTTTTTTTTACATCGCTGATAGTGAGTTGGGCTAATTAAAGGTAATTTAAGAATTTGTTGAAATCATTGAATCTTTACGTTAAATTCCGATTTACTGTTAGCGTTAAGGTCCTCAATGAATTAGTTTCAACAAATTCCTAAATTGTCTCTGGAATACATTCTCCTAGGAAAACTAGGAAAATCAAAGAAACGTTTTCAAACGATCAGTGCCAAAATAGTGTGGTCACCTAGCGTTGGCGCTGATTTCTCGTCGAGTGGCACGGCAGTCGTCGAGAATAAATCGTTTGTGCCTTCCGGATTATTTTCATGTTCTCCTCCTCCCTCCATTTCTTCTCGAACTTCTTTCTTTCAAGGCTGTCCGGTAAGCGGTTTATATACTCGGAGACGGCCAAAAATGATCGAGGAGGAGACTGCGTGTCCATTTGCAAGGCCCTCAAAAGACGGGTAATTGCACCAAGGAGGAGGGGGTTTGAAAATGAAACTGAAAATGCAAACACAATTTCTTCGCTGGTTAATGACGGCTTCCCAACCACTTGACCTGACCTAAACTGAAAAAAAAAAACCGAAAAAAAGTGGTGGTCATAGAAAGAAAGATCCTAGAAATGGAAAAAGGGATTATAGGGATCGTGAAGGTTGAATTTTGAAATTCCGCAAAAAGCTAGGCCAAAGTCAAAGTCGATTGCGTAATGAAAAGGACATTTTGCCGCCGAAGCCGTTTGAAGTTTCGCCGCTTAGTCAGCAATGGGAACGGAAGGGTTCTATGCAAATTTCCATAAAATTTTCTACAATCTCTCAACTGACACACAAAAAAAAACAATCATAATATAATAAGGAAAATAATGACAATGATAGTAGTAGGGTGAGCGGATGAAAACAGGGATTGAGAGGTGATGGGCGGCACAGTGATATGTACAACAAGGAATGCGGAAAGGGAGGTAAAGCATGAAAAAGAACAGAGAAAGGCAGATAGGTACAGAGGGAATCCCAATTTGGGACAAATTATGGCTGCAAAATGAGCAGCGAGTTGTGCGGGTCGTCGATCTGAGCGCGACGAGTTTCGAACTCCCGCCGACGGATGCATTTCGGACACTCGGCCGCTGTTCGCCAGCATTGAACGTGGAAGACTGTGAAGCACACACGGCACTGAAAAAAAACAGACTTATTTGGGATACTCTTCGAGACCAACAAGGCCTGGGCGTTTGGCTCTGAATATTTCACCGAACATTCTCGATAACAAGACTAATGTGTAAAGTAAGGCAACTGGGTAAAAACCGTACCCGATGCGTGGATTCCGTATTGAACGGATAGATGACCTCGCTGACCGAGCACATCTCACAGCAGAAGCCCTTCTGACGGCACAGCGTGCACGCCATCACGTGGTTCATCGAGTGCTTCAGCAGGTGGTTCAGCCGTCTCTGCATCGCTCCGCTCTTCACGTCCATCAGATCGGCGAACGAGTAGAGGTCGACGTCCGAGCGGAGATACTCTTTCGGCCACAAGCGCCTTCTAAAGTCCTCCGCGACGGATTCTCTGCACGTGAACAGGTACATCGAGACGAGATGCAGCTTCTCGCGGAGCTTCCGAGTCTCTTCGAGCGCCGGCACGTGCGAGTAGAGCCGCGGATTGCGCTCCTTGACGTTGATGAGCGCCTTCTCCTGATTCGCTTCGTACCAGGCTCGTCCGCGGTCCGACACGGCCCGTTCCCTCCAGTCCCAGTCCATGACGACTCTCGCGGGGATTGACACTTTTCCGCCGGGCTTCATGCACTCCGTGCAGTAGTATTTGCCGTCGATTCCACACGTTCTGCAGGAGAAAATTGATTGTTTTTCCGCAGAACAAAGTGTGAGAACTCACTCAAACTTGGAAAACGTGGATCCTCCGACCGTTTTTCGGCACATGGCGCATCTAAAGTCCTGCGAGTCCAGTCCTTTCTCTCTCGCAATGTTGCACAGTTTGTCAGTCGTTTCCTGAGTTACCGTCGACAATTTTCTCGATTCTGTCGTCGATTCGACATCCTCAACGACTCCATCATCCACGTTCAGGTCCTGGCTTGAAGTGCCGAGCGAATTGACGCCGTCCGCTTCATCCACAGCTCTTCCGTGCTCCATGGCCGACCGGAGCGCCTGTCCGAAACTGACGACGGGGCCGCCCGAATCGGAAGATGACGAGAGTCTCGATCGATCCGAATTCGACTCCCACATGTTGTGGCGGGCTCCGATCGCAGCGAGCGAGTTGCCCATCAGAACGGGGCTCTGCACATAGATCGGAATGCCTTGCTGGAACAAAGAAAACTGATATTGACGGAAAAAAACAAGAACGTTACCTCAAAAGTTGCACTTTCAGCGGCCGGAAGCGCGTCCATGAGCTCATCTCGCAGAGAGGTGCCCAGAATTGTGTCAGTCTGCAAAAAGAAACATACATTTCCAGGAAATGTCTCGAATTTCTTACTTTTTTCAAATTATGACTACAACTCACCCCGCACGGCATTAGAAAATACTTCATTTCGACTATCTCCTACTGAACAGTGACTGCTATTACCCGATACGAACGACGGACGGAACGGCTGACCAAAAAAAGAAGAGAGCAGAAGGGGAAGGTGAGAGAGAGAGAGAGAGAGTGTGCGGATCACAGAGACGCAGGAACAAAAAGAAGAGAGGTCAGCAAAGATGACGAAATATGACGGTGATGGTCCGTACAGACACTACAGTTTGCGGGAAAACTCCGACCTCAATGAACGCATTCTATGGAGTTATCAACAAAGCTGCAAACTAGTCAAATCAACATGTGAATCGGAGAATAATCGGAGAACCGCCAAAGTTCGCACAGCGAGTTTCGAATTTTCCGAGACAACACTTTCAGGAAAACATCTACTATCGGGGCATTTCAATGTGAATGCGCTCTGTTGAAAAATCCCCCGTTTTGTAATCTTCGGGGCCTAATTTTTTAGCAGCGAGACGAGTTTCAAGAATTTCAGCTGGAAGAACTTCAAGTATCGAACGAATCCTTACCACTTCACAAAACAGCTGCTTAACAGTCCGTTTCTCGTCTTTGCGCATCGTCGCCACCAGGCTGAGTGTCGAGTTGACAAACTTTCGGAAGAACGAGTCACTGACCCGATTCACGTCGTTCACCATATCCGCCAGACTGCTTCGACGGCGCGGGTATGAACGAATCCGCTCCATCTCGCCTTCTTCTTCCTCTTTTGTCATTGTCGAAAAGTAACTGGTGGTGGCGATCGCTTTATCGTTGTGGTTGTTATTAGAATCCAGCGAATACAGAGAAGAAGTTGAAGACGACGCCGAGCAGACACTCATTGCTCGTCAACTCGGAAGTGCGGGAGTAAATGAATGGCACGGGGGTACTCGCTCGTTTACTATCAAAAAAGAAACGGAGGGGGCTTATCGAGGAGGTGCCAACGTGCCGCTGCACCCCTTATCGAACACTTCTTTCTGTGCATTGTCATGTGAATGTGTCTAAATGTGATGAAAAAGAGCGAGCGAAACAGGGAGTCGGAAGAGTTCAAAAGTTTGATTATGGATGCAAAGTTTATGTGTGTGGTGTCAAATGCCTCCAGGTCGAAGTAGACTGTTGGCAGAGGTTTGTGTTTTGGTGGTTTTATAAAACAGAGACAAATATCAGAATACGTGAAATCGAAAAAATCCTAGAACTCCCAGTTCTGAGTCAACTCAACTGGATTCTCAATAAAATCAGCCGCAGCCTAGTAAGCCAAGCATCAGAAGACGTCAATTGAAAATTCCCGAATTCCCGCTGTCAAATGTGCTCCTCCGACGACTTTGAGTGCATAAAAACATTGAAGAACATCCAACTGAACTGTTATCAGCCAAGCCCTTCACTTCCTCATTCACCGTTCTTCTGATCATCTACACAACTCCGATTCGACTGTTTTCTGCTCACTGAAGCACCTTCCCGCTCTTATCACTCATTAAGGTCACACGACCGACCCGGTCTCCAATTGTCTGATAGCTGATAAGTGTCTCATGACTGCGGGAAAAACGACAAAGTTTCCGGGAAAACGCGAAGATACAAACCTTTTGCTCGAGTCTTTCGATGATTCTCCGTCTACCGGGTATCGAGACCGGGTCACTGCGGCGGAAAGAAGATGTGGGGGCGGGGGCTGTCGAGGTGCCTTCTTCCTCGTCCATTGACACTGGAAAAAGCGTTTCGAGATGAGTTGGTCGAAGAACAGTTACCATCGAACACTTCCTCGTCGTCCTTCGTCTGCCGGATCGTGTTCTCAACGTCGTTGAACTCTTCCGACTCCCTCTGCTCTTGTTCCTGGTTCTTCAGAAACGCGTCAGTGAGCGACAAGCTGCGCGGCGCAGGAATCTCCTCTTCCTCCACAGAAACCGACGCCAATTCGGTGAGCGCTTCCAGAAAAGACACGGATCTTTCGGTTTTCGTTTCTTCGACTGGCGTCGATTCCGACTCCACTTCCGAAGCTGTTCGCGTCGGAACGGACGATATCATTTCAGCGATTCCACTGTCCATCGTGGCCGATATGGGCTTCGAAACGATCGGATCGTCGAGGGAGAAGGCGACGTCGTTGGGAACGGTTCCGAAGATTGTGGAGGGCTGAAATGGCTCTGTGATTTCATAAATCACTCATCCCTACCATGTCGCTGTTCGCTCTGGAATCCCTCGTTCCCGCTCTCCGACGACTGTCCCTGCTCGCCGACTCACTCGAACTCCGCGATCCCGAGTACTGTTTCGACGGCCTTCGAATCCGTCTTGAAATGATCAGCGGCTGGTATCCGGGCGGATCGTCGGGCCCAATATCGGAAACAACCTGCACAAAGTCCGACGATCGCTTGTTGATGTTCGCAGTGACGGCCGGATCGAGAATGGCCGTGTCGATGGGGGTGGAGGCGAAAAGAGGCGATTGGGGCATGAGTTGGATGCGCGAACCGGAAGAGCTCGCGTTCCGACGGAGGGATCCGAGCACCGCGTGCTGGTAGGACATCTCGCCTGAGTCGAGCATCGACGGATGCGAGTAGACCGACGAGTTGTCCGAATTGTCCTCGTTCTCCGATCCTGCAAGTTCTTTCCTTTCGATTTCTCCCCTATTTCACTCACTTCTTCTGATCGGCCGACCCAATGCTCTCCGTCTCTTTCTCTCCAAATATGCGGGCGATCCGATATCTTGATACTCCTCGGGAACGAGTGCGTCGATCGCCGGAATCGCAATTTCCTCGGTCATATGTGCCGGTTTCGGGTTGGGACGGGCCTTGAGCACGCCCACTTTCAACGGCTCTCCGGTCATGAGTCCCGCAAGAATGAGCGGAGTCGGCGTCCACGTGTTGAGGAACGACGAGTTGGTGGCGGCGGAGATGGGCAGCGAGGTGAGCGGTTTGAGGAGTCCGCAGATGCGAGCCGAGTGATCCGGGTCCGCGAGCAGCCGCAGGAACGCGTCTTCGTTGTAGAACTGCTGGATCGCATTAGTTTCGGCGGCGAGCTGGTCCATGTACTGGCCGAGTACGTTCTCGTTGAGTATTATCCGAATCCACGCCCTGCCTTTGCCAATTTCCGTGCGAATTTGTCCGAGACACGCGATTTGGTGTAGAGTGACGTGGGGCGAGAATTTGGAGACAAACGGCCAGAAATTCGGTTCTGGATATTTCGCATATCTGGTCCCTTTCAAAAAGAACGGATCGCGCAGTCCGTGGATGAAGATCGCCTCGATCGAGTTGCACAGATTCTGGGTGATTTCACTGAAAAATATGATTTCTCTGTGATTGTTTCTTCATTACCTTCGTACCTGGGCACATTGTCGCGTCGCGAGTGCGGCGAAGCGATGGCCGCTTTGACGACGTTGTCGAGTTCCTTCTGAAGATCCGCCCGAATACGTTCCTGCTTCTGTTTCTCCGCCGCCGGTGATATTTGCGGGGGCGTCGCCATTTGTGGCGTCGATTGCTTCTGAAAATGAGACAGTTTTATTAGCTTCGGTCGCGAAAAAAAGAAGGAATTGACTATTTTTGACGTTTGGCAACTAGCGTGAGCTACTTAGCGATAGTTTGCACTGTTAAATGTAACGTGGGTATCAAGACGTCGCGATCCCGTTTTTCAAGAAAAAAAAAACGTTCGGATTATGAAAAATTGGATGAAAATCACATGATGAATGACTTTTGAGAGAAACGTTGAAGCGCCGAACTTTCAAAGTAAAGAATTGCGCCTAAAACGGAATCAATGAGCAAAAATGCGAGCGATGACGCCGTAGAAACCTAATCAAACAGCCAAAAAGGCGAGTTTCGTTTCGGTGAAATTCCATATATTTGCACGTGATAATAATATAATTGCAGAAAAGAACAAAGGAGGGGAGACTGGCCGGCCGAGTGCTCATCGGTGCTTATCAGCCGCGAGTTCACTTCATTTGTACTTTATTTTCTCTCCTTCTTCTTCGTCTTCGTAACTTACAGTCAACCGTTTGAACATGATAGAAAGTATCTGCTAATTGCGTAATTTATTTAGTAGGTATTAGGAGTAGACGAAAATAAGTGTAGACAGTGAGTGGCGCAGTGTCGCATTCGCTTGATGACGAAATATTTCTGCAAACAATCGGTGTGTGAGACCCCTGAAAGGGAAAGGAAAGAAAAGTTTGTGTTGGTGTTCAAGATTTGATCGTTTAAACTGTCGGAGCGGCGGCAGGAAATTGCGAGTGGAAAAAAATGAGAGAGGCATAGAGAAATGAACAATTTTCGGTCTGGTGACTCAACACGCATTCTTTTGCGGGTGAAATTCAAGAATCAAAAGCAGATCGACAAGAAATCGATGGAAAAAATCCGCATAATTAAACAAATTTTGATGGACGGCGGGGCATGTGATTATCATGGGATGGGAAGCCGGTTCACGTGGTCGCGTGCCGCTTGTTTTGAGGCGTTTTTATAGGGGAAATTGTCAAAATTGGATGAGAAATGGTGGGAATTGTGAAAAATTGTGTGGGTTTATGGGTTCAAGCTTCTTCTTCAAGAAAATAAACAGTTCTACTGGAAAATTAGCAGAAAATTGGCAAGCAATCAAAAATTGCCAACTTTTCGAGGTCAAAATTAGAAGGAGATTGAAATTTGCAAGTCAGCAATTGTTTTCTTTTAATTTCCACCGCACATTGCTTCTAAATAGTTTTTAGTTAACTTTTTGCTTCATAGAGAAAAAAACTTAAAAGCATTTTAAACTGAAAATCAGCAAAAATTGACAGCACATCAGGTGATTTCGATTAAATTTCATGAAAAAAAAACAAGCAAAAGCTGACCAGACATGACTCACACTTGTCCACGAGGAGTACACGGCCGCGAAGCGAATTGTATCCCGGCCACGGCCCTCGCGCGGGATATTCAAATTTTATAGCGCTTCCATCGGGATTTCGGTTCCAGCAGCTGAAAAAAGCACAAATGGATGAGAACACGATTCGATAAGAAGCATAAAGATTTCACAAAGCAGAATTCGAAAAAGAAATTCTGTAAGAGTTGCAGATGCACCATGTTATTTTGAACTTTGCATAACAATTGTCCGATTCTTGTATGGAACAAAGATAGTTATTTCCTTTTTTTTTGTAAATTGTAGCTATGAATATCATTTTTGTTCCCTGATGTGTCCTCAATACGCCCTCGTCCACCGTGCTCTCCACACCTTTCGTAACCCCCCTCCCCTCCTTTTTCTACTGCGCAACATTCAATTATTTAGCACCGGCCCGTCAGTTTGTTGCATCGATTTTTCGCTCTTCTCACTCACGAATTTTGAATTTCGCAACACTTTGAACCGTTTCGTACTCTACGTTCTCTTCAAATTTCTTTAACGCTAACGCTTAGTAATTTGACCCTTCTTGAACAGTTGTCTCTATTATAGATTCTTGAAAATGTCGGGATTCTTCGACCGTTTCCTGCTGCCCTCCACGAGCATTCCGACCGCTTCCGATCGACGACGCATCCACCAACTGACCATTATTAACCGACAACTCGAAGAGAACCTTTTCGATATCAAACAGAAACATGAGGAAGAAGCATTCAAACTCAGACTGGAGCTGGACAATCAAAACGAGCAGATGCATAGGATGCTGAATGAATTCAATGCGGAAATGGAGGAAATGAAGGCAAAACTGGAGAAAGAGCGGGCGGCGAATGAGAAGTTGTGGCGGAAGTTGAAGGACGAAAAGGAAAAGAGAAAAAAGTGGACCTTCAACTTCTGGAAACGGTCTTTGGAGATGCCTGTCTGCAAGATTTGTCAAGAAGAGTACGGAGAGGAGGAGCTCAGAGTTCCAAGAATACTAGGTAAGTCTCAAGGACCGTCACGGTACAATCAAACGCGTTTTGCCAGAATGTGGTCACACTCTTTGCACAGAATGCTCGGGAAGAATCCGAGAAAACGAGGCGATCGTGTGTCCGTGGGATCGGAAAATCAGTAATATCTTCAACGGAGAGCTCACCAAGAACTACTCGGTGCTCCAGATGAATTGGGAGAAGAAGAACGAAGAAGACAATGAATGGCTCCGACCATCCCCCACAACTATGACCCTCTTTCTCTCCATCTCCATTTCCATTGCTCTCTTCTCATCCCTCATGTTCAATTGGTCTGTGATCGGCTTCTAAAGCCAAAGTGTCTTCAATAAATGTATGTATGTATATTGTCCGTCCGCTCACAAAAAAGGGAGCGAGGCTCCCGATGATTCATTCACAACAAAAACTAGAGTGTGCCTCCTATCCCCAAACATCGACATTCGAGCCAAAAAGAACCTGCCGTTATTTTCTCTTCCTACTGTTCGTTTCACCTCAACTATGGTGGAAAAGAGAACCGAAACTGAGGTTGAGAGTACTGACGCCGGTGAGAAAGTCACTGAGGACCGAAACAGTCGGGAAAAGCACAAAACGACGGTCGAAATAGGCAGTAAGAAGATTCTGGAGTTGTTTAGAAGAGGTAACATTTTGACGCCCCATGAACTGAGAACATTTGTGTAGTTTGACAAACAATGCCACAATTGAAGTTTGCCCATACTTTCAGCATCCGCGTCCAAAAACTTCATAGACGTCTCCAGTGAGTCGGACCCGCCGACGCTCGAATTTCCCGACGACGAAGAGCTGATGAAAGTGATGGCGGAGCCCATGGAAACCCGCAAAATGCTCGCGAACTATATGTATCAGAGCGAGAAGAAGAAGCTCGAGAGCGAGTTGATGGACGGCGAATTCGAGGAGATTGAGCACGACACTTCCCGTAACTGATTGTAAATAAACTGTTGGACATTGAACACGTGTTGTCTCTATCTACTGTATTGCCCTGTTTCTCGACATCCGCGAGTTCTCTAGTTTCGCCTCAAAACAACCTTGAGACGCTGTTCGAAAAGCGAACAGCAACAGCGTGCGCGTGTCACCAGATGTCTAATATTTAGGATTATTCGTATTTCGTTTCTTCTCTCTCTCTCTCTATGAGTCCTTGCTTTCAGAGAGTACTACCATGTCCAACTCCCGCCAATCCAATGTTCCCACTCCTACTCCACCACCGGCCTCAAATCCTGCCAACCAGTCCACTCAACAAGAAGATCCTGGAAAGAAGGCGTTGCTGGAAGCGCTGAAAGTGATGGACACCCAGATCCGACAACGGGAGAGCGCTTTGGACACTATCATTCAGGCACTGCTGCGTGAACAGCAACAGCCGAGCAGAAATGGTAATTGAGGTTGTTGCCAGTTGGTTGGTTGAATAAACATTGTTGATACTATGAATTCGTGCGTTTCTTGCTTTGAAAAATTGGTGCTCGAATCCAAAAACGTCTACTTTCCGTTCATAATGGAATCATGCAACTTGTTGGTCCTCAAGGTCGTTCAATTAGGCTTGTAAATCTTGCGCGCGTTTGTCTAGCACGTGTCCGTCATTCAGCTTCTCCCCTCTTCTTTTTCATTCTTCCAACTGCTTGCCAAGTTTCTCTACTCACTTATTTCAGAGTTCAATGGACGAATCGTCAACGAATGCTCCGGGTGACGACGACGTTCAGGTGATCTACCAGACTTCCCAACCGACCTTTTCAACATTTATCTCGTCAGGTCATATCCCACATTCAGTCGTCGGATCTTCTGGAATACTGGCAATCTCGAGCAGCACTCGCTTGTGCTCCTTCTGCAACTCCGCAAGCGGTTCCATCAATGCCTGCTCGTCCGAACGTCCCCGGACACTTCCAAGTCCCCTCCTCGAAGGATGATGATAGCGATGTGCAAGTTATCAAGGAACGGATCCATCCACCGCGTCTTCCGCAGAACTCTCCGCTCTTCCCCTCCTTCCTCACACCGGCATTTCTCCAGGCCTACTGGCAAGCCCAAGCGGCATTGGCTCGTGCTCCGACATCGACCGGGCCGTTCAACTTTCCGGGATTTTCTCAGCCCCAACCGCCATGCCCAAGTGTTGACGCGGACTCGAAGGATGACGATGAAATGCATGCGGTTACCTTCTTGCGAACCGCGTCTGCGGGCGACAACACCCAACCGCCCAGCACCAAAGTGATCTATGAGATTTCCGAGGCTGAACTTCCTCGACCCGGCCACGCACTACAACTCCCCACTCCTATAGTTGCACTGTGCTCCCATGAAGAACATCCTCAATCGCTCGGCCCGAAGGCTTGTGCGACTCCGAATGTGCTTTGGATTATTGTGTGCGACCGCGAGGATTGCCCGCAAAGTCGCAAAGCTGTTTCGGATGACACCGATCCTCCAGCTCAAAATGGTAAAGTCCAAGTGGTCCAGGAACTTATTCTACGCCCGAATCCCGCCCTTCAGGTATTGTCACGTTTCTAAATGCGTACAAATAGAACATCTGATCTTTTTCAGACACAGGCACAATCCGACAGCCCGATTCTGTCCAAACTTCTCATGTCAACTCCTCCGAAGGCCCCGGAGATTCCAGTCTCTTCGTATGCCGAACGCGTCGGGAAAATCATTCAGAAGGCCCCCGAGCATTGCCGTTCACTTCTGAAGAGGAAGATCCGAAGATCGGAGAGAGATCTGCTGGCGAAGCACCCGAATCTCAGGAAGAACGAAAACGAGGATCGACAGAACTACCTGGCGGGCGCGATGAAGAAGGATCCGAAGTTGTACCGCTACACTCATTGATCTCTTTCTTTTGTGAATGAACCTTATTAAAATGCCCCCAATACATTGTTCTGACCGTTCCTCGTGAGATCATAACCAGAAAACCCATTTGCGCTCATTTAACTGGGCGGACAACAGCCACACCCACGTAAATGGGCTATCCCGGGCCTTTAAAAAAATGGTAAGGATTTTAAAAAAATGGTGAAGATTTAAAAAAAAGGTGGAGATTTAAAAAAATGTTGGAGAATTAAAAAAATGGTGGAGAATTAAAAAAATGGTGGAGAATTAAAAAAATGGTGGAGATTTAAAAAAATGGTGGAGAATTCAAGAAAATGGTGGAGAATTAAAAAAATGGTGGAGAATTTAAAAAAATGGTGGAGATTTAAAAAAATGGTGGAGATTTAAAAAAATGTTGGAGAATTAAAAAAATGGTGGAGAATTAAAAAAATGGTGGAGAATTAAAAATGGTGGAGAATTAAAAAAATGGTGGAGAATTAAAAAAATGGTGGAGAATTAAAAAAATGGTGGAGAATTAAAAAAATGGTGGAGAATGGTGGAGTTTTAAAAAAATGGTGGAGATTTAAAAGAAATGGCGGAGATTAAAAAAAAACATAGTTGCCACGGGCCGGGCCGGGCCGGGCCGGGCCGAAATTTCCAAAACTCCGGCCCGGCCCGGCCTGTCGGCCCGGCCCGGTCGGCCCGGTTCAAAAAGCGGGAATTCAAAATTTGAATTATTGATCGCATGAAGCCATTTTTTTGTAGAATTAGGGGTTTTTGCAAGCATCGAACATTGAAAAAAACAAATGTATTTCTCATAAAAAAATTCATAATAGCAAAAAAACAAAGAAGAAACACTAAAACTTTAGTTCGAAAAATTTTTTTGTAATAACGAAAAAAATTTCCGCGAAAAATTTGAATTCCCGCCTTTTTGAACCGGGCCGACCGGGCCGGGCCGGGCCAGCACTTCACCGACCCGGCCCGGCCCGGGCCGGCACTTTACCGGCCCGGCCCGGCCCGGCCCGGGCCGACCCGGGCCGGCCCGCATGGCCGGCCCGAAATCTGGCAAGTCTGAAAAAAAATGGTGGAGAATTAAAAAAATGGTGGAGAATTAAAAAAATGGTGGAGAATGGTGGAGATTTAAAAAAAATGGTGGAGAATTAAAAAAATGGTGGAGAATGGTGGAGATTTAAAAAAAATGGTGGAGAATTTAAAAAAATGGTGGAGAATTAAAAAAATGGTGGAGAATTAAAAAAATGGTGGAGAATGGTGGAGATTTAAAAAAATGGTGGAGAATTAAAAAAATGGTGGAGAATTAAAAAAATGGTAGAGAATTAAAAAAACATAGTGGAGAATGGCGGAGCTTTTAAAAAAATGGTGGAGATTTAAAAAAATGGTGGAGAATTAAAAAAATGGTGGAGATTAAAAAAATTGTGGAGAATTAAAAAAATGGTGGAGAATTAAAAAAATGGTGGAGAATTAAAAAAATGGTGGAGAATTAAAAATGGTGGAGAATGGTGGAGATTTAAAAAAAATGGTGGAGAATTAAAAAAACGGTGGAGAATTAAAAAAATGGTGGAGAATTAACAAAATGGTGGAGATTAAAAAAAATGGTGGAGAATTAAAAAAATGGTGGAGAATTAAAAAAATGGTGGAGAATGATGGAGAGTTAAAAAAATGGGGCAATCGATTTCGGCGGCGGCGACGAAGATGCTCAAGTTGGTCGTTAGAGCAGGAGCGACTCATCACGGATTCCGGAGAGGAGGAGCCAACCACTTGCGAGCACAAGGGCACTCGTTGGAGGAGATCCGTACGAGAGGGCGTTGGAGATCTATGGCAGGCCTTCAAAGATATCTGAAGGACATCCCGGAGGCGCAAGGTTGCAAGTCGACGATGCGAATGCGTGGAGGTCTGGAGGAACTTGAGGAGTCCGACGAGGAATAAATTAGAAGTAGAGTAGCCGAATTTTTCGCTTTTTGCCTTTCGCGTGTTACTTTTGTTCGCTAATATGATTTTTGCTAGCCGTTGGGCGATCTGTTTCAATTCGTTTGTTATTGTTTTGTGTCCAAGTCGTCGTCGACGCCGGCTCGTCGGCGACTACGAAACGACCTAACTAATCCGAAAAAACCTAATCTTGTCGAATGAAGGCTGTTTGATGAACCTTTTTCGAAGTGAGGAAGCAGAAAAACATATTCTCTCAAAGCGCAGAGAAGAGAGAATACCGTTTTTCGTGTCTGTTGGAAGAAAAAGCCGCAGCCGGCGTCCCCCTGCGTGTTCGCGCCAACCACAGTTTTCAAATTTTGTCGCGCTCCCCTCCGTTTCCCTCGCTTCAAACACGTTTTTTCTTCGTTTTTCGCACATCGACCTTCTTTACAAACGCTAATTAATCTCAGAAAACTTGGAAGAATGTCCGCAAACTCGCAGCCAATTCATGAGCCGACGCCGGAAGAAGTGACTGCGCTAAGGGAGGAGATGGGTAAGATTCTGTCGGATCCGGTGAAGGCGGCGCTGGTGCAGGAGTACCTGGTACTGCGCATGGAAAATCGAGATCTGGAAAAGAAGCAACAGTTTATGGAGAAGGTGAAGGAGATCACGGGCAAGGAGAAGGAGAAGGTGATGCAGGAAACAAGCGCCGACGACTCCGAGTAACACTTTTTGCTCGCTTTACCTGTATTGCAGTAATTGTTGTTTTGTTTCGAATACATCGCGTTAACAAGATTCTGTGTGTTTTTTTTTTCGGTCTGGCTGTCAAATCGACCAAGAAAATATCGAAAAGTTACTGTGGCAGAAAAAATGTGCAGTCCGCGCTCATCACATTTGACGACTTTTCCTGAATGATTTGTCATTCTTGTCTTCCGTCACTCTCCGTCCTTTCCTCATTCGTCTTTTGTCCAGCTGCCGTTACGCGGCTTTTCCCCAATTCTTTCTGCCGAACCATCTGTTGATCGAGACCGATATTCCGTGAATTTTCCGCCAAATTAACACTTTTTGCCGGCTTCGTTGAGTTTTTTTCGAGGCGACGCCGCGACAGCTGTTTTCTTATCAAAATTCGATGAAATCGAGGTCGCCTTCATTTCATTTCATTCGATTATTCACTTTGCATGCATCCGTCTTTTGCATTTTTTTTCCACGTCTTTCCCAAGCGTAATGTGATGATTTAAAAAAAAGAAGCTTTTTTTGAAAGTTTAAACGCGGCGCCAGTTTCTCAACAGTTTAATGGGGTTATTCCGGCTGTGAAAAAAATGATTGTTTTCCGATTTTTTTTCGTTTTTTTTACGTCAAAAATCCAATTCAGCGATGTAAAAAAACAAAAAAAAAAACAGAAAACAAATATGCGGTGAATAGCCCCATAATAGATCAATAGATTACCGGTTCTCGAGCCCGGATGTGATTCGAAAAACCGCGCCAACGCATTAGATATGCTAGTTGGCGCCAATTTGACTTTGTAGCGGCAGAAGAACGCTTTTCACGGCCATTTAAGTAAATAATCATCGCACTCGTTTGAATTTTCATTCTTTCGTCGTTTCTCATTAAACAATTCCGTGATTTGTAGCTTTTTCTTCTAAAAAAATCTGAATTTTTTGCAGAAAAACTCGGCCATGCACTGTGCGCCGTCGACGTCCGGATACAGCCCATCGTCGTCGTCCTCGTCGAAGTACACGTTCAAGGATCCGCTGTGGTACGTCGACGACTACGATGCGGAGGTGTGCGAGGCCCGAGAAGCGGCGATGAAGTACACGTACGAGCTGTACGTTTTGGACGAAGTCATGCTGCGGAGACAAATGGAGTTGGTGACCGTGCACTGTGCGCGGAAGGTCGGGAAGGAGGAGAAAGAGGCACGCAACATGGAGTGTCTGCTGTACAGAAGTTACTGCGAGATCCGCGCGGAGCAGATGATCGGGATGGACGTGCGGGGACGGCTCGACACGTTCCGGGCTGCGATCAAGGCGTGCACGCATAAAGGATACCTGTGTCCGGGAGTCGAGGGTGATCTCTTGTACGGAGCGGATTTGATGAAGGACGGCGCGAAAGCTATTAGGATTGACTTTCTGAACCGGTTGGAAGAGACACAGAAGCACGAGCACGAATTGGGAGATATGTACGTTTCTTTTAGATTCAATTTGTTCCGATTTGACTCTAACTGTATTTTGGGTCCAAGTTTCACTAGGAAAGTTTTTTAATTGGCACTTGAGAAAAATCCGAATAGCTTAAAATTAACCAATTTTCTTTCAGAGACTTGATGCCCGTCGAAAAAATCGAAATGTTAGTTGACGAGTACCTCAAAGTGGAAGAATTGGAGATTCGATTGGTCCAATATCAGATGAAAACGAATGTGAATGTGTCGGTGGATCCGCCGGAAGGAATCACTCCGATCCAGCGGCAGGAGTGGAACTGCTGGCGGTTATTCGCCCAAGTGATCCCCGTCGACGAAATGGGAACCTTCAAACTGTTCCTGGAATTCCTCGAGGACGCCATCGAGACGTACACCAACTGGAAGCCGCAAAAGCCACGCAAAGAGACGGTCATCTTGCTCCGAGCGGGTCTTGCGGTCGTCAAGGGGTTTAGACGTGTTTGTGATACGTTGTGTACCGTTTAAATTTGTATTTTACTATATATTTGCTGTATTTATATTTATCAGGACATTTTTCCAACTAATGATATTCACATCGAAACATTAACCGTAACCGGCCGATTGGAAGTCAACCCTTTTCTCGAACCGTTTTATTGCTGAATAAAATTCGTTGATCGCAGGTTTTAAAGCATCGGCGATAGAAAAGAAGCCCTCGTTTAGTGCGGTGAGAAGCTCTTTTCCATTTTTGGAAAGTGTCAATATGAAGTGTGTCGTCGTAGGATTGAAGTTGCAGCCGAAAGTTTGTACACTTCTCACTACCGTTTTTGTTTTTGTATTTTTGGTGCCAGGAAAGAAGCCGGTGTTTCACTGCAAACATTTGCCTCGCACGCTTACTAAAAAGTATAACGCATTTCTGAAAACATAGGCTCCCCAATCTTGAACACGTCATTCCGTTCCATCCCGCCCATCTCGGAGTGCTACGCCTCTCCTGTGCTGCGAGAAACGTTTATTTGACGTCTTCCCTCGTTAACCCGAGATGTTCATTGTTTTCCAGAGAATGGGCCGATGCGCGTGTCAAAAGTGGAAGTACAAGCATACTTTGAAATTGATTCGCAACTACAACAGGCTCATAAAGACCGAGCAGAAGACTCTGGAAGCCATCGAGCGTCGTGTGGAGCGAAAGAGCCAGGCGATCAGGTAACGAGCACTGGGAGAGCCTGCGAAATGTACGAGTATTCAGAAAAGAGTGGGAAGAACTGCTGAGAGACTATCCGGAATTGCTCGAATATACGTCTGAGTCGGACCGTAATCTCGTCGAACAAATGTACAAAGACGACATTGATTTGACGAAGGGAATGGGCGAGGCGAGGAAATTGGATTGTATGAAACGGCAGAAGAAGTACAAGAGGAAGATGGAGATACTGCGGAAGATGCGTCGGCTGGAGGTACGCTCCGAGTCGAGACACCTTACTTCCACACAGATTGGACAGTACCAGACGTATCAGATGGATCTGTGGGAGGTATCGGACGCTGAGTCCGATTCGGATTCGGATTCTGATTGAGTTTGTTCTGGTTTCACCAGCGTCCGTTGAGGCATAGATTTTTAATCATTTTGTAATGTTCCGATACTTTACAGGCTTTCTGGACTTGGATCAAAGATCGGATTATCTGGTTTTGAGGTACATGGAGGCCGAAAAGACCGCAAATTTTGCAAACCTGTACATCTCCGGACCAGAGGATCCCATCGATCTGAAATTTAGATATACTAGATACTTCAATCCAAGTCCCAAAGACCTGCAAAGTTCGGGTTCGATCCAAACATTTCAAATGGGTCAAAAGTTCAGCCTCGACACGCTTTCGAAAAGCCTAATATACACAATATTCATATGTTTGTCCAGTATTTAGAATTCGACAATAAAATACAGACTGTTCACTTCTCCTTCGTCTTCTCCTTCTTCTGCTCCTCGAGCTCCTTCTCCGCCTCCATCATCCTCCGTCTGTAGTGCTCCTTCTCCCTCACCAGCTCCGCGTTCTTCTTCTGCAGATCTTCAACAGTATCTTTCGGATCATGAGCAGAATACGGTGGTGGCGGAATGAATCCCTCTGCCAGCTTGATCTTGACCATCTTCTCGGCGAGTTTCACCCTCGACCGGGCGCTCTCGTGCTTCCGAATCTCGGCCGTCAAATCGCTCTCTATCCATTTCCTCCGTCGATCCTCCAACTTTGGGTCCTCCAGCTGAGCCGTCAGTTCCTGAATCTTCTTGTCACATCGTTCCACATCGGTTCTGTACATTTGCAGGTCCGAATCGGCCATTTCCTTGTGAAACTCGTAGGATTCTTGAGAAACGAGATGATCGAAAGACTCGCAATAAGGATAAGACGGTGCGGAACTGCTTGTTCCTTGCTCTTCTGAGTTCTCAGCTGGTCGCTTCTTTTCCTCATCATCTTTCTCGTCGGGCTTCTTGAAGAACTTCTTGACGCATCCGAGCACGTTGGGCATCTTCTGAAATGGGAACGGATTGTGAATTGACGGAAAAATCGAGGGAAACGGCAGGTGAACTGAAAATTGAAGCAGAAATGACGAGTGACGTCGATAAATGTGTCATGTGAGTAAACATGGACGTCATATCGTTAAAAACCTATGACGTTCCGCAAAAATTTGATTACAACGACATTCTAATAGAGATTATTCAACTTTTCATCGAAAATTTTGACTACTAACCAGCCGGTATACAAACTTGGCCCCAAATGTGAAACATAACGCTAATTTACACTACAATTAAGCGCTCTTTTCCATTTTCTAGACGTTTTCATCTTAAAAATGAGATTCTCAATAAAAAACAAGAAGAAACGCTCCGAAAGATGCGATGAAACGCGCAAGGGGGAAGTTAGAGATTGAAAAGCGGCGAGACGCAGATGGAGAGAAAAAACGGACAAAGAAGTGTGTGGAAGTGGTCGATAAGGGGAGAGAAAGAGAGCGCAAACACATAATATCAAATTATATAAACACTTTTTTTGCAAAAGCATAGTAACTTTCGAACAAGTTTGTACAGGCGTGCTTCTTCATCATCCGATTTCTGTGCTTTCGACTGATTCTGCAGGCGCACGATTCGGTCTACTTGTAGCAGTGTTCTAGAAAAAAATAGGCAGGGATTCGGGCAAATAGGAGCTAGCATGGCTTTCAAATTGAAATATCTGACTGAAATAGAAAACGAATAGAGGAATTAAATTCATTTATTGTTTGCACTCAAAAAAGTTCGTCTCTCTGGCGCCACCATTCGCAAGTCTTTTTGTGATTCATTCACACAAATGCCGATTTCATCGCGTCTGGCGGGCACCCTCAGAGACTTTTCTCTCGTTGAAACAGGGAAAGGATACTTTAGATTTGTGAGAGGAGTCCGTATTTACATCAATAGTAGTCAAGGAAGGGAGAAGAGTACAAAGTCAAGAGAAAAGAGGAAACTAGACAACTTTCGATCGAGAAAAACAGGGGGATACGGTAGTTGTGAGACCCGTTCGGAACGTAAGAACGCATAATGAGTGGGAAAGGACTAGACCGGTGCGCAAAAACATTTTCAGAGACTGGGGTAAAACGATGCACAGGGGGGAATGAGCAGTGAGAAGAAGTGGGCGGGACGGAAGGGTTCTAGAGGGGCATGCTTTCGACCGGCTCGAACTCGTCCTGTAGTGACGCCAGGATTTGTGCCTGTTTGACCGTCTGGATTTGGGTCTCGACACGCTGGAGGTCCGCGAGGATCTGCGCGTCGCGTTCTCGCATCTCTTGCTGGAAAGGGATTTTTATTATTAGAGAGTATTCCAAAGTTTTGGCCTACCATTTCCCTCTTCAACTGCTCGAACAGATTGCTAAAGTTGACGGGCCCTTCGTCTCCACTTTTCGACGTCGACGTCATTGAGACACTCGACTGCTCCGGAGTCGACGCACGATCCATCTCGAAGCCGCTGTCCGGATAACTAATGTCCATTGTCGCGTTCTCGGAGCGCATCGTCTGTAAATTGCAACTCTTTCCATCTAAAATCTCCGCGCAAACCACCCACCTCATCGTCGAAGTCGTCGTCCAGATGCGTCGTGTAGTCGTTCTCGTCGCTCGTCAACGGCGCCTTCTTCTGAATTCCGCCGCCGCCGCCGCGAATCTGATGATTCTGATTGTGATCCTCGTCGAAGAACACGGCCGACTTCTGGAAGTTGTCCATCGACGTCGAGTTCTGCTTCTTCGGCAACGTCGCCGACGTGTAGATCTTCTTGAAGAAGCGCTTCGTCGCGCGCAGGAACGTCGTATTGTTGTCGGCGCCCGTCGTGCCACGTGGCATCACGCCCGACCGGTTCATTTCGGTCGTCGAGACGGCGTGCGCAGAGGTCGTCGAGTAGGTCGTATGGGGACCCGCGCTGTGCGATCTGCAAATGGTCTCTTTCAGAAGGTGGACGGTTTGGTAGAGGAAAAGCGAAGGGCTCAAGTTTTCATCGGTTCAATGGAGCGCATTCGCAACATTGAGATCAAGAGAATAGATCAAGTTTCATGTAGCAAAGTCGGATTTGTCTAACCATCAGGTGATTTTACACTATGTTTTTGTCTAGACCCCTCGAAGATGTGTCACCCAAAAGATAAATGAGCGGGGTCTCAAAAAATAATGAAAAACATCCAAAGATTTGAGGTCAAAATCACAACCAGACTTGCAAAGAACCAAAAATCGGTTCAAAAGTGGTTGAAGTGCGTTTTTCAAACTTTTACCAATGAATCGTTTTGAATTTCTTGCACAAAGTCTTGCAAGTCTGATCACAATTGAAACGACTCATTTGGTTATTCAACAAAAAAGAGCAGTAATGTGTTTTCAAGAGAAAGAAAGTGCATGTAATGATGATGAGGATGGGCGCCGAGCCGCCGCCGACTCGGACTGGGGGGCTGTTGTGCTCTCCCGAGTGAGACATTTTGTGAAACCCAATCCGTGGCCGGTGGACGCGAAAAAAAGCGTTTTTCCGCGTACGAAAAGTGACACAATGAATGTGCCGACAAACAGCCGAACTCACCGATGATGTGCACTTCCTCGGTCCGAGTCGTCCGTCGAGCTGCCGCTATTCGTCTGCTCGTACTTTCTGCGCGAACTTTGCGAGTATTTCAGGTTGCGCGCGCTTTTCGATTGTGTCTGCTGCTGCTGCTGCTGCTGCTGATGGAGATGCGGATGATGATGGTGGTGGTGGTGGTTGGAAGAGGTGGAGGAGGAGTCGTCTAGTGCCAGCAATCCGCTCGCATCCTTCCGCGACTTTCGGACGAACGCTTCCGACGATTTGACGCCCGTCGAGTTGCCGTTGAACGAGTCTGCAACATTTAGGAATTTATTGGAGGCTCCAGCGATATGGGCTCTTTTTGCAGCAATATCACTAAAGTTAGCGTAGCAAGGTTAGGCCCCAAGTATGATTTTTGAGTAAACTATGCCACTTTTTACGTTTCATAAGTAGTTTTAGTACCAAGTACCAATTGTGAAAGGTCTCCTTTATGACTCTAATTAGTTGAAAAAGAGCGGGTACTTCAAGAAATGACTAGAATGGTTTTTCCGCTTTTCCAGTACAAGCTCACTATAAAAGTACAAGAATTCTTCCTTATTCTTCTTTAGGGGCAAGCAATGTCAGTTAAAATATAGCAAAGCTAGAGCGGTCAGGTGATTATGATTAGTAGAGGAATGCGAAAGTGTGCTCCTAACTGGCGCCTCCTCATGTCAAGTAGGCTAGAGAGAGAGAGAGAAAGAGAGAGAGAGAGAGTACACACAGTCTCAAGTGACAGTTTGACTGCAAAACCACCAACTGATAAGCTCCGACAAACACCAATTCTCAAAGAATCGAAAGAATGTTGCCCCCTTTTAATGACCGCCTCCTCGGCCGCCCGGGGTGTGTTTGTCCAGTTTTCTCACGGCACCAAAGAGGAACAATTCTGGGGATTACCATTTGGAAACAAACACTTTTGTGAGAAAGCGAAAACAAGAAAAGTGAGTGCGAAATTGTCAAGTGGACTGCTGGAAGAGGGTGAGGAATAAGAATAAGAAGAAGAAGAAGAAGCCGGAAGGGGCACTCCTATTTCTCTGTTTTTTTGAGGGGCGAGAGAGGGAGCACATGGAAATGACGTGGATTGGGGCGTGGCGGTAATTTGTTGGATGAAATGAAAGTGAAGCAAGTGCGCTCTATTGAGTATGTGATAAGGAGCTCTTTGCTGAGCTCTTGTAGCTCTAAAGGTCTTAATGAAAAAGCCAAGGAACACAAATGTACTCTCCTAAACCTCATCCAAGTTGGTGTGAGAGAGGGGGTAAGGAACAGGAAATGCAATCCAAGTAACGCCATCCGAGAGCACTATTTCCGGCTCTAGAAGCACAAGGAGCAAACGGCATGCTACTACGACTACTATCCCCCTCTGCCGTTTCGATGGGTCCTCCTCTCCCTCCCCCTCCGACTTCTCATAAATATTTTGAGTTTATGGGGTTGAGAAGCGAGGGAAATGAGAGCAAGCGTCTTTTCGAAAAGAAGAAAAAGACCTCCGAGTGGGGCCGAAAAAGTGTTAAAAAGGGAAAGAGAAGAGCATGCGCCACGAGGGGAAGGACAAAGAGCTAATGAATTTCGGAAAAGCGGAGGAGAAGAGAGAGAGAGAGAGAGAGAGTGGCGGTTGTTGGTTGGATATGCTAAATGTTTGTGTGCGTCTGTGCTGGGTATGCAAATTTCAGAGTGAAAAGTCAAAACGGGGGTGGCCTTGGATCCGACAACTTGCGAGCTGAGGGGTTTCATTCTATTTGACAAAACTTTGCAAGCTTTGATCAGGTAAATTTCAGAGGTAACGTTCCTGGCTTCGATATTGTTCATACCGATAGCCTAGGATCCGACAATCATTGAAAATGATGGCCTAACTTCACAAAACATCATAAAATGACCTAAAGTCTGGCAAGATCGTTTTGAGTTTGGTAATCTGGAGCCTGGCCAGAGTTGACGGCCTAGGATTTGACAATGTGATTCTTGGTTATACTGAAATCATTGTAAACTAGTTGCTAAACTTGACACCCTAAAACGCGCAAATTCTGAGTGTGAAACGGAACGAAACATCTGCATAGTTGTTGACCCGGATCCCCTTCCTATTCATAGACTCTTTCTTCTTCTTCTTCTTCTTTTTCTTCTTCTTGACAAGTACATACTTACACTCATCCCGGAAAACATTTGTTCAGTTTACCAAATAGAGCGTAAAGTGAGGAAACCACACAAACCTTCGCGTCGTTCGTTCTGCGCCACCACATACGACAGCTCGTAGACCATTTCAAGGTTGAAGCTGAGCCGGAGAGCTGAGGTCGCACTAGTACTAGCGAGGGGTCAGCAGCAAAAAAGAGATAGTGTTTCTCGAGGATGAAGATTCGCAAAAGATTTGAGAAGGACAGTTGTTCCCCGGGCGGCCACCCGTTTCAATTAGATCCTCTTTTTCCTATCGCTTCTTGCATTGTTGAACGTGTGTGTGCGTGTGTGATCAGCATCTTTCTCTCTTTTCAGAGAAAAAGAGAAGAGAAGACAGGTGTCGCCTTTTCGCAACAATCCGGGGGCAAACAAACATATTATATCGCGATGGCAGTGCATTGATGATCAAAAGAAATGTGGTCCCGTGGAAATGGGTGCCAGGAGCCATGGAGCCACGCGGCTCTTGCGGTTTTCAAGTGTTACAATTACAAAGCCTCCCTTGATATAAAATGGATAGGAGAGCATGAAAAAGAGAAAGAAGAAGAAAGAGAAAACTAGAAGCTGGACAGAAGGTGCCGGAAGTGAAATGAGATGAGATGCAAATCGAATTTATTCACTTTGCTTTTTTTACTACTAGAGACGAAGGAATGTGTGTTCTTTAGTTGAATAGGAGAAAATTAAATGGAATACGTTGGGGGAAATGACAATATGGAAATTTTGGCAAAGAAGTGTTCAGCATTTTTCCAAGTCAAAGGATGTGAACGGCCACAAGAAGTGCGGCAACACGCTTCAAAACTCTACGCACAACTCAAAAACTAAACATTTTCAGACAAAATGATCAACTATAAAGTTGTTTATCATGAAATTTTCCACATTTTGTTAGTTGACAACTTTTTGGTAAACTTGTTGGGTTTCTAGATACATGTCTTCAAAGTTAGACCTCGGATGTCAGCAAAAAAAAATGCAGAGAAAAACTTGCGAGGGGAATGTGTCAAAGTCAAAACCAGGCCAGTCACTAATGTGTTTTCGGGGGGACTCTAATTACAGTGCTAACGGAGAAAAGAGAGAAAGAAAAACAAAAAAGCAAAAAGGGAGGAGAGTAAGTATCCAAATTGAGATGAATCATGCGAATCCGTCTTACCTCTACCATCGCCTCCGTCCGTGACCGCTTTTCCGCCGCCAATCACGGCCAGCGAGATGTCCTTAAACGTGACGAGCCATGCCCACAGGTCGATGAGCGACAGAATGAAGAACATGGGCCGTCGCCACCACCGCGTCGTCCTCCACAACACCCACGTCAAAATGACCAAGTGGTAGGTGTGTTGGGGAGGCGGCGGAAGCGGTGAGAGTTCAAACAGAAAGGGTATTATCGGTATTGTGGTTGGGTGGGAAAGCACCTCGAGCTCGGAAATCCACAATCACAAAACTCTCAAGAAAGAGAGAGAGAGACCTTCTTCTTCTTCTTCTTTGCCTCCTCCTCAACAGTACTGGTGTTGGGGCAAATAAGAGGAAGAGACAGGTCTTGTGTGCAGGTACACGAGTACAATGTTTAATCTTGTCACTGTTTCGAGCGCGCGCCGGCACGCGCTTCCTCTCATTAATAATGTTTCAGTCTTTTCGGCAACAAAACATGTGTGCTGTTCGGATGAGGAATCAAAACCATGTCGGAGTGGAAACTGGTTGAGGATGGGCTCGAAATAGTTCGGAACACGGAATAGGGTGTTGCAGAACGGAGGAGACAAGCACAAAGGATCAGAACACGGCTGTTGGAGCTGTAGTTTCGATCATGTTTTCAGTAAACCAGGTGTTACGAAGTTGTTCGGCTACCGTAAATACTATTTCGGATGATATATCTCAGCTGTCAATGGAGATATCAAAAAGTTTTCAACAAATCAAATGTGCAAAATGTCTTTTTGTGTAATTTATCAGTTAGCAACTTTTTAAAATCTCTATCAGCAGCCAAGATAAATAGTTTTGAATAGACTCATCTCCCTTCTGATAGCTTCCAGGCCCTCTACAATACTTGACAAACGTTTCAAGCATAGGTCTTTAACCTACAAAGTTTGATAGCATGCACTTGGAATACTTAAAGTTCACAAAAAGTTTATTGGAGCGCATTTGCATCACAAGTTCACAAGAGAACATCTTGAAGATCCACTTGATTATCCGCTCATTGATCCCTACTCCCTATCAAATCAACTCTCAAAAAAAAGTTCATCATCACCCCAGCGCCGCTCGTGATAAAGAAGGGGCGACACTTGACACAAACTGTTAGGTAATCAAAGGGAAAGTGCTGCTGACAGAACAAAAAAGCGGTGACGGTGGCGAGAAAAGTGACCGACAATATGTGCACAAGAGGCCGCCTGTTTGTGTTGCTCTGCTCGCCGCGCAGTGCGAAAAACAATAGAAAAAGAGGACAATTAGAGGGGGGGAAAAGGCGCCAAAGAGCAGTCAGAGAACGAAAAGGTTCAAGTGTTCACTCGCTGACAATTCGATTGCCATCCATCGCCCATTTGTGAGAGATCTGCGGCGGCGACGACGACGTCAAGTGGGTGGCAAATCGACGGACGAAAAAACTTGACAGTTTTGCGCTCAGTTCACCTGATTGGATTGGGATTTGGATGGAGAAGGGAGAAAGTTCCGACGGAGAAGGACGAGGAAAGCGAGGGGGATTAGTCAAGAAAAAGTGAAGGAAACTTTCAAAGCTACCAGTTAGCCTTGAAGTAGCTAAAGTACAAACGTTTTGAAGCAACAACAGTTTTAACAGCACCGTCAAGCATGTAGAATCATCATCAGCGCCTACCGTAAAAATATAGTACAATTTCAAGACAACACATTTCAGCTGTCTGTGGAGGTATCAAACAGTTGTCAACTAATCAAATGTACACCATATCTTGCAAAACAATCTGTTAGTTGACAACATTTCAATATCTCTGCTCGTAACCGAGTTAAATCGTTTCAAACACTTACTCCATTTCCACAGCAAATTCAGACACATACAGACGTGGTCAATGCTTTGCAGCAGGAGCAGAACACAAAAGAGACAAAAAGAAAGGTCTGTTCACAAACAGATTATCATCACTGCTTTCAACAAAATTCGGGCGCCGGGGGATTAACAATCGCGAACTAATATACCATTTTGTACTACGCGGGCAGCAGCAAAAATCATACTTGTTCCCATTTTTATACCCGGGTCCTCCAAATGAGAACAATGGCATTTTTGGTACCTGACTCATTGGGTATCAATGAAAAATGTCTCTCATTTTCGACTAGGCTACATTCTAGGAAAACCGTCTTGTCGGCCGTGCAAATGGGATGATGAATGAATGAGAACGGACGGGTTGTGGGTAGGATTTGAAAAGAAAGGAGAGGATTACCTATTCATGTATGCGAGAAAAGTTAGAAGATGGGAAGAAAAAGCGGAAAGGATCGGGTTGGGAACGAGGAAGATTTGAATGGGAAACGATCGGAACGATTCAAACTCACCAATATCGTCTCGACTGCACACGTACTGACAATATTCGGTGCTCGAGAAGAAGTCGTGCGTTTGGCTCATTTTGTTAGGCAGACCTGAAGAAAGACTTGTTAATTTTGGGTTCGTCAGGAAGAATTCGAATTTGAATCTTCTGTCCTGGTCATTCCGGGGGGTTATTGCGAGCGGAAAGGAACGAGATAAGGGAGGGCATTTGATGGGAATCGAGGGTGGGGTTGTAACATCGTAAAAGCTGTTGTTTTTTTGGACGAGCGGGGCTAATTGGCATTCCTCAGATTGCGATCGCCGAGGGGAACTGATTTCAAATTGAAAATGTTACCCTAGAAGATCGAAACACACCAAGCCCGAGCCTGTTGGAGCCTGCTAAAGCCTTCTAGAGCCTGTTAGAGCCTACTACAGTCACTAGAGCCTTTTATAGCCTGCCAGAGCCTGCTAAATCGAGATATAGCCTTCTAAAGCCTACTAGAGCCCGTACTGATACTTCCACGCCTGTACATTAGTAGCTTACCGTGCGTCAACTCAACTCGATAGGAATACAGTTGTGTGGTCATGCGTAACACAATAATCAACATGGATTTCAAAAAAACCTTCCCCCTTCTCAAAAACGGCAACGAAACGTACCCAACGACAACTGTGTGTGCGTGTGATGAATGCGCGACAGGTTGGGACTGCTCTCGCCGAGCCGACTGTGCCGTTTGTCGACGCTGAGCAGGTTGGAGCCAAGTGCGGCAGAAGAAGCGGTCGTCGAGGCGGCTGAGGCGGCTGTTGAAAGGTGATGGAGTTCCGGCGACGAGCTGAAAATTGATGGCCATTGAAAAGAGCCATGAAATTTGGTAGGATTACGGTCGCTCTACCAACATTTTGAACACCGAGAACACTCGGTCAGGTGGGAGGTCAGAAAACGACGACGACGACGACGACAAAGGAACACAAGTGTAATTGACATGAAAATGCGGATTACGGACGGAGAGAGGGAGTGAGAGAGGGAGCGAAAAGTTAATGGTCATGTACATTCATATACACATGCTGGCTTTGTGAATAGCACCCAAAATAAACAAATTCCAAGCCAGAGGAGCACTTTATGTAGATGATTCCAAACTTTTCTTGTCATTGAAATTGATACTAGACAGCTGATCTGATCAAAACTTAAAAAGAGAAGAAGAGGGAGAATAAGAGAGAAGGAGAAAGAGAGAGAGAGAGAGGAAGGAAAAGTAAAACAGCTGTGTTTTTGTGTCATGGAACTTTTGTTGTTTTTAGGTGCGGGAGGGTTTAGATCAAGTCGGCCAGGTGAAAATCAATTGGGACACGTGGATAGTAGACAACTTTGAGCCGAGTTGCGCTTTGTATATTTTTCCAGTGTTCTAGAAATAATTTCTTACTTATTAGTAACTAAAAGTGTCTTGTGAGCAAATTTCCCGGCTCAAAGATTTACGTACATAAAAAAGTGGTCGAAATCTGACGGCCGAAGGGGTGGAACTCTTGAAATGTGCTTTTTTTCGGCGCGGAGGGGCGACCGGAAAACTGGGCACAGAGTCACTTTTTTGGCAAAGAAATGTGCGGGTGCTCTTGCTCAAATAAGGAGGGAAACGGGTCGGTCAAGTCAAAAAAAACAGAAAAGTTGTCGCGAGAATGGCAGCAAAACATCGTTTAGCTTTTCAAATTGAACCAATTTGTGTGCGACAAATTGATAAGACTTCCCTCTCCAAAAAAAAAGGAAATGACAGGAAATGACGATTGATGATAGTGAGCAGATGTGGGCAAGAAAGGGAAGGGAGCACACGCCATCGGTGTCGTCAATTTATTTATGAGAAGTGAATGTGGGGGGTGGGCGAAGGGGTGGGGAATTATATTACGTGCCGGCCATGTTTGACATCTTTTTCGAGCATTTGTACGGGCATAAAGCATACATAGGGAGCAAGAAGTGTGAAAATTATAGAACGGCCCGCCAATACCGTTCTTTCACAACAATGTATCTCAACTACTAGTGGAGATAGCAAAAGGTTGTGAACTGATAAAATGCGTCAAATATCTTAATAAACAACTTCTTAGTTGACAGCTTTTTGATAAATGCACTAACAGCTGAGATACACCGTTTTCTATACACGGTATTTGGGATGTCACTCTATTATAGGTTTCTTTGTACCACAACCTCTTTCCTGACGATTTTCTCTTGCTTTTCATAGAAATCCACGAAAAAAAAAGTTGCGAGGAGAAAAATTTACGATATTTTCAGGCGCGGCACTAGATTTTCAGAGCCTTCTCGTGACAAGACCCAAAACTTTCCAGTAGGTTAAAAACTGGAACATGTAACGTTGGCGAAATCTGGTTGCGTCCATCTGTTGTGAATGATGATGATGATGATGATGTGGAAAATAGTCAGCGAAGCGTCAAAGTTTTTGATGAAAAAGGTCAAAATTGGCATCGAAATTCAAATGTTTGCGCAGCTTTTTGACGCGTTTCGCTCCTTTAAGAGAAGACAGCTGTGAGGCACGGGGAACTGTCAAAATAAGAGTGTTAAGGGAGAAAACAGGGAAAAAGGGAGGAGAAACAACAAGGAAAAAGGACATATCTGGATTGGATTGGTGCTCTCAGAGAGCTCTCCTCTCCAAAATGAAGCAGCGAACAGCAGGCTTCTTCCGCTCGCTTCTCACCCACCGAATAAGTCGTTGTGTATACAATTGCAAACATATGGTCAGCCTCTTACCAAATAATGCACATTTCCGACATTCGCAACGGCTCAAGAAGTAACAGATTAGATCGGGAAAGAGGAAAGAGAGAGAGAGATGGACCTTCTTTTTGCGTGAGATCTCCCGAGTGACAAATCATGACAGCTCGGAGAGTTGTTGCTATCTCATGCAGATCAAAAGTCGAGGTGGGTTCGGACCAACTTTCTTCGATATTATATAATTTGAAGTTTGGCAACGCACACAAAACGATTTGGTTTTTTTTTTCAGGGTTTCTTAAAACGATACATTTGAAAGAGCCTTTTAGATGTATCGATCTGATTTCGGAGATTTTATGAGAATAAAAGTTGTACCAGCGTCCTAAGCCAAGACTAGGAATCTTTTCCGGAATACCTCTTGACGCCTACTACTCAATCCTAGGGGGTACGAATCAAAACAAACGACATCCTCCCTCTCGGCGAGAACCGGAAATACTTAGGCGGCTTCATCTTGCTTCTTGCGGGATACTTGAAGGTGTCAAGTTGAGTTATGAGCGAAAAGATGAAAAGATGAGGGAGTGACGTGGCAAACTGGTATGGGGGGTACTTGACGAAGCGGAGCCCGGGGGGCTTTCGAGTGATCAACTGGCTAAAACGGACTGTAATACGAGCTGGTGGGGGCACAAATTGCTCAAAAATGAGCTCGCACAGCTTGCTTCTCGAATATCTTATTTATCCAGGCTTTCAAAGTGAGGGCAAAAGAAACGGGGGGAAAGCGATGAAAACGTTTCTTTTTCGTATGGTTTGTGTGCTTTTCTTTCCCTCGAGTGTGTGTGTGTGTGTGTGTGCATATGCCATTTTCTTCGCCCCATTCGTTTCTGACCAATCACATTATCAAAAAGTTCGCACTTTTTATGGGTTTTGCAAAGCAAACGCATCAAATAGAAACACTTCGTCTCTACAGTAATCCGGAAATTCAAAAAGGTAAAGGGATCGAATGAGGAAGATGCGAACGGACAGTCAAAGAAGATAATCATCATTATTGGACCCATCTTAGATTTGCGAAAGTGTGTGTGTCCTTCGATTTGAAAACGGAAAACGAAGGCTTGCTTTCGCCCTCCCATCCGTTCGCTTTTCAAGGCCAGAACGCGCTTAATTGCGAGCCGCCGAAGGACGTGCGAATGTTGCCACGTGGGCGGCGGCGATTTGAATTCGAAAAATGATTGATCGGACGGATTGGAAGAGTGAAAGTAGAAAGAAATGTTAGGTCACGATAAACAGTATGAGGCCTTCAAATATTGAAATAGAAGAGCACTCCAATATCGTTCTTTCAGCGCAATGAATCTCAGCTGTCTGTAGAGTTATCAAAAAGTTGTCGACTAATAAAATGTGCATAATATCTTAGTGATTAATTTATCAGTTGACAACTTTTGGATATCTCCACTGGCAGCTGAGATAAATCGCTTTGAAGTCACGTTATCGCTATGCAGTTACGCTCTACCGCTAAAGTTCACGTTCTCAAAATTGGGCCATCACTAGTAACTTCGGCCATTCCCTCAGCTTCTACCTTTCCCCGTGAACCTCTTGAACCAACCGCTGCCACACTTTTACATTCGGATTTCTCGGAAATTAGGCTAATTTCGTTTGCAACCTCATCAACCATTCACCACCACAGAAAAGACATTCGGTTCCACCTCATTTGGGCACCAGACAATAAAGCGGAATGGATGCGAGCGGTGGGGGGACCGAAAAGAAACAAATCAAAAGGACAGTGGCATTTCACGACAAATGGAGAATTGAGGAGAAGGAGAAGGAGAGGGCTTTTTGTGGTTGACACAGTGTTTGGAATAGAAGGGGAGATGCCATGGAATGGGCAGGGATGGACAATTAGTGTTGGTGGCCGACTGGTCTTCTGCGGAGAGAACGCCGCGTCCACCACGGGATTACCTTCCAAAGTGACGACCAATTGTGTGTTGTTATCCACGTAATCCTATTGTAAACGTGGGGGTCTAGAGATATTCTAGGAGAGGGACACGGGTACTAAACTTTTGCAGAATAATAATTTTCCAATTCGTCCTAAAGACTGACTAGGTAGTGAACAATTTATGGAAGAGCTTCAGAAAAAAAAGAGAAAAAGAGATAATGTACAGGCGCTAGAACGTTCTAAGAAAGTCTAGAAGCGTCCCCAACGGATCACGGTAGGCCCAAAACTCCGCAAAATCTCACCACTTCAATCGGGACATCGGCTCCTCGGACCTTCGTTCGTTCATCGTCCGCGCTCCGCCCACTTTCCATGTTCCAAATGCCACCGACCTGAAATGAACGAAAACTTCAACTCCTGGCAGACTTTACTAACCCTTTCGCTTTGAGAAAACATAGTGGATTGCGAAAAAGGAGAAGGTTGACCATTTGAGAAAGGGGAGAAGAAATGGAGGATCTGTTAGGGATCCAGATCCACGTCAGAAGGCGAAAACGGGAGGACACGTAGGGAAAAATGCCAGTTTTGTATGTGTGTGTGTAAAGGACGTGAAATCGAATGGGTTTTCGAAATATAATTGGCTTGAACTAATTTGAATTGCCGCCCCCCGTCGAGAACGGGACATACCTGTACTGTCTGCGCGCATTCAGCGTATTCGAATGATTCTGGAGCACACCGGCTTCGACCATTTGTGTGTACTTGGAAGACGTCGATGATGATGATGATGTCGACGACTGTTCGTGTGTGTGTGTGTGTGTGTGTGTGCTGAAGTCATCAAATATTATAGGAAAAAAAGGGTGAAAGGCGAAAGCGCATCATCATTATAGCAGCCTGGTTTCAAAAGGAACGGCGTCGTAAACGAGAAGCAGGAGAAAGAGAGAACGAAGAAGGAGAAGGAGAAGGCGTTTACACAACAAGGAACATCATCACAATGGGGGCCAAAAGGGGGAGAGGTGAAGTGGCTTAAACAAGTGGGGGGGAGAGGCTGGAATTGTTGTTGGAGATGTTCAAGTTGGATCAACTTCTGGGGACCCACAGATATTCTATTCTTAAAAGTATTGGTTGTACGGTCTTACACTCTAGCTAATTGATTACTTTTTTGTACGGCCAGTTCCTAGAGTACTGTAGTCCTTGGAAGCTGAGACAGCTCTACATTTCAGCACTAACTTTCAAGAGCTACAGTATTCCAGGAAGTGGTGGTACAGAAAAGTGGTAAGCAGTAAAGATGAAGTACCAGACGTAAAGATTTTGTTAAAAACATTTTTTTAGGCCGATAAAAAAGGGAAAAAAGTGCATGAAATCGCTAGCGGATCATAGTATTAGTGGCGGTCAGCCTCTCTTAAATGCCCATCTCTCTTCCTATTTTGGAGCCGCTTGAAATGTGAGAAGCGCGAGAAATTCGAATCGGGAGCCGCTTCCGTCTTAAAAAGGGTTCATCCGGATGGCTATACTTTTCGTGGCGGCACAACTGAACTCTCAGCTAGTTCACTAATCAGTTGGAAGGTGATTTTACCGTAAAGCCTGATATGGCACGGGCACTCTTATTCAAGACGGTATATTTCAGCCGTTTGTAGAGATATCAAAAAATGGTCAACTGAGAAAATGTACAAAACATTTCAATGCGTAATTCATCAGTTGACAACTTTTTGATATCTCCACAGACAACCGAGATACAGCTGTCCTATAACTGGTTATACGATACTGTAAGTTTCAAAAAGAAGACCGATGATATGGAACAGTTAGAACAAGAAGAAGAAGAAGAAGAAGAACATGCTCTCGCCCTTTGATGTTCCCCGATGCGAAGGGGGGTAAACAGTTTCTCAGTGGCAATGCAATGATATATGTCAACATTGGGCGAGCAATAAAGCAGACACATTGTGGTAAAAATAAAAGAGACAGGAGGGTAAACAGGATGATAACTGGATAGAAGCCGTGCGTGGGCGGGAAGAGGGTCCAGCTGCTCGAATTTCGTTCGCTTTTGTGCACTTTGACTTACTATTTCTATCACATCACACAAAAGCAGTTTAGGTTAGGGGGGCCCAAATTAGATTTCACTTTTACACCCCTCGAAAGATTGCAGCTAATCATCAGTTTTACTAGTGCATATTGTCAACAAATGAATAGAAATGAAGAGAAGACAAAGCTCGGAACATTTTCATAAAAAGAGTGAGTGAGTGAGCCTGATGGGTCCGAAAGTGTGTAATCCAATCAAGAATGAGAGCAAACGGATGATGATGATGAGGGAATAGTGGAAAGCGACGGGATTTTTGATGTTGTCCCCTCCTCCGACAACATGAATTTGATGAAATGAGCAGCTTGCGCAGGTGGCTCCGCTTGCCTTCTCCCCAGCTTTTTGACACCTTTTCTCTCTCGTTTTTTCTCGCAAATCGGGTCAATTTCTCGCAAAAGATATGGATTTTGACCGAATTTCAATGTCTCTGGGTGTTCTTACAAGCGAGATAAGCTAGCCACTTCAGTTGAGTTCGAGGTTGTAGAAAACGTGGTTTGGTTGCGAAATGTCCGGTTGCCAACAGTTTTGCGAGTTCTAAGCTGTTGATTTTGATGTAAAACTCCAAATAACTTTCAAAAACTGCTGCTCGCATGCATTCCGCCTCAAATTACTTACACACGCACACTTTTTAGTGCTCGTTAAACTCGCTCCGCCCACTCCCATCTTTCATCTCTCTCTCTCTCTCTCTCTCTCTCTCTCTCTCTCTCAGGCTTTTCGGCTAGCGCGAACGTGAGAAAAAGTACGGAAATGACGCAAAACATATGGAAAAACGAGAAAGAAAGATGAACGAAGCAAATAATAAAAGTGTAGAATGACAAGAAGATCGGATGATGCACCATGAGTTGGCAAAGTTCCAAGAGGCAGGAATCGGTGGTGAGCGGAAATGCGAAAAACGGAATACGGAATACGGAATAGGGAAGTCCAAATTTCGCTAAACACTGATAGGCTCACAAAAGATAAAATGGATACTGGATATATTTGTAAAGTTTAGCAGCCGCCGTGCGATCTGACTGTTAAAATCTTATCAAATATTGAGTTACCGCCGCCGCAAAAGTTACGAAATGTTAAGGAAAACGCGGAAAAAAAGAGATCAGGATCATACTGATTCATACCCAAAAACCGAAAATCTTGGTGGTGGTAGCAGAAGTAAAACATCAAAGAAACTGCCGGCGGGCGAAATGCTAACAAAACTTGTCTCTTATCTCTCTTAACGAGGCAAAGCTCTTCTTTACCCGAAAGAAACGGAGCACCAGAATTACAGTAGAAACCACTTGAGAGAGAGAGAGAGAGAGAGAGAGAGAAAAAGAGAGAGAGAGAGAGAGGAGATACGGGATGTTTGCGCACAATCACGGGAACTTTCCGAGCTAAAGGATGGGGGAAAGATTCGAAAGCCGACAATAGTGATAGTTCAACTTTCAAAAAAATAAAAAGAAGTTTAGGCCCCCTAACTAAAGGAAGATCTGTTCTTCACTAAAGTTCAAGATCGAAAAAAAACCGAATATGGTTGCGAAATGTCCAGTTGCCAACAGTTCTGAGCTCTTGAGAAGGCTCAAGAACATTTCGAAAGAGCAAAAGAGCTAAACGGACAAGAGTTAGACACTTGGGCGGGTTTTGTTTTTTATTTCTGTTTCAATTTCTAGTTTCCTAAAGAATTTTGTTGACAGTATGACAATTTAGATAAGAAACATTCGTGGCGAGACCCAGTACCATCGCGAAATTAAAAGTTAGATACTTTGGAGTTACAAAACGTCTTTTGAAGGTCACAGCTTCTAGAACACTTCAAAAACCTAGGCTACAAATACCAATTTTCAAGAAAAAATCCACCTAGAACTATGATTTTTCAGTAAAAACAGACTATCCCAGCCGGAATCCTAGAAGCTCTCGTAAAATCCGCTTCAACTCAACATTCCCACCAACCCACTCTTTCTCTCAAAAAAAAAACGTTTCCTTACATATGGTTTGAATTAGTGTCCCCCGTTGGCTTGTATTTGACTACTCTAGACCCCCGTCTGCCAAGCATACACAAATTTCATAAAACTGGCGGGGGGGACATGAAGAAATAGGTAGAGCGAGAAGAAAACGCATGATTTTATGGGCCACCCGGCGGAAAATGAAAACGGACGACAAGAAGAAGAAGAAGATGATGAGCCAGCGAAAAGAACAAAAAGAGGGGGGTTTCGGAAACGTGTCAGAATTCGGAATTGGTGGTTCCAGAAGCTTTTCTCCAAAACATTTCACATTTGGGTACAAAACTGAAACTTCTTCTAAAAATTGAGGCGTCAAAAACCGGACAGCCTTTCCGTCAAATATGATGCATTTCGGAAAAGGGGTGAAATGTTGAAAAGTTACATGAGACACCTGACGAAAAGAGGAAAAGCGAGAAAAAAATGGGGAAAGTTGGTGAGGGATGGGGGGCGAAATGTGGAAGGAGACAATAGAAGGCGAGGGAAAAGAAGGTCGAAAGGTGAGGGATAGGAAATGGTGACGTGGCTCGGGAAGGAATACGGTAGGCAGAAAGCGAGAAGAGATGGAAGAAAATTTGAGATCCATAATAGCGATGGTCGGTATAAAAGGCGCGGCGCCAAAAGTTACCGCTCGCTAAAGGCTGTTCAAGTGTACAAAAGTGAGTCAGTTAGTCACTTCCAACTTTGACTTTGCATATTTAACACTAATATCATCCTTCTCGTCCGCTTGCCTCACTCAAATCACTCGCAAGTACATGCAGTAGCCGTCAAAAATGGTTTTCAAAAAGGTCAATTTTGAAGGTGCATAGCAAAGTTTGTAGAGTGGAATCTTGACACTTTGTAGTTTAATTTTGTAGTTCACAACTTTTCGGTAAGACCACTCCCTGGACTACGTTAGTTCCTGGAAGTTGGAACTAGTTGGGAGCCTATGCAAACTTCCACGAGCTACAGTAGTCCTAGGAGTGGTGGTGCAAAAAAGTTGTCAACAGGAAAAATGACGTACTAGACGTCAAGATTTCTCAAAAACTTTTCCAGACCGACATGACGTTTTGTTTTCACAAAAAAAAAGAGGAGGCGAGTGACACCTTACAAAGATGATCGTGTGCAACACATCCGTGCAAACAGTGTCCGAAATGCGAAAGGGAGACAGAGAGAGAGAGAGAGAGAGAGCAAACTGAGGTGCTCACAAGTGTGAAAGTGCGTCTCGAGAGTCTTGTTTCTTTTCAATCGGAAGGATTGCGGTTGCGCCGCGCGGAGGAACACTTGCGCCCAAAAAAAGAGAGGGAGCGGAAGAGAGAGAGAGAGAGAGAGAGTGTTTGGTATTGACCAGTTTTCGGAAAAGTTATGGAAACACAATAGCCAGAGGTTGTGCTCGGATGTTGTGCAGTAACATCGGGCACCTCCTGTTCTCCTACAACACACAACACACATCATAATCAGATTAGTTCGCGCATTTATTAGTGTTTTGTGTAAAATGGCGAGCGAACACGATCCTCGTCGATGAATTATGAGTTCATTGGAGTGCAAAAACGCGTCAATTCCCACGGATAGGTAACAGCTTTTTCCAAGAAAAAGTGAGGAAAAGGCGGCAATTTGAAAGGAGGAGGAGAAGTGGGTAATTATGAGTGTGGAACTAGTGCTTTAGACTTTGGTTCACTAGCTGTTTTCTGCCGTTCGAAAAAGTTGCGTGCAAAAGAGACTTTCTAGAACGCGGGATTGAACCCTTGGCCTCGCGGGTAAAGGGCAAAAGCATTGCCGCTGTGCCATGACTGCCCAACGCGCAGAGGCGCGGAGTGTGGTGACAAGCGCGCTGGAAGCAGAGGTGTGAACGGTTGAGGCGTGTGCGAAAATGTATTTTCCGTTAGTTTACTGGCCTAAAAATGAGCAATTTGTACCGTTGTAAAGCCGAGAAATCCACAAAAGTGAGCCGGATTCGTACAGCTGCCGTTCAGCCGTCATTGACTTCATCGGCCGCCCAAAAAAAAGCGATGTGCGAATGGAGAATGTCAAGAAAAAAAGAAGAGTTGTGAACTGGAAACAGCTGAATGGGGTCACTTGGGACTTGTGGAGGAAAAGACGGGCCGAGTGATGAGATGAAGTCTCTTCGCAAAAGTGATCGATCTCAAATCCATCTCAATTTATAATCGACGTCGCTCGGACACACACACACACACACTCACAAAAAACGGATTGGAGGAGGAGGAGGCCTCGAAGCGACACAGAACGACACAGTTATTATTATTATTATTATTATAGGCTGGGCTTCACTTCGATTCCAAAAAGATTCGCCTAATATGCCATCGCGCCCTTTCCTGTTTTTCCCCTCTTTCACTCTCGGTCCGAATGGTCGCGCGGGAAGGACAAGAGAAGTCGTGCCGAAGCAGCACTTCAAGTGCCAAAATATGTGTGTCACACACAAACTGTCTGCATTTCACGAATTGAAAGTGAGAAAGCGCTCTGTCGCACGCTTTGCAAAAACTTTGATTGGACACATTTCAAGCCAAAAACCGGAGATGTTTGCTGAAAAATGTATAGTTCTAGTTTCAGACAAAAAATAGTTCACAAGTGAGGGAAATTTCTGGTAATTTTGCTGGGACTTCCTTTAACTTTGGACGCTATTTTTTAAACTTCAGACGCGGTATTCAAACAGATCAGCGCAAACATCATATCTTTGAAAGTTTTCATGCAAAAAACTGCACACAAGGCCCGAAAACGCGCTCGCAACAGAACAAAACCGCCGGAAGTCGATCGTTTCACGGTTGCCGCGTAGGTCAAAAAGGCATGGGTCTCGCAGCGATCGGACAAATATACGGTATGCGCATTCAAAACGAGCGCTCGCGTTGCGGTGTTTGGGACGGCAGGCAGGGCTGGCTGGGCAAGGAGAAAAAAAAGAGGATCGCTCTCGCCGGATAGTCATCTCGGAAGGAAGGACCGCAGAACGCGTCGCCAAAATGATGACAATAGGTGACCGGGTCAGGAACTGTCACGCCTGTCACACAGATCAAAGGACGTTTACGACTGTTTCGTTGGTTTAGTCATCACACAAACACGGCGTCGCGTTCTGCGGTCCTTCCGTCCGAGAGGACTCTCTGGCCAGAACGATCCTCTTTTTTTTCTCCCCGTCCACCCACTCGTCCCAGAGGGCCGCAACGCGCGCTCATTTTGAATGCGCGCCCATAAATTTGTCCGATCGCTGCGAGACCCTTCCGTATTTGATCTGCGCGCGCATCGCGAAACTATTGCTTTTCGACGGTTGCTTTGCTTTTTCGTCTTCTTTCTTGACTACTTTTTTGTCTATCGATAGCAAATTTGATTTTGAAAAGGAATTCCTGTAGCAAAGAAAAAAATTTAAAAATGAACAGTGAGCGCGCGCCAACCGGCCCGGATATGTGATTAGTCTTTCAGAAAGTTTGAAATAACTTCGGCTAGAAAAAGTTTGAGCATTTCTTGAAAAAAAAGTTTTTAGTGCTTCAGAAAAATTGAAAAGGTCTTGGAAAAATTTTTTTCTTGAGAAAGCTTGAGAATGTCTTCAGAAGAGCCAAGAAAAGTTTGAAATTTTACCTGAGAACACTCGTGTTCGTAGTTTGGCGTCGCGTTCTGCGGTCCATCGGGTCTCTCGACGATCCGTCCATTCGGACAGACTCGTTGCGGCCACCATCCTCTTTTCTTCTCCTTTTCTTGTCTCATCCTCCCCAACCGGCTATTTTTATGCAAGGAGCAAAGCATTATGAACGAAAGTAAGTATGACCTTTTCCGTTTTCACAAAAAATGTTATTTTCATCTTTTCAGCGAAAATTAGTTGCCTTGGCCCATGCCTCTTTTTCTACATTTCTGTTAGTGCATTGCTTTAAAAAATACTCTGAAATTCGAACAGCAAGGTCTAAAAAATCGGGGAAAATCATAAAAAATAACATCCTCTGTCAGTTTTACATATTTTTGGTCGTTTGGGCGCACACACCGATTTTTTAGAAAATGGTCCAATTGTTTGGATGAAATGGGAAAAAAACTGTTTCCCTGATGATTTGCGATTGATTTTTGAAACCGCACAACTAAAAGCGAGAACTCTTGGTGCTACTGTAAGTTTTCGTTGCCCAGAGAGGAAAAATCTAGAATTTGACCGCAAAACGTCGCCTAAAAACTGAAAATAATCGTTCGGATGGAAACGTTGACACAAACAACATATAAATAAAGTGGTTGCCCTCCCGAAGCAAAAGAGAGAGAAAAGTCAGTGACTCGTGAACACATTTTCATGAAATTTTGAGTATCTGTAGCTCTTCTTTAATTCGGTTATTCACATCTTCTCTCAATCGGAAACAACTTTTGTGTAATGCTGACCTAATCCTTATCACTTCTCTTTTTTAACTTTGGAAATTTTCTTCTAAGAATAGCATTCCTACCTTCTACCGTAATACTATTATCCATTTTCCAGGTCTCAGTCCAAGTCTTCAGTCCTGAATCGTCTGCCCATCTGGATGGTCCGGTGGCATTGGAGTGCGATTTCCCAGTCACATTTGGCATTGTGCCAACCGCCAACACTCTCAAAAGCATCAAGTCCCCTTCAAAAATGGTCCCGGCGGATCCGAGCTATCAAACTGATGCTGACACAATGTCCAGAACGTTCTCGTATGAGAGTTTGAGAACTCGAAATGCTTTGAAACCGATACAAATTGAAGCATTTCATAAAATGTTCGTTGTCAAAAAGTAAGCAAGCGTTGGTAGAAAAAGATATCATTCTTTAGGTGGGGCAGTTGGATTGTAGACTGGCAAATCGTTGAACACCGGGTACTTTGGCACGAACGGTCCCTCGTTCTCGTCGGTCTTCAGGTGAGTCCCGTCCGTTCCGTACATTGAGTCTTCGTAGGCGATTGGCGGCGCTAAAATTACAGTATTAACAAGAGAATTATGTTCAGAAACTCTCAAACTAACCACTTGGAATCACAACTGCGCCGTCAGTCGTTTCTGGAAGAGCCGGAGCAGCTCCAGGAGCATCAGGATCAGCCGGCAGGAATCCGTATCCTGGTGGAGCGACGACAGAGCCCACTTGAGGGGCCATCGGATACGGAACACTTGGCGGCAATGCGGGATCCTGTGGATAGTAGGCGGGCGGCAGGAACTGACGGATTGGCACCGTGCCGATGATGATCGGAATCGCGCAGTCGACGGAGCTGTTGAACGTAGAGGAGGTGTCGATGGACAGTTCGACGACGTACTCGACGGTGATGATCGGACAGAAGTGGGTGATCGAAGGGGTGACGGAGGGGAGCCGCAGCTCCAGAGCCATCTTGTGCTCCTGTCCCGGCTCCACGGTCATCGCCTGCGTCATCTTGACCACCGTACTCTGATCGGTCTTCGTTTCGCGGTTCGAGACGGCCATGACGGTGTCGCCCGAGTAGCTGGAGGTGAGTCCGTGACGGAAAGCTATGAACGTCGAGTTCTGCACTATTTTAGCCTTGGCCTCGGTCACCGGCACACTTCCGTGGTTCAGAATGTGCAGGTTCATAGGGACCACTTCTCCGGGAACGAATCCGGTCTTTGGAATGTCGACACGAAGCTCCAGGTATCCCTTTTTAAAGCAGCAAAAGCCGATGTTCTCGCTTGCCTGATCGTGCAGCGGCGTCATTGCCTGGGCCATAGTATTCAGATCCAGCAACGGCGACACTGTGATGCACCTCTTTTTGGCCTTATCAAACCGCCACGGTCTGTCCACCTCCGCCTTCACCGAATATCTCACGTATCCGTACTTTCCCTCGAAGCTCGGCGGCACGGTCGTCGGCAAAACGAACGAGAACGGCCACGTGTAGGCCCCGGGAGCGATTTCATTCTGAAAATTGCAGACTAGTTGGGGAGGAGAAGTGAAACGTGTGGAACCCACCGATCCATCCCGACACGCCCACAAAAGGATCTCGTGCTCCAGGTAGTTCACAGTGGCCGAGTAGTTGACGCGACGACGGTCAAAGTGAGTTTTGCCCTCGGCGTCTCTGAAAACCGAACATTTCGCTGCGTAGCGGTCGTGGATACGGAGCACCAGTGCTAAAAGAACACTTCGTATCGCCATTGAGTCGCTACGCAGCGAATTCAAACGCACGTTCATAATGCATCTATTTTCAGCCGAGTCTCCTAGAACAGTAAAGTGTCATTGAGGCCCCTCAGAACTGACACTCTTCTGACGGACTCGTAGTCGTCCCAATCGGTGTAGGCCCTTCCCTCGAACTGAATATTGACCGCCCGCGCCTTGTACTTCTCCTCAGTCTTCAAATGAACCCTTCCTGAAATCGGCTGTCCCGGAAGGAACACTTCTTGCGGCTGATCGAACTCCACCTCGAGCACCGGTTCCGGCATGGTCACCTGAAAGTGCTAAAGCATCAAAACACAAGAGAATCGACCGAGAAGTGGAAGAAGGAAACATGCGAGAAACGGATAGAAAGGCGAAAGCGAGGGCATTTTTCTCCGTTTCTCTTTCTCATTTTCATCTGCGGAGACGCAGAGATGCACAGAAGACCGATGAGTTTGGGGCGCAGCGGCCGGCGCCAAGAGAGTGTGCGGATGGTGGAAACCATGGAACGAAGGGCAATCTTTTCGTGTTTAGCTTGGTCAAAACGAGTAGAGGTTCTGAAGAACAGGGAAAAGGAGACTGTACTGATGAAAGGAAAGAAAAAATGACTGTTTCTTTCATTTAGGACGATATATCTCAGCTGCCGGTAGAGATATCAAAAAGTTATTAACAGTTAACTTGCTCAGAAAGACATTGTGCACATTTTCGTAGTTGACAACTTTTTGATATCTTGCCACACAGCTGAGATACATCATTCTGAATGAACAGTATTACAGTTGGATACAGTTGAACGTGACAAACTCTCAATGCGCTTTGTTTCAGGCCCGTATTGCAGCAAAGTCCCGAAAAAGCGGATTAAATAGATTCATTCTAGTTCAGTGTTTGATTAATTTTGTTTGGTAGAAAAGTTATAAGTTCCCTTGGCACAATTTAGAATACAGAAGCGGGTCTCTTGGCGATGTAGTCCTTGAGCTCGGGCAGTCCGTATATTCTCTCCTGGAACTTCTTCAACTTCAGATGTTCCTTGTTGCTCTCGTCCAATTCCTTCATGTTTCCGAGGGTGTACAGACTGTCGGCAAGCACCAAATCAGCCCAGGTGAGCCCGTCGCCGACCAGGAATCCCGATTTGCTCTTCTCGAGAATACGATTCAGGTTCCGGAAGTAGTTGTCTCTCGCCGGGATGTACGTCTCCTCGCGCAGCTTCTGAATCTCCTCGGCCGGTTTTCCGGCTCTCTGAGCCACGATCGTCGGACGGAACGCCACTCCAAAGTCCTTGAACTGATCGACGATCGCGTCCGCCCACGCCGCTTCTTCCGGAGTCTTGCCGGCGTATCCGAACTTTCTGGCCAGATATCTGCAGATCGCGGCGGACTCGGGAATCTCGAATCCGTCGACGGAGAGGATCGGAACCCTTCCGAACGGAGTCTCTGAAAGTGAACATGAAAAGGAGTCATGAAAAGTCAAAAAAAAGACTAACTTGGTTTCATTTCGTCCCAAACTTCAAACTTTTGACCCGGGTAGATGTAGTCCGGCCCGTCGAGTCGGTCATCTTCGAACGGAGTGCCGGAGAGGTGGAACAGCTGACGTGGCACCTCGCCGATGCCGCGGAAGTTAAAGTACGTGAGTTTGTAGTTGGGCATGTCTGGCTGGAAGCAAAAGCAAGCACTTGATTCTGATATAAAACTCCAAATCTGTTCGCCTCTTTATATATCGCCACGAACAGAAATCACAACATTTTGGTCGGCGGCAAACACAGCATTCGCGCGCGGAGACTAGAACATTCACTTGTTGGACTTTGTAGTCTGATCGAAAAGGAGAATCTGAAATATGTTTCTACCAAGCTAGAAAGTTTTGAAAGTAGCATTTGGATTCTTCCAGAAGGCTTATTCAAGTTTCCTTTTGCTGAAAATCAATAGCGTGACTTTGGAGCAGTATATCTCAGCTGTACGTTGAGATTTCAAAAAATTGTCAACTGATATAATGTACAACATTTCTTAATGAGCAATTCATTAGTTGACCACTTTTTGCTATCTCAACTCACAGCTGAGATAAACAAAAAATCAGTAAAGTCTTTGACGCCCCGGATACTGTATATTCAAATTGGTGTATCTTAGCTCTCGATGGAGATATCAATCAGTTCTCAACTGATAAATTGCTTATAAAGAAATTTTGTACATTTTTTTAGTTGACCACTTTTTGATATCTCTACAGATAACTTAGATACATCGTTTCGAATGTATGGTATTGGTAATCCTTCACTATTTCCCATATCTCGGTCCAGATGATTTACAGTTTTTACCTTGAGATACGATGACGTCATTCTCCATCATATTCTCTGCCTGTCTTCTCTCTATCTCTCTCTCTCTATCTCTCTCTCTCTATCTCCAACATCAATTCAGTGGTCATTTCGTCGCCGTTTCTGATAAGGGCACGTGCGCGATCCGTCTCGTTGTCTCTTTCTCCACTCCTCCACTCTTTTTTCGTGATTTGCCACCAGTTTTTCTTGATTTTCAGCAACAATTCAGCTGACAAAATGACGACTTCTCACGACCGTGCCGTGCTCAATCAAATTCTGAATCCGCTCATGCCGACGAGCGATTCGGGCGTCGGAGAAGTGCATTTGGAGGCGGACAACGTGCAGCACGAGGGCTATGCGGACAGCCAGCAACTGCAGAATGAGGGAGTGGCTCTCGCGGAGAGCGGAAAAGTGACAGAGGCCCTCGAGAAGTTCTCCAGTGCAATTGCCACGTGTCCCTTGAACCCGTCCGCGTTCAACAATCGCGCTCAGGCCTATCGTCTACTGCAGAAACCTGAAGGTGTCAGTTTGTGTAAGCTTTCTCATACCATTCTTGTTTCAGAAGCCCTTCAAGATCTCAACGAGGCTCTTCGCTTAGCCGGGCCGAAATCCAAAACGGCTTGTCAGGCTTTTGTGCAACGCGCGAGCATCTTCCGGTTGCAGGGCGATGATGAGAAGGCCAGGGTGAGAGTTTTAAATAATTAATCCAACTTTTAAAAGTGTTCTTCTTTTCAGACAGATTTCGCGTCGGCCGCCGAACTGGGCTCCTCGTTCGCAAAAATGCAACTGGTTGCTCTGAATCCGTACGCGGCAATGTGCAACAAGATGTTGGCCGAGGTGTTCGAAAAGGTCAAGACTGGAAAGGACTGAAGGCACTTGAACCAAATAAAGACATTTCATATCAAAGTTCACATTCATTTGGCTGCGTACTCGGTCTCCCAGTTGTAGGAAAACTCCTGCACCTGCTTCGTCTGAATCAATTTGCGGAGCGTCGAGTAGACGAGTCCGTAGTTGGGTTCCATGAAAAAGTGTTTTTATTGTACAGTCAAATTGTATTGATATGCTTCTCTGAAGAAAATTTATGCTGTCAAAAACGTTTCCATTTAGTTTCTCCGGGTTTCTCCTACTTTACGTATTTTTCGGTAAACATTTTTCTATAAAATCACATTTCTCTATAAAAACACATAAAAAAAACATTTTTCTATAAAATCACGTAAGTTTCGATATCCTGATAAATCCGTTTCCAGCAGCAGCTCTGAAGTCGTATTTCGACAGTAATTACTCGCCGAATTCAAAATCTCAAAAATTTGCGACGAGAGACTGTGGGAAACAAAGAGACGCAGCGTCGGGTCTCGCACCGACCGCCGACTACGGTGACACCCGTTTCACGAGTGCGATTTTTTCGATGGAGCGTCTATCTATCGATTTGAACAATTTCTACAGATTTTGGCTTGTTTTTCAGAAAAACATCAAAAATATTCGATGAAATCAGTTAACTTTTAACATATTGTCCTTTTTTCCGTTGTAATCGTTCTAAAAAAGTCGCTTTTTCGTTGCTTTTCGTTGATTTCATTTCATTGCAAGAAAATCTTTCAGGCATGCTTGCCCCACGCTTGCAAAAGGCAATTAATGCCTGCAGATCGTTCCATCTCGCCAGAGTGATGTCCAGTGAGTTTTTCATTTGATTTTCCCGAAATATTTTCACGAAGATCCGTAGTTTTCAGTGCGCGGACCTCTGACATTCGATGGATGGTACCCTCGTGATCACAAGCCGAGCGCTCCGCCGACGAACGAGGCAGAGCGTCGCGCGGCAGCCGTCAAGTACGGTCTTCGGCCGGAAGACTATCAATCGATGGACAAAGACGACGTCGTCAAGTTCGCCGGAGACTATCCGGATCTCGGCGTGATCACCTACGACCACAAGGATCCGTACGAGGCGTGGACCGACCGACAGAACCGCAGAAATTGGGGAGAGCTCGTGCCGATTGATATGATGCGCTACCGTGGAGATCGTCTCACTTTCACCGGACTCGAGGCTGAGGATTACACTACGTAAGTTGGGAAAAATGCGAAACATTTCGTTTTTATATGATTTTTGCAGATGGGGCTCAATCGTGATGTGTCTGCGTGTGCTGGTGCCGATGGCGCTGCTCACCTGGTACTTCTGCAACGATCATCCGAATGCGCTGCGCTGGAGGAACCCGGCGATGCCGAAGCAGTATCCGTACGACTTCTACCGTGCCTATCCGTTCGACGATCCGCGCAAATACCCAATTGTCAACTATTCTTTTGAAACCGAATAGATCAGAAACGAACAGAAGAAGGGTCGGAAAGAGGAAACACGAGTGTCTGTCGCTCTCTTTTAGGCTATTTTTGTAGAACTCTCCTCGATTTTTACGTTTTTTCTCCGTTGTGTACAATAAAATAATCAGTTTTCGCGATTTTGTGTTGCTTTCAAGAGCGGACGCTACCGTTATCATACCTTATTCTGTTTTCTTGTGCCCTTTTTCATTATTTCACTTCAGAGCACAAAATCAAGGGCGCTGGACGCCAACAATGCTCTTCCTCGATGATTTTTTAGAAAGTAAGCCGATTTTTGGTGAAAATAAGCTGAATTTCTAACTTTTAGTGCTCGATGAACTTCCGGCGGAGCTTCGTGAACGGAGCGATGAAATTCGTCGGATCGACATTGAAGTTGAAAGTAAAAACTCGAAGTTTGATGAAAATGTTTAAAATAATGCGTTTTTAGGCCGGTTGAGCCGGAATCGTGATGCCGTCAACGAATTTTTCGAAAAGAGCGGCGTGAATATGCCAGAAGACGATCGGAAGCAAAGATTCAAAGTTTTGCAGGATGTAAGTCGTTTTTTAAATTAAAATCTGTAAAATTTGCTCAGGAGTTCGTCAAAATCCGCCTGCTCGCCCAGAGAAAGTTTGCGATCGCCGAGAAGATGCAGGAACTTCTGAAGAAGTATCAAACGCATCTGGAAAAGGAGAAGACGAATTTCCAGTGCGAGATGGAGGCGGACAACTCGGGCGTGACGGAAATGATCGAGAAGCGCTACACGCAACACGTCGAGTCTATGCTGAGCGCGCGAAAGGAACGAAAGCGACGGCACCGCGTGGGTGGATCCTCGCGCGCCTCTACCGTCGCCTCCGGACCGCTGCTGTCGAAGGAGTCGAACGAGAAGATCCAGCGGATTCTGCAGGAAGGCATGCGTCTTCGCATGGATCTTTCCGACGACTCGGCCCCTCATTCCGGCCTCTCATCGGCCATTCCGTCGCCGGCGCCACGTGGCAGACCTCCGAAAGTGGCCAGGGATCCACTGCTCATCTCGTCGGCCCTTCTGCCCAGCGACGACTGTCTGACTCCGGTGCCGACGCCGACTTCACGGGTAAGAACAAATTTTTAATAAAATTTTTGAAAAATGGATTTTCCAGCGTCGCTCGAATACGAACGCACTCCGAGGGACGGTCTCCATCCCGGGCGGTATCAATTCTCTGCATCGGGGCGAATCCTCGAGCCGTTTCTCTCCAAATCCATCGGAACGAAGCTGGTCGAACGCCGGAATCGACGAGTCGCCGACTTCGAGTGCCAGCCTGCTCACCCCGCAGTTCTCGACGTCTTCTGGGCCACTTCCACTCGGTCCCTCACCGACTACGCCACAATCCGGGCTCAGTTCGGCGTTTGTGGTCTCGGAAAGTCGACATGGACGAACCAGAAAGTGAGAATTCAACGGTTTTGTAAAGATAATCATTTCGGTTTCAGACTGACGAGCCGCGTGCAGGAGATGTTCAAGGAGACGCTGCAACGGCAACGCAACCACGGAAACTCGATCATCGCCCTGCAGGAGCGGATGAGCGCCGCGAACCTGGCCGCCCAGCACACGCCGTCGACTATCTCGCCGGGCACGGATCGTCGTCACCGGCACACTCCGATGAGCGACGAGGAGGCGGATACACGGCCTCCGTTGCCGGTCTCGGACGACGATGAGGACGACGAGGACAACGAGGAGGCCCGCTCGTGGTGTTTCTGCAACGAGAAGAGCTACGGGGAGATGGTCCGGTGCGACAATGTCGATGTGAGTTCGAAAGTTCCCGGTTTTTGCACATCCGTAATAAATGCTTGAGCAAATCATTTCTGTGGTTTTAGCAATATCTTGAACGAAAATTGCTAGAAAATTCGCGTGAAAAGCGGAACTGCACTTTCGGTAGCATTATCGAAAACAACGCAGTTTCCGATCAATTCAAAACGCTTTTTTTGCAGTGCTCAATGCGTTGGTTCCACTACTCGTGCCTCGGAATTCTGGAGCCGCCGACCGGCAAATGGTTCTGTCCGCAATGCGAAGGAGTCGAGCACAAACCGATGGATCCGTCGAAAAAGGCGGAAACCCCTCTGATCGGCTGCGACGAATAAGACCCTCTTGTACCATTCTCCCAAAAAAGTGTACATTTCTGATTGCAATACCCCCTCATAATCTCCCAATTTCTGTCGTTTTATCTATGTACCCACCCATCCTCTATATGATTCTCAACACATTTGCATTTTGTCGAAAATCGTTCTCCGATGTCCTTAGAAACAAAAAACAAAAAAGAAGTACATATTTCACTGTCTGTACGCTAAAAAGATCTATGCTATCGTCATGTACAATGCGCCTTCTGTTTTATATAATTGCAATAAATTTGAGATTGTAAAGAAAGGTGTATTTTGCACGAAAGTTGCCTGCTTTTTTGTTCATATTTTGTCTACCCTTTTTCTTTTCTGACCAATCTCTAACTTTTCAGAGCTTCTGGAAATGTCGTCGGGTACGAAAAAGAAGACGGTTTACATGACGATGGATCTGCAGGAGGAACGGCACGATCAGCCGTGGACCTCCTATCACATTGAGACCTCGAAGCGGTTGGATGCGATTTTGAACAGATTGAAGGTGCGCGCTATTGAGAACACGTGGAACTATCAATTATCCCATGTGATCCCAACTTTGTACGATTATCAGTCTTGGTCCTGAGTATCTTCCTTGAAAATTTTACCTCGATTGAATTACCGGCTTCTTAGATATCACAACGCTTCACAAAAAAAGCCACTTTGTAGAAAAATCAGCCTCAACTGAAAAACGCAATAAATTTCAGGAATCTGGTCTCTACGAGAACGCCGCCATCGAGCATCTTCCGCGTCGAAAAGCGACGAAGGAGGAGTTGGAACTGGTGCACACGCCGAGATACGTGCAGGCCATCGAGAACTCTTCCCGTTACACAACGGTAGGCTTCCTGGAAACCTTCTCGGCGCCTCCAAACCGGTTCCCATTTGCAGCACTCGCAAATGGAAGAGTTCTGCACTTACTACGAGGACATCTTCGTTTGCGAGCACACGTGGAACCGCGCGTGTCTCGCCGCCGCCACGGCCATCGACCTTGTCGGCCGCGTGGCGGACTCCGGCTCCGACGGCATCGCGTTCGTCCGACCGCCCGGTCACCACGCCTCGCCGGACGCCGGCTGCGGCTTCTGCATATTCAACAACGTGGCGCTGGCGGCGAGCCACGTGGCGGCGCGCGGAAAGAGAGTCATGATTGTGGATTACGATGTGCACGCGGCGAACGGTACACAGGAGTGTGTTGAGCGGATCGGGGGAGGGACGGTCAAATTGGCGAGCATCCATCGGTACGAGCACGGACGCTTCTGGCCGAATATTTCCCAATCCGGCATTTATCATGATGGTTAGCTTCAAGGATTGAACTTTCGATTATCAATGAGCCAATTGGTTCCTTTTGGTTTAGACTTCGATTTGTAGCCGAAAATCCCTGGGTTTTTGCGGAATTTCCCCATATGATTATTGATAATTGCTGTCCTCCTTTGCCCACCCTAAAGTCTCCCATTTTCAGACAAGAACACGATGAACCTGCCGCTCAACGCGATCGACCTGACCGACGCGGACTACCTGGCCCTGTTCACCCAGTGCATCCTGCCTGCCATCCACGCTCATCGCCCCGACGTCATCATCGTCTCGTCGGGCTTCGACGCCTCGCTCGGAGACCCCGAAGGTTGCATGAAAGTGACGCCGGCCGGATTTGCGACGATGGTCCGTAAGCTGCAGGAGACGGGCGTCCCGGTGGCGGCGATTCTCGAGGGCGGCTACTTTCTCGACGCACTGGCCGCCGACTCCGAATGGGTCGTTCGGACCCTCCTTGGCGAGACGATTCCGAGGGTGGAGGTGCAGAAAATCGACGTGTCGGTGGTGGATACGATTGCGAGAATCCACGCGAAATACGAGAAGACGTCGTCGTTTTACGCGAAGATTCTGGAACTCCGTCGACTTTTGGAGCTTCCCGTCTTCGTCGAATCCGGCGAAATGTCGGACTACGAGGGAGAGCGGCTCGCGAAGTACCCGTACGATACACGTGGCATTTACGTGCCGTTCTCCGCCGGAATCGAGTTGGCGTTCAAGACGGAGCTTGAGAATATTCTGGAGAGCTATAAAAATGCAACGACAGCTCCGCAGATTCCGTTCGAAATCGTTGACGACGTTGCCGACGACTTTCTGGGCGTTCGTGACGGAAAACTGGTGATTGGCGGCGGGAAAGCGGCGAAATTGTTCGCGCAGCTCGTGTTTTTAGCTCCAATCGATCCGCTTTTCGTGACGGAGACTATCGGAACGGATCCAGTCGACTTCAACGCCGTCACGCTCGACAAAACGCTGAAAGAGCTGAAAAATATCCCGATTTTTAAAATTTTGCCACTTTTGCAATGATTTTCTGTGATATTGTGCAATATTAGACGAATAAACTGTGATAATTGTGAAATTTCTATCGTTTTCCCGGTTGTTTTCCTTTATTTTTGAAGGCCATTCCGTGTGCACTTGAATTGCGTGCGACCGCGACGCGACCGCAACGCGCCCCCTCCCTCCTCTCACCGCCCCGCCGCCGCCGCCGACATTTCGATTCGGAGCGCGTCTGCAACATTGTCGCATCTATGCTCTAACGATAATATTTTCAAAATTTATATTAATTCTAGTATTATTTACTCGAAACAACCCGCGTTCGCTTGATTTCATTGAAAAATGCGGAAATTCTCGTTTGCAGAGCCGAAAAATCGATGGAAAACGCGCCGGACGAGGAGCCGACCGAGTTTTTGGAGCAGGTCGGCGATATTGTCGATAGTAAGTGTCAAAATTGGCAAGGTATTCGTAATGTTTCACAATTTGCAGATGTAGAACAAGTGGCGGAAGAAGAAATGGTGGAGGTGGAGCACGAGGAGGTGCTCGAAGAGATCGTGCACGGCGACGACGTCATGTACGACTCGGAGGGCCGTCTCATCGAATATCAGAACGTGGTGGTGTACGAGGACGGCTCCGAGGTGATCGAGGAGTACGTCGAGGTGGAGGACATGGGCAACGGCGAGTACGCGTACGTCATGACCGACGAACACGGACACCGTCGCTTGCTGAAGCCCGAAGAAGTCGAGGCGGTCAAGAAGGAGATGCCGGTGCTGATGGAGGAGGAGGAGCTCGTGGATCAGAAGCCGATCCGCGCCGACGAAGCCGGACCTAGCACTTCTGGATCATACGGCGGGAAGCGCGGAAAGCAATCCGAGAAAGCGGGCCGCTCGGCGACGATGCGTGAGATTCTTTCCAAACAAGCCGATCACATGATGTACATGGACGCCCGTGGCGGTTACTATCACGAGAACGCGACGAAACGACTGACCGAGATGGCGAAGGTCGACGTGGAAAAGTACGTGCCGACGTCGACAGTCAACCGCCGTCCGCTGCCCGACAACGCGGACTTCACAAAGCCGAAAGCGCCGAGACGCAAGACCGCGCCGTGGCAAGACGACGTCGCTCCAAGAGCATCTGGCTCATCGTCGGCCGGCAGATCGCCGTCGCCGTTGAAAGACGCGCTGTTTCCGGCCGAATCCGAGGATCTCGTGGTCCGTTTCAAGTGTCCCGAGTGCGGAGACGGCTTCCCGGTGATGGACAAACTGTGCGAGCACCTCTGCAAAAACCACGACTGCCAGACGCAAGTCCGCGAAGTCGAGGTGTTCAACGAGCGCGAGTTCGAGAACTTTCTCACGAAAATCGAGCGCGGGGTGAATAACGGAATGAAAGAGGTGCGGAGTGAGATAGTGAGGAAGAAGTCGCGGGCCGGATCCTCGCAGATCTTCGTGTGCAATTACATGAACCGACGAGGCAGAAGTGCCGAGATGGTCGAGATCGGAATGCCCACGCTGGTCGATCATCCGCTCGAGTTCTGCTCTTGTTTTGTTCAGAAAGTTCATAGCTAGTAAGACCTCGAAGGAATAGTAATTTAAACGCTGTTCTGCTTTTTTGCAGCGAATGCATCCGCATCAAGTACTGCGACCAGCACATCCACCACGACGGAACGCTTGGCTTCCGCGTGCCGATCTCCGTCAAACGTCGCATTTTCGAGTTGGCGTTCAAGAGGATGCCGATTCCGTGCATCCAAGTGATGCTCTCGCACGAGGTCGTCAGTCTGCTGCCACATCCGTCGCGGTTCGAGGAGAAACTCAAGAATTTCTCGCATTTGGAGCTCATCGAGCTGATGGGAATAATCAACGGATCGCTGCGAAAGTACAATGATGGAGAGCCGATTATGGGAAAGACCAAGAAGTGCGGCATCAAGTTCGGTAAGCGAAATGGCATATTAAGGTGGAAATTTACCGGTTTTCACAGAAATTGGCTATTACAAGCCGAAAAACATTCATCTATCTCTCTGAATTACTAAATTTATGCCGGCCATTGGCAATTTCCGCTCTATACTTTCTTTTTTCAGAATGTGGTCTAGAAAACGTTAGTTTGTGGCAAAAATGGGAGAAACTAAATTTTTTTCGGTGTAAGGGACCGGAAAAACAATTAAAATGAGGGTATTTGCAAATCGTTGGCCCTCCGAGTAATGTAGAGTGATCAATTGATGTTTTCCTGGTTGTGATAGCAGGATGCAATCTTCTTCTCTGCAAAAGTATCTTTTCCAGAGACGGTTCAATCGCCGCAAGGTCAGCCGTGCCTCGTCATCCGTCGTGTGCCACTTTTCAAGAAGAAATCGCCGCCCGTCAACAACTTCATGACTCCTAACGAGCCATCGACGAGCCAAAGCCACCAAAGCCAGACGTTCACGCTAGACGGAGAGAATGTGCCGATGATGGCGAGAGAGGAAGAGGTACTGGAAGAAGAGGAGGACGAGGAGCAGGAGATGGCACACATCAGCGAGGATATTGACGGATTGATGGAGGAGAGTCAGGTGTACGATCCGGCGTCGAATCGTGAGCCAATGTTCGAGGAGCTGTCGGAAATGGAGCTCGGAGTGCTGGAGGCCTACGAGCGGGACATTCGGATCGAGTTGAGCGAGGAGCAGACGAAGGAGCGCATCCGGCAGAAGGCCAAGTACTCGCTCAACAGAATCCTGGCGCTCTATCAGCAGTTGGACGCGGCGACGCACGGCCAAACGGCGACGGAGATGCACAACGAGTCGATCGGAGAGCTGCGCGAGATGGCCAGTTTTGTGGTCGAGATTGCGTGTCAGTTGGACGCCGAGGTCAAGGCGCAGTTCAACACGGAGCTCGACGTGGATGAAATCAAGAGAGACATGATTGCGGGAATTGCGATGCAGGAAAGAGTGTGCAATCCGGAAAGACGTCGCCGAAGTGGTCACGTGTCGACGTCGGCGGGACCGTCGCCGCAAAAGTACACGCCGCACGCGAGATCGTCGGTGGCGAGAACGCACGAGGAGTACACGCAGCGAATATTCTCCAAGACCAAGCCGATTCCGCCGGTTGCTCGTGATTTCGAGGTGCCGCCCGAGTCGCGCAACCTCGAGCTGCTCCGTCATCGGCAGCAGGGACTCGTGGAGGAGCAGAAGCCGCAGCTGCCCGAGCTGCCCGAGGGATTCAAGGCGATGCCGTGGTCGAAGCCGACGCGAAGACGTCAAACGACTGTGGATCCGAACGCGCCGACCAAGAAGCGAGGACGACCGAATAAGAAGGGGGAGACGCCCGCTCCGAGACCGGAATCGTCGAATGCCCTGGATCCGGATGAATCTGTGCCTCCGATCATTCCGCTCGTCGCCCCGCAATCGTCCAGCTCGCAGGAATCTTCCGGAGCCATCGAGTTGCTTGCTCCCGACGCGGTGGAGCACGAAGAAGTTGTCGAGCAAGAAGATACGGTGGCTCGAGCTCCTGAAGTCAACATTGCGGGAATTTCTGAGAAGATCAAGAAGGAGGACGAGGAGTTGCCGAGAAAAACGAAGAAAAACGAGGCATCAGAGGTGATTTTCGCGCGTTGAGATTTGAATAATCGGAATTTCCGAAAGGAAACATTTTAATCCCGAAAAACATGTTCTAAATGCTCATGTTCAGGTCGTCAAGGCGCCAAGCACTTCGGAAGAGCTCGCGGAGCCATCTCCGACCCAAACTACTCCAGCTCCAGCCACAAAGACCCGTACAGGACGTGTGGTGAAGCCGAAGAAATGGGGTGACGAATAATTCTTTCTTTTCTCTTTCTTTGTTTTAACTTTCAAATTTTCATAATATTTCCTTTTATTAATCACAACGTCTCCTTCTCCTGTCCCCCATCGATTAATTTGATAATTTTTTAAAGAATCACTGAGACTACAAGTTTATTTTTTGCTGAAAATCAGGTGATATGAAATTGAAAATGTTTGACGAGAGAAAAAAATTCTGGGGACGAAATTGAGCGGTTCTAAGTGAATACCTACTGTGCGATTGTTTGACAATTTCATTCGAACCGCCCAACGTTTTTTTGCGCGCGCGGCGGTTTCTGGCTGAAAATGAAACAATCGCACAGTTTGAACAGGGGGAAACAAGTGGAAATGGGCGGAGCTTAAAGTGACAAGAAAAAGTAAGGGAAACGGGTGATTTAGAGTGATTTTGTGATAAGAGAAAAGAGGCACTTGATGGGGATACGGTAGAAAATCAGGGGGCCGATTTACGAGATTTCGTCTTCATCCTCCTCGGCCACTTGATCCAGAGTTAGCCGTGTCTGCAAATGTATAACCCGTGTAAAAATTGATATTTTTTGACGATTTTCGCGAAAGCTTCGAAAAATGTAAGAAAAAGAGACACTGTCCCGTCTACAGCATCCTTCTAGTAACTACAGTAACCCCCCTCACCTCGGGCACGATGACATCTGCCCGTTTGGCCATCGTCGACATGACGGACGCCTGATCGACGAGGAAGTTGGAGGGCTTCTGGGCGAGACGGAGGGTCTCCTGAAGACGTGCTTCCGCCTGAAAAACAACGTCGTCCAACTGCGCGACCACGGGGATTTACCTTTCGGATCTTCTCGGTCACCGGGTCCTCGTCGTGTTTGAACCACTTTTTGAGATAGTTCCGGAACAACTGCAATGCCATTTTTAGGCGGAAAATGAGGGAGAAGCGGATCTCTTGGCTGGACAAGTTTATGGGCTGAACAGCTGAGCAAATAGGCAGCAAACGGTGCTCCATTTTTGGGCAAACTTGCATGAAAGTGAACTTTGAGGTTTCGAACCCTATAGGTCTAGAACTTTTTCGGTGAAAAGTTGACATCTAGTAGAGTGTTTTTGTAGTTGACACTTTTTTTCTAGGACCACTCTTTGGAGTACTGTAGCTCTTTGCTGCCGATTATTTCAGCGCTAACTTCCAAGAGCTACAGTACTCCAGGGAGAGGTCCAACGAGAAAAGTGTCAATTACAGAAAATAAGTACTAGACATGAACTTTTCAGAAACAACTTTAGGGACCAACTGGACTACGGGTTACTTTGAAATGGACCCTCAAAGTTGGTCAATTCAACGTTTGGGAAGACTACTATTTTCCTCTTTTCCGAATCAGATTCTGATTGTGAGTATTGTAGGTCGACTTACATGCGGCGATGCACAGATCAGAATGACTATCATCCATCCGAAGAGAACGCAAATGCCGAGAATGAAGATGTTGCGCGACTCGGACGGATCTTCGCGCGGCGCCAATGACGGCGGAGGCAACGGAGTCATTATCTGCAATAGATGGACGTTTTGCAACTGGACACAATGCAACATTGACACACTTTGCAACCACAAACTACTTTGGCGATTCAATTCTAACAGTTGCAAACTGTCCGATCTCAATTCAACTTGTTACAAGTAAGAAAAATGTCAATTTTGAAAGGGAAATGTAACAGTTGCGAAATGTCCGATTGCACAATGGGAAATTGAAAAGAGTTGAGGCAGAAATGAAAAAAAAATGGAGACGAATAATATAATACCCAGGAGATTTCCTTGAATTCATTCTATAACTACAATAACATATTTATCAGTGCTCTCTCGGGAGAGCTCAATTAGCTGGAAACTCAAAAGGATTATTGTAGCTCGATGCGCCTCGAAATACTAGAAAACTATAGTGTGATTCTAAAAACGACATTTGAGTTGGCATTGACGTAAATAAGGATACATTCTAAGTCAGAATGAGAAGGTGGATACAAAGGGTGTTCAGTCGAAAATGGCTCGACTTCAAATGCTTCGTACGGACTCTGAGCAAGCGCGTGAGGTCTCAAAACCCTTTTGGGAAGTCTTGACGTCTAGTACTACACTTTTGCAGTTGACAACTTTTTTCTACGACCACTTTCAAGACTACTGTAGCGCACTTGAAAGGTGGGACTCTCTCGAGAGGCAAAACTTGAAACCTAACTTTGATTGGGCACATTTTGGTCCGGAGAAGTACTAGAGTTCTGAAAATGTTCGAGCAGAAACTCCACATCTAGTACTACTCTTTTGCAGTAGACAACTTTTTTATAGGACCTCTACCTGGAGTATTGTAGCTCTTGAAAGTTAGCGTTGAAATGCATAGATAGTGAATTAGCTCCAACTTCCAAAGACTACAGTACCCCAGAAAGAGGTCCTAGAAAAAAGTGGTCAACTACAAAAATACTCTACTAGACGTGAAGAATACACTCTTACATTTTCAAGAGCAAAAAGCGCTTCTAAGCAACGTGGCACCTGCTCAGAGTTGAGCATTTCTAAATTTCTGTAATTCTTCAGCTATTGAGCCATCTTCCCACTTTTAGTTGACTTTTAAAGAGGAAAACAGGGGGGAAATTCAAATTTCCAGGAAGAACTCATTGAAAAAACATGAAAACTTGTGTGAATGCCTCTAAACCGGACATCACACATTTGATTAGGATAAAAGGCTGAGCGCATAAAAGCAAGCAAAAAGTTTTGCGCTCCGTGAAATTTATAGTCGGGCGGTCCCAGCGGACGGAACCTTTCGGCACGTTTGACGCCTTCAAGTGAAGGGCACAAAATGAGTTTGAATACGGAAACAAAGTCAGGTTTTTGGATGATGTCTGGATCTTTTGGGGCTCAAAAATCACGCGCGGTCCTCTGGATTCGTCGGCAGGAAACGATAATTGCGTTTTTTCGTTCGAGAATTCAATTCGCCTTTGTCCTTTTTTTGCGAAAATGGACGGAAAGGCAAGTGCGCTCTATTGAACTCGCAAAACTTTTGGCCGAGATGGGCATGCGCCTTTAAAGTGATGTACAGTAATCGTTTCGCGAACAACGCTCAAAATTTCGAATTTTAAAACCCTCACCTCTCTCAAACTGTCATTCGAATTGTCGCTGCCACGTCATGATCCGAATAGAGAAGAAGAGCAATCTGAAAACGAAAAAATTGAAAAATTTTTGTTGTGACGCATTCAAAAATAGCCGAAGAAAGAAGAAGAAGAAGAAGGTGTAAGAGAGCAGCCGGAAGTTTCGGGGATTAGAGAGGAAAACGGAGAACTCCTTGCACTCCAAATTTAGAGTGGAACGGATCGGATTTCCGAAGAAGAAGAAGGAGAAGAAGGAGAAGTCGTGTGAGCAGACGGAGATGTTTAATTTGTGAGCAGGCACCGGAAGTCGAAAGGTCCCCCCCCGGTGGTTGCTGATGAATGGGAGTTTCGAATCGGAAATGATGGACCTGAAAGGAGGCGGTGATGGATTGGATGCACTGAGGAAGCGAGGCAAAAACGGGAGAGATTACGGTAAAGTCGGCAAGCACAGAAACCTTCATAACCTAAAGGAACCGGAAGCCGGAGCGGAGAGGGCAAACACAAGTGGGTGGCTTCGTGTGAACAGACCAAAACACAAAGTTCATCCCCTCGGGGTGGGCTCATAAATGTGCAAAATGTTTAAAGTTTTGAAAGGTTGGCCAAGAACTCTCTACTTTTATTACATGGTTCATCCCTCTTCTTTCAAAAATTAGAAGAGCCGCGAAATGAGAAAAGCGTAAGAGCAATAAAGTAAATGGAAAGTGAAATGAATGATAGGCGGTGCCCCGAGAGACCGTGTGACGTCACGGACGCGGGTTCGGACCCCAGTGGCTCGGCGGAGAGAAAAGAAGAGGATTAAAGAGCAGTCGGGTAACGGAGAAGCCCGCTTGCTCTCTCTCTCTCTCTCTCTCTCTCTCTCTTTCTCTCCGGCAACAAGTTTTGAAGAAGGAGCCATGTGACCTGGAATAACAAGAAACCAACTGGGACCGAGTCCCGGAAATGAGGAGTGGGTCAACGAGTGCTTATGGGTTGTTATGTGCCCCCCGTAATGCATTGTTTTCCCCCTCCTGTCTGGCTCAATTGCTCTCCGGAGAGAGAGAGAGAGAGCTTGAGATGACGGATGACCTGGAAGAAGAAGAAGAAAAAGAAGAAAGAGAACAAGTGGGAGAGAATGGATTACGGGAAACCTTGGAAGTGGTTGTAGCAAAAAGTGGTCAACAACAAAATTAAAGTTCTCGTCTAGTACTATCATTTTGTAGTTGACAACTTTTTTATAGGACCACTTCCTGGAGTACTGTAGCTCTGGGAAGTTTGCGTTGAAATGAATAGGCAGTGATTAAGCTCCAACTTTCAAGGACTACAGTAGCCCAGGTTGAGGTCCTAGAAAAAAGTGGTCAACTACAAAAATGCTCTACTAGATGTCAAGTGTTCACTCAGAAATTTTAATGCCTCAAGAACTGGTCCCAGTTGCAAAAGAATAGAATGGCGGGGCTCGAAACCCAATTTCCTGCGGGTCCTCAATCTCCGGATATTGCGTCACAAGCAAAAACCGAAACTCTTTTTCATTGCGCTCCCCCGTCGAATGTATGCATGAACAAACTTTGGAAGGGAACAATAGCCGCAACAGATTAACTTGGTCTCTTTTTGGTTTGAACTTTTTTTCGGTCAGGGGCTGGGCAAATGCATTTTTCATGCGAAAAACGGGTCAAAAATCTGTTCGGCGACATGCGATTTGACGTTTTTTTGGGCGGCAAAGCAAGCAGGTATACATTCTGTTGTGGATGAAGCTCCGAGAGTGAAAAGAGAGAGAGAGAGAGAGAGAGAGAGAGAGAGAGAGAAAAGTATTATTGGTTGTAAATTTACACCGCCGTCCCCCGTCCCTCCACTCCCAACTCCTCTTCTTCCTCTTCTTCTTCACTCTTGGAAAGCGTACGTCAAAACGAGGATGAGAAGACGCGTGAATATTGTGTAAAACTGAATGAGATGCAAAAGTTCCGCGACGAAACTGGAGCGACAATATCCGACAATTTTTGAGAATTGTCCAACTTTGACGGGGTGTCATTCGATTGGGACCAGTTTTAGAGGCATGCAAATTTCTGAATGAAAAGATGACATCTAGTAGAGCATTTTTGTAGTTGACCACTTTTCTCTAGGACGTCTGCCTGGGGTACTGTGGTTCTTGGAAGTTGGAGCTAATTCACTGCCTATACATTTCAACGCTAACTTCCAAGAGCCACAGTATCCTAGGGAGCGGTCGTACTGAAAACCCATCAATTGCAAAATTATAGTACTAGACAAGAACTCCAATTTTGTAGTTGACCACTTTTTGCTACAACCACTTCCAAGGTTACTGTAGCTCTGAAAAGTTGGAGCAAGTTCGCAGTCGGTGCGTTTCAGCGCTAACTTTGCAGAACTACAGTACTTCAGGGACTGATCGTACAAAAAAGTGAGCAAATGCAAAAAGTGCTGAAAAATGCGTCAAATTAATTGCAGATGTACGTCATAGTCACATGTCTTATTGACGAGTAAAAGCGGAAAGAGACCGATACACAAATTTGACTAAAAAGTTCATTGGAGCGTGAATTCTCAGCTAACTTTTCATAAAAGTTGTTTTTTTTTCACTTTTTTACTTCCTCGTTCGAAATATGGAAGTTTTGAGTGGAAATATTGACATTTGCGGAAACGAGAGAAATTAAATTAAATTTTTTTTTGCTCAAAAATAGTTCATGTTATACACCATTCGATAGAGAATTTTATGCTCATCAACTTTGTCTCTTGCCACTTTTCTCCAACTTTTCAACTTTTCGAGATATGACCAAAAATTGGGGCGGGACCAGAACAACTAGTTTCTATACCTCCAACAAGTGTGTGGAGGGAACAAAAAGCGAGTGTGTTGTTTGATGCAAGCCCACAGAAATATGTATAAGTTTTTCGTGTCGTCAGAAAAAGAAGAAGAAGAAGAAGAAGAAGGAGGAGGAGGAAGAGGAGGAGCAGGGCGAGAAACGGACAAAAAGACAAGTGTCCGTGTGGATTCTATGAATTTGTGAAAGACATTTGAGAGGAATGGAAGGCCAGAGATGGAAAAAGGAAAAAGGAAAACGTTTTCCTCATGGAACAATGATATCCGGTTGCAGAAAGGGAGCGAATCGTAGTTTTGATGGTTTCGCAAAAGTTAGGCAGTCGAAATTCTGCTCAAAAAAGTTCTCAACTACCGTAAAACCCCAATGAAATCCTCAAAATCCTCCGTCTCCGATTTCCAATCCGTTCCACGTGCAACTTTCTTTCCCACACACACACACACAAATATCCTTTTTCGACTTGTGACTCATGACGTACTGACCCGGATGATCTGAAATGGAGAGACACGAAATTGGATATGACAACTCTTGGGCATAATCTTTATTTGGATTGGCTGCCGAATGACTCTTTCCTTTTTGAAGGGACGTTTTCCGGTTCAAGCACAATGATTTCATTGAAACACACAGAAAAAAGTGGGCAACCGAAAATCGAATTTGCGCGTGGGTTACGGTAGGCAAAGTACGCAAACACCGCGTGCCAGCGCGATCTTCGTTTTTTGAATAGTCAACGCTCTCGTTTGTCCTTGGTTTTTGCTTGATTCTCACCAAATTTTCGCCATTTTCAGCAATGCCGCCACGAAAAATCAAAAAAGATCCAAAGGCGGTAAAAATCGGCGAGTCGATCGAAGAGCCACGTGAGTTTTGAGCACTTTTTCGCCGGAAAAACACGATTTTCTTTCAGTGATGAGGAAACTCGGTGAAATGCAAGACCAATTACGAGAAATCGCGGTCAGCACCAACAATATCGACGTCGAACGGATCCTGGCCTTGATTCCGAAGGTTTTTAGCGAAATTTATCTTTGAAATGCAAAATTGTCTAATTTAGGAGCTGCGGAAGATGAACTTTCTGGAATTCATGAATGGACCGCCCAGAACTCTGTTCCCAGTCAAAGATGAAATTGAAACGGAGAAAGGGGAGGAGGAGGAGGGAGAGGAAGAAGAAGAAGAAGAACAAACCCAGTCGGCCGAGGTTTTGGAGGTGGAAGAGGAGCACGAACCGGCAAATGAAAGCGCGAGCAAAGAGCAGGAGCAGCAGATTGAGGATGAGATGGAAATCGACGACGCCGCCCGCGAGACGAGCATTCCGATCGCGCCCTCGGAACACAATTCGTAAGTTCTAACGATCCGAACCCTCAAGAATCTACCGATTTCAGCTTCAGAAACACAGCGACGGATGCGATGCGCCACGAGCTGATAACGCCGGCCGGACACGTGCTCGCGGTGCCGCAGACGATACATCCGAAGATCGACGGACCCGCGGCGAAAGCGTTTCGGCTGCCGTACTCGAACGAGGAGATCGCCTTCTCGCTGAACGGATCGCCGATGGTTCTGCAGGGAAAGAAGGCGCTGAGCCAGGACGAGAAGCGACGGGAGGCTGCGCGCCAGGGACTGTTGGAGCCGAAAATCGAGGACGAAGAGAATATCGGCACGTCCGTCTAATAATTGTCATCATGTGAATAATAGTGTATCGTATTTATCGTTCGGTTACCATTTCTCTTTTTTGTCCGCTAACCCACATGATCTCCATGATAAACCGACCTTTAAGCTCGTCTGACTTGCTGCGCTTCGGGAAATCCTTTTTCTTTTGCGAAAAACCAGTATTTTCCCGAAATTACTTTTGAAAAATCACGTAGTTTTGACAATCACAGACAGCACATGGAACCACGATTCACTCTTATCATATCAATCGTTTTTCACCCGGTGTTGTTTGATGTCGATGTTTGTTTGCAGTAGGTTGGAATACGATACATATGATTTATTTCAGGTAAATTTAGAATCCTAAGTCTGGATGAGAGGCGAGATGCTTCTTGATCTCCGGAATCGAATCGATCTTCTTGAACCAGGCTTGGACCTCCGGGTACGGCTGAAGGTACTCGGGCCACCAGCCGAGCAGAGTTCTCATGTTGTCACTGATGATCAGGTCCGCATAAGTGAGCCCTCCGCTCAGCAAAAAGCCAGAGTTGCTTTCCTTCAAGAACTTTACGAGAATCGGCAGGAACTTGTCGCGGGCCGGAATCAGACAGTTCGTTTTGGCGGCTTCGACGTCAGCGGCAACGAGTCCGAGTCTTCCGTAGTAGTACGGTCTGATCTCCGCGTAGAAATCCTTGAACTGATCGGCGAGCGCGTCCGCGAGAGCCGCCTCCTCGTCCGTCTTTCCGGCGTAGCCGAACTTTTTGGCGAGGAATCGGGCGACGGCCAGAGATTGTGGGATCTTACGGCCAGAGGGGAGCTCCAGGACTGGCATTTGACCGAAGGGCATTTTCGATTTCCAGTCTCCCGCCTGCCATTCGGACTGTTCGACACGAATGTCCTCGAATGGAGTGCCGGAGAGGGCGAACAGCTAAAAAGGTTGGTTTTTTAGTTGAACACATACAATAGAGAGAACCGTACCTGTCTGGAAACATCTCCCAATCCACGGCCTTGGAAATAATAGAGCTTGTACTCGGGCATCTTCTTCTTCTTCTTCTCGACGGCAGACACTGATCGCCGTCGACTTTTATACCAGACTGCCACGTGTCTCCGTCTCTTGTGTCTCTGCAGAACAACGTGGTGATTGATATGATTGAGGAGAGAGAGAGAGAGAGAGAGAGATCACCGAAACACACCATTCTATGCTGATACCGACGAAAGAAACTTTTTTCGTTTCGTTTTTCGACGACGATGATCATGATGATCATGATGACAATAGGGTAGGGGTCGTTTTCGAGGCAACCGGAAAGTTCAAAAGATCTTCGGCACCGAGTCTAGCGCCCGTTCAATTCATCACCGCTCATCACCGCTCTTCGAATCGATCTTCTCCCTGAAGGTTGTCGGGCCACCAGCGGAGCAGAGTTCTCATTGTGTCACTGATGATCAGGATCCACTCAGCAATAATCAAGAGGTGCTGTCCTTCAAGAACTTTGCGATGATTGGCAGGAACTTGTCTCTGGCCGGCACGAGGCTCTTTGTCTTTTTGGCTGCCGTATCGATGCAATGTTCCGGAGAAAAATTGAGAAGATTAACAGTAAAATACGTTTATTTGCAACGATTTCATTTAGACAACGGAATCCGGTCGGTTCTCATTGTGCTGCTTGATCTCCGGCACCTCGTTGACCTTCTCCCGGAACGCCGTCAACTTCCGATTCTCCGCGGCCGATCCGTCGAACACTCCGAGCTTCTCCATCGTGTACAAAATGTCGGCGATCACCAAATCCGCCCACGTAATCCCATCTCCGACGAGCCATCCCGACTTGCTCTTCGCGAGAATTCCGTTGAGTGCCGTGAAGAGAACGTCTCTGGCGGGCGCGAAAATCTCTTTCTTGACACGTTCGATTTCTTGCGGTTCGCCGGCTCTCTGAGCCATAATCAGTTGACGGAGTGGGCCGACAAAGTCCTTGAACTGATCGACGATGGCGTCCGCCCACGCCTGCTCCTCCGCACTCTTTCCGGCGTATCCGAATTTGTTGGCGAGGTATCGGAGGATGGCGGCCGATTGGGGGATCTCGAAGCCATCAACCGAAAGGACCGGAAGCTGTCCGAACGGAGTTTCTGGAAATTTCTATCGGTAATCAATGTCAAAACCGAAAATAGCTCACTGGGCTTCAACGCCTCCCACTCGGGCGTTCCGTTCTCGACTCGCACGTCTTCAAACGACACGTGCGCCAGTTTGAAAAGTTGGCGAGCCGGCTCGGCCCATCCACGAAGGTTGAAGTAGGTGAGTTTGTAGGGAGGCATTTTTAGAATAAGACCGAAAGAAAAGACCCCGTTTGCAAGCTAGACTCTTTTCGAAAATCGACGAAAGAAATGTGTGTTTGATTTTTCCGTCTATCTCTCTCTCTTTCTCTCTCTCTCTCTCTCTCTCTCTCTCTCTCTATCTCTCGATCACAACGTGGTTTGTGTTTGAGACAGAAAGTGGTCACAAAATGCGAATGACCCTAAGGACAATCCAGGCAATCTGAACATTTCCGACTCTGGGGCTCGTACCAAGTGTTCTTGTGTATCCAATTGCGACAAAACTGGAAGAACATAGCCCATAGAAGAAATGGAGACACTTGGAGCAACCTGACAACCTGTTACAGTCGCGGTAAACACGGAAATATCCAGATTGCTGCCCCTTAAGGCCATTCCAGACAATCTGAACATTTCGCTCTGTCGAATCGTGTTTGTTTGTGGTTTGTGATTTGCCGAAAAACACACCAGACACCATTATTTGTCACGTGTTTGCCAAATCGCAAGTCGAAGATCGAGTTGTTCTTGTTTATTTTTTACCAAAAAGTTTATCGAAAAAAAGTGAAAATTAGTGTTCACCAGGTAGATTCGATTCAAATCAAAATAAATGTTTATCAGTCAGACAGAAACGTAAAGCAGCAATTAGAACTGAGTATCCGGACGGGTGGCGATCCACTCCTTGAGCCCCGGCTGAGAGTTGACCTTCTCGCGAAGAGCAGCGAGTTTCGGTTGCTCCGCAGGCTTGAAGAATCCGTTCTTCTCGAGCGTCGTCAGATTCTCGGCGATCACCAAATCGGCAAAAGTAAGTCCCTCTCCGACCAGGAATCCCGACTTGCTCTTCTCCAAAATTCCGTTGAGGATAGTGAAGAACGCGTCTCTCGCCGGAATCGCCACTTCTTCTCTGATCTTCTGAACCTCCTCGGCTGGCTTTCCGGCGCGGGTGGCCGTGATCACTTGCACGAAGGCGGTGATAAAGTCCTTGAACTGATCGACGATGGCGTCCGCCCACGCCTGCTCCTCCGGCGTCTTTCCGGCGTATCCGAACTTGTTGGCGAGGTAACGGATGATGGCCGCCGATTGGGGGATTTGGAAGCCGTCGACACTAAGCACTGGGGCTTGTCCGAATGGAGTAGCTGAAGAAAAGCGAGGGTTCTAGTTTACAACTACCCAAAAAACACTTACAATCCTTGATCTTCTCCCAAGATCCATCGTCATGGCTGAGACGGACGTCCTCGAACGGGACACCGGCCAAATGGAAGAGTTGGCGGGCCGGCTCGGCGTATCCGCGCACGTCAAAGTAGGTGAGTTTATAGGAGGGCATGAGGATGGTAGGAGTGCCTCGGCGCCTCGTCCTTTTATACTCTTCCCGTCTATTTCTCTCGTCATTTGTGTGACTTTTCGTGTCAAAATGTGTGCGCGTTTCTGCCCTGATAATGGAATTGCACGTGGCGGGTTTTGATAAAGGGTTTGTCTGTCTGTCTGGCTAAGTATTTCGATTCTCATCAAGCTCACGGCGAACATTGGAACCCTACCGTTTAGATAATTTGCACTGTTATGGGGTTATTCAGACTGTGAAAAAAATAATTGTTTTCCGTTTTTTTTTTCGTTTTTTTACGTCAAAAAATCCAATTCAGCGATGTAAAAAAAACGAAAAGAAAAAACGGAAATAAAACATACGCTGAATAGCCCCATTAAAGTTTGCGGTGGTAGCGAAATGTCGGGGTTCCCGAACATTTTTGAACGAGGTTTGAATTTGCCGCCCGTATTGTAAGTCACTAGCGAGCTTTAGAGGTATGCTTCTCGATACGGAGCGATTCACAAATGTACGCCGTGGTGCTTGGTTATTGCTGAACAATGTTACGCTTAATTCAAGAGGACTACTTTGGTATTATCCAATTTATCTTGTGATCATCTTGTCACTTTGACAGATAAAACCAGGTAGATTCGATTCAAATCGAAATAAATGTTTATCAGTCAGAAAGAAACGTAAAGCAGAAATTAGAACTGAGTATCCGGACGGGTGGCGATCCACTGCTTGAGGCCCGGCTGAGAGTTGACCTTCTCGCGGAGAGCAGCGAGTTTCGGTTGCTCCTCAGGCTTGAAGAATCCGTTCTTCTCGAGCGTCGTCAGATTGTCGGCGACCACCAAATCGGCAAAAGTGAGCCCATCTCCGACGAGCCATCCCGACTTGCTCTTCTCCAAAATTCCGTTGAGGATCTTGAAGTAGGTGTCTCTCGCCGGGATCGCCACTTCCTCCGAGATCTTCGCGATCTCCTCGGGGGTCTTGCCGGTGCGGGTGGCGATGATGACCTGTCGGAAGGCGGTGATGAAGTCCTTGAACTGATCGACGATGGCGTCCGCCCACGCCTGCTCCTCCGGCGTCTTTCCGGCGTATCCGAACTTTTTGGCGAGGTAACGGATGATGGCCGCCGATTGGGGGATTTGGAAGCCGTCGACAGTGAGCACAGGGATTTGTCCGAATGGAGTGGCTGAAAAGAGGGAGCGTTCTAGTTTACAAATCTCCAAAAAACACTTACAATCCTTGATCTTCTCCCAAGATCCATCTCCGTGGGTGAGACGGACGTCCTCGAACGGAACTCCGGCCAAATGGAAGAGTTGGCGAGCCGGCTCGGCGTACGCGCGCACGTCAAAGTAGGTGAGTTTGTAGGAGGGCATTGTTGTTGTTCACTGGAAACTGATAGAGTTGGAAAACGAAACGCGACCGACACAAAATGATGACAAAACGTGCGTCCTTTTATACTCACTCTCCCGCTCATCCGTCTGCGTCTCTGCTAAACACACGTTTCGCGGTTTCGCGGTGTTTGGTCTCACTCTCTCACTTTCGCAATTCTCTAGACATCGAAAGCTCTAGAAGGATTCGATCTGCGAATTGTCATCATTTTTGGAAGGATTCTCGAAAAGATCCGTGTCATTGTGGACACAATATTATGTGAAAAGTTGTGGAAAGGTGTGTAAGCATCGGAACAATGTGATGAGACTCATGAGAGATAGATTGTATCCATGGTGATATTATACACTCGCCGCAGTTTACGACTATTTACATGTTCTCTGCCCTGGCTACATACATCCGCTTCAAAATCACTCTATTTGTCATCATTTCAGCTCAGATTTTGGAAGATATCATGATAAATTAGAGGATTATGAAGTAGAGGACTATATTTTCAATGAAAAGATTCAAAGTTCCGTGTCAGGCCTCGTGGCGATGTGCTCCTTGAGCCCTGGCAATTCGTAGATCTTCTGCTGGAACCGTCGCAGCTTCTGATGCTCCTCATTGCTCGATTCGAGCTCCTTGAGCCTTTCCATCGTGTACAAATTGTCGGCGACCACCAAATCGGCCCAAGTGAGCCCCTCCCCCGCCAGGAATTCCCTCTTCTCGAGAATTCCGTTGAGGATTCTGAAGTAGTTGTCTTTTGCCGGATTGAAGACGTCCTCGCGGATCTTCTGAATCTCCTCGACGGATTTTCCGGCTCTTTGAGCTACAAGAACCGCGCGGAATGCGTCCATAAAGTCCTTGAACTGATCGACGACGGCGTCCGCCCACGCTTTTTCTTCCGGAGTCTTTCCGGCGTATCCGAACTTTTGGGCCAAATATCGACAGATGGCAGAGGACTGGGGGATTTGGAAGCCGTCCACGGAGAGCACAGGGACTTTTCCGAACGGAGAATCTGCAGAAATGAGCGTTTTTGCGACTTTTTTCCAGGACCAGAAGGAAAAATCAATATAGTTTATTCCAGAGAGTGTATCTCAGTTGCATGTAGAGATAACAAAAAGTTGACAACAGACGAATTGCTCTTTGAAACATTTTATACATTTCATTAGTTGACAACGTTTTGCTATTTATACATACAGCTGAAATACGTAACTTTCAATGAGCTCACTTTTCTTAATCTCCAACCACTCGTCGGACTCCTTTCCCGGAAACAGATTGTCCACCGGGATCCTTATGTCTTCGAAAGCGGTCCCGGATAGATGGAATAGTTGACGAGCAGCTTCGGCGAATCCACGAGCATCGAAGTAAGTGAGTGTGTAGACGGGCATGCTGGCTGGGAGATCCACTTCTATCTTCACCTTTATATACGGTCCCCGGTGTGTCCTCCGTGTGGTTTGTGACCTATCTGTCAAGAGGACAAATGGATATCCTGCTCATCTCCGATCTTTCGTCATCATTTTTAAGGGAAAACATGTTTTTTGCAACAATTTTTATTGGGTAAAGAACGAAAAGTATAGATACTATTGGCACATTTCTCTTGAGAAATTCATCTTTTTGTCTCTGCTTCTCCCGATTCACCGCTTCCTGGATCTTCTGCTGCTGCTGCTCCGTCCTCCAGAGATCCCTGCTCGCATTGAATCGGTTGATCATCTGAATCACTTGCTCCTGGTGGAAGTTTATGAGCTCTCGCTCACGCACCGCCTTGACGGTTTGTTTTTAGCCGAGAACAAATGAAAAGTTAGATTCTTGAGACAATCAACATTTATTACAAGACAGCCATGACATTAAGGGAACATTTTAACAATAGCGAAATTCCTTGGCAACATCTCGACTCCTCCCTCCTCTGGCAGCTCGAATTCGATGCGATCAAACGGACACGCGATGTATTCCCGGTCTCCAGTGATCCGAACCGCACAGCTATGGCACATTGTGTGCCCGCACTCCAGCACTTTAGGTACGTGATCGGGATGCGGACTGTACTTCTCGAGGCATATCTCGCAGTGGCTGGTTGTGGTCGGCTGCTGGCTTGCCTCCACTTCCGCTTCCAATCGAGCAATCTCTTCATCGCATCCGGACAGCTCCTCTTCCATTTTCGTCACTTTCTTCTGATGTTTCTCCTTCACATTCTCCACATAATTCATCCATCCCTGCATCATCCGGTCCTTCATCTCGTTCGAACTTTTGAGGTTCACAACGGTTCCTCGGAGATGCTCGATCTCCTGATGGTTCTCCATTCGCTCCTCCTCCAAGAAGCGAACCTGGTCCCTCAAGTGCTCATTCTTCGCCTGCATACTGTGAATCCATTGCACGAGGTTCGTTTCGTCAATGTTCATGGTGTCGAGCAGGGTTTTCAGGGCGGCGGACATTTCGGAATGTTCTGAAAAACGGAAACAATCAATAAAAGAGAAGAGAAGGAGGAAGTAGAAGGGGGGCCACTCGGAAGAGTGTGTGCGTGAACGTATACCTTGTGGGGATTCTGTAAGAACCGAGGACCTTTGCCTAAAACGGCGACCGAAATTGTATAAAGGGGCGTGGCCTAGCGTTTTTTGCTGGCCGAAATTAAACGTGTGTAACTCAAACATAAAGCACTTTGGAATAAAATGAACAACTACAAAGTTGTAGAGCACAAATTTTGCCACAACTTTCTAGTTGACCACTTTAAAAAATATTCATCGGTTCTCGAGATAAACTTCAAAAACTGCTCCATGCATTGGTTTGATCGATGCTCCATATGTGAAAAACGAGTCAATTGTGAACGTGCCAGGGCCAATTTCGAAATCTACTGCTTTTCCAACTCATCTGTAAGTTTTTGTGGTCAATAAACATTTAATCTGAAAAATCACTTTTCAAAATTTCTTAGGAAATTTAAATTTCAAGTTAACTCTCATTTTTTCGGTAAATAGATCAAAAACTTTTTTGTAAATTTGACCAACTGGGCCGAGTGAAATCGCAATATCGATTTTCGAATGACCTTCATCAGTTCCTTTCCGGCACTCTTCCTTCGCTTTCTGTTAAAATTTAGACCACTTTTTCTTTTTTCTCATTTCTCATTTCTCTTTTTGACATCGTCGCGCCATTTTTCGCCTCAAATCCGCTTATTCAGCTGATTTTGTAGAAAATCATCGAAATCAGTTGATATCAGCACAAAAAACGAGCTTTTTTCGAGAACAATTAGCGAAATAAGCGCAAAAAATCAGATTTGGCCTTCAACGGTGTCAGCTCTATAAAAAAAAGTATTTTTGCAGGAAAATGAGCCAGAGAGCGGACAGATTCAAGGCGCTCCGAATGCGACGAAACGCCATCGACACCGAGCGATTGTTGTCGTTTTTACACGAAGAGCTGCGCGAGATGCACGTCTCTCAAACGGATTTCGCGATCGGAGTGCTCGAACGGAAGCGCGGATGCTGCTCTGACATCTTCCGAAGCTCCCGGTCCTGGGTGGATTCGTCGTCGACCAGACGGCGTATTTTAGAGAAAATATACGATTGGCTGATGCTGTCGGACGACGAACGGAATGCCGTGCTGCCGAAGAAGAAGAAGCCGGAGATGACGAAGGAGGAGGAGGAGAGAATCGAGAAAAGTGTGGAAGAGATTCTGGCGGCGGCGATCAGACGGCGAAGTGCTGAAGAAAGTGCGAATAAGGCGATTTCGAGTGTGGCGGAAGAGGTGCAGAAGACCGCCAAACTGTACGACTGAGATTTGAGATTAGGCCCCTTCATACTGATTTCAGGCCCTCAGATCAACAGCCTACACCGATTCTCACAGACGTGAAAGTGAAGCCAGAAGAGACTTTCGAAGGTCCAAGTACGTCTTCAGCGCCATTTCCGTCAATCAAGAATACTCGGTGAGAAATGGCGACGTCCTCAGAATCTGTAATCTGTGGCGTTGCAAAGGCGACTACTTTTCTCAGTTGAAATTTGAAAATTCGCGTTTGCTCACGTCGTTTTCGAAACCCCCGTGTAACTAACTAATTTCAGACAAGAACAAAAAAGCTTTTACGTCGACAATCTTCTATCCCAAATAATGGAAAAACAAGGATTTCCTCCTCCCCCTCTTCCTCCGAACCCGAATCCTTTAGAAGCTGTTGTGAAGCAGGAGCCGGCCGAGCTAATTCAGCCAAAATCAGGAATGGTTGAACAGAGTAATTACTCCGAAGCGTCGGTCCCGGTGGATACGCAACTCAATCGGTGAGCAAACGCGCTCCACCGCATTGCGCTCATTGGTCGACTAATTCTTATTCTACAAATTCTTAGTCCAATTTCAGATTCTCCGATCATCATAGACCGCAAGATGCGCCGAATAAACTGGACGATTTTCCTGCCGAATCGTCGTCACTGATAGCCAAAGAACGAGAGCGTGCGACTGCTCCGAAGCGAAGATTTTCGGTTTGCTGCAAAGAAAATTCGCCAACAATTGAAGATGAGCAAGAAGACGTTGAGCATCTGTGCGATGGACCCACAGAAATGTGAGTTTTCAAGCGATTTCACACAAAATAATTTGAATTCAGGTCCTCCGAACACTCAAACGGCGATGCTTCCACTCATTCAGCAGAACTGTTCGCCAGACCGTCCGAAGTAGCTCCTGCTCCAAATTCGAGAGCACAAACGGTCGAAGAGAAGGAGAATCACCCTGAGATGACCGAAAAAGGCACGAGAAGGCCGGAAAGACAACGTTTACTCACTGAGAGCCAAGCTCCGCCTCGCAAAAAGAAAGGGTAATCGATTTTTAGGATATGTGTCATTTTTGACATCAAAATGACCAATGAGACATAAATCTAAAATCGATGGTTCATTCCAGGCTGGCGGATGAGAAGCCGGAACCGACGCCAGAGGAGGAAGCAGCTATGAAACAGAGTGTAGAAGAAATGGTTGCCAAGATAAAAAGGGACAATCCCGATTGCTTTCCCCCGCCCGTATCGGAAGTTCCAGTTGAGAAGGATCACAGTGCCAAGGACCAGAATGATTTATCGAAAAAACGAGAGAGAACGAGTTTGAACGCGTCGAGAACGGAGCCAACTGAAAAGACGATCGATGAGTCCGCGAAGAATCTAGAAGAACCTCAAATTCCAACTTCAACGACCCAGGAGAAATCAGAATCACAACCGAACCAAGCGCAAATGGAGGAAGAAGCCCGGCAGAGAGCAGCACGAGATCTGGCTCTGGCCGCGATGATCGCAGAGGAACTTGCTCTCAAGAAGAAGCGAGAGCAAGAACTAGCGCGACAGAAGTCCGAGTCCATTATTGTGAAACTCCTCGAGGCTCCACGCGAACCAGCAGTCAAGCCCACGCGCCAGCGACAAGCTCCGCCTCTCAAGAAGACGAGGTGAGGTTGGGGATCAGAGTAGGCTGGTCGAACAGGCGCCTGTTTTTTCAACGGGCCGCCGCTTCCCTGCGTTGAGAAAACAGGCGCCTGAAATCGCCTGTTCGACCAGCCTAGATCAGAGTCCTAACTCGAAAAAAATGCCCATGAACAAAACCGCGTGGCTCTTTCCATTTTCGCATCTCGTACGTTTGCAACCAGCTCTGCAAAATCTTCACAAAAAGGAAGAGAAAGAATGACTGCGCGGAACAGGTACCCAAACAGCTTCGGACGGGTGTGCACTCGTCTGATGGTACCAGTTCTCAGCCGTAAGAGTTGCTGGGATGGAGAGAGTCAACACCTGCGCGTAGTCAAGGTTGTAGTCCTGGCCTAGAAAAACCATCGGTCCAATATTCCAGCCCACGGCCACAACTTTGAATGCACGTAGATACGTTCAGATGCATTTTTCCTTGAGAACCGTTTTCGAAAGTCACTTCAGGCGGACAGAACAGAAGAATCCTTCGAACCGGGTTCCAGTTGCGCAAGACAAAAGCGACATGGGTGTAATGACGCTGTTAACGAAACCGACGACGTCTCAGAGAAGTCTCCCGGCCGTTTCTGTGCCGCCGCCGTCGCGCAAATCTGGAGTTTTGCAAGCACGGAATGCTCAATCGGCCCAATTTAAATCTCCGGAACCCAAATCGAAATTGACGCCAGAGCAGGAGGATGAGATCGACATGCATATTGCGGACATTACGATGACGTTGAAGCTGAAGGATCCGACTTATCAAATTGATCCGAAGCTGGTGGTCAGCAACAAGTTTCTGGCGTCGATTCTGGCCAGAGTGAAAGCGGATCCGGATTATGTTTATAAGTCGGTACGAGAGGAAATGGCGGAGAGGGTGGAGGATCCGACGCCCGAGACAGAAACAGTCCAAACGCCTGAAAAACCGTCAGAAGATCCGTTGATGACGTCGCTGAAAGAGGCGATCGCATCCGAGGTCGGACAGTTGAACGCCCAGCTCTTTGAGAAGATCTCCAAGGCGATCAACGACTCGAGCAAGACTGTCATGGACAAAATTGAGGCGTACGTTCATTTGGAGCCTTTAGAATTCGAAAAATTAGGGTTTCTAATTTCAGTACTGCTCCAGAAGGCCCAACGACGAAGGGAACCTTTTTGGTCGGTCTGAAGAACCTGTTGACGAAGATGGACAGTCGAGAAATGGACGGAATGATTCGGAGAATTGAGACGTTGATTCGGAAGCCGGAAAAAGTGAGAAAAATTCTTATTGCTAACCAAACACGCTCCTCTGCACTATGCAAAAAGTATAAGAAAAGGGCGGCTAACTAAAATGTTTTCAAATCTGAACAACAATAAAATGAGCTTCAGCCTCTGCCAATCGCCGCCATCCTCAAAATGCTCGATCTTGGGCTCACAATAATGGAGCACGACGACTAGCTAACAAAACTAACACAACATTTATTTGATTTACTCTTGTTATATGATTATTATTATTATATTCATTCATTTATGTCAAATTTGATCCAAATTGTTTATCAGTCAGACTGTTCCATCTTCGCTTCACTTCCGTAGTACGGAAATTGAGTCACGTATTCAGGTTTCAAGTGAATCGCCCAGCTCACCGCCTTGTCGCCTTTTTCGAAAGTGTGAGGTGGCACTGAAGATAAGGATTATTGTACTTAAAGGGCAAGGTTTACTGTGGAACTCACGAGATGTGCTGCCTGGAACCAGCAAGGGAACGTTTCCGAGGATGAAGTTGAATTGGACGGAAGAAGTGTCCATGCACCAGGAGTCCACTTCGGCAGTGATTTTCACGAAATACTCGAGGCCGACGTACTTGGAACTGCGGATCGTGGCCACGACGGGCGGGATTTCGAACGAGAATTTGAAGTCGTGCGAGAGACCCGAAGCCACTTGGACTCGCTGAACGGGAACGGAATATGTTGGGTACTTTTACTTTATTAAATTAAAAAGCATAATCTCAGCTGTTTGGAGAGATATCAAAGAGTTTTGAACTGTGAAAATGTGCACAATGTCTTTCTTTATCCAGTTGAAAACTTATTGATATCTCTTCCGGCACTGGGGTGCCCTACTTACTACAGTTTGAACCTTAAAGTCGTCCATTTTCAGCGGAAAAGTCAAAAAGCACACCTCAGTCTTGTCCTCGATGTCCCACTTCTCGGTGCGAACACCCGAGCGGAGAGCGCTGATGATCACGGCGTTCGTCTCGAGCTGCTGCCGATAGGTGGCCACGCGGCTCAGTGTCGCCGAGATCGCCTTGAGCGGCTTCGTCGTTTTGTTCTCGACGAGGCCCGACACGGAAATGGTCTGGCCGGAGACGTAGCCAAGAGTCGGCGAGTTCACCGTGAACAAGACACTTCCTCTCTTCAAGAAACTCGGTCGAATCGGCAGACATCCGCAGAGGATCTGAGCACTTTGCTCCGCGTGGAGCTCGACCGGCTCGCCGGCGCCGGGAATAGAGTTCAGATCGATGGTCGGAGAGACGGTGACCGCCCGTTCCGCCTGCGTGTCCACCCACTTGGGCACGTCGATGTTCACGTGGACCGAGTAGCGGATGAAGCCGTACTTGCCCTCGAAACTCGGCGGACACTCCTTCGGCAGTTCGAACTGGAACGCCCACTCGTACTCGCCCGCCGGAAACACGTTGTTCTCGTCCGTCGGCGACCACACCTCGTGCTCCATTTTCACGTGGACCTGCTCGGATCGGACGCCAGTGTAGGGGGTCTCAACCGGGCGGAACTTGCTGGAAGATATATCTCAGCTACCAGTGGAGATATCGAAAAGTGGTTAACTTTTTGATATCTCTACTCGCAGCTGATGAGATGCTCTTACTTACCCGTCAGAGGGCCAAGAAGAAACGGATTTTCCGGAGAAAGTGATGATGACACTTCGGGCGGTCATGTCTTTTGTGGTTGCCACCCATGCTCGGCCGGTCACCTCCTCTCCCGGAAAGTAGATTTCCTTTTCGAACTCGATTTGCGGCCGACACCACGCCATCTGAAAGGTCAATTGTAATGTACCCGTGGAGCTAACTGGTTTTTCGAGTAGGAAAGGTTTAGTTATCAAAAAACAGGCAACCAAATTCGATTGCAAAGCGAAAAGTTGGCAGAAAAAGAGGGAACGGAGGACAGAGAAAAGGGCGAACGAAACGAGAGAGAAAAGAGGCGAATGGCGATTTTCACACAACGAGGAAGAGACTTTTTCGAGGTCACAAGGACGTTTGTGAAATGAGCGATTGAAAGATCATTCTGCGAATTGGACATACGATCCGAATTACTGATAACGAATGATGATGATGACGCAAGAATGCGAACGAATTCTACTCGTTCTTGGCTAAAAAAAAAGGGCAAAAACGGAAAAAAACAGTAAGTTCAACATTTCTTATTTGTAATGGCCCCAAATCTCTTCATTTTTCAGAAAAAACAAGGGGGAAAAAACGTAATCGGTCGAGTTGTTCCGGAAGAATCACTTCATGTACTGCGACGCGCCGATGTCCACGTTCTGCTCCTTCGGCTTCATTCTGTCCAGCTCCGCCTGTCTCTTCGCCCTGAAAATCCGAACCGCATTCTCATTTTCGATTCAAAGTCGCGTACTCGGCAGCGGCGGCCTCTCCGGCGCTTCCGTAGATGCGATGACTCTTGTCGGCCGGATTTCCGCCGCCCGGTCCGCCCACCAAATCGACCATCACACTGTCCGGACGGTCGGGCGTCACGATGCCGTTGTTCGTTGCGATCGGCGCCTCTTTCGGCGGTTCGACGGGCAGTCCTCCCGCGACGGCCGTCATTGTGGAAGTGGAGGCCGCCGGTGGTTCGGCTGGAGCTGGAGCAGGAGACACCGGAGTCGAAGCAGCCGGAGGCGTCGATGGGGGAGCGGATGGAGGCGCAGAAGCTGGGGCCAATTTCTCGTTCTCCTCTTCCTGAAAACAAAGCGGAAATGCCGCACATCCCTATCAAGAGCCCACCTTCTTCGGCTTCTCAGCACTGGCCTTCTTCGTCTTCGCACTCGCGTCCTTCTTTTTGTCGCGCTGGCTCTTCTTGCTCTTCTTGCTCGCGTCCTTCTTGGTGCCCCGCGCGCTCTTCTTGCTCCCGTCCGGCTTCTTTGACCGTCCGCTTTTGTCGGCCGCAGCAGCTTTGGAGCGGGCGCTCTTCTCCTGCTCCGCCGACGCCTTCTTCGCCGGCTCCTTGCTCGGAGCTTTCTTCTTCCGCTGACTTCTCTGCGAGGCGCCCTTCTTTCCGCGCTTGCTTCTCTGCGATTTGTCCTTTTTGCCACGTTGCGATCGCATCGATTTGTCCTTTTGCCGCGCATTTCCACGGTGGCCAATGGTACAGGCGACGGAAAGACCGACGCCGGTTGCGGTCGCGGTCGCGATAGAACACACTGAACAGAAAGAGCAAGGAGTTGGGTGGGAGGCCGGGGGAAACTCACAGTAGTTCATCAAATCGACTTGGATCTCTAGCGCTGCCATTATTTCGAATGGTCGTCTGGTTTTTGAATGGAGAAAAACGGAAACTGATTTTGTTTTGTGATTTTTGAGCGATGAGGATCCGGGGAAAAAGATAACGATCTACAGGGTTACGTTTCTTTATCATTTTCAAATTTTCACCGTCACGCTCTGAATTTGTACTTTTTAAAGGGACCAACAATACTCTCGCAACACCAAGTCAGAACTATTAGAGAACTCCAATGCTCCAACTATAGAATCCGAACCGAAAAGCTTCATACAAAGTATAAGAAAGACAGATAAAGTTAACTTTAGAATGAGATACTTGACGAGGTAAGAGGTAGTAAAAGGCATGCGGAAGGGTATTCAGGATACAGAATTCAAGCTAATGTTTAGTGCCATTAAGGCATTTCTCTGCAATCGCGCTCTGTTCCTAATCTGGCCGAACTTTTCCATTTTTCTTCAAGTACTGCACCAATAAGAGTTGCTCAACAGCGCGCGTTTGCAGTGAAACGTCCTAGTAATAAAACGTGTTCTCAATTTTCATCTTCGTTATTCAAAGTGTTCTTCTCCAACCAAACCAAAAATTTTTGCCAATTTGAGAAGAAATAATCGGCGGGTCCCCACCTTATTTGCCTCAATCTCAGTTCGTCGGCGTTCCTAAATCTCGTTCTTTTTATTTATCTTTAGTGAAAATGAAAACCTACACTCTTTTGATCTTGTGAACTTCTTCCATCATCTGGTAGTGTGCACGAACTTTCTCTTCGCGCTCTTCGTTTAATTTTTTCGTTTTCGCATCGTTCGCCTTGATTCTTTCCAAGTCGTTTTTCATAGATTCGGCAGAACTGCGAAGAGAGGTCCAATCAACTTTTTCCCCGTTCTCGTCCATCTTCCTCAATACTCTCCGGCTCTTCCTCACGAACTCCTTTCGATCGGATTCCATGCGCACACTTTTCCGTCGCTCTTCGCACGTCTTCTTCCAATCCTCAATCACCTCTGCCACATTTTCCATGGTCTCCACGTCCTTCTGCTGCTTCTCCAGCTCTTTATTCTTCCGATTGATCTCCTTCAGAAGAGTCCGATCCGTCGATCGCCAGGTTTTCAGAATGAATCTGTAGAAATCGCCCTCGTCCAAAATATTGTTTAGATGAGCCTTCAGGCCCCATATCTCACGCGACTCCTCGATGTACGCGGGATCCTCGGAGGCGTCGACGTAGTCAGTTCCCGGTCCGACTTTTCCTCTCTTCATTAGAGACCGCAGAGTCCGATGTATTTCGGTCATTTTCGTTCTGCAAAAAAGTTGAGAATTGTAAGTGAATAAAGAGCAAATCGATAAGTTGGAAAGTGGAATGAGATGGGTGTGTGTTTAGGCGGAGGTGCTTCTGAGAAGTCCAGTTTACAAAGCGGAGGGAATAGCGGGAGGTGACCGAACAAATCGGGCGTCTTCTTGGCATACGCACTACGCGCGGATATCCAATGTATTGTGAAAGTGCACGTGAGGAGGGGAAAGAGATGCGGAGAGCACGGCAACTGAAGAGGAGCAGAGAAGCGAGAAGCGGACGGGGATGCTGTGTAAGCTCTCATCGATTTAGGCTTCTCGCTGACAACTAGCAGCATTTCTCGAAGTGAACTTTTGCTCTAGAGTGTTCAAGTTATTGTCAAGTTAATAGACGCCTGTAACTAAAAAATTAGTGGTCCAAAAGTTACATAAACACTTGTCATTCTTGAGTTCAGGTATTGTTGGTATTTCCTAGAACGACGAGAAAGTGACGAAAGAGAGAAAAGTACTTTGAGGCCACTGATCAGCTGTGCATATTGAGAAAAATAATGTAAAACAACCTTATGTAACATTTGGCGCTCGTACAGGTTGCTTGACCACTAACGTTTTAGTGACTGGCCTGATAGGACTCATTTTTTCCCATTTCGCCATTTTCCCTACATCACTTTTAAACGTTTCCAATTCCAGAACCATGTCGAGCTCCTGGATCGCATGGCTCCCATTCTACACTCCACGAGGTCCTCCACGCGAGCGCACTCTTCAAGAGGAACATGAAATCGTGATGGCTTTCGATCGGAGCACCGGCCACGCCGATACCGAAAAGCTCAAAAAAGCGAATAAAACGGATTTGATGGACATGCTCAATAAGCAGACGCCGTTCCTGGTGGAGCTGGTGCAGAAGAAGAACGAAATGCGATCGGCGGCCGACGGAATCATAATGGGCAGAGAGGGCGAGTGGATGCGCAGGCTGTGCGAGGAGAGATTGGCTGGAAATCGGGCCGAGTTCGAACGGATCAGCCAGAGACTTGTCATGAAGATGGAGGAATGCGTGACGAACAAACGGATAAGCCCGGAGGAGAAGGCGTCGATAAGCGAGGATTCGGACGAGGCGGAACGTCTTGAGGAGGCGATTCGGGAGGATGAGAAGTGGATTGAAGACGACTTGGCGAGGATGGAGGAGCCGCTCAGCAAATGGGCCGAGTTCGTCAAGAACAAACAATAATGGATCACTTTTTCAGCAAAAAATCTCAGGGACTACCTCTACTCTTTGTGCAGTATCACTTTTAATCTGTATGTGTCGTGCAAAAGCGGAAATTCTAGACATTTTGGGGTCTATCAACGAAACGAGGAATTCAGTGCTGCTGACGTTTCTGGTGAATTTTTCATATTTTTCCTTGATAAACACCTAAAATATCTGGAATTTCCGCTTTTACCACAGTCGAAGCGGTTTTTCAATTAAAAAGTTGAATATTTCCCGGAACTTTTATGTAATAAATTGTTCGATTTTCAAGTTGCTTCACAAACTCACGAGATGAAAAGCGATTATTTCGCCTTTTATCTCACTCTTCTCAGAGTGAGAAAACGTTAGTTTAAAAGTTACGTGGCCCAGCGACACGTGGCATTGCTCATTCCGATTTCCACCTATTCTCACCCACTTTTCGAGAAAATGCCTTCTGAAACTTGCGAAGATGAGTTCTACGAAAAGCACTATTCGTTCGAATCCTCGCTGCTCAACGTGTTCTATCTCATCAACAAACCAATCAACCAGGACAAAGACGACGTCGAACTCATCGTTTGTAAATGTCCAAAGCGACTCAGGTAATATATACTTATTTTCGTGGAAGTTTCTTTTTACATAACCGCAAAGTTTCGCTTTTCCGGCGCCTCGAAATTTGTGTTTATTTCGCTGATTTTTCACAACAATGAATGACACTTGAATTCAATAAATTTTGTCAAAATCTGGTAAACAATCAGCGAAATTACACCGCGCGCGCCGTAATTAATACCGACATTTTATTTTTTCAGCATCAAGTCTGCGCTCAAAGGTCAGATTTTCGTGCGGAATGTGGAGCAGTCGATGAGCAAAATCCGTTCGAATGTTATCAGTTTCATTGCCGCCTGGCCGCTGGAGAAACGTCTCGAGGACGCTTTGAACGATCCGAATTGCGATCAGAAATTTTTTTAGATGAACCGAACTCGGCATTCAAATGTTAATATTTAAATACAAAGAAATTGGAAAAAATCCTTTTCAAATCAACTGTTGCGTTTCCAGGCCAAGTGGCATCTGATGCTGCTCAAAGCGACGGCATCCGAAAGCAAGGCAGTTCCGCCCGACTTTCTTGCCTATTTCTCCTTTTTCCGGATACTCTTCCAGTAAGATTTCTTAAATTCTGACAAACCCGCTTTACCGCAATGCAAAACCCGTTCGCCAGAATTCTGAGTAATTAGGATTTATGAAATGTTTTTACAGAATCGTAAGCGAAGCGTATCCGAATCGCAAGTTCTCTTACTCTCCGAACCGTCTCATCGAACAGACCGCCCGTCGTCGTACAAAACAATTCGACGTCGTCGATGTGTGCTCTTCCGAGTTTCAGACCCAAGCACGGGCCGCCTATCAGACTCTGAACACGATCGGAAAGGAAACTTTGAAGAGTAATGCGAAAATTGGCGGAGTCGATGCGAGTTTTTGGTAGAGATTCAAGCAATTCGTTAAGTTTAAAGCAAGGGACTCATAATGCGAGACAAGTGGGTGAGAATCATGGTACAAATGTGTGTGTCAGACAATAAATAGATACATGAAATATATTTAAAACGGCGTTTCCTTTTTTTCCCCATTTCAATCGGTGCTCGCCTTCAAAAACGTCGTCATGGCGTTGGATTCGGTGTGCTGCGCCGACGGATCGTCGATAATTTCGTCGTCATTCTCGTCGATCAATTCTGGAAATAAGAATAGCTGAACACGTAGCAAACGGGCCACCCGTCCCGAACTTACGAGTCGCGCCGCGGTAGTGTTTGTGCGACGGAGCGTACATGGCAAGCAGCAAGAGCACATAAATGTTGCACATTCCAAAGGTGCCGGTGAAGAATGCCGACGTGCTGCCCGTCAAGAATCCGTCGCGCGCCTCGTCGCCGTGCAACTGCGCCTCGCCGTACTGCTTCATGAAGTAGGCGGCGATTGTGAACGCGGCGCAGAGCAGTGTGAACAGCATCAGGAACTTGAAGCGGTAGATGATTCCGTCCACTTTGACGCGCCGATTCTCGCTTGTCTGATACAACTGCGCGGCGCGCTTCGCTCGGATCGTTCGCCAAACTCGGACGATTTTGTAGAAGAGGAAGACAAAGTAGATGAGAGTGGAGAGGGCGGAGACGATGATCGCAAAGTAGGCGATTTGAGAGCCGGTCGGCGATGACCAGACACTGAAGAATGGGTCGTAGAGCTGGACGCCGCGCTCGATGAGGTCGTAGACGAGCAGGGCGACGGAGGCGGTGACGATGAACGAGAGGTTGAAGCGGTAGGACATCTGCAAGAAAGTGAGTTTAGTTTTTCAAAATGGCCTGAAACTTCCACAAAAGCCAACGTATTTCGGCTGTAATTTAAACTCCAGGCCACCATTCGCTTTTACGAAAGGTGGTCTAGCTTCTTGCCTATCCCTAGAACTCTACTAACAATGTTATTGCGAGCGGTGTCGTCGATGAGATGCTCGCCGGCGAAAATGAGCCAGAACGAGAGGAGCACCGTGTAGAAGAGGCCTTGGCGGAGGTCGGAGACGAGCAGAAGGAACGGAATGCGGTGCGTCAGTGAGATCCATTCGATTGGGACTAAAAAGAGGGAAATCAGGTGAATTTTAGAGATTGATTCGTGATTACAGTCAAGAATGGCCAAACTGAGGCCGAGGAGGAGGATTGCGCGCTCGAGGAGTAGCGGGTTGCGAGCCAGTTGGTTGATCTGAAATTTACTATTTTTTCCAAAGAGTTGAAAGATGCTCTTACTCTCTGCCAATACCACCAGAGACATGCGCACACGACGGGCGTCATCAGCGTCTTTGTCCACAGCCAGACAAGCGTGAAACCGCCGTTCTGGTGGATTTCAATGAGTCGCAGCCCGCTGATCTTCCCGATTTGGCAGTTCGGACTGCGCGGATCGTACTGGCACGCCGCCTGATCAATCGGAATCCGAATGTTGACGAGGTAGAACGGGTAGGAGCTCGAGCCGAGTTCGAACAGATCCAGCATCTCGCAATCGTACGTTCCGCCATCCTTTTTCTGCAAGATTGAACATTATATATTAAATCTAACGAAACGGGATAGACGAACATCCTGCTCGTCGATGGTGCACTCGAGAACGCGCGACACGTTCGACGTCGTCAGCTCTTTCCACGCGTTCTTCTCGGCGCCCTTCTCGCGGTATCCCATCCGGACTTCGAGCTCCAACGGCGCGTGAGCCACGTACTTGAAGTGCGTGCTGTACTCGACGTCCACGTGGAGCACGCCGAGCAGAAACTGGAACCACGGCGAGTATTCCAACTCGACGCCGTCTCTGAAAAAACAGCGAAATGTTGGCGGCGAGAAATATACTTTGATAAACCTTGTGTGCGGCATTTTTGCGACGAACACAATTTCGCGCAGGTCGAACGAGGCGGGCGTGAAATCACCGAGCTCGGAGATTTGATGACAGTTCTGAAAGGTTTTCATGGTTTTTGTGATAGAAAAGAAACTAACATCTCGATGGATCCACTCGCCCGACTGTCCTCTCGTCTTGTCCACACACGTTATCATCTCGAATTCCATGTAGGAGGAGGGCGATGGTGCTAGAAAAATCGAATTTACTTTTGTTTAATTTAAAATCTCGACAATTTTATAAATTTGGAAAAAAAAACTAGTTTTAAAGTCACCCCGTTTTCGTTAAACTCACCATACCACGCTCCGACGATGATGAAGAGGAATTGAACGGCGAGAAGGCCGGCGAAGATGACGAAGAGCTTCCGATTGCTCAGATTTTCGATGACCGCTCCGCCACCGTTCGCCATGTTCTGAAATTCGAGAAAATGTTACTTTTAAAATCGCTAAAGTCGTGCAATGTGTGCTGAGAGTGAATGAGAAATAAATCGTGGGCAATAAAAGAAGTGAAACTGGAGAGCAGCGGCAGCCGAGAGACAGATGCAACAGAAACTAAAAGCAAGGGAAGATGAGAGAGCATGTGGAACGAATCAAATTGTTTTCGCAACCAACTTTGAGGAACTCTCAGAAAGAGCAAATAGTGCACTGCCCGGGGACTAATCCGTTCATCGATTCAAAACAGGAAAACCAACAGTTAATTTCTATTTGTTCCGGTTTTGAGTCGGAATGAGCCTTTCAGAAAGGAAAGTTGCCAGGACACAAATGAAAGAAAATACAAAAAAGACGTCTTCTCTTCGTCTCGGTCGGCTGCCTCGATTTTATGTATGCGTTCTGCGACCTTCTGTCCTCCGTCGTTTTACGACCCGCTCCTCCACATCCATTTGTTCTCCCTTCTCTTTTTTCTTCCGAATTGTAAAAAGAGCTGTGTGACGAATCGCGAATGCGGCGGCGAGAGGATCAGACGGCGAAAGAGAAGTGTGATGACCGATTGGAGGGACGAGGAACGTCCATGGGTGTTCGAGGAGGATTAGGCGGCTTCGGAGAGTGGCGCATTCGGATGACGATGATTTATGAGCACTTCTTGTGTGTTGGTGCAACTTGTCGCGCTTTTGAAGTGACAAGGTCTCGAAGCTCAAATAATCAGAATGATACTGAAAATTTGGCCGCAAAAATTCAAGTGTTGGCCAAATTCTGGTAAAATTGAGCGAGTTATTCAGAATGTTCCACTTGTCAGGCCTAATTTCAGAAAGTTCGGCTCAAGCCCGAAGAAAACCGGAGGAAGAAGGCAATCATTTGAGAATTCCTATCATTTTTCCAGAATGTTCTTTAGAATTTGCCGCCCAACCGCCGTTCGCTCACACTCTGCAGAATGATCACATGCAATGGATGGAGTAAACAAAAAAATACCCTCCCAGTTTTCTGGTCTTTGAGCTCCGAACACTAACCGTTGTTATCCACTGTTTTTCTTCTATTTTCAGCGCATTTCATTTATTTGTTTGCTGAAACCCCCGTTTTCTATGCTTTTTGGCGTTTTTTAAACATTCTTGACGGCAAAACAGAAAGTTCAGTTTCAATTTAACTTCAAAGTCCAACGCGACTCTTTGTTTGACAAAAACACAAAAACTGAGTGCAAAAAGAGTGAAAAACAATAAATTTTGATTTTTAGACCGATAGTAACCGAAAATTGAAGAAAAACCGACAAAGAAATGCGGAAAATGAAAGGAAAAGAACAGCGCGCTGTTCGCTGCAGCGAAAATCTAGAGAAATTCGAAATTTCAATGCTTGGCGCCATCCCTCGAAAACCGTTACTTCGGAGTGTCGTTGTGAGAAATATTTGCGGGTCTGATATGGCCGAAAATCATTAACGATCTTTTATCGATGAAATGGATGATATCAGAGAACATCCTTCATCGATTTTTTTAACGTTTGACAATATGGCACACAATTTCTAGCAAACATTTCATCTTTTAACTTTTTTATTCAAAATGGCTCTAAAAATGCGCAAAAATCGAGAAAAACTGTAAATTAATCGTAGTATTGTACTTTTCGTCAATTCGTTACGGCTCAAATCCCAAAATCTTTCAGAAAATGAACGTTTTGCGCGCGTTCAACGCAACCCTCGCCCGCCGTCCCCTGCTCACTCAGGTCGTCGTTTCCGGCGGAGTCTCTGGCGCCGGCGACGCATTCACACAATACCTGACGGGCCAGAAGACGTGGGATCACTGGCGGACCGCCCGATTCACGTGTCTCGCCGCCGTGTTCATTGCGCCGCCATTGAACGTGTGGTTCCGAGTGCTCGAGAGAATTCGACACGCGAATCGACACGTGCAGGTGCTCTCCAGGATGGCGCCCGATCAGTTGGTGTTCAGGTGAGAGAGCAGCAAGTTTCATTGTAAAAAAAACAGAAAAACTTATCCTTAAAACCTGAAAATATCCTAAAATTAGTTTACTTACAGTGCGTCTCTTCGATAAAAGTTTCTCCAACTGGGGAAGTTAGAATATTTATTCGAACGCTTACAAAAATGTAAATGTTGTCCATAAAGCACTAATTCGACAAGTTTTCTAAAGTTTCCATAATATAGCAAAATTTGAGTAATTTTTGACAACAACCATGAAAACATGCCAATAACAAGGCCACAATTGCAGTCCGCTCTTCAACGCGTTCATCCTCGTCCAACTGCGAGTGCTCGAGGGCTTCTCGGTTTCCGAGTCGATCGAGCGAATGAAGGCCGACTGGTTCGTCGTGTACTCGAGCAGTCTGCGCGTGTGGCCGTTCGTCCAACTCCTCAACTTCTACTTTGTTCCCCTCAATTATCGAGTCATTCTCATTCAAGTCGTCGCCTTTTTCTGGAATTCCTGGCTTTCCTACAAGACGCAGCGACCTGTCGAGTAGCGATTTTCTCATTTTTACCTCGTTTTTGACCGCGGGTTCTTTCCACGTTCACTTTCGTACATAAATAATTTATTTTACACAAATTTGAGCAATCGTTGAAAAAGCGGGTGAAAAGGTGGGAGAACAAGTAGTAATCAATATATGTACATACAACAAAACTTACCCGCTTCGGCTATTGGTAGTGAGGTTTCCATGTACATGTCGGCGAGAAGAGGTTTCCAAAAAAAGGGGAAAAATTAGTAGAAAAAAGGGTTTAGGGAAGTTTTCGGGGCGGCTATTCCTCGGTTTGCTCTTCACAGTGCGGATTGTAGTGCGAGAAGGCGTACGAGAGTTTTCGGTTCACCGATGGCGGCCGGCTGCACAGCGAGCTGAAAGAATGTTCGCATTAGGACCGGAAACAATTATAGAATTTAAAAATTCAAGAAAAAGATACAGATACATTTTCAAGGTCGGGCTTCAAAATCTACGATGCCTCAAGAATTTTGGGTTAAAGCTTCAGGGCCCGCAATACTCATTTGAGACCGTTTTTCAGGCCTAAAAGTTGTTCACTGTTCTAGCCCCATTCAGCTTTAGAACAGCTCGAGAAAACTTTCCGAGATCCCAAAAAACGCACCTGAGAGAGCTGTGTCTTCTGCACAACGGCTTCGGCAGATACGCGTCGTCGTTGATCGAGTTCGACAAATCCGACATGCTCCGCTCGCGGAACGCTTCGCACACAAATTCGCGATCTGCAAGAGGCCATTTAGAAATGAAGTTTGAGGGCTGGGCAGAGGTCTTTCGACCCACTTGCAATCATCCGATCGGGCAGAGATATTGCAGGCTTCCTGGACTTGGATTGACGTATTCTGGGTCCAAGTTTCAGACCGATCGGATTATCTGGGGCCGAATAGACCGAGCTTTCGCTAAAACTCGGATCTCGGGACTAGATAATCCGACCGGTCGGAATATTGGATCCAGTCTACTTCGATCCAAGAAAAAACGAGTTTTCAAACGAAACTTACCAAAATCGAGACCTCCGTGGCGCGACAAATCAAAGTAGTGTTTGTAGTCGACGGGCGTCGAGAAGATGCGTCCGGTGATGACGATGATGCCCAGCAGCCAGGACATGAGGCACGTGAGCGTAAAAGTCACCGGCACCACAATGAACTGCAAAACGATTCGAGTGCTGAACAGTTGTTGAGTTTCGGGACGCTTACAATGCTGAGCAAAAACTTTTTGCGGTGCTGCATCCACGCGTAGAGGTAGAGCAGCGAGAAGGCGCACGTCCAGAGCGCCAGTTGCGCCTGGAACATGTCGTAGATCAGCGACGTCGACGTCTCGTTTCCGCCATCCGACGAGGCCTGAAATCGGGGAAAATGAGAAAGAGTACGACTAGTTGGTGCTCGAGTATTAGCCAACAAACTTTAATTTTCGCGTCAGGTTTTGGACTTTCTCTTAACAGCCTCTTTAAAAAAGATCCCAGCGTGACATCAGACGACCAATCAGTCGTGATACAATCCGTTCTCAATTAATTTTGTGCCGACCCTTAAGACCCCCTAGGGCGTACACCAGAAAATCATCCGCACCGCATTTGTTTTGAGATTTCCGATCATCTGTGTGTACAAACTAGAACGAGAGAGAGAGAGAGACCTTATCTTTTCCTCCTCGCTCCAAACTGGTAGCGATGAAGGGCAGAAGGCGTAGCGATCGGAAATAATAGTCGAAGGTGGCTTTGCACAGCGCGCATATCGTGTTCGTCTCGAAGTTTGCGCTCATCTCTTCTTTTGTGACGACGATTCTGGCCGAGAAAAGGAGAGGAAAGAGAGATCGAAAATAAGACGAAGAAGATGATGATGTATTTGTTTGTCCAGCTGGCGGCACATACACGCCCGAGTGATGAAGAGGAGACGAGTGATAACGCTCTGTGTGTCGCTTGTTTTTGACATCGTCGAGCTGGATGCTGAACCAAAATGTGAATGCTAAGGACCAACAATTTACAAACATCCTTCGTGTAGCTTTAGCTGATGACACACTCCACCAAACACCATTCCCCTTTCCTATTCTCCGACTTCCTCTCCGTCAATTTTCTGAAGTGCTATCAGTGTAAATGATTCACAGATCACTCGCAGCAGCCGATTGTTGTTCGGCCCCTGCGATTGTTTTTGTCTCTTCCAATTTTCAGATGTGAGACCATCTCGGTCAGGGGACAAAGTCTAATATGTGTGTGTGTGTGTGTGTACTTTGATAACCTCATGTCCATGTCCTGTCAATCAAAAAAAAAAACTCTGGACGCTCGCTGATGTCATTTGCGAAAAGCCGACAGTCATTCAGCTAGAGAGATGTTCCGAGTTGGCCACTTGCTATCGCACTTCAGATCACAACATCAACACAACCAACTGATATCGTCCGTTTCATTCATTCCGAGGACACAATACACACGTGGCCGGGACGAACGGACGTCGGAGACGAGAAAGACCAAGGATCACACCGCCAGTGATCAACTCTTGCAACGAAACGAAAAACTTGTTTGTCTAGGGGGCGAGAACAAAATGTGCTGACTTCAGCGTCCTCTAGACACGGACAGAGTCTGGAGGCTTTGTGACATACGGGTTTAGGAATACCGAAAAATCAAAAATCTCGAACATTCTTAAGGGATCTAGAAAGCCTTCTAAGAGCATCGATCTAACAAGGAAAGTCCCTGCTAATTTAAAAAATTCTGATTCACTCAATTTTTTGTCAGAATTTGATGACGGTTTGCGAATCTTCTATACATTTTCAAAGTTCAGTGCTAACTTTAACAAAATTTTTAGATTGTATTCAGAAAAAAAGTTGAGTGTACAAATCGTCCAGAGCAGTCATTCTCTCCGTTTTTGGCTAATTTCAGCTTGGATGACTTTGGAAGGTACCATCAGCATTCCGAAGCTTTTGGAACCTTCCATAACAGTTCGAATCATCCGTTTCTTTCTGTTATCTGCTAATTTCTACCCACGTGTTTGTGCAACCTCCAAACTTCTCGAACTTTCTGCGATAACGGAAAAGCTGCCAACTTATCAATTGACGTTTCCGCGAAAGACTCTCGGTGCCTGGCACCAAAACTTGATAAGCACTCTCAACGTGGATCATCGCTCTTTACAGTAATCGAGGTGTCGGTCCCCCAGCAGCGGTTGCCCTTTCCCCAGCTGACGCACCACCACACCAGAACAAGAAGACACTCATCATTAATACAACGCCGAGACAGTAGTGGCGAGGCGGGCGGGCGGGCCGTGCCGAATGAGTGGACTTTGCCCTGGTGGATGGTGTTCACGTGAATCGCCTCACGCCTAGCGCAACATCATTCATTCGTATGTGAGTGTGTGTGGGTGTGTAATGTGCGTGGAATTAATTGTTTTCTAGAGTACTGTATGAAAATTTACCTCGCTGAGCGCGCTGCTCAACTTGTCGAGCTCTTCCGACGACGACAAATAGTCTTGGATGAGAATCTCCTAAAATTTACATTGAAAAATTGTCGACTTTCAAAAATCCGAACCCCCGAAATCGAGTCGATCGACGACGAACGGCTGATGGTGCATCGACGCGAGCTCGTGTTGCCATTCTGATCGGAAGCGCTGAAATAACGGACTAGGATCATTGTGAACGCCAAAAAACGAAAACGTACCCTGGCAGGTGATTCAGTACCAGCGGCTTGGGCGACGGCTCCGACTTGTCGTGCGGAATGTCCTGTGTCAACCGCGACAAATCGTACGTCATCTGCAGACGGAACATTCGAACAATTTTGATTGGGGAAAAAGTGAAAGAAAATGGGTGGAACGGATGGAGAACAACAACTATTATCTATTTATAAAATCGAAAAAAGGAGAAGAAGTGCGTTACTGCCCAATCGGAGGAACGTGTCAACATCGGCAGACAGACTGGAAAGAACTACTACTCCTTGTTGCAAAAAGAACACGCCCAATGGTTGGAACAGAGGAAAACTTGTTGCCATTCGACACTCTTAACTTTTTTCTTCGTTTATCAGCGAAAAAAGTGACAGGGGCTCCTGGAGCCAACTGGCTGAGCAACTAACTAAAGCGATCTATCTCGGTGAGGGCGGAAAAAAGGCGAGAGAGAGATGTGGATGCAACAATTCGATGTTTGACCGATCGGAACGCGACCGAAAACACTTGGAGACTGCGATTTTTGTGATTTGTTAGACTAAAAATCATGTGAAATTGACTTGAATTGGACTATTCGCATTAGGAAGGATCACAAAGTTTGTTGCGATTTGTCGTGATTCTTCAGAGTTAAAATCACAAAAAACGACTTTCCCGCAAGTTCAAAGCAATTAACATTTCGGCAGATTCATCGTATCGTTTTACGACAAATTGCCTAACTTTCAGATTAGGATTTTAGGTGTCATGGCCTAAATTTTCCAACTAAAAACTAGAGAAAAGTAGATTCCTAATACTAAAGGACCTCTCTGCTGGTGTAGGGGGTGTCTAGAGACAGAGAGACGATGACGACGAGGAGAAGAGAACGGTGAGTGCCGGCGAGGGGGCGGGGCTTAGGAGATGACCGCCCTATCTGCCGGACGGGCGGTTAATGATGATTTTCGAAAAAAATGGTAAATATTTACCATTTAGCAGTTTCATCAGAAATTAGAAACTGCCAGAAATAACAATTTTGCATGACACGCCTGTTAGGAGGTACTTCGAACGAGAAGAAGTCTTCGCCGATAGGGCAGAAATGATAAGAGGGCGAATGCACCCGTCAACTTGACTTCTAACTGACACTGCGACCAGCGCTTATAAGGACACCTCGGGTTGTACCTTTCTAGTCGCAATGACCCGATCTCTTAAAAGTCTAACCAAAAACTGATATGTTTGAGGCCAGAGTGATGTAAGACTTATCAGGCAGCCCATTCCAAGTGGGTGTATTTTGCGACCAAACGTGAGTAGTCGCATGAGGACAAAGTACGTTCTCTGTGAATGATCATCGGAAGAAAGGAAGGGGGTGATCATCAAATTGCTTGCCGATTCGGCAGTTTTCAGCGTCACAGGCACACTAATCGAGGGAAACTTAGTTCTCTTCTCGATTTCTCATTCTTATCACACAAAATTGGTAAACCTCAATGTTTTTCTGGGAAAATTCAAGCGTTTTTCAACAGACTGACTGGTTTCATTAGGTCAAACAGTTCTATTCTAATCATAAGTATCGACGAAACAGCACAACACGCAAAAAAAAAGATATTGATATGGGTGGTCATCACATCTCTTTTTTCAATATCTTTTTGTTATTCTTGGTTTGATACATCCGCCGAAAATAGGTCAAGATGAGCTGGTTTTTTGTTGGTTTGATTTTTCGTTAGAACAAATGATGATTGAGGTAATTTTGGCGAAATTTCGGATTTTTCAATGAAAACCAACAAAAATTATAGGCTAAAACACTACTTTCCAGTTTAACTTTACAAAATTTACCAAAACATTACTAGAAACGATTCGAAAACTCGAGTTTTCTGCAATTTTTCAGAAAATGAACAACAACGATTCAAATTTCGCGCACTCGGTTACGGTAGAAAATCAAAGGCACATGCCAATTTTTGTCACTCGGTCTCGCAACGCTTCTTTTAATTTACCTCTTCATTTTTGGAAAACGTCTCAAAAACGCTGATTTTCTGCAGGAAAAGCGAGTTATCGAGCAACTTTTGAAGTCTGGAGCAGTATATGCGCATTTTTGTACACTAAAAACTGATAAAACTCTAGAAATTAAGCATTTATACCGAAAATTTATCAATTTTAGAATTTGGTGCAAAAAGAGAGCTCCAACATCACATTTTGCGCGAGAACAACAATAATTTCAGTGTTCAGACTGGTCTTTTATCGAAAGAAGCGTCGTCAGCATTTGCAAACGCAAATACCTAACAAACAAACAATTTTTGGCGAGAACGCCTCTTTTGCTGACCAATCTGATACGGGAAGACTTTACGATCGAAGACTTATAAAAATTTATATTCATAAACAAACAGCAACAAAACAGCAATGTTCTAGCCTAGAAAATCAACAAAAAAATCTATTCGAATTTGATTCGAAGACAATTGTAGGTGCCGCCCATCAATCCGAGACAGGCGAATGTGAGGGTGGAGGTGAGCCACGTGGCGAGCGTTTTTCCCAGAAATGGCTTCACGTGCGTGCCGTGTTGCCTGCAAAAATTGTGTTTCCAATAAAAATCGGCATTTTTGGGTCTCGCCACGAAAACTGACCGCCACGCGACGTACAGCCCAAACGGCACTCCGAACGTCGACCCGATCTGCACCGATTTGACCATTGTGGCCCGGAATTCCGGCAGACAGCTTCCGAGCCGCTTCTGCGCTTCCGCGTACTCGTTAATCGACGGATAGTCTCCTTTTGGCATCTAAAATGATTAATTTCCAGAACCCCTCAAAAATTTCACAAAAATACATTGAATGTGGTGATAATCTCCATTTTTTGGCAAAAACAACTGTAAATGAGGCGGCGATTTATCTCCAGAATGTGCTGAGAGAAGGACTGATTAAAAATACAATTGAGATTTAGAGATTTGGAGTCGAAATCAAAAACATTGAAAGTCGGCGAGATTAGTGACGATTACATTGACAAAATTATTGTTTTTCAAGAGAAAAAAACGAGGGAAAAGGTTGCGTGGCGGCCCGTACGAGTTGGGGGGGGAGATGGAACAAAAACCATAAAAACACGGGGAAAACTATTTATTTGGGCCGGCTCTCCTGCTCGGTTATGTGGCGGATGGTGATCGTGTTGTTCGGCAGCGTCGTCGGTTCCGTTTCGTTTTCGTATTGGTACGAGGAGGCGATCGCCAGCTGAGTTCCGTCTTCGTTGAACGACAGCGACGCGATCGACGTGTCGAATCTGAAGGAAAATTGGCAATTTCAAGAGGAGATCCGCTTGCTTAAAGTTCCAATCGGTCTCTAACTGATCAGTCTTGGCCCGGAGTTTCTAACCGGAAAGTTTTTTTTTTTTACTTAATCTGGAGAGGGTTGATACCGAACAATATCAAGGCACATTTCTGCAGTGTCAGATTATTCTCTTCTTTCACGTGGGGATTTCCGGTCTAAAATCAGTATATCTCAAGATCAAGTCATCCTATCTGGCGGAAACTTTCAAGGTAGATACAGCAAGCGAAGTGCACAGTCAGAATCCGAATGGAAGTATGCCTGTTCCTTACTTGTGCAGCTGAATGATCCGCTTCCGATTGAACGGATCCCAAATGTTGACGATTCCGTCGGCGCCGCCGGTGGCGAACGTGCCGTACTTTGGGTGGAACGTGACGGCGTGCACGGGATGGATGAGTTCGGTGCCGTCGGGCGCCTTGTCCCGGTGGCACTTGAACGCGTACTTCCTCTTCATCTGCTCGCTCGTCTGATCCACGTACTCCACGGCCACACGGCCTTCGATCGAAGAGACCACAAATGCCTCGCCGGACGGGAAGAACTGCACCGCCCGTGTCTGGTACTTCAGCGGACTGTCGCGCACTTGGAGCGGCTCCCGCAGCTTCCGGCTGTCGTACATGTAGATTTTGCGGTCCTTGGTGCCCACCAGAATCGTGTTCTTGAGCACGTCCATCGCGTAGACGCTATTGGACACTTGGACGGATTCGATGGCGCCGTTTCCGTACGAACGCGCGTCCCACAGTTTGACCGTCGAATCCCAGCCGCCGGAGACGATCATCGAGCTGATGGGGTTGAATTCGAGGCAGCGAACGGCGAGCGCATGCGATCCCAGCTGCGTACCGCATCCCGTTTCCACGTCGACCAGTTTTACGTTGTGATCCACTCCACCGCACGCCACTTTGTTGTAGCCCTGAGAAAATTGAGCAAAAATGGAATTTTCGCGGATTTCTGGGAACTTACCGCAAATGTGCACGACAAGAGCGGTTTTCCGTGGGTGTAGACGAGTTTGTCGGCGATTTCGCCCAACTTTCCGACTTCATAAACTCGACAGGTCCCGTCCCAGCCGGAGACGGCCAGTAAACGCGATCCACCCTCTTTTTGGAACTGAAAATTTGAGATTTTGAAGGTTTTCGGCGATTTGTTGATTTTTCATACCTGAACTTTGGAAATCTGCACAAATGGCGGGAATGGAGCGCGGAACTCGTTGGGAGCCGCGACAATTGTCGCTCCTTGGAAGGACATCTGAAAAGTGATGAAAATGAAACACTTCAGCGAAAATTGTGCGAAATATTGTTGAAAAAGCTGCTTTCGACATAATTAGCTGCAAAATTCAGTCAATAACACTGAAAAAGCAGCTGAAATGGGAAGAGAAACACAGCGCGCTAAAACGAATTTTCAAACGACGCGAGTCTGCAATTTCGCGTCATGGTGTTCTGTCTGCGTACTCGGCATTTAACCTGACGAGTAATGTAAAAAAAATTTTTTGCCTAATTTTTCAGCGAAAAATCTTTGGAATTTCCAAAAAACCCAAGGTTTTTCTGCAATTTTCGTATTTCAGGCGCTCGGGTACAATGAGTCGCGCTGTCTCGCGCCTCGTTGAAGCATGCAGTCGGCTGAGCATCACTCAGCGCTCGCAAATGCACTGTGAGTCAAACAATTCTGGAAAAATCCTGCAAAATTCGGCTGTTCTTTCAGATCTTCGTCCTCCGCCGACGTCGTCAATCCTTCCGCCAGGGCCGGCGACAGTTATTGAGAAAGAAAGAGAAAGAGCCTTTCCGGCCAGCGGATCCATCCATTTCCCTCAGCCATCCGTCTCGATCGAGCTGCCGGCTCTCGAAAACCCTCAACAGGTTTGTAGAGACTAAAATTAACGATTATTGTACAAAAATCTGTAGTTTTTTTTTAGATTTACACATTCCCCACGCTAAACCGTGCTCCAAAATTGGCTCCCGGGGCGATTTTGACGGAAATTCTTGAAAAACTGGCTCCGACCGTCGAAAAAGGCCCGCTAATCGCGCCGGGCACACCCGCCAAGGCGCCCATGTGGCTATCGCCGCGTCTGCTCACAATCCGTCGCAAGAAGATGAAGAAGCACAAGCGGCGCAGACGATACGATCGCGATTTCTTCAAATACCAGAAATATCATCGCGAGAAGAAGCTGAAAGCGGAACGGGCGTTCCAGAAACGCATGAAATCGCTGCTCACCGAGCTCGAGGCGTTCAATCCGGAGCAGTACGTGAAGGAGACGATCCGGATGGCGAACAAGGAGTGGCAGGACGAGCTGGCGCCCACGGGAAGGAAGCTCTACCCGCACTGGAGCAGGTTCATGAGCTTGGAGCAGCTCTACGGACTGCCCAAGAGCGAGTATATCGATAAAAAGTTAGATTTTGACATGATTTCCCGCCTAAATTTCCATTTCTTGCAGAGCCGGTCTCCCAACACCCGAGGAAGCGGAACAGATCAAAGCGCTGAAGGAAAAGTACGCCAAATTATACCGAAAAAAGTAGAAATTGCAAAACGTGCATTGTTTAGGCTAGAAATTGATATCATTTCCGTTTTTTCTTGTTTTCGCTCGTTCTGTTACTAAATATCATGAAAAACACGTTTTCGATAGGAAATTTCATGAAAATTGAGAAAAATTAGGATCATTTTCGGTTACATCCAAGTAGAAGAGCACGCGTGTGTACTAAAAAGAAGACAAGTTGGGTGCTAGACTTGAAAATTTGGCAGAAACGCACAATTCTTCATCCTTTTCTCTTGTGGAGCTCCTGGTACTTTTGCTGCAACTCGGCGAGCTTCTGCTCCAGATTCTTGATGCGGTCGTTTCGGCGGCGCGAAATCTCCAGATTCTGCTGGAGAAGATGGTCCGATTTGTTAAGTCGGTCCCAGATTATTCTTGCGGCTTGGTCCCGAGCCAACACTAATTTTTTGAGTCTCCTGTTCTCAGTCTCCAGGTCGTCCGCTTCCTTTCTGGTGTCGTGGAGGTGTCTGCGAAGCCGTTCGCCTTGAGCTCTTTCCACCGCGAACCGATCCTCGAGATCTGTGCGAGGGCGGAAGAACGAGCCGATCCATCGAATGAGTTGCATGAATAAAGTAAGCAGAAAACGGACGACCATTGTCTGCGACGGAAGAGAACGCAAATGATGCTGGTTGACTCACTTTTGACCGTCCGCCCACTTTCTAGCGATGTCGTCTCCTCACTTTTTGTTAGACTACACTGTCCCGTGAGCGATTGCATATATTTCACAGTAAGGGGGGAGGGGGAGGCTTTTGATGCAAGTGCGCTCTGTTGGAAGGTCGTCTCTTGGCCTTGAATACATTTCGTAACTTTATTCAATTAAATAATTAAAAACGCGGCAAAATAGTGAATTTATAAGCGGCTAGCCGGGAGGAGCGCCACCAGACCCCGGTTGACTCTGAGTTCATCGAGATTCGCTGGATCTCTGCAGATCGGGCAGGAAGTGTCCACATCCTCAGGAATCGCCTCCCAGCACATCCAGAGGCATGCTTGGCAAGCGGTGTGTCCGCAGCCTGAACATAGAGGTTATGAAAAAAAAAGAAACTCAATTTTCAATAGTTTGCCTGCTTTTTCACTTTTTAAAGGTTTCGTAGCGATTGAGAATGACGGTTTTTTGAAGAAAAAAATCGCGACGCGACGAGTGAATTTTCAAGTAAACTGAGATCTTCAACGAAATAACTTTAACGCTACAGCGAAATTTAGCCGAGATCATGTTTTGATTCGGAAATTGAACAATTCGGCTGAAATATCGAAAGTCCGCAACTCGTTTTTTTGAAAAAGCTAAAAATGGCTCACACATGACCATCGGACGTTTCGGTCCGTTCCGTTTGAAATCGTCGATGCAAATCGGGCACTTCAGACAGTCGAGTCGTTCCTCGAGCCTCGTAGACATCTTCTCGAAGTTTTCGCGCAGAACCCCGAACTCCTCCACCTCTTGTTCGGAGTTACTCATCCGCTTCTTCAGGTCTTTGATCTTTTCACGCAGACCATCGTTCTTCTCGGTCAGCTCCTTGATCTCCTGGTCGTCAGCCACCTCGAGCCAGGCGATCGTCTTCTGATTCTTCTCCGTGGCCACCGACAGCTTCTTCTCGAACATTTGCGCGTCGCTGATGAGCTTTTCTTCCTCCTGCTTCAGTTGGAACTCGAGCATTTCGACCATAGCCTTCAGCTCATCTTTTCTAGCCGACTTGGGCTGCGAACGAAAGAAAGAGAACTTTTTGAAGAGGCCCATGCTGAAAAATGGGTGAATTTGTCGGAATAGGAGAGGAATCGAAAAACGGAAACTTGTGAAACGACGAATGAATCATTTGTTGTGGTTGTGTTCTTGGGAAGCTCCGCCCCTTTGGAAATGTTCTCGAAGGAAAACAGTGTGATTATGAAATAATTGATTTATTTTCCGAGAAAAGACATTGAATCACTTCCTCTGGTTTCTGATGATGGTCACAACAGCATAGTTCTTCTTGAGCTTCCCCACATCGACCGGTCCTTGCACATCGGTTTTTTGGCGGCAGAACGGGCACGAAAGTCCCTGGTCGTTGCACAATTTCTTCAAACACTCCTCGCAAGTGGTGTGTCCGCATTCTGAAATGAGAAAAAGTTAGAAAAAAGTCGGAGAAATTCTCAAAAACTAACCCAGAGTCCTCGGCGCCCTCGGAGCGTCCTCGGTCAACTCTTGCTCGCAAATTTCGCAAGTAGGCGGTGCCGCTCCGCCCTCTTGAAGTCTGAGCAGAAGCTCTCGATACTTCTGCTCGGCCACCGCATGCTCTTTTTGCGACTTTTTCAAATTGATGAAATAGTAGTCGGCGAGCCGAGTGGAGGTCTCGAGGCTCTCCTTCAACGCATCGTTCTCCTCCTCGAGCTTCTCATTGGCATCCAGGAGCATCTGGACGTCTTGAGCCGCATTTTTGAACTCCTTGAGGCGCTCATTCTCCGCGGAAAGGTGCTCTGCCTTCATTTGGAGCAAAAAGTCCTGCTCTTCGTGCTGGTCGGTTAGCTTGGCCAGCTTCTCCTTGTGCTCTTCCGTCTCTTTTTGACGTTCCTCTTCAGATTCCTTCAATTTCTCCTCAAGCGCCTTGATTTGAGCTTCGAGCTCTTGGTTCTTGGCCGACGAGGAGGTGAACGGAAAGAACTTCTTGAGCAACATGAACGACATTTTCGACAGAAGAGAATAGTAATAAAAATGGAGAAAATAGAGGAATCGGATTGGACACAGAAGAGATCGATTGAAAATCGGAACGAAACGACTGCAAACGGATCGCTTGGAGTGGAATGATGGCCTTAGAGTTAGGCTTAGGACTTTATATACCCTTAAGGTTCCTTCACATAGCTGAATATGGCCATGTATCCATTTTCGAAAGAATAGATAGAGCGAGAGGCGGAGATGCATCGTTCATACGTGAAGATATGAATGGTAACACATCATTTTCTAATCAAAATGATGAGAGCATGATTCTTCTTCATGTTTTCGTAGACTGTCAGCAGAACGGGCATTCGATTCGATTTCCTCGCTTGATCTTAAGCAGACACTCTTCGCAGACGGTCCAGCTCGCACACTTTTCTCTCAAGGCTCTTTCGCTTGTTCTTCTCGGCGATCCTCTCTATTTTCTCTTCGTTCGCTTTCTGCCCCAAATGCTCCAAATGCGCGCTTTTGATGGGCTGCTTCTTGGAAGCCTTCGACGGAAAAAGACAACTAAACACAGAGGACATTCGGAAAAAAGTAGAGATTAGGTAGAAAAGTACTATAATTGAATCGAAAATTGGAAAGGAGGGAATGACTAGTAAGTGTACTACTTCTAGGGTACTTTTTCGATAACTCTGTGAAGTCGCCACTATCTTATCTCTCCAACACCTCCAGGATCACCTTTTTGAGCTCTAGGAAAGCAAACACGATCATTTTCAAGACGAAATAAGTTTTATTAAACGATAATTACAAGATAATTATTAGCAATCGGTGACTGTTGAAACCCGTGAACGAACAATCTGGCAGACGAGATAGTTTTTCTTCAAATTTCCGCCGAAATACACATCGGTCGACAGCCGATCCAACGGGCATTCCACTGCGTAGGCGGTGCTCATTTTCGAGATGCACGAACGGCAGAACGTGTGACCGCATTCTGAAAATTGAAATTATCTTTGATCAACCAATGGCCATTCTATACTCTTACCTAAGATCATTGGCACGGTGGGTCCGTCCTCGCTGTACGGATACTCGCAAATCTCGCACGTCGGCGGCTCTCCGTGTTGCTCCTCCAACTCGCGGATCCGCAGTTCGTACTGCAGGCTCGTGTTCAACAACTCGACCGTCTTCTGGCTCAGATCCTCGACCAGCTCCTTCCGGGTGTCTTTCAGTTTCCGGACCTGCTTCGCCAGTTTGTTGTTCGCTCGCCGAGTCATGTTCCGATCCGAGTTCGCGTCGTTCAACTGGATTTTCAGTTGATCGCCCCAAATTTTGAAGCGATTACTCTCGAGCCGGGCCTGATCCAGGTCAGAGATGAGATCTTTGACTTGGGAGGAATGCATTTGCGACAGGATAGGAATAGCTGACCTCGTAGAGTTAAGATCCTCACTCAACCGATTGTTGATTGTCCTGAGCTTCTCATTCTCCTCCAGAATCTTCTGCGAACCTTTGTCCAACATCTCCGTGACCGTCTTCAGTTTCTCCTTCAGAATCAGAATCTCATCGTTGCTCCGGTCGTTTTCCATGATCTTCCGATTCTTTCCGGTCTCCTCGGCGAGTTGACGGCGAGCAGGAGCCAATTTCAGTTTGAGCGCCTCTTGATCATCCTCCGGTTCGTCAATCTTCTTTTCTTTCTTCTTATTTTTCGATCGGAACATCCTTCTGAGAATCGATGACATTCTGAAAATGTTAGTTGAATATAGAGAGAAAATTGTGTAACTCTGTGTGAATCAATATATGTAAACGACGAGCACGACAGGATCACCCCGGGACGAGATGACCCACAAATGTCTATTGTCTGTGCACTCCTTTGGCCGTGTACTGTCTCGACGGAGAGGGACCCCAAGCGGATGAGCGAGTAATGACTGGCCGACAGCTGGAGACATTCGAGGAAATTGGGGAAACATGACTAATGGAGGTTCTAGAACCGATATTCTTGAAAAAGACGGCAACTTCTGCGTTTGGGTTACTGTAGAGATGAGATTTATGACTGAACACGGTCTCCAGAGCTGACAATGGGCACAAGAGCGCCCCGCCCAATAGAGCGATACATTGGCGCGAAAATTAAATTTTAACAGCAAAATTTGTGTTTTTTGCCAGATTAGCCACGAAAAACCGATAATTTCTGATTTGTCTCTCGATAGACCGATTGTATAGGCTATTACGAATTTTTTAAGCGCAAGAGCGTTAAATTAAAAAAAAAAGTCGCAAATCACATTTATCCGTTTCAAGGTTTTTGGCTAAAACTGCGTGAATTTCAGTTGCTTTTCTGTAATTTTCGCGGTTCGAGCGCTCAAAATGCTTGTATTTACGTGATTTATCATTCTCAAAACCAATTGTGTCTGAAAACGGCCAAGAAAGCGCAAAACGAGAAGTTTTTGGGTGGCGAAGGCGAAAAAGCAAAGTCCGCGAAAAATGAGCGCCAAAACGTCATTAATTCTGTGAGAATTAGTGTGTTTTCATGTCGAGCAATCATTTTTCATCGCCTTTGAGCACAAAAATCAGAGAAAACCTGCTGAATTCATGAAAACGCCATTTGACCGAGGCCACGCCCATATTGTCAGCTCTGGAGACCGTGCTGAAGGACATTGGAATTGACTACAGTAGTCCTTCAAGAAGCCGCTGATTTTTGTCGAATTGTTTGGATCGATCAGAGCGTAGTGCTTGTTCAGTGTTTCCAGACTTCCTCCGAATGAGTGACGGCACGATCGAACGGGCACACGATTCAATGGTAATTCATCATCTTTTTCGCGCACTCCTCGCAGACGTTCAGACCGATCCAATAATGTACACTTGAGATATTTGTGTGGATGCTAGGCGAAAAATCCGTAGTTTTCGGAAAAACCCGGCATCTTCGGGCTCACATCCACATATCTCTAGTGTAAATTATCGGATCGGTCTGGAACTTGGTCTCAAGACACTTTAATGTTTCACTGGTTTTTCTCGACTTTCAGAGCTCGACAGCACGATGGAAGGACAGGTTCGTTGACATCTTCTTTTTGAAATCAATCGACCCAAGGAGTCTGGGGAGAAAGCAAAAGAGAACGTCCAGTCGGAGATAGGTAATGTCTGGGGATCGAAGAGGTAACAGAGGAAGGACAGCACTGTGTTAATGTTAATGACAGTAACGCCCAGAAGGAAACGAGGAACCGACACGTGTCTGGAGTGAGCAGCTGACAATCAACATCGGAGGTGGACCCAGAGTACCTGTTAGGCATGTAATTTGAAAACCCGGAAGACGGAAGACGGAAATCCGCTCAACACTGGTATCTTGTCAAAATGTTCGGATAACGACGAACGGCCAGGACAAGAGAGAAAAAGGAATTGAGACAAGAAAAGTTTGAAGGTTTGATATATTTTATTGAGACACACAAAAACAAACAAATATAACATTACATACAGAGCATCTTCGCAACTTCATAGTTCTTCGGCAGTCCTTCCTCGGGCATCGAGAACCTCTTCCGATCGAACGGACACACAATCTGCCCGCTAATGACCATCTTCAAGGAGCATCCATCGCACACGGTGTGACCACAGCTCAAAACTCGAGGGACGTGATCCGGATGAGCAGAGTACTCCTGGAGACAGATGTCGCATTCTGGACGAGGCGGAGCATCCTCGCGTTGTTCGGTTTGCTCGCCGCACTTCTGCTCCGACTCGTTCATCCGCGACTCGTAATACTCGACCTTCTCCCTTTCTCGCTTCACCTTCTTCTTTTCCTTCCGAAGCTCCGCCTCCACAGAAGCTATTCTGGCGACGAGTCCGCTCACGCGATTAGTGAACACGTGGACCTGGTTGTCGATGGCGTCCATCCGTTCCGCAAGTTGCCGTTCATTTTCAATGTTCGCTCGCTGTAACTCCTCCTGGTTTTCCTTCAATCGATCGTTTTCAGCCGTCACATTGTGAAGCACGATTGCGAGAGCGTCGAGACGGTTGTCGGAGGACATGGTCGAAGATGAATCAATAGAAGAACGACGAATAGAATAGAGCCGAATGGAATGAATGAACGACTGAAGGTAAGCGACTATATAGCTGTGGTGCGCGCACACACGACTGAGAAAGAAAGAAGTAGGAAAGATTGATTCTTCAGAAAAAAAAATATATTTGACACAATTAATTTCAAAAAAGGTCCCAAAATTGTGAGAGACTGTAGAGATACCGTAAGTATTGTCAATTCAAACCGATTTATGTCAGCTGCCAATAGAGATATGAAAAAAATGCTCAACTGATAATGCCGCGTCTAAAGTCTCGGAAAAAACGGGATATTTAAAAATATTCAAATTTCTTGCGCATTTTCAAAAAATACCGTAGTTTTAGGGGTACGGTTACATTCATTGAGCTGTGCGCACCCCCGTTTTTCACGCAAATTTCGGCCGATTTTGGACAGAAAAACCTGCGGTTTTTAAGGTTTTTCCGAGACATTGGACGCGGCATAAAATGTTCACAATGTCCTTCTGATTGGCAGCTGAGATATCTTGTTCAATCATTTCTGGGGATCCTGTTTCGGAGTTGAACCGGTAGAACTCTTGGGTATCAACTGAAGGATCGCGTAGTTGTTCGGGTGCATCACAACCGTCGCGTTGAGTGCCATGAGTCGATCGAACGGACACGTTCTCTTCCGATCACTGAGCAGTTTCCAGATGCAATCACCGCAAAGGGTGTGTCCGCAACCTGAATGAAATCAAGTGTATTTGGTGCATTTTTGGTGCTGAGAAACTTACGCAAAATCTTAGGATCCCGGGCCCCATTGATCGTGAACGGATAGGCACAAATCTCGCAAGTGGGCACTCGGTCCACGGCTTGAATTTGCAGAATTTCGAGTTGTTCCTCCACTTTTATGTTGGATTTCTCAAGGCTTTCCACTTGGACCTTGAGATTGTCGATCACCTCCTTCTGCCGCTTCCGTCTCACTTCCGACCGTTTCGCCACTCTTTTCAACTTTTCCACTTTCATTTTGAGCTCTGATTGCTCTTGAGATTGCTCCTGATCACTAGATCCATTGTCTTTCAACTTTTGCACCAAATTGCACAGTTTCGCGGCCTTCTTCCTCTGCACCTCACTCTTTTTGCGATAGAGTTTCAGCCGAAAGTTCTTGCGCCGTAAATGTTTGGCGTTCAATATCCGTTCCGCTTCGTTTTTGCCCTTCAACGCGCTGATTTCCTTCTCAGCCAGGTAGAGTTTGGCCTCGAGCATCTGCATTTTGTACTCCTTCTCCTTGCTCTCCTGCCTCAGAGCCTTGGCCCGATTCTGCTCGGCCTCCAGGCTGGCCGGCAGTCTCTCTAGCTGCCGCAACTGGGCCCGAAGCCTGATAGTCTCAAACTTCTCGTTGGTGATCTTTCCGTGTTGTTCGGTCAGTATGCCTTCCAATTTTCTCACTTTTTCCTTCTCCTTCTTGAGTTCCTCGCTGGTTTTGAGCAGTTCCCTTTGCAGTTTTTCTTGTTCTTTCTCTTCGAGCATGTCTTATCTGGAAAAAGGATTGTAAACAAAGTGGGAAAAAGAGATAGAAGGACAATATCGTAAAAAAATCTATAGCCTGCAGATTTAGACTCTAGGAAGAGGGTACGCACGCGATCGTAATATCGAGCAAACCAAGCGGGACCGTCTGTCAGTCTTTCTTGTCTTTTCTCCCTACCCCCTTTTCTCCGCTCATTTGTCGTTCTTTACCAACCAATACCAATCAATAATACCAATATTTTTGCAGAAATGTCCGCCGTCGCCATCGCCGAACTGCTCTCTGCGCTGTCTGTTGACGAGGAAACCCTCTACACGATCCTTCATAGCATTATGGAGGAGAATCGAAGACTCAAAAAGCAGCAAGCGACAAATCAGCGCAAAATCATGAAACTTGAGAGCCGTGTGGAGCATCTTGAGGCAGCTGTCGAGAAGAAGGAATGGCTGATCGAGCATTGCGTCTTGCACATCGCCGAAACCGAAATCGGACGGATCAAGGAGCACTTTAAGGAGCGGGAGCTCCAGGTGATCTGTGAGATCGAGCTCGAGAGAACGGCGTGGATGGCGGAGAAGCTGGCGATGAAGAAGAAGCTGAGCAACGAGAAGCATCGTGTGAGACAGGAGAAACGGATCAGCGAATTCTACCGAATGAAGGCGGACGAGATGGCCGAGGAGAGGAAGGCATGAGGTGGATGTGCAGATAATAAAGAAAATATAAACACAAAAGGTTTTGTGCATTGAATTTATGATACAGATTATAAAGTTTTGAAACTTCTAAAAAGTCTTCAGCTACTAGAACCATAAGGATACATAAAGTGCCGTTCTAGGAGATACGGAAAAGAGAAGTGTAGAAAAAACTGGTTTATTAGAAATTTAAGAAGAAGAACAAAAATAAGAAGACATTTTGCAACCAAACACATTGAAACTATGCAAAGTTGCGGTTTGAGATCGTAATATTCAAACAGGGTACTTTCAAGACGAGATATCTCAATTACCGGTAGAGATATCAAAAAGTAGTCAACGGATATATTGTCCATCAAGATATTCTGTGCATTTTGTCACTTGACAACCTTTTGATACCTTCACAGACAGCTGAGCTCCTTAATCGAAACATTTCCCGTTTTGTTGCTTCAACAGACATGCCGTCGATTTCGCCAACGTTTGAAGACTTCCGACTTCCGCATTCAACTTGTCGATTTCATTTTCTAAATCCGTTCTCTGTCGGAGCCGTTCCTCGAGTGCGCGGATTCTGGTCCCCTGCTCTCTTATCTTCCGATCCTTCACTTCCAACTGCTCTTTCAGATGACTAAGCTCCGTCTTCTCCTGCTCCGTTTTTCGCTGCAACTCACCATAGCTCCCCTCGTACCAATCGGCCAATTCCTTCAGTTCCTCCACTTTGCTCCTCTCCATTTCGAGCTCATTCTCCAAATTCGCCCGTTTCTCTTGTTCACTCGCCAGCTTTTTCACTTTTCATAATTTTCCAATCGACTGCCCATTTCGATCAAAATGCGATGAAGTTTCGAGTCCATTTGTCTGAAAATGAAAGGTTTTGTAGGGGAAAAAGAGGAAATCAATGGATCCATTTGGAGAGAGGGGGGTAAAATCAATATGGTCCAATAAACCGCCTCCATGAGAGCCAGGCCATCTGTCAACGACCTGAGCACAAATAACCTCTAGGACTCACTAGGTAGTGTTAAATGAAAAAGGGCTATCCTGATCCTGATCGGTCTGGGACCATTGTTAAGTACTAAAAACGACCACGTTTAGGTGTATAAGGTTTATTGGGTGATTATTACAATTGAAGATGATATTATAAGTACAGTAAAACTTCGACATTATTTAGTCCGTTTCGTGATCTTGAACTTGGAGTAGTCGACTTTGACAGAGGCCTTCACTTGGCTCAAACGCATCGTCTGGAACGCCGACAGGAAGATCCGATCGTTCTCGTTCTGATCCCTGCCCTCCTGCGCCTTCTTCCGCTCCTCGATCTCGTTCTTGGCGAATCCAATCCCGTCCAGCTCGAGTCTTCCCTCCTCGACGCCCAATTTGGCGGTTCTCTGCTCTCGTAGGCTCGCCAACTTGTCCAAAACGTCGATGACGGCCATCGGGTGCACGTTGATGTACTTGCGCGCGGCCTCTTCCGTTCCGAATCTTTCGAAAACTTCCAGCTGGCACGGCAGTTCGAAGAGACGTTTCAGTGCGTAGACGGCGTTCGTTCCGCTCGTCAAGTTGTCGGTGAACTTTCGAACAAGATCGGACGGTCTCAGCGGTTTAAGGATCGGACGGGATGGGGTGGTGGTAGCACAGAAATTATGCATTTTGTTGGAGCAGAAAGTGTAATGGTAGTTGGAGAGAGATTGTAAGATTGAAAGAATGGCAATGTTTAGGGGGGACACAATAAATGGGCGGGGCTGTAAAATGGAACACCTTCGCCTACCACATCTACACCTCAAAAGTGGGCGTCCCTTTTCTCCATTGATTTTCCTCATATCTCATTTTTAGGGCCGCGACGGTCCAGCACATTATTTCCTTCACATTCTCATAGACCTCTCTACCTTCTCTTGTCTATTAGACATTTTAAAACATTTCTTATCGCTTACCATTACGTGTTTTTGAATGTCATTTATTCAAGACAACTTATCTCAGCTGTTTGTAGAGATATCAAAACGTTGATAACTGATAAAGTGTAGAAAATTTTTTGATGAACAATCGATTAGTTGACAACATTTTGATATCTTTAAGGACAGCTGAGATATAGCGTCTTGAAAGTACCTATTCCAGAAAATACTCAATTTTCTAGCAAACAACATCAACATGAGCGCCAACGCCGAACAGTCGATGAGCATCGCGGCCATGGAGCAACGATTGAAAGAAATGGAGGAGCAGCTCAAGCTCCAAGCTTCGGAGCTGCTCCAGAAGACGTCTGAGTTGAAGGCGTTGGAGGAGAAGATGGCTCAGCCACCCACGTGCGAGATCTGTGCGTTTCCGTACAGTGCTGAAGGGGACCATGTCCCACGACTACTTGGTTAGTTTTTCGGAGTGAGCCTACACAAATAATGAGTTTTTCTTTCAGAATGTGGCCACACAGTGTGTCACAAGTGCACGGAGAGCCTTGTGACAAAGGATCCAATGTTCTGCCAGACACTCATCAAGTGTCCATTCGATCGGCAGAGGTTTCTGCTCAATAAGGACCTGGCAAAGCTGCCGAAGAATTATTTTATTATACAAATGCTTTCTAGATCTTAATAATTGTTGCTTTTTCAGTTTAATAAACTTTTATAGTTACACATGGTGCATCGGAATCTGATTCATCGGGTCCAGGGATACAAATGCAATTCCAAATTGCTCAATGATTCTTTCCACTATTTCCGTTCTTCGCCACGTGTCTCCGCTTCCAATTGCTCGTCTCCGTCGAGTATTTCGTCGTCACATCATCCCAATCGGGCCAGAATCTGTGAATCAAGTTACACGTGGATGCGGAGCACTTTCAGACAGACCTGTTCTTGATTCGCTCGACGTATTCGGCCAGATTGTGGCACTCTTCGTCGATCAAATCGCGATGCTCGCTCGCGTACGGAGCATAGTAGATTTGAGCCAAGTTGGCGAAGAGGCACGCGTCAATTTTGGTGGGTTTGAAGCCGTGGAAGTAGTGCTTGTTGCCCAGGTACTTGCTGATCGCCCGCAGATCGTCCCTTCCGATCGCAATGATGTCCTCGCGGCTGTGCAACCCGATATCAGAGCCCGAGATCCGTTTGAGGAGCGCAGAAGCGTAGAAGCGCGAGTTGATGGCCTTGAAAATAGTGCCGAATAGGCCGAAAACCTTCGGATCGAACGTATCCACGAGCTGAGAAGCATTCTCGACGCCGTAAAACCAGGCGGAGATGGCCAGCGACTTCTCGGTCATCGCCTCGAACGCCCGCGAAGTGCTCTTTTGCTCGGCGGACAGATGATCGTCCAGGGATGGCTGTTTGATCGAATCGTCGACGTCGCGAAGGATGAACGCCGAATCGTAGTACTCTTTTCCGTTGAGCTCCACGAAAGGCATTGTTCCCTCTTGCGAACGGATCGTCAAGTTGAATTGCGGGATCTGCAATGTTGCACACATGTTTTCAGTCGTTTTGATTGAATCACAAACAAACCTCATAGGGAATGTCAGCCATTCGCAACCACGTTTCCACTTTCATACAGAACGGAGAGAGGTTTGGAAGGAGTCGAGTTCGCGGGAACTGGTAAAGGTAGACGACATCTGGAAAAGAAACGACTGTTGCGGTTGCACACCTTCTACTGATGATCTCAAAAGAACTCTGCTCACCCACCCGGCTTCCAATTCTCGTTCACCGGGCTCCTTCGGCTCCTGCTCGAGCTCACAAACAACTTGTAAGGCACGTAGACGGCAAGCGCGACGCCTCCCGCGACTGCCGCTTTGCCCCAGTTCGGCAGTCCTTCCGCCCATCTTGTGAGCTCCTCTGTCAAGCTGTTTTCGGCCGGCATCTGAGTGAGAACATAATAGGAGGAAAGTGATAAGGAAAGGTCAGTTTGTGACATGTTTGCGGAAGGAATGCACGGAGTAAACATATTTGTGGAGGGGAAGAGAAGAGGAAAGAAAAGAACAAGAGCATCATGGCTCAGTGAAGCAAAGCGAAGCAAAGAATGAGCAAATTCTGGGATTTTGTTAGTACCGTCTATTCAAACCAATGTATCTCGGCTACCGATGAAGATATGACAAAGTTGTCAACTAATAAAATGTTCACTAAAAACTGTTGTACACTTTGTCAGTTGACCACTTTTTCATATCTTCATCGACAGCCGAGATATACTGTTTTGAATAGAGGGCATTCAGGGAAAACTAGCGAGTTTTAACAGGAAATGACTACAAAACTGAAGAAAAAAGGAAAAAGAAGAGTGAAAAGTGATAGCGTAAAGAGAAACAAACATTCTAGAAGAAATTGAAGAGGAAAAGGCCAATGTTCTTGAAGTTTTGCGAAAGAAATGGGAAACGAAACAATTCAGGTTTGATTAGTGAAAAAGAAAGGAATTCGGGCATCCAAATGACCTTGTTTACAAGGGAAAATGTGAAAATGTGAACATTTTAAAGGACGACGAACAGGATTACTGTAGTTTTGTAGTCCACGTCCTCATCCTTTGATAACTCATTATCTAGCCCATTTTCTACAAAAGTTTGGGTAAGAATTCTCGAAAAAATACGGATTTTCGGTCGTTTTCCAGCAAATGCTCACTGAAAACCGGAGAGAAACGAGCAAGAGTGAGCCCAGCTGTGCCTGAGCGCAAAAGTGACAAAAAAACAGCCGTCGCGGAGGGCGTCCCAAACAAAAACACACAACGAAAAGAAGAAGAGAAAGTGAGAGTGAGAAAGTGAGAGTGAGAGGGCGCAGACGGTCAGAGAAACACACAAACACCGGCGGTTCTCTGCGCGGCGCTCCACGAAAAGATCAACTTTGTGGGCGGCAATTTGAATTCAAAAATTTTTATTTTCCTGGAAATTGTGGCATATAATATAGTGTAGACTCGATGATATTATCCATTTCGATACGAGACCATCGTCTGTTGTCTGCGCGGCGCTGCTTGAGCGATCGGCGACGTGGCGAGCGAGAATTGGCGTTGGAAGTGACGTGGTTGACTGAAAATTTGCGTCTTTTTTCGGGTTCAGGGCATTTTTGATGATAACGACAATATCGATAAGCTGTTGAACTTGAAACGCGTGGCGTGATGACTCGGGGAAAATGTCATTAAACGTGTGTCTGAGATGGTGCATCGGCCAATGTTCATTCCGGAACTTTGGTGTTGCCCACACTGTTTTTGCTGCTCAACACCGAAAAAAAACATGGTGCATCGACGCCCAACTCACTTCATGACAGAATGGTCGACAGTGTGACCCCTGAGAAGCCTTCGATCGACGGGACCGTACGCCGGATCCACACGACTCCATTCACGGAACAGAGAGTCACTGCGTTGGTCGACACTGCAACGAAAGAGGTTAACTACAGTATCCAAGGGGTACTGTACCTATAATCCCTAGCATTTATGCGTTGCTGACTGGAGCACGCCTCATCCGAAGAGTTCGCGTCGGCCTGGTTCATCAGCGACAAGCGTCTCCTCTCTGAAGAAACAAACAAAGACGGTTTTGAGCTGAAATGGGTGGGGGTACCGTACCCAGTTCACTTCGGGTACTGTCGAAACTGTTCGAGAAGCGCTGATCGCTGTCGTCCGTCGAATTGTTCGACTCCATACTCGACACGGCCGCTGTTGATAGGAATTGACGCTGGAGGAGGATGTTTCTGAAGTGAGCGACTGTTTTTGGGGGCTCGGGGTCCGATTTCGAGGGTTAAGGGTTGGCGGTCGAGGGTTCAGGGATGGGAGGGCATGACAAAACGTTTGTTGTTGCTCTACAATACTACCCAACGCACAAATTGTTGCGTTTTCTCTCCCGGGACCACTGCCGCGCCGAGTTTTTGCGACTCTCGGAGCTCTGAGTTTTGACCTCCAACAAATGGGGTTTGACGATGTGCGGCAGACTACCGTACCCATCCACGTGGACTGGCTTACTGTAATCGTTTTCGGGTTTTCTGCTGGTTTCGGGGGTCTATGTGTACAAGTTTTTAAAGTGGGATCTGCGGCATTCCCATGCAAAAACCTGCTGTAAGATGGAGTATTCGTCGGGTGCGACGGGCAGAATTCGGTGGGATCTAGAACGGATTTGAGGGTCTATAACTCGAGAACCGATGCGCGTTTCAAAAAGTTGACAACTGAGAAGTTGTGAAGAATTTTATGCTCTACAACTTTGTAACAGATCATTTTACCCTTAAACCCTTCATTACCAAGTTGTACTCACTTGAAGACCGATCTCTTGGCCTTGGCCATCTGATTGCCCTGCCGTTCCACCGTATCCGCAGTCGCCTGGCTGTCGGTGTTCGATTCGAACGAGGTGGAGACCGAGGAAGGTTCGGAGATGCCGAGAGCATCCAACTGCTCCAAATGTCCCTTGGCCGCCCAAAGAGACTGACAAGCCGCCGACACTTCCTTCCTTTCCTGCGTCGAAGCCAGCGTGAACGCCCTGTGATCCAAGGCCATCCGCTGGTGCACCGGGTTTTCGAAGCTCTTCGCCTGCCGCTGCACCACGTGGCTTCTCCGCCGTTCGCCCTGGTCCCTCGGAGTCGGCGACGGCGGTTCGTTGATGATCGGCACGTCCAACCGGCGGGACTGCACTAGATACGGATCCTCGTCGGCGGGCAGTATTGTCGGCTCGTAGAATCGGTAGGGATTCGGGTTGAGGATGGGGGGCGGCGTAGATGGTTGGGCGCCGGGGTTCCAGGAACGGGAGTGGGCGTGGCCTCGCTCGTAGATCCGCCGCGATTGGTCCGGAAGAGGCGAGGAGACCTGCAAGAATGCTTCTGAATTTGGTTCCCTTTCTACATTGCCTGCTTTTTTGGAGACTCAAACCGGCCGAGTTGACCGAAAAGGTACTAAGATACACAAAAAGTGACAAGGTTCTTTGATCAAGTGAGCACAGTACGAACTTCCCGACGAAAAGCGATGCACGTTTGTGTTTGTGATGTTCGATCTGCATCTTGTGTGAACACAACACCCTTTTTGTGTCGCCAAAAGTACAGTAACCCTCACCTGTTTGCGGGGCGGCGGCGCGGCTGCATAATGGACGGCGTTGCTGCGCGCAAAGTGGCTCATTCGCCGCTGGCGCTCATGCTCGAATTGGTGATGTTGCTGAAAACGAGTGAAAATGTGTGTGTGTGTCAGGTATGTATAGTGTGTCCGTCTCTTATCAGTTTTTCTAATTGGTGTGTGTAGGGCATGTTGCATCAGACGATGAGATGAAAAAGAGCGGGGGGGGCAAAGTTGAAGAGTTTTTCGGAGAAATTGGAAGGCCAGTGATTGTTTGAGCTGTACATTGTCTAGGCTTATCAGAATTTTTACATGGTGCATCGGCGGATAGTCCTCAACGTTTGCAGAACGCTCTACACATGGTGCATCGCAGAGTTGAGCGGAAGAACTCAACGAAAGAACACGAAAGAATTTTTATCTTTTTTAGAAAATTTTTTCATGAAATGTGATCAACTGACGAAATGTATAGCAAAGTGAACTCTGCTCATAAAAAAATAATTGTAAATTTAGCTTTTCATAAAAAAAATTATTCGAGTACGGAAGACGGAAGGACATTTTCACGCAACAACTCCAATAACTTTTTTGTGTGAAAAGCCAAATTTACAATTATTTTTCTATGAGCAGAGTTTACTTTACTATACATTTCGTCAGTTGATCACATTCCATGAAAAAATTTTCTAAAAAAGATAAAAATTCTTCCGTGTTCTTTCGTTGAGTTCTTCCGATCAAGTCTGGTGCATCGACCAATTCGACGATTCCCAAATGGTGCATCCATCGACGAGCCGCACAACAAGTGACGTGGCACTTCTCCGGGAAACATCACCATCACAAGACTCTCTCTCTCTCTCTCTCTCTCTCTCTCTCTCTCTCTCTCTCTCTCTCTCTCTCGCTTTCCCTTTCGGTGCTCCTTCTCCGGGTCTCTCTCGCCTTTTAAATACCGGGACTGATAACACGTGGCTTATCAGTTGTCCCGGGCGGGTATATAAGACCCGCTCCTGAAGTCATTCCTCCACACCCCCGAGCATCATGTTGAACCGTTTGCTCCTTCTCTCTCTCTCTCTCTCTCTCTCTCTCTCTCTCTCTCTCTCTCTCTCTTTCTTTCTCTCTTTCTTTCCTTATCTCCACGGCGCGTTTCCTTCCCGCTTGCGTCGTCGTGTTTTGACAAAAGTGTACAACTAAACGTACTTTTGGATGAGAATACCAAAAATAGCGTGACCTAATGTTTTCGAATGTGGTCCCGCTAGTTGGGCGAGAACTTTAGACCTTCACCAGTTGAGAGAGAGAGAGAGAGAGTTGATTAGCAAAAAGGAAAACGTGGTGGGTTGGTGGGAAAACGCGTTAAGAAAGAACTTTTGATTCTCTTATCATTGAACGTTTTTGGGGAAAGCAAAAAGGTTCAAGTATTGCTACCTGCCGGACTCAGGAATCCAATCTTCTAGGGACCACCAGGTACGGTAGCTACAGTACCCCAATCACTGAATCACTAAACTTTCAAAGAACTACAAGTAACTCAACTCAATGTCCTGACTATGCAATAGCTACAGTACTCAGGGGTACGGTAGTCCAGTACTACGCCTATCTACAGTATTTACGGTGGCTACAGTATCTGACGGAATAAAGCAAAGAAAATGGCATTTGGGGCATAATTTGGGAGCCTCATGTCATTTTGCCACAGACTTTTAGTATCCTAACTTTGTCGACCTGTATCTTGAGAACTAGTGGTTATGCTTAAAAACTGTTCACTGCAAAATTGTTGAAAATCGTATGCTCTACAACTTTCTAATTGACACTTTTATCTTAAACTTCTCCGTTTTCAAGTTATACAACTATTTCTGAACAGTGTCCAATTGAAGCCCTTACCAAGTTTTCGTCTTTGATCATTGTCAAAATGGTAAATGTCACTTTCCCACACTTGCTTTCGAGAGCTTTCAATTGTTATTAAAATGTTGTGAAAATGTGTACAATAGTGTTATTGTCGCGTTCTTTCCGAAGGCTTCTATTATCCATTCACTCTTTCTGCTCAAAAGAGCTGATGCAATATGAGTGTAATCGTTCCGATTCTCTCCGTTTTATACTCTTTTTCATTTTCACTCAGGGAGGTACGGAAGAAAGAGAAAGAGAAAGAGAAAGAGAGAGAGAGAGAGAGAGAGAGAGATAAGGGAATGATGCTGATGTTTTCGAAAAGAGGTACCCAGAGAGGAAGAGAGATCAAAACAAGTCGGCCTCCTTCTGCCTATCTAACCGCTCGGTTCGATGGTTTCAAACTTTGAGACTGATGTGATCAAGCACAACGCCATGTCATCGAAAAAATACTTGAAAAGTGTCGATGAGTTTCAAAAAGTGTGAAAAAGAGGGAATACCCCTTGAGAAGAAGCGGAAATTGGGTGCAGCCGGATGAGGTGACGTTCTTGGACCCTTTCAGATTCTGAGAATCCCCCCTCTACGTTTTTCACATGCTCATTAGGTGAATAAGCGCACGAAAACATGGTGCATCGGCCGACAACCAGTTCAAGGCTTCAAAGAACTATGACACGTCACTGTGTCAAAAGGCAAAAAGAGTGTTTGAACTAGAGATCTGTGCGAGATCGCTGATAGTGATTGCTGCTCCTGGATACATTTTTCGGTGCTTCACCTAAATTTCAGTTCGTCTAACGCACTTCCCCTACAATTTTTCCACTTTTTGTTTAGATTTCCACAATCCTAAACATTTCAATCGCATAAACTTCATTTTCTTCCAATATTGTCGATCTAACAGCAGAGGCTCTACCCCAAAATCTGGTCATACAATAGTTGTGCAATTCTTTCACTTTTCCTTTCAAAGCTATCGAATTTCCATGAGAAAATGTCTATAAAATCGGAGCGGCCGTCTAACTTTTTATTCCAGAAACCGTAGTTAGATGTTCTACATGCTGGCCGAACTTTTGTCGGGCGTGAAAAGTTCGGCCACATCCTCATACCTGAGATTGTTTGAGTCAACCCTCTTGCACGCAAGCTGGTCTAGGTTTTCCAGGCGGGAAAGTTAGGCCACCTATCAGAACGCTATTGTTTGTTGTTTGGTTCACTTCCCATTCACTGAACATCTGGCCTAGCTTTTCCAGTCCCAAAAAGTTAGGTCACATCCTTACAAATGCCTTTTGGGCGGTCTTCCAGTTGTTCCCCGGCACTTGATGGCCTAACTTTTGCATCGCCAAAGAGTCTGCTCCCCTCAACTTCCGGCACCTGATAAACAGCTGCCGTAACTTCTTTCAATGCTATTATTCCAGGTTTTCCTTCAGTTCAACAGCTGCTCGTACTCGTTTTTTGTCCTCCCCTCGACGAACCACGTCATAAATTATTACCCCCCCTTTGCACATAGTGTTACACACCGAGGGACCCAGAGGAGATGCTCACTCTCTCTCTCTCTCTCTCTCTCTCTCTCTCTCTCTCTCTCGGCACCCACTCAAAACTATAGCACACCACCTGTGGGAGAGCCGCTCAGAGCTCTTTTACTACTCCAGAATTTTGCATCGCTCTTCTTTCTTTTTTTCTCCATACATTCACTGTTTTCCGCTATTGTCGACTTGCATACAAGTTTTGCCTACGTAGATACCCATCTAACGCTTTTTTTGTGACTGCAACCCAATTTTTCTAATGTGGATCACATGTTTTGGGTCGAAGACAACCGTTTATGACCGTCATTAGGACCCCAAAGACGAGCGTTTTTGGATAATTATTGTTTCGCTGAAAAACATGGTATTAGGTACTTGGTCCCTCAAAGTTGGACGTGTTCGTCGTCGTGTTCGTCGTCGTCAGAGGCCTAGGGTCTGTCTCAATTTTATCAAAAATGAATGCTTTGAAGGTCCCAAGCTCGCGCTAAAGTTCTAGAAGAGAAAATATCCGATTTCGCTCTCTGATTGGTTGAAAAGAGCACTTTCCCCCAGAGAAATTCAAACTTTTTCGGGCTCCAGAATGCTTTGAAACGTTTGGGACCAATGTTCGAACCGACAGGATCCGCCACATATGTTTTTCCATCTGATCGCTAATCTCTCTCTCTCTCTCGCCGCGGATCCTCTGGTTAACAACAAACTAATCAGTGATTGACGCGCCGCCAAAACATGTGATTGGCTGGCGGCGACCTTCTGGAATCGGAATTGGTCCCCATCGGATCGGGGGCGGCAAGATCTCGTTCGTTTCGTTTCCACACACACACACACACGTACAGAGACGGAAAAGGAAACGAAAGGGCAGAGACGGAACGAACGTCTGGCGGTCCCAGCCGCTCACACAATAGTACACAAACCTCGGAGGGGGTCAGTCGACGCGAGGCCGATCGCGCGAGTACAACCGCCAACCGGTGGGACCAGGAGAGACGCAGACGGGCGGCCGGGTCGTCAACCGGTTTTCCGACCGGGTATATAAGTCGACTCATTTCGGGTACCCCCCGACACGTCCATGTGTGTGTGTGTGAGTGTGTACTGTAGTCGTTGGGAGAGCTGACCAGCTGTTTTGTGTTGCCATGAGCCGACGGGGACCGCCGCGAGACGTGACGACACTTGACCCCAACCATCCAACCATAATCCTGACGGCAAACTCGGGGGGGGGACGGAGTGTGACTCGCGTGCTGTTTTTTTATTTTTGGTTTCGCAATTGGATCGGCGGCATGAGTCAGTCCTTTTAAGTGTCCCGTTAAGTGACGTCGGCCAGGGTCTTGGAAGTTCGAGGCCTGATCATAAAGGGACCATAGAGCATAGATCCTGACTAGTAGGGACTAAACATTGGGACCTGAGTATAAGCCTAGTGGCCTATAAGTTTAGGGCCTAATCCTGAGGGCCTGAATTTGACGGCCACTCTCTAGGGCCTAAAGTTTAACTTGAAGGCCAACTGCCAGGAGGACCCCGCGAGAATTGCTGCCCGATTTTGATCTAGATAAAGTACAATCCGGCGGCGGCGGTGGCGGCGAAATTTGTATTTGTACCCTAGCCGAGAGGGGGGGGGGCCAATTAAAAGTTGATCCAATTCTATCACGTTTGCACACGTACTAATCCGCTTACTATCTTTTTCAAAAGTTGACCAACATTATAATATATATATTCTGTTTTGCTACTGTTCAACCAAATTCTTTGACCTGACCTTGAGGGACCGCAGCCGCTCGTGGTGGACCTCAGTAGATCAGATAACTCGTCGCCTGGCGCGTTCTAGTGGTTGGACAACACTTTCCGCCTATTCTATTCTCTTTTCGGCCGGCCCTCGCCGACCGGGACCTACTTTTGTACTTTTGTAGGTTGTAGCAGCTAAGACCCCCCCCCCCCTCCTCAAATTTTCTTTCTTTCCTCTCTGTTCCTCCGCCGAAAGGTTGAAACATCAGCATCAGCGGGACACTTTTTCGCCGTCTCCGTCTCCAATCTTTTGGTCCCCTTGAGATAGGGAGGGGGGACTATAAATACAAGCAAAAATTGAGTGAGAAAGAGAGAGAGAGAGAGAGAGATCGAAAGGTGGAAAATTCGTTTGACCTAGGCGAGAAAATGGTCTTGATCTATCGTTAGGTACTATTTTATCCGTTTAGGATTTTACAAGTTGAGCTACAATATCGTCCAGAACATTTGTGACAACCAAAAGATTCGACTATCTAAAACCAAACTCCTTTGGACATTTTGTACCGATTTCACCGGCTGTTTTTTCTTCCTAGACACTTTTAAAAGGTATTTTTCCGCGTTACCGCCGAAAAGTTCAAACAAACTACTCGTAGACACACGTTGTCCAACTCGCTACTCTTCCCCTTTTTCCTCCGCTTCTCTGAGCAAACAACTCGGCCCTATTTAAAGCGGAACAACCGTTTCGGATGTCCTTGATGTCAGCAACCGGGGGGGTCATCCGTCCGTCTTCATCGAAAATGCATGCGGTCCCAGCTGATCGGACCGAAACGCTCGCCTTCTTTCGGCTTCACTCTCTTTTCGAAAAGGCATTAGTTGTGTTTTGATTGGAAGCCGCTGATTAATTCCGGCGATCAGCGATCATTCAAATTTGTGTGGGACCGAATGATGCTATAAAGCGATGGGTTCGGCTCAGATTTGCCGGACAACGACAATAGCTGTACACTTGTGCATCAATTTTTGAGGACCTAATGTTAGTTTGAAGAAATATTAGTGGAATTGTATTGATTTGCACTTTTACCCCCGGTGGTCCCAAGAAGTTGATACTGTTGATCTGCAGGATGCTCTGTCACCCAACTACCGGGACCGCTTTTCAACTTGTAGTCCCCAGACGTCTACAATAGCTTTCTAAAGGTTCATGGATACGTCTCCTCCTCCTCTCTTTGATCGCCGTCGCTTTCCCATACGTTCCCGTCCGTTCGCCGTCAGCACTAACCAAACACAGACACTTTCTTACTTTGTTTCTCTGATTCCTTCTCCCCCCCCCCCCTCTACAAAAAACAAATCACAAGTCCGTTCGGCCAATTGAGATCTACGTAGAGGGTATATAAACTTGAAATTTTGTGACTACTACTCTAGAAAAAACCGCTCATCTTTGGACACTTGTATCTCGAGACTTTGTGATTATTTCAAAAAGTGGTCAACTAAAAAGTTGTTGCAAATTTTGTGCGCTACAACTTTGTAGTTGAACATTTTTTACGAAAATTTGTCATTTTTGAGTTCTAGTCATGGTTCTACAAGCCTTCTTTTAGTTTGTGCAGTGGAACGTATCGGGCTCAGTGAGTCAGAAAATGTGAATGAAAAACGGGAAGAGCACATCTTTTTCACGTCTTCTTGCTCTCTCCGAAGAGCTCCCCGAGCAAGAAAAATGCAAATTAGGTCATATGTCTTGTGCAGCTCTAACTTTTCGCTTTTTCTTTACTTTTTGCTCTCCCGTTTCCCTCACACGTTCCCCCCAAAAAACCCGCTTTTTTTTGCAGACCTCGTCTCAAACTATGCATTAAACAGGAGAAATGCGGACAATGGATCAGGGACAGCTGCAAAAGTTGCTCAACGCGAGCGCCGCACAGCAAAATCCAATGGCAAGTTTTTTCGGTTTTCGGTTTTGGTTTTGAGTGCTGCTCCGTTTCGAAACTCTTTTTCGAAATGTTAGCGCACCTGTTCGCTTCCTCTTTGCCACCGTATAAATAGGCGGGCTCGGGGAAGCGACGAAACCGATCGGATTTCGGAGTGAAACTAGTGGAAAGTGAGTTTATGACGAGTATTCAGAACGAGTTTTCTCAGCTCCGCGGAGATGTCGAGAGCTATTTTGTGGGCAGTTCTAGAACGATATTGTTTTGCTATAAACGAACAAAAATGTGTACTTCCAAGCTGAGATATCTCTTAAATTCGTTTAGTCACGTCAAAACGCGAAAAAAGTTCATGAAACTGATGTGTGTGCTAACTCCAAGTCCACTTTAGTGTGTCGTATGACTCAGTACCGGCACACAACTTTCTACATGAAAACGGCAAAGTTTTGGAAAGAAAGAAAGTGCACATCTTTCTGCTTCCATTCCGATTTCGATTTCCCAATGGGCCGCCTAGTCACCATTGTGTGTGTATGTACTATTGATAAGGAACACAAAAAAACAACAGAAAAGGGAAGCGAAAACATTGGCGTGCCTCTATTTTTCGTACATTTCAGATGCTCTTCGCAGCGGCGATGACACAACAGCCGACGACGCCGACGCATTCTGCTTCGGCGGCGGCTTCCGCTCCTTCTGCCACGTGGCAACTCAAATCCCCACAGATGCACACTCACGCCTCTTCGGCTGCCTCAATTCTCGAGGCGAACGTCGCGTTGCTCATCTTGCAACAGCTTCAGAATCAGCAGTGTGAGTCTTTTTTTGATGGATCTCAGCTGCCGGTGGACATGCCAAAAACTTGTCAACTGATAAAATGAACAGAATTTCTTAACAAATATTTTCATAGTTGAAACTCTTTTGATATCTCTACTGGCAACTGAGATACATGGACAATATTGGACCGTACTCGTATGATTCTGATTTCCAGCGATCACCGTGACGCTGCCGACACCTCCGATCACGACGTCATCCGGCCTTCCAGCCGCCTTCTCGCTCCCCGTCATTTATCCGAGCACCTCGACAGTAGTCTCCACCCCCGCAATCACCCCCACAACCACTTCTTCCTCGATGACTCCGCAATGCTCCACTCCCAACCCGCCGGAAATGATCTCGACGATCAATAAACTGCTTCAAATGCAGGCGCAGAAAAGTGTGACGCCGCCGGATCCGCAAGTGATGGCGCCGCGGAAAATCTCACTTCCGGAGGAGTTTGTTCCGATCATGACGCCCAGTAGTTCGGCGTCCGCCTCCTCGCCGAGCACGTCTTCGAAGAAGGGAGAAGAAGATGAGGACGACGATGAGGACGAGTTTGTGGACATTGAATCTGTCGACGTGGCGGTGGATGGGAAGGAGAAGCGACGGGCGCACGTCGAGTTCTACCGGAGGATGAAGTACATGCGACAGCAGTGAGTTGGGCCGAAAGCGACTGTTCAAAAACGGATTATAGCTCGGCTTGGGACGGGTTTTCGGATAAAACTGTCAACTACAAAGTTGTTCAGCATACTATTTGCTACAATTTTGTAGTTGACAACTTTCACGAATATTCACTGGTTCTCGAGATATAGGTCTTCAAAGTTAGGCGAAGTTGCTCAATCAAAGCTTTTCAGAGACAAGGCGCTGACGTGTGGAGAGTGCAAGAAGAAGATCGAGAATCAGGAGAACGCGATCGCGGTCCACGTGGCAGAGCACGCGGACGCCGGCGGCTACCAGTGCCGACTGTGCGGTTGGCAATCGATCGACAAGTACAAAATCTACTCGCACATGCGTGTGGAGCACCCGCGCAAAGTGGACATGTTCGTCGACAAACGGGACATGCCCAAGATGTGCGTGACGCTTTCGCAGTGCTTTCCGAAGACGACGTGTCGGCCGAAGAAGGAGTCGAACAGAAATGCGGACTCGTACCTGATGCTCGTGCTCAAGGGCGGTGTGGCCGATAAACTTTGCAATGTGTGCAAGGGAAGAGTTCGGCGCGACAAGGCCGCCATGATCAGACACGTGCAGACGAATCACACGATCAAGTGAGTTGCTCAGTTCGTATCTCAGTTGCCGGTGGAGATGGTGAATTGCGGTCAACTAATATATTGTTTGTTAAGACATCATGTACATTTCATGTGTTGACAACTTTTTGATACCTCAACCGGCAACCGAGATATATCGTATTGAGGGAACGTCTCGTTCAAATGACCTAAAATGACTAAAAACCGATCAATTTTCAGGTGCAAAACGTGCAAAACAATCTCAGCGACGCTGGACGACCAACTTCGCCATCAAAAAGAATCTCACGGGCTCGCGGAGCCGAAAATGTCGGTGCATTACGCGCCGAGTGCGGCGGCGGTCTACCTGTTGCCGGCGCTCGAGAAGTGCTTTCCGCCCATCAAATAATCGCCATTTCTACCCATTTTTCAAAGCATTTCCATTTCGTTTCGCCCCCTTTTTAAGAGAGTGACGGGTCGCTCAACCACTCGTCTCGCCAACCATTTCAATTCAGTTTTGGATTGAAGAAGAAAAGAATGATGCTTGCCATCCCATCTCATGTCTTTTTTGTGTTGTATTATTATTATTATTTCATGTCTACTTTTATAAAAAGTATCGATCACCTCTAGGCCCTCGGTGCTCGGCAGTTGACGGCCGGTGCCACGTTGCACTTCGAACGAACTTCGCCGCACTTCGTCGCACACTTCTGGAGGATGCAGTTCTGCGGAATGAGCACGTGTGGGAGCAGGGGACACGGAGAGCAACGCTGGAATTGGAATTGATTATGAAAAGTTACATTTGGGGCCTAAACTGAGAACCTTGTCGCCAACTTTAAGTACCCTTACTTTGGAGGCCTATATCTCGAGAACTAGTGGATATTTTTGAAAGTTGATAACTACAAATTTGTGGAAAATTTCATGATAAACAACTTTGCAATTGACTATTTGTTTCGAAAACTTGTGCGGGCCGAGTTATACGCCTTTTTTCAACACTAACTATAGTAGAGTGGCACGTTCATTCAAAATGATATATCTCGGTTGCCGGTCGAGGTGCCAAAAAACTGTCAACACAAAAAGTGTACAAAATGTTTCAATAAACAATTTACTAGTTGACAACTTCTTGATATCTCCCCAGGCAGCTGAGATACATGGATTTGAAAGAACGGTTCTTCTAATTCATCACAAAAATGTTCAGTATCGTGCAAAACCAAGCGATCTTTTTCTTAAGGTCCTACCAACCAACAAAATTGAATATAAATCCGCTAGGGACCACTAACAAATGAACTCACTATTATAAGTGTTTTGCGAGAGGCGTAGCGCATAATTGGAGTCATTGGTGACGATAAGCGGCACGACCGAAACGCTATTGTCGATGATATTGTCGTGTTGCTCGTCGTAAGCTCCTCCGAGTGTGGTCGTCGACGTGTGTTTCGGCGTGGAAGACGTGAGAAACTCTTGCGGCAGGGGCAGTGGTCGGCTGAGACCCACGACGACACTCCGAATGTGTTCCCTCTTAAAGTCCGGGTTCACCGTTCTGAACAATTGTATTGGTGAGCAGATTCATTCGGTGGCACCGTCTTACGTGGTGACCGGATTGCGGCGCTTCAGACAGTAGCGGTAGAGGTAGACGACGGAGATGACGACGATGAGGCCGCCGACCACGCCGCACACGAGAACGAAGATCGTAAACAGTGGGCGCTGCTCTTCCTGCAAACCGACAATATTCATAAGGGTCAAAGAGGGTTAGGGGTCCTGTCCTCACAGTTGAACACTGAAAGGTTCAGTGCTAAACGACAAAGTGTTGGCGCTAGATTAGTTGCAATGTGTCCGACTTATGCTAGGTGCTATGATAGTCTTAATTTAAGAACCCGACAATATCAGATATAAATGGATTCGGTCCCCCCCAAATAGCCAATTGTTAATCAAAACAGGCGGCGTACAACTCGAGCTCATAATTGTTTTGCTCTTTCTATTTTCGCGTTTTGTCCTTGAATATTTCATTTGGGCCGCCACATTATTGGCCAATCTGGCGGACAACAAAAACACTGGCGGCGAGTAACCGAATACCATAAGATTCTTTTAATTGTCAAGAATCGGCGGAATCGAATTTCTGCGCGCACAAACCCACAATAATGGTTAGAAGTGAGGTAGGAGAAGTAGGAGAAGTAAAAGTAGAAGAAGAAGAAGAAGAAGAAGTAGGAGAAGAAGAAGAAGACGTCATCCGAATTAGAAGTCGATTAGTTTTTTCGGGGCGGCAAATTGTTAGTAGTCTGATGTATGCAAAAACAACAAGGACCGTGTGTTTCAGTTGGTTCCCAAAAATTAATAATAGATTGAATGGACGAAAGGGTTGCGTGGAATTACTTATGAGTCTGAAGGAGGATCCGGAAGGATATTGTACTGGAATTGGATCCAAAACACGAAAAAAAAGTTGTCAAGTAGTAAAACCCGACACAATAGCTCAATACGAGTTGACTGTGCCAATGCTCACCTTTCTGCCGCGGAACAAAATAGTCATTTCACATTCACATATTTCTACTGGTGGTGGAATGGAGTGAAAATGTGGATTGATAATATAATAATAATAAGCCTAAGACCTCCTCTCTCTCTCTTTCATCCGGTGGCGCGAATCATGATGTTCTTCCCTTCTCGCATTCGAATATATTTCCGCTAATCCGTTCTTCCCTCACTTGCACCCTTATCACCGATATTATCCGATTCCCTCTCTAATCCTTCTTCCTGATTATCCCCCTCCCGATTCGTTTACTCGCTTGTGACGGAGATGGCGGCGGCACGGAAATGGATAATAGAAACATCAGAAATTAGTGTGAGACCCCAGGAACCGATCACGGACACTCTGCAACTGGATAATACGAGAGGAGGACGTTTTGCAACCGATCAGAAGGGACAAGGACAGTTTGCAACCTGATTTCACCAAAGAAAGACGTTTCGCAACCAAAATAGTTAGCAATGTAACATAAGTGTCATAGTTGGATCAAAGTATTATCATAGTTAGCTGTCTTTGCTACCAGGACGTTTCGCAACTACCAATTCGAGAAAAGGACACTTCGCAACCAGGGCACTCAACGCCTAGACACTTTGTAACCGGGAAACACAAAATCCAGCAGCTCTAGTGGCATTTTTCAAGTTGACAAATGATTTAGTGGCACTTCTCCTGGTCACCGGGACACAAAAGTTGCAAAGCGGCCTCGGACGGTTGCAAAACGTCTCTCAACGTTTCCGACAAATGTGTTTGTTGCAAAATTGAATAAAACCGAGTTGGGGCGAAGAAGCCACAAGACGACTCGGAATTTCAATTAATTTGGAGGGACCGGCCGGCCATTAGGCGTCCGTCTGACTCATCCGCCAGGGACCGCGAGCAGTTTCGACTCAAAAGCGGGCAAAAGTGACATTTGTGTCGGTCGGTCCTCGACTCTAAACTGGCCTGACAACCGAAAGCGCGTGCAGGTGATGTGATTTCGTGTGTGCGTGTGCGTTTCGACTCAATTCATAAAAAGATTAGCAAGCGGCGAAGAACACTGAAAAGCTGAAAGTCCTCCCACGAAAACGACGAAATGACGTGCGAAACTTTGTCGGAAAGAACTTTTTCATTTTGCTTTTCAAGGCCATCAATTCTAGGCCACCGTGTAGGAATATCATCTGGAAAAGGAGGAGAAGAAGAAGAAGAAGAAGAAGAAGTCATAAACCGGATGAATATCCGCATGACGTGGCATCGTGCTCTCAAAGATGAGCCCCCATATATATATCGGAATGAGATAATTAGAAAGTGTAGGAGGGGGAAGTGAAAGAGAGAGAGAGAGAGAATTATAAAATAGTTCTTCTTCTTCTTCTTCTTCGTCTCCCTCTCTTTTCCACATATTTTTTTCGCTGAAAAATGCACAAATTTCGAGCTCCAAAGATTGTGCTCACCTTGAATTGGCTCAAAATGAGCCAGATCGGAGATGGCTCACAAAAAATGTATATAGTTGATGGAAAAGGGGCACAAAACAAGGGGATTAGTGCATTGAAACCAATTTGAAAGAGAGAAAGGAACACGGAGAAGAAGAAGAAGAAGAAGAAGAAGAAGAAGAGAGAGAGGGGGAGATGATCTTTGAAGGTCTCCTAATCCTATCAAAGATTCGAATTTGGATCCCAGGCCACGGTCAACATGTCCGGATCTTCAACTAGAAAATATGAGAGGGGTCTGTAGGTCGTACAAGTGGAAAGCTTGGTGGCCTAACTGTTTCAAGTGCAAAGTTAGGCCACGTGGCCCAGTCGGCCTAGTTCGGGGCTTCTAGGCCATGGCCTGGAACGTGAAGCAAAAGAGTCACATTGCTTCTTCTTCTTCTTCTTCTTTTTCGCTTCTCAAAACGCCAGACACTGCACACTTCACTTGAGAGCACACCGCCTGAAAGTGACACACATCCGGGGTCGGCGTCTGGAAAAACTGAGAAAAAGCGGCTGAAAAGTGGAAAATGCTCAATGAGCAGGTGACATTTCATTTGCAAAGGGGGTAATACCCCAAAAAAAAAGTAGGGACGGCTCCCTGGCCGGAGTATTGTCCGTCGTTTTCATATTCGGAGGAGCTCTCCTTCCTACACAAAACTGACAAAAAAACCGACCGTTTTGAAGAGCGCCGGAATGAAACAGATGAGGACGACGAGCAGAATGAGCACCGAAATGAGCGTGTGCTCGCACAGATCGAACAGTTGGTAGTAGAGGCGGTAGAACGAGTTGAGCATCAGAATGAGTACCTCGCACATTTTGGAGCAGCCGACTGACTGGTTCCCGACGGCCCACGGACTGCCAGAGGTGCGCGAGGGACGACGGGCGGCAATTTGATTTGGGGAGCCGGGGGGCGCGGTTATGATGAGCCACACGGAAAACAAAACAACCACCGAATTTGCGGGCGCCGCGATGATGCGAAATTTGCAATAATTTGGGTTGGCCGCACACAAATTTGCGTTATTTTCGGCGTGCAGAAGCAGAAACGACAAAGAGACGTTTGGCAACCAGTTGGAAAGTGTCAAACAGTTGAGACGTGTTTATCGTGGCACAATGGACGGGTTCTTCGAGCTGGGACGTTTTGCAACTGGCGAAGAAGTGTGAAAGCAAAAAAGAGCAAACGAAGAAATCAGAACGAAAGTGCGTCAAAGATCGTTGCGGGCGGGCACGGCACGATGAAATGCAATATTATTGAAATCGAAAAACGGGCGGCTCACTCGCATAACAATCCGGTGCCACCGCAGCCAATCGGACCAGATTGAGACGCTCGGCGACGTCGTTTTTGGCCTGAAAATTGAGAGAATTTGCCAATTTGCCAATTTGCAATTTGCAATTCATACATCGGAAACTAGGAAAAGTGTGGGAGCTTCGAGTGTGTGTGTGTGTGTCCCTTTTCTAAATATCAAAACGGACGCGCATCGAATAACACATGAATAATGGACTCGAAACATGTGAAATGGCCGCCACTGACGCCTTTTTGTTCGCGAGCGCGAGCGCGAAGAAAAAACGGAATTTCTGAACAAGTGTCTGATGAGAAACAGGCGCGAGATTCAAATGTTCTTCAAAAGTACATCTGGTCTGGTTGTCTGGAAATTTCAGAGATTTGTGAATAACCTCGAAACTTGGTCCAAGAGAGACAATCTCAGGTTCATTTGACGCGTTTGCGTGAAAGTTTCAAAGCCACCAGACACGATGGTGACAAAAAGGTTCTTTTGGTGAGTAGAAAAATAGTAGGCGAAAGCGTGAAAAGGCGAATGAAATGGCGCCAGATTGGCAATTAACAAAGCCATAACTTGGGGACGGAAAACGGATGGAGTTGTCGTGGAAAAGGTGGTCCCTAGTGGTTGGGAGGGGAAGGAAAATAAATAATTGAGGGAAAGGGTAATGGGTATGGAAAAGTTAAGTTCAAACTTTCCTACTGGTTAGGAAACTTTTGATCTTTTGGGTTGAAGTATGTTGTGGTGGTGGCCGTGGCCTAAAAAAGTCTAGTGCAGAAACTCTTCCATACTCAACTTTGAGGGACCATATCTCGAGAACCAGGGACCAGTTCAAAAAGTTGGTAACTAAAAAGTTGTTGCAAATTTGGTGCCCAACAACTTTGCAATTGCCTATTTTACCCGAAAACGCTTCATTCTCAAGTTATGAGCTCAAGAACGTAAGTACTCAATTCACTTGCCGTACTTTGTCTTTGAGGGTCCATATCTTGAGAACCAGAGATCATAGAAAAAAGTTGTCAACTAAAAAATTGTTGCAATTTTTATTTTAAATAACTTTGTAACATGTCATTTTATTCAAAAATTCTTCATTGAGAAGTTATGGACCTTAGAGCTCGGAGAATTTTTGAAAATTTTCCAGCCTGAACATGGAGGGTCCATAAAAAGCTAACCAACCACCCCAAACCGACTCAGATGGACGGAAAAAGGAAAACAAACGAAACGAACAAGAAGAGAGAGAGAGAGAGAGAGAGAGAGAGAGAGAGTAGTTAAAAGTCAGTTGATACTTTTATATATTCTCTTCGGATGTCATTAAAATTGGATGCCTCTTTCATCTTTTGCACTTAATTAGTCACTCTCTCCCTCTCTAACTTTTAGTCTTCTTGAATGAGCAACAAGAAAACCAATTGATTTCCAATTTAAGTGAGCGAAAAGGGTTCAAAGTTCAAGAGCGAGATATGAACCCTCAACGACAGGGCACGGTTGCGTTCTTAAGCTCATAACTTTAGAACCAAGAGGTTTGCAATAAAATGTTCAATTACAAAGTTGTAGAGCACAAAATTCGTAACAATTTTGCAATTGACCACTTTATGCAATAGTTCCTAGTTGTCGAGATATGGCCCGTCAAATTTGAGAGAATTTTGGATGAGGGGCTAACTGTGACAAACTTGAATTTCTGAGTATAACTGAAGGCTTTATGAACTAAGAATGTTATTATGAAGAAAAAGTAGTGGAAGAGTATCCGCACTGAAGGTTTCTAGGCCACGGCCACCACTTTTTGGCTCCCCCCGTCCCAAAAGTGTTCAAAATCCGGCCACTCGTTCAATAAGACAATGAGAGAAGAACAACACAAAAAAAAACAAGAAAGGACTATTGTGGACACCTCGAAACATTGCGGGCGACTCCTGAGAATTCATGAAATATTCGATGAATAGCAAATCAGGGATTCAGATTAAAAGACACCGCCGCGACGATTCTTCTCTTGTGGCACAAAAGAAAATGAGAGAGGAAAAAGGGATTAAATGGAATGAAAATGACCTTAAAATGAGGGAAAAGCGAGTGGAAGAGGGACCAAAAAGGGACACATAACAAGTCAATTAGTGCTTCCCTCTTCTTCTTCTTCTTCTTCTTCTTGTCTAATTGAATGGGGGCACCGGCGAATACTGACGAGTGGAGGTCCCCGAAGAGCAAAAAGTACAATTGCACAATAACTTCATTACGAATGAAGATGCAAGAGATCTTTGAAAAGGATTACGCGAACTGTTGGAATGGATATTGTAGATGTACGAAGCGTGGGACTAATGAAAAGTGAGCAACAGTGGAGCATGGAATTTGAGGCCATTTGTAGTATTCCGATTGGGCCCAAACTTTGCAGGCTTATAAAACTTGGATTCAAGTATCTTGGGACCAAATTTCAGACCGATTGGATCATTTATTCCAAAGATATAGTGATTTGAGCCCTAAAAAGCTGGATTTTTGGCCATCGGCTTTATCTCGGGACCAGCTGATCCAACGGGTCTGAAACTTGGTCCCAAGATACTTCAATCCAAATCCAAGGATCCTGTAAAGTTTGGGCCCTAAAAGTCCAGATCCTAGCTAAAAAGCAAAGAGTATTGTAGATCTTCAAGGTCTCCAAGCAAAACATTCACAATTTCGTGCGCAGTCGGAAGAGGTCTTGTGGTTTTCTGATTCGGAGAAGGAGCCTACTTTATCTTCGTATTCAGCCGACAAATTTTCACGTCACACACAAAATTTTAGTACCAGAATCACAATATGCGATGTGAAAAGTGAAAATGCCTGACCAGTTCGAAATCTTCAGAATCGTGAACTTTTGCACGCCATTTCGTCTGCAACCAAAATGTCGGAAGACGTCGAATAACGTTTGCGAGAAAGCAGCTGTCCTCATCTCTGAACTTTTGGCGATATATTGTAGTTCTGAGAGTTGTGGTCGTAGTTTCTCGCGAAAAGGCAAACATAAAGGGCCAAGGATCACAACTGATAAACAAGTAAACAGAAAAAGTGTTGTGGGGGGGAATGTTTGGCGACTCCCCTTTTCGGACTACTCAGACTATAAAATCGGAAAGATTGCGTTGAAATGTCAACTTTCTCTAGACATACAATAGCGGAGCAGCAATTTTTGTAATACCGGTTCTTCAAAGCCATGTATCTCAGCTGTCTGTGAAGATTTTAAAAAGTGGTCAACTAATAAAATGTATACAATTTCTTCACGAACATTTTATTAGTTGACAAAATTTTTATATCTTCACAAACAGCTGAGCTATGGTGTTTTAAATGAACGGTACCCATCTCATCTCCATAGGCAAGATTCTTGCAGACTCATTTTGTCTTGTCGTTTTCTTGTCGCTTCGGCTAAAACTGTCATAGCTCAAGAATGTACCATCTTGACCTAAAATGACTAATTACAAAGTTACTCTGCACAAAATTTCCAACAACTTTCCAGTTGACACTTTCTTCCACTGATTTCTGGTTCTCGAGATATAGACCCTTAAAGTTTGGATAAGGACAATCTAGGTCTAACTATGACCTGAGCTTGAAAAACGCGACAACAAGTACTTACTTTGCTGTCTGAATGTGATTTTTGAGGTTTTCAATGATATAATTGTAAGGTTTCGGCTGTGCAACATGCTCAAGAAGAAGAAGAAACCAAACGTCCGGATCATATTCCATAACTACTATGACATCTGCCACTAAATTTCATCACCCCCGTCACTTGCTGACCTCTATTCTCTGTGTTTTCTGCAGAGTACGTGACTCTCGCTCTCGTTCGACGCGAATTGTCATCCTAGACTTCTAGAACGTCTCCCGTGATGCAATGTTTTGCTGACAAAAAGAGTGGCCATCGACCGGGCACAGGCGACGACGACGAAAATTTGTTTTTGTTGTTCACCTTCACCCGCCGATTTTTGGCCGATTTTCTCTAATTCTCTCTCCGTCCAGTTCTAGCCCACTATAAAAGCGTCCCGTTTTTTTTGCGTTTTGCAGTATCCGATAATTGTGCGTATACTTGTTATTGTCCGTCCGGTTTTCTTTGCAATTCCCCCCCTCACCACCGATCATTGAATATCGTTTTTGTTTTCAGCAATCGAAAATGCCCATGCTACCGCAAGTCGTCAAAATGAGTGAGTTGCTTGTTAGCCATTCAAGATCGGGTTTCAAATTTGCGGGAAATATTCATGAGCCATACAATTTGGAAGTGTTTACTTCCAGGGCTCAAACAAGTGGCTCACTTTCCACAACCTTAAGCATACAATAGTGTAAATTGTAGATATCAACGATCCGGCGCCAGGACACATGCCTGAGGACCAGTTGAAGAGCTACAAGGAGAACCATCCGGTTAATTCCGCACTTATTCACCCAAAAACCATTCAATTCTCTCTAGGAGCCCCACGTGCTCACCACTTCGCATGGCGCGCCGATCTACTCGAAAACGGCGGTGCTCACCGCTGGACGTCGTGGTCCGATGCTCATGCAAGACGTCGTTTTCATGGATGAAATGGCGCACTTTGACCGGGAACGCATTCCGGAACGAGTTGTGCACGCGAAGGGAGCCGGTGCTCATGGATACTTCGAGGTGACCCATGACATTACCAAGTACTGCAAGGCGGACCTGTTCAACAAGATCGGCAAGCAGACGCCTCTCTTCGTTCGCTTCTCGACTGTCGGCGGGGAGAATGGATCGGCGGATACGGTCCGTGATCCGCGTGGATTCGCCGTCAAGTTCTACACGGAGGAGGGCAACTGGGACCTCGTCGGCAACAACACTCCCATCTTTTTCATCCGCGATCCCATCCACTTCCCCAACTTTATTCACACCCAGAAGCGCAACCCACGAACCCATCTGAAGGACCTCAATGCTGCATTTGACTTTTACACCCACCGCCCCGAAACCATCCATCAGGTGATGTTCTTGTACTCGGATCGCGGAATTCCCGACGGTTTCCGACACATGCAAGGCTTCGGAAGTCACACGTTCAAAATGGTGAACAAGGACGGGAAGCCGGTGTACTGCAAGTTTCATTGGAAGGTGAGCACACTTTAGGGATTCAAGGACTCACAAGTTCATTTCCAGACCTGCCAAGGCGTCAAGAACCTGAGTTTGGCCGAAGCCGGTCGCCTGGCCTCTGAAGATCCGGACTACTCGCTCCGTGACCTGTTCACTGCGATCCAGAAGAAAGACTTTCCGGAATGGAAGCTCTTCATTCAGGTGATGACGTTCGAGCAGGCCGAGAAGTGGGAGTTCAATCCGTTCGATATTACCAAAACGTGGTCCCAGAAAGATTACCCGCTGATCGAGGTCGGAAAGATGGTGCTGAACCGCAATCCGCAGAATTATTTCGCTGAGGTAAGTATCTCACAATCAGCGGTGGGTTAAGATATCAAAAAGTGGTCAACTACGGGATCAACTATTATAAACTTCCAGGTCGAACAAGTGGCGTTCGCTCCGTCGCACGTGGTCCCGGGAATCGAGTTCTCTCCGGATAAGCTCCTCCAAGGCCGCATCTTCTCCTACACAGACACTCAGTTCCACCGCCTCGGCCCCAATTTCGTCCAGCTTCCCAGCAACTGTCCATACCGTTCGCGTGCCCACAACACCCAGCGCGACGGTCCCATGACGATGAACAGCCAGGACGACTCGCCCAACTACTTCCCCAACAGTTTCCACGGCTATCGGACCCGTGCGGACGTGAAGGACTCGGTGTTCCCGACACTCGGCGACGTCGATCGCTACGAGACGGACGACGATCACAACTTCGAGCAGCCGCGTCTCTTCTGGGAGAACGTGCTCAACGAGCAACAGCGGGACCACTTGGCCACCAATCTCGGAAACGATCTGGCAAAGTGCTACGAGCCGACTCAGGAGGCGATGGTCAAGATCTTGACGAGCGTCCATCCCGACTTTGGCGCTTTCGTCAAACATTTGTTGTGCGAGAAGAAACATAAATGATTTGCCCTTCTTTTTTTTTGTGGAAAACATAATAAAACCTGTACATTTTGACTGGCCAGCCCTTAAAACAAACAAGTATTTGATAAGACCCTGCACGTTTGTGATTATAAATAAATCAGCAAAAGGGACAAAGATCGATACGCTAAAGTTATTTCCAATGTTATCAATGTCTCGACGTCATCATCTGCCGTACAAAAGGGTTACAAGTTGGGAAAATCATCATAAATTGGTAGTTTTTAAGAGGCAATGTCTGGGAAGTTCGAAAACTGCAGGTCACTAAAAATTCAGAATGCTTCAATTTGTCCCATATTATACTCAATGGGTACTTACATAACATTGATACATCAGACAAGATTTGGTCCGGCTCCGTGGTCCCTAGTCCGATCACCGTCACAAAATAGGTCAAACCTGTAACTAATTTCAAAAAAATGCTAGCGTCTCAGACTCAATGCCATTCGATTGCTCGCATCTTTTTGAGTATATTTCACGTTGGGACCAAAAATTTAGCACCCCTCCTTTATGGAGAAAAATATTGTTTTGTGAGATTGTTCAGAAAATTTATCAGTTTTCTGCTCGTCCTGAAAAATTTTAGCACTACATGGCCATGATTTTATTGCTGATTCTGAATCTAGACATTATTGTGCTTCTGCAAAAAAAAAGTTCAGCCCGATCCCGATTGACATCAAGGGGTTTTTCGGCCGAAATTCACAAAATTTAGAGTACTTTTGCATGGAAAAATGTTCGCGAACTTGAGATAAAAAAAAATAAAAAATAAAAAAAATTTTCAAAGGGGTCTGATCGCGATATTTGTTATTTTCGTATACTTTTAGACATTCTCGATTTTTCTGAAGCATTCTGAAAACTAAAAAAAAATTAGACCAAGTCGTCGACCCGGGGGTCATGACAAAATTTTCGAGAAAAAATTAATTTTCGAAATGCTTCAGAAAAATCGAGAATGTCTAAAAGTATACGAAAATAACAAATATCGCGATCAGACCCCTTTGAAAATTGAGAAAACACACTTTTCTCAAGTTCGCGAACATTTTTCCATGCAAAAGTACTCTAAATTTTGTGAATTTCGGCCAAAAAACCCCTTGATGTCAATCGGGATCGGGCTGAACTTTTTTTTTGCAGAAGCACAATAATGTCTAGATTCAGAATCAGCAATAAAATCATGGCTATGTAGTGTTAAAATTTTTCAGGACGAGCAGAAAACTGAAACATTTTCTGAACACTCTCACAAAACAATATTTTTCTCCATAAAGGAGGGGTGATAAATTTTTGGTCCCAACGTGAATTATACTCAAAAAGATGCGAGGAATCCAATGGCGTTGAGTCTGAGACGCTAGCATTTTTTTGAAATTAATTACAGGTTTGACCTATTTTGTGACCGTGATCGGACTAGGGACCACGGAGCCGGACCAAAACTTGTCTGATGTATCACTGTTATGTAAGTACTCATTGGGTATAATATGGGACAAATTGAAGCATTCTGAATTTTTAGTGACCTGCAGCTTTCGATCTTCTCAGACATTGCCTCTTAAACCGTTTGTCGCCCTATTCTGAAAATCCCTCATCTTTGGACACTTATATCTCAAGACCCTATCATTATTTCAAAAAGTGGTAAACTAAAAAGTTGTTGTAAATTTCATGCTTAACAACTTTGTAGTTGATCATTTTATTCTAAGCCTTGTCATTTTTGAGTTATGGTCTTGTTTCTAAACAGTACCCCCGGTCATGTCAAAATTCGATCGAAGAGTAACTTTTCCCAAAAAGTATGGTGAACTGGTTGCTAGGAAAGTGTTGTGAGAAACAATATTTGTCACTGTTTTCATTTTCATTGAAGATTGATTACCTAAATTCCAGTTTCAGTTCTAGAATAGAATTTGAAGGATTCTCCGCCCAATAGGTGCTATATTTGGTAGTATTGGTGTTGTTTACATGACACTTTTCTCCGAAACCTACAATACTACATCTAAATCGGTTTCGATCAATACCTCATCTCTGTCCGTTTCGCTATCAAAGACTATGGTGTAGTCGCGTGGTGTCCAAATGCGAACAACATGTCGATAACGCTACAATCTTCTTCTTCTTCTCCTCCTTTTTCTTTTCCTTTTTGACCACAAACACATTGTCACTATCTTCATTTGTGTCTTTTTTCAGAAAAAAAAAACGAAAAATGCCCAACGATCCGTCGGATGATCAGTTGAAGAACTATAAGACGGCTTTTCCGGTGAGCTCCCCCCAATCAACTGGGAGCATTAACAAATTCAATTTCGTTTTCAGAAGCCGCAAGTGCTCACCACCTCAAATGGCGCGCCGATCTACTCGAAAACGGCGGTGCTGACGGCCGGACGTCGTGGTCCGATGCTGATGCAAGACGCCGTTTACATAGATGAAATGGGGCACTTTGACCGGGAACGCATCCCGGAACGAGTTGTGCACGCGAAGGGAGCCGGTGCTCATGGATACTTTGAAGTTACTCATGACATTACCAAGTACTGCAAGGCCGACATCTTCAGCAAGATCGGCAAGCAGACGCCAATGCTCATCCGCTTCTCGACGGTCGGCGGAGAGTCCGGATCGGCGGACACGGCTCGCGATCCGCGTGGATTCGCCGTCAAGTTCTACACGGAGGAGGGCAACTGGGACCTCGTCGGCAACAACACTCCCATCTTTTTCATCCGCGACCCCATCCACTTCCCCAACTTTATTCACACCCAGAAGAGGAACCCGCAAACTCATCTGAAGGACCCCAATGCCATGTTCGACTTCTGGCTGCAGCGTCCCGAAGGTCTGCACCAGGTGATGTTCCTGTTCTCCGACCGCGGCACTCCTGATGGTTACCGCCACATGAACGGCTACGGAAGTCACACGTTCAAGATGGTGAACAAGGACGGACATCCGGTGTACTGCAAGTTCCACTTCAAGCCAGTCCAGGGCATCAAGAACCTGACGGCTGAGCAGGCGGGCCGTCTCGCCGGCTCGGATCCCGACTACGCCATCCGCGACCTCTTCAACGCCATCGAGAAGGGCGACTTCCCGGTGTGGAAGCTCTTCATTCAGGTGATGACGTTCGAGCAGGCCGAGAAGTGGGAGTTCAATCCGTTCGATGTGACCAAAGTGTGGCCGCACAAGGATTTCCCGTTGATCGAAGTCGGAAAGATGGTGCTCAATCGGAATCCGAGAAACTATTTTGCTGAGGTAAATCGAGGGAGTTGATAAGATAAGATACACGTGTCTAGAACGTTACTGTAGATCAGAACTGGCTACCTCTCTCAGATTTAAAGCCGGAGTCGGCAGTCATGAGTTGTGAAACAACATAGACCTTTACTGTAACTTAACTTCCAGGTCGAACAAGTGGCGTTCGCTCCGTCGCACGTGGTCCCGGGAGTCGAGTTCTCTCCGGATAAGATGCTCCAAGGCCGCATCTTCTCCTACACAGACACCCATTTCCACCGCCTCGGCCCCAACTACATCCAACTGCCCGTCAACTGTCCGTACCGTTCGCGTGCGCACAACACCCAGCGCGACGGGCTCATGGCGTACGATAACCAGCAGCACGCGCCCAACTACTATCCGAACAGCTTCAATCTTGGCCGCACGCGTCCCGACGTGAAGGATACGGTGTTCCAGGTGTCTGGCGACGTGGATCGTTACGAGACGGCCGACGACAACAACTACGAGCAGCCGCGTCAGTTCTGGGAGCACGTGCTCGATGCCGGAGCACGCGAGCGCATGTGCCAGAACTTTGCGGGAGCTCTCGGCGGATGCTACGAGTTCATCGTCGCCGGAATGCTCGAGCACTTCACTAAGGTGCATCCGGACTTTGGCGCTCGCGTCAAGGCCATCCTCCAGAGCCAGTCTCGTTCGCATATTTAAAGTCTTCTCTTTATTGTAATAAATCAGTTCATCAATGAATAAATGTAGTGTTTATAACGGATGCATTCTCCTGAACTTCTCGGCCAATCTCTGTCCGAGCAGGGAGTCATGTTTCAGCGTTTCCCGTTCGATCAACAGTCCCGGCGTGCGGCTCCAATTCTCGGGATCCTTGCTCTGAATGCACGACTGGATGAGGGTCTGCACGAAGAGATCCCTCTGGGCGTGGGATCCTCCGATCTGCACGACTTTCTCTCGGATCGGGTACATGGTCCTGGCTGCTTGATCGTACTCCCCACGCGCGTAGTCGAGCATTCCAGTGTACAGCGGCACTCCGATTGTCTTGCTGATCTGTGCGTTGTCCTCGGAGAGCAGACTGAAACGATTGAGTGTTCTCGTCAACCAAAGAAAGGATCCAAGCGGATCTCTCACCTCGAATACTTCTCCAACGACTTCTCCATCTTCTCCTCGGTCTCGTACTCCTCCTGCCGGTACAGTGCCACTCCCAAATGAACGTCGTTGAAGACGATCGAGTGATTCTCAATGTACCGCCCGAGGTTCTCGATCTTCCGCCACCGCTCTCTGCCCACATTCACACCCTCCAACTCTAATCGCCAAAGGAGCGAGCTCGCGTCGACCATGTCGAGCAGCGAGTTGGTGCGGTTGAATCGATTGGCGACCTCGCGGTCGAAGATGCTCAGCGCCGACTCGTACTCGGCGTGCTCGATGTGGAAGAGGGCCGTGTGCCAGTAGTTGTGCGTCGCCAGCATCCAGCCTTGCTGAAAGCATTCGTTTAGACGGTGGTTCCCATCGGTCGGTGTTCGATAAAACTAGCTCACCCGCCAGTCGTGCTCGGTCGCGTACATAAACTCTTTTCCCTCTTTGTGCCGTCCGTTCATCTCGAGCACATGCGCCTTCGCGTGGGAAGCCCAGCAGTCGAAGCGGTTGAGGAGCAGTGCCTTGTCCGCTTCCGCCTCCGCATCCGCGTACAGTCCGCACTCCTCGAGCCCGAACGCGTACATTCCGTGCAGATAACTGTGACACGGCTCGTCGCCACTCCACTTCTCGATCACCTTCTCAATCGCGTTCTTTTTGCCTGTCGAACTTCCGTTGAAGAAGTGCGCGTCGTGCGAGAACTTCACGGCGATCAGGTCGGTCGGGAAGTCGTCGAGCAGACGGTCCCACTCGTCCGCCGCCTCGTGGTGCCTGCCTCTTCCCCAAAGAACGGCAGCCCGCACGTGCCGTTTCTCCCGCTCGTTTCCGTGTTTTTCGGCGTCCACTTCCAGTTGGCTCATCTTTTTGGCAAATTCCACGTCACGCGCCGCCGATTCTGTGCCGAGACCCGTCAATCCGATGAGGAACGCTCGAGCCATTACTGAAAATGTTCAAAGGTTACAACCGGGGACCATCAAGTGTATTGGGCCAGATCGGACGTGAACTGGGATGAATTGGTTCCGTCAGTTTGAGGCTAACTACCTATTTTTAGGTGAATACCAGTCCGCTAAGGGTGTCAACATAAATTCTGATAGCTTTTTGATGTGCTGAACCTCATTTGGAAGCCAGAAAGCAAGATTTATTATCGGAGAAACTCACTGGCATCGGGATCAGATGTGACCAACTTCTCCAACGAAGTATGGAACCCTCCGAGACTTTCGCAATCGGACCACGAGACGAGTTGTCGGATGCACGCGTCGAGCCACTTCGCATTCTCGTCGGAAGTCGTCGAAACCTCCAGTCCGGCACTCTTCCAGCCTTCACAGTTTCGGAGATGATCGGCACACCATTCAGCCATCTGCAATTCCGGTTGGAAATATTGTCGAAAGAGTTGGGGAAAGGCAAAAGAGTTTCGTTTGTTGTTATCAGCGTACTATTTCCAAGAAAAAGTGCGGGCGAGCTGACGAAAACGTCGCGAGAATCGGGTCACTTCTGTCAGCTCGACAGAGAGAGAGAGAGAGAGAAAGAGAGAGAGAGAGGGAGCAGAACCAAATTAATGAGGAAAAGTGGACGAAACGAGACTTTTAGAAGTTGTGACAAGATGATCTCTAGGTGAAAAGTGAAAACATTTGGATGATAAGAATCGGAAGGTTTGGAGAGTGTGGCGAGAGGAGAGAGCGGTCAGATGATCAAAGAGAACAAACAAATGACACGTGGTGATCGGCACGTTGACGAGGTCAAAAATGGGGATGTTGGAATGGGGAAAACGGACATCATGTCCAGGAAAAAGTGTCATAGTCTCGTGGTGCGAAATGGGGGGAACAAAAAGTGTTATCTAAGTATGATCAGAGAACAGTTTAGGTGCACTTTTGAAGGGATCAAGAGTGATCAAAAAGCAGGGCTCAACTTTTTTTCAATGTTTCCTTTGAAGAACTTAAACTTGTTTCCAAACCCTGCAAAGTGTTAATTCAATTGGTGCCCCATATACCGTCAATTCAAGACAATATATCTCAGCTGCCTGTAGAGATATCAAAAGGCAGTCAACTAATGAATTGTTTGTTAAACCATTGTGTACATTTTGTTACTTGACAACTTTTGGATATCATTACCGACAGCCGAGATAAATTAGTTTGAATGGACAATATTGGGGTGCAGTTTTCACGACATGTCAAATGTGAAGACCGCGGCGGTTCTGAGCAACTCATAACAGCTGACAACTTTCTGATATATAGGCAATCGAGATATAAATATAATGTCATGAGTAAATGGTACTGGGGTACCGTATGATGAACAAAACTCAAAGTATTAATAAATCATTTTCATTATCGCTCACTCAACAATCAATTTTCAAATCAAATTTCAATGGTATTGAAGTTTTACAGTCGAAATAATCGACTTGCAAAGCGACAATAGAGACAAAATGGGTGGTGGCGGATCGGTACAATAGTTAATATTCGTTGGTCAGTCTTCATTAATCAGCTCTTGGTTCTCTTCGTTCTCTGGCTTCATCTTTCCCTCGCGCAGACGACGGCGCGAATTCGTGAAAAAGTTGTTGACGGTGTGCGGCTTCAGTCTCAGATGCTCGCCAATCTGCTGCAGGTACTCTGGCTCCGGAGCATGGCACGACTCGAAGATGGTTTTCAAAGTCTTCCGCTGGATATCCGTGAACACGACACGTGGCGTGTGCTCCTTGTGCGGTTTTCTGAACCAATTTCCATTGCAAGAGGTCCCCAAGTGGATCATCAATTACTCACCTCTTTCCCTTGACGTCCGGTCCCTCCAGGGCTCGCATTCTCTCGTTGTCATCCAGGCAGAGCCAGTCGAACATTTTTTGGTACGGTACTCTTCCGGTATTCTTGATCATGTCCCACTTCTTCGGACGTCTCAGCAGCTCCGAGAGGGTTCCCTGGCTTCTGCCGAGGATCTTGGCCGCAAAAGTCGATTGGTTGATGCCGCAGACGGTCATCTCGTTCAGAAGAAAGTTGGAGAGCTTCTCGGTGTCAATATCGTCTCTGTGCATGCCCAGAGACGCGAACGACACCCTCGGAACGTCCGAATCCACAATCGCCGGCTTCTTTCTTCTGGTTGAAGTCATCACCACGGCTGGATACGGACTGATCGACGAGCAAGTGGAACTGCTCGCGTAGCTCGAAGACCACATATCGTACGCCTGCATGCCGTGCACTGGTGCGTACATCTCACTCACATAATCGCCCTGCAAGCAGCCCCAGGTTTGGTAGCTGTTCGAGATGGCGATCCCGTTCGTTGGTCGCTGCTGGACCTTGGTCGGAAAGAGATCCGCCTCTCCGTCGGCGGTCTGGCTCACATGATCGCCCTGCATGCAGAGCGTGTCGTCGGCGGTCCGATAATAGTTACCGTACTCATCCTGGAATGGGTACTCTGCATGATGAGCCATGTTTGCTGAAAATGAAAAAGGTTTAGAAGAGGAAAAGGAAAAGGAAGAGCAAGAAGAAGAAGAAGAGATAAGGAAAGAGAGCGGACCGTCCGCCAAGAGGGACCGCGAGCGAATGAGGGGGACTGCAACTGTGTGCGACGCGCGCGTCTCAAAAGTGAAGATGTGTGGTCCCGCTTTGACCTACTTTGCGCGCCTCGAAAAGGTGAAGATAATCGAGAGTGGGACCGAAGAGTTTCGCGGGTCGCAAGATTTGAATAACCCGCTGGCATCGTACAAACTCTCTAATAATAGAAGGGCACCACATTCAGAACTATGTATCTCAGCTGTTTGTAGAGATTTTTTTTCTGGCATCGTGCCAACTATCTGTTAGAAGAGCACCTCAACACCGTTTACTCAACACGATTTATCTCGGCTGCCAATAAAGTTATCAAAAAGTTGTCAACTAATACATTGCTCACAAAGACATTGTGCACATTTTATCTATTGATAACTGTTTGATATCTCTACCAGCAGCTGAGATACATCAATTCAGGGAACCTTTGATCATAGCCGTACCTGGTTGAGAGAAGTATTCGGGTGGCGACAGGAGAAGGATATGTTTTTTCCAAAAAGCCCGGGCTTCCGGCCAATTTCGGCCAATGATCCACATATCTCGGGACCTGGCGATCCGATCGGGCTGAAACTTGGTCCCAATGGCCCTCAATCCAAGTCAAAGAAGCCTGCAAAATTTAGGTCCGAACGGAATATTGCAAATGGTTCAAAAGTCCAGGTCAATGGTCGGCTAACGAAAAACCCGGGCCGGCCAATTGCCATTCGAAAGAAAGTGAAAAGGAAGGACTGGAAAGCCCTTGCTGAATCACTTTTGACTAGCAAGCCTTTGGTGCATGACTGGAAGTTGGGTTAACTAAGGATCAAGACTCGAGTTGGTAGTACTACAAAGAAACTTAGAAAGGTTTGACTCCTGGACTCACGGACACTTGGCAATTTTCATTTCAAAACCAGTGAAGTACCGTAATAGAAGAGCGCCCCTATATTGTTCATTCAAAACGATGTATCTCATCTGCCGATAGAGATATCAAATAATAGTCTACTGAAAACATCTACACCATTTCTTGATAAGTATTTAATTAGTTGACAACTTTTTGAAATCTCTACTCACAGCTGAGATACGTCGCTTTGAATTTGCAATACACGGTTTACAGTAGTATCACTTGACAATTTTATGATCTCTACGCTAATTATGACACATTTGGAAGTGAGAAGGGGGGGGAGCTCGAACAAAGAGACCGCGTCGTCATCTAATGGGAACGGAGACAAGATAATTGGAGAGGAGATGGGGGACACCTGCGCACGAGCAGAACAAAGAGTTGCGGACAGAAAGGGAGATGTGTCTGAGAAAAGTGATTGGGTAAAGACAGTAAGTGGAAGTGTCAGAAGTTGAATAGACAAAGTGTCACAAGTTGAATAGACAAAGTGTCAATCCTAGTTAAAAGTCGAATGAAAACGTCCGCAGGGAATACGGTAGCTGCAGTATAAGCCTGAAATCATTACAAGTCGATGTGCTCTGTTGAAACTGTACAAACTGTTGTCGCACGTCCCAAAACAAAGGATTTGCCCAGCCAGCCAGCTACTGGAATCGTGCTAACTAGGTGTGAATTAAAATGGTACTTAGGGAGCGGTCATTCATGATTCGAAGGTGCATTTCATGAGGATTCCGTCCCAAACTTCCTGAAGTTCTCAATTGTTCTCAAACCAGGTACGGCTATGATCAAAGGTTCCCTGAATTGATGTATCTCAGCTGCTGGTAGAGATATCAAACAGTTATCAATAGATAAAATGTGCACAATGTCGTTGTGAGCAATGTATTAGTTGACAACTTTTTGATAACTTTATTGGCAGCCGAGATAAATCGTGTTGAGTAAACGGTGTTGAGGTGCTCTTCTAACAGATAGTTGGCACGATGCCAGTTTTTCAAATGTGTGCCTCTTCTTCTTCTTCACATCCGTCGGTTATCTTCGCCATGCGGGGCGGGTCCCGCTTGCGTCGCACACAATTGCAGTCCTCCTCGATTATCATCACCTTTTTGAGGCGCGCAAAGTAGGTCATAGCGGGACCACACATCTTCACTTTTGAGACGCGCGCGCTGCGTTCCCCCTTGCGTCGCACACAGTTGCAGTCCTCCTCATTCGCTCGCGGTCCCTCTTGGCGGACGGTCCGCTCTCTTTCCTTTTCGTTTTCCTTTTCCTTTTCCTTTTCCTTTTCCTTTTCCTTTTCCTTTTCCTTTTCCTTTTCCTTTTCCTTTTCCTTTTCCTTTTCCTTTTCCTTTTCCTTTTCCTTTTCCTTTTCCTTTTCCTTTTCCTTTTCCTTTTCCTTTTCCTTTTCCTTTTCCTTTTCCTTTTCCTTTTCCTTTTCCTTTTCCTTTTCCTTTTCCTTTTCCTTCCTCTTCTAAACCTTTTTCATTTTCAGCAAACATGGCCCATCATGCAGAGTATCCGTTCCAAGACGAGTACGGAAACTACTATAGGACCGCCGACGACACGCTCTGCATGCAGGGCGATCATGTGAGCGAGATGTACTTCGGCTACTCGAGCTACACGAGCAGTTCCACTTGCTCGTCGATCAGTCCGTATCCAGCCGTGATGATGACTCCAACCAGAAGAAAGAAGCCGGCGATTGTGGAATCGGACGTTCCGAGGGTGTCGTTCGCGTCTCTGGGCATGCACAGAGACGATATTGACACCGAGAAGCTCTCCAATTTTCTATTGAGCGAGATGACCGTCTGCGGCATCAACCAATCGACTTTTGCGGCCAAGATCCTCGGCAGAAGCCAGGGAACCCTCTCGGAGCTGCTGAGACGTCCGAAGAAGTGGGACATGATCAAGAATACCGGAAGAGTACCGTACCAAAAAATGTTCGACTGGCTCTGCCTGGATGACAACGAGAGAATGCGAGCCCTGGAGGGACCGGACGTCAAGGGAAAGAGGTGAGTAATTGATGATCCACTTTAGGACCATTTGTAATTGAAATCGGTTCAGAAAACCGCACAAGGAGCACACGCCACGTGTCGTGTTCACGGATATCCAGCGGAAGACGTTGAAAACCATCTTCGAGTCGTGCCATGCTCCGGAGCCAGAGTACCTGCAGCAGATTGGCGAGCATCTGAGACTGAAGCCGCACACCGTCAACAACTTTTTCACGAATTCGCGCCGTCGTCTGCGCGAGGGAAAGATGAGGCCAGAGAACGAAGAGAACCAAGAGCTGATTAATGAAGACTGACCTAGGAATATTAACTATTGTACCGATCCGCCACCACCCATTTTGTCTCTATTGTCGTTTTGCAAGTAGATTATTTCGACTGTAAAACTTCAATACCATTGAAATTTGATTTGAAAATTGATTGTTGAGTGAGCGATAATGAAAATGATTTATTAATACTTTGAGTTTTGTTCATCATACGGTACCCCAGTACCATTTACTCATGACATTATTGCCTATATATCAGAAAGTTGTCAGCTGTTATGAGTTGCTCAGTTTTCAATAAGAAACCAAGAAACACGTAGACTCACAATGCAATATCTCAGTTTCTTTGTAAAAGTCCTACAGTGCGGTGCAAGTTTATAAGGCCACCCCCGTTTGGCACTGCCACGTGGCGCTCGAAACTTTTTACGACCCGGCGACTTCAAAATCGGATTCAGGGCACAAAGTTACGTATGTTTGGTGATTTTCGTGATGATACCTTGAAAACTGTCCGAACTATCTTGAAAAAACTGAAAATTTGCCTTTTGCAACCGTTGCAAGTTTATAAGGCCACCCCAGGGGATCGGGCTTTTTGCTAATCTGGTCAACCCCTATGAGCACAAAATAAGTTATACAAATCTAAAAACACGTTTTAAAACTGTTTTTGTCATTCTGGCGGTTCACATCTTTTCGGAAGACATGCCACGGGGCACTTTCCCTACGGATTCCAAAAAAGTCTTAACACAGCCATTCAAAACGGTTGAATGGCCTAACCGAGGGTTCAGTTGTTGTCTAAGGTGATTTAAATCCATTTCGTGACTAGTCGAAACTCAAAAAAGAACTTTTGGAAGACCGGGCCGACATTGAAACTGAATGTGTGTGCCAAAATGTTCGCCATCTCTCCCGCCAATCTCAAATAACGGCATTGATTGAGACCAAATAAACTACGGGAGGGTTTCAGATGATTCTAGAGGACTTCAGATCAGTGCAACAAGTTTATCTGAACGCATTTTGTAAATATCCGATCGAGGAGAAAGCGTTCAAAACTATCAGGCTTCCTCCTCCGAAGTTCCTCTTCGAGAAGACGAGCCGGTCCTTTCGGAGGTCGTGCCAATAGAACTTGTATCCATCGGGACCGTCGAGGTTGAACTTTTTTTCATCGGAGAAGATCATCTGACAGAAATATCAACTTTTGAAGTGAAAATTACCAGTTAACAGTATCTTTCCCCAATCGGTCGACATGTTGGAACGAGCGAAGTCGAGTCGACGCAACTTGTGGCGATCGGTGAGGCACGGAGCAGGACGCATGACCTCCCGAACAATGTTAGCATCTTTCTTGAGGGCTCTCCAAACCGTCCACCTGCTTACTCCAAGATTCAGCTCCTGATTGATGTCGTTACATGACTTCAAAGAGTTGGAAGCAACACGAGCGACTGATCGTTTGGCGCGAGAATTGAGTTTCGGCTTTGTTCCACGCTTCTTCGATTGCTTGTTTGGATTGGGATTGTTGACAAAGTTGTCAATGCAAGTCTTGGAGCGCTTCGGATGACGAGAAAACTGCCGGTTGGACCATCCAGCCGTCTTGAATGACTGAATTGAGGCTTTCGGCATCCGTCAGTAAAATTCCACGTGACATGGCTCAGAGTAGACAAAACAAGTAGCAAAAGAAAATTAGGCTTCCTACAGTTTTTTTAAAGGCGCATGGAACATTTTGTGCTGACAGGTCTCGACCAGACTGGCTAAAAGCCTCATTTCCTGGGGTGGCCTTATAAACTTGCAACGGTTGCAAAAGGCAAATTTTCAGTTTTTTCAAGATAGTTCGGACAGTTTTCAAGGTATCATCACGAAAATCACCAAACATACGTAACTTTGTGCCCTGAATCCGATTTTGAAGTCGCCGGGTCGTAAAAATTTACGAGCGCCACGTGGCAGTGCCAAACGGGGGTGGCCTTATAAACTTGCACCGCACTGTATAGGGCTGATAGATGAAAATAGTGGCAATTGAGGCAGATATTCCGTGAAAAGTGAACAGGATGATACTGATATTGTTCAGTTCTTGTGCGTGCACTTTCCAACTAATTGCAACATTCCAATAGACATTCGGCATCAGAATCACAAAAATCGGAATAGCGCATTGATGAACGCTTAGGGCGAAGAAGAAGTTGAGGAGCATTTTGCGAGTTGCCTCCGACAACAACGGGTTTTTATGGGGACCCAGATGCCAGAGAGTGTTGAATGAGTAGAACAAAAGTCAAAGGGCCAAAGAGCAACAGGTAGAGTACATGTGCGGATTGAAGAGTCTCTCGTCCTTCTGGAATATGATACTTCCCTCCGACAAATATGATTCTGGCGGGCAGGGAAGGGTTTGGAGGCCTCGGAGCAAGGCGGGCGGCCTGCTGATCATTGGGCATCGTCAGGATTTCAGGGATGCCCAAGTTGATGTGGTAGGCGTAGAGGAGAAAGTAGAAGGTGTATCTGGTGGAATTATCCACCACGATACTCCGGTGACGCTGCTCGAAAAGCACTACGATCTACGCGGCCATGAAAACTCTGTTAAAATGAAAGATTTTTCGAAGTCTGAAAAAATGGGATTATGTGAAAATTTTTGATGGGTAAAGCACTGTTTTGACTTCAAAATCAACACTTTTTCAATGAAAAGATGTAATAAATCACCAAAAAGTCGCTTAAACTGAAAAACCCCAAAAGTGCGCCAGAAACAACATTTTATATCTAACGAAGAAAGACAGAATAGGACAGATGATTTTCGGGAAAAGATGTATCTGAAAATGTGTCACCGCTAGACGGACCCCTTCTGATCAAGAACAAGACAGATGTTTAAAAAACAAGTTTATTATGTCAACTAGTCAGTTTTCAATGTTCTCCTTGTTCTCTCGGAAACGGCGTCGAGTATTCGTGAAGAAGATGTCGACCGTGTAGACGGGAAGGCCGAGATCATTGGCGATCTTCATCACGGCCATAGGCGACGGATGCTTGTTCTCTTGGAAGATCGCCATCAGCCTGCTCCTCTGTTGGTCCGAGAAGACGATGCGCGGCCGGTGCTCTTTCGACTCTCTGAAAGAACAATGATTTAGTTGTTCAAGTCTTTTCCCAGAAGATTCCAGACTCACCTCTTCTTCTTCTTCTTGACCACCGGTCCCTCCAACGCCTGCATCCTCTCCTCATGTCCCAAACACAACCAATCGAACATCTTCTTGTACGTCTCCCGGCCGGTGTTCTTGATCTGACACCACTTCTTCGGCCTCTTCACCAGCTCCGAGAAAGTGCCCTGGCTTTTGCCGAGCACTTTGGCCGCAAAGTTGTTCTGGCTGATGGCCAGAGCGTGCATCTCCGCCAGCAGAAACTCTGACAACTTTTCCGTGTCGATCTCTTCTCTATCCATGTTGAGAGATAGGAAAGGGACCGTCGATCAGACGACGACGCGCATTCGTGAAAAAGTTGTTGACGGTGTGCGGCTTCAGTCTCAGATGCTCGCCAATCTGCTGCAGGTACTCTGGCTCCGGAGCATGGCACGACTCGAAGATGGTTTTCAAAGTTTTCCGCTGGATATCCGTGAACACGACACGTGGCGTGTGCTCCTTGTGCGGTTTTCTGAACCAATTTCCATTGCAAGAGGTCCCCAAGTGGATCATCAATTACTCACCTCTTTCCCTTGACGTCCGGTCCCTCCAGGGCTCGCATTCTCTCGTTGTCATCCAGGCAGAGCCAGTCGAACATTTTTTGGTACGGTACTCTTCCGGTATTCTTGATCATGTCCCACTTCTTCGGACGTCTCAGCAGCTCCGAGAGGGTTCCCTGGCTTCGGCCGAGGATCTTGGCCGCAAAGGTCGATTGGTTGATGCCGCAGACGGTCATCTCGTTCAGAAGAAAGTTGGAGAGCTTCTCGGTGTCAATATTGTCTCTGTGCATGCCCAGAGACGCGAACGACACCCTCGGAACGTCCGAATCCAAAATCGTCGGCTTCTTTCTTCTGGTTGGAGTCATCACCACGGCTGGATACGGACTGATCGACGAGCAAGTGGAACTGCTCGAGTAGCCCGAAGACCACACATCGTACGCCTGCATGCCGTGCACGGGTGCGTACATCTCACTCACATAATCGCCCTGCAAGCAGCCCCAGGTCTGGTAGCTGTTCGAGATGGCGATCCCGTTCGTTGGTCGCTGCTGGACCTTGGTCGGAAAGAGATCCGCCTCTCCGTCGGCGGTCCGGTAGTAGTTCCCGTACTCGTCCTGGAATGGATACTCTGCATGATGAGCCATGTTTGCTGAAAATGAAAAAGGTTTAGAAGAGGAAAAGGAAAAGGAAAAGGAAAAGGAAAAGGAAAAGGAAAAGGAAAAGGAAAAGGAAAAGGAAAAGGAAAAGGAAAAGGAAAAGGAAAAGGAAAAGGAAAAGGAAAAGGAAAAGGAAAAGGAAAAGGAAAAGGAAAAGGAAGAGCGAAAAGGAAAAGGAAAAGGAAAAGGAAAAGGAAGAGCGAAAAGGAAAAGGAAAAGGAAGAGCGAAAAGGAAGAGCGAAAAGGAAGAGCGAAAAGGAAGAGCGAAAAGGAAGAGCGAAAAGGAAGAGCGAAAAGGAAGAGCGAAAAAGGAAGAGCGAAAAGGAAGAGCGAAAAGGAAGAGCGAAAAGGAAGAGCGAAAAGGAAGAGCGAAAAGGAAGAGCGAAAAGGAAGAGCGAAAAGGAAGAGCGAAAAGGAAGAGCGAAAAGGAAGAGCGAAAAGGAAGAGCGAAAAGGAAGAGCGAAAAGGAAGAGCGAAAAGGAAGAGCGAAAAGGAAGAGCGAAAAAGGAAGAGCGAAAAGGAAGAGCGAAAAGGAAGAGCGAAAAAGGAAGAGCGAAAAGGAAGAGCGAAAAAGGAAGAGCGAAAAGGAAGAGCGAAAAGGAAGAGCGAAAAAGGAAGAGCGAAAAGGAAGAGCGAAAAAGGAAGAGCGAAAAAGGAAGAGCGAAAAAGGAAGAGCGAAAAGGAAGAGCGAAAAAGGAAGAGCGAAAAGGAAGAGCGAAAAGGAAGAGCGAAAAGGAAGAGCGAAAAGGAAGAGCGAAAAAGGAAGAGCGAAAAGGAAGAGCGAAAAGGAAGAGCGAAAAGGAAGAGCGAAAAGGAAGAGCGAAAAGGAAGAGCGAAAAGGAAGAGCGAAAAGGAAGAGCGAAAAGGAAGAGCGAAAAGGAAGAGCGAAAAGGAAGAGCGAAAAGGAAGAGCGAAAAGGAAGAGCGAAAAGGAAGAGCGAAAAGGAAGAGCGAAAAGGAAGAGCGAAAAGGAAGAGCGAAAAGGAAGAGCGAAAAGGAAGAGCGAAAAGGAAGAGCGAAAAGGAAGAGCGAAAAGGAAGAGCGAAAAGGAAGAGCGAAAAAGGAAGAGCGAAAAGGAAGAGCGAAAAGGAAGAGCGAAAAGGAAGAGCGAAAAAGGAAGAGCGAAAAGGAAGAGCGAAAAGGAAGAGCGAAAAGGAAGAGCGAAAAGGAAGAGCGAAAAGGAAGAGCGAAAAAGGAAGAGCGAAAAGGAAGAGCGAAAAGGAAGAGCGAAAAGGAAGAGCGAAAAGGAAGAGCGAAAAGGAAGAGCGAAAAGGAAGAGCGAAAAGGAAGAGCGAAAAGGAAGAGCGAAAAGGAAGAGCGAAAAGGAAGAGCGAAAAGGAAGAGCAAAAAGGAAGAGCAAAAAGGAAGAGCAAAAAGGAAGAGCAAAAAGGAAGAGCAAGAAGAGAGAGCAAGAAGAGAGAAGGAAAGAGAGCGGACCGTCCGCCAAGAGGGACCGCGAGCGAATGAGGGGGACTCTCAAAAGTGAAGATTTGTGGTCCCGCTTTGACCTACTTTGCGCGCCTCGAAAAGGTGAAGATAATCGAGAGTGGGACCGAAGAGTTTCGCGGGTCGCAAGATTTGAATAACCCGCTGGCATCGTGCAAACTCTCTAATAGAAGGGCAACGCATTCAGAACTATGTATCCCAGCTGTTTGTAGAGATTTCGAAAAGTGATAATGAAAATTGTTAATCAGATTTCGAAAAGTGATAAACGACGCAAGCGGGACCCGCCCCGCATGGCGAAGATAACCGACGGATGTGAAGAAGAAGAGGCACACATTTGAAAAACTGGCATCGTGCCAACTATCTGTTAGAAGGGCACCTCAACACCGTTTACTCAACACGATTTATCTCGGCTGCCAATAAAGTTATCAAAAAGTTGTCAACTAATACATTGCTCACAAAGACATTGTGCACATTTTATCTATTGATGACTGTTTGATATCTCTACCGGCAGCTGAGATACATCAATTGCTGGAGGAAAGTACAGTAACCAAGGGTTCATCACTGATATAACATCTGAAAGACGGAACGGAACCACGGAATTGAAGCTAAAGCCTTAGAAAAACGATAAATTGAGAACTTCAGAAAGTTTGGGACGGAATCCTCATGAAATGCACCTTCGAATCATGTACAGTGTTAGTTATCTCTCCCAGGTTTAGCCTCATGTTCTGTGTGGAGCTCGGGAGTGGAGCCGGGGGACTCCGACGATCCCAAATGAGTCAAATCTTGTTTGAAACTAGTTTTTTGAGCATTTTCAAGTCTATTTTGTTGAAGCATGTCGAATCTCTAGCACGTGATATCAGATTTTTGGCCAAAATGAAGCCAGGTCCAACAAGGATCAGACTGGCTTGAGCGCCAAACTCCAGGCTGACATTGCCCACTTTTGGAACTTCATAAGGAAGGTTTGAAACATGACATGTTTGAGATTGGTGTCAATCGGATCAGTTTCAACCGAGTTATGAGCTCCCGATTGTTGAAGTGAAGAAAATCAACAGAAATGTACTGAAAAATGTTAGTTTCCTTCATTTCAGGCCCTAGGTGGCGTCGGGGTCAGTGCACATGATTTCAAAAAGGCTTTTTGGACACCCTGAAGGTGCAAAAAACCCCATTCAAGATCATGTTTATCAGTTTAAGAGACTTCCAGAGTGTTTTCATGTGTGGCCCTATACTTATGAAACGCTTGCAGTTGCAACATTTTCAGATATTTCAGCACCATTCCCCAACTATCCTATACACTGCTCTCAAAATTGTTTCCCGGGGGTTATTTGTGATGCTGATTTTAATTTTTAAGGTCCTGTCTTTGTATTTTGTTCGGGAATGACAATATATTCAATTTTAGGGGTGGCCCTATACTTATGAAACGTAAGTACCATTTTAATTCACACCTAGTTAGCACGATTCCAGTAGCTGGCTGGCTGGGCAAATCCTTTGTTTTGGGACGTGCGACAACAGTTTGTACAGTTTCAACAGAGCACATCGACTTGTAATGATTTCAGGCTTATACTGTAACTACCGTATTCCCTGTGGACGTTTTCATTCGACTTTTAACTAGGATTGACACTTTGTCTATTCAACTTGTGACACTTTGTCTATTCAACTTCTGACACTTCCACTTACTGTCTTTACCCAATCACTTTTCTCAGACACATCTCCCTTTCTGTCCGCAACTCTTTGTTCTGCTCGCGCGCAGGTGTCCCCCATCTCCTCTCCAATTATCTTGTCTCCGTTCCCATTAGATGAAGACGCGGTCTCTTTGTTCGAGCTCCCCCCCCTTCTCACTTCCAAATGTGTCATAATTAGCGTAGAGATCATAAAGTTGTCAAGTGATACTGTAAACCGTATATTGCAAATTCAAAGCGACGTATCTCAACTGTGAGTAGAGATTTCAAAAAGTTGTCAACTAATTAAATACTTATCAAGAAATGGTGTAGATGTTTTCAGTAGACAATTATTTGATCACTCTATCGGCAGATGAGATACATCGTTTTGAATGAACAATATAGGGGCGCTCTTCTATTACGGTACTTCACTGGTTTTGAAATGAAAATTGCCAAGTGTCCGTGAGTCCGTGTATCCTTCTCCTGTCGCCACCCGAATACTTCTCTCAACCAGGTACGGCTATGATCAAAGGTTCCCTGAATTGATGTATCTCAGCTGCCGGTGGAGATATCAAACATTTATCAATAGATAAAATGTGCACAATGTCTTTGTGAGCAATGTATTAGTTGACAACTTTTTGATAACTTTATTGGCAGCCGAGATAAATCGTGTTGAGTAAACGGTGTTGAGGTGCCCTTCTAACAGATAGTTGGCACGATGCCAGTTTTTCAAATGTGTGCCTCTTCTTCTTCACATCCGTCGGTTATCTTCGCCATGCGGGGCGGGTCCCGCTTGCGTCGCACACAATTGCAGTCCCCCTCATTTGCTCGCGGTCCCTCTTGGCGGACGGTCCGCTCTCTTTCCTTATCTCTTCTTCTTCTTCTTGCTCTTCCTTTTCCTTTTCCTCTTCTAAACCTTTTTCATTTTCAGCAAACATGGCTCATCATGCAGAGTACCCATTCCAGGATGAGTACGGTAACTATTATCGGACCGCCGACGACACGCTCTGCATGCAGGGCGATCATGTGAGCGGAATGTACTTCGGCTACTCGGGCTACACGAGCAGTTCCACTTGCTCGTCGATCAGTCCGTATCCAGCCATGGAAATGACTCCAACCAGAAGAAAGAAACCGGCGATTGTGGAATCGGACGTTCCGAGGGTGTCGTTCGCGTCTCTGGGCATGCACAGAGACGATATTGACACCGAGAAGCTCTCCAATTTTCTATTGAGCGAGATGACCGTCTGCGGCATCAACCAATCGACTTTTGCGGCCAAGATCCTCGGCAGAAGCCAGGGAACCCTCTCGGAGCTGCTGAGACGTCCGAAGAAGTGGGACATGATCAAGAATACCGGAAGAGTACCGTACCAAAAAATGTTCGACTGGCTCTGCCTGGATGACAACGAGAGAATGCGAGCCCTGGAGGGACCGGACGTCAAGGGAAAGAGGTGAGTAATTGATGATCCACTTTAGGACCATTTGTAATTGAAATCGGTTCAGAAAACCGCACAAGGAGCACACGCCACGTGTCGTGTTCACGGATATCCAGCGGAAGACGTTGAAAACCATCTTCGAGTCGTGCCATGCTCCGGAGCCAGAGTACCTGCAGCAGATTGGCGAGCATCTGAGACTGAAGCCGCACACCGTCAACAACTTTTTCACGAATTCGCGCCGTCGTCTGCGCGAGGGAAAGATGAAGCCAGAGAACGAAGAGAACCAAGAGCTGACCTAGAATAAAGACTGACCTAGGAATATTAACTATTGTACCGATCCGCCACCACCCATTTTGTCTCTATTGTCGTTTTGCAAGTCGATTATTTCGACTGTAAAACTTCAATACCATTGAAATTTGATTTGAAAATTGATTGTTGAGTGAGCGATAATGAAAATGATTTATTAATACTTTGAGTTTTGTTCATCATACGGTACCCCAGTACCATTTACTCATGACGTTATATTTATATCTCGATTGCCTGTATATCAGAAAGTTGTCAGCTGTTATGAGTTGCTCAGAACCGCCGCTGTCTTAACATTTGACATGTCGTGAAAACTGTAGCCCAATATTGTCCATTCAAACTAATTTATCTCGGCTGTCGGTAATGATATCCAAAAGTTGTCAAGTAACAAAATGTACACAATGGTTTCACAAATAATTCATTAGTTGACTAGCTTTTGATATCTCCACAGGCAGCTGAGATATATTGTTTTGAATTGACGGTATATGGGGCATCAATCGAATTAACACTTTGCAGGGTTTGGAAACAAGTTTAAGTTCTTCAAAGGAAACATTGAAAAAAAGTTGAGCCGTGCTTTTTGATCACTCTTGATCCCTTCAAAAGTGCACCTAAACTGTTCTCTGATCATACTTAGATAACACTTTCTTTTTTTTTTTCAAACTGAAAAATCCCAAAAGTGCGCCAGAAACAACATTTTATATCTAACTATCTGCGGATTTCATGGCTGCCGGCGACTTGAAACAGATGAGAAAGATAGTGTAGGAGGAGAAAAGCACGTTGATGAGGGACCCGATGTGACAGGCGAGTTGGAGGAATTGCGGCGAGACGAGGTACGAATCGGAGCGAGGGCATGACTGGTACGTTGTGGTCTTCATTCGAAATGACGGCGAGGAAGAAAGACAGAACAGGACAGGTGATTATCGGGAAAAGATGTATCTGAAAATGTGTCACCGCTAGACGGACCTCTTCTGATCAAGAACAAGACAGATGTTTAAAAAACAAGTTTATTGTGTCAACTAGTCAGTTTTTAATGTTCTCCTTGTTCTCTCGGAAACGGCGTCGAGTATTCGTGAAGAAGATGTCGACCGTGTAGACGGGAAGGCCGAGATCATTGGCGATCTTCATCACGGCCATAGGCGACGGATGCTTGTTCTCTTGGAAGATCGCCATCAGCCTGCTCCTCTGTTGGTCCGAGAAGACGATGCGCGGCCGGTGCTCTTTCGACTCTCTGAAAGAACAATGATTTAGTTGTTCAAGTCTTTTGCCAGAAGATTCCAGACTCACCTCTTCTTCTTCTTCTTGACCACCGGTCCCTCCAACGCCTGCATCCTCTCCTCATGTCCCAAACACAACCAATCGAACATCTTCTTGTACGTCTCCCGGCCGGTGTTCTTGATCTGACACCACTTCTTCGGCCTCTTCACCAGCTCCGAGAAAGTGCCCTGGCTTTTGCCGAGCACTTTGGCCGCAAAGTTGTTCTGGCTGATGGCCAGAGCGTGCATCTCCGCCAGCAGAAACTCTGACAACTTTTCCGTGTCGATCTCTTCTCTATCCATGTTGAGAGATAGGAAAGGGACCGTCGATCTCGGAATACTCGATTCAGCGGCCCTCTTTTTTCCCTTCTTCGGAACCGGCGCATTCGTGCTGAATGTGGGGAAGTCGTCGTCGTCAGCCAGGGAGTAAGACGACATCGGTGCAGATGGATTGATCCCAAAGTTCGTGTCGGTGGAAGAGCAAGTATCGACGTGGATCGAAGAGAAACCAAACGGCTCCGTTCGAAGCATCATGTCGCACTCGTCAACCTCCCACCGACGCTCCGGGTCCGGGTATTCGGGCAAATTGTGCGAGTAGTCCCATTCGTCAGAGCAATCCATAGTCCCGCTGGGTGATGGTGGGTATCGCGACCGGATTGGGGAGAGAAACGGCGAGTCGTCGTGGCGCAAGCTCAGGCTGTTCAGAGTGGGCTCTGGCTGCCCGGGGACGCTGTAGTACTGACCGAACATGTTGAAGAATGGGGATGTTGGACGGTACATGGTGATTGCTGGAAATGCAAAGGGTCAGAAAGAAGCGAAGAATGTAAACCGAATAGGGAGCAAAGATCCAATAGAAGTTAGAGAACTGAAAAGTATGAGCAGTTTAAGAGAAATGAAAGGAAGAGAGGAAGGGGCGAACTGTCCACTAGGAGGGAGCGCGAGCGAATGACGATCGGAGGAGTTCAATTGTACGCGACACCGACTCGAGCGGAGCGCGCGCGTTCAGAAGCGAAGATGTGACAAATACGGTTAGGGGAGGAGTGTAAATGACTGGAGAGCAATCTAATACAACCATAAAAGAACGCATAGAGAGGATAGGAAGGAAAAGACTATGGGAAACATTCGAAAGGAAGTGAAAAGGAAGGACCCTTGCTGAAACACTTTTGACTAGGAAGTCTGTGGCGTATGATTCGAAGTTGGCTTAACTAAGGATCAAGACAAGACGAGTTGATAGTACTACAAATAAACTTACTGGGGAATGGCTCGCACTTACCTTGGGCTTTTTTGAGCTCGGAATGGGACCTATATGATTCGAAAGAGAATTTCACAGAGAATCCAAATCTGCTCTCCATTTTTGCTAACGAGCACTGGCTGGCGAGAAAATCTGCCGGTTTCTGCCACATTTTCTAGCAAGTTCATTTTCGGCGACCTGTATCTAAAGAACCATGCGTCCGTTGCAAAAGTCGTCAACTAGTAAGTTAACGCAAATTATCTCGTGAATAACTTTGTAGTTGATCGTCTATTTTTTTAAAAAAATTAGTTTTCGAGTTATCGTCGCTCTAACCCCAGCACTAACTTTTTTCGTGTCGCTCTAGGAAAACAGTTTATAACTCGAAAACTAATTTTTTTTTCTCGCCAGTCAGTGCTCTTTAGCAAAAATGGAGAGCAGATTCGGATTCTCCGTGAAATTCTCTTTCGAATCATATAGGTCCCCCCATTCGAAAAGCCCAAGGTAAGTGCGGGCCATACCCTAGTAAGTTTATTTGTAGTACTACCAACTCGTCTTGTCTTGATCCTTAGTTAACCCAACTTCGAATCATACGCCACAGACTTCCTAGTCAAAAGTGTTTCAGCAAGGGCTTTCCAGTTTCCTTCCTTTTCACTTCCTTTCGAATGTTTCCCATAGTCTTTTCCTTCCTATCCTCTCTATTCGTTCTTTTATGGTTGTATTAGATTGCTCTCCAGTCATTTACACTCTTCCCCTAATCGTATTTGTCACATCTTCGCTTCTGAACGCGCGCGCTCCGCTCGAGTCGGTGTCGCGTACAATTGAACTCCTCCGATCGTCATTCGCTCGCGGTCCCTCCTAGTGGACAGTTCGCCCCTTCCTCTCTTCCTTTCATTTTTCTCAAACTGCTCATATTTTTCAGTTCTCTAACTTCTATTGGATCTTTGCTCCCTATTCGGTTTACATTCTTCGCTTCTTTCTGACCCTTTGCATTTCCAGCAATCACCATGTACCGTCCAACATCCCCATTCTTCAACATGTTCGGTCAGTACTACAGCGTCCCCGGGCAGCCAGAGCCCACTCTGAACAGCCTGAGCTTGCGCCACGACGACTCGCCGTTTCTCTCCCCAATCCGGTCGCGATACCCACCATCACCCAGCGGGACCATGGATTGCTCTGACGAATGGGACTACTCGCACAATTTGCCCGAATACCCGGACCCGGAGCGTCGGTGGGAGGTTGACGAGTGCGACATGATGCTTCGAACGGAGCCGTTTGGTTTCTCTTCGATCCACGTCGAAACTTGCTCTTCCACCGACACGAACTTTGGGATCAATCCATCTGCACCGATGTCCTCTTACTCCCTGGCTGACGACGACGACTTCTCCACAGTCAGCACGAATGCGCCGGTTCCGAAGAAAGGAAAAAAGAGGGCCGCTGAATCGAGTATTCCGAGATCGACGGTCCCTTTCCTATCTCTCAACATGGATAGAGAAGAGATCGACACGGAAAAGTTGTCAGAGTTTCTGCTGGCGGAGATGCACGCTCTGGCCATCAGCCAGAACAACTTTGCGGCCAAAGTGCTCGGCAAAAGCCAGGGCACTTTCTCGGAGCTGGTGAAGAGGCCGAAGAAGTGGTGTCAGATCAAGAACACCGGCCGGGAGACGTACAAGAAGATGTTCGATTGGTTGTGTTTGGGACATGAGGAGAGGATGCAGGCGTTGGAGGGACCGGTGGTCAAGAAGAAGAAGAAGAGGTGAGTCTGGAATCTTCTGGGAAAAGACTTGAACAACTAGAGCATTGTTCTTTCAGAGAGTCGAAAGAGCACCGGCCGCGCATCGTCTTCTCGGACCAACAGAGGAGCAGGCTGATGGCGATCTTCCAAGAGAACAAGCATCCGTCGCCTATGGCCGTGATGAAGATCGCCAATGATCTCGGCCTTCCCGTCTACACGGTCGACATCTTCTTCACGAATACTCGACGCCGTTTCCGAGAGAACAAGGAGAACATTGAAAACTGACTAGTTGACACAATAAACTTGTTTTTTAAACATCTGTCTTGTTCATGATCAGAAGAGGTCCGTCTAGCGGTGACATATTGTCAGATACATCTTTTCCCGACAATCACCTGTCCTATTCTGTCTTTCTTCCTCGCCGTCATTTCGAATGAAGACCACAACGTACCAGTCATGCCCTCGCTCCGATTCGTACCTCGCCTCGCCGCAATTCCTCCAACTCGCCTGTCACATCGGGTCCCTCATCAACGTGCTTTTCTCCTTCTACACTATCTTTCTCATCTGTTTCAAGTCGCCGGCAGCCATGAAATCCGCAGATAGTTAGATATAAAATGTTGTTTCTGGCGCACTTTTGGGATTTTTCAGTTTAAGCGCCTTTTTGGTGATTTCAAACATCTTTTCATTGAAAAAGTGCTGATTTTGAAGTCAAAACAGTGCTTAACCCATCAAAGATTTTCACATAATCCCACTTTTCCTTCTACTTTCTCCTCTACGTCTACCACATCAACTTGGGCATCCCTCAAATCCTGACGATGCCCAATGATCAGCAGGCCGTCCGCCTTGCTCCGAGGCCTCCAAACCCTTCCCTGCCCGCCAGAATCATATTTGTCGGAGGGAAGTATCATATTCCAGAAGGACGAGAAACTCTTCAATCCGCACATGTACTCTACCTGTTGCTCTTTGACCCTTTGACTTTTGTTCTACTCATTCAACACTCTCTGGCATCTGGGTCCCCATAATAACCCGTTGTTGTCGGAGGCTACTCGCAAAATGCTCCTCAACTTCTTCTTCGCCCTAAGCGTTCATCAATGCGCTATTCCGAGGAAAAAATCCAAGTCAGCCGAAACTATCAACTGTATCGAAGTATCGCAGACAGAGAACAGGAATTTCGTTTGGTGCCTGATGTTTGAGTTTTGAAATTCTAAATGATTTTCACCTGTTTTTAGTTTCATCGGGTTTATCTGTTTAACATAATTCTCCTTTTGTCTTCACTCTCCGTGTCCCAATTCTTCGAAACTCTTAAGGTTCAAGTACTGTTTTCTCGGATTGCATGGGTAAGTTTAGGATGTACTTACGTCCACTATCATGTCAATTACCAGTTGTTGCTTTTGTTCCTCTGACCAAAACCCATTTTTCTAATAAACGAATGAATGAACCCTGTTTTGTGATCACTATCCCACACGAAATGCTCGAATGAACAGATTCACTCGAGCTGACAGTAATGCAACTGATGAGCACATTCTATGCTTTACTCGGAACGGATCGTTTTGTCAAAAAATGCGTTCATGTGAAGGTGAGTTCCTTCTGACAGGAATGATGGCTCACAGAGCTATACACAAGCGTTCACAGAAACTAACAATAAAAGAAAAGTTAGTGATGGAAGGAAACTGACTGTATTGTCCGTTATAACTTGGTATTATACGGCTATCAGGGGTTTTGAAAGTGTTGACAAAGTGCGAGGATGAAACAGAGCCGACGAAGAGCAACTTTTCGATATCTCAACAGACAAATGAGATCTTACTTAGGCCCACAATATCACAAAAATTGTTGTTTTCTTTTCTGCTCGCCGTCATCTGCTCTCTAATCAAGAAGGCGCTGCCAAGTGAACCGGATCAATGAGCACCTCGTTCTCCCACTTTTTCTTCTTCATCTTCTTCATCTTCTCATCCTTCCTTCCCCCCGAATGGATTCTTCTACGATCAATTTTCTAAAAACGCCAGAATTCCTCAAAAGTGCGTGTCATTTGGGCTCGTTTTTCATGTTCACCTCCTCGTTTTACGTGCTGTTTCTGGTGTTCAAAGTCTCGCCACGTGCGATGCGATCGAGTATCCCCTACATTTTGAACTTGCACCTCTGGACCATGTTCTGCGATTTCATGTTCGCCGTCATGCTTCTTCCCTACTTTATGTTGCCGGTGCTTGTCATTAAACCCTACGGAGTACTGCATTCGATGGGCACACCGCCCAAATTGCAACTCTGGCTCGCGTTCGCTTCTCTTGGAGGTACTCGACTTTTACAAAATTCACAATAGACCAACTAGTCTCTCAGGAATGACCGCCTCGATCACCACTCTTTTCGAGTACCGTCATCGGTGCATCGTGTCGAATAGTCGGTTTGTGATGCGCACGAAAACGACCATTTTCTTCTATAACTTGGTGCTGTACGGCTATCACATCAACTTTGGCGTGCCGGAAGTGTTGAGTATGCCCGAGAATCAGGCAGAGACGAAGACGAGGTTACTGGCGGTAGGTGAACGACACGGTTTTTCCACCTCCATTTATCATTCTGTTCCCGCCCGCCACTGGCTCATAAAGTCCGTCACCATTGCAGACGTTCCCGTGCCCACCGCCAACATTCTTCGACTCGGATGCGTACGTGATCCAGGAGGACGGTCGTCGCCTGTTCAACATCCACATGTACTTCACCTGCGCCAGCGTCTCCCTTGTTTGCGCCTTCTTCGGCTGTCACACAATGTGGCACCTCTTGCCGCAGAACAATCCGTTAATGTCGTCCTCGACGCGAAAGTTCCAACGCAACTTTTTCGTCTCGTCGGTCGTTCAGGCTTCGATTCCGGTCACTGTCATTCTTATTCCCAACGTTTACTGGAACCTGTCCATCACTTTCGCGTTTCATTCTCAAGGTATTCGTGTGGTTCTCGCGGCGGCCTAGGATAATCTAGGCCATGTTCAGAGGCCAACAACATCTCCGTTCTTATTCTGACACTTCACGGATTCGCCGCCTCCATCGGCATCATCTTTCTCTACACCCCGTACCGCAATTTCACCAAGAACCTGTTCAGAAGACGTAGAGTTCTAAAGATGTATTCAAAAACAAGTCAATTTCAGATGTGCTCAAAACCGAACGAGTATCGTCCATTTCCATGAGCAATCTGGAGAGCACTACTACAATGGTATCGAAACGAACAATATCTTTTCATCGTCATAATTTATAATATTCGAATAAAGAGGAGAACAGTACATGTAAAAGTGATACAAAAAAGTGCGCTTGGCGCTCACACAGCTTACAGCTTAAAGAACTTCCTTAGCATTGAGGGCTCCGAGGACGGTGCCCTTGTTGAAATTGACAATATTGTCGGCGATCTCCGTGGCGACGCGCAGTTGAGCGTCGATCGTCGAGGCGCCGAGATGGGGCGTGGCGATCACGAGCGGATGTTCGACGAGCGCGCGGAACGTCGGCGGCTCCTGCTCGAACACGTCGAACGCGGCGCCCTTCGCGTGGCCCGCGTTCAGCGAATCGACGAGGTCCGGCTCGTTCACGATGCCGCCGCGCGCCACGTTGATGATGCGGACGCCCTTTTTGCACAGGGCAAGCGCTGAAAATGATTCGGATATGGGAGCTGTTCAGTAGAAATGCACTCACTGTCTCTGTTGATGAGATTGGCGGTCTGCGGAATGAGCGGCACGTGGACCGTAATGTAGTCGGCTTGCGGCCAAATCTGCTCCAACGGCAGCAGCTCAATGTTCTTCGCCTCCGCCTGCTCCTTCGTCACGATCGGATCGTATCCAATGACCCGCATTCCAAAGGCCTGGAGCCGCACGGCCACTTCGGTTCCGATGCGGCCGAGGCCCAGCACTGCGAGAGTTCGGCCGTAGACCTCCTCGCCCATAAAGTCCTTGCGCGCCCATTTGCCCGCTTTCATCGAGGCGGCGGCTTGGGGCACGTGGCGAGACAGCGAAAGGATGAGTGTGCACGTGAGTTCGGCCGCTGAACGGGAGTTGGCTTCTGCAAAATCGATCGGGTTGTTTGGAACGTGGTCTAGGCGCCCCAGGTTATGCGAAGAGGACCTAGGAGGTCGCCTAGGATCCGTAAAGTCTGTGGAAAGTTCCTAGAGATTCTGGAGAAGCCTAAATGTTTATAGATTCTTACAGCCGGCCTACTAGAGTGTCCAGGTTTCTCCAAGACGAACCTTCACTTCCCTTGATCACCTAGAATCCCTGAAACTAGTGCATGATTCCTAGAGATGCCCAGAAGATGCCCTAGGATTCCAAATTGACCCTGATGCCCAACTCACGCGGCGTGTTCATCACGAGAATCTTGTTCGCCGTCGCGGCGGGCACATCGATATTGTCGACTCCGGTGCCGGCCCTTCCGACCAACTTCAGTTTCCCGGCCGCCGCGACGAGCAGATCGGCGGTGATCTTGGTGGCGCTGCGGACGATGACGGCGTCGTGGCGTGGCAGGGACTCGAGAAGTTCGGCCTTTGTCTGCTTCGTCTGCACCGTCACCGCGATGCCGTTCTGCTCGAGAATGTCGACGCACTCTTGCTCGATGTCGTCGGCGATCAGGACCTTTTGGATGGGCGCAGTCATTTTCTGAAAATAAGGCAATCATCATCAGTTGGACTGGAAATGGGTTGAAAAACAAAAAGGTAGTCTAGAAAAGTGTTTCCGAGTATTGTAGTCTTACAATTTCTGCCTTTTATACCTTTCCCGGGGCTCTAGCCTGATGTAATCTATCAGTCCGCCAAGGGTTCTAAAAGTCACGTACACACACACACACACACACACAGATGACGTATTGTTCGATACAACGTCTACGATAAGATGGTAGATTTACAATATGGATTGCACGGAAACGAAAGGAAAATGGTGGTCTGATTGAGGACATAGATAGCAAGTTTTTTTGGTGTGGGGGGAGGGGATGGACAAAGAACAGGATGATAGCGGCGAAGGAAGAGAAGAGGTGGGTCAAAATTTTCCGTTTCTGATTGCATAGTATCAGAGAACACACAGAGGTCTTGAAGGGGGGGAGGCGCTGCAGCAACTTGCAGCGACCAGCCAGGAAATTGTATGCATTTTTACATCAACAATGCTTCTCAAAGGTCCAAGTTAGCACAAAACTGCTTCGGGACCTTACTAGCCAACGAAAATTTGTCGAAAACGTGACCGTGGGATTAGTTTTGCCCAAAGGTTAGAGTTTTCGAGTCATCTGGACTTTTTTCTAGAAAACTATAGTTCTCAATGATGATTGTCAGTTCGTTTCTGCCAATTATGCGGTTTCAAAACGTCCACGAGTCCAATTTAGCCACGCACACAGACACATACACACACACAAAAGGAAAGAGAAGCGAGAGAGGAACAATAAATGACGGATGGAACTGCCCGTTTGCGGGTGGTCAAGTGAGGAGAACACGTGGCGTGGCGGCGCGTGGAAAGATGGAGAGAAAGAGAGAGAGAGAGAGAGAGAGAGAAGAAGAAGGAGAACGGCTGGGAAATGGAGAGAAGAGAAGAGACAAAAGAGGAGCGGAGGGGGAGATGATGTTCGCTTTTTTCTTTAGGGCACTAGGTTTAGGCACTCGGATGGACAACTAGAAAATCTGTGGCTGAATTGGCCATGTGTCACACTATTCGAAAGCTAACGGACGAACGCGACTCTATGATAACGAAAGAGAACAAAAAAGAGAGCGCGAAGGGTCGACGAATGAATGAATGAATGAATGACTGGCAAAACAGAAAGAAAGGAGGATGAGGGCGAGTGCGGGTTCGCGCGTTTGACCGCAACGTTTTTTGACCGCAACGCGGCACTTCGGGAAACATGCTCTTGGCGACAGGTCTACAAAGACAAATAAAAAGAAAAGTTGTTCCAGAAATGAAATTCAAATACAATCGGCTGAAAAATGCATTCATTTATTTGAATCAAATCAAGGGATACAATAGAAAGTTGAAAGTTAGAAGGTCTGTGTGTGAGACCGACCGTACGTCTGTTAATGCTACAGTTTTGAAGGCACAGGTAGGGGAGAAACACCGTGAGATGGATTATTCGAACTGTTGATGGACCGATTGAGCGCCGCTAACGTATTTCAAGTTGGCAAATTATTGTTTAGCTCAAACTACAATTCCTTTACGATGAAAGTAACTGATTCCTACCTAGCTATTTCTAGAAAACAAGCAACTGGTCAAAGGTTGAGAATTTACTCTATACAGCTATGAAAAGGATGAGAGATTTTACGGTAATTGACCCGTAAAGAGCAAGGGACGAAAAAGTAGAGCGAGTTAACTGACAGACCGTTCAAATCCCCAACATGTCGAGATTCATTTCAAGTCCGTCGAGTCGGTTCTTCCCCAGTTTGAAGGCCTTCGAGTCGATCGGACACGTGATGTACGCACTGTTCTCTGATTGTTTCTCGGCGCATTTCGTGCACAGGCTGTGGCCACATCCTGCAATTATTCAAACATGAGGACATTGCACAAGTCTGGAACATTGTCTAGAAAAGGTTAAGGCTAAGGCCTAAAAGGTAGTTCTACGTACCCAGAAGCAGTGGCACTTGCTCTTCTTTATATCCGAACAACTCGAGACACCACGGACACACTGCTCCAGTCAATTTCTTCTTCTCCGTGGGAGTACTGCAACGACTGGAATATCCATCTTTTGAGGGAAGACTCAGAAGAACCTTCCCGGTCGCTTTCGCCTCCTGAGCACTCAGAACCACTGTAGGTACCTTGTTGATGGTATCCTGCGGTGGATCCACTGATCTCTCCCACATCTCCCCCCTCGCCTCCTTCTCCGCAGTCAATCTGAGCACTTCGGAGAAGAGTCTCTCTTGGATCTTGTGCTCTTCGAACATGTGAGCGTGCATCACTTCCAACTGCTTCGCCAGTCCCAATTTCTCCGCTCGTTCCTGGTCCGCCTGCTGTTGAAGGACCGTATTGTCGTATTGGAGGCGGGCGATCAGTTGGCGATCGGTCAGGTACTCGATTTGTGGTTGTGGGTTGTAGTATCCGGGAGGGTTCGGCTGGGGTTGCATGATCGGAGGGACCATGTAATAAGTGTTGTTCATTTTGAGCACTCTGCAAAAAGTAAGTATGAAAAAGTGCAATTTGAAGAATCAGAGGCGTTTGCGACTATGAAAAGGCCTAAGATACATTCACAATGGAAAAATTAGCAGATTCGTCCCTAATTGAGCAGCTAGATGAATAAAAAGGGGAAGAATTGGAACCAAACACGGAAATATTGAAATTTTCCGCGTAAGGGGTGCTAAAACTTCATTCCTAACGCGGAAATCGCTGGAACTTTATTGATTTTTCAGTCGAAGGCTCGTCTCATTCATTTTTTGCAGAAATTCCAAACAATTTAGAGTCTGAAATGAAAAAACAACGTTGATTTTCAATCACGACAGCCTTGTTTTATTAGTTCGCGAAATTTCGTAGCCGTAGACGAATTATGCAAACGCGCTCCACTGAGAACGTGCTAAGCGTGGAGAGGGTGCGTGCTTTCGCAGATGGTCATCACTGCGAAACGGAAGGGTGTTATTAGAGCCGGCGGGCTCTTAATATCGCCCAATTTGGAGCGAGAAAGATTTGAAAATTGATGGTGACAGAAGAACATTTGCTTTTTTACACGGTATCGTTGAATCCTATGCCACATAGAGAAGAAAGTTCTGGAAACAAATCAGGATGGTACAAGTTAGCTTACTAGTTAGTGCAAACTTTAGTGCAGGATCAATCATAGTTCAAAGCCGCGTGTTCTCTTGCAAATTCAAGTTGAACCCTTCATCTCGTTCTTTCGATCTTCTCCATCTTCAAAGTATCAGTCCCTTCTCTCGGAAACAAGAAGAGGATAAGAGAATCTTCATAAGTGATTGTTCTTCAAAAAGAGACGTTCTGCGGCGGCGCGGAGTTCAATCCGTTCACTCCGCACGCGTTTTCTTCTCGATGAGCGATGATTATAACTTTATTTATACCCGATGTGAAAGGCACCGAAACCATGTGGTTTGGGGTGAATTTCAAAGTGTGACCATGTATTTGTAGCGGGTTTGGTACTAAAATTTACAGTATCTCGTACTTTTCGAGTACTAGACTTGGTGAGTTACAATATCTCTGCCCATCTCGAGGTCAGCCAAAAGGTGTTTCCTTGGACCCCGTTCAGCTCGAACATAGATCGTTTTTCTTCTTCTCCCTCTCGAATATATCTTCCCTTTTTCTCTATTTTCGCCTTTCCTCATCAAATTCCATTTCTCCTCACGTTTTCCTTATCCAGCGTTCACGTGAAGTACGTTTTGGTGCGTGAAAAATAGAAGGGGTGTCTAAAAATAGTAGGCCGACAATATCTATATCGAAATGATAGAGAAGCCGCCGAGGGGTCACGTGAAACAAAAACTGGCCGTGTTCGGGCGGTCAAATCAAAGTTCGCCGCCCCCGTGTTATTTTGAGTAGTACTATATGGGATGGATTACTGTAGAGATTTGTGAACATTTCCATCCAATCAAACAGTGAACAGTCTAAGTACTCTCCTTGGATCATTGTACAGACAACTTTCTTTTATAGAAAAAAAAAGTAAATACCGAAAAAGATGCAGGCAGTGACGACGTCATCAGACCGATCTTTATAGAAAATTCCACTTGTTCGGAAATGATCGGCGCAAGATTCTTTCTGACCGTACTCAGTGAGTGGGCGTTCAAAATTTAAGGAACTTGGCTGAGTTCATGTAATCCCTAGATTCTAGACTTCCAACACAAAACCTGTGAGTTGGCAGTGTGATATCAAAAAAGTGAAAAGGATTACTGTAGGATGCCAGAGTCGCCTGTGCAAAGCTCGAATTAGTGAAGTTACGGTAGGAAACTGAAGTGATGCTCTCAGCAGTGGAACGACAATAGCGAACAAAGAAACTGTTATATTGTCAGCTTCTTCTTTTAATTTTCAAACCAATTAATCATACATATTTCCTAACTATTGCCCATCAAACGGACCATACCGTAATCCTTCTCACTTTTCCTTCAAACCAGTCTCTCATTGTTCCTCTTCTTCTTCTTCTTTCTTCTAGTACATCAAGTACCCTATTGGCCCTAGGCTCCGCCCACTTCTTCTCAGACCTCCATCGTATTGGCGCCGTGCCAACATGGTCTCTTTCGGTCGAAACTGATTGGGGGCGGCGCGCCTCGGGCGGGCTGTACGCTCCGCCCCTTTTGCCGCGCCGACTATAAAAGCGATAGGGCGCCGCGGAGGCCGTTTCGACTGATATACAACTGATTTACAAACACTAGCAGCATCTTGTGTGCTCCGTCAAAACACATTATGATTAGCATTATTCATCCATCGCGGGACGTGCTCGAGTTCGTCTCCTACCGCCGCTTCAAGCGATTCGAGCCGTGTACGACCAATCGGTTCACTAAATGGTGAGTTGTGCATTTCTATGTGCATTTGTTGAATACCTCTGGTCCAAATCGGTCCAAAATCGAAATTTCTCATGCCAAATCGTTAACGCTCTCGATTTTCAGTGATCCTTGCTCTTCCATCTCCACCGCCGGCTCCAGTTCGGCCTAAAAGACGATCTCACCTCGAAGACATGGTTCTCCCGGTGCTCCGATGGAAACCACGACTCTTTGTGCTCTTCTCTCTCTCTCTCACCGCTTTATCATCAATTTCTTTCTCTGCGTCTCTTCCGACATCTCTCCTCCTGTGATCCCGCAAAGTTTGCTTTAAATTGCCTGAAAACATGCATAACATTTGTACATATAATAAATGATGATGATCATACAGAAAAAGTGAACTTGAGAAATTAAATTACAATCAAAGAGAAGTACAGAGAAAGAAATTGAGAGAAGTGCTCAAAAGAGGTGACCAATTTGAAGTGTGTCTCGTCTTAAGTTAAAGTTAAATTAAATCGTTTTCGTTTCTCAAAACCTTCATTTATTTCTAATACCGAAGAAACTGGAAAAAAACAACAATTTGTCATAACAAAAAAAAAACAACACAAAAAGTGGTAACAAGTTGGGGAAATGTCAACAAATTATAATGTGGATACTCTAAAATGTGGTCTTCTTTTTGCCACGTTTCAATGCACGGGCGGCCTCGTGTTCCTCCCGTTCTGAGATCATGTTCGGGTCGAGCAGCAGGTCGAACGATCCGGTGCCGCCACGTGGCAGAGCGCCCATCACGATTCGCGACGACGGCGAGTTCACATTGTCTTCTTCGCCTGAAAAATTCGGTCGTTTTGTCGTGAAAGCACATTTTAGAGTTCAAAATGTTATCAATGATGAGGGGGGGGGAGCATGTCAAGTGAGTGCTCACGCAGTCGGATGATAACGTTTTGTCAATGATAAACTATGGAATATGATACTTTTTGGGCCTAAAAAAAAGAAAAATACTCTGACCCCCTTCTCAAAATGACTCATTTCCAGACGCCAACTTCCCAGTGAGTCACAAAAAACAAAAACCATTTACTCACTAGCCGAATCACCTGCCTATCCGGTGCGTCAATAGCCGCCACGCCGAACGTGATAAATAGCCACACATCCGAAACTAAACTATAAGAGAAAACATTCTCACTATAATCAAGCCAATCTTTTCTTATCAACCATCGTCGAATCAGTGAGATGCACGGGAAGACACATCACACATCCTAATGATAATGACCTACGGCGGTGATTTCTGAAGATGTAGTCAGAAGATGATGGATGCACTCGTGGGTACACGTGAAAAAACAAAGACGTGGACAGTATCAACTAGCCAAAGGGCATGTTTTTGAGCAGAAGCATCAATTACTATGATATCATCGGTTTCCCTATCAAAGTTTTCTTATAACCTGATCAACTGCATCTAGTCTGAAACCTGACCGGCAAGGGTACGTAAACTACTAAAAAACCGCTACACGCGCTGTCACTGACGCTCACCATCAAAAAAGTTCTCATTTCTCATTGGCACGATGATAGATGGCGAAAAGATTGAAAAAGGCGAAAAGGCGCTAATCAACAAAACACAAATAAACAAGTCTTCTTCCTCTTCTTCCTTCTTCTCTTCCTAAATTTCTTGTTGCCATCGTCGAGAGCCTGTTGTTCGAAACGGTGCCCGTGTCGGTGGAACACTCACTCACTCACTCACTCACTCGGGGGCTGCTCGATTTGATGAGGAAATGATATTGAGGAAAATATGTTTTGACGGCTACTACTAAGACGAGGTGTCCGCTCAAACAAAAAACACGGAAGTCTATGAGTTAGCTGATATGGATCTTTACGAAGCCCGAATTACCGTAATCTATCGGAAAAGGCTGATCAATTTTGGATCGCTGATCAATTTTGGATCACAAAGGCTCAAACCCTCGTGTCCTTACCACATTTCGCACCCAAAATGCACCCAGACACAATCAAAGATCCGCGTTCGCGCCGTGTTTCACGTGAAATCAGTTCCAGTATCTTCTTCTTCTTTCTCGCCGCTCGTCAACTGGCGGCCCCACGTGGTAGTCTTCACTTTCACAAGCATGATTGGTCAGGGACACTGGACCCTTCCTTGTTCGACAAACAACCCAATAATAATACTCGACGAGAGTACTGTGGAGTGGGGCAATCGATTTCACGAGTCCTTCGGCAACTACCATCACTGTGCTTCGGCCTTTTCTTCTTTTTCCTCCTCCAATGTCCAGTTGGACAGAGGTGACTAACACTGGTCTCGCCACGTCATTTCACGTGGAGCGGAGCAGGCGAGTGTCAACAAACGCATGGGCTCTTGGAGCGGCGAGCTGTGATCTGCGCTCAATATCCCGTCATTTCCCCTCGGCTACCGTACTTCCGGGCACTACATCTTTTGATGGGAAAAAGGCAAAAAGGGGGACAAAGTATGGCTGCAAAAGCAGTCCAATTTGCAAAGAATAGCGGCGAGCGTTCTTCAATGATCTTCACGCGTCATACTTATGCGTGCAGACGATTTTCATTGCGCTAAAGACGTCGTCCCGTTGTATTCTCAAAGAAGAAGCGCAGAAACAGGAAGAAGACTCAGAAGAAGGGGATCTTTGAAAAAAAGTGATAAGCTAGGCCAAGATTGGAGACTTTCAAAGTTTCGAGGTTCAGGATTTCAGGCATGTGAGCATCAGTGAAAGTTTCGAATCCTGGTTTTTTTTTACCCACTTGTAATCATGACATTGAATCCTAACTTGGCACAAAGATTAGTTTCGGTTGGGAATGTCTAGCTCGAAAGTGTCAGCCCGAAGGAGTTATCTGATCTGGAGATATACTGATGCGAAGAAAAATCTTTAAAATTTCGCTAAATTAGAGCTTTTCGGCCCGTTTCGACCTCAACATTCTCAAAAATCGACGTCCACGTATAAACAGCGACAAAGTTCACCGCGTCTCTTTCTTCTCTGCCCTCATGACTGATTTTTGATGCATTTTTCGAAAATCCAACACTCTCATTTTTTGAGATATGATAAAACAGGAACATTTCGATTCGAATGACCATAGTATCTCTAAACAAAAAAGTGGTAACGGGAAGAGAAAGTGTGATCTGTCAACTTTATGTACCCAAAAAAGATAACACCACATCTATTTCTCGCCGATTTATCAGTTTAGATGAGAGAGAGAGAGAGAGATCCAGTCTGTCTGCGAGCGCCGCCGCCGAAAAAAAGATAGATCATTGTGAACTTTCGCTCGGCGGCCGCAATCTTTTCGCTGATTTTCAAAAGACAAGGCCACCAAGTTAATGCAAAATCTTCCAACTTTCTGCGAAACTGCCGAAAAGACAAACCTTGCAAGAGGGCCTCGCGCAAGAACGCCATCGTCGTCTCGAATGTCATTTTCTGGAGCGGCGACGAGCTGGACGACATGGCGCCGCGGTTGAACGGCTGGATCTGGCCGGTGAATGTCATGTAGTCGGCGGTAAGCGAGAGATGTCGCTTCGAGACCTCGATTCCGTACACGGCGAACACGTTGTTCATTTCCTGCAAACAAATTGATGGGTTTAAGGAGTTAAAAAAAAAGGTGAACGTTCTAGCCCGTCTTCGAAAATTCTTAAGTCAAAAGTTGAAGAGATTAGGCCTGCAATCCATTTTCAGACCACTTTTTCCAGGAATGCTACTGAAAACGACAAAAGAGCCCGAAAAGCTGCTAGAAACATCCTCTTGTGCTCAAAGTCTGTTTGAAACCAAATTTCACACCGAGAATCGAGAACAACCCATTCTTTGTCCCCTTTTTTCGATCATCAATCAATCTTGTCAAAGTGAACAGTACCAGTTGATCTAAAAATAACTGCTGGTGTCCATTTCCTTCCTTATCCGAATTGAGACACTGACATACACAATTCCTCACCCTTTTATAGTAAAAGTCGAGTAGTAGCCGATGGAAAAGGGGGAGGCGGACTCCTCCCTCTCCTCATCATAATCGATTTGTTCATCGTGATAGAAGACAGACGAATAGTCAATAATCAGTCAGAAGAAGAAGAAGAAGAGCACGTCTTCCCTCTCTCTTTCTCTCTCTCAAGGAATACAAGCAGGGCAGAAGAACGCGGCACTGTGACGTCGCAAGATCAGAAAGAAGCGAACACACATAATCGGGCCGTACTGGCGACGTGAAAGACCGTCTCCTCTCCTCCTTCTTCTTCTTCTTCTTCTTCTTCTTCTTCGGACCGCCCACCCTCTTTTTCTTTGTTTCTCTTCCACAATGGCTTCTAGAAGAGATACGTCTCTTCGGGTACCAGGCGCTGAGAGAGATTCGATTGGAATGGAATGGAATGCGCGGACTATTTGAGGAAGGAAAACTCGGTTGTTGACTAGTTGGTCATCAGTTTGTACTGTAGTGTCAGGACTACTACGTACTAGTCATAAAATCAGACTACCTACAGTAATCCTTGATGGATAGCGAATATGACAAATTCTAGAGCCGTCACAAGCCACAAGAAGCGCCGCCGCCGCTGTAACACGCAAAAAAACCGCTTCTTGAACTTTTGACCTCGTTTCGCGGCCTTTGTGCGTTTCCATCGTAAATAGTTCAAAGTTTAGAAGTTTAGGCTATTCTAATTCCAATTCCAATTCCAAAACGGCTTCCGCAATCTTTTTGCAAAGAGACGGAGATCCGGCCTCGCCTTCTAATTGGCCAACAGCAGCATCGAAAAGTCTTCTGAAGATCAACTACGTCAGTCGCAAAACTCTTCTGAGAACACAAAACTCCTCGCGCGCGAGCGTGTCGTTCACGTGTCCGTATGTAGTCCGCGACCGTTATTCCCATAGCCCTCTCTCTATTAATAGGAGAGATCAATCACTCTCTGACGCGTGGCGAACAAAACGCGCGCCGCTCTCTCTCTCTCTCTATTACGGTGGCGAGAGAAGAAGAAGAAGAAGAAGCAGAAGAAGAGAGAGAAAACAGAGAGACGGTAACCATAAATCTCCCGTTTGCCTCCGCGGTTATAACTGTTCTCGACCGCCATGTGACACATTAGAGTGTGTGTTAATTAGGCGAAGCATTGTTGAGTAGTTGGAAGAGAAGAAGAAGAAGAAGAAGGCCGGTTCAAGACGAGTAGAGACACCATTTTTTCAGCGAGAGAACCTACATTTCTGATCTTACAAGGGATCGGTTTTAGCGTAATCCGACGCTAACTAATTGTACACATATCGAGGTTTCGAAACCGTAACCAGGATGAAATTATTATGGGGTTATTATTCAAAAACGCAAGGAAGCTAGATTACTGTAGCTCGGACAGCTTTTTACTAAAAATTGATAAACTACAGTGGGGAAGTGTCCAACTACCACAACCCTGAAATTTTGCACCGTTCCCGCCGATTCTATAAAACTTCAGAAAAACTATCCTCATTCTCAGTTCACTTCTACAGTATCCACGCTTGAACGGACTACAGCAAGCGGTTTACTGTAAACGTATCCAATATTCCGTAATCTTTCCCCAACTTACTGTAGTGATAGCCTTCGCGCACGCCTCCACTCCGTAGTTCATCAGAATCAGATTCAGATCGTTCGAGTAGACCGAGTTGACGTCGAGCACGTCGGCGTGCTTGAAGAACGCGGCGAGGTTGACTCCCTGAGTCTGCAGAATGATCGTCTCGCGTCCGTTCTTCTGCTCGGTCGTCTCGACGCACCGCTCGATGCCGGCCGTCTGATGCACAATAAACTGCTCGACTTCTCGCTCGACAATCGACGACACGTCCATCTTGGTCTTGTTGCGCAGTGGCAACTCGAACACCACCTCGCACCACTTGTTCGATTTCACGTCGTACGTGTAGGCTGAGATGTTATCCGAGAGTCGCTGCACCGCCTGGATCCGCGACGAGTTCACCTTCTGCTCGTGAGTGCCGTCTTCCTCGTCCTCCGGGACGTCCTTCTTGACTTCTTCCTCGTCCTCGTCCATCGGCTCCTCGCCCGGTTCCCTCACTGCTCCGCGCTCCTCATCCTCGCCCTCGTAGTCGGCTCCCTCGTCGCGATGTCTCTGATGAAGTCGTGCTTCCGCCGCATCCGCTTCTCTTCCTCCGTCGGCTTCCTCATCCGACGAGTCCCCGTTGTCCGGTCCTTGCAGGCCACGTCGTTCTTTCAGTCCGCCCGTCTCGATTCCAGCGGCGATGTTGCCCTGTCGCATCGTCCGATGGGACATCTGCTGGTAGTCCGTCACCTCGTGGTACTTCTTTTTGATCGCGTGGGCGACGCGTAAGATGAATCTCTTCTCGATCTCCTCCATAATCTGCGATCGTTGCAGGTGCCGGGCACCTTGTTCTCGCTTCTCCGCTGCGAGGATTTCGATGCGTAGGTGGTAGCGACGCGACGATTGACTGCAAATATCGTCGTTTTGACTGTTCTCACGAATTTCTCACTTTCTGCGCGAAAAGTTTACCGAAAATAGTTTTTGGTGAATTTGCTCAAAATGTTTCTAATTTTCACCATCTTTGACGTTTCTGCTTGAAAAAATTGGCGAGAAATGATGAAACTCTTATTTTTGGCGTGAAAACTTAAATCTAGGCTAAAATGCCAAATTTCCATCTCTAGGCTCAACTCACTTCTGCGTCAGGGTGATTTTCTCGTCCAGCGTGAAGTTCTTGAGCAACTGCTTCAGATACACCCGATCGAGTTCCCGTTTGATCGAATCGATGCGCTCGCGCGGCGTTCCCTCGATGACGGCGATCGAGGCGCTCGGCGTGGCGATGCTCTTCGAGGCGGTCATCAGAATCTCGCGAAGACGTGGAATTCCCAGCGTCACGTTCATTTCTCCTCTTCCGGCAAAATGGAAAGTGTTGAGGGTCATCTGAGTCGACGGCTCTCCGATCGATTGGGCGGCCAGGAGTCCGACGTTCTCGCCCGGTTCGGCCAGCGAGCGCATTCCTGGAAGTTGTTTGGTTTTTAGGGGAATTTTAAACCTAGTTGCAGAAGTTATCAATCATCCAATCGGATTCTGACTTTGCACGATTATTTGTCTTGATATAGTGTATTATGTGAAAATTACAGTCTCATTGAATTATCTGACCTGAATATTATGTGCAAAGTCAGAATACGATCGGATGATTGAGAATAACCGAACCTTTCCAGTAGAGTGTCCTTTTCAACACCTCCTTCGGCTCCTCGTTCGTCTTCACTTTCGTGCAGAATCCCTCAATCTCGTCGAGCATTTTCTCGGGCAGCGCTCCCAATTTGCACGTCGGATTGAAGCGCTCGTCGACCGCTTCCGGACACTTTTTCGGTATTCCGTTTGCGTATTCGGCACGTTCGTCGAGCGAAAGCTCAAACCACATGGCCAGAATTCGCTTTTTGTCCATTCCTTCGTGCTCCGCCGAAAAGTTAGTAAACGCCGAGAAATACGACTTTTTGGCCGTTTTCTGCGATTTCGCCGCCTTTTTCTTCCATTTCACAATCTTTTTGTAGCGTTTTTCCGTCTCTTTGATGCCAAAGTCGGCGTCGGTGACTCCTTCTGGCTTCGAGGCGAGCGTCACCGCTTCCAGATTGTCTTCGAGGAACGGCATCGTCTTTTTGTTGAGGAAAGTCGCTTTAGTGGTGTCCATTCCGTCTTCTCCATATCTGAAATGTCGAGAATTGGGTTTTGTCTATAATATTTTAAAAATTAGCCAAAATCAAACAACTCTCAAAAATCTCAAGCTCTTGACCACTGACATCAAAAATTACCTAACTATTTTTGCAGATTTTACAGAGCAATTTCAATCAACCGTACCTAAACTGAATGACACTTCCGTCGTGATCTCGGACCGTGGAGTCGTAGTGCACGCGAATTCCCTCCAAATGCTTGATGATGCACCGCTGGAGGTATCCAGATCGCGACGTCTTCACCGCCGTATCGATGAGTCCTTCGCGTCCGGCCATCGTATGGAAGAACAGCTCCTGCGGGTTCATGCCCGTCAAGAATCGCTGATCAATGTATCCTCCGGCTCGTGGCGACGGATCGAAGCATCGGAACGAGGGAAGCGTCCGTCCGGCCACAGTCACGGCCATACGCTTACCCTCGAGCTCGATCTGACCGAGACAGCCCGAAATTTGAATCGCGTTGACTGCGGATCCTTTGGCTCCCGACTGGATCATCAGTTGGAGGGCGTTCTGCGGGAAGAGCCGGAGGAGTCCGGTCGGCACGCAGGACTTTGTGATCGCGTCGTTGTACTTAGCAATGCCCTGCTTCATTCCGAAATCGAGCATCTTTACGTCGGTTCCCTGGCCACGTGGATTGCAGTAGGTGGCCGCCAGCGTCCGTTTAATCTCCGCTTTCGATGCCGTGTCCGGAAGACCGAACGCTGTGCGCACCACTTGATCTCCGATCGTTCTCGACTCCAAAACTGCGTCTTTTCGCTTCGCATCGGCTGCTTCGACGACGAGAATGTCGGCGACTCCAAGCGTGAAGCCGTGGTACTGAAATTACCGATTAAAAACGGAATTGCAGAATAAGAATGACATTTGAACTGAAAACGGCTGGAATTTCTAACCTGCAAATAGGTGGTGAAGAGTCGAGAGAAGCAGGAGAGCAGCTGCACTCCGCACCGATGTCCGTAGAGTTCGAACGTGCAGTGGGCGAGTCCGAACTGCGTCGCTCCAAAGTGCGCCTTGTCTAGCACACCGACGAGCAGCTCTCCCTGCCGGAACACCACGTGCGACTCGCTCATCTCGAGCGGGGGCGGGGTGTATCCGGGCACCACCCAGCAGCTTAGCGGCGTTTTCGCTTTTCCGTCCAGGTTGATCAGCGGTCTGCCTTCCGGAATGCAATTTTTCACGATTGTTGATACCACCTGAAATACAAACATTTGAAATTTTCTCATAATTTTCAGCATAAAGCTGATTTTTTCGACAATTTCGAGCAGAGAGAAAGAAAGCAAAAAAATGTTTGCATCGGAAGGGATTCGAACCCTCGCGGTCTTTGGGACCATAGGAACGGGAGTCCTACGCCTTACACAGGTGAAACGCGGTTGATCAATTATACAATTGAGCCAATTGTAGACAAATTATCAACAAATCGCGAACGGGATGAGAAGCAGATTGGCGCACAACACAGTGTATAATAAAGAAATCGCGCTTGTTCGCGATTGATGTATAATTAGTGAATTATTGACAAGTTCGCGAACGAGGGTGCACAATCGACAAATCGGCGAACGGGCTGGTCACTCTGAGTTTCACTTTTGAATTCAAATATTTGTGATTTTTTCATATTTTCGTTGGTTTTTATTGCAATTTCGCATGCTTTTTTGTAATTAAACCAAAGTAGAGCATACAGGTTTCGCATTTCAATTCGTTATGGTTCATTGCCACGACTAATACTTCCAGAAACAGACAGCCGCAGGTGAGAAAATGGATTTTTGATTCAATTGAATCAGAAAAAAGATTTCAGATAATGCGAACGAATTTGGAAAAAGAGAAGAATAACTGGAAGTTATTAATGCCGACCAAGATTTAAAAAAGTGATTCGAGTGTGCCGGGCGCAGAGTTCGAACAGTGTCAGACGGCCTATTCCTCGCAAAAACGAACAACGTGGTCGTTGGACGGTGAGATTCAGAAGGATACATAGAAAATCAATCATTCAATTTCAGTCAATGTTCGTCTTCAAATAGTGTGTGGGAAGAAAACGATGGCGTTTCGAAAAGGAAAGAAAAGATGAACACATTCAGCATGAGGGCGAAGTCGCAGAAGTAATCGCCGACTGTTACGTGATTTTCTACTCAATATTGATCAATTCTTTTTTTTTCGATTTTTTCTTTCACTTCTTCTTTTGTCTCTAACATTGCATTCTGTTACTTTGTTACTTTTTTCGTTTAATAAAGTTATCTCGTCTCAAGTGCGATTTGTGAAAAATTGGCTTGTTATACAATGGGCGATTTGCGCAGGATTTGTCAATTATATAATGCCCGTTCGCGATTTGTCAGTTATTAATCAACAATTCGCTTCATCGCGTGTACCTGGAGAAAAAATCTGGGATAAATCGCGAACTAATTCCACACTTTTCGCGATTCACCTGTGTAACCACTCGGCCACCGATGCCACGCTTCTGAATACAGCACATTCCGCTTATTCGGTCAACGGAACCGGAAGGGACCGTTTGTGCGGGAACAGTTATGGAACCACTAACAGAAGTGGTCCCTCCGGATTCAGATTCGTGGCACCGGTGGCCGACTGGTTTAAGGCGTGGGAGGTTTGCACTCCTATGGTCATCAGACCTCGCGGGTTCGAATCCCGTCCGGTGCGGTACTCTTTTGCCGCCTTTCAATTGGGTTCTGGCACTATTTCCAAAAATATAGGATGTGTCGAGAAAATAGACGTTTTCGAGTATTTTTACTAATCCAATGTAAAACTAGTTAGTTTTGAAGTAGAAATACCGTGAAATGCTAGCCAGTGCAAAAGAGAATGGGCCGAACCGGGGATTGAACCCGGGACCTCTCGCACCCAAAGCGAGAATCATACCACTAGACCATTCGGCCACACGATCACTTCCATTTCGATCACAAAACAACACCCCCAATGCCTCCTTCCGCGTCGCTTTTCTTTCCGCAAGTCATTTCACACAAAGAAACTTCTTGCGGAAAGCGGCGCGGAAGGGAAACGTTTCGGCGCGGAATGAGGCATTGGGGGTGTTGTTTTGTGATCGGAATGGAAGTGATCGTGTGGCCGAATGGTCTAGTGGTATGATTCTCGCTTTGGGTGCGAGAGGTCCCGGGTTCAATCCCCGGTTCGGCCCATTCTCTTTTGCACTGGCTAGCATATGACGGTATTTCTACTTCAAAACTAACTAGTTTTACATTGAATTAGTAAAAATACTCGAAAAGGAGTGGGGGAATGCGAATGCACGACGTGAATGTGGGAAGGATGGTCAATCAGTTAGCAATCATTCAGCAATCGAGACGACCGCGCGTTCTTGGACTTATGATTTTTCTTCAGTCTTCACAACTTTTCGCCACAGCGCGACTTTTTTACGACTATCTTTTACTTTTTCTGTTTGTAAAATTTCCTCTATTCTTTTTCGAAAAGCTTTACAGAAATGTTGCTTATCCGGAGCTTGTAATATCAAAAAAACAATTTTGAGGCCCAAAAACACAATTTTTCTGATTTTCTTCACCTTCTTTCCTCATTCGAAAACGTTTGAATTTTAATGTATTGAATGTGAACAGTCTGTTATAACTGATAACGAACAAAGAATTCTGAATTTGTACAAAAATAATTCTCCAGTTGCATCACATTGTTAACCACACCTAACTACTCGTTAGTTGTATATGTTCTATACTTTTCCTTTCTATTTTCAAACTATTTTTTACAGATGCTCCAGTACTTCATTCAACACCGTCGGAATTTTTTCGATGTTTCCCGTTCAGCATAAAAAGTGCATTTCCAAACATTTCAGACTATTTAGTACAAAGAAATAAAAGAAAAATGTTTGCATCGGGAGGGATTCGAACCCCCGCGGTCTTTGGGACCATAGGAACGGGAACTCCTACGCCTTAACCACTCGGCCACCGATGCCACGCTTCTGAATACAGCACATTCCGCTCATTCGGTCAACGAAAACGGAAGGGACCGTTTGTGCGGGAACAGTTATGGAACCATTAACAGAAGTGGTCCCTCCGGTAGGGGCCACAAAGTGTACTAGCAACATTACTTTCCGTAATCAACCACGCAGAATCCAGTGGTCAAGTCAGTTTGAGCCTAACTGTCATGGTTTTTGCGAACAAGCGCGAAAACAGCAAAATGTTCGGACAGTGTCAGTTCTAGGAACTTTTTGGGGTCAATATAAGTCCGGCACCGGGGTTCCCAAAATGCATTCCGATAGTTCTTGACATGCTGAATCCGTTTTTGAAATCAGAATTAAAGATTTACTTGGCGAAACATCAATTTCAGACAGTTGCCACTTAAAACTGAAAAAAGTTTTCAGCGGTGACCCCCGATTTTTATTTTTGGAATGTGTTAAGAAACTTTTATAGTATCTCTGTACAAAATTTCAGATCATTTGGACACCTAAAAGATACTTTTTAACTTCGTCAAACATAGCGTGTTCGCCCGAAAAATCAGTTTTTTGGAGTTTTCGGGTTGACACTGGTCCGGCACCGGGATTTTGACGGCAGAATCGGATTCAGCACAAAAAACTACACCAGATCTCTTCTAGGGAACATCCGTTTTACTTGGCGAAATGTCACAAATTACAGTTTTCTGCGCATTTTCAGTAACTTTCTCTAATCGAGAGGTCGCGGGTTAGAACCCACTTCAAAAAATTTTCGTTGTCTACTTTTGGATTCGATAAAGAAAACATTTTTACTATAAGAAAGTTACATTTTTGTGATAAAACTGTCCGCTCTCTCCATTTTCTTAACCGGGTGGGTTCGCGCCGCCGCCACCAAATAGACTCCGCCCCTTTCGCTGCTGAATTTTCAGTGCAAACCGCGCAAACTAAAAACGTTCTTAACTCGAGAAGTACCGAACATTTTTCAAAAAAAATTTGGGAATGTACTATTTTTAAGCACTAGAACACATTCCGATAAGTGTTTTCCCGAAATTCACAAGTTTGTTAATCACTTTGTGGTCCCTACCCTCCGGATTCAAATTCGTGGCACCGGTGGCCGAGTGGTTTAAGGCGTGGGAGGTTTGCAAATCACTTGAAATTCTAGTTTTTTCGGGTTGTCCAAATCTTTTTCAGAGTACAAACCTGTTTTCCGGTCCACAATCGCTTCGGGTAGAGAATCGTGGGCGGCGGGATCTGAATGCGCTTCGAGTACTGCGCAAACGAGGCGAGCACCAAGTGCATAAAGTCCTCCTTGTTCAGAAAACGATCGCGAAGTGTCAAGAGTACGCCGGAGACGACGTGATCCTGAATGAGTCCCAGCAGCGGGGTCGCGTCTTTCGGCACCAGAAAGTTGCTGCCGACGTTGGCGATCTCGCGAACCTCGGTCTGTGCGATGTGCGACTGCACGAGGTGTCCGTTCATTTCGTCTCCGTCGAAATCCGCGTTGTACGCCTTGCACGGCGCGTAGTTCATGCGGAGGGCGCGCTGTCCGGTGAGCACTCGGGCGCGATGCCCCAGGATCGAGGGCTTGTGGAGCGAAGGCTGTCGGTTCATCATGATCATGTCGCCGTTGCGCATGTGTCTCAGCACCTTCGCAGTCTGCCGCAGCGATTCGGAGGTGGCCGGCGTGAGCGTCTTCGCTAACTGCATTCTCCGCTTTTTCTCCTCCGGCTTGTCGCCCAACATCGTCTTCTTGCCGGACGGTTCCACAAAGAAATTGGCTCCCGGATGCTCGTGCGGTCCCTTTCGCAGCAGTCCTTTCATCTCTTTCAGGTTAAACGCATTCACTGGCTCCGTAAACGTCAACTTTTTCGCAAAAATGTCAGGGATTCCAATCTCATCAATGTCCAGGTACGGATCCGGAGTAATAACGGAGCGGCACGCAAAGTTCACTCGTTTTCCCATCATGTGCATTCGGAAGAGTCCCTGCTTCTTCTCGAGGATCTGTTTGATTCCGGCAATCGAGTCGCGGTCCCCTTTGTTCAGGTCCTGGTCGAAGATTGCGTTGGCGCGAAGTTGCAATTGAAGGTAAGCATCGTGCATTTGCGCATTTATAGTCTTTCCGCGCACTCTCTGAGCGACGAGCTCTTTCAGTTGCGCACTATTATCGCCTTTCATGATCAGCGAGATGGCCGAGATCGTCTCGGTGGCCTCGAGAACTTTGCGGAGGTTCAGAGTCTGCGGATCTTCGTACTGCGCGCCTTTGAACATGCGAATCGGACGGAACTTCTTGGGCGGCACGAGGATTCTCTCGAGGAACAGACCGTCCAGCGGGCAGATCATGTCCTCTCCGTTCAGCTCGTCGATGAGCATCGGGAACAGTTTCAGGAGCAGTTTTCCGTCGTTTTTGAAGAGCACTCGAAAGTGTTCGCGGACTTCGGCGCCTCGCCACGCAAGTTTGTTACAGTCTCCCATGCGAACACTCTTCATCTGCTGCTCCAGACTTCCTTCGGTCAGATCGCCCACTTCCGCGCCTTTTTCCGTCTCCTTCTTCTCATCCTCGTCCGTAGACGACTCCTCCTGATATCCATCTTCTCCCGTGATGATCTTCGTCGACTTCTTCGACTTTCCCCTCGATCCTCCGGAGAAATCGATAAGAATCGAGCGAGCGCCGTCGTTTCTCAGCACTCCGTTGCGCGCTTTGCACATTGGGCACTTTTGAAGCCGTTTGAAAAGATGACTTCTAAGAAAGTTGGTGATCAGATCCTTCTTCAGTTGAACCGAATTCTTCGTGGGCGTAGATTTGAAGGCGGTCAGCTCGGACAAGGGCTTCTGGGCGAGCTGGGCGATGCACGAATCGACATCGGTGAATGCTTTCGAGTCGTCCTCGTCGAACAAATCGCTATTGTTAATCTTTTCGCGGAGAATCGATTCCAGGTCGAAGGCGACGTACTCCACGCCCAATTCGAAGCATCGGAGCTGTGCGATGAGCAGTCGCGCGTTCACGCCGTCGCCTTTGCACGTTAATCGATGACAGTGCACGCACGAGCCTTTCAGAAGCTGAAAATTCGAATTTTTATTTGGAAAATCAACGTTTCATGTTACAAAACCTACATTGTACGTGAATTGAAAGAGAAGCGGGTTGAAGACGGGCACAGCGAGCTGAATGTGGCCCATGTGTCCGGGACAATGCCTTTCGTACTGATTACACGTGTTGCACTTGTCGAAAACGTTGTCAGGGCCCAGAATCGGATCGTAAAGACCGCCGGCAATCGGGTGACCGACCTGAAAACCAACAAAAATCCAAGAATTAGGCCTAAAGCCAACCAACCTCATCGAAGGTTTTGGTCTGTGTGATTCGGAGCACACTGAGCTTGTCGACTTCGTGAGGAAAGTAACTTCGTAGTTTGAAATTCGAGAACTGCATGTACGGCTCTTCGCCATTTCTGACGAAGAAATCCATTTTACCCTGCAAAAATTAGATTTTCGAGGCGGATTGGTCAAAAACGGCTATTTCGTGAACGATCAATGTTGTTTTGGTGTCAAAAAATTCGCCGAATTTTTCTAAACACATTTGACGGCGAAAGTTCGACGAAAAATAGTCGAGATCAAGGGGAAATCACCGAAATCAGTAGGAAAGAAGTTTGACAGGCCTGAGTACGCGAACACCGCGGAGTGTAATGTTTGCGGACAATGCGCTAGATTTTACGGGCAAACCAGACAAATCGCAGAAAACCGGTGAATTTCAGTGAAATCTGTGCTGAAAAGTCCTGAAAAGTCCTAAAATAAAGCAAAAAACATCTTTCAAACATTTCAGATTGTTCGTTTCTTTTCAGGCTTCACATGCACTTCCGCTTGTCCGATTTGTCGTGTGTGCACTCTGAAAACGAAAAAAAAACGCGATCACTCCGCAAACAATACTGTCTATCTCCAAAATCACCAAACATTTTACGATCCCCGTGCACATAATTGTGTATACACATAATTTTGTGACAAATTTCACACCTTTTCGTCTTTTTTTCGATTTCTCACGTCACAACTACAACTGGCGTCGCGAAAACAAAAACTAGCGGATTCTGAGTACTAGCTTCTGGAGACATTTTTCGTTTTTTTTCTGATTTTGTCACTTCTCTTGGTTATTTTCGTGATACGCCTGTAAATTACACAAGAAAAATTATTACTGTACTTTATGCCGCGTCCAATGTCTCGGAAAAACCGTAAAAACCGCAGATTTTTCTGTCCAAAGTCGGCCGAAATTTGCGTGAAAAACGGGGGTGTGCACAGCTCAATGAGTGTAACCGTACCCCTAAAACTACGGTATTTTTTGAAAATTTGTTAATTTCTTGAGGTTATTTGAAAATATTCATATTTCTTGCGCAAATTTTCAAAAAATACCGTAGTTTTAGGGGTACGGTTACACTCATTGAGCTGTGCGCACCCCCGTTTTTCACGCAAATTTCGGCCGACTTTGGACAGAAAAACCTGCGGTTTTTACGGTTTTTCCGAGACATTGGACGCGGCATTAGAGGGGAAAGAAAAAATTTCAGCGAAAAAGGGAACATCCGTTAACACAAAAACCCGGAACAACTATATAAATGATTCAATTTTTATCAGCAAAAAGTTGACAAAGACTAGACACTTTCTTCAAGTAATCGATAAAAACACAAACGCCGGGGGAGAATGACGACTCTAATAAGATTATCATAAAAATCGACAGTGTCTTCTTATTCAACCTGTCTAATTTTGCATAGAAATGGCTCATTTCGGAGCGAAACCTTTCAGAAAGTGAGTTTTTCGGAAAAAAAGTGTTAGGTCTCGAAAAAAGTAAAAATTCAGTATGTGCCGACAATTGTTCTGTGAAATAACTATGGGAAACGCTGTGTTTCCTTGCAAGGAATTGCATGATCGGAAAATGAGTTCTAAACTTTTTCGCCTTTATTTCTCAACAAAGTTTACTCGTTTTACACTCAAAATGCTCGAAAAAGTGAGAAATATTCGACGATTTTCAACTCTTTCACAAAAAACACAAAAAGACTAAAGTCGGGTTAGCCCGGGTTCAAAAGTTAAAAGTTGCAAACTTCAGAAAACGACTGACGTCAAAAAATTTCCGTCGTTTATTAATCGTCCCGGAAACTCTTGACTTTCATCAACAAATTTTCACAAAAAAGTGACTAATCACATATCCGGGCCGGCCGGCGCGCGCTCTCTATTCATTTTTCAATTTTTCTCTTGCTACAGGGCTAGAATTCTTTTTCAAAATCAAATTTTCTATCGATTGACAAAAAAGTAGTCGAGAAAGAAGACGAAAAAGCAAGGCAATCGTCGAAAAGCAATAGTTTCGCGATGCGCGCGCAGATCAAATACGGAAGGGTCTCGCAGCGATCGGACAAATTTATGGGCGCGCATTCAAAATGAGCGCGCGTTGCGGCCCTCTGGGACGAGTGGGTGGACGGGGAGAAAAAAAAAGAGGATCGTTCTCGCCAGAGAGTCCTCTCGGACGGAAGGACCGCAGAACGCGACGCCGTGTTTTTGTGATGACTAAACCAACGAAACAGTCGTAAACGTCCTTTGATCTGTGTGACAGGCGTGACAGTTCCTGACCCAGTCACCTATTGTCATCATTTTGGCGTCGCGTTCTGCGGTCCTTCCTTCCGAGAGGAGGACCAGAGCGATCCTCTTTTTTTCTCCTTGCCCAGCCGGCCCTGTCTGCCGTCCCAAAGACCGCAACGCGCGCCGCTCGTTTTGAATGCGCCTACCGTATATCTGTCCGATCGCTGCGAGACCTTTAGTAGTTTTGACCTGCGCACCGCGAAACGATGGATTTTCGGCCGTTTCTAGACTGTTCTCCGCTGCTTTTTATCGTTTTCTTTGCATCGATTATTTCAACAGAAAGACAACTGCTCGATTTTTCGTCGCTTATCCGGTTGTCCGGGTGCATGACGAGAGAAATGGCTCAGCCGCAATCTGCGTCAGATCACGATTCGAAACTTTTAATCCAACAGTTGAATATCGAAGCTTTGCAATTTTTGACAGCAGCAAAGAAGAAAACACTTTCGCCTATTTGCCGGTCCATTGCCAGCAGGGGTGTGCGGAAAATTTTTTTCGGAAAATTTCGGAAAATCGGTTTTTCCGAATTTTTTTTTTTCGGAAAATTTCGGAAAATCGGGTTTTCCGAATTTTTTTTTTCGGAAAATTTCGGAAAAATCGGAAAAATCGGAAAAGCGCGTTGAACTTGTGGCCGCAAAAACACGCTTTCTCACCGTTTTTCCGCCCAGTTAAATATACGTCCCACTTTCCCATTACGTCAGCTTTTCTGAAAAAACAACACAAATCGCAACAATCGGTTCTTTAGAATGAGAAAAACGAAAGAAATTGCGTAAAATTTAAAAATCAAATTTAAAAAGACGCTCGCTGCTAGACCCTTCCAAAAATTTTGTGATGCGCCTTTAAAAAGCATACGGTGGTTTCGGACAAATTGACCTTGAATCCACACTAATTTTCCGAAAATTTTGCCAAACATTTTCGGAAAATTTTCCGGCGGAAAATCGGAAAATTTCGGAAAATCGAAATAGTTTCCGCACACCCCTGATTGCCAGTACTGACTTTTATCATAAATTGTTCATGTTTTGTTGCAAGTATGCAAGTATGCTTCTAGCTAGAACGATTAGAAAAAGCTCAATCCGACGATAAAATGTCAAAAATGTTCTCGTGCTCGAGTCAGTGCGCGCCCATTCAGGGGTTTCTCGCCCGTCCCTCGTGCCCTTTTCTGAGCTCTCTCGCTCTCGTCTCGCCCCGGCTCTCAAATCCACTATTATCAGCCAAAAAAGATTAGTGGTTACCTTCTGCTCGCAACTACAAAAAAGAGCTCTCCGGCTTGGTGTTGGCCAAACAACTTGCTTTCCGAATGGCTCGTCGCAAATCGATAAGAAGGTAAATCTTTCGGTTTATATCGTCTTTTTCTCAATGCGAACGGAAATGCAAAAAAAAAGGGGCACAGCTTTTGGTTCTTTTTGTGAATTCCTGAAAAACGTTAGAAATCAGCAAAATCCACGTTTTTTTTTCCTCAATTTTTCCTCAAATGTCAAATTCCCAGAACCTTTAAGCAGTTTTCTCTTCTCACACCCACAACCATAACCTATAATCAAAAACGTTCTCCTTCAAAACTTTTTCGCATTCTCGATTTTCAAAATTTGGCCTTTTCTCTTCCAGCTCACTTCTTTTATAACGTCTTCTTCTAAAGCCCATGCTTTCTCACATCGACCATCATTTTTTGTTACATAGGAAGAGGAAAAATGAGGAGAAAGAAGGAGAACTCTCATGAAATCTTAATCATCCGCTTCTTTCCCATGCTCCGACACATTTGTCCGTGTTTTTTGTGCTGTAGATCGACTTTTTTTTTATAAGAAGAGAAAGAAAACATTTATTTTGATCATCAGAAGCCTATTGCATTTCCTGTTTTGTCTATGAGTCGCATTCCTTCCTTCCTGTCTCTTTTTTTTTGAGCATTGGGTTAGCATTGGGGGTTACCATTGGTTGACATCGATCTTCACGTCAAAGTAATACTGAAAGTCAAGGTGGCTAGTAAATACAAAAAAAAAGCTTTATGAATATAGAGAGAGAGAAGGAGAGAAAAGGGGAGAACACAAGTCAGAGAAGCGTGTGTGTGTGGGGGGAGGAAATGCGCGAGCGATATTATGAGCGTCTTGATGAGGAAATGCTCGCTCGCAGCTTATTTTTCATCTCTTACTCTGTTTTTATGCTGTTCGATATCTCGTTAGGGTCTGATGAGTTGCGAACACTTTGCATGGACGTTTTGCAACCAACAGATATTTCGCATAGCCCATTTCTCGAAAGATCTCCAATCAGGTGAAAGTTTTGTCGCAAAAGTGCTAGCTAGGGAGTGGTTGCGAAATGTACGGCAGTTGCAAAACAGCTAGACGGGAGTCGCGTTGCAAAGTGTCCAAGCATAGTTTTATCTCGCAGCTTGGCTCAAGCTCAATTTTTTTTTTAAAATCCTCTCATCTCGGTTGCGAAACGTCCATTAGTTGTAAAGTATTCAAAGGTCGAAAAACTGAACTTTGCTCGCCGGAGCCCCCCGAAAAAACACCTGGGGTGTCTGGGCGAAACTCCCATAATCACACATCAACTTTTTGCGTTCTATATACGAAATCGAATTACATTTCCGTTCATTCAGCGCTCTTGAAAGCTCATTCTCGTTCTATTTTTTTTTCAATTAGTGCTGAAAAGGCACACCTTTTGCACATTTCGTTTCCAATTTCCCCGTTGACGTCAATCCGGGAGCGAAAAGAGCAAGAGCACAATGAGCGGGGAGCTTTCTGGAAAAGGCGGCCGTCAAGTACCCCCCAGCCGATCCTCTTGAACGTTTATTTTCAGACAAAATGAAGCCATCCACGGGGCTTCTTCTTTTTCTTCTTCTTCGTCTTGCGTAACCAACCATGAATGATATACAAAAACTTAATTCCATTGTTTTCTTTTCTCATTCGAATCGATTGCAGAATGCTCACGACGAGTGGCTACGCGAACGGCGCGTCGCTCAGGTCTTCGATCGACGATTCGCCGCAGGACCAGGAAGAATCGGAGACGTTTCTGTTGGGAATGGTCACCGGGGACGGCATCGGAAAGGTTGGTGCAACACTTTTTGTACTTTATTATTCCGCTATTAGGCCTAGTCCCGATTCCACAAATTACGAGTGTTTATGAAGGAACGAAACCCACAAAATGTGCACTTTTGAGTCTTGAATCAAGACTCTTGATTTCATGGCTGTCACACACTATTCGCTCACTTTGTTCGTCATCATCAATGACCGATGATGACGGAAGAGTGTCCAGTAGTCAGAAACGTATGAAATGCATCTTTACAAGGGGTCAGGTTTTTGCTCATTAGACTTGAATCTTGCTGAAACCCAGTGCTCATGAAACTCGCGCAGAATTGAGGTCAGCATTACTTTACTCTGTTAAAGATCAGATGAATTTTGATAAACAAGCCGCAAACAAAGCTTTTCTTATTGAGAATCCACACACGTTTTGAAACTAGACTGTGTCGATTAGTGAACAGTTCCTTCAGCCATCCGAAACGTAGGTAGAAAAGAGGATTTTCTCGCTGCTGAGCTCCTCCGGCTCCAGCACCAGCTCACCAAAAATTGGAAAGCTCTGAAATTGATTGCACCGCTTTCTTCTCCTCGTTTCTCTCGATGCGGAGAGTGTGAGAATATCAACGAGCACGTTTACATCTCCAACTTCTCCGCCATTCTTTCTTTTCGCACACTTCTTCCACAAGATCTCGGCTGAAAAACTGGAGAAGAAGAAGAAGAAGAAGAAGAAGAGACTAGTTGAAATGGATTGCACTTTGCGGCCGTTGGTCTACGCGCAAGAGGTAATTTTCGAGGGATTTGATTTTGTGAGAATTTTTTATCAACTACCTACATACCGTAAATCCTGTAAGCCCTTTGACTGCAAGAAATTACATGACCGATGCATTTTCGAGTTCCGTTTATAGGAGGAGGCCGTGTAAGCGTTCACTTTTCTTAACATTTGTACAAATTATCAGTTGTCAGGCGAATCATAGAAAAAACAACAGCATGATATATGGATATTAGGCACGAAAGACTTGTAAGACCGCGTTGATTATATATAATTTTATCGTTGATCTCTGTGTGCAAAAATGTATAATTTCTCGCTCGCCTGCAAAAAGTCGTGTTACGAACAAGCCCCCGACTACAAAACGGTTTCGAAGAAGATTCTGACTCTCTAGGGCCACGCCCCCCGTTTTTTTTCCATTTGTAGTCGATACGTAGCCATCTGACACGCATTCATTCTGATTTATTCCGAAAAAGTACTCTCACTCTCACTCTCTTTCTCTCTCCTTTTTTCACTTGCTCACTTTCAATGATGATTGTGCCCGGAATGGAAAGTTTTGAGGTTAGTTATGCGGCTAATGAACCTGATAAGTCCGGTTATTCTTGAATTGACCTGCTCATAAAAACATTGCTCTATTAGTCGACTAGTTAGCTATTTTCGAAAGTGATTGTACTGGAATCCATTCGACGAAAAGTGAGTGCGTCGGCGCGAAATCACCTGTCAAAACAAAAAGAAGTTAAAAATATGCATAAAAGATCGGATTTCTAGTTACGGGCGGATATCAGATAGAACCGAGTAATCTGTGAGTATGAGACAGCTTGGCGAATCGAAAAATGTGCAAATCCTATTTCAGACTCACAATTTTAAAATTTACGGTGATTCTTTAAAGGCGCAGCACGAAATTATGTGCCAAAAATCAAAAAAGCACGCGTCTCGGAATCGTTATCGCTTCCACTTGCCTCTTTTCGCCTTTCTTATCAACGATCGGTCCCCGCGGTCTTCAATTGACGGCCTCTTCGAGTTTGGTTATGGACATGACCTCCAAGAGAGCTTCATAATAACTCATGCATTCCTAATCACTCTCGCCTCTCCTCTCTTCTGCATAAACAAGCGGGTGTCAGTGGGTGGAAGATGTACAATTCATTGGATCGCCGCGGTAGTCTGACTATCGGCACGTGGCAGTTGCGAGACATTCTGAAACCGAAGCGCCGAAAGACTTATGACACTTTGGAGGAGGTAATCTCGACGCTCAACGTGCTTTGTCGCTCACACTCAAAAACTATTTAAAAGAAACAGTCGGGCTATGAAGGGTAAAGACGAGTTTTGCGGCGAAAAAGTACTACTTCACAAAAGCTTGTAAAAATGACGTGTTTTCTGAAAAGAACCGAACGTGTGGTTCGAAGACTAGCGCCAATCAGACATCTATTCTACGTGCCCACTTCTCACGCCTACACTGACTCAGCGCGGATGCAAAAAAAGAGTATTATCAGTGTCAATCCGGTCTAATCACTCACACACACACCCCCTCAGTGTTTATCGATTTTTTCACTAACTTTTCCATTTTTGCAGATGTTCAACGCACGCTACCGAAACATCAAAGAGAAGAAGGCGGCGAAGATGACGTACCGCGCGTTGATCTACAATTGTCTGGAACGGCCGACCGGCTGGAAGTGTTTTCTCTATCACTTTAGCGTCTTTTTGATAGTCCTCATTTGCCTCATACTTTCCGTCCTTTCGACCGTCGAGGAGCACAGTCATTTCGCCGCCGAGCTTTTGTACATTTTGGCAAGTTCTACTCTTATTGTAACTTTTTCTGAAAATGTGTTTTTCAGGAAATCTTTCTAGTCATCTTCTTCGCAATCGAATATATAATCCGTTTATGGTCCGCCGGGTGCCGCTCCAAGTATATTGGCTTTTGGGGACGGCTGAAATTTGCGAGGAAACCCATTTCTTTCATCGGTAAATAATAGCCGGGTAATTTCAGTTTATATTTAAAAACACTTATTCCAGATTTGTGTGTGGTGCTTGCCAGCATAACAGTGATTTGCATCGGAAGCGAGGGCCAAGTGTTCGCCACGAGCGCCATTCGCGGCGTACGGTTCTTGCAGATTCTGAGGATGCTACACGTGGATCGGCAAGGCGGTACTTGGTAAGTCCTTGTAAGAATGGTTAAAAGTACTGTAGTTTGATGCTAACACACGCTTACACCTTTCACGTTAGCTCTAGAAGACTTCGATTTCGCCGTTTCCAGGCGCCTGCTCGGTTCGGTGGTGTTCATCCACCGTCAGGAACTGATCACCACCCTCTACATCGGCTTCCTCGGCCTCATCTTCTCCAGCTACTTTGTCTACTTGGCCGAGAAGGACCACGTGGGAATCGACGGCCGCCAAGCGTTCACGAGTTACGCGGACGCGCTCTGGTGGGGCGTCATCACGATGACGACGATCGGCTACGGAGACGTCGTGCCGCAGACGTGGACCGGGCGGATCGTCGCCTCGTGCTTCTCCATCTTCGCCATCAGCTTCTTCGCACTGCCCGCCGGTATTCTCGGCTCGGGATTCGCGTTGAAGGTGCAGCAGAAGCAGCGACAGAAGCACTTCAACCGACAGATTCCCGCGGCCGCCACGTTGATTCAGTGCCTTTGGAGGTGTCATGCGGCCGAGAAGAGGATATCTGCCACGTGGAATGCTCACATCGATCCGTTGGCTCACGAGACCCGGGAGACGCATCACGGGAAGAAGCAGCAGCAACAGCAGGGCGACTCGAATCATGTGACCAGAAAGAGACAGTTGTTCAAGAAGCAGTGAGTTCCTCGCACTCATCCTAAGACACACGAACCCTATTAAGATCCTCGCTGGTTAACACATTTCGTCGTAAAGGCTCCCCGGCGGCCGACGTCGAAATGGGCGAGTTGCACCAGCAGCTGACGCGCCACGAACGAAACTCGGACACGGACGACGAGCGGCGGATGTACCGCACGACGACCGACATCGAGATCGAATACGAGACGGAAGAGGCGAACACGCCGACGGCAACGGCCCACGGACACATCAGTCACGTGTGCGAACTGACTGAAGCGCATCGGAATGCGATTCGGGCGATCCGAAAAGTGAAGTACTTTGTGGCGAGGAGACGGTTTCAGCAGGCGCGGAAACCGTACGATGTGCGGGATGTCATCGAGCAGTACTCGCAGGGACACTTGAACATGATGGTCCGGATCAAAGAGTTGCAGAGGAGGTACGTCTCGTGGCCTAGAAAATATTTAGAGATAAAAATGAAAATAGAAGCATTTTACGTGTGAAATCCGTTAATGAAATCCTTTTCAGGCTGGACCAAACGCTCGGCAAGCCGGGTCAATACGACGGAAAAGGATCGCGAAAGGGGCATCCGGTGACGATCGGTTCCCGATTGTCGCGCCTCGAGTTGCAGGTTCGTGCGTGTCGCCGACACGACTGATAAGAGTGTCTGCGTACGTGCAGTGCACATTTCACACCTTTTGACTGTTTCAGATGTCAAGTCTGGACCGGAAAGTGGATTCGAGTGCTCGAACGCTGAACGCCCTGTACCGGTTGATGGCCGATCGGAACTCGTTGACGATCTCTCCGTCGCCGCCGGCGCTCATCAGTCGGCCCGTCTCTCCGGCCAACTGTCTTTCGCCCCGAGATCAACTGTCGCCCACCAGCAGTCAGCGGTCCCCATCGCCCAGTTACACGTTGGATCCCAATCAGTGGCACTAAACAAATTGTCTGGCACCAAAATGACACTATTCAGCTTTCACTTCAAAGTGTCCAAAATAGCTAACAATAGGAAGAGTTGGCCCACTTTTAGAGACTTGAACACTTGGCGTAAATGAAACTGTGTATTATTTTCAAAGCTGAATCGAATTGTGTCATTTTGGGGTTCAGAAAAATGTTTTAGTGTCACGCCCCCTTTCGGGCGTTATAACTTTGTTCAAATTCTATGTTTTCGACCGTTTGAGATTGGAAATCAAAGGGTTCTATTTAAAGAACTATAATTGGGATCTTTGATTTGCAAGTTCGAACGCTCAAAATCCCCGGTAATTAATACGGTAAATTTTAGGCCAAACTTTTCCCATTTTAATGTTCACCCCCTTTCCCTTCAAGCTGATAGCATAATCGCGTCAAACTAAAACAAAACAATCCACCAATCATCACCATCATCATGTTTTTGTCACACGTTGTCACTGGTATTCTTCTGTTTTTTTTTCGATTCAATAATTTATTTTTCAAATTCAAACGTTTCAGACTACCCGTTTTGATATGAGATGTGGCCAAAGAGTACTATGCAATATTTGAGAAGCGGACAATGATGGCGGCGATTCGGTTAGGCGGCCCAAATCATGTTGACGGCCAAAAGGGCGAAACCGAGAACACTGGCGCACCACTGGAGCATGTTCGAGTGGTTGTTGGCGCGTTCCGGGGCGAGCATCTGAAAAAAATGAAAAGTTTGACTCACTGATTTTTAAGAGACAAAATCCATAAATCTGCCCCAAACTCACCTCAAAGAACGAGATATAAATAAAAGTGCCCAAGGAGAAACTCATGAGGACAGCCGTACAAATGTCCTTCGGCGTCTGATTCATATTGGAGCTCTCGATGAGAATGCCCGCGGACCCGCCGATCACATTGAACGCCGCCAGCACGAAGATGAGAAGCATGACGACGTACCGTCTGCGCGGATGACTTCTCGTCAATTTCATGCCCAACGAGAACATGACTATCGCCTTGTGCAGGGCGATTCCCAAGAAAAGGGAAGTGACCGAGACGGCGTCTTCCTGAACTCCGAACGCGAAGCACTCGAAGAAGACGTGCAGAATGAAGGCCGACGTGAAGATTATCGATTGACGGATCGGCGCCTCGCCGTCCTCGTCGTAGCCCTAAAAAAGTGTCAAAATTGCAGAAATTTGCTTATCACTAGTCTGTCCGAACTCGATTCTTTATCAGCCGAAATTGAAATGGACACATTGCTACTAATTTCAATTTTCAGGAACACAGAGCGTTTTCGTTTAATTTCTCGCTAACCTGAAGGGACCGCTTGCACGGCTGCACCAGGTTGCCTTCCACGTTGAAAATACTGCCGACAGTCGCCAGTCTGGCCCGCGGAAACGTCACATTCGACTCCATGATCGGATCGTTCGAATGCGAGTGTCCGTGCCCGGCGTTGCAGATCACACTCGACAGCTCTTCGGTCAGGTAGACGAAGAAGAATCCGCAGAGGGCGATCAACTGGACGAATGGGTAATCGCTGAGGTAGCCGGTGTCCTGACGCACCGACTCCCAGGCTTCTCTGTAGACCGGGGCTTTGTAAAATTTAAAATCGGAGCAAATTTGGAGCAGGGCCTACGCGGTTCGATAAATCTCGTGCGCAAGATTCTTGTCACTTTGTCACATTCTACGAAAAAAGTTTCTAAAAAACCAGATTTCATCCGCTCAACTCTGGTGACAAGGTTGCGAACGAGCTTTTTCGAATCATGCAGCAAAAAGAGAACTCACAGCGAATCGGGTAGCATGTCGAGGAAGCAAACGGACAAGAAGACTCCTCCGGCGAAACACGAGAAAAGGGAGAGAAGGAGGGAGGAGTGCTTGTGCATCGCAGAGTTCGGCGCGTTCAGATAGTCGATTAGCTGAAGAGTTTATGTTTTAGGCCAGCTCTAGATTTGAATACTTCTCTTAAAACTATGAAAAAATCTCACCTTAATTGGAAGCAGTCCGAAAATGATGGTCATCAGGGCCATGACTCCGAGCATGATCCATTTGAGCAATTCCACAGACATTCTCTTTTTTCACTTTTTAGGAAAACGAGAGAAACGGTCTGTTTCGTCGTGGTCGTATCGGACGAGTGGGAGGAGGGAAACTGATAAGGAGGCGGGCAGAGGCACGGCTCTCGAGGCCTTTTCACCGATAAGGCCCGGCATCCGAGGCCTCGAGGCGTTTTTATAGGTTGACCAACGACGGTTTCGTCATTAGTTGACACCGATAGCCGCCGCTTTTGATGGTTATTTTGGAGAGAAATAGAGACATTTCGGGAATGCATTTGGAATTGATATTTGGTGCGGGTGCCGCTCAACTTTGCACTTTTTGATTTTTTTGCGTTTTTTTGAGAGGGGGATTATGGAGAATAGAATCGAGTTTATAAATTATAATCTTTCATTGTTTGACATTCAAACTTTTTTTGAAGTTTTATCAGAATTTCGGGTTTTATCTTGACTTCGTTGGCGAATGTTTCGCAGGTTATCGCGGTTTTTCAACAAAATTCTCTGAAAATGCGAGTCCGTGACAAAAGGTCGGAAAACCAAAAAGGTCGGAAGACAAAAGGTCGGAAAGCCAAAAGGTCGGAAAAAAGTGACAAAAGGTCGGAAAAAAGTGACAAAAGGTCGGAAAAAAGTGACAGAAGGTCGGAAAAAAATGACAAAAGGTCGGAAAAAAATGCCAAAAGATCGGAAAAAAATGACAAAAGGTCGGAAAAAAGTGACAAAAGGTCGGAAAAAAATGCCAAAAGGTCGGAAAAACTGCTAAAATACCTGTTTTCTGGCTTTTTGTAATTTTTTTCCGACCTTTTGGCATTTTTTCCGACCTTTTGGCATTTTTTCCGACATTTTGTCACTTTTTTCCGACCTTTTGGCATTTTTTTCCGATCTTTTGGCATTTTTTTCCGACCTTTTGTCACTTTTTTCCGACCTTTTGTCATTTTTTTCCGACCTTTTGTCACTTTTTTCCGACCTTTTGTCACTTTTTTCCGACCTTTTGGCTTTCCGACCTTTTGTCTTCCGACCTTTTTGGTTTTCCGACCTTTTGTCACGGACTCGAAAATGCCGCTTTTCCTCTAGGCCACGCCCTTTTGCAAGCCCTGGCACGCAATTTTGCAAGTCGCGTGCACGAGATTCCATTCAAAATTCACGTTTTCCGGCGCCAAAACACTAGATCAAATCGCTTCAAGATGCGCAGTTTTCGTCGAAATCGCCACTTTCCGTCATGAAATTTTCGATTCTGGTGTGCTTTTTCGCATTCTTCATCATTTCCGATGCCGTCGCGCCGGTATCCGACGCCCTGCGCGTCGAATTCACGGACTTGGCCCAAAAAAGGTAAATTTCACTAGTTTTGTTTTCTCGGAAATTGTGCAATTTCAGACTGAAATATCTTCTGGAGCACGGTCCGCTGACGGAGCCCTTTCTGACAATGTCGATTGTGGTGACCGACTGTCACTCCGCAGCCGGTTTGCCCAAAATTTCCATCAAATCGAAGCAGGTTCCAAAAATCTCATCATTTCGCTGATTCTTCATTTTTTCAGATGATTCTGGAAGAGGAGACGTGTGGTACGCGTCAGATGCGTGGATGGTGCGCCGAGAAGCCGGGACGGAGCGGAATGCTGACCGCCCGGGACCAGAAATCGAATCGAACGGCGCTGGCGCATTTTCAGTGTCTTTCCGTGGATCCAAGTTCGCAGATGGGCGGTCCATTCTGGACGGAACGTCGTGTCCGACTGACCATCAACTTTCTCATCGTGTTTTCATTCGTCGGAATGACTTATAGGTTAATCGTGGATTTTTTGCGAAAGTTTGGAAAAATATGTATTTTCAGCTGGTACTACACGTGCACGCGGCCCCGCCCAATCCATCCGTCCAAGATCCTGCCGGGGAACCGATCGGCCGAATCGGACTCGTTCGAAAACATCACCTTCGACACGAACCGCTCGAAATCGCGCATCGCCCGCAGCAATCGATCGAGTTTCAGCGTGGCGCCCAAGAAATTCCGGATTATTGCCTAATTTGCATTGTAATTATTTTAAATTTGAAAATCTGAACAAAAAACGCTTCCTTTCTTCGATTTTATGTACTCTTTGTGCTTGGTTTTCGTTTGGAAACTCCTTTTTATCGCTATTCATTTTTCTACTTTTTGCAACGTGTATTTCAGCATTTTGACAATTTACGTCATGAAATTGCCGCTTTTACTTTACTTATTCGCATTTTTCGCCATTTCCGACGCCGTCGTCGCAGACGTCGAAAATGTTCTGACGCTCTCCGACGACGAGCTTTTCGAAGAGTTTTTGGGGAGTTCCGTCGATGCGACCGCTCCGATTTCAGACGAACTGAACAAAGAACTCACCGATTTGGCCAAAGAGGCGTAGGCGTTGAAAAACTGAAATTGTGAGTAGAATAAAAAGTTGGTTTCAGAATTGAACACGTGAAAGTGCAATGTGATTGTGTTCCGAATTCCTACAGGATTCTGCTGAAGGTGTGCGACAAGAAGTACGAATTGGATACGATCAGATCGAATCGAAATGTTTGTTTTTATCCGATTGCATTTCCCACTTCGATCAATTCAAAATGCAACAAAAATAACTTTGGCAAGAGAAACTGGTCCTCGGCCCATCCCAGTGTGCCTTTTCGAGAATATTTTGATACATTTTTTAAAATTTGCATCCCAAGTTTGAAAAAAGGCAGATTTAGTTGTGTTATTTCAGGAGGAGAAGGGACGCAACACGGCGGTCGGATGCGCGACGGATCCGATGAGCGAATGGTGCGCTGAGCATTCCGATCGCATTCTGATGGTCAACGTTCCGAATAATGCGACGAAAAAGAGCGATTCTGTGTACATTCATTGCTGGTATTGTGAGTTTTCCAATCTCCGTGGCTTTCAGGAATGTGTAAAAAGGTCTGGACTTTTGAGCCACTTGCAAGGATCCGATTGGGCCCAAACTTTGCAGATTTATTGGACTTGGATTGAAGTATTGTGGCCAAAAGTCCAGCCGGCCTTTTGCCCAGCCCTGCCTAAAAATGACAATAATCGTGGAAATTGAGTTGAATTTTCAGTGACCCAGGATGCCGCGGACGGAGAAGCGAGACTCATTCGAATCAAGTTCATCATCAACTTTTTCGCAATCATCGTAGCGATCTTCATTATCAGCAGCTGGTAATACATCCAGAATTTGAAAAAAAACGATTTGTTTTATTCTCAGCGACCGCATCATCGAGTTCATCTGTCGAGCGCTTCTCTACCTCTTCGAAGAATAATTTTTGAACATTTTTCTCACAGTTTTCCGCTGTTAACCTTGTTGTCCCGAGTTTGGTGTTTTCCTCGATAAAATGAAGGCCACGTACCGTTTCCAAGGGCCAGTAAGCAAGTGCGCTCCACCGAAAGTGGTGTTCGCGCGCTTCCGGCGCACCGTTTGACTTTTTTCATACATCATCTCATTACACTTTTTCCTCGTTTTTACCGCCTGTACGCGTCAAAGGCCGCAAAATAGTGTTGCCTGATCTTATATGAATTTTCAAAAGCACTTCCCTAGGTCCGATCTTTTAAAAAATTGTATTAATCCAACTTGTTCGAGGTCATTTGGTCCTTCACCAAAATTCATTAAACCAATTCATTCCTATTCCTTTTAAGATCGAAAATGTCGGATCCTCTGAACGCTCAATCGGCAGGACCATCCGAAGAAGAGAAAGCGAAAATGCTTGAGCAGAAAATCAGTGCCTTCCAAGACCACGTTGAACGTCCTGACAGCCGCCTCCGAATCGCTGCAGAAAAAGCGCCGCGAGCGCCGGAATTGCGAGCAAAAACTGAAGAGAGAGAAGGAGAAAACTGAGCACCTGAGGCAGAGAAACGAGCAGTTGGAGCAGAAAGTGAGCGAGTTGATGGAGGGAAGAACGCCCACGGAAAGCGTCGAGATGCCCGAGTGCGAGGTGTGCGGCGAGCAGTTCTGTAGAATGGTCGAGAAGACGCCGAGGATGCTGAGTTAGTTGTAGGAACACGGCAACCAAGAGTGAAAAAGAGAGCGTGGCCTTTCGCAATTTCTCGCTATCGATGAAAACATTGAAATGTTCATCAAAACGCAACGCTCGAGACAATTTTCACATATTTCGGCCGAACCGAACAGATTGCAAATAAAATCAGTTTTGAAAAAATTGGAATAACTCGCAAATGTAAGCATTTTTGCGTTCAAACAGCAAAAATGATCAAAATTTAAGCATTTTCAGCACAAAACTCGAAAATCGATTAAACTTTTCTATTTCTAAATGAACTCTGCCCGTTTTAGGCTGAAAATGTGCGCAATGATTGATTTGACGGATTGTTGGTATTACAATGCAAAATTAGTGTCATTTTTGACGAATGACATGGAAAACAAGGTTAAAATTTGTACCGTGCCCGAAAGGCCACGCCCCTTTTTTTGCTTTTGATCGCCGTCGCCGTTTTTTATCGGAAAACGGAAACGGAACAGGTCGTGAGGACATAATCTCTGCTCATTTTGGTTTGATTTTGATCAATTGTCCAGAAAACCCGTTAAATGCGGTCATAGTTGAAAAAACATTGCCGACGATCGGGACAGGATCTCGTGTCCGTTTTGTAGAAAAGTAGAAAAGTCACCAGATTGCCGGACTCCGATCTGAGGATTCTCAAGAAGAATTACGCAATTATCTATATGTTCATGAAAAGTTGAATGAAGTTTTTACATTACACTTTATTGACTTTTTCTTTTATCAGTTATTCGAGCTCGCTCCCCCTATCTATACTTTATTTTTCATACATTTCCATGTAATATGTTATTGTTTGTTGTTCGTCGTCCGAAATTGTTCTCATAGTCTATTGTACCACCGTATATTGATTGTTTTTCGGAGGCACTTCAGGAAACAAAAGGCATTGAAGAAATTGCATAACAAGCTCCGCCCCCTTTGGCTCTTTTGAAATTGCTGCTGATTTTCCATTCGTTTTTGACAAAAATGAAGTGAAAACGGACAGGAAACAGTTGACAACAAAACCGTCTTTGACGTTGAGCACTTTGTTTAACCAACGATTCAAAAGTTTTTTGCAGAAATGGCCAGAGTTCGCCCACGCAACATTGAAGAAGAACTGAAAACGAAGCGGACCAGATTTTATAGATATGAAGAGGACCGACTGGAAGCGGAATTGAAAGCAAAGAGGCTGGAATTGGAGGTGGCGAACAAACGGTTGAAAGTGATGGAGGAGAAGTTGGAGATACGAATGAAATATATGAAGGCGGCGGTGGCAAGGGAAGTGACCAGGAATGCACTGTTGATGAAACAACGGCACGAAGCGGCGTTCAAAGTGACGAGACTGTTCGACGAGTTGGAGAAGAACCGGAAGAAGAAGCAGGCGGCGGTGGATCACTACGAAGCGAAGAACGAGGGACTGAAGCGGCGAGTGGCGGAGCTGAAGAACGGAACGGTGCCGCCCGTCTCGCTGATGCCCGACTGCGAAATATGTTTGACCGAGTTCTGCAAAAGTGCCGAGAACGTTCCGAGGGTTTTGGGTGAGTGAGTCGAAGTGTAGAATCTCATTCTCATTCTCATTTATGATTTAGGCTGTGGCCACAGTGTGTGCGAGAAGTGCACACACGACATGGTCGAGGAACAGGAAACGCAGGACACGCTCATGTGTCCGTTCTGCAGACACGTCACCGAGCTGACCGACTCCGACGTGACGAGTCTTAAGAAGAACTACACGATCATCAATATGTTTTTGAGGAATTGAATTGCAATAAAGTTGTATACAGGCTTCTCCGAATATTTTGTGTCTTTTACTTTTTATGTTCCGGTCATCCACCGTATATACTTTACTACAATGCATTACAGGTGTTGTGCACGACACTTTTACTGTTTGGGCCCAATTTCAAACTCAAAATTACATCTTTTTTCCAGAAATAACAATGAACCAAACGAAATTATCGGAGGAGCCGGAGGTTGCACAAAAAGAAGTGCTTCGACAAGAACTTGAGAAGACGAATGAAGAATTGGCGTGGAAGAAAATGGAATTGGAGGTGATGAGAGGAAAATTGAGAGGAAAATCGAGATCACTGCAAGAGTTGTACGAGAAGAACGAGGCCGAGAACAAGATAATGGAAAGGGAAATAGAGACGATGGCGAGAACGGGCGCGAGAATGCAAACGAATATGGACGAGTACAACGAGATCCAGCAGGATTGGGCGGAACAGTGCAAAAAGGAGAGCCTACGATTGGGGGAACAAGTGAACCGGCTGATGGAGGGAAAGGAGCCGCCCATGACACTGATGCCCGGATGCGGGTTTTGTGCGACCGAATTCTGTGCGAGTGAAGAGAAGACGCCGCGACTGTTGGGTAAGTTTTATCGAGTTCAAAGTGAAAAGTCTAATTCAATTCAGGCTGTGGCCACAGTGTGTGCGAGGAGTGCGCGCGGAGCATTTCCGAGGGCCAGGACAGGATCTCGTGCCCGTTCTGCAAAATAGTCACCGAGGTGCCCGACTCCGATGTGATGAATCTCAAGAAGAACTTCACGATCGTCAACATGTTCACAAGAATCTAAATAACCGTGTTTTTTTTTAAACTAACATTGTACATTTGTAATTTCAAATCCCGAGAATTGGAAATTCATCCAGATTGCGAACAGCGCGCCCATTCTGTCCGGTGCCCCTATAATAATATCGTTCGTTGTGATTGTGATCAATGCGTACATTTCTTTGTGACGAGCTCGTTCTTTGCGTGATGCTCCGTGGGAGGCAAAGTGGTCCCATCCTATCTCATCCTGGAGCATGTTCAGCAGAGTTTCACGGAAGATTGATGAGGCCGGGAGCAATCTCCTGGCCATGGCAAGTCAACAAACGGAGATCACGAGCGGCAAGAAACACCCGGAGGAGTGTGGTTCATGGAAATACGTAACGGATCCGTATCCCGTTTGTTGACAACCCTTGCAACAAAGTGTTTGAACCGCCCTGACCTCATCAATCTCATTCGCTTTTCCGTGAACATGCTCCCGTAAGAGAAGGGATAGCGGCAGTTTGCCTCCCATTGAGCCTGCCAAAGAGTCGCCGTGCCGACTCATTTAGTGTAAAAACGAAGAAGGGATAGGAGCTTATCTTGGGAACACGGAAAAAGAAACTGAGCAGCCCACACTCTTCCCGATTGCTCCTCATTCTTTCCTCTTCTCCTCGCGCTTCTCAACTTGAACATGTTTCAGAATCATGAACAAGCTCTCCATCTTCATCCTCTTGATCGCGCTCGTCGTCGGAGCCAACGCAATACCGACCACAAATTTGCCGGTACGTTTTTGGGCACCTTTTCAAGACAATCTCATGATTTTCAGTGCATGAGCGCGGTGGTCCGTCGCGTCGATCAGGTCTGCAAGGGCAGAAAAATCGAAGATCGTCCGTCCGCTTCCCCTGCGTCGAGAATAATGAGGTCCTGTTGCGAGTACGGATGCGCGAATGAAGACTTGGAAAAACACTTTTGTAGCACAAATCCCAAGACCATCTTCGACATTCTCAAGCATTTACTAGAACTCGCGTAGTTACACACGGCTTTTTCAGTTTTTTTTCTCTGATAAACCGAGTTTAGTCTAATTCTAGTTATTTTTGACGATCAAACTGCATAATGTTATAATTAGATTGTAAAGAACGAAAATCTGTCTACAGATATATTTAGATTGCTAAAAATTATGAACAGATTCCTGTTATAATCGAAAACGACTAGAACTGAACACGGTTTATCAGAGTTCCGTTAGTTCTGTAGTTAGTTGCACACACACACACACGGTGATTTCTCTTGGTGGCGGAGAAAGTTGGTCCCGACCGGTCTACCTTTGCTATAAAACGTGCTGATTCATCTTGCCCGTTGTTTTCGATAAACGTCATCATCATGATCAAAACAAGGAGAAGGCAATGAAAAACTTGCAACAGTTTTCAACATGATGAGCACATTCGAGAGAGAGAGCAAAACCTGAGTTTGGTGGCCGACTTTTTTGTGTCTTTCCTCCTGCACGTCAAGAAACAAATCATCGTGATAGAGCTCGTTTTTTTATTTCATAATGTTCGATTCTGTGTCTATTCTGTTGTCAAATATATTTTTGCGTAATAAATAGTTTGTTCTTGAACGTTTCACAAACAGATTTACATCACTCAATGGAATGGTTCGGTCGTTAGACATCACGAGTGTGTTTAGGATCTAAAGACAATTGGGAGCCAGTTAGGCGTCCAAGACTTGCAAGATTCCGGAGCGGGCCCATCGGAAGTCATATTCGAAAATGTTTTGTGATTCATTTCCATGACTCACCTTCCATTTCTCTACAGAATGCATTCTTCTACATGCCCAATTTCCAATTCGCTTGAATACTTTCAACATTTTGCTTCAAAGGCATTCGGCCGAGAGCTGGCGTGGGAAATTATCAGCGAAAAAGTGGAGGTTAGGCACAATTATTATCAGCGCAGTTCGTGACGCATTTCACGTTTGTCAAACGCGTTTTTCGACTCTCAATTTTGGTGTCAGGTTTATTTAGGACTCTTGGCCAACTATTATCGGCCCTAGTTGCGGTTGCGAAGTGTCCAGTGACACTTGAGAAGAAACCCTTGAGATCCTCTTTTCTACCTGTTTAGTTGTAAAGTTGGTTGGTTGCGAAACGTCCTCACAAGAAGAAGAAGAAGAAGAAAAGAGCGAGACTTGATGTTTTCCATTTCAAACAGAAACCATAGTTCACTTTTTTCCGCCCGTACGAAGCCGTCACACCTACAAATGGAGGCTTTACGACTACATGAGCATAAAGTCACGTTTTCTCTTCATCCCTGTTCCCAAAAACATTGCCATTTTCTCTTCCGATCGTAAAACGCAACATTTTTCATTGCACAGGGTCAAATCGTCGCGCCAACCCCTCTCTTCTCGCCTCCCAGTCAGAGCGAAGAGTGTCTCGATTGGCGGAGTGTGAGTGTGTAACGGAATGCACCCCGACGTATGCGTCTCCTCGCTCGCCGTTCTATTTCCGCTCTCCGCTCGCTCTGCTTCTCTTCTCATCGGTCCCTGTCTCTTTTACCAGAGATTCTTCGTGTGTCCATCCACCACACGCTTATTGATTTTATATGGAGTGACGTGGAAAAGTGTGATTTATCTGTTCACTTGTTCTTCCGGTTCAGTTTCGACGCGGTGAATGAACACAATTTATTTATACATCGTTTTTCGTACATCACTATACTGTTCCGTTCTAACCGTTTCAAAAACCAATCAACGATACATTTGCAGGCATGTCGGGACCATGGGGACTCGGATGGATGCCCGGAAACGCGGCGAACCAGGGACTGCTCGTCGAAGCGCCGCAAGCGATTTTCTTCCCGCCGGCCGCCACCCACGACGCGTGGTGCAACGAGCTGATAGCGATGCAGTCGGCGCAACACTTCTCGCAGCTTTTGCAACAACAACAACAACTGATACAAGGAATCACGGCTCTCACCGCCGCCCCTCCGCCGCCGCCGCCGCCGCCGCCGCCCGTTCATTTTCCGTATCAGCCGGCGGTGGCGGCGACCGAAGCACAAGTGGTGCACGGGCTCAAAGCAGAGCTCTTCCACGCGCAGAGCAACGAAAATGCGCTGCTACGAGAGCTCGGTGAGGTGAAACAGCAATTGGCGGAGCTGAAGGAGCGACACGAGAACGAGAGCGATCTGCGAGACGAGGTCGAGAAGGAGATCGAGGATCTGAAGATCGACATGGACTACATGCGGGTGCAGATGAAACGGGAGAAGGAGACGAGCAAACGGTACAAGGAGCACATCGAGAAGATCAAGAAAGAGCGCGACGAGGCGAGGGAGGCGCTGGCGAAAACGACGCCGCAGAAGGCAAGGAAGCGGGTTCATGTGGAGAAGAAGGAAAATGTGAAAAAGGAAGAGGAAAAAGAGGAGACGAAGAAGGCAAAGTTCGACATGCCGTTGTGCGATATCTGCCGCTTCGAGTACGGAGAGCATCCGGACAGAACGCCACGCGTTTTGAGTAAGTACTTTGAAAAATTGATTGCTTGCATTTCGGCTAGTGACGAAAAAGGAAATGAGCCTTAAAATTAGTTTCACTACTGAAATTGAACTAGAGGCTACAAAAGGGGAACTACCCTTCAACGACCCAATTTATTGTTCTGGTTTTATAAAGTTTCCTAAGAACCTCACAATCAGACCATGCTCTCAAGTCTTTCGCAACCAAAGGCCAGTCCAGGCCTAAACTTTTGAACCAGTTGCCAGAATCTTATCCGATCTTTTGTACCTGGATTGAAGTATGTTGCGTTCAAGTTTCAGACAGTTTCATTCCTCAAACCAGATGATCCAATCGGTCTGAAACTTGGGCCCAATAAACTTTTGCAAAGTCTTCAGCGTTTCAAAAGTCTATGTCTTTTGCCCAGCGTTTAATTCCGAACCACCGCATTTACTTGACATCAAACAGTTGCGAAATGTCCTATATGCTTGCAGCTCGAATCACAATGTAATTGCCAATTTGCAGAATGCGGACACACGGTGTGCGAGGAGTGCTGCACGAATCTCGCCGACGGACTCATGCACTTGCAGTGTCCGTTCGACCGAAAAGAGACGGCGATGACGGAGAACGGAACGGTGGACCTGCCCAAGAACTACGTGCTCATTCAGATGCTCAGCCAGAAGAATAACTAGTCGACGCCCGCCCGCGTGTTTCGAAACTCATCCGATCTCATTCATCGGTTTTCTTTTACTTTTTGTCAAGCACATTCTTCTCTCCTCCTCATCTTGTCTTGGTTTTCTGGTATCGCTTATTTGCTGCTGCCTTAGTATGGAATTTACTTTAATAATAATAATTATTACTATTCTTGTCTTATTTGATGTCATTAATGAAATTTTTGCTATTTTTTTAACGAGTATGAACTTGTTCATTTGAAAAAACGGATGCAGAAGAGAAAACTGGCCCTGCACCTCCGTTTTCTGGAGAGGGAAGGAAACGACAGTGCGAGAACGTGGTTCGCGCAGAACCCAGAAGTCCTGGAGCTGAAAAAAAAGGTAAAGGAGCTCGAGAAGCAAATAAAGAAGGGCTAGGAAACACAATTTGTCAACAAGAAAAGTGCATTAAACTCGTTATAAAATACAAACAAAACAATTTTACAAGCATTCAAAAACTAATCCTGTTTCGACTCGAATCGTAGCTCCGAAATGAACTTTCCGCCGTCGCCAACTTCCTAAAATTGCAATTTGCGGGTCTCGAAACGAACTGGGCGGTACCTTCCGATCGCAGTACGGTACCGCTTTGAACTGGCACACTTTCTTGCCCTTCACATCGAAACACAACTCTTTGTAGCACGTTGAGCACAGGTATCCGGGCGAGTTGGGCAGAAGGTTCTCGTGGTCGACTATCATCCATCTGAATAATAGTATTTGTGGTTGGTTTTCTCAAATTGTTCTGGCCTACAATACTCACTGCGCGAACGCCTCTTTGCACGTGTCGCATGCGATTCGCCGAAAATTCCGTTCCACCAGTTTGCGAGGGAAATCGACGCCAACGTGTGATTCGTTTCTGGAAAATTTTGGGCTCAAATTTTGTCAATTTTCACCAAGAGTGTACCTCATGAAAAGGTCGTTGAAAACGATGAGATGCTCGCAGACGCCTTGATGTATGAAGACGTAGGGCTGTCCGAGACGGCAGAAGACGTCGCCAAGCTTCTTTTCCGTCATCGACGCCACATTCATCGGACCCAAGTACTCGCGTTTCGCCGCCCATTTTCGGATGTTTCTGCAGACAGAATCGCACAATATTCGATGGAAATTCACGATAAATTTCACTTTCTGCTGTAAGACGCGTAAACTCACACGGAGGGATCCTCCCATTCGGGTCGATGCGTCTGTGGTTCTATATAGAACGTGTCGTGAATGAAGAACATCGCCGACGGATATTTGTTCTTGGCAAAGTCCTGAATCGTCGGTTTTTTCTCGCTGAAATCCTCGGTGAAGGCGTAGTCGGCGGGGCACGAGAACGCATTTTTGAGGTCGAAAAGGGAATGATCGCCGGTCAACTCGAGACGGTCCGTCACTTTCATCAGACGCCCCAGACGGATCTCGTGGTATTCTAGCTCGCGAGTGTAGCCGAAGTAGATCGACACGTTCACTATTAGGTCCTTCTGAAAACATACACAAAATACCATCAAACTGTTGGTTTCCTAATCGAGAGAAGCAAAAAAGATTCGCACCGGACGGGATTCGAACCCGCGAGGTCTTACGACCATAGGAGAGCCCTACGCTCCTACGCCTTAACCACTCGGCCACCGGTGCACGGGACTGAATTGGACACTTCCCACTCATCCTCCAACTTCTAGGGACCATTTACAACCAGAAACCGTAATAAAACCACTTGTATTTGTATTCAATAGTGGTTTTACAACTTTTACTATTATAGGGGCACCGAATAGAAAGGGCGCTCTGTTCGCAATCTGGCCGAATTTCTAGTCCGCGAAGTAATTTTCCACTGAAAACGTGGCCTAACTTTTCAAACTCGGCCCCGAGCTCACTCAATTTGCACTGCAAAAAAGTTTCTCAATAGAGCGCCCTTTCTGTTCGGTGCCCCTATAATAGTTGTAAATGGTCCCTAGCAGTTGGAGGATGAGTGGAAAGTGCCCAATTCAGTCCTGTGCACCGGTGGCCGAGTGGTTAAGGCGTAGGAGCGTAGGGCTCTCCTATGGTCGTAAGACCTCGCGGGTTCGAATCCCGTCCGGTGCGAATCTTTTTTGCTTCATTTTCTTCGACGAGATCGACGCGTTGTGCCCGAAAAGATCACACGGAGAGAGCTCGGGAGGCGCCCGGCTCGTCAATCAGTTGCTCACGGAGATGGACGGAGTCGAGAGACGACAGAAGGTCTTTCTGATTGGAGCCACCAATCGACCAGGTTAGTAGCAGCGAGAAAAATCAAACTGTCAGTGGAAAATTCCGCTTAAGCGCAGTTTTCCTGCCTAAAAACTGTTGACCTAATCGAGAGAAGCAAAAAAAATTCGCACCGGACGGGATTCGAACCCGCGAGGTCTTACGACCATAGGAGAGCCCTACGCTCCTACGCCTTAACCACTCGGCCACCGGTGCACGGGACTGAATTGGGCACTTTCCACTCATCCTCCAACTGCTAGGGACCATTTACAACTAGTAAAAGTTGTAAAACCACTATTGAATACAAATACAGGTGGTTTTATTACGGTTTCTGGTTGTAAATGGTCCCTAGAAGTTGGAGGATGAGTGGGAAGTGTCCAATTCAGTCCTGTGCACCGGTGGCCGAGTGGTTAAGGCGTAGGAGCGTAGGGCTCTCCTATGGTCGTAAGACCTCGCGGGGTTCGAATCCCGTCCGGTGCGAATTTTTTTTGCTTCTCTCGATTAGGCCAACAGTTTTTAGGGCTGGAAATATGAATTTCAGAGCTTTTTCAAATAGGAAACGTTGAAAATTGATGATTTTCAGACAAAAGCGCGTTTCCAGACAGTTGTCATATTGTTTTCTCTCAAACTTGTCCCGAACTAACATAAAACGGAGTGAGATCCTGGCACTCTTCCACGCCCAACTCGATCACTTCCACCTCATTTTCGCTGTCACTTTCCAGCTCGATCTCCTTGAAGTTCACTTTCAAATCGTTCGATACTGCAGTTTCTTTCAGATTTTTCAAATTCGTGGGTCTCTTTTCCACCAAATGCGGTGATTTTCGGGCGAGCGAGCTCTGAGCGAGATGATCGTAACGGAGCGCTCGGTAGGCGATCGACTTGTACTGGGCGTTGCGACGCCGCGAGTTTTCTTCCATAAGAATCGTCTGCGAAATCATCTGGTTACGCTCCAGACCGCCGTCCATTTCACGATTGAACATTTGGTGCGCCAGATCGTCGACGCTGCAAAATTTTACAATTTTTTGCTGAATTTTTAATAAAATACTGTGATTTCGGTGCTTTTCTGCAATTTTCTGCAAGTTCACTCACTCGACGGCCATTTCGAACCGCTCTGCGGCATTTTGCGGCAAGCGTGTCGATTTTCGAAAATTTTCCGTCGCTTTCGCCTTCGGCGCCATTTTTTTCTGCTCTTCTTCCGTCTTTTTTGCAATGTAAATGTAGCTTCTGAAATAAATTGTCTTAGCTTTAAAACACTTCAAAAACAGGGTTACCCAAAGCTGACAGGTACTGAAACGAACGGTTGTTCGTCGGATTTGAGCAAAATGTCCATCGACATGTTAAAATTCTGAAAAAGAAAACCGAAAAATTGCGGTGAAAACTGAAATTTCGCAGACGAAGAACGATGAGAAACGCGTACATGTATTTACGTACACGTTTCAAAAAAAAATTTTAAAAGTACAGTAAATTATTCGAATCGTTGCGAGACCCATTAGCGTTTAAGTTTGCGCCTTTAAATCTACCGTACTCTTTTCGCGCGAAACGTTGAGTTTCCATTTCTTTCGGCGCCAGATTTCGGAAATTTGACAGAAAAATCAACAAGCTCGATCATTTTACCAGCGAATTCACGCGTTCACGCTCGAATTTGTGCTTTGTCATCTATTTCTGTCACGTTTTTTCCGGAGTTTTCGCAAATCTGCATTTATTCGATTTTCCAGCAGCTACTAACCTGTATCCATTCACCCCTGTCGCAGTACGTTCTGTTTCGAACAAAATGAGCACACCATGGGAGCGCAGAAGTGCGGCCAACTCGTCCAACTCGTCCGGATCGTCGTTCCAGCTCGCGAATCGCTCTTTTGAAGGCGGTTAGTGAGAACATGGGAACTTTGTTAGCAGCAAGCAATTTGCCTGTTTATCATTGAATTTAGTTCAGAAACTCCGGCTTTTTCGTCTTAGTTTATCAAAAGAGAAATAGTCTTTTCGAGAGGACTCGTTTCAGCCACCGGCGCATTTGACCTCTCGCTGCTGCACAACAACGCGACGCCGAAGCCGTCGACGAAGCTGCTGGCCCTCCGCCCGTCACGTCATCACCACAACGTGTTCACCGACCCGGACAGCTTCTTCTTCAACGCCTCCTCCGCCGGCCACGCGCACGCCGACGACTCGTTCTCCTCGGTCGGCGAGCACTCGTTCGTCGGAAACTTCCACGCTTCGACCGTCCGTTCGACGCGTCTGCTGCCCGCCTACGCGGCCGATCCGACGGGCACGATCCGGGCGGATCTGACCGTCGAAGATGTGCTCCGCAGCGGACAACTCCTTGATTTCGTGTTGGATCGACACGGCGCCAAGTTTTTGGAGGCGAGCTATCCGGAGGACGCGAACGACGAGATGCACCGCGCAATGTTCGAGAAGCTGACGGAGCAGAAGGAAGTGTTCGCGGGGCTGTGCAAGAGCGCCACCGGGAACTTCATCGTGCAGAAGCTGATGGAGCACTCGACGGTCGACGAGCAGAACGTGATGCTCGACGGAATTATCGAAGGAGGACTCATGGACATGTGCAGGGACAAGTTCGCGTGCCGTGTCGTCCAGTTCGCCATTCAGGTAGGCGTCTTTTCAGGGGCGATCGGGCCCAGGTCACAATTTGTTGGATACCTGAAGTTCAATTGATCTGGTTTCGAGCTTTAAATGCCTCGTGCGAATCTGACGGACTACTGTGCCGTCCGGTGCGAATCATTTTTGCATTCTCTCCCTTCAAATCCCTCTTTTTCAGAAGTTCGAGTACTCGACACGCGCGCGTCTCCTCTCCGCCCTTTCCTCGCTGAACCTGGTCCGTCTGTGCACCGACCAATGCGGAATCCACGTGATCCAACGTATCGTGAAGCAGTTGCCGGTGCCGCAATGGACGTTCTTCGTCACTTTTCTGTGTCTGGCCGACAACCTGATGTCCGTGTGCCAGGACAAATACGGCTGTCGGCTGGTGCAGCAGGCGATTGACAAGATGGCCGAGCAGCCGAAAGCGCCGTGCTTTCCTTTCCGCCTCCAGCTGCTGCACTCGCTGATGACGTGCGTCGTCCGCAACTGCTACCGGCTCTCGTCGAACGAGTTCGCCAACTACGTCGTGCAACACATTGTCAAGTCGTCCGGAGTGATGGAAATGTACCGCGACACGATCATCGACAAGTGTCTGCTGCGCAACCTGCTCTCGATGTCGCAGGACAAGTACGCGTCGCACGTCGTCGAGGGCGCGTTTCTGTTCGCGCCGCCCACGCTTCTGACCGAAATGATGGACGAGATATTCGACGGATACGTGCGCGAGGCCGAGTCGAATCGCGACGCTCTAGACATTCTACTCTTCCACCAGTTCGGAAACTATGTCGTCCAGCAGATGATCACCATTTGCACATCGGCGCTCATCGGAAAAGAGTGAGTAGGTTTCCAGAAGTCAAAAATGCAACAGCTAATAGAAAGTTGCTGTAGTTTTTGTTTTGAGTCCTGAAACTATGGTCAGATCAGTTACCATGTCCCCCGGTCCATTGGAACTATGCTGTTCCCTTCCAAACCATTGTGCTTTTCAGAGAACGCCAACTGTCGTCTGCTGAATACGCGCAGTACTCCCGCTGGTACGAACGCATCAAATCGCGAGTGGTCCGCCACGCGTCACGGCTCGAGCGCTTCTCCTCCGGCAAGAAGATCATCGATTCGGTGGCGAGGATGTCCGTGTTGTCGCCGCCGATTCCGCCCACGCCGGCGCCGTCGCTCATGAACCTGACCGCCCAATTCGACGCGCTCTTCCCGTTCCCCTCGTTTTTGGCGCGCGGATCCGCAAGCGGAAGTGGTGGCGGCGGATCGCTGATCCTTTGATATGTACATTTGTATATTTCCAGAACATTTTTATCGCATTGCCGCCCAAAAAGGGTGAAATCCCCTTGTTTTTAAAAGAAATCTAACTGATGATATTATTATTTGTAATAATTCTCACCCACCCACCCACATTTTTATATCACCCAAACAACTCGCCCATTTTTCTTGTATTATACCCACAGCGATCGCCCGAAAATTTCGTTATTTTGAAATGAAATCAGTGAAACAATTGTGTATTGAACGAAACAACGCAAAAAGAACCAACAAAACAAGTAAAACTCAACAAAAATATGACAAAATTGGGTAATCTGTGAGACGGTGACCGTGGCCTAGTTTTCCTTGAGTCCATAGACCTTCTTCATGTGCTCGTACTTTTTGCGATCGTTTTCGGTGACGGACGGACGGATCCGTGCGGCCGCCTCGCGGAAATGACGCATTCCGACGCCCACGATCGACGCGTCGTTCTGGAATTTACAAGAAGTTTAAGGGATTGTTTCGAAAAAAAACGGACCTCGAGAACACGTGCTTGAAGGGCGAGAAGCGAGGATTCGTGGATGAGCGCCGCCAGATCGGCACCACTGAAACAGACGAAATTTTTAAGGATGTTTCAAAGTTTTCATTGTTGAGAGATTTTAAAAAACACACGTCTTTTTGACGTTCAAAAAAGGCCTTACGTGAATCCGGAGAGTTCTGGAAGTTGGGCGATTGCGTCAAAGTCAATGTCCTTGTCCAAAAGGGGGCGTGTCCCGTTTTTGGTGCTCTTTCTGAGAATGTCCACTCGGTCCTCGACGGACGGAAAGTCGACGAACAGGATCTTGTCGAGACGGCCCGGACGGAGGATCGCCGCGTCCACAATGTCTGCAATCGGGCGGTTTATGGTTATTAAATATCAAACAAGAAATAATTTCCAGCTAGTCCAGCTGGAAACTGCTCTGAAACTCATATTTCGTGCCTAAAAACTGTTGGCCTAATCGAGAGCAGGGTGAGCTCCCGAGACTGAAGTCCCGGGAATTGCCGGGAAAAGTGATGCGAGAACTTCTCGAGAAGCGTCGTTCCCGAGAAGTCTCGAGACTTCTCGTTCCCGAGAACGAGAAGTCTCGAGACTTCTCGCTACCAAGACTTCCCGAGAACGAGAAGTCTCGATACTTCTCGCTACCAAGACTTCTCGGGAACGAGAAGTCTCGAGACTTCTCGTTCTTGTCAAGTCTTGGTGTCGAGAACGAGACTTCTTGTGAACGAGAAATGCCGAGACCTGTGAACGAACGTGACCAATTTTTTGTGCAATAAATGATACATGTTTTACAAGTCTACACTTATAAGAACTGTTCTCAGCTCTCATACTTCCCCCAGGAACGTTTTGAGGAGCGCGGCCGAGGAATTTCCCCGGCCACGAAGCTGTGTACTTCTCGTGGACAACAAGTTTGAGAATTGAATCGTTTTTAAAAAGTAGACAGTTCTTCCATGAATGTTTTCCCAACACCTCGTCCGCAAAAAATCGGTTTTCATCACAATCTAGGTCTGCACAGAGTCTCTCGGGGCCGCCGCTCTGTTTTGTGGCCAGAGGGTGGATTTTTTTTCGTGAATGAGGACTTTCGTCTACTTCTCGTTCCCGGGAAGTATCGAGACTTCTCGTTCCCCGGAACGAGAAGTATCGATACTTCTCGTTCCCGAGAAGTCTTGGTAGCGAGAAGTATCGAGACTTCTCGTTCTCGGGAAGTCTTGGTAGCGAGAAGTATCGAGACTTCTCGTTCTCGGGAACGAGAAGTCTCGAGACTTCTCGTTCCCGAGAACGAGAAGTCTTCACACTTCTCGGGAAAGCGCTTCCCGGGAAGTACTCTCATCACTTTTTCCGGCAATTCTCGGGAATTCAGTCTCGGGAGCTCACCCTGATCGAGAGAAGCAAAAAAGATTCGCACCGGACGGGATTCGAACCCGCGAGGTCTTACGACCATAGGAGAGCCCTACGCTCCTACGCCTTAACCACTCGGCCACCGGTGCACAGGACTGAATTGGACACTTTCCACTCATCCTCCAACTGCTAGGGACCATTTACAACTAGTAAAAGTTGTAAAACCACTATTGAATACAAATACAAGTGGTTTTATTACGGTTTCTGGTTGTAAATGGTCCCTAGAAGTTGGAGGATGAGTGGGAAGTGTCCAATTCAGTCCTGTGCACCGGTGGCCGAGTGGTTAAGGCGTAGGAGCGTAGGGCTCTCCTATGGTCGTAAGACCTCGCGGGTTCGAATCCCGTCCGGTGCGAATCTTTTTTGCTTCTCTCGATTAGGCCTGGAGCGTAACCAGCTGATTTCGCAGACGATTCTTATGGAAGGAAACTCGCGGCGTCACAACGCCCAGTACAAGTCGATCGCCTACCGAGCGCTCCGTTACGATCATCTCGCTCAGAGCTCGCTCGCCCGAAAATCACCGCATTTAGTGGAAAAAAGACCCACGAATTTGAAAAATCTGAAAGAAACTGCAGTATCGAACGATTTGAAAGTGAATTTCAAGGAGATCGAGCTGGAAAGTGACAGCGAAAATGAGGTGGAAGTGATCGAGTTGGGCGTGGAAGAGTGCCAGGATCTTACTCCGTTTTATGTTAGTTCGGGGCAAGTTTGAGAGAAAACAATATGACAACTGTCTGGAAACGCGCTTTTGTCTGAAAATCATCAATTTTCAACGTTTTCTATTTGAAAAAGCTCTGAAATTCATATTTCCAGCCCTAAAAACTGTTGGCCTAATCGAGAGAAGCAAAAAAAATTCGCACCGGACGGGATTCGAACCCGCGAGGTCTTACGACCATAGGAGGACCCTACGCTCCTACGCCTTAACCACTCGGCCACCGGTGCACGGGACTGAATTGGACACTTTCCACTCATCCTCCAACTGCTAGGGACCATTTACAACTAGTAAAAGTTGTAAAACCACTATTGAATACAAATACAAGTGGTTTTATTACGGTTTCTGGTTGTAAATGGTCCCTAGAAGTTGGAGGATGAGTGGGAAGTGTCCAATTCAGTCCCGTGCACCGGTGGCCGAGTGGTTAAGGCGTAGGAGCGTAGGGTCCTCCTATGGTCGTAAGACCTCGCGGGTTCGAATCCCGTCCGGTGCGAATCTTTTTTGCTTCTCTCGATTAGGTCAACAGTTTTTAGGCAGGAAAACTGCGCTTAAGCGGAATTTTCCACTGACAGTTTGATTTTTCTCGCTGCTACTAACCTGGTCGATTGGTGGCTCCGATCAGAAAGACCTTTTGTCGTCCCTCGACTCCGTCCATCTCCGTGAGCAACTGATTGACGAGCCGGGCGCCTCCCGAGCTCTCTCCGTGAGATCTTTTCGGGCACAACGCGTCGATCTCGTCGAAGAAAATAACACAGGGCTGCGAGTCGCGGGCCCTCTGGAAGACGGTCCGCACTGCGCGTTCCGACTCTCCGACGTACATGTTCAGCAGTTCGGGACCCTTCACAGAAATGAAGTTCATGCCCGTCTCGTTGGCGACCGCCTTCGCGAGCAGTGTTTTTCCGCATCCGGGCGGTCCGCAGAGCAAGATTCCCTGTGGTCGCGAGTCGATTCCAAGAGCCGCAAAGTCGTCGGCCCTTTTGATCGGGTAAAGGATGCTCCACTCGAGCTGTTTCCGCACCTCCCCCAGTGCTCCGATGTCGTCCCAAGAGACGTCGGGCACCGTCGCGAAGCCCTCCCTTTTCGCGGCCGGCTGGATCGTGCTCAGCGCCCGCTCAAAGTCGCCGAACGAGATGCGGAGCCCGCCGTCGAGGCCCGACAGTGTGCTCGGATCGTCTTCTCCCTGGAGCCACGCGAGCACTCTCTCCAGTTCCTCGCGGATCTGCTCCGTCGTCAGACTCTTCTCGCCTTCGTTTTTGACGACGATTGTGTCGAACACGCGGTCGATGGCCACTTTTGCGGCCTCGCGGATCAGTGCTTGAAGGTCGGCGCCCACGTATCCGGGTGTCAGTTTGGCGATCTGTTTGAGAGAGACGTCGTCGGCCAGGTTCACTCTGAAATCGAAAAGATTGCGATACGCCAAAAAAAACGATAGAAGCGTGTGGTAACCTTCAAAAGGTATCGTTCTTTTCCGTGGAGACCATTTCTAATGATATTGCATGCGTAGATAAAAAAGAAATTTCTGCAGCGAAGAGAACCCCGAAACCCCTTCAGAAACCTGCAAATTTTCTCCAAAATCTTGACTCTCGCCGTCTCGTCGGGAATGCCCAGCGAGATCTCGTTCTCGAAGCGTCCCGCCCGTCGCAGTCCTCCGTCGACGGCGTCCGGACGCGAAGTCGTGCCGATTACGAGGACGCCCGAAGAGAAAGAAGACGTGGAAGTGGCGTTGTCGTTGAGAATTCCGACGCTGCCGTCGTCGCCGAACGTCAGCTGATCTTTGAGCGGTTTCTCGCGTGGCGGAAGCACCAGTTCTGCAAAATTTGGGCGATTTTTTAGTGTCGGAAATGATAAAGCACGTAAATACAATTAGTATTTTGAGCGGGTGCTCATTTGTTAGCTTTTGCGTACCGTCCAAGGAGCTGCACAGCTGGCTGACGACGCGTCTCTCCATTTCCCTCTGCGCCGTCTCCCTTCTCGGCGCGATCGCGTCAATGTCGTCGAGGATGAGGATGCACGGACTGTGCTGCTTGGCCGTGTCGAACAATCTCCGAATCTTCTCCTCCGTCTCACCCGACACCCCGGACACGAGTTCGGTGGCCGCCAGCTGGAGCATCGGAATGCCGAGTTCGCCGGCGACCGCCTGCGCGAACAGCGTCTTTCCGCACCCGGGCGGTCCGTGCACGATGAATCCACGCGGCGGATCGACGCCGAGCAGCGAGAACGTCTTCGGCCGTTTCAGGTGCATCGCCAGCCGGCACACCTCGAGAAACTGACGGTCCGCGCCGCCAATGTCCGCAAATTTCACATGGGATTCTCGGGGCGTCGGCGCGTCGGAAACTGCTCCAAGGCCACGTGGCAGTGCTGCGGGAGCTCCGGAAGCCGCGGGAGTTCGGGAAGGCGTCGAATCCCTTCTCTTAAGCTGACTCGTTGTGCTGCGCTTCTCGTTCGACGGCTTCGTACCCGCTCTGCGGTGGGAATTCAAGGAATACAAGTTGAGAATGGACTTGTTCGCTCGGTTCGTCGGCTTCACACTCGCCTCCAACTGCCTGGCCGCTCTCTCGTGCTCCGCGTCGCTCTCGTCGCTGATCACCACTTCTTTCACCGATAGAGATCTGTAATTTGACGAAATTTTGCAATTTTTACTTACAGTTCGCCTAAAATCATACATTCTTCTCATAAATTCGTTCCCAGTAACTAACCATAGGTGCGCAATGTTTGAGAAACGCCAAAACATTTTTCCAACCATAAAAAAGCGGCGCTCAACCCAAAAAATTTATGTAACTAACCCGATGCTCTTTCTGGCGGGCGCCTTCCTCTTCCTCGTCTCGAACGTTTTCCTGGGCGACGTGAGGGGGATGACCTCCTGCACGTCGTCCATCGCCTCCTTCTCTCCCTCTTCCTCCAGTTTCTCCTCTTCTTTCGCAACCAATTGGATTCTTTCCAGCGCCTCACGCACCATTCCCATCAGCACTTTGTGGTTCTTTCGCTGATATTCTCTGCAATTTGGGGACACTTTGAAAAATTTTGAATCTAGTGAATGTTTGGAAGAGCAAAAAAGTAAACAGGAAAAAACCAGTATACGGGGAGAAGCATCCCGAAATGGAACTGCCAAATTCTGAGGCACTTCTATTCTGGTCAGTTCCATTTCGGGATGCTCTCGACGTTGTTCCGTATCAACCTCATCAGATTTTTACGATTTCTCCCCTGTTCATCGAATTTTTCCAGGGCTGGGCAATTGGCCGGTCCTTGTCCTGTACTTTTGGCCCATTGGAACCAAACTTTGCAGGCTTCTCGGGCATTAATTGAAGTACATTGGGTCCAAGTTTCAGACCGATCGGATTATTTACTATCGAGATTCAGTGCGGGAGGGCCGGAAAACCCGAGCTTTCTACCAATGATCCACATATCTCGGGACCAGATGATCCGATCGGTCTGAAACTTGGACCCAATATACTTCAGTCCAAGTTCAAGAAACCTGTAAAGTTTGGGTCCGATCAGATGATTGCAAGTGAGTCAAACGTTTTTTTTTTGATTTTCTAGCCATTCCAGACGTACGGATATTTCTGCTGTAAATCGTAGACGACGAGTTCGGGCTTGAAATATTTCGTGCCCGGATAGTTGCGGATGTGCTCTTGGACACGTGGCAAAAGTGCCGGATCGGCGGCGAAACCCATTCCGGCCGGCATTTTCTAGCTAAACAATTTCTTTTAAGAGATTCTGGAAAAATTTTGGTGTAAAATACATGCGATCCGAACGAAACGTACAATATTGAAAAGATGAATTGTTGACGAAAACAATAAATTTTTAATTCATTTTCAGATTTTTCCGAATAAATTAGGCATAAATGGACAAGGGGGAACGGGGATATTGTGTAGCAACTTTTTTTGTTGGAAAATATTAATCAAATATCAATAAATTATGATTTTTGGCGCTTTTTGGAACGGTGACAGGGGCCGAGTTTACAAAATATACAATCAAAATTCGGGACGGAAAATTATGCACTTTTTGCGAAAAACGAGAGGATCAGCAGAGATTTTTCGTTGGAAAACGGGAAATGTGTGGGTTTTTGTTGTTTAAATTTTGAAAAATTGCACCATTTTGAGGGGGGAGGGTTTTGGTTGAAGAAATTCGTGAAAAATTGGGATTTCAGCAGAGAGAAAAGGCGTTGTTTTAAGACACGAGTGTGAGGGGCGGTTACGGTAGGGACAGAAAAATGGGGATTACTCTAGGGATAAGTCACCGAATGAGGTCATTTCAGCTGTGAACAGAGAGAGAGAGAGAGAGAAGGAGATAAATGCCAGTTTTACCCTTTGGCACGGACAAAAAAAAAAGGAAAAAGTTATGAAAATTGCAGCGATTTGTCTCCCCACTCTTCCGTCGTCTCGTTCTTGAAACCGTCCAGAAGACTGTCGCGGATTTTTGTGATCGCGTTGTCGTCCTGCAAATTGGAGAGGCTCTTTGAGGGGAAAATGGAGAGGAAAACTAGACTTTTCGATATACGGCATTTGTGTGCAATCGCGCTCTACCGCAATCCCACGTGAACCGAGACCTTTTTCAATTTAGCACCGAATCACGTGGTGCGCGGTAGAGCGCGATTGCAGTCAAATACACCCCTAATAGCGCATACACGAAAAATTTGTCAGGTTTCACATTTCTCACAAAAGCAAGTATTTTTCAGTTTAAAGATCCGAACCGTACCTTGAAAGTGTCTGCACTGGCGGGCGGTGGTCCGGTCGAAAGTGGTGGGTTGCTCATCGGATTGCTGAGCGGATTGCTGAGCGGATTGCCCGGCGTTCCCGGATTCACATTGTTGTTGGCCGAGTGGGCGGAGCCGGGCGCCGAGCCAGACCCTCCGTTCATCTGCACACTGCCCGCGCCGCCCGTCGGCGTCAGCGCCTCCATTTTCACGTCGTCGCCGTTCGCCGCCGGCTCTGTCTTCGGCACCTGCGAGCCGGGCGTGCCGACCGACCCGACCGAGGTCGCTTGCGGGATGCTGCCCGGGTTCTGCACGGCGCCACCCATTCCCGGCGTGCCCGGTCCCCCCGGTCCAACGGGCGGTCCTGCCGACATCGGCTGCTCGGTCGACATGCCGAACGAGAGACCCGCCGAGCTTGCGGCCGGCATTCCCATGAACGCGCCCGGCATCGAGCCAGGATCCCCGACGGGCGGTGGTCCCATGTTCGGAGAATTGAGGGACATCATCCCGCCGTTCGGCATCATTCCGCCGCTCGATGCGAACTGGCCCGGCGGTGGCGGCATGAAATCGTACCGCATTCCTGGCATTTCTGCAAAAAAAGATGCCATTTTGTCGGATTCTCTGGGTTTTCTCGTTCGTCAAAGTTCAGCAAAAAAAGATGAGGCTTTAAAATTTTAGATTTTGAGAGCGAACTTGAAGGAATTCAAATGGAAAAGGAAAAATTCGATCACATGACTTTCCCAAAGGTATCTTTCACGTAAATCTGGAAAATTTTGCGTCAAACGGTCATTCTTGATTCAAATTCGTGAATATCACATTTTCCAACTGCATTTCTCGCAATTTGCAATACATACCTCCGGGCGGTCCTCCGGGGAACGCCTGCGGCGGTCCCATCCGTAACTGTTGTCCGGGTCCCGGCGGCGGTGGTATCCGTTGCATGCGTGGATCCGGCGCGAACATATGGAATCCTGCGGGCGCCATTCCGGCCGGTCCCATTCGACCGGGCGGCGGTGCGAACCGGCCAAACGCGCCCGGATGACCGCCCATCATGTCCATTCCCATCGGTGGGCCAAACTGCAAACAGAAATGTGTGAAATTGGTGATTTTCATTCAAAAACTTACATGTCCTCCGTTCATCATTGGCGGCATCGGAATCATATTCTGCAATTCGGAAAAAATCAATAAATTTCCCCGGACCTTTCTAAAAAACGTACGTCGATAAAGTATTTGGCGTCGGGCGAGAACTGGTCGGCGTGCTCCCTCCGCTCGGGCGCCGCCGACCACAAATCCCAGAAAAGGAGCCACCAATCCAACAGAAATGAGCCCTTTTCGCCCGTTTTCATCGGATTCGGCGTCTGTTGCTGCTGCTGTTGTTGCGGGGGCGTCAGCAGGGAACTCGCCTGACCGCCCAGCACCTCCTCTTTGAACGATTCGGCCGTTTTTGTGGCGCCCGACTGCAGCAGGTATTCGTAGACGTACGACGACAGTCTGAAGACACGATTTAAAGGGGTGTTTAGAGAGAATTTCTCCTTTTTTCAATGCTATCGAGGCATTTCAAAGTGAATGCGCTCTGAGAAATTAGGCCACGGAGATCACAAAAAGAGCGCTTTCGCATTAAAATGTCAAAAATACTGTAAAATGGTCAAAAGCCTACTTTTCTCTGGCAGATAGTTCGCATGGCATGGGCGGCAGTGGCTGCGGGAGGGACTGTTGCGGGGGCGGCGCGAGCATCGGAGCGCCGGGCGGCATTCCAGTGGCTCCGCCGCGGAACATGTACGGATCATCGTGTTGGGCGTCCAGGATTGACGGGAGACGGGCGGTCGCGACGCAACGGACCGCAGCGGGGGATATCGGTCAAGTGGGACCACCAATGAGTGCGATTCGAGCGGAGGAAGAAGGTGAATCTCTTGTTTCGTCTCAATTGTCACTTCTATAGCCGCATAGTAGCCGTTGGGCTCTGAAATTGTAAAAATCGATAAAATGGTCCTTAAAAGTTCAAGGAAGAGTTGAAAATGAGTAAAATTCAAGACAAAAACTTGTCGATTACTTGAAAATCACGAAGAGGCAAGTCAGTTCATTTTCCTCCAGTAATATTGCTGGAAGAAGAAGAAAGAGCAAAAGACCAAGTGGATGAGGGGGCTCAGAGTGTGTTATGTGCTGGTTCTCCACAACATTCTCATAATATTGCCGAGGACCGTGCTATGACGCATCGAAAGTACAGTGTATTGATTTAAACTGTACAGTAGACGCTCTTTCAGTGTTTGGTTAGGCAAATTTCAGTTTTAGGCCGTGCCTGAACGTATTTCCACGGAAAACTTGGATTTTAGGCCAATTTCAGGAATTCCTATTCAAAACTGCTCAAAATCTCGTGGTCGTGGCCTAGAACCCCCCAAATCGACAATAATGAACGGAACGGAAAGCGAGAACAAAGTTAAGGATGGAATGGAGGGTCGTTTCCTCAATTTCAAGGCCATATGGCCAAGTGTTGTGGCGGAGGGGGGTGCAAATTGGCAGGGACCTTCCAAAATAGGGGTCTTTACAAGTCGAAAAGTACATTTCTGGAAAAATTGGAAAGCTTTTCTGCTTTTAGTGAAAAAAACACATTTCGGACTGGACTCTATGTACTTTTCACCAAAATTTCACACTTCCCCTTCCAATCGAATCGATAGCGGACGTTCGAAAACTGATAGGACGGCTAAAACAAACAAAAGGAGGTGAGGAAACTGATAATAGTCGCACAGATTTGATAGGCCCGGCCTGCGAGGACTACGTTATCGGTGCAAAGTGCACTGTTATTGCTCGTTCGGTGCTAATATCGAGATAAATATTACTCGATTCTGGCGGCACTCTTTTCCTTATTTTCAAGTTTGAGCAGCCGTCAGCAAAAAAGGGAAAGAACAAAAGAATACGAAATCGATAGGTGTGCCCACTCCCTCTCTCTCTCTCTCTCTTTTTGTGTGGAGAGAGAGAGAGAGGGAGAGGGAGCGGCGGCCTCGGCGCCCCAAATACTACTACTACTATTCCAATTCTTTCCACTACTACCGAACGAGAAAAACGCGAAAAAACAACAGCAACAGCTAATTAGTCAAGAAAACCAACACTAACCAGAAGAAGAAGAAGAAGAAGAAGGAGAAGAAGTGAACTGGCGTCGAAACGGAACTGACGGCCCGAGAAATTGAGATGAAAGGGAACGCGTGGCGAGGGGAACGAGGCGAACGCGACAAAAAGTGATGACGGACAAAAATTCGAAGAAGAGAGAGAGAGAGAGAGAGAGAGAGAGAAAGCAACGAACAGCAGGTGTCTCTCGTGCACGCACGACAAATGGGTTCTTTTCGACGATCGAATGGGACCAGGAGCGGAAGTTTTAGGAAAAATTGGGGTGCCATGTGCACACATTTTTTAGGAAAGGGTAGAAATTTGGTTAAAAAGAGGACATCTTTGAAAATCAACAGAAAACTTGTTCTGCTCGCAAGTCCTCTCTTAAAAACTAGGAAAAAATGCCAAAACTCCAAGAAAATGGCCAGGAATCATAAAGTTCAAAGAAAATCCGCTCTAATCTTTTCTGATCCTCCTACATCTCTAAATTTAACTTTAAAACTTGCCAACTTCTATAAACCGGCTCAAAATTTCCAAGTTTTCGCCTACAAAGTCAACTGAGTCGAGCCTCCCGGAATTGGATAATAGCTGTTCTGTGCGTGTGTGTGTGCGTGGGCGGAAGATGAAGCTGCTACTCTTGCCCAAGAAAGGGGGAGGGGTTCCCTCTCTCTCTCTCTCCCTCTTAATGATGGATTTGTCGCGGCGGCGGAGAGGCGCAGAGGTCAAAACGAATCGGAAAAGTGTTCTCTCTCTCTCTCTTCGTGTTCATACGAAAGAGAGAGAGAGAGAGAGAGAATGTGTATTATTGATGCAAATGTGTGCGTGTGAGAGAAAAAGAGGGACATGCATTGTTGGACACACAGAGAATCCCTCCGAGCGCACCACTGACCCCTCACCCCGTCGGGCGGCCAGCTGGCAAGCTGCCAAGTCCCTCTGCGTCTCCCCGACACAATATCGATCGATTCGCCTCCCTTAGGAATGGCTGCGCACGTTTAACAATAGCCTCCTCTCTCTCTCTCTCTCCCTCTCTTTCTCGGCGCGCGACCTTATTTACTGTGAAAGTGGTAGAGAGAGAGAGAGAGAAAGAGGGAGAGAGAGAGAGAGAGAAGCTGCTGCTTTGGGGGGTAAAGAAAGAAGAAGGAAAAGGAGAAGGGGATGACGATGGTGTGGCCGACTTTACTCTCTTGCGCAGCAGCAGCACGCGAGATAGCTGTGTGTTTGTGAGTGTGCGGGTCAATAATATACAAAACTGTACAAACACAGTGAGTTTTGACGAAGAAGGGAGCTAACGGATAGACTTCTGGAGCGAAAAAAGGAGTGATCTGGAAGATAATCCGCTGGGAGACGTTACAAAGAATTCTAGAACCTTCTGGAAGGAATAGAATGGCTTCTATCTTCCAGAGATGATTCTAGATCTTTCTAACGAAGATTGTAACGGAATGGTCTCGTTTTGTTATACCAAGAACGGAAAACTATTGTCTAGTGATACTGATACCAGAAACTATAAAATGCACGACTTCGGGAGGCGAACAGGAAGAAGGGTCCGATTTCAAGGCTTCAGAAAGCGGCTAGGAGACATTCTGGACATTTTTTGATGCCTTGAATTGATAAAGCTTCCTTGTGGAATTCTAGAACTGTCATGGAGCAATTCTACAAAGGAATACGGATAAGCCATCGCTGCGAGACCGAACTCGTAGTGAAACTGTTTTAAAACATACAGTTTTTCAAGGATAGAGTAAATTCTCATCAAATTTGAAGCTGTAGCTAATTCTCCCTAAAAAGTAACAAGTAAGACTCAAAAACGTGGATTACAGCAATACTACCGTAAGCTTAAATAAATTTTGCGACAGACACCATTTTGAAACACTTTCCAGAGTCCTCTTGCATAATATTGCATGCAAATCTCTAATAAGTACCTGCAACTTTATAAATAGCACGTTTCAAATGCTAATTGACGGGTTTCCAAGGCTGGCATTAAAAATACGGGTTTCTACGGCCAATGAGCTATTATTTACGACACCTACTGGAATGTGCACAGTTAAAACAACATTTTCACACTAAAAACATACGAAAATAACGTGGAATTGGCGAAAATGCAAAGTTGTTCGAAATTGAAGCAAAAATTCAAATAAAAAGCGGAAAATTAAAGAGGGCGCCAAGCGGAATTTCGGAGTGTCGTTAGTGTCCGCGTCTCTCGTTTTCGCACACTCTCTCGTCGCTCTCGCCTATTCTTCATTTATTTTCCCGCGAATTGTTGCTAAAAAACTGCGATTATAACCGATTTGCTGTGGATTTTCTGTGTTTTTTCGTAAAAATAAAAAATGCAAACGTGTTTTTCGTTGAAATCAACACCAATTTATCGCAGAATGCATCTCACGACGACGTTGGCGCTTCGCCGAATTCTCAACAGCGGATTCCATCCGTTCCAGGTCATTCCGAAGCCGGACGTGTGGCTGAAACGCGAGCGGCTCAATCGATTCACAGCTGTAAGTGATAATATAACTGAAAATTTCGGAAAAATTAGAAATGTATCACTGAAAAACGGTTTTCAGTGGCAATACGCATCGGAGAGAAGCACAGTGAAGGGAGCCTACCGGAAAGAGGACAAAATCTTTACGTATTTGAGTATGCAGCGCGAGGACGAACCGAAATTGGAGAAATTTGTAAGTAAAAAATGGAAAAAAACCTTTAGAGTTCTCAATTCTGTTCCAGAACGTTTTTTGAAATGAAATCTTTGTAAACTCTCAAAAAATCCTCACTTTCAGCACGCAGAAGAGCGAGTTCGAGCGGCGCTGGCCGAGCACGACATGGAGTACCCGAAATTCCGGACGGTGCTCTCGAAAGCGCACATTTTGCTCGACAATATCTGTCTTTCGCAGTTGGCCATCTACGAGCCGAGATCGTTCAGGGTAGGCGTGAAAAGTCCAATTTTTTAACCTAAAAATGCCTGAAAGTCGTCAAAAACCCTTGGTTTCCCTACTTTTTCCAATTTTCAGAGCCTCGTCGCATTCACCAAGGAACTGGCGCGTCAGGAAGGAATGGAGGTGATTCCGGACGATCCCGAGTTCGCCTATGATGTTAGTTTCTTCAAAAATTGCATTTTAGCTCATTTTCTCTTCAATTTTCAGGTGCACGTGGACAACCAATCAGTGCTGCGTGCTCCGTTGCCACGTGCGGTCGAGTACACGCGCGGTGCGGCCGAGAATCACACGTTTAAACCGAGAAAACTGCGAGAAGACGAATTTTAGGCCCCCGCCCCGCCAGCACATTTGTTTTTTGTTTTGAGTATCCGTTAGATCCATGTCTTTATCGTTATTATATCTATATAAAAAACTTCATTCAGATTCATAGAAAAACATGTAAATTAGGCGTAGAAAATTGGTTTTTGTTCCCCAGAATAGAGTGGCACAGTGATAATTAGAGGACCGCGTAGTTTTCCGATTTGTCAATGTGACAATTTGTGATTATGATCGTGTTGTGCTCCAAAAGTGCATCGTGACCGGATGAGCTCGCTCCGACGGGACTGCAAGTTATTTTTATCAATTTTGGATGAGTTCTATGTTTCCATGTAAAAAAACGGTTTCAGAAAAGTTTGCTCACCTCGATGGCGGGCAAACCCTCGCAAATAGCCGTCCAATCGATCGAACACACGCGAGCTCCTTGAACGCCGAACGGATTTTGCCGTTCATCGAGCAGAGAAGTGTGAAAATGATGATGGAAGTGAGCAAAGTGAACAATTCGGTCAAATCGCCGAGCTCGTAGATCAAAGTGACCGAGGAGACGGTGGAGAGCACGGCGAGCACGCCCTGCGGAAGTTCGACGATGATGAACAGAACCATGATGGCGAGGATCATGTTCGTGGTGCGCTGGTGCTGTTTATCGCGTTCGACGTTCGAGAAACGTGAGCTCAGCACTTGGATCTTTTTGAGTTGGTCCAGAATTAGACACGTCATGATGCACAGGATTATCTGCAATGACTTTTGTTTCTTGGAGGTTAGGACACGTTACGTTTGACATGCACTAGACTAATCCCACCTTCCAAGAGCTACAGTAACCTTGGGAGTGGTTGTACGAAAAAGTGGTCAATTGCAAAACTAAAGTTCTTGAATAGTACAGTACTTTTCCAGTTGACACTTTTTTTCTACGACCATACCCTGGAGTACTGTAGCTTTTGAAAGATAGAATAGAAATACATAAGAACCTAACTAGTCCCAACTTTCAAGAGCTACTGTAGCCTTGTTAGTGGTTGTAGAAACTAGTTGTCAACTACAAAATCATTTCTCTCATCTTGAACTTCACTTTTTCAATTGACAACTTTTTTCCACAACCCTTCCCCGGGGGTACAGTAGCTCTTAGAAGTTAGGCCTCCTTTTGAGGTACCCCGAACGAGTCTCAACTTCTGAGCGCTACAGTACTCCCAGAAAAAAGGTGTCCAGTGGAGAAACCAAGTACCATTTGTGACGATTTTGAAAACTCACCGACGGCCCGACTTTGGCGACGAGGTAGAAGAGCCAAAAGTTCAAATTGCGGAGCCAAATGCTCTGGGTGTAGGTGAGCTGATAGGCGGCCTGATTCCTCAGCGCCGGGTACCTTTCTGCACACCCCTCGTTTTCGAAAACCTGCAAAATTTGTGTCAAACGAGGCAAGGACGACTAAACTTTTCAATAAAATGAGTCACAAGTCAGACGCGCTGCTGCCCCGCGAGTTGTCAATCAAAAACGTTTCCAATAAAAATGTCTTTTACAGCGAATTTGCGCTCGAAATTTGCCTAAAGAAATTCCAATTAAAATGGAAAGAGGGGTAAACAAGAGGGGACTAATGAGGTCCGCACACAAGTTGAGTTGCACAATTTCGCCGCGAAAATCCGCGAAATAATTGCTCCACAGTCGGCGCAACGACCAATGAGCAATTAATTTAAATTTGCGGAACTTCAATTTTAAATTTTTCTCACATAGATCACTCGGCAATGTTTGAAAGATTGAGAAAACGAATAGAAAACGCACCTCGGTCACTTTTGACGTGAAATGGAGTGGAATACAGAGAAAGATGACGCTCACGTAGATTAGAATTATGGCCACTCGTGATTTCTGGAAGAATTGAGGATGCTACCTAAGATTTCGGTTTGACCTACCCGCCACGTGAACCACGAAACATTTGAGGTGGCGCTGGAGAGTTGGGCCAACGAAAAGAACCGAATCAGGGAGAGGGCGACGACGTGGAACACCTGAAAACCGGCATGACGGCCGAGAGAAGCATGCGAAAAACGTACGGCGGACATGTGGACGAGCACGGAGACGGTCACCGAAAAGTGCATTGTGGTGGCCATTGAGTAGGAGAAGAAAAACTGGTGGCACAATTGATCGGACATGAATTTGAAGAAGGTCGAGTAGAGAAAGTTGATGCACAGCGCCAGTTGACTGCTGAAAAAGGTCAGTTGGTCCCTTTTTGCCTTGATTTTCTGACCCTTGACCGTCCGGGACCAGGTCCCAGACGACTAGTGCATTGCAGCGGAAGAAGGTGCACTCACCCTCTTCTTCTTCTCCCTTTCTAAAAACTTCCGGTGAGTAAGAGAAAGTATGTGATTTGTCATACACATTTCCTCCTCCACCCACCCCCCTCTTTCTCTTCCATTTTTTTCTGATTTTCCGCATCGCTGCGCTTCCATTTGTTTACCGATCTTGACGTACTTCTTATGCTCAGCGATCTTGCGTTTTTGAACTTTTCGCGGAAAACCGGGTTCCAGATTTCCGCTCGAGATGCGAGTTGCGGCGGCGGTCCCTGTGGGAGCCAGCCGAAAATGGGGGGAAAAGAGGCGAGAGATGCTCATGAAGATTAGTGGCGTTCGGAAACAAACACATTCCGTCGGCCAATAAATTTGTCTCGCCAAGATTGGATTGTTTTCCTCGTTTTCTTTGCTCATTTGCATGTTCGTTCGTTGTTCATACGATCACGCGAATAAATCAGATTAGGGGCGCGACGGACGGACGGACGGACAGAGCGGACATTCAATTTTTGTGTGTTGTTTTCAGGCCACGCGAGTACACCTGACTTTTGGAGCTACCGTACTCACCAACTCATGGAAATGAGGAACATGTTTGTGGGATTGAGCATCGAGGAGAGCGTCGTGATTGTGAGCATGTGGCCGAGAGCGCCGGAGATGCACAGAAGCAGCACCATCGGCGGATGGAACAGACGACCGTACTCGAGGAGGGCCGTCTCGAATACGGTCGACGACGAGTTGTCGGCTGCGTGGTGCACGGGCGGAGGCGAGCTCATTCTGGAACAGTATGTAGAATATTGACAGGAGGAAATGGGGGGCGATTGACGCGCTTGTTTTGCAGTCGAGACTGGCGATAATCTCGAGTTGAGCTCTGACTATTTTTCAGAGATTTCTAGATGAAAGTATCGGTCTCTAGACCTCTCAATCTTTAAAAGAAAGGGGGGGGGTCAATGGGAAGAAGAAGAAGAAGAAGAAGAAGAAGAAAAAGAGGGTGGGATTAGGCTTCGCCATAAAAAAGGGTGGAAAACAAGTGTGTGTGTGTGAGATCAGGATCTGATCACTGTTGAATGGGGGGCAGATCATATTTCTATTGGTTGTTTTGACAAAACATTGATGTAGAGCGCAAATAAAGGAGGTCTAAGATTACGGTAGTCCCCCTCCCTGAAATACTTGAGGTTAGGGAAGAGTTCCGAGCGAAAATCTTGACGGACAATATATAACGTTCCGAGTAAGCTGATCAATTGTCATTCAAAAGTATTTCGGCGGTGTCCAGACAACCTTTTCTCACCAAATTTCGCCGGAACTCTTGCTCTTTCCAGGAAAATGAAATACGACGCGAAAAAGTGTGTGGGAAAGGCGTCGAGAATGACTCAGATTCTCGCGAAATGCCAATTCTCGCCTGCTTCATTCACAATTAGGCCCAAAAGTACGTGGAAAATGAAGAGGACGCGATCTTTTGTGCGCGTCGAGACGACGAGAATTCACTTTACTTCTTGGGCAGAAAAGGGGCGGAGCTGGAAAATGAGCGGACGAGAAATTAGTGAGACGGGGGGGGGAGGAAATGAAACGCTTTTAGAATGTTGTGCTGCAGTTCATTCGATTCCTCACACTTTTTCGAACAATTTCAAGACAAAGCGGTCTGGATTACTGTACTTTGACCTCAAAGCAACTTTTGAGGACCGGGGGGCCAAGCTCTGAGGCTCCAGAAAGTCGAATGGCAAAAGGAGCCAATGAGGGGGAGGGGGTAAAAAGTGGGCGGAGCCTAAAAGGGCCCTGGCTAACAATGATTTATGTGAATCTTGATTGAATTAGATAGACAAAAACAAGGCAATAACTCTGTACTCTTTTTTTTTTTTTTGCGCCCTACCTCGTGAGCCAGAATTCCCTCCACTTTTCGCTGATATTGTGATTCTGCTGATGCTGCTGCAAAAACCGAAACTTCTCGGAATGATTATGAAGATGACGAAGAAGAAAAAGAAGAAGAAGAAGAAGAAGAGTGCAAGTGTGAAAAATCGGACAAAAAGAGGGCGAAATCGAGTTTCCGGGAAGAATGGGACGGAAAAGTTCCGAGGGAGAAGAAGTAGGAGAGGAAGAAGGAGTCTGGGAGGAAGGAGTGACCGAAAAATGTAATAAATGTGTGCAAATGATGATGTATAGGGCTAATTTAGGCGGTGCGTGGGAACAAGAGTCCAAATTAAGGTCGTGCGCGTGATTCTAGAGTGCAAAGGCTTGAAAAAGCTGCGAAAAGCTCTATCCCGGCTCGTAGTGGTCCGATTTGACAGCGTTGCAGAGCTCAGTTGAGTAAAAATGAAAAAGGATCTAGGTCAACGGAAAGTAGGTCACGTAGAGGTCACTGGGTCAGTTTTCTAGGTCACGTTGAGGTCAGTACTCGAAAATTGGAATACCAAAGAGCCCAGAAAAGCTTGCTTTTGCGAGAGAAAATAAGAGAAATGCCCATGAAATCTGAATTTGCATTCCTAACAAGCTCACTTTGAGGTCATCGAATCACTGGAAATATAGGTCAGGCGCTGTATAATCGTCAAAAATCTGAAACCGGGTCAGAAGAGACAAACTTTCAGTTATTTCTGGTGCCAGTGACACCACGTCAAAACACAAAGATAAGAGGATTTGAGGAGGAGGAGCATCGAACGTTCAAAAAAATTGACGTGTGCTTTTAAAAATCGCGGGTCCACACACACTAGGTTTTTGAGCCCGAGTGTGCAAAATTTTTCGGAATTCGAATGAGCCACGATGCACTTTTCGCGCAAAAATTGGGGGGTTTTGCGAAATGAGCACGGAGAGGGGGGGGGAGTTCTTAGAAAAAGAAGAAGAAAAAGTGAAGAGCGATCGAATATTCATGGGCGCATCATAAAGAGGAACGTGGAGGAAGAGGAAGAGAGAGAAAGAGTTCCCCCCTTTTCTGGAAGCACGAAATTATGATGATTTTATGGAGGGGAATGAAGAGCTGAACCGAACGGACTTTTGGGGACTACGGTAGCTTCGACGGGTCACATGAAAAGTGGGTCACGTCAAAAAGCAGCTATTTGTGGACGAGTGTTTTTCCGGGAATTTGAGGGAACGTACTTGTTCCCCTGCACCCAGACACACTTGTTCTTCCTTTTTTTTCTTTCAACTCTCAGTTCCCCCCCGGACACATCACTTATTGCTGCACAATTCCTCTACTTTACTTCCTAATCACATCATAGATGTTTGGCTGTGTGTTTTAGTGTTTTAGGTGACAAAAACGTGCGAGAAAATGCGAAGAGAAACGCGCGTCACGAACGTGGGAAAGAACTTTTGGTGAGTCAAACTTTGAGAACGCTCTGATGGGTTAGGCGACGTCATTGTGTTCTAGAAATTTTTTTGTGAAAACTTCACATCTAGTACTTCACTTTTGTAGTTGACCACTTTTTTCCACAACCACTGCCTGGAGTACTGTAGCTCTTGGAAGTTGGGATAGAAATTCGTGGGCTGTTTGCAAGGCATCACTTCCAAGAGCTACAGTAATCCTGAAAGTGGTTGTAGAAAAAAGTGGTCAACTACAAAAACATTCTTCGAAATTTGAATTTGAATTTTGTAATTGAAAACTTTTTTGCACAACCTTGTCTAAGCGTACTGTAGCTCTTGGAAGTATGGACTTGTTTTGAGACACCTTGAACTGGTCCCAACTTCCAAGGCCTACAGTACTCCAGGGAGTGGTCGTGGAAAAAAGTTGTCAACGGGAAAAATGAAGTTCTAGGTGTGAACTTTTCGCTAAACATTTTCTAGAGCACTGGAACTTTTCCGAAGTCTACAATACTCATTCAAAGTTCAGGTACTACTGTACTTTCAGATCACAAAGAAAGGTCCAACAAATTTCGGCACTTTTCTTGATGAAAGGGAAAAGGGCAAAAGAAAGTGGGAGAAAGAGCCGGTCCGAGAAGAAAACACAAGAAAAGGAGGGCTGGGAAGGTCTTTGAGCATCATAATAGAATATGAAAGTACCCGGGAATGGGAGGGGGCAAGATCCTTGAAACTTGAGCTTTTCTCGGAGTTCTCTGAGCAAATAAAGGGATGTTAATGAATAAAGTTGTGTTGTTCAATTTTCAGGGATGAACAATATCCTAATCCTTCCTTAATCACTTTTTTGGCCACGCTAATGGGGACAAAGTACGCGGAAGCCCACTTTTTAATTTTTAAACTCAAAAGTTGCATTTTTCGATGATTTCATCCTAATTTGTCATGTTTTTTTTAATCATTCTATTGAAAAACAAATGGGGGACTAGCATTTTCTAGGCCACCCAACTATAAGGAGTTTGCTAGAGTTGTGGAAGGTCACGCAACTCGGTTCCAGGGAGGCCAAAAAGGAAAATGTGTGTTTCTCGGTTAATTTTTGAGATTTCTTCAAAGTTAAAAAAGGATTTGAATGATAATTTTGTGCTCTACAAGTTTCTAGTTGATCGTTTTTAACGACAACGCGCCTGCGCCAAGATATTTGCATTTACCTAAATGATCTCTCTCAAAACCGGTGTGTGGTTGTAAAACCAAATTATCTCGGCGCACAGACAGATTCATAAAAAACTGTCAACTACAAAGTTGTAGAGCATACGATTCCCTTTCAAACTCTTTTTTTACATTCAAAAAATCTCAAAAATTGAACGAGTTACGTCAGTTCAAAGTCGAACTTGAACTTGACGCCTTCAATCGAACCGTAAGGGACTAAAGTGAAGAAAAAGGAGGGAAAACTGAAAGCGGGGGGCTTAAATGCGTGTTGGCTCCATTTCTGTATAGTCGGCCAACGATTAGACGCATCCTTTTCTCCTATGTACGCAGCTAATTTAATTGGAATCAATTCACGAGACGGCGAAAACAGAGAGGTCACGTTTTTGCTCCCCCCCCCTTTTTCCAGCGCTTTTACCAGGAATGCTTCGGGGAAATGAGAGCGCCAATTGGCAATTGGTCGATGATTCTGGAGCACGATGGCTTAATTATGTTTCATTCGTTCAAAGATTCTGATTCGGAGAACACGCGGGCAAGGTACCGCAGTTTTCCGGTTTTCTGCGCAGAAAAGGGGTTGTGGACGTTTGGCAACCAGGTGGGACACTTTGCAACCGGACGTTTCGCAACTTGAACCGATCGGCAATTAACTGCAGTTGCCTGATGAGCAGAAACGATTGGGAAACTAGCAGTTTCGGAGAGTCTAGTGCGGTTGCAAAACGGGCTGGTTGCATAGTGTCCCGACTGAGACATTTTGCAACCGGATGATTTACAACTAGAACTGACGAAATCGATTGAAATTGCCGTTAGCTGTGTCTAGTGCGGTTGCAAAATGTCCCAGTTGCAAAGTTTCCCAGTTGCAATGTGGGAAATTAACATGTTAAAGGTGAAAGCTGTGAACTTCTATAAAAAGAAGAAGATTCGTATAACAGGAACACTTCGCAACCGATCATTTTGTCACTAGAACACCTAGTGGACACTTTGCAACCGTAGTTTTTGGCAGCTACGGTTGCCTAGCGTCAATATGTCAAACTACAGTAACCCTCGTGCCACGTCACTCTTCTAATGTCCTAATTCGATTATCCACAGTACTACTCTCTAAACATTTCAAGATTATTTCAAAAATTGAGCGGACAACTCGAAATTTCATATTTCTCAACCCTCAAAAAACGTTTTCGGGGGGCATTTTGAATATTTCATTCGATGTGAAAGATGAGAGTAAATGGGGAAAGAGGAAGAGAAAGAGAGAGAGAGAGAAAAAGGGCCGGCGGCGGGCGGAAAAGGTGCTTGAAACATTTTTGTTGCTCAAGGAGTTGGTGGTGACGAGCGGGAATGAATTTGTGATGGAAGTGGAAGTGGAAGTGGAAGAGGAAGGAGGGGTGGCCCCGGATATTGTAGGTTTCCTAATGCGACATAAATCCGAGTGTTCCGACATGCGACGGAAAGGGGGAAACCGAGCCAAAAAAAAGAAAAAAAAGGGGAAAAGTAATCGCATTTTAGGGATATGTGTTTCCTTATTCGTTATTGTTCAGATCATGCGGATATGTGCTTCCGTTTCACTTGTCAACAAAAACTGGAAAAGAGAGTTGTTTCAGACATCTAGGTCATACAAATAGTAAGCCAAAATAAAATGAACAAAATTTGATTGAGCCCTCCGAAAACTGACATCTAAATCTATTTCACTCTATTATTATTATAATTCCGACGACAGCTGACAAATGGTGTTCGCACGAATAACCCGATAATATCAGCAGAATGGAGAGAAAGCTCGTGATAAATGGGCAAATGATTAAAAAGTGAGAGTTGAAAATGGGGGGCATGTGATATGAAGGTGTGGGAACGGAAATTGGATAGAAAAACGAGGAGACGTGGGGGGAAGGGAAGGGACACTTTTTAGAACCGCATAATATAATTATGTTTTGAGAGAAAGCGGAAAATCTTCTGCTCGAATAGGTTTTCAAGACGGAGAGAAAGGAAGAAGAAGAAGAAGAAGAAGAAGAAGAAAAGAGGGAACGGAGAGCATCGATGAAATTGGCTTAATTTTGAGAAGGAAGGGTCTCTGGGAACACCTCAAACTTGCGGGAAATGGGGTTGGATTACGGTAGGTCAATCTTCGAAATTTAGGTCACTGTAAGGTCACTGATTGAATAGAGCGCACTTGCACCAATGATTTTCCGGTTAAAAGCATCAAAGTCTGCAAAAAATGAGGAGGACGTTATGAGAGGAGCGCAGAAATGGAAAAAGAGAGAGAGAGAGAGAGAGTGGACACTGATTATCTCTCTCTCTCTCTCTCTCTTTCTTGTCCCTCCCCCCGAAATTCAAAAATAAGCGATTAGGAGAGGCGTCGCGCGTGAATCAAATCTCGTGGGAAAGAACGCACGCCCTCGATTCTTGGCACTTTTTTGGGCGCTTTGATAATGCGCATTCTCGGAATGACTCGGATTTTGTGAAACTCGGGTCACTATTCGTGTTACCTGAATGCTCGCCACGTCAAAAACGTCATTCTCGGCCGAATCCCCGCATCCAAACACCTCTAAAAAGTCGGCTGAAAAAATGCGCATATATTTCCCGGTTGCACTGTTATTTTGGCAGGAAGCGGTAAATCGGGGAAGAAGAAGAAGAAGAAGAAGAAGAAGAAGAAGAAGAAGGGAGAGAAAGGAAAATGTATTCTGGTAGAGTAGTCGAGGATATCCGTCGTTTCGAGAATGGGGGATTTGAGGAACGGCTGAGGAACGGCTGATATCAATATTGAGCTGACAAAGCGGAAGGATTAAAATTTGAGGAAATTAGGTCACGCGAAAACTATTTGCGTGTGGCTCAACGTGTAACAAAGCAGAAGGTCATTGAAAAACTTGGGCATCCTAGGATTACTGTAGTTGACCGACCTTAACAGATGATTTTTGTTCTTAGTACTTCCCGAACTTGTTTTCACGCTCGGATCGCATAAATGCTTAGAATATTATCAGCGCGCCAAAAGGACACCAGACTACCGTAATCTGTGGAAACCTTTTTTGTTTTTGATGTTCATAATGTTCCAGAACATCTAGAACATCAAAAAAGAGGATGCGGAAGTGTTTTCCGGGTCAAATGATGTCGTGAAACAGTTGCATTCATTGGGCTTCAAGTGGAGCGTTTCAAGGAGTTCTTCAACGTGGTCCCACAAGTTCGGAGGGATACAAGAGGGACCAGGAACTGATATTATCCATGTGATGAATGTGTCTAGGACAAAATGAATGATAAATTGGTCTTCAGTGTGCGGGAGGTTGACATGAATTTGTCACGATATGGTGCATCGATGGAAAGTGAATATGAGAAAGGAAAACAAAGTAATTTTCTGGAAAATATCAATTAGGTACGGTGTATGGAATAGAAAAATGAGATGAGGACGAGGAAGGTGCCAAGTAGCCGGTTAGGTCCACAACCGCTCAGGAAGAGTCTCTCCTGAAAATAGTTTGTAGAAAATTAGTTATAAGTTGAGAATGAAACGTTTTGAGACAAAGTGATCAACTACAAAGTTGTAGAGCAGAAAATTTGCAACAACTTTGCTGTTGACAATGTCTTCAGATAACTGATGGTTCTCGAGATATGGTCCCTCAAAGTTCACGGAGTTTCGATATTATCCACTCACATTCTGATCGTGATGCACATAAACTTTTCCATCCTTCATTTGCCTCACAAACGGTTTCTGGTCCCTTGACATTGATATTATCCGCTTCTCACAAAATTCGAGGCTATGTTTCGTGCATTCCACATCGGATAATGAGTTAAAGAGGCACAATTGATGCTCCTGATATGATTAAATCAAAAAAGTTTCAAAAAGTTGGGGGGTAACTCACATATTTCTCCTCACAAAGTCGCTCATCCAACCTCATATACTTTCCCTGATATTTCACAATTCGGTCGGGCATCTCGTAGTACGCGTACGAGTTATTATGAACTTCTCCAAAGTCTTCGCACTGAAACTGGTTACGGTTTGGTGTATAATTTGACGGAAAACCGACCTCTTCCACCCGAATCTTCTGCAAATCCGGCACGACGAGTTGAAACTTGACATGATATTTCTCCAGATCATCCTGATAACACACCACATCCCGGGCCTCGATCATTTTTATCAGTTCGTGGTATAGACGTGGCATTTCATTGACAATCGTCTCGTAAACTTTGGGCTCGAATAATATCAGATCGCTGAGTTGTTCGTGGTACACCAAATCTTGAAGATAGTATCGGAACCAGGCAACCGCCAGAATGTTATTTCCCGGATTATTGTGGTATTCGGTGAGGGAGAAGTCGATTTTTTCGGGTATTGTAGCCAAATGATTGAACGTTTTTGTGGTGAATTCGTGTAAATAGGAGAGTAGGATAACTGCTGGTCTGTCCACACCCATTCTACCTTCTGAAATGACCTGTATCTCAGCTGTCGGTTGAGATATCAAAAAGTTGTCAACTAGTAAATTGTTCTTCGAGCTATGGAGTACATTTTCTTTGTTGACAACTTTTTGATATCTTCACCGGCAACTGAGATATAGAAGACTACAATAGTCGTTGTTCTATTTGGACGCCGATCATTTAGAACAATATAACTCAGTTCTTTGTGAAGACATCAAAAAGTGATCAACTAAACAATTATTCCTCATAAAATTTTGTACATTTTCATAGTTGGTCTCTTTTCGATACCTCCACCGACAGCTGAGCTATTTCGCTCCTAAACTCACCATGCTTCCTCGAGCATTCTTGATGGATAATATCGTTTCCGGACAAGTGCTCAAACCGGATATTGTTCTTGAATTTCAAATCGATTGGCACATTCTTGAACTGATCGACGGTTTGATAAATTCTAAAATTGTGCCTAATTTTATCCAGAAAAAGGCGGCGACGGGATCTCACAGAAAGTCTTCGCGTCTGCACAATATTCGTTCACGTGGTAGGTGTTTAGAGACACTTAACACAATTAAACCAAGCATGACAACTATGAATTTCATCTGAAATCAAGAGGTAAAACATACAATTTCAAATTTGAAGTTTAACGTAAGCAGAGTGATGGAGAACGAATCGAAAAGTTACTGATAACAAACGTTGTTGACCATCTGTTTTTAGTGTGTCATCTACCGCCTTTTTGGAGAAACAATGAGCAATATTGACCACCGGAAACAGAAATGGACAATAGTAATTAGCAACAAGGGCTACGGTTGACTATTGTATGTTTCAAAGCCACGTATCCTAGCTGTTTGGGTGTAAATAATATAATTTCATAACTTAAACTTTAAAACTAAACAATTATGCATCAAATTAGCAAGAAGAGTGAAGAGAACAATATCATTGAGGAGAGCACGCCATACGATTCGGGACCACTCGAAGAGTATTGTATTCTCTGAAAAACGTTTTGTTACAGTGTTAATTAAACGTTTTGAGACAAAATGATCAACTACAAAGTTGTAGAGCACAAAATTTGCAACAACTTTGCTGTTGACAATGTGTTTAGATAACTAATGGTTATCGAGATATGGTCCCTCAAAGTTCACGGAGTTTTGCTATCATCCACTCACATTCTGATCGTAATGCACATAAATCTTTCCATCCTTCATTTGTCTCACAAACGGTCCCTGGTTCAATGGCATCGATATTATCCGTTTCTCACAAAACTCGACGCTATTTTTCGTGCATTCCACATCGGATAATGAGTTGAACAGACACAATTGATGCTCCTGATATGATGCAATCAATAAAGTTTCAAAAAGTTGGGGGTAACTCACATATTTCTCCTCACAAAGTCGCGTATCCAACTTCATATACTTTCCCTGATATTTCACAATTCGGTCGGGCATCTCGTAGTACGCGTACGAGTTATTATGAACTTCTCCAAAGTCTTCGCACTGAAACTGGTTACGGTTTGGTGTATAATTTGACGGAAAACCGTACCTCTTCCACTCGAATCCTTTCCAAATCGGGCAAAACGAGTTGGAGCTTCAAGTGCCATCTTCTGTGCCGATCCTGATAACAAACGACGTTCCGTGCCTCGATGGTGCCAAAGAGCTCATCGGTTCCGTACGGCATTTCATTGACAATCCGCTCGTAGACACTCGGCTCGAAGCGGATCATATCGTTGAGTTTGCCGTCGTGAACGAGTGCCTGTAGTTGGTGGCGGAACCAGGCGGTGCCGAGGATGTTCGTGCCCGGATTGTTCAGATATTCCGTCATTCCAAAGTTTGCCTTTTCGCGGACCGTCGCAAACTCGTTGAAAGTTGTGTGCGTCGCTTCGTAGAGAGACGACATGAGCCAGATGGCCGGATGATCGGCGCCTGCGCTCCGTTCTGCACGTTCCACAAATGTTGTCATTGGTCTCTCTCTCTCTCGATATTGTCCACTCACTATTTTTCCTCCAACACTCATGATGGACAATATCATTCGCAGAAAGGTGATCAAATTGCATACTCGACCGGAATTTCAGCACAATCGAGATTGTTTTCAACGCTTCCTCTGATCGGTAGAGTCTGAACACGTCAGACTTATGTATTATAGATTTCCAAGTGTGTACACTCACAAATACTCGCTTTTCCGGCAATTCAGTCGGTGTTTCGGTAGATTTTCCGAGAATCCGTACGGTAAACCAATAAGTAGAGTTAGTAGGTGGAAAAGTTGCATTTTGCTGCGAAATTTGAATGCAATGGCGGCAAACTAATCGAGAAAAAGTCACTGATAACACACACACACACGGAAAATGTTTACGTTGAGTTTCTGATGAAATAAAGGTACTGAAACACTTTCTATCGTCTTGAATCATTCGAACACGAAACGTTTGATATGAAACAATTTATTGCACACTCTAAACAACACAATTTCCCCTGAAAAGAACGGGTGAATCACTGATGTCACTGATCGAGTCCCTCGTAGACGCGAATGATTTTGGTGAAGCTGAACGGCTCGAACTGGATGCCCGTGCCGCCGTAGAACTTCGATTGGAACTCGACCCAGTGGAGACGGATGGCGTGGAGGAACGCGGAAAGACCCTCCATGAGGATGAGGATGCACACGGAGAGGATCGAGAAGAACAAGTAGAAGACGATGGTGATGGCGGCGGAACCGGCCCAGCCGCCCATCGAAAGCGCAATGTTCAGCACCATGGTCCACAGCACGTCGGAGAGTTCTGCAAATGAGTTAGGAGTTGGTCCAAGGGGCTCTAAGTCTCTAGATCAAACTTACGAGCGTGAGCAAGCGAGAGAGCCCAAAGACGAAGGTAGGAAGCAGTGTGGGAGACGCATCCGAGCACAAACTCGATCGTGTGAATCGCCTGATGCACCATGACGTCGCCAAAGTTGAACTCGCCGTGATCGTCGTCGGGACCGTGTCCCAGGTCGACGGGAAGTCCCTTCGAGTGGCGCCAGCGGATGTAGAACGGCTTGACGAGCAGCATAACGGGCACAGAGAAGACGGCGATGAGGAGGAGGATGACCTCGACGAGGCTCTGATTCGGATACCACTGCTGGAGGTAGCACTGATCGTAGATGGTGTACGTCACGTTCTTGCCGTCCACCTCGACCCATTCCTTGGCGGTCGAGGCGCCGACGTCGTAGGCGAATCCGTTGTCTCGGCTTTTCACCATGAACATGTTGATGAGGCCGATGAGGAGCGACGGCGCGCAGTTGGAGCCCGGGTAGAGGCGGCCGAAGATGTAGGCGGGTTTGACCCAGAAGAAGATCCATTTGACGAGCACTTGCAGACAGAGGTAGACGAAGATGCAGCCGAGGAACAGACATTGCGGAATGAACACGAACACGACGTCGACCACCGAACGGTTTCCGCTGAAAAGAACGAGTAGGCCGGGGTGACTAGGCCACTTACAGATGATTCATGAGCGAGAGAAGAATACCAAAGGCCATTTGCGAGATGCCGAGCAGAATCGACGTCTTCATTTTCATCGGATTCAAAAAGTTGAGCCGGTTCTTGGCCACATTCCAAACGGGATCCACTCCGAACGGATACGGTCCGTAGTCGTGGAGAAAGGCGTCTTCGGGCGCGAACGTCAGATCCAACTCGGTGCCGGCAATCGCGCCCTGCTCGTCCATCGCGGCGAGCAGCTCCGGCGTGTACGGATTCACCCAGCTCGAGCCGAAAATGTTGATGGATTTGGAGTAGAAGTCGTTGTAGATGAAGCCGGTGTAGATGGCGAACACGCCCATCAGCAGGATGACGTAGCGGCCGCCGAAGAACGTGTTGAAGATCTCGTCCTTGATCTTCATCGAGATCAGCTTCTTCTCGTAGAAGACGAACGCGGCGGCGGCGAGCAGCATGATGATTCCGTGGCCGGCGTCTCCGAACATGACGGCGAACAGGAACGGGAACGAGATGATGGTCCACGGCGCCGGATTGACCTCACGGTAGTTGGCGATTCCGTACGCGTCGACAATGTTCTGAAAGCCCTGCGTGAACTTGTTGAGCTTAAAGTACGTCGGCGGGTATTTGTGCGTCTCCATCTCGTTGAGAATTGCGGGCACCGTGGAGCCGGAGTGAATGGTGCCCATGTGAAGCGAGTTTTTGATGAGCACAATGTCGGCCTCAGGCACCCAGCACTCGGCAATCAGACACTTTTGCGTCACGTCGACGGAGAACATGTTGAGGGTGTGGAAGATGCTCTTCAGCTTCAGCAACATGATGCCCCATTTGCGGAGGTTGAGCGCGGCGGTCGCAATGCACTTGCTACGGTAGTCGAGAGTCTTCTCGATGACCGCCTTCATGTCGTGCGCCTGGATCTTGATGTTGTTCAGCAGCTTCGTACGCTCCGCCGGGTTCTCCGGCACCGTGTACACCTTCGCCTGAAAGCCGTCGCAGATCTTTTTGACTTTGGCGCGCAGTTGCTCTCCGGAGAAGAAGAGAATGAAGACGGACTTGTCCTCGAAGTCGTGCGAGAACACGTCGGTCTTCTCGGCGATCGGCACGAATTTGGCGAAGACTTTGGCGCGAGAAAGACGCCACAGAAAGCGCTCGAATGCGATCGATTTGGCGCGCTTGATCACTCCCGTCACGAACCTGCAAAATAGATTTATGGTGCATCGAGATTTAGAACTACTATATGGTGCATCGGTCACTCATAACTCGAAAAGAAGACGTTTTGGTAAAATATTGTCAACTACAAAGTTGTTCAGCATACAATTTCCAACAACTTTTCAGTTGATACTGTTTCACCAAAACGTCTTCTCTTTGAGATACACGCTTTCAAACATGGTGCATCGTTCACTCATCACTCACTTGAGTTCGTTCTCATCCCTGACCGGTTTCTCGTACTCCTGCTTCAGTCCGACCGTGAACGGACCGGCCTCTCCTCTGGCCGCTTCCGAAATCGAGAGGGCCGCTTCTCTCTTGCTCTGCGAGTCGAGCAAACTCGTCACGTGCTCCAGAACGGCTTTCATTTCGAGCAGTTGCACGTGGTTCGTCTTGAGCACTTTCGTGTTCTTGTTGATTTGCAGCAGTTCTTCTTCCAACTTCTCCAGATTCGCCTCCATTTCTCCCATGTGTTTTGGCTGTGGCGCCGGAATGTGGTCATCGTAGTCCGGGATTGGGACCAGGTCCTTGTTGATCTCCTCTTCGACGAACGCTGGAAGAGGGTCAATTGAGTGAGTCACGTCTAGAACACTCACTGATCTTCCTCTCCATCTCGTCGCACCGTCGAACTTCATTGACAAACTTCCTCGAGTACGAGTTCTGCTCCTCGTTCAGATCGATAAACTGCGCCAATCCGAGTTCTCCCAACTCGGCGACACACTGATAGGCGGACTCGGACTGGAAGAAGATTTGGCACAATTTCATGTGCTCCGACCGATAGATCGAGCCCATTTTCGAGTGCGGATCGCCCCTGAAAAGCTGATGGAAAATGGGGCAAAATGTAGCGGAAAAACGGCGGAAAACGGTGAGTTTGGAGTGCTGAAGACTGAAAACCGAAGACAAGTTTTCAGTTTTTCACCCTCTTCTTATCACTCTTCGTTTGTGCTCCTTCGAGCCGAGCGGTGGTTATCAGTGCGAGAATGCGGAATGTCTTTTAGGACTATTATTTCATCGCTTTTACAGGGACCGAGCAAAACGGAAAAGTTATTGTACTTTTCTTGAAAGTTTGTGGGCAACATGCAGAAAAACAGAGGGTGTTGATGAAGTGTTGATGACTATCAAGTGAAAAATGCAAAAAGATAACAATGTTGGCAGAGTGTTTCGATGCAAAAGTACGATTGTCATGATGATGACAGTATTGTTTGCGTTTCCTTTTTGAACAATTTCAGACCTCTGATAACCTGGAAAAACAGATTTTCTACTGCTTTTTAGTACTGTCTGGAATTGCCACGTCATTTGCATTCCTTTGTAGTTGAACACTTTTGTCTAGGACCACTTCCTGGAGTACTGTAGCTATTGGACGTTTATGCATTTGTGGCCTAACTTCCACGCGCTACAGTACTCCAGAAAGTGGTCAACTACAAAAACGAAGAGCTAGACGTTAAGATGTTACCCAAAAATTTGCAGAGTCATAGAACATCTTGTGGCACTACAGTAATCATTCAAAGTTTGTCATTCCCCAACATCTTTCAGAATCTAACAATATTCCCTACATATCTCCCTAAAGTCTGGGTATGCCAAAAAAACCTGTTCATAAACGCCGGCGCCATTTTTTGTCTTTTTCGTCAAATATCTCTTAGGCCCGGGCCAATCCATCAGGTTCATTACACAATCACACAAACACTTTCGGTCCATCATCCGTTTCCTATTTAAAAATGTTGTCAAAAATCGATTTATTCGCTCTACTAATTCTGTCATTTTGGGCGATTGTAGGTTAGTTTCAAGACGCTGTATCTCAGCTGCCTGTCGAGATATCTAAAAGATGTCAACTGACAAAATGTTTATTATGATATTGTGTACTTTTTTGTAATTGACAACTTTTTGATATCTCCACAGCCAGCTGAGATATATATCGACTTCTTTTTTATTTAGAAAGCTCCACTGAAAACGATAAAGATCCATTTCCATTTGGGTTGGATGACCGTTTGGATCCATTCTCAAGAAATGCTGGACTGTAAGTGATGGCCTAGCTTTCTCTTTCTAGGCCACCAACCAAAAGGTTCCAGAAAACAAGAATCGAGTCGGGAAACGACGCGGAAACCCCGTCGTCGGCACCACCACCACCACCACAAGGACCGGGAGCCCCAATACTATCACCAGGGGAACACGTGGGGCTTTGAGGAGGAGGAGAAGGAGGAAGAGGACCAGAAGAAGACGGTCCCAGTTGATCAGAGACCGCGGACAGCGCCACGAGTGCCGCCTGTGGACCCGGCGGAAGACCTGCAAACGGCAGTGAGAAATGCGCAGTTGGGCATTACGACGACCGATTTGCCGCCGGATCCGAAGCACAACGGACTGCTGAAGGACATCGGAGCTGTCGGTGGGTTCGATTTATGGTGCATCGGCCATCTAGGCAAATGGTACTCCACGTGGAAAAGGGGGAGAACATGAGTGAAGATTTATTGCAACGGCTCCATGAAACATAGACTTCCTTGGGGTTTGTATCGACATGGTGCATCGCAGTGTTGAGCGGAATTCCGTCTGCCGTCTTCCGTCTGCCGTCTTCCGTGGTTTTTTTTGTTCCGTCTTCCGTCTGCCGTCTTCCGTGAGAAAAGTTTTCTTCCGTCTTCCGTCTGCCGTCTTCCGTAAAAGAATGTTTCTTCCGTCTGCCGTCTGCCGTCTTCCGGGATTTTTTTTTCTTACCGTAAAAGAGTAATAGCTTTTCAAAAGCCATTTACTAGTCCCGAAGAACGCGAATTTCCACGGGCAGTACCCAGATCCAAAAGTTTTGTTGCTTTAGTTATTTTTTTCAAAAAAAAAACCGGAAAAAAAGGCTCTGAATTGACGATTTTTTGTTCCGTATTCCGTCTGCCGTCTTCCGGGAAAAAATTTTTCTTCCGTCTTCCGTCTGCCGTCTTCCGTGAGAAAAATTTTCTTCCGTCTTCCGTTTTCCGTGTTCCGTAAGAAAAATTTTCTTCCGTCTGCCGTCTGCCGTCTTCCGTATTTCAAAATTCCATTTCCGCTCAACTCTGGTGCATCGACTAATGAAAGTAGGTATAGCGTTTCCACATGGTGCATCTGAAGCCCTGAAATTTCGGTTCAAACGCACACTTTTCTTATTTTTCAGGCGTCGGCTTCGGCGTGGGCGTCGGCGTTCCGGGCAACGATCCGGTGTCGGTCGGCACCGGCGTATCGGTCGGACTCGACGGTTCCGGGCCCGCCGGGGGGCTTCCGCCGTTCAGCGAAACCATATTTCCACGTCAAGTAAGTCGGTGTGCGGCGGGTCATCCGGATTCCGATTCTAAGCAGAAGGCAGTAGGTAATCCGATGAGGTGGTTACCTGCGGCACTACTACTTATAATCGAAAGAGACCTTTTTGCGGGATAGGAATAGAAATTACACGACTGTCGGGTCTTTTTATACGGTGCCCGATGGTTGAGGAGAGTGCAGACGACGAGACGGCTCGAAGCTGTGCACACAATTTTGCTACAGTCCCTCCTCACTCGCGCCGCCCCGGGGTCCATATCCGTGCCACAAACGGACCTCTGCGTCTCTATTGTTTGTCGTGATATTTCACAAATATATTGTGGGACTGAGAGAGAGAGAAAGAGAGAGAGACTATTATATATTCCATGTGATTTGACTGTGCTTATACAAAGGCATCCTGCTGTGTGTGTATGTGCTTCGATGATGGAATCGACAATAATACTACTAATATTGTCGATGGTCATGGGGGTGGGGGGTGCTCGGCAACAGCACAAAACAAAGTCTTGAGAAATACTCTGAAAAAGTGGGCGGGCTCTCATCGTCTTTGTTCGAAAAACGGCAAAAACAGTGGCGGCCGCCCTCTTTCCTCTCTTTTCGCTTTTCGCTTTTCTCGTTTCCGTGCAAGCGCATATGTACATTCACAATCGCTTTTCCGAACTATCATCGCTTTTTTATGTTTTCGGAGAGCGCTGATATTGCAAAATGGGGAACGGGAAAAGCGAGCGAATTCGACGAGGACGGATGGGGAGAACTTTCTGCAAGGGGGGCGTTGATTTTTTGTGTATTCAGGGTGAGCAAGTGTCGCTGAACGACTACGACGGAAACAAGGATCTGATAGTGTCGGGGAAGGCGTTGAAGTACATTCAGGCCGTGCGGGTGAGTTGTTGAAGGCGTTCCGTCGACAATTGATTGAGAGCCTCGTCCATTTTCAGCTCGGCTTCATCAAACTGCCGCAATACGCGCCCGCAAAGTCGCTGGTCGGTGTGAACAGCGGAATCGGAGTGCTCGGCGCACAGACACCCTCCGGCTAATCGTTTTTATTACTTTGTTTTCCTCTTCGCCACGGTCTCCAGAGCTGACAATGGGCGCGCAAGTGCGCCCCGCCCAATAAAACGATTCATTGGCGCGAAATTCAAATTTTAACAGCAAAATTTGTGTTATTTGCCAGATTAGCCACGAAAAACCGATAATTTCTCATTTGTCTCTCGATAGACCGATTGTATAGGCTATTACGAATTTTTTAAGCGCAAGAGCGTCAAATTTGGTCAAGTCGCAAATCACATTTATTCGTTTGAAGGTTTTTCGCTAAAACTGCGTGAATTTCAGTTGCTTTTCTGTAATTTTCGCGGTTCGAGCGCTCAAAATGCTTGTATTTACGTGATTTATCATTCTCAAAACCAATTCTGTCTGAAAACGGTCAATAAAGCGCAAAATGAAAAGTGCGGTTTTTAGGCGGCGATCGGCGGCGAAGGCGAAAAAGCAAAGTGTGCGAAAAATGCGCCAAAACGTCATTAATTCTGAGAATTAGTGTGTTTTCATGTCGAACAATCATTTTTCATCGCCTTTGACCACAAAAATCAGAGAAAACGTGCTCAATTCATTAAAACGCCATTTGGCCGCCGAGGCCACGCCCATATTGTCAGCTCTGGAGACCGTGTAAGCTTCGATAAATGTACATACACATTGTCACTCGGAAAAAACTGTGCCGGATCCACCGCGATAACGGCCACGCGACACGCACATTTTCATCGATAAGCGCTCACTCCTTCTTCGTCCGTTTCGTCCGTTAACACATTTGCAGACAAACATGGTGCATCGGTGGTTAGGTAGTCAAACGGGTGTCTATAGAACTCGACAATATCCGTCCGATTCAGTTTGTGTTCAACTTGTCGGGACCCTGATCGTTTTGGCCAGCGGTCTGAAGGATTTGGGGGCGCCCGGTTGGAGTTGTGATGCGAGTGTGATGGCGAAGAGCAAGAAGGTGCCGACGAGTGCGCACAGTGTCCGGTTCGCGGACATTAAAGTTATCGGCGCTCTCGGAGACTCTCTCACGGTTTGTTTCGACCTATTTTTCACTTGCCCTAGACCTAATTTCAGGCGGCCAACGGAGCCGGAGCCCAACCCGGAGACCCTCTGGCCGTAATCCTTCAATACAGAGGCCTGGCGTTCCAAATCGGCGGCGACAAGACGCTCGCCGAGCACATCACCGTCGCCAGTACGCCTTGAACCTTGAAAATCAACCTTTTCTCCAAAAAATCTGCTTCTAGACGTGCTCCGCGCGTTCAATCCGTCCCTGGTCGGCGCGTCGAAGGGCATCGGATCGGAAAATGTTTGGGAAGTGGCCCATCTGAATATGGGCGTGCCGGGCGCCGAATCCAAGGATATCATCAAGCAGGCGAGGGCTCTCGTCGCCACAATGCACAGCCATTCGGAGGTAACAACCCTAGTTTTGCCTTTTTCTCCACGAAGGAGGGGTCCTAGAATTTTTGTCGCAATATGAAAAATGATCAGAAAGATGCGAGGAATCGAATGGCGTTGAGTCTGTATCGATTGGGTTTTCTTGAAATGTTTTAGACTACCTTGAACCGTTTGAAGCTTATTGTAGATCAACATAAAAGAGGACTGGAAGCTCGTGAACATTTTCATCGGCGCCAATGACATTTGTGTTTACTGTGAAGATGCGTACTTCAACGCGACCGCACCGCATGGAAACATCACTTTCATGGATAATATCATTGAGGCCGTGCAGATTCTTCAAGACAATCTACCGAGGTTCGTTAAAACCCGAATATCTCGGTTGCGGATGGAGATATCAAAAAGTGTCCAACTAATAAAATGTTATTTAAGAAATTCTGAACATTTTTTCAGTTGACCACTTTTTGATGTCTCCACCCGCAGCCGAGATACATCGGTTTTCAGAACGATCGTCTCGCTGACCGGAATGTTCAACATGCGAATGTTGCGGCAGATTGACAAAAAGAAGTATTTCTGCGAAGGACTTCACACGTAATTGTTTTCAAACTTGTACTACATAAATGTTGAATGGTTTTCCAGATTCGAGTGTGATTGTGAGTCGAACAAAAAGTTTACCGATGATGAAATTCAAGGCGTCTGTTACGGTTACATGGTATTTTTGCCAATTCGTCCCAATTTTCGATAAAATTAATTCTAGAACGGTGAGAAGCAGATCCAGGACAGCGGAATGTTCGACGACAAAGAGGACTTTACGTTTGTGGTGCAGCCGTTTTTCAACAATATTATCAATCCACCGTATTCGGTCAGTTTTTAGAAGGCCTGGACACTTTGACCCACTTGCAATGATCCGATCGGGACCAAACTTGGCAGACTTTTTGGACTTGGATTAAAGTATCTTGGGTTCAAGTTTCAGAGCGATCCGATCATTTGGTCCCGAGCTATACTGATTTGAGGCCGAAAAGACCGGGATTTTGCGAAGCGTGCGACCTTTTCGGTCTCCAATCAATATATCTCGAGTGTAAATGATCCGATCGGTCTGAAACTTGGACCCAAGATACTTGAATCAAAGTCCAAAAAGCCTGCAAAATGTGGTCCCGATCGGATCATTGCAAGTGGGTCAAAAGTCCAGGCCTTAAAAGGCCTGGGCCGAAATTTGCCCAGTCCTGATTTTTGCTGATTTTTCTAACACTTAGAGCCTACAAAACGCTGTTTTTTCGGGTTTCTTCATGTGATTTTCTATTTTTGGCCTAAAAACTGCCAGACTTCCGCAAAAAAAAAGCGAAACAATACAAATGCGCTCCACCGAACTCTTCCCCCCAAGAATGCCCGTTTTCAGAGTCCCGGAGAGGTGGACATGACCTTTTTCGCGCCGGATTGCTTCCATTTCTCTGCGTACGGCCACGGAAACATCGGAATGCACTTGTGGAACACCATCGTCCAACCGGTACACTTTTGAGTGCGGCGGAGCGCTTTTGCTCATCGATTTTCAAATTTCAGGTCGATCAGAAACAGACTTCTGTGAATTTGAGTGATCCTTCGGTCGGACTTCATTGTCCCGACACGGTAATCAAACAAGACAGTTCTGTAATTTAAAAACGGAATATTTAAGGCATGTCCGTTTTTCCGGACCACTAAAAACAGTGCAAATTGCGCCGGATACATGACGTTGAGCGAGTTGGATTAGCGCATCTATTCGGTTCCGTCATAATTGCTTTTAAAATTGTTTGATAAATATATATTAATACAATTAAATTTGGAAGGAAAGTGTTATAGAGAAAAGAGAAAAATGGAACAAAGATTTTCAAAAGAAGGGAACAGGAAATTCGACAAAATTGAGATATTTTTGTGTGTGGATGGAGAATGTTCGAGAAAAAGTGTCCAGAGGGCGATTCGAGTTGCGTCGATCGATAGTTCAGGGAGTGAGCGATCCGGAACGGGGCGAGCCATCCCGACGCGCCTTTTTCGGTGATGGAGAGCGGTTCGGCGGGGAGTTCGTGCGGGAACGTCTGCAATTTTTACAATTTATTAACCGCCCCTCAGTATTTTTACTCTAGCTACCAGGGAAGTGCTTTTCAAAAGTCATAGGAAAATGTTTGGCCTCCAATGCATTGTTTCTCTGATTCCCTTACCTTCCGCCGGATCGGGACCGGCTCCTGCTCTCGCTCCTCGCCCTCTTGTTGTCGGATCTCGATCTCTTCGGCGACGCACTCCGACTCTTCCGGTCCGATCGTTCCGAAGAACTGGAGGAACGACGGCGCGGCGGTGGCGAGCGGGACCGCGAGTTCGATGCGGAACGGCGGCGCGGACTGCGGGAACGACTGCGCTCACGAGTTTCGTCCGTGCATTTCAGACGGCGTCCGTTCATTTCCTCGCCCTGCAGTTTGTTCATCGCATCGCGCAAATCGTTGTGTGTCGAGAAGCACACCAGTCTGGAAAGAGAGGGTGGTGCAGGTATTCAATTTTGACCCATTTTTCCGTTCGAATCCTAACCCAATATACTACAATTCAAGTCCAAAAAGCCTGCAAAGTTAGGATTCGATCGGAAAATCGGGAAAAAAAGCTTGTGAAATCCGAAAAATGTGAAAAACGTACGCCTGATTAACATTGCGTTTGTGCGCCTCCGAATAGGTCGGCTCGATGCCCAGCTTGCGGATGTGGTCCTTGATGTCCTAAAACGATTGCCAATCATATTCGGAGCCCCCCTTTGGATGTCTGTTCGTGTCTGCTGCTGGCTGCCAATGAGTGTGAGGACCATTTGAATGAAGCGGCCCGACAATTATTGACGCATTTTTTGGCAATTGCATTCAACACTGTGTGTGCGTAGGCGTTGGCATTTCGGCGGCACAACCGGACCCAACTGATTGCATTTCTGCTGCAGTTTTTTCGATAAGAAAAAGAGAGCTTTTCTACGGGGGGAGGGGAGGTTTTTTTTTTAATTTTTTTGAGAAAATGGTTAGTTAAAAATCTTGTAATTTGTGTTAGTTGCTTTTTTGAAAGACACACACGTACAGAGGAAATTCTCTCTTTCTACAGCTGCGAAAACACACAAAAATCAGGGGAAATTTCGCTGAATTCTCACCTGCCAGCTGTATCTCGTCGAGAGATTGTCGATGATGAGCCGGAACCGTGTGGAGCACGGCCGGCTGTACCGATTCGAGAACTGTCGTTCGCCGCCGCGGCGGAAAGTCGGCTCCCGGCCGCGGTAGTCGTCTCCGCGCCCGCTCTTCTCCTCGTTGTAGCCCACTTTTCGGCGCGGAAACTCCACGATCACCCGCTCGCCGCACAGCTCCTTCCCGTTCAGGTCGTGCACCGCGTCGTCCGCGTCTCGTTGTTCTACGAAATCCTGAAAAAATAAAACGATTTTTTGGGGCCTAAAAAGCGTACTGACCACAAAACCGAATCCGTTCTTCATGATGACGTCACTCAGTTTTCCGTATCCTCGTAGAAAGTGCTCAACGTCGCGCTCTGACGCACGGTTTGGCAAGCGGCCGATATAGACACGCACCATAGCAGGACACGAATTCTGAAAATTGAAACGGATGTGATTTCCAGTTTTTTTCTTCAATTTTTCGACAGAAAATCAGTAAAGTGGGAGAAGTGAAAAATTCGGCGAAAATTCGGAAAATGAGAGTGGAAAGATTACGGTGGATGGCGAAATGGGAATTGAGAGTGTGCGGACGAGTAGTGGGTTTGTGGCCAGATTACGGCGTTTTTCGCTTATCTATCGTACTTTGTGACGGTGAGAATCGATAAAACCAAACTAACAATATTGACATTGCCACGACCTTCGGCCGATCGGCCGAAAGACCAATGGCAGACCGAGTGCCGGATTTACGAAATTTGAATTCGAAAATACAATTATTTAATGTTTCTATTTACTAGTTTCATCGCAAATCTCAGAAATTTTCGATTAAAAACAATTTTGGAGCCGAAAAGGTGAAATGCGCAAAGGCACTGCGAACGCGTCAGTCAAGTTACTGGCGCTCGAATTGTAATTGAGCGCGTCGCGTTCGCGTTGCGGCTGCCAACATTTGAAATTCGACGGCTTATCGGCTCGTTTTGAGCCGTTTTAAATCGAAGTTTTTCGCCATTTCTCTCAGTTTTTGGTAAATTTGTATTTTAATCAATTTTCCTATCAATTGACATCAAACTGTTTTGAGAAATGTGGAAGTTTGACCGATTTTCAAATTTTTACATCATTCCTGTCAAAAAGTTTAGATTTTCGGTTTTTCGGGCGATTTTTTCGATGAAAATGCAATTTTTTGAATATAAGAAGTAACATTCACGCGTATATTGCCCAAAAAATTGGAAAAAATCGGCGAATTTGAGTAAAATGTTTTTGGCAGGGTTTACGCACGAATCATTGAAAACAGCATAAACCTAACAGAACACAAAACCAACGACAATGGCAGCAAAATAAGCCGGAATGGGCCGTGACCGCCCGTGAATCGATAAACAGCTGTCCGCGCGCGTTGTTGCCATGGAGTCTGTCTCGTAATGCATGCACAAACCCTTCTCCTCGTTCTCCCTTTTATTTTCGCCCTGTTGCCCGTCCCGAAACGCTCAATATAACTCATTTAGTATGTCTGCTGCTCGAATTTACATCGGTCGGCTGACCAGTCGCGTCTCGGAGAGCGACATCGAGCACTTCTTCCGCGGATACGGTCGTATTCGCGACATTCTACTCAAGAACGGATTTGGATTCGTTGTAAGTCGCAAATTTTTGCAGAAAATGCCAAAAATAGCTAAAATTCTCGCGATTCAGGAGTTTGACGACAAGCGCGACGCTGAAGATGCGGTATACGATTTGAACGGAAAAGAGTTGGGCGGCGAACGCGTCATACTCGACTATTCGAAGCCACGTGGCGGCGGATTCGGAGGACGCGGCGGCGGGCGTGTCAGTACGTACGGAAGCGGAGGTGGTGGACGTGGAGGCGATCGTGGTAGCGATCGTGGGCCGCCGAGAAGAGAGAGGTAAGCGTTGTCATCAGTTTCAGGGGCTCCGGAACTTTTTAAGGTTTTTTTAAAGATTCTGAGAGCTTCTAGAAGTATCAGCTGGCTTCATAGGCTTCTAGGCACTTCATAGGTCTTCAAAAACGTTGTACCCTGCTCTAGGGCCGGTTTCTGTAAACACTGCTTGAGTTTCACATCTTTTAGCTCAATTTCTCCCAGTTTCAGCCGCTACGGACGTCCGTACAGCACTCGTCATCGTGTTCTCGTCGAGAACCTCTCGTCTCGCATATCGTGGCAGGTTAGTAACGGACGGGCGGGGATATAGGGGAAAAGCTGATTGGTCGGAAGCCGCCGCCAAAATTGCGAGTGCGAAATGGACAGGAAAACGACTGTGCCTTTCCTAATCTTGTCTCATTTAAGCTTGTGGTATGAGAAACTCTGGAGAGGATTCTGATGATCAGGATGTGATGATGATGGTGGTTATCCTGAGACTGATGATCATTTCTTGATGATGATGATGACGGACGGATGGTCGTTCTGGCGCGTAGTGTGTTGATCGGCTCCTCCTCCTACTCGCGGGCGTGCTCTTCCTGCTTTGTGTTGATCTGTGGTCCTCCTTCTCCTCCTCCTGTTCACACTTCTCGTACTCGGGTGGCGTTCGTTTTGATGTTGCGTAGGGCAGCTGCGAATCAACGCCGACGATCGTTGCACTCGGTAATCCAGACGACACATCAAATGCACCGTTAACATTGAGAATTTCTTAATGAAAAGTGTAAAATTTGGGTTTCAGGACCTCAAGGATCAAGTCCGTCGTCATGGAGTCGAGCCGACGTATGCCGAGGCGCACAAGAAACCGAATGAGGCGTGAGTTTCGATTTTCATAGTTTTCCCACTTTGTTTTTCGTTTTTCAGTCTTTTGTGCTTCGCCTCCACTTCGGACCTGAAACGATGCATCGAGAAGTGCGACGGGATGGATCTGAACGGTCGCAAGATCAAGATGCTCGACGACTCGCAAGCTGGAGGTGGTCGCTCGCACTCTCGCTCGGGAAGTCGCTCGCGCAGCCGTTCCCGCAGCCGTGACCGTCGTCGTTCTCGCTCCAGAAGCCATTCGAGCCGTCGTTCGAGCAGATCGAAGAGCCGCTCCAAGAGCCGTTCGAAGAGTCGTTCAAAGAGCCGCTCGCCGAAGCGCGTCAAGAGAGAGACCAAGTCGAGATCTCGGTCCAACTCGAGAAGTCGCTCGCGTAGCGCCGACAGGTGAGACTCGTCGCAGGACAATTAGACTTATTTTGATAGGAAAATTTTCAGAAAGTCACGAACGGCGAGTCGAAGCCCGAAGAAGGAGTCTCCGTCGCCACGCCGTCGCACTCGTTCGCCTTCTGAAGCGGGCTCTGCGAAGCACTCGAGAAGCGCGTCGCCGATGGAGCACGGAGAGGGCGACAAATGAGCACTTTTTACCTTTGAGCATCAAAAAGATTTAATAATTATTCCGTTCGTTCCGAATTTCCACTGTTTTTACTCTCTCTTTTTCTCTGTCCGTTACCACAAAAAAAAACGCTAATCAATCGTTTTCCTCGAATTTCTGTTTTTTCCCTTATGGATCTCATTTTTCAAACCCATCCACATGCAATCATTATTCTGTTAAATTATTATAATTATTAATTAAATGATGATTATGCGTTAATCAGTAGCATTATAATTATGATAATCCAAAAGTAGAATAGGACCGTTGATGAACCCGCAGTTGTAGTCTCGATTTGGTTCTCGACCGGAAGACCAGTGATGATGTCTAATTGAAATTGTTGAGCCATTTGATCCCAGAATTTGTAATCGTCTTGAAACAAGTGTTTGCCGGTGGTCGGCACCGGCTGGATTACGGTATGCGTGATTTCCGAGTCGATTTTAGGCCACGTAAAGTTTGAACTTGTGGGATTCCTGCAAATTGCTGTTTCGTTTAGGAAAACGTTCAAAAAAAATGTGATTACCCATTTTTGATGAAATTCACGAAAGCGTCGATCAAAAATTGCGAAACCAAATGATCGTCGGCGTCGAAATCGAAATAATTGTCCTTGTAAATGCCCCAAATGTACGGAAATTCCTGACAATGATACGTGGCTTTCACGGGGAAATCGGCGTCGAATTGGGCGGGATTGAAATAGGGGAAATAGTAGAGAAAGAGGTCCGGCGCGACGGTCATTCGGGCACGCACCTCGCGCAGCATCGGAATGTCAAAGCCCACGTTCGAGTCGAGCTGCAAAATGAGAAGAGATCGGGGAAAATGGTAAGCGGAAAATTTGCCATCGATTCATAGTAATCATGACCTGATTTTGGGAAAAAGTGTCAAAATGGAATGTCTCGAAAAGTCTCGGAAAACCCGCAAATCTCGTGGATTTTGCAGTCCAAAGTCGGCAGAAATTTGCGGGAAATTCGGGGTGCGCACAGCTGAACGAGTGTTACCGTACACCATAAAACTACGGTATTTTTTGAAAAAATTTAGAATATTTGAAAAGTTTCAAATTTCTTGGGTAAATTTTCAAGAATTCTCTATCAAATGCCACAAATCATGACCGTACCTTCGTCCTCTGCCACATGTAATAACCGTAATCAGTGTCGGACACATTCGAGTCCAGATAATATTGCGAGGCCGTCGAAAACGCGCTGTCCGATTGGATTCCGTACTGAACGGCTATTGTCGAATTGATGTAATCCTCGACAGTACTGCGACGAATGTACGGAAATATTTGCGGTGACGATTTTAGGTAAGCTGCAAAAAAAAGGCAAAGCGTCGTTTTTCGACAAATTCATTCTAAAATTTGTGGACTCACTGAAATAGAGCGATTCGAGAGTCATAATTCCGGTTAATAACGGTTTGTTTCTCGTGTTGTTCACCAATTTTTCGGGCACATCTGGCAGTAAATCGTCGCCGAATTGAGGCCACAAAGTCGTGTCTATCTGCAAAAAAGCATGTTTTTTTTGTTGTTGGGAAATGCGTTTTGTCTCAAACCTGTGCAGTGTACATGGCGTCCAATGACGTGGAATTGACACACTCAAAGATGGTCTCCGCACTGCTCGTGTTGCAATTCAATTCGTTCAAAATTTTGAGTGTGGCCGTTTCGGTCGAAGTTTTGAATCTGCTCAGACACCACGAACTGGCGCTCATTTGGATGAATTTTTGGAAGAATCTTCCGGAAATGGGGGAGAGCGCGTGCAAACTGACGGCCATCGCGCCGGCACTGTGCCCCATCAGCGTCATTTGGTCGGGGTCGCCGCCAAAGTCGGCGATGGTCCGATTGACGAACTCGAACGCGGTGACCATGTCCCAGAGGCCGAGATTGCACGGGACCGGCGCGGAAGCGGAGGAGCAGCCGAGCGACATGAACCCGAGCATCGCCAGGCGGTACTGAATCGACACGACAATCATGTTCTGCGTCACAAAATTCTCGCCGAACGCCTCGCAATTCGCGTCGTTGCCGAAGCCTAAACAGTTTTTTGAAAGTTGTTAGAAATTGATCATGATTAGTGCCATTCGAAAAAAAAACGAACCCTCCTGAAAAGCGCCGCCATGAACAAAGATCACCACTGGCAATTTGGTGCGGAACTGAAAGAGCCAGGTATACTGTAGGCACAGTAACCCGTTGGGTAACTCACGTCAGCCGTACTCGGTCTCACAATATTCAAATAGAGACAGTCTTCGCTGAATTCGGACGCATTGACCGGTCGAACGTTGGCGATGCACTTTTTCGAATAGCTTTTCGCGTCGTAGACTCCGTTCCATCGGTGTACGAGGACTGACTTCTGGAATCGTTTTTTGAAGGAAACAGTCGAAGATTGCAAGTGTCTGTAGGTGTCAAAAATCACGCAAAGTGTGTCAATGACTCACTTTCAGTCTCTGCGGCTTCTCGGCAAACGGGACTCCCTTGAAATAGTCGACGAACGGTCCCTTCCGGGTGGGCATCCGAATCCCTCTCACGTACCCGAATCTCGTCGGAATGACCACATCTTCGGCCGGATGATCGGTCGGTTCCGACGGCGATTTCCTTGTCGTCGTGGACGACGACGACGTGGCTGAATCCGAATCGAAATCGGCACGTACTTGTACGAAATTGGCGATTAGTACGGGTAGCAAAACCCAAAATGTTTTCATCTGAACGAAAAAAAATGGAATGCTCTGTTCGTCCGCCGATGTTTGACCGATTTTATGTACGCATTTTGTGACGGACGGATTATATATTGGAATATTTTAAAATTCTGAAAAATCAGAATTTCAGACGGCGAAAAAAATTGAAAAGACAAACAAACCGGGGCGAAAATTATTCGATTCACCTCAAACTGATAACGCTCACTTTTTCGTCACTTTTATACGATTGGAACTCGGTGAGAGCTGCGAAAATATAAAAATTTTCAAACGAAACCGCCAGAATACTTTCACAACTACACTCAAAACACAGTGCGCTCTAGAGTGACGTGTCGACAGGAGAGTTTGTCGAAAAGTCGATAAAAGCCGAGGAAATTGATGTCGACAGTATCGACAATCGCTCAGTGTCGATAGTCGATAAATTGTAGACATTTTGGTGGTTTTTCGATCGATATACTTTGAGGAATTAACAAAACAATTGTTTCAACGAATAATTTTATTTTTAATTGAACTCGACTAAAAGTTCCGATCTGATGACAAAACACGTTGAGGGAACTGATTCGGGAAGAAGGATGCACGAGCAGAAGTAGTCATTGTCGACTGAAAAGGTTGTGATCGTCAGTATCGCGCCGTCTTTCCGTTGCAAATTCCATCCGCCAAACACATTTTGGTAACCACCAGCTCTGTAAAGATAATTTCTGCAAACATTTCCATTTCATTCTATACACATTTGAAAATGCTATCGCTATTATTTTTGTCATGATGTACTCATGAATGCAGAGGCGACGAAAAACGAGCAACTTACAAATAGTATTTTCGGTGGTACCGATACGCAATTCTGGTAACATTCAATCCTAAGATGATAGCATTTAGAATGAATCTTCTCTTCCGTATAACCATCAGAGATTCGAGTCGATGATTCGAACCGTCCAACCAAGATTTGAGGAAAGTATTCAGATGGCCCTCATTGAGACTGGAGCGTTGGAGATTAATAAAAGCGCAATCCATCTCGAATAGATTCTCGACAGATACCCAATAGGAATGGTCTATGCGCACTTGGTCGCTTCGCAATTTGAGGCTAGGACGGAAGTTACCGATTTTCGGTTTCATTTTGAATGAAATAGAGATACACTTCGTGGCTCTGCAGTTTTCGAGTACGAATCGGGCCGTCTGTTCGTCGGCCTTTCCGTACACTTTCCAATTTTCCAATTTCACTTCTTGGCTGTCAATCCATGCGAATAGACTGGGAAGCAAATCGCCGAAATATTCGAGGTTGATCGTAATGTAATGAATCGGCGTCTTGAACACTTTTGCGAGTCGATCCACAGTTTCCAACAGTTTTGCTCCTCGATTTTCCCAACTGAAATGAAATACAAGTGTGCTACACATCGTTACATTGCGAAAAAGCTAAGAAAAGTGACAGCATAAGAATTAACGTTCAAGCTCCGTATCACTATAAAACCAACAAACCCGATTATTCCGTGGTTTCGTTTGCTCATTAGCAAGCAGTTCACTTGATTGATATCCGCTTCGTTTTCATCGTCATTTTCCATTTCTTTCTCTGTTTCCAAATAATTCGCAGCGACTCTGCATTCTCTGACGAAGTGCGCGAGAAATTCGTACGGTTTTCGGGCCGCCGATCTCGCCAATTCATTGCATTTTTCCGAACACAATGCGAATGCCGATCTGAGAAAAAGAGGCGTGGCCTAGTTATTCGAACAGAATATTAACTTTTCACCACTTTTTATAAGAAAGCCTATAGGCCAAAAAACGAGCAAAATTCGCTAAAATTAAAGCAAATTTCAGTATTTTTCGCTGTTTGCTCATTGCTCAATTTAGGTTCGAAATGTGTGAAATTGCTCATTTTTTTACCGATAAACATGAAAAAAGTTGTTAGTTTTCGCCCAATAGAAAATAAAATCGAAAAACGTACATTTCTTGGAATGAAAACATTCTCAAACAGGACATCAGCGCCACGTCGGGTAGTTTGAGCAGTTTAAAAGTGTTCGGTCCGAAAATGGAACCGAAGAGTCGTGGATTTCCATTCGTTGTACAGGCAGAGAGCGGAAAACCAGACATTTTTGCGGTTTTCGAATGTGCAATGTGGGCCCAAAGGTTGGTTTACACTGCCGTCAATCGATATGAGAAGGCCATCTGTCATGTGGCAGCTGCCCTCCCAAAGGGTCCAGCATTATTAATTGCGGGGGGCGTCTTATCCGAATTCTGTTGGTTTACTCAAATATTTTGTAAGAAATCACGATCTTTCAAATGTTTCCCATCGAGATTAGCTATTAGACGCCGGAAAACTCAATTTATAAACTCAAAATTACAAAACAATTCTGGAAAAATTTTGACACAAACAACGTGTTTGATTGCACTCGAAAATTGAAAAAGTTGTTGCACATTGAAAATGGCAGAAAATACAATAAGAATAGACCGAAAAGCTTTTAGGGTCAAGTTAGCACACGAATCGAGTTAATCGTCTTCTGAATCGGGAAGTGGCTCCTCGTCGGCTTCCGCACCGCCCGAATCCGTGGACGATGACGTGGGAGCTACAGAGGCGGCCGCCGCTTCCTCCGACGCCTTCTTTTCGAGGTGGAACAGTTCGTTGACAAGATCGCTCAGAATGTTCTTCTCCTCCACATCGGGCACTTGCTCGTGAGCGTCCGACGTCAAATCCAGAATGATGACTTTCACCTGCTTGCAGTAGATCCGGTCGCCCATCTGAAATTGAGAACATTTTGGGAAAACTATGAGACGACAGAAAAAAAAACTGTTTTTCATCTAAAAATTTTCAAAAAAAACCTACAGCAAAATCGGGAAGCGTGGCGGCGACTTCCGATCTCTGGCACAGGCACATCAGAATCTCGCATGTGAGACGCATCACCAGCGGCTCGTCGTCCAGCAGCCGCCACACGCATCGAATCGCATCCGCCATCGTCGCCACGTCGTCTGGAGCGAAAAAAACCACGATTAGACATGTTCAGAACGAGTTTTAGGAAAATTCTTCGAATAAATTGCAGAAAAATTCGAGCATTTCCTTTCAATTATGGGTTCGGAAGGACGGAAAACGTACTGGCAATTTGAAAGAAGACGGCGGCGAGCGCTTCGATCGTGGCCACTCGGCACTCCGATGGATGGAGCCGACGGAAGAGGGGTTCGGCGGAACGGCACTCTGAGACACTCCGGCCTTGGTCGCGGTCACTGAAGATGCGCAACAGGGCTGAAAATTGCAAAATTTGGGATCTTTTTTGTCCTTTACGCTACAAATCTGACAAAATGTTCATAGAAACCGTACCAAACAAAATGTTGGCTCGCTCGTCGACGGAAAGTCTTTGGAACGTGCACTTCGAGAGGTATTCGAGCAAATACCGAGCCTGTTGGACGCCCACCGCCCACGTCCATTCGACGCCACGCGCATCCACCGGAACTGTTCTGCTGCAAACAAATTTGGATGAAGGAAGAAGGAAATGTTCGAAATTCTGAACTGTTGGATTGTTCCGATCGGACTCAAACTTTGCAGACTTCTTGCATTTGGATTGAAGTGTCTTGAGTTCAAGTTTCAGACCGATCGGATCATCTGGTCCAGAGATATAGTATTTTCCGCAAAACCCGGCATTTTCGGCCTCAAACCAGTATATCTCATGACCAGAAGATCCGATCGGTCTGAAACTTGCACCCAACATTCCCCAATCCAAGACCACAAAGCTTGCAAAGTTTGGGTCCGATCGGATTTTTGAAAATGGGTCGGCAGGCTTGAAAATCGTACTTCTCCTCGATGTGAAATCCCTCGCCACGTGGCACCAACATGGCCGGATGGCATCGAATTGCGGTGGCCAGCCAGCTGACAATCTCGTCGTGAGACACCTGCGGAGCCGTCCGTTCCGCCGCCGATATCATCGTTCTGTAGAGCGCTGCAAAACGACGAGAATTCATTTGAATTTGACGGAAAAAAGCACACTTGTTGCGCATTTTCGAATGTACCTCTGGCGGCCTCGTTATCCGGATGGCAGAGGAGCCACAAATCCATGTCGCACAGCTCTTTCTGGTTATTTTGTGCCCGTAAAAGTTTGTACTCATGATAGTCTCTTGGCGTTGACAGTAGTCCCACTGAAAATTAACTTGGAACAATTAGAAAAGAATTGTCTTTAACATTTAGTTGGAAATTAGGAGAAAGTGCTCAGAAATGGGTGATAAAATCCGAGAAACGCACTGCTCTCTCTTCTGTGATTGCGTCCAAAGTAGCGCGGAGTCTTGTGTTCGAATCGTTTGAATAGTGAATTCGACATTTTCTGCAAGCAAAGAAAACAACGAAAAATGTACGTACAACATTAAAAAACCGAGGTAAACCAATTTGATTGCGGAGAACGGTACGACACGGAAATGGCATAGGAAATCGCAAAGAACAACAACATTTTATGGAAGTTTTCAACAAGAATAGGAGGAAAATGGTGGGGAAAACAAAACAAGAAAAATTTAAGAGACTTTTTGAAGAGATTCCACGAATTTGAGACGTCGTTCCGCTGCGATTTGGCACATTTTCTGAAGAAAGAAAACACAAGTTTCAAAAATTGAGGGTTGCGTATTTTCCGGTACCTTGAGAAGCGAAAACGTGGCAACACGCCCTCGCTGCCGCACCAGAACCATCTGATCGTCGGCTCCGACGACTACCGAACACGTGGCCCTGCACACTTGCATCGCTTCGGTCGACGGCGTCAGAATCAGAAGCTCCGTCCCTTTTCCGTCGTCGGCGGCGAAAATGCCAAAAGTGGAGGAGAAGAGGGGCGGTTCGAGACGGAGACGGTGTGCCGTCCGTCCGTCCACCTTCATCTGCGATTTTTCGATCGCCGATTCGTCTTCCGTCGAGTGATTCAGCTGGATTGAGGGAAGGCGCGTGTCCGAAAGCGCCGCCACGATCGAGCACTGAAAAATATGCATATCTAGATTTTTTTTTTCTGAATCTTTGCCATTATAGGATGAGGGTCCGAGGAATGACCGAATGGTCGCCAGCCGCAGACGATCAGGAAACTGCCAGTTATCGTCTACTGAGGCTACTGACCCAAAACGAACTCTCTGACCACGAAACCACTTCCTATTACTTTTCTTATTTAATCTGTTTCTATATTTGTTGCTAATAACTCGCTTTTACATGTATTCAGGAGCGCCCGCCACGAAGCGTGTGTAAAAAACGCTTGAAAACCCACAACGACGGCGTCCAAAACATTTCCCTCGACACTGAGCACATTGACACTGACGTGCAGTTGCCATTCAAGCGGAAGCGGGCGGTCCGACGCGTCACGGCACCGCAGATTTTCGCGTTTCACAAAAAACTGTTTGGCGAACAGAGTGCCCAGCACACTATTGTACTCTTCCGCGTCTTTCTGCAAATACTTGCGATTTCTGGCAAAAATTTGTAAAAACTCGTGGTTTTCAGGGCATTTACCTCGTTGATCTGCTGATTGGGTTCGATGCGAACATCGATGAGATCGGCATCGCTGGCGAGTGAAACTGAGGCCTGGATGGAGCACGAAACGGTCACTCCCTGGGTGCTCACCACCGAGGAGCCCACGCCCCCGCACTCTCCTTGCTGCAAATTTCGATGGTTTTTTGAGGAAATGACAATAATTTCAGCAATTGTTTCGCAGAAATTCGGTGAAATTTGAAGTAATTTGAAGTAATGAAGTAATCCCACCTTGAAAACGAGTTTTTGCTCGTCGAGAAGGCCCCGCCCGTCCGGATAGATGCCCTCTTTGAAAAAGGCGGCAAAGTAGCCACGTGGATCGATCGCTTTCAGCACTTCCGACGACATTTTTGCGCTGAAATTCGACACAAATTTGGCGGAAAACGGCGATAAACGGCGGATTCGCAATGGAGCGCACTTGCATTATTTACTCGCGGATTTCGGATTTGCGCGGAAGAATCACAGAAAATTGCGTTGAATATGGAGGGAAATGGAAATAAAATGGGAAAAAAAGATTCTAAATAACAGATGAAATATTCGATGATGGCCGCGGCCTGGAAATCGAACACTAAACACCACTGCGTCGACGTTCACGAGTGCGAATGCGCTCCATTGACAATCGGCTCCCACACACGGCGTGGATCGTTGCTCGTGACTTTTCGAACTGATTTTAGGAGAAAACTGGTATTTTTTTTACCATTTAACCGTCGAAAAATAGTGGTTCTTTAGTTTCAAACTGATATTATCTAGTTTTTTAAATATCTGAACAGTTTCTGAGGCATTACCACTTGGTTTTGCTATTATCGATTTCTGAAATATATTATCATCGTGCTGGCAGTGTGTTGAAATCAAACATCGCCGAATGTTTAGACATTTTTCTTTCAATATATTTTTTGAGCATTTATTAGAATTTTAGGACAAAAGTTAGTCTAACATGTTATTTAAACGGTTTTTGAAATGACAAAGACATTGATATTCGTTCTTTTTGGCTAAAAATCGTATTGATTTTTCATCGCTCCTCGCTCAAATTTCCTCTATTTCTATGCGTTTTGGCCTAAAATCGCAATTTTCAGGTAAACCGCCACTCCGCAAAATGGAAAACGACAATAACGACCAGGCAGATCCAAGCGATTGTATCGCTTCGAATTCTGCTCCGAACGCAGACGCCGGAGGAAAAGTCGATCCGCCATCGGCGCCGATTGCAGTCCCAAATCCTATTGCGAACCGAAAGAGACCGGCTAAAAAGGAGGAGGAAGAGGAGGAAGAAGAAGAGGATGAATTCGAAGAGACCACCGATCCACTGGGACCATCAACCTCCGAGGGACCACGAAAAAAGAAGAGAGTCAAAATCGAATACCATAAATTTTTGCTGGCGCGGCACGAGGTGAAAGTGATGCAGGACGACGTGAGATCGATGCGCGAGCTGGTCCAGGGCATTCTCGGTCCCGAGACGGCCGAGGTGGTCTTTAAGTACAAGGATCTGTACGAGCGGGAACGCCGCAAAGCGACCCGTCTCTACATGAAGTTTCTCCGCGCAAAGGCCGAGATGAACGAGACGTCGGCGGGGAATTCGGAAGAAATTTCGAAGTTGAAAGACCGGCTCGCCGACCTCGAATGCACCATGAAACGATCGAAGGAGGCGTCGGAGTTTGACGCGATCAAAAAGGTGCTTATGGTCAAGGAGCGGAAACTGACGGATGTGACCAGGGAACTGCAGAATCTCGAGTACATATACAACATCCGCATGGAAGAGCACATGGAGCTGGTGAGCCAGAAATGCAAGTGTCCGTGCCCGGCGAATTCGCAGCGGTTGGAGGTGCGCGTCGAGGAGTTGCACGAGGAGATTCTCATGAGCAAGGTGTACAAGAAGATCGCCGAGGACGGAGACCTCAAACGCCAAATCGACATGATCGCCGACACTATTATGGTTCGTTTCTTCGCCACGTCCCTTTTTGTGAAATTTTTGAAATCCCAAGTGTTGCAGGTTCACGAGCGTCGCCGCATGGAAGAAGGCCGTTTCTACAACCGGAAAATAGAGCAAATGCACCATTATTACGATGAGCGCTCAAAAGATCACAAAAGCGACATTGCCGGTTTGGAGCGCGAGAGGGACGCGGCGTTGCGCAGAGCTGCCGAGATCGAGGGGTCCGGCAAAACGGACCTGATTCAACTCGACCAACTCATGAGGGACCAAATGTACCACAAAAAGAGGTTGTATCGCGAGAATCAGCAGCTGAAGGCCGAATTAAACGAGGAGAAACGGAAGAATGCGCTGCTGAGCGCCGAGCCGAACGAACTGTACGAGGAGCTGGAGAGGGAGAAGAAGTCGGGCGAAGGGTTCCGAAAAAGAATGTACGCACTGGGCAAGGTGGTCCAGGGAAGAACCGAAGCGACGGCGCCGATGCCCTGGAAGACGTGCCAGGTGTGCGGATTCGAGTTCTCGCTTCAGCCAATGAAAGTGCCACGCGTTATTGGTGAGTTTGACTGAAACTGCATGTCCAGCATGTTGCTCGAAAATTTCGAAGAAAACACACGTTTTGACAACTATTGAGTTGAAAATCTGCAAAAAGCATGTGCAAATGAGTATTTTCCTGCAGGCTGCGGTCACACAATCTGCACGCAGTGCGCCACGACGCTCGCCGACAACACGAAAGAGATTCGCTGTCCGTACTGCCGAAAAGTTCACGAAATGGAGTGCGAGGACATCTCGTGCCTTCCCAAAAACTTTTCCGTACTCGACATGTAATTTTGCACAGATTTTACACTTTTTTTGCCGCAAAAATCCGTCAAGAATTAGAAACAAAAAACTACTAATGGGGTTATTCAGCGGATCGTTTTTTCGCTTTTTTAAGAAAAGATACACTGAAAAACCTCTTTATTCAAAACCGAAAAATTCAACAAAAAAATTATGCTCCATTTGCTGTCCCTTCCGAAATTTCAATCAATATTTATTTCCCCTGTGAGTGTTTGCTGTGACTCTTCCGCTTCTCCCAATTTTTCGCACCCGTTTCGTGTCTAAAATTTTGCCAAAATCGCAATTCTTCTGTGTGTAGCCAACTAGCCATACAATTCTTACATACTTTTCCTCTTCATTCATTTGGTTTTTGGTGAAATTAATAAAATACAACAAAAAAGTGTCGCCAAGATTGGGGCGCACGCGCAGCTGCACTCTCTTTTTTTTAGTAGAAAATTAATCGCACGCCCGTCGCCCTTGACAACCATAGTTGCCACGGGCCGGGCCGGGCCGGGCCGGGCCGGGCCGGGCCGAAATTTCAAAACTCCGGCCCGGCCCGGCCCGTCGGCCCGGCCCGTCGGCCCGGCCCGGCCCGACCCGGCCCGGCCCGGTCGGCCCGGTTCAAAAAGCGGGAATTCAAAATTTGAATTATTGATCGCATGAAGCCATTTTTTGTAGAATTAGGGGTTTTTTGCAAGCATCGAACATTGAAAAACAATTGTATTTCTCATAAAAAATTCATAATAGCAAAAAAACAAAGAAGAAACACTAAAACTTTAGTTCGAAAATTTTTTTTGTAATGACGAAAAAAAAATTTCCGCGAAAATTTGAATTCCCGCCTTTTGAACCGGGCCGACCGGGCCGGGCCGGGCCGGCACTTCACCGACCCGGCCCGGCCCGCATGGCCGGCCCGAAATCTGGCAAGTCTGTTGACAACTAGGCCCGTGAGAGACGCAGTGTTAGAGAACATTTCTTTAGGCCACATGTTACGTTATTTACACGCAAGGATCGCTGAAATTTGAATTCTTTAAAGACCTATTTGTGTTAAGGTAAAATTTTCACTACAGCCTAATGCCTTAAGATAGGGGAGCTGTGCAATAGATCGCTGGCGGCCTAGACTATTCTCTGAGGTTTCATTGAACGTTTACTAAAAGTCCAACAATGTCTCTCAGTTTTCCTCCGAATCTATCCTAAACATCTTCTTTTTGATGTTGCACTGAACTTCTATTCCTATGCATATCCTTTGTTACCTCCTAATCCTTCTCATCATAACAGGATAAGTGTTTAAAAATGATGTCGATGGAACGCTCTTACAATGCATCAGAAGACGAGCAGAGGAGCGCACCGAAAATGCAACGAGTGGAGGATAATCGGGTAATTTTATAGTGTCCCTTGTTGGTCCTATAACATTTAATTTAGGCACAGCCACGAAATGATGCGTCAGCTCTGGACCATTTGTAAGCTGTAAGTTTTGATAGAATCTATTCTAGAGATCTTAATTTTGTATGAAATTTGATAGTAAGCTCATTAGACATGCATTAGTACTAGTTTTCGGTGAATGATACATTTACGACTAAGCAGAAAGCCATAGTTTTATGTTGTTTGGAAGAAAGTTCCCATATGATCCATTTCCTCTCTTTTATCACCATCATTTGTCATTAAAACAATTTTTATCGCCCTCTCAACTCCATTCCTCTATTTTATGTGCGCTTATCAAAATGCGAGCGCCACGGCACGGCACACTGTTTCCCTTATCTTCCATTCATTTATGTATTTTTGACGGTGTAGAGCCACTCGAAAATAACCAGTCAATCAATATTTGTGTCAATAAATACCGAAGATACATCTTACTTTTTGTCTTTAACGGTTGAGCTCCGGTTTTAACTGCCTGTTTGTATACTTCTCGCATTTTTTGCTGTATAATCAATTACAATCGATTGCAGGGTTCACAGTACAAATTTGTAGGCAATCGGAAAATTAATCGGTGAGTGATGTTCAAGTGCGCTTTCAAAAGTTTAGCGTTTTTCGTAGAAGTAGCTGTTCAAATTCAACGCTTTTCCGAACATTTCCTCGAGGAAAAAAGGCTTATAACATTTTGCGCCAAAAATACGGGTTTTATGTCCATTTTCGATAATTCTACAGCTCAAACGCCCAGAACGGCCATATTTTTGTGCGTATGAACTTTTAGAACTGATTTTATCGCGAAAATGGCCCTGGCGCTCACTATCTACGAAAATGGGCTATAAAATTACGATTTTACAGCGGAGAAGAGAAAAAAAAGCGGCTTCCATAGACCGAATGGCGTTGAGCCTCACTCGCACAATTAATTTTTCAGAAAATGTCACCAAAGCGCAAGACATTCTCAAAGCCTGTCAAGCTGGTCATGTCGAAAAAGAGAAACGCAGTGAGAGTTCAGCGACTCGTGAAAAAGCTGAAAATCGATTTGAAAGCGTCAAAGATGGAGCGAATGCAGACGCGGGACGAAATCTACGACCTACGGACGACGATCGAAGAGCAGAAAAGAGACGTCGAACGGCACGAAATGTCGTACGATGCGGCGATGAGACGGGCGGAGAAATGGAGAGAGGCCGAGGAGAGGGCGTCGAAGAAAGTGAAAGAACTTACGAGAACTTTCAAGAACATCGAGGAGGTCGCGTTGGAAATGCAGCAGTACGAAGCGGTAAGAGATCGACGCAGCCAGGAATTGGCGGCCGAGAATAAGAAACTGCGCAGGGAGGTTGGCAAGAAACAACGCGAGAACAAAAAGTTGCATCTGGAGTTGGAGCAGTACAGGAGTGGCCGAATTGTGTGGATCTGGAAGAAATTGTATCTAGGATGGACGTACGGACGCGACAGAATCGCGAAATCTCTTGGGTTCTAATCTTGCCATAATTTCATAAATCATTCATCATGCTACCTACTTTTAAATATTCGCTTTTAACTAATGATGGTTCTTGTCCATCTATGTACACTATCTGTTTCTTTTCTCTACCTTCCCTAGGTTCCTCTAATATTGTATTCTTGCAGAAATAATGTCCGACGCCGAAGAAGAGCCCGTCATTGAGCGTCGTCTAACCCGCTCGCAACAATCATCGAGCCGCGAAGACGATCTCGTGAAGAACATCGAGAAACTTCAAAAAGAGCTCAGAAAGCAGCAGCGGATCGTTAAAGACCATAACAGGCAAATGTCAATTATGGAGCACAAGTATAGGGAGCAGTTGAAAGAAAAGGACAGACTGTACGAGGCGCGCACCTCGCGAACCATGATGCTCCAGAGACAAGTTGCGAACAAGAGCCGCGAGTGCGTACTCCTGAGCACCAAGGACGGCTACCGAGACATGTGGCGAGAGGAGAGGGACAACACGGAACGCCTAAGAATGGGAATCCGAGTACTCGCACAGCAACTCGAGGGAAATATGAGCGCGGCCGGAGCCAAGTTCCCGTGGAAAGAGTGCGACATTTGCATTCGGGAGTTCAAGGATGCGGCCGAGTTGGTTCCGAGATTCCTTCGTGAGTTTATGCATCAGGGTCGGGGTAGCTCGTTTTCCAAGGTTCAACTAAATCGGTTACAATTTGATAACCGCTGAGGAGCAACTAAAGTTAATTGAATAAGGTTAATTAATTATACTAAAGTTTTTTATAATCATAAAGTCCAATAACTTCTTTCTAATTTCCAGCGTGCGGCCACACGTTCTGCCACAGCTGCCTCGAACAGCTCAGCGGATGGAACGACACTGTGCGTGGATTCATCCGGTGCCCGGTCGATCGCAAGAATTTCGTCGTGGACAAGGTCGCGGATCTCCCGAAAAACTACAAAATTCTCCATCAATAATAACTCTTTTCATCCTCACTCCTGCCGCATATTTGTACAATGCCCATTGCAACGTAATATAATCGTGAATAAATTGATCTTAATAACTTTTTGCTTGATAATTTGAGCATGTTAACACTTGCGTTCACCTCGCTAATTATCTCTAATAACCGCTAACCGTTAAATGTTGAAACCTAAATTTTAACATCACTTCCTCACCTCTGTGTTATTTCTCGACGTCTCCTTTCCGACGAGGCTCCGCTGTTGCGCGCCGCGTCCTGTTTAGCACAAATCCTGTGTTCCCCGTGCATATTTCATCATTTTCAGAGCATTTTCAGCGTCGCTAGTGACAAGCACGTACATCTGAAATACTCTTTTAATTTCCAGAATACGCAACAATGGCGAAGCGTTCGAGACCGGCCGAATTCGAAGATGTGCATAAGCATGCGGAGGACTGTCTGCTCCGGATGGCCTACGAGATGGTGAATGGTTCGGGGTACTGTTAGATCTTCTGCTTGCAAACCGTCCATCCAGCTTTTCAGTGAATCGAAGCCAGAGGAAGAGACGCCGACAAAGTCTCTCGACCGCGAGGCGCTCATCGAAAAAGTCGAGGCACTGGAGAAGGATGTGAAGGAGAGGGATATGGAGATCGTTCGACTCAAAAAGTACCACGACGAGTGCAAAAAAGTGATGGAGGAGAAGTTCGACGAGTTCAGCGAGAACCTCATGCAGATGATGGAGCACCGAGTTCGCGAGCTCAGTGACACGATGGACGCCCAGATGGCCGAGGGAGTGCGCGAAACGATGGACGCCAAACTGGAGTTTATGAGAGACCACAACAAGATGAACTCGGAACTGATACTCGCGCTCGATGAGCACAAGATTATGATCGACCGGTTGAGCGACAAGCTTGAGCTGGCCGCGGACCCGAACGGGCTTAGAGCTGCGCTGGAAGAGGAGCAGCTGAGGGCCGAGAAGTGCAGAAAGGAGATGTTGGAGATGGCGAAGGTGCTGGAGGGACGGCTCGAGGTGCAGGGGCTCAAGATGCCGTGGAAGGAGTGCGATGTGTGCCTGGAACAGTTCAACGACCTTCCCGCCAATGTGCCACGTGTCCTGGGTGAGTTGAGAAAGCCGTTTGAATGGTCCAAAATCGATCAGGTAAATATGATCCATTTGCAGGCTGTGGCCACACCGTCTGTCACTCGTGCGCTCAAAAACTGGCCAAAGAAAAGGAGTTACTGTGCCCGCTGGACCGCAAAACGACCGAGCTCAAGTGCACCGACGTCACCTGCCTTCCAAAGAACTTTAAGATTCTTCAGCAATGATTGTGAATTACATGTGAATTTGAATAAACAATATTTTTTATAGACTCTGGAGATTTTTCCAAGATTCTTTGTCTGACATCTTCCTGAAACTTTACCCTAACAAATGTCTTTAAATTTGCTTCCTTTGTTTCGTTTCTCGGACAACGGATCCGCAAGCACCATGCTTCGATGCACCATGAGTACACATAAAAGATAGCGTTGTCGTCATGCCAACCGACTGCCATCTTCTTCTTCTTCTTCTTCTTCTCCTCCTTTTCCGCGTTCCTCTCTCTCCCTCTCTCTTTAAAGCCTGCGCAAGTGCGCTCCATTGAAACCATGTGCTTCACACCATTTTCGTCCTAAATTCCTTCCATAAAAAGTCGTTCGCTGTTCCAGAAAATGTTGTCGGAATGGAATATGGGAATTTCGAAGCCGATAGTAGACGAGCCGCCGATGGAATTGCGATTTGCAATCACAAAGTACACGGCGAAGGCGGAAGTTGAGCTGCGAGAAAAGACGAAGGAGCACGAGAGAGCGCTGGCGACGATTGCCGAATTGGAAAAGCAAGTGTACGAGAAGGGCGCGCGGATCGTGGAGTTGTCGGCGGCGGAAGGACTGAGGCACGAGTTGGAGGCCGAGAAGAACGAGTTGCGGAAGGCGAAGAAGAGGATCAGGCAGTTGGAGGAGGAGAAGGCCGAGGAGAAGTGGAAGAGGGAGAAGGAGGTCAGGATGCTCACGGGTGAGTTGATCATGAAATAGGAATCCTAAGGTGTTCGAATGCTGTAAACACCTTATTGCAAAAACTATGCTAACGCCAGGTTTCAGTTCTCGAAAAAAGAGTACAAACTCGTTAAAATTTGTTTACAGACAACGTGGAAAAAGGCAAGTACGAGGTGGACCTGCTCGTAAAAGAACGTCACAAACTGCTGACGAGCAACGAGGAACTGGAGGACCGAAACGCGCGACTCGAGGAGATCAAGGACAAAGATCATCTGATGGGACTGCTGGAAGTGGAGAGATCCCGAGTGGCGGACTATCGGTCCAAGTGGCGCACGGCGACGAAGCAGCTGGACGGTCGAATCCCGATGGACGAGCGGCTGATGCCCTGGCGGCAGTGCCAGATCTGTCGTGTCAAGTACGACGACGAGGAGCACGTTCCGAAGATGCTAAGTGAGCAGTGCTCGAGAAATGCTCGTCTGAGAGAAGTTTTCATTCAGGTTGCGGTCACACACTGTGCCTCCAGTGCGTCAACGGTGTCACCAGCAGCACCATTCGAAAGATTTGTCCATTTGACAAGACTCACAAGATGCCCGATGTCGACGAACTCAAGAATCTCCCCACTAACTATGTCCTCATCCATCAGTGAATAAAAAATCAATAAATATTCAATCCCCTCGCTCTGAGCGTCTGCCTCCTCGTTTAGCTCCCCTTTATCGTTTTTCCAGCGATCCTACTTGGCATCGTCACAACTTTTTGGATTTGGGGTATGACGCATAAACATACAAATTTACTTTGTACTCGATCCCACGACCTCCAAATTTTTATCGTTGGCAAACTAGCCGTTAGTCATTCTGCTCACCCCTAATACCTTCCGCCTAAAGCTTGAGGATAGAGCTGCATTGAAGGGGGACGTACTTACCTTGGGATACGCCCGCTTCGCGAGAAGATCGAGAAGAAATTGAGGGTGATAGACGAGAAGATCAAGGCACTCGAGGAGGAGGAAAACAGCAAGCTGAAGATGCGATTCGAAGAGATGATGAACCTCTTGCTGGAGACAGACGCGACGATCAAGAAGCTCAACATGAGAAACGAAGAGCTGTCGCAAGGACGGGGACGAGAGCAGGACAAGCTCTGAGCGGCAAGTCTTTCAACGAGTTTAGCCAGCAGACGGTGCCCAAGGTTTTCCGTGAGTTTTCCAAGTGTCCGTACGGAACGATTTTACGGAACTTGTGTGTGACTTTTTGCGCTCTACACAACGGTCAGAATATCCTACACATCACATCAATCCTTAGAGCGATTATCTCAAGATCCTATAGGTTTCTAGACAAGTTTGGGTTGAGTACGTTATGATGAAAGCAAGTTATAAAAAGAAATGAAATAGATGAACATTTGAAGCCTGTGGACACGCGATCTGCAGCGAATGCGTCGTGAGAATCACAGACACGCCGAGTCCACGGTGCCCGTTCGACAATGACAGACCGCTGCCTCCGCAAGCCGACGCAATACCGGCCAATTGGTCCCTGATGACCATGATCGATGAGTAGTGGTTGTTCAACTCCTTTTTTTAGTTTCTTTTTCCTTTTTTCTAATAGTAATTCATGTCAAATGTTACTTTTTCTTCACCTCCATCACTCCCTATGTCATAAGTTTCCTGGGTACAACTACCCTATCATTTGTTTCATTACTAGACTGACATTGCTCATTCTTGAACTTGCGCTTCCAAGCTTTCAATTAGTTGTTCCTGTTAAAACTATCGTTCTGGTCCCTCTTGTCTATTATTTTGACCCTATAAGTTTTGTTGCTATTTTTCCTTTTCTTTCACAATTCCTTGCATTTTCCAATTGAGCGTTACAGTGTTCCCCACAAAGTCCGTTGTTCCGATAGTCCCACAACGCTCCAAAGTTCCCAGTTGATTAGTTTATAATAAAAGTTGATAAAATGAAAACGTCTTACCTTCGAAATCACCAATATCTCTGCTCTTCTGCGTGCTTCGTACGTGTTCCTAAGCACCCGCAAAAGTCACAAAAAGCGCGAGCGCACTCGTTCGCCGCGATGCTTTACATATTGATCGATGATAGAGCGTCGGAGCGACGTCGACGTGGCTTAGACCGACTCGCGCTCGCTGCTTTCCGTTCCCTGTCTCACTCTGTTCTTGTCGCTCGCGCGTTGCATCGCCAGCTGGTTTCTTCATGCATTTCTGGTCAGTCCCGGGTAGCAACGCCAACCAAACAGATTTTCAGAAAATGGCGCGTGGCAACCGAACTCCTCATCCAAACTGCTCGAAATGCAAACATTTGAAGGCGATGAACAAGGAGCGCAAGGAAATTATCGAGATCATCGAGCAGGCGAACATGAATTTGCTCCGCGAGAACAATCATTTAGAGTGGAAGAACACGCTGAATGAGCTGATTGGCGATATGTTGGAGGCCAGGGATGAGACCATCAAAAAGCTTTCCGAGGAATTGAAACAGGCGAATGGGTCGCTGAAAAGAGTGTCGGAAGAGTTGAAAGACGTGCGTGGAACGTGCGCGTATCTCCGTCAAGACCTGCAAATGGAGCGCGACGACTACAATACGCTGTTCAAGGATAACATACGGTTCTGGAACAGCATGCAGCACTTGGAGAGGGACTCCAAGAACCACAAGCGGAACTACCAACTGCTCCAGGACAGATTCGCCGCACTCGTTCAGGAGCACTTCAAGAGCACCACCAAATGAGCTTTTCTTAAGAAATTGGCTGGGGAAGTTATTAAGATGATTATACGCGTTCAATGCTTTTACTTTGCGGTGATATATTGTCGTTTATGGGTTCCATGAATGGGTTCTGGTTAAATTGGTATACAATTGGCTTCAATTACATATAAAGGCTTCGCTTCATAATGTTCCTTAATCAATTTCACTGTGCTCATACAGACATTTCTACCGTATAATCGGCACACCAAGTCCTTCGCTTGTCTTTGAAAAGTCCAATTCGTTTCTCGAATTCCAATCAGCCTCCTTCGTGTCACCCTCCGTGTCTCCAACCCTCCTTCCCTCCCCACACACATACACATCTGCCTCTCCTTTTTTTTCGAATCGAACACCCTCCAAATGCAGCAGTGTTTCGCGTGGTTTGTCGACGGCCCGAGTGAGAGAGCGAAGATAGAGAACGGGGCGGCCGGAGATGACGGCAGAGCGAGACGCGTTGCGGTCGGCGCAAAGCGTGCTTCATGCTTTGCCAACACCGATAACCGACGCCTTTTCACCGAGTTTCAGCCGTTCTCGATGGTGTCTTTTTGTTAGAATTAAGTGGATAGTTAGTTCGTGAGCCTATTTGTTAACTTTCCTCTTTTCCTCCTTCCTTACACCTAACAAATGTCACTTTTTTGTTCAGTCCCCGATCATGTCCAGTTCCTCGGACTCGTCAGTGCTCGAAAGACCCAAGCGACTAGGACTCAACGCGCCGTACGACTCAGATTCGGACTCTGGCCCCTCCGATTACAAAAAGCGCAAACTGACGCCGCCGCGACGGTTGAAGCCACATTTTTCGGAGAAACAGTTGCGAGACTATGTGGATCAGCTCGCCGAGCAACAGGAGAACTTCCGTCAACTGCACTTGTACACCGGCAAACTGAGATCCGTCTTCGGAAAGATTCTTAAAACGGTGCGTCCAAAAGAGGAGGAGGAAGACGATTTGGAGGAGGAGGAGGAGGAGGAAGAACGTCCAGGAACTGCTGATTTGAAGGTGTCGATGCTCGAGGAGAGTGCGAAAATGGTTCGCGATTTGATAAACGATCATCAGAAGCAACAAGAGCAGTTTATGGAGTTGAACAGGAAACTCCAAATGACCATGTTCCTGTACGGATTATGTGAAATCGAGGGATTCGTGCAGAACACCTCCACACCCATCGATGACGTCATGGAGGTGTGCAACTACTTGTTGCAGTGTAACGGCGAAAAGAGTCTCTCGCAGTACATTTACGACGTGTTCCTCAACATGCACAAGAATATCGAGATGATCAGCACGGACGACTACAGGGAAATGCGGAAGCAGAGCGAGAAGATTGACGAGTTGCACGCAGAGATGAACGCGCAACACGACGCGTATGAGGAGAAGATCCGCAGGTTGGAGAGACGAAATCGCAAGGAGGAGAGGCAGGTGAAGCCGGAGGGAATCATCGAGAAGACTATGGACAAACGGGGCATGGTGCGCAACGAGACGAGACGGGGAGGTGCGTCTTTTTTGCAAGGTAATACCGCTTCACCTTCTTTTTGTTTTTGGGAACGTTGGACGTACTGAAAGTGTAGCTTTTTTCAGATTCTACCCCATCGCCTCCATCTTTTTATTTTTCTTCCGCCTGCCCACAAACGCCCAAAGGATTTATGGAAAAAGTGGTAAGTCGCCGGGGTTGTCTCAAAGCTAATAAACGAAATGTTTCAGCGCTCCGATTACAAGACGATCCGAAGGTTGACAACGGAACTGAAGCACCAGAAAAGTGACCTGGACCGCGCGACGAGTCGCATTCAACGCGATCGCGACTGGATCGACAAGTTGCAGTCGGATTTGGCGGACGAGCGGAAGAAGACGTACGAGTCGTTGCCGGAAGACGTGAGCAAGATTGCGTTCCTTGAGAATGAGGTGAATGTGAAGCAGCTGCGAATTCACACGCTACAATTGGAAGCGGACGCGTTGAAGAGCGCCTATTCGCGGCACGTCGACGAGATTCGCGGATTGCAAGACATTGTGCAAAAGTATCGAGACGACGGAGGCAAAACCGATGAGATTGAGTGGTTGGAGGCGAAGATCAAGGAGCAGGCGGAGACGGTGGAGAAGCAGCGCGGTTGGATTGAAGAGTTGGAGCTGAAGGTTGAGCAGCGAGAGAGTCAAATCAAGAGTATGAGCACGAATCGACCGATGGCCTGGACACATTGCACCGATTGTGGAGACGCCTACACCGACACCGATCCGGCAAAGCTTCCCAGATTTTTGAGTGAGTTTTGTCTAAAATCTTAGACCCTATTATCAGATTCTTCACATATCAGCAGACGTTTGACGCAAAAAAAAACAAAGAACAATTTGTTAATTGCAGACTGCATGCACGTCCTGTGCACGGCGTGTTGCGAGGCCGAATCGAACGGCGGTCTCGTCATAGAATGCCCCGCCGATGGATCGATCACAATTGTGCCTACAATCGGTGTCAGCGGCCTTCCGACCGTTGAAAACATTTATGAGACTGAGGAGATTGAGGAGGAGGAGGAGCCAAGCATGTGACAATCTTTTTGATGATGCCATTGAAACGTTTTTACTGTTGTGAGGAGAAGAATGCAATAATAATAATAATAATAATAATAATAATAATAATAATAATGGGCCAATGCTTTAATAAACGTTACTATTAGCGTTGTTGATCTCAAATCTCAAAACTAACGATGAGAATTGTAATCGGCGTGAGGTTGAGTGCGCGCACGTTAGAGAAGAAGAAGAAGAAGAAGAAGAAGAAGAAGAGCACGCGGGCGGGCCGTTGCTAGACTACGCACTTTTGCTCAGACTTCACGTCAGGTAACTGCGAGTCACGCATTCGCGCATGACGTTTCACTTTCACAACAATAATGCCGAAGATCAAGCAGGAAGAAGTCGACGAAAATTCGAATTTACTCGAATGGACTGGACCGATTTTGGAGGCGTCGGAAGGTGTGAAACGAGAAAAAGAAATGAGCAATGATACCACGATTATAAGCGCCGAAAGAGTACAAAGTGTGAAAGTGGAAGAGGCAGAAGTAGAAGAAGACGAAGAAGAAGACGAAGAAGAAGAAGAAGAAGAAGAAGAAAAAGTCATGCCAGGTGATTTTTTTGTTGAATATTCCAGACTTGCCAAATCGTCGGGCCGGCCCGGCCCGGTCGGCCCGGAAGTTAGACCTCAAAAAAAATATGCAAAAAAAAATATGAAGGAAGAGGAAAACGCGTGCGGCAAAATTGCTAAAATGGCGTGACAGAGTTGCAATCAATCGCTCCGCCCACTCTTGAGAAAATTTTCGTAATTTTTGTGAAAATTTTGCGACTTTAAACAGCAATTTCTATTTTTTAACAGGTTTTTATGCTATAACATTGCCTTTTTCGTCTTTTTTTCTATTTCTGCTGGTTTTTACAATGATTCTTCGAAATTGAAGCAAAACGACGATAACGTAGGCCGTTTTCAAAGTTTGGTGGGTAAAAATGGACGAAGACAACGTGCTTGAAGAAAACGGCGGTCAACTTGAATTTTTAGGTGCATCCTCCCGGGCCGACCGGGCTGGGCCGGGCCGGGCCGGAAAATTTCCAATTTTGGCCCGGCCCGGCCCGGCCCGTTGCAAGTCTGGAATATTCTGCGTTAGACGCTTGTTTTGCATGATCCAAAGAAAACGTGGACTTGCAGATCTCTGAAACTTGAGAAAATTTTGTCTGAAACGTGAGTTTAGGCTAACGTTTTCACTAAAACTTGTAGCTAACCTGTAGAAATAGTATTTCAAGAGTTTTTATCGATATTGGCCGTAGTTGAGACCAGACACCTGTAAATTAGCAATGACAGTTGTTATTTCCAGCCTCTCCTCCACCGAAACCAACTACCGAAGTGCCCGCTGCCATGTGTCCACACGCCCTGGAACTTCAACTCAACGACCTCCAGCAGATGTCGATACGACGGGAGAATGAGCTGAAAGCGTGTCGAGCGGAACTTGCGAGATACAAGGAAAAAAGTGCGAAAGATGAAGAAACGATTCGGGCGCTTCGGCGAGAGTTGCATAAACCGAGCGAAACACTTCCAGACGATCGGAAGACGATCAGTCGGCTGATGGCGGAAAGCGAGAGGAAGAGCAGACGGATCGATGAATTGGAGGAGAAGATTGAAGAAATGATGGCGGCGAGTGAGGAGCATGACGATATGATCGGAGAAGAGATGGAACTCATGGAAATCGAGATCCTTTGGCAGCAGTTTCGACTGGAGGAGAACGAACAGACAATCAACGAGCAGAAGGCCTTGAATGAGGACCAACGCGAGCGAATCGAGATGTTGGGCGAGAATTTGCAAAGTAGCAAAGAGGCGAATGAGAAGTTGGGCGGTTGGCTCCGTGCCAGAGATGAGCGCATCAAGCAGCTCACTGCTCAAAAAAAGAAGTCATGAATGCAAAGTGAGATTTTTAAAGACATTGGATGTTATTTTCTCTATTTTCAGAATGATGGATCCCGAACACCGGAACTCGTGTTTGAGAGAGAAACCACAAGTGGAAAAAGGGGCGTGGCGAAAAAAGTTGAGGCGTTTTTCCGCAGTAAATATGAGCACTTTGAGCGTTCTAGCAGCAAAATGGCTTAAATTCGAGCATGTTTAGCTGTAAAACTCGAAATTGATTCGATTGTTTTTTTCTCAATGAAATTCGCTAATTTTAAGTTTCAATGATTTAGCTAATCCAATTTGTTGTTTTTTGTGTGTTCCCGGACGAAAAACCGGATTGCTAGACGTCTAAGACTAATTTTTCACAATTATGCATTTTCGTTAACTTGTTATTTTACCTCAACGTCCCTCAATTACCTCGTCTGTTCCTGTAATGTTACGTTTTTTTATCGTTTTCCTTGTTTCAACCCAGTTTTGTTTCCAATAAACATTTTTTCGCTATCCGATTATGACTTCCAAGCATTCAGGCTTAGAAAATGTTCTCAGTTTTTGATAGTTGTACCCAAGTCGTATCGCTCAAATTAAACTGAATACTAATGAAGCTCTCAACCGAATTTTCTCTGATATTTCTCCTTAACCTATTATTATCTGTTGCTCAGCTTGATTTAGGCCGTTTGGTGGTGCCCGTCCGTACATTTCATTATCGCACTCGCACGAGCTAAAGATAATCCGCATTACTTAAATGAGCCTGTTGTCATAGAGATCCGGAGAGGAAAGGTTTGGGATCCACCAGGACACTCTTCAATATTTTGAATTTTTATATGAGAACCGCTTGACTACAGCGACATTCTCCAATGATGATTTCCGATACTTCTCGAGATCAACAAGAATCGTCACTTTTCTCGGACTGCGACGAATCTCCGTCTCTAATTTCTCTGAATAAAATTAATTTGCGAACAAAAAAAAACAAAAACCGACAAACAAGGGGAAAACAACAATATCACGTTAGTTTTTGGCGAATTTGACTTGCTCGGCGAACTTGGCAATCATGAGAGCCGCGGTGACGTGGACGTTCAGGCTCCGCGTGTGTCCGACCTGCTTGATCTCGACGGTCTGGTCGACGGCTCGCAGAAGACCGACCGGGACGCCTTCCTTCTCGTCGCCCATCACGATTACAGCCTGCAAACAAGTCAAAATATTAGCGAATAGAGTTCAAAATCTGTCAACCATTTTTTTGCTCTTCATGAATAAGCGTCCTCGCGGCGAAGAACGGAATTAGCCAAAGTACCTTTTCTAAATAACCTTCGGAAGAAGTAAGCAAGAAATTCTAGAAACTCTAATCGGAATATCTGATTCTCATCACACAGTTCTAATTCAGACCGAAACAGCCTCAGACGCGCAGTGAGTTGAAAAAGGGTCTGATTTCGGCCTCCCCGCCTGTTTGCTCACTCCTCGCCCTCATTTCACCCACGCCGGTTTGTGATACCGCTAGACCATTCGGCCACACGATCACTTCCATTCCGATCATACGGATGGATTCGAGTGTGGGCAATCGAGAAGAGCGTCACGATTGACAGTCAGTTGTTGGCGAATAACCACGAGGTGACATTGGAGGGAAAACGTCGACAAGCGAGAAAATTTGATCAAAACTGGTCACTAGGACTGCTGAGAAAACAGACATCCCGAGAGTTTTCATCAGTTTCATGTAAAACTAGTTAGTTTTGAAGTAGAAATACCGTGATATGCTAGTCAGTGCAAAAGAGAATGGGCCGAACCGGGGATTGAACCCGGGACCTCTCGCACCCAAAGCGAGAATCATACCACTAGACCATTCGGCCACACGATCACTTCCATTCCGATCACAAAACAACACCCCCAATGCCTCCTTCCGCGCCGAAACGTTTCCCTTCCGCGCAGCTTTCCGCAAGCAAGTTTCTTTGTGTGGAATGACTTGCGGAAAGAAAAGCGGCGCGGAAGGAGGCATTGGGGGTGTTGTTTTGTGATCGAAATGGAAGTGATCGTGTGGCCGAATGGTCTAGTGGTATGATTCTCGCTTTGGGTGCGAGAGGTCCCGGGTTCAATCCCCGGTTCGGCCCATTCTCTTTTGCACTGGCTAGCATATAACGGTATTTCTACTTCAAAACTAACTAGTTGTACATTGAATTAGTAAAAATACTCGAAAACGTCTATTTTCTCGGCATTCCTCATGGTTTTCCTCCCAATCTTCTATTTACGTCACAGCTACCGGTTTTTCCTATATTTTTTTGTAAATAGTGTCAGAACCCAATTGAAAGGCGGCAAAAGAGTACCGCACCGGACGGGATTCGAACCCGCGAGGTCTGATGACCATAGGAGTGCAAACCTCCCACGCCTTAAACCTCTCGGCCACCGGTGCCACGAATCTTAATCCGGAGGGACCACTTCTGTTAGTGGTTCCATAACTGTTCCCGCACAAACGGTCCCTTCCGTTTCCGTTGACCGAATAAGCGGAATGTGCTGTATTCAGAAACGTGGCATCGGTGGCCGAGTGGTTAAGGCGTAGGAGTTCCCGTTCCTATGGTCCCAAAGACCGCGGGGGTTCGAATCCCTCCCGATGCAAACTTTTTTCTTTTATTTCTTTGTGCTAAATAGTCTGAAATATTTGGAAATGCGCTTTTTATGCTGAACGGGAAACATCGAAAAAATTCCACCGCGATGGCCGAATAGTGGCAGAGCGAGCGGTATGGCCGAAGAATGGCTAACGGATGGCTAATCCTTGAGCAATCAGCGCTCGAAAAGGCGCTACGCCTGAAAGATGTCCGAGGAGTGGGGGAATGCGAATGCACCTCGTGAATGTGGGAAGGATGGTCAATCAGTTAGCAATCATTCAGCAATCGAGACGACCGCGCGTTCTTGGATTTATGATTTTTCTTCAGTCTTCACAACTTTTCGCCACAGAGCGACTTTTTTTTCGATTATCTTTTACTTTTTCTGTTTGTAAAATTTCCTCAATTCTTTTACGAAAAGCTTTATAGAAATGTTACTTAGTAAGGAGTGGTTAAAAATGTGATGCAATCGGAGAAATATTTTTGTACAAATTCAGAATTCTTTGTTCGTTATCAGTTATAACGGACTGCATTGTTTCGTATAGAATAATATTTATTATAAGAAAAGAATAAGCTGCTGTCACAAAGATGGCGGTCTTCTTATATGTTTCGCTCCCCCTCTCGCTCCCAAAACACCGGGGTTTGGGAATTCGGTGTTTTGTGAGCGAGAGAGGGCGGCTTGAACAATGTTGTTCACACTCCGGATAACGAGAAGTGAAGGGAAGTGAAGGGACTTATGATAAGTTGTATTTTTTCTTTAGATTTCTAATTCTCCTATATCTAAAGAATCTTGAATAGTTTCGGTGACAACATTTGAAAAGGGGGATGAATATAAAAACGATAAGGACGATACTAAGAAAAATTATCAATAGGTATTTGAAGGGCTTCGTGAAGGAACTCAGAAAATTAGAGATTAGGTCTCCTAGACTAAGGGCGGTGTGAACTATTCTATCATAGGCAAAGGAGTAAAACGAACTGTTGTCAGAGAATGTGTTGATGGTGTCGAGGGTTCCATTGATGAAGAGATTCGTCCGTCTGCCGCAGTCGAGTGAACAGTTGAGATTGACCAATTTCTTGTCCGACGGGATCAGAAGATCGTTGATACTTCCATCAGGGCTGCAGTTGATCGTGGCCTCGAAGTGGTGCTGGCAATGAAGAAGACCGGACATATGCTTTCTGGATCGACAGTTGATCTTCACGGAAGCTCCCGAATAGCACGAATGACATCCGGATAATTCACCGATTTGTTCCGCATAACATGATAGAATCTCAGTTATTCTACTCACTGTCACATTGACCATTTCGACATGTAGGTTGATCAGCGTTTCCTGAGTCGCCGAAGTAACCACATGTGGAGTTCCACTGAGTGTGAACACTTTGTGGTTGAGTCGTTCAGTGGGCAGCTTGTTTTGCAAACCATAGTCGGCCATCTTGGTTGTGGAACATTGGCAATTGACTTGAGTTGAGAAACCATTGCAGTGACAGAGGGATTGGTCAAAATAGCAATTGAACCGAATAGCATTGGATCGGGAATTGCATTGTAGTTCACCCACTAATCCTTTAGTGGGCCTTCCGGGGGCAGCAGGCTGTGCAAACGTGTAGGCAGTCCAGTTTGGTACCCAGGCTCCATGAGTGTAGGCTTGTATGAAGGTTGCTTGATGCACTTGAAGGGGGGGAGCACTGAATCCGGTTGCAGTTATGCTGATGTTGGTATCAGGTATGGTGAACTTGACTCCTGGGGACAGTTCTGTGCTGATGTTGATCTCACCAATCTCGATGTCAACCTGAAGTCGTGGAGTCCAGGTTGGGCAGTGACTGATTTCGTAGATGGTGTCCGAAGTAGGTGTTGCGTAGACGCGGAAAAACAGGCAGGCGGGATCGAAGTGAAAGCAGTTGCAGGTCCATCCTCCACATCCAGGCGTGCATGCGGTGAAGCCGGGTTGTGTGCGAGATGATCGAGAGAGTTCCGATATTTCCTCGTTGGGTCCGAGTGATCCGCATCGTGCTGTCGAGCATGAACCGGCTCCGTTGCATCGATGAACGTATTCCGTGTTGAGGGTGAAGTCGCGCGAGTAGAAAGCGACGTTCTTCTCGCAGTGGCTGTTGAGAGCTGTGGCCGCGATTTTCAAGGTGGTCAGAGTCTCTTCTTCTTCGTTACGAATTTCCAAACAGCTCGCGGCTCCGTTTGCTTTCGCTGCGATCAGTGAGACTGAGTTGATCGAACATCTGGATCTGTCCTCTTCCACGTAGCACGCTCGTTCGTGGCCACTGATGTGTGCGACATTGCTGCAGGCGGATGATAGAATTGGAGAGTACGTCATCAGAACGAGTAGTAGCAGTCGCTTAGTTCGTCTACGTCTTCTCTTCGCCCGGATCCAGCCGATGCATCGTCGCGATTGAAGGATAATCCAACGGAGGCCATGTAGGATAGAGTCGAGGAGGAATTTGGACCATTGGAAGCATAGAACCATGGTGTGGAGGAATATCGTCAGGATGGTAATTCCTATGAGGGCTGCAGCTACGTGAACAATGTAAAAGTACGTCGTGGTCCAGTAGACGAGTTGAGTGTTGACGAAGTCAACTGGCGATGTTCCGTTGATTGTGAAGGCAGTGGTGGTTGGTAGTAGTATCGTCAGAGCTAGAAGTCCCAGAAGTGTGGTACTTTGTTGATGCCGTCGATGTCGAGTCCGTGTAGGAGGAGTGCTGCGATTGCCGTCAGTGTTGATCGTGGGTGTCGAGTTGTTTCGCGTCATGCTTCGGGTGATCCTTCTCGATGAATTTGAGTCGTGTGGAGGTGAGACGATTGAGGGGGAATCTCGGGTTTTGAGGTTCTTCTGCAGTGGTGGTTCCAATTCAAGTTTGAAGATCTTCTTGTACGGTCTCTCGATGATTGCTCCAGTCTTTGCAGATTGGAGTTTGGCGGATCGTCCATTCAGCTCGGTGATTCTTGCTAATGGCCAAGTGGTCTTCTGGCCGGAGTCCTCAAACATGACTATCTCGTTGACTTGAAGAGGTTCTGGATTCGTGATCCGGTCTTGAGCGTGAGTGAGTGTTGGTCGGGTCTGCAGGATTTGAACGTACTCTTCTTTCCAACGTCGGATAAAGTAGTCAGTGAGGCTTGACGTCTTGGTCCAATCTTCAAGGAATGAAGCGTGTGTCGATACATTGATTCCAGAAAAGTCCATTGTCTCATCGACGTGGAGGAGTGTTGAATGGCGTTTTGTGGGGTAGACAAGATCGACAGGTCTTAGTGGTTGAATGTCATCCTGGCTGACGTATGACAAGGGGCGGTCGTTGATTACGGCTTCGGCTTCTTTGAACAGAGTTCGAAGGTCTTCTTCCTCCATGAGTTGACGGGTGGTTCCGGAACGGACCAAACAGTTCTTGACGAGTCCAACCATTCTTTCGTACAATCCACCAGCCCATGGACTCAATGCGGGAATGAATCGAAAGTTGGGTAGTGGAGGATGATCCGTGAATGGCATCATGGACGGAGTCGTGGTTCTTAGTTGGTGTGCGACTTCTTGGGTGACTTTGGAGAGCATCACAATTTGAGCTGCATTGTCCGTCAGAAATTCTTTCGGTGTTCCATACTGTGAACAGAAACGGCGGAGGGCTCGAAGGAGATTGATGGCATCCAGTGATGGGACTATCTCCACGACGGTGTATCGAGTAGTGAAGCAGGTTATCACAAGAAACCAGTACTTTCGCGTGTCCGAGTTGTTCCGAGCTTTGATCGGTCCACCATAATCGAGTCCACAGATGGAGAACGGAAGATGCCATGTCGTACGAGAGAGTGGAAATGATGGGAAGTCAGGTTGGCGAGTAGCTCTTGCGTTGATGATGCGGCAGAAGAAACAGTCTTTGATTGTTTTCTTGATGAAGGATAAACCATTCGGGATCCAAACTTCGTTCCGTACTTTGGCAAGTGTGAACATGGGGCTGCTGTGTTTGTTCTGACGATGTATTGCCTGAACAAACAGCTTGGCGATGTGTCCTTTCGGAAGAAAGGGCACTCTCTTGTCGGGTACTCGTCCATCGTAGTAGAATATGCCGTTGATGCGCTGCAGATGGAGATTGCGAATCGTTTGCTCGTCGGGCATTTGAAGTTGTTGGGCGAGTTTCGTGATTACGGCTTTTGCTTTGTTCTTGATTGTTGTGGTGTCTTTGACAAAGAGTTGGAGAAGGAGCATCACAATGTTGAGGAGACGATGGAAGCTGTTGAAACGTGATGGGTCCAAATTCAGGATAGGAGAAGGTTCCATCTGAGTGTTGACCGCGGCCGTGATCGATTGAGTCACGCTTGAAGTTCGGATTGGAAGAGTAGTGTGGGATAGAAACTCGGGGCCTTTCCACCAATTGTTGTCGTGACGAAGTTCTTCGAGTGTACATCCTCTACTCAAAACGTCCGCTGGGTTGAGTTTGCCTTGCACGTGAGAGAAAGTGCAATTCGGTGCTAGCTTGTTGATGGTTCGAATGCGGTTTCTGCTGTACGTTGATCCAGCGTTGTTGGAGGCGAGCTGGTCCAGGCTGCACATGGAGTCGGTCCAAAGGACTACTTCTCGGAACTGCAAGTCCATCTCATCCGTCAGTGTTTTGGCCAGTTGTGCACAGCGTTCGATGGCCAGTAGTTCCGCTTGGGGAATTGTTAACGCTCGTCGGAGTGGCATGACCTTGCTCTTTGCCATGACAAAGGCGATTTCGATTCCATGAGGGCCAATGCGTCTGAGGTAGGCGACGGAACCGTATGCTGACTCACTGGCGTCGCCAAACAAATGCAGCTCGAGTTTGTCGTCTGGGCCCAAAGAAGTTTCGAAGTACTTCCTGTTGATTGTGATGGGAAGTCCATTCATCCCAGCTTGGATTGAATACCATTCTTCTTTCTCTGATTCGGTGAGGGCGGCGTCCCAATCGGAAGATCGAGTCCAGAGAGCTTGGAAGAAAAGTTTTCCACGGAGAACGACTGGAGCAATGTATCCATGAGGGTCGTAGATCATTGCGTTGAACTGCAGGATTTTCCTCTTAGTCAATGGAGTCGTGACGGCTGTCGGGATGGCAATGAGTAGTTGGTCAGTGATGGTGTTCCATCCAACTCCAAGAATTTTGTGATCGGGAGACTCATCCACTGGCTTGTCTTCCAGTTGAGCGATGGCACGATCCAGGGACGTAGAGTTCGAGTAGAACTGAGTCAGGTTCATCTGGGCATCTTTGAAGATCTTCTTGGAGAGATGATAGAAACGGAGACCATCAGCGATCGTGTCGACTCCTTGAAAGACGTTGTCCACGTAGATGTTCCGAAGAATCTGTCTGCACACAGTGGAGTTGCTGTCCGTGAGGTGTTTCTTGATAGTGGCATTTAGTAGGAATGGACTGCTCTTGACGCCAAATGGAACTCGGAGAAATCGGTAGCAATTGGGTTTTTCAGCTCCGGGGGGTTGCCAGAGAAAACGGCAAACGTCGCGATCGGCTTCATGAAGTCCCAGCATGAGAAAGGCTTTCTCGATGTCCGAACTGATGAGAATCTGTGGTAGTCGTGCGCGGAGCAGAACGCCAACTAGATGTGGCAGGAGTGATTCACCTGCATGCAACACGTCATTCAGTGACTTGGCCAGTTTGAAAGCACGAGCAGATGCGTCGTAGACAATACGCATTTTGGTCGTTGTGGAGCTGCTCTTCAGAACTGGATGATGTGACAAGTAGTGTCGAGGAAACTGAGTGTCTTTTTCGTTGATCACGAGCTCGATGAAGCCTCGCCGGAGTTGGTCGACGATGATGTCGTTGTACTTGATGTACAGTTGAGGATCTTTCATGAGGCGACGAAGTGTTGATTGGAGACGGTGAAAAGCCAAGGCTCGGTTGTCTGGCAGTGTCGAGAGACTCTCCTTGAAGGGCCAGCGGCAAACGTAACGGCCGGTTTCGTCCCGAGTGGTCGTATCGGCAAAGTGTTTGGCAGCAAGTTCTTCGTCTGTCGTGCGTGGGTGTTCGAAAATTCCTGCTGATTCCAAACTCCAAAACTGTTCGATCAGCTTGCGTAGTGCTTCGTGATCATCTTCTGGACTGTTGTGTAGAATACCGTGAGGGGTAGGCATTGGTGTTGGTTCGACGCACAGAGTGGTTTGTTGATCTGACGATGACGATGAAGATTCTGTACCGGTGATGATGATGCCGACGTCCGTCCAGTAGATGTCAGATCCGTTCGGTAGTTTTGTGGAGAATGTGTCTCCAAGGATCTTGTTCATGTGATCGAGTCCAAGGAGAATTCCTGGTTTCGCAGTGGATCGGGGTAGAATGGCATGTTCATCGCTGAGAAGTTGTTTGATGGTGGTTTCATCAAGGTTGCAAGTCGTGATGGAGCGCGTGATGGTGGGAACTTCGGTCAATGGAATGGGGATCTTCTTGCCTTTGACGTTGAATGTGACGACGAACCGTTTGGAGTGGAAGCTTGTCGTTGTTTCAGCAGCGAAGGTGTTCACGTTGAACCGTTTCTGGTCGAGAGGTTCCAGTTCCAACTGGTGGGACAATTGTTCGGTAATGTAACTGCGGTCGCTGCCATGGTCGAAGAAGACGACAGTTGGAATGGGTTTGCCATTGTGGTTGTCCACGGGAATTGAGGTTGCCATCATTGCAATTGGAAGATGTGACTCTGAGTAGACGGAAGTGTCCGGAACGTACGAGACAGGCGGAGCTGTGGGTGGGGTTGATGTTGTTGTCAGTGAGATGGTCATTCCAGTCTCGGTCTGTTCGAGGGGTTCCTCGAGATGGCTGGTCACTACGGAAGTGTTGTTGAATCGTACTCTGCGGGAATCCGTCTGCGACTGATGGGAGTTTCCAGGTTGTTGACGTCCTGGTGATTCATGTCGTCGGTTGCCGTTGTTGTTACTGCTCCTTCCGTCTCGATGTTGATGGTTGGATTGTCTCGGTTTGGGGGAAAAGGAGCGGCCGCGAGGATGTGAGTCATTGTCTTTGATGTGATGAGGAGGTGACGTCGGGCGCTGTCGTCGAACAGAGCAAAGGGCCGAATGGTGTGTGCCCTTGCAATGATAGCACGGGCGTGATTTTCGGCACTCAGTGCTGCGGTGTCCGGTCTTCAGGCATTTGAAGCAGAGATTCCGTTCTCGTGCACGTTTCTTGCGTTCGTCAGGGGTGCTGTAGGTACGACAATCCTCGTGACGGTGGAATCTCGAGCAGAAAGCACAGGGTGAGGTCACGTTGGCATTGGCACTGGACTTGGGAAGAAGAGGTTTGGCATTGACTTGTTGCTGCGTGCTCATCGTTGTGGTTGGTTTCTCTGATGAAACTCGATTGGCAATGGTGATGATGATGGAGTCGGATTGAATAAGTTCATGGACCAGTTGCAGGAGGGTAGATGCTGTCAAGTGCTGATTGGAATTCCGTCCGGAGTAGAGCTTTTCGATGTAGCGTAGTGGCAGCTTTCTGGAGATGATGTCGGCAGTCATGGCGTTGTCACAGTCTGGTTCGAGAAGCTTGAGGCGTTCAAAAGTAGTAGAGGCCTCGGTCCAGAATTCGTGAAGCATGACTGTGTTGTTGTGGTTGCTCACTGCTGGTAGATCTTGTAGTTTCCGCATGAGGTTGAATCTGGTTCTTCGTACATCACCATAGTGATCGTGAAGTACCTTTCTGGCGATCGCGTAGTTGGTTCCGGAAAGTGGCAAATGTTGGATGAGCTTCTTCGCATCGCCATTGAGTGAAGATTGAAGATAGTGCATCTTCATGATATCCGCCATTGGTTGGATATCGATGAGTGACGAGAAGAGCTCGATGAAGGAGTGGTACTCCATGTGATCCCCATGGAACACGGGTAGATTGATGGTGGGAAGTTGGATTGGTATTGAAGTCATCATACTTGGTTGGATTGGATTCTGCGGTGGCATTGACAGTCCATTGGTCGGAAATTGAGTTTGCATGGATTGCACTTGAATTGGAGTCTGGAGTTGCATGGATTGCACGTGAATCGGAGTTTGGAGTTGCGGGAGTTGCTGTGTTGCTTGAACGGGAATTTGATGTTGCGGTTGCATTGAATGTACTGGAACTGGAGGCTGCTGTGTCGTTGCTGGTAAGGACGTTGGAAGTCGCATGGACAGCATTGGAGTTGATGACGGGGTGTGTGGGGAGACGTTGATTACTTGTGGGTAGGCAGTAGATTCCGTTGATTTGTTGCGGTGAAGAGCGACGTACTCTTCGTAGACTGTCTTCAGACGAACTGCGGTGCCTTCGGCTTTGACGAGTTCTGTTTCGTAGTCTCCAACACGTTTCTTGTAGTCCTCCTTGATTGCTGCTTCGGCAGGTTGCTGATTGATGAGTTGGTTCCACTCATCGTTGCACTTCTTGATACGCGATACCTCTATCTCGATTCGATAGATAGTGTCCGTAATGGCAGAGATTGTTGAGTAGATGTCTTCGCTGGAATCATCCTTGGCGGCGGAGACATTGTCGATGTTCGTTGACTCGTCGATGGCGTCCTTCAGACGTCTGCGACATATCCCAATCTGGGATCGGATTGCGGATGAGCTCATTGTGTTCTTCGATGATCACTCTTGCTCGATGGTGATCGTGGAGAAGATTGAAGGTTCAAATAGACTGGGTCACCATGTTTCGTATAGAATAATATTTATTATAAGAAAAGAATAAGCTGCTGTCACAAAGATGGCGGTCTTCTTATATGTTTCGCTCCCCCTCTCGCTCCCAAAACACCGGGGTTTGGGAATTCGGTGTTTTGTGAGCGAGAGAGGGCGGCTTGAACAATGTTGTTCACATGCATTTCCAAATATTTCAGACTATTTAGCACAAAGAAATAAAAGAAAAAGGTTTGCATCGGGAGGGATTCGAACCCCCGCGGTCTTTGGGACCATAGGAACGGGAACTCCTACGCCTTAACCACTCGGCCACCGATGCCACGCTTCTGAATACAGCACATTCCGCTTATTCGGTCAACGGAAACGGAAGGGACCGTTTGTGCGGGAACAGTTATGGAACCACTAACAGAAGTGGTCCCTCCGGATTAAGATTCGTGGCACCGGTGGCCGAGAGGTTTAAGGCGTGGGAGGTTTGCACTCCTATGGTCATCAGACCTCGCGGGTTCGAATCCCGTCCGGTGCGGTACTCTTTTGCCGCCTTTCAATTGGGTTCTGACACTATTTACAAAAATATAGGAAAACCGGTAGCTGTGACGTAAATAGAAGATTGGGAGGAAAACCATGAGGAATGTCGAGAAAAGAGACGTTTTCGAGTATTTTTACTAATTCAATGTACAACTAGTTAGTTTTGAAGTAGAAATACCGTTATATGCTAGCCAGTGCAAAAGAGAATGGGCCGAACCGGGGATTGAACCCGGGACCTCTCGCACCCAAAGCGAGAATCATACCACTAGACCATTCGGCCACACGATCACTTCCATTTCGATCACAAAACAACACCCCCAATGCCTCCTTCCGCGCCGCTTTTCTTTCCGCAAGTCATTTCACACAAAGAAACTTGCTTGCGGAAAGCTGCGCGGAAGGGAAACGTTTCGGCGCGGAAGGAGGCATTGGGGGTGTTGTTTTGTGATCGGAATGGAAGTGATCGTGTGGCCGAATGGTCTAGTGGTATGATTCTCGCTTTGGGTGCGAGAGGTCCCGGGTTCAATCCCCGGTTCGGCCCATTCTCTTTTGCACTGACTAGCCCTCTCCCGTTCAAAACTAACTAGTTTCACATTAAATTGATAAAAATCCTCGAGAACGTTTGTTTTGTCAACATTCCTAGTGGTTTTTCTCTATTATTCACAAAAATCTTTCATTTACGTTACTGCAATCGATTTCCACAACGACCATAATCGCCATTTCCAAAATCGCCCATTTTCGCTCAAAAGAAAAAACGCACCTTTTTGGGGAAGACAAACTCGTGCATCATGACGCTGTCGGTCGTCTGTTCGGCCGCAATGACCGTATACCCCTTGGCCCTCAAATCTTGCAGATACGGCAGCAGGTTGGCCGGTTTCACGCCCTCCACGTGTTGCCAATTCTCCGAACTCATGCTGAGCGCGCGGAAGTTCGAGTCCTGCACCACTAGGATGTCGGCGACGACGAGAGTGTCCACTCCGAAAATTTCCGAGGTCCGGCAGATTCCGCCCAGGTTGTTCGGCTTGTCCACGAGGGAAGCGACGACGATCAGCGAGTGTTCCTGCTCCGTCGTCTCCTCGTTTTTCACTATTTTTCGCTGGAACGATGCTCCAACTTCAGAATCCGGGTCAGTGATGTCGTTTTCGGTGTCCTCTTGATTTTCCATACTTGGCGCCGAGCTCGCGTTCTTCGAAAGTGCCGAGTATACTTCTGAGGGTGCCGCCAGGAATTCCAAGTCTTTATTCAGAAGTTTCACGTCTTCAACGTCGGATACTTCGAGAATAATCCCCGTCGGAATGGTTTCCTCCGCAGGCATGCCCGTTCTTTGCGCGATTTCGGTGAGGACCGTCTGGAAATCGAGATGGCGTTCGACGTGCAATTTCGAAAAATAGAAATCCGCGCAGAGATTGTCGATGACTCGGCGCGAGTTTCCCGAAGGTTCCGCGTCGAAGTTCACAATCGCCTTCACAATTCGCCACTTCTTGCGTTTCTCCTTCTCAAAAGTGCCGAACATGAGACGAGCGGCGGCGAGCGCCGTGCACCGGACCGGAAAGTTCTGGGCGGTGCACCAGACGACCGTCTTGTCGAGACACGTTTCGGTGAGGTGCGGGGCCGCCCGCGAAATGAGCATGAGGACGTTCAGCCACGAGCACACTGAGCCGATCCGTTGCGCCGCCATTTTTGCCTGTAAAATCGTGGAATGTTCGATGTTGTTGATCGTATTTTGTTGATTTTATGGACGAAAAGGCCGCAATTTCCGCAAAAACCTGGCCTTTTCCAAAATAGTACATCTTGGGACCAGATAACGTATCCAAGTCTTTAGTACCTCAAACTCCTTATCCACCAACTTCTGGAAGAGTTTTTCGAATTTGATGCACAGCCGCGCCAACGTCCATTCGACGATCAATTTAATCGAAAACTGCTGGCAAGGGTCGACGACACAGGCGATGCAGAAATCGAATATTTCCGAGGCGAACTCCTAAAACGTGGCAACTTTTAGACAATTTTCAGGTGAAGCGAATGTGACACCTCTTTTTGAGATTTCTTCGTTACGCAACCTAATGTTACACAACCGTTGCGTTTCGCCACTGAAACAGCTTGTCGAATATCAACCACGTGTTTCGCAACCGCTCTGCTTTAGTGGCGAAACGTAACGGTTGTGGAACATCACGTTGTGAAACGGAGAAGTCTCTGCTTTTTGCGCAACATTTTGTGTCGAATAATGCACAAACACCGGTTACGCACCTCATCCTGGACGCTCCCGGCCAACAAGTGCAACAATTCGACGGCGCGGGTCTTCTGTCGGTGGGCCATCGACAGTCCGAACGAACGGCTCGAGCTCTGATCCATAATCGCCGACGCCACGAATATTTCTCGGATCAAGGTGTGGAGCCACGTGTCCGGTGCCTCTCTGGCCAGTTTCAGAGCGAGAAGGACCGCTTTGAATCGGGCTTTCTGGACCACTTGATCCAACCGTTCGATTTGATAATTTTCGAGTTTATCCCCCTCTTCTGCGAACATTTTCGCGTAGGCGTAGCCCAAAACTCGGGATTCTTTTTTGGGAACCGGTCCGAAGAGGGCCAATTTCACGAGGAACGGGGCCCAGATTTCAGAGAGATTTGCGCGGAATCTCGTGACGGCGTCGACGAGAATCAGGGCGACCGGGGTGCTCTGGCCGGCGATCGCCAATTGCGAATCGAGCATTTCCACAGTGATTCGGGCTACTTCGGGGTCTCCCTGCGGACCGCTCAGTGCCACGTTTACAAAGGATTCCAGGGCCGGCAGACTGTTCAGCGACTTCTTTTCCTCGTTGACGATGGCGCCGGCGGCACGGATGCACTGCACCGAGATGATATTGTCGGTGCATTGGGGCAGGTGTCGTGCCATCAGTCGGCAGATTTGTTGTTTGACCGCAAACGAGGAGGCTACGTCGAGCTGTTCGACGCATTCGCACAAGAATTCCGCGGGATTTGAGAGGGTTTTTGTGAATCTGAATATTACAGTATTGGGGGAAGAATACGTAGAACACCTGTTTAGAAGTTTGATTCGTAAAGAATGAAGGGTGCCGACGATCTGGTTGAACTCTTTAGTGTCGTACTCGTCGACCGATCTGAAAACCATGAGTAAGAATGGAAAAAAACACGCAAAACAGACGTTCTCGAGGAATTTTATCATTTTAATGTAAAACTAGTTAGTTTTGAAGTAGAAATACCGTGGCCAGTGCAAAAATTGGGATTTTTTTTCGATGTTTCCCGTTCAGCATAAAAAGTGCATTTCCAAATATTTCAGACTATTTAGCACAAAGAAATAAAAGAAAAAAGTTTGCATCGGGAGGGATTCGAACCCCCGCGGTCTTTGGGACCATAGGAACGGGAACTCCTACGCCTTAACCACTCGGCCACCGATCAGAGTTGAGCGGAAATGGAATTTTGAAATCCGGAAGACGGCAGACGGCAGACGGAAGAAAATTTTTTTTACGGAACACGGAAAACGGAAGACGGAAGAAAATTTTTCTCACGGAAGACGGCAGACGGAAGACGGAAGAAAACTTTTTTCCCGGAAGACGGCAGACGGAAGACGGAACAAAAAAATCGTCAATGCAGAACCTTTTTTTCCGGTTTTTTATAAAAAAAATAACTAAAGCAACAAAAAATTTGGATCTGGGTCACTGCCCGTGGAAATTCGCGTTCTTCGGGGCTAGTAAATGGCTTCTGAAAAGTTATTACTCTTTTACGGTAAGAAGAAAAAATTCCGGAAGACGGCAGACGGCAGACGGAAAAAAAGTTTTTTTACGGAAGACGGCAGACGGAAGACGGAACAAAGCTTTTTTTCCGGAAGACGGCAGACGGAAGACGGAACAAAAAAAACCACGGAAGACGGAAGACGGAAGACGGCAGACGGAATTCCGCTCAACTCTGCCACCGATGCCACGCTTCTGAATACAGCACATTCCGCTCATTCGGTCAACGGAACCGGAAGGGACCGTTTGTGCGGGAACAGTTATGGAACCACTAACAGAAGTGGTCCCTCCGGATTCAAATTCGTGGCACCGGTGGCCGAGTGGTTTAAGGCGTGGGAGGTTTGCACTCCTATGGTCATCAGACCTCGCGGGTTCGAATCCCGTCCGGTGCGGTACTCTTTTGCCGCCTTTCAATTGGGTTCTGACACTATTTACAAAAAAATAGGAAAACCGGTAGCAGTGACGTAAATAGAAGATTTGGAGGAAAACCATGAGGAATGTCGAGAAAAGAGACATTTTCGAGTATTTTTACTAATTCAATGTAAAATTAGTTAGTTTTGAAGTAGAAATACGGTGATATGCTAGCCAGTGCAAAAGAGAATGGGCCGAACCGGGGATTGAACCCGGGACCTCTCGCACCCAAAGCGAGAATCATACCACTAGACCATTCGGCCACACGATCACTTTAATTCCGATCACAGAACAACACCCCCAATGCCTCCTTCCGCGCCGCTTTTCTTTCCGCAAGTCATTTCACACAAAGAAACTTGCTTGCGGAAAGCTGCGCGGAAGGGAAACGTTTCGGCGCGGAAGGAGGCATCGGCCGTGTTGTTTTGTGATCGAAATGGAAGTGATCGTGTGGCCGAATGGTCTAGTGGTATGATTCTCGCTTTGGGTGCGAGAGGTCCCGGGTTCAATCCCCGGTTCGGCCCATTCTTTTTTGCACTGGCCACGATATTTCTACTTCAAAACTAACTAGTTTTACCTTGAATTAGTAAAAATACTCGAAAACATCTATTTTCTCGACACATCCTATATTTTTGTAAATAGTGCCAGAACCCAATTGAAAGGCGGCAAAAGAGTACCGCACCGGACGGGATTCGAACCCGCGAGGTCTGATGACCATAGGAGTGCAAACCTCCCACGCCTTAAACCACTCGGCCACCGGTGCCACGAATCTTAATCCGGAGGGACCACTTCTGTTAGTGGTTCCATAACTGTTCCCGCACAAACGGTCCCTTCCGGTTCCGTTGACCGAATGAGCGGAATGTGCTGTATTCAGAAGCGTGGCATCGGTGGCCGAGTGGTTAAGGCGTAGGAGTTCCCGTTCCTATGGTCCCAAAGACCGCGGGGGTTCGAATCCCTCCCGATGCAAACCTTTTTTCTTTTATTTCTTTGTGCTAAATAGTCTGAAATATTTGGAAATGCACTTTTTATGCTGGACAAACTTTTCGCGATTCACCTGTGTGGGTGCGAGAGGTCCCGGGTTCAATCCCCTGTTCGGCCCATCCCCTTTTGCACTGACTAGCATTTCACAGTATTTCTACTTCAAAACTAACTAGTTTTACGTGTAATGGATAGAAATCACCAAGTCTTTTCGAGAAAATGTAAGATTCCCCTACTTTTTCTGTCTTCTCATGCCGATCCCGTGTGTTCCGCCCACGTATTCCACAAAATCCGAGCCGACAATATTGGCCTGTTCTTCCGGAATCTTTGCGAGAACCGCATCGAGAAAAGTGACGAGGAGGGCCGTCGATTCGCAATTTCTCGGCTCGGCGAGCAATTTCACGACGGCGACGGCGGAGGGAACGATCATTTGGGGACAATATCGGGTGAAGAGGGGAATGTAGAGGGATCGGAGCAGTTGGAATTCCGATTTCGAGCCCTCGTTCGAGATTATTCGCGTCAGAATGTACTCGGCCACCTCGTTTCTCAGCAACTCGAACACGTCTGCAAATTATTATTGGAAATCAGAATTTTCCATAATTTTCCCTAAAACTGACCGTCTTTGCACTCCAAACTCTCCGGTTTCTTCTTCAAAAGAAACATTTGTGCGGTCAGATCCCGCGGGGGCCGCTCTCCGACCGTCTCGGCCATTTCCAGTTGCAATCTGGCCAACATGCGTTCCCTGTCGGTTCGTCCCATTCCCAGCCACCACATTCTCGCGTGTTCCCGCGCGTTCCGCCCGTTTTCCGCGTAGTTTTGCACGAAAGTGAGCTCATTGTGCTCTTTGTCCGGTCGATAATGCGTTTCTGCGAGGATTTTCTCGATTTCGGAATATGTGGAGGAGATCATTGCGGGCGTGCCTTCGTGCGAGAAATAGGCAATCAGATTGGCGAGTTCTTCGAGCACCACCGGGCTCTGAAATAGAGCAAAATGAGGAAATGGGTTTCTTAAAGGACGTCTCCGGTGTTTTTTTGAGAAACTCACTAATTTGGCGACTTTTGCAAAGAAAACGACCATATTTCGAATGGTGACAATGCGCATCGACTTGTTCGGAATGTACCTCGCTCTGAGTACGACTCGTCTCATCAGTGCCACGTCATCGCCGTCCGAATTCAATAAAATCTGATGCGGAACGACGTCGTTCAACGCGGAAACAACGAAGAAAATGGCAGTGGGGCACGTGAGATTCTCGACGGATTTCAGAAGATTTACGACAAAAAAAGGCGCCAATTTGATGGATTCGAACACATCGGAGAGGTCGCCGAGGAAGGATTCCATTCGCGACTTCTCCAGAATTCTCCAGAAGACGTCGTTGTTGTTCAGCGACGGAATCAGAATCGAGGTGACAAACTGAAAAATTGGGATTTTTTTCGATGTTTCCCGTTCAGCATAAAAAGTGCATTTCCAAATATTTCAGACTATTTAGCACAAAGAAATAAAAGAAAAAAGGTTTGCATCGGGAGGGATTCGAACCCCCGCGGTCTTTGGGACCATAGGAACGGGAACTCCTACGCCTTAACCACTCGGCCACCGATGCCACGCTTCTGAATACAGCACATTCCGCTTATTCGGTCAACGGAACCGGAAGGGACCGTTTGTGCGGGAACAGTTATGGAACCACTAACAGAAGTGGTCCCTCCCGATTCAGATTCGTGGCACCGGTGGCCGAGTGGTTTAAGGCGTGGGAGGTTTGCACTCCTATGGTCATCAGACCTCGCGGGTTCGAATCCCGTCCGGTGCGGTACTCTTTTGCCGCCTTTCAATTGGGTTCTGACACTATTTACAAAAAAATAGGAAAACCGGTAGCAGTGACGTAAATAGAAGATTTGGAGGAAAACCATGAGGAATGTCGAGAAAAGAGACATTTTCGAGTATTTTTTTACTAATTCAATGTAAAACTAGTTAGTTTTTGAAGTAGAAATACGGTGATATGCTAGCCAGTGCAAAGAGAATGGGCCGAACCGGGGATTGAACCCGGGACCTCTCGCACCCAAAGCGAGAATCATACCACTAGACCATTCGGCCACATGATCACTTCCATTCCGATCACAGAACAACACCCCCAATGCCTCCTTCCGCGCCGCTTTTCTTTCCGCAAGTAATTTCACACAAAGAAACTTGCTTGCGGAAAGCTGCGCGGAAGGGAAACGTTTCGGCGCGGAAGGAGGCATCGGCCGTGTTGTTTTGTGATCGAAATGGAAGTGATCATGTGGCCGAATGGTCTAGTGGTATGATTCTCGCTTTGGGTGCGAGAGGTCCCGGGTTCAATCCCCGGTTCGGCCCATCCTCTTTTGCACTGGCTAGCCCTCTCCCGTTTAAAACTAACTAGTTTCACATTAAATTGATAAAAATCCTCGAGAACGTTTGTTTTTTCAACATTCTTAGTGGCTAATTTTGATCAAATTTTCTCGCTTGTCGACGTTTTCCCTCCAATGTCACCTCGTGGTTATTCGCCAACAACTGCCTGTCAATCGTGACGCTCTTCTCGATTGCCCACACTCGAATCCATCCGTTCGTGTGCAAAATCGCTCGAAATATGGCGATTTTTGCCCATAAAAAGTCCAGTTTTCCGTCGATCACCGACTGGATGAGGGTGTCGAAACGGGGAAGAATCGGACGGATTATGTGGAACTGAAATGAAAGATAAATTTACCCGAATTCTCGTTTCAACAACACCTGTGGTTCTTCGAGTGCCTCCACAAGGGTGTAGAAATCGATCCATTGAGTTCCGCCCCGGAATTCTTTGAGACACGCGAGAACGGCTCGACGTGTAGGGCGCGTTGACTCGGAATCTGAACAGAAACAACTTCAATGCACTTTTTCTTCATATTTCATTCTATTACCTAACAAAACCTGTGCACAAATGTGCTCAAACTCTTTCTTCCGGTGCTCCGCGAGCTCTTCTTTCGCCGCCACGATGCACAGCGTCGGCAGGGCAATTTCAAACGTTTTCTGGTCGACTACTTGCAGGTGTCTGCAAAGATTAAGATCTTCTAATTTCTCTGCTTTTTCTACATTTTTTTCAGCTCAGTCTATCTTTGGAAACCTTAAAAAATGCCTTATTTTTAACTTTTTCAATGAAGCGCATTTACTGACGCCAAAAAATCGGCGATATTCTCGTCGCCTCGCACTTCTTCGGCCCGCTGATTCCAGTACGATCTGAGCCGAATTTCGATTTCCTCCGACTCATTTTCACTCATTTTCTGAAAAAAAATACAGAGAAATACGAATAGAAGGATCGAGAAAATTGATTTGGTTTTTCAAAGCCAAAAACACGCAAGAACAGAGGAAATATAACGATTTCGAGAAAAAGCTTATAAAATTCTAAAAACAATTCATTGCTAATCATGTAGAAGACGCTAGAAACAAGTAAGACAACAAGAAACAAAAGCAGCTTTAAGCAACAAAATTTTGAGAAAATTAGGCGAAAGAATGTGGCCGAATCGGTTTGAGAGGATCGAAGAGCTTCGGATCCCGCGTGTATTTCGGATCCTTCACAAAGATTGGCATGTAGCCGGCGCGGCGCGATTTCTGGAAAATTAAAAAAAAATTATCAGAAAACGTGAGATTTCCGTACCGAAATTGCCTCGATGAGCTTTTTCTGCTGCTCATCGCACAGTCCGGTGATGTGACGGTCGTAGACGCGGCCGGAGAACGTCGAGACGAATTGCTGGAAGGAACAATTGAACATTTCAGTCGAATTTGTAATGTGTAATTATGCTTCACTCGTACCTGCAAAAGACGCGCATTTTTATAGTCCAACTCGACGCCAGTGGAGCACAAAAGACACTTGCGCGGCTCTTTCGTGTACGGATTGTGCTCCAAACGGATCGGTTCGTCCGCGCCGCCCGTACTGCACAATCGGACCGTCGCGGGCCTAATCAGCAAGCTTTTTGCCAGTTGCGAAGCCGATTTAAGCATTCTGCAAGCTTTTTATGAAAAACTGGGGGGAAAAAGCAAAAATCAGATAAAATCGGTCAAAACCCGTCAGAAAGTTCCAACTATCAACGGTAAAATCGATAATTTATACGTTAAAGCTCGGGGAAAGGTGCTCGATATGACAGTGCTATAAATTACCGGTTTGACAATAAGATGCGAGGAAAAAAAAAATGATAAAAATGCAGTTTTACAGAAAATCAGTCTTTTTTGGGTCTTCCGGTTGTAAGACGGTAAACCAACGAATTCTTGCCCATCTCGTGCTCGTCCCACATGAACCACACCATCGAAGTCACCGCCTGCAATGAAAACATTGAGAGCATCGACCCAAACTACTTTAATCCAAGCCCGAAAAGCCTGCAAAGTTGGGGCCCGATCGAATAATTGCCTTTGAAAAGCATGGGCCGAAAAAACTAATTTTTTCGCAGTCTGAATCAAGTAAACTCACAAAAATCATAGCGAGTGCGACGCCGGCACAGATGGCAAATACGGCGGGAAAATCGGAGTTGCGCGGTCTCGTTACTTGATAATACCGGCGCTGCTTTTCCAATTTGGCCAGATACTCTTTTTCGGTCTGCTCGTGATGCGTGTAAATCTCGAGAACCATCTCCTCGCTTCTTTCTCCAATCGCTTCTTTCAACGTGTCGATTCCCCTTTTCAAATTCTCCTCCAACTGCCGTTTTTGCATCGAATTCCGCGCATTCGAGACGTCCAGATGAATTCGATAGAAATCCACGACGTTTTGCGATTTTCTATCGTTTTTTCGGATCGATTCCGCCAATTTCATCATGTTCGCGACGTCGTCAAGGTCTTCCGGCTCTTTCGGGCCATCGTGGGCCTCAGAATCGGAAGCCCTTTTTTGATGGGGATTCGTGAAAATGCCAGTGGAATTCACTTCCACGTGGATCATCGCGTCGCCAAACTGATTTCTAAGGTTCTCGTTAATCTCGTGGCTTCTGAACGTGTCTGTGAACGCGTAGGCGTGTCCGTCGTACTCGAAATCATCCAGCCCGCGCACACTGATCACCACCAACGTTTTCGGTTTGCGCAACAAGTTTTCCGGCGAAAATTTGAACGTTCCTGAAATTTTCTCGCATAGTTTCGATAAAATTTGAGGCAAACCATTGTTTTTCTCAATTCCCAGCGCTTCTTTGTTGAAACTGAGCAGCGATTGAGAGTCGAACGACGTTTTTTCGGTCTCGAATGTCTGATTTCCGGGCAGCACGATTTGAAGCCGACCCGCCAGACAAACTGCAATCAAAAATGAATAACGTGGGCCTGGAGCGATAAAATTACCTGTTAAAAGTGGAAAAATCCAAAAAATCGCCCCCATTTTGACGAAAACCGAGCGAAAACTGAATTTTCAACGAAAAATTCGCGATGGAAGAGTTCTGGCCCGGGTGGAGTTTCCTAGGCCCCGGCCACGCGGAAAGCGCGGGTTTTCGAATGATAAGGCAATTTTAGCTGGGGAAATCCGCTGCTTTACGTGTTTTTTATGAAAAAAAAGCGAGTTTTGCACCGTTTATTATATAAATAAGTTATCTTTTCTCTGTTAAAACACAATACTCATGACGAAAAAGAGTAAACTTTATAAAATCCGAGCGGGTTCACATGTGAAGGACCAGTTTGTTGACGGGCAGCTCCGTGACCGGGTGCTCCGTGTGATCGAACGGGCACGTGATCTTTTTGGCTTTCTTGACGCTCGAAACGCAACCGTCGCACAGCGTGTGGCCACAGGCTGCAAAAAACAGTTTGCGCGAAAGTTTCACGTGGGGATGATTAGTTTGGTTTGTAGTTCTCTTGAAAACGAGAAAAGAAAGAAAAGAGCCCTTACCCAACACACGCGGGACTCTCTTTCCCTGTTCCTCGAAGACCGCCTCACACTTCTCGCACTTTCTCCACGGCATGATCGCCGGGTCGGCCTCCTCGTCGTCGCCCTGTTCCGTCTCGATCTGCAACTGCTTCGCGAGTTCCAGCACTTTTCCGCGGTAGAATTGGAGCTGTTCGCGGGAGGCGGCCATCTGATTCTTGTACTTTTTGTCGACCTCCTCGGCCACCTTAATGACAATAATTATTCATTTATTCGTTTCGACCCGCTAGGAAAACTGATTTGAAAATGCGAAGAGGGGTGCATAAAAAAAACGAAACCTTGTTCTTGAGTGTCCGTTCGAGGACGGAAATCTTCGCCTTGAACGTCTGTTTCTCGCGCTGATAGCCCTGTCGCTCGGCGTTCCACCGCAGCTCCATCTCCTGTTTCGAGCGCCATTCCTGCGTGTGCGTGTCCATCACCCGCTGCATCTCGACCAGATCCGTGTGGAAGCGGTTCCTTTCGCGCGCGTGTTCCCGCTTGAGCGCCTGGATCTGACGTTCACGCTCGGCGCCCGCTTGCAACGCCTTCTGTCGCAGCGAGACAATGTTCGCCTTCTGCTTCTTTATCTCCTCTTTCAACTTCTTGTTATCCTCTGTCAGTTTTGCTTCTTTCGAGACTGGAACCTTCGCGATTGCGGCTTTTCTTCTCGGCGGCGCCATTTTTCGTCTGAAAATCGACGGCTTCCGTTGATTTTTTGTTAACATGCGTCAAAAACAAGCGAAAAACGTGAGGGGTACGCTTTTAAAGGCGCAACACCAAAACTGATAAATTTCTTCCGCTTTTTGCAGTTTTTGCGATGTCCTCTTTTTTTGGTCGAAAGAAACGTTCACAGTGTGTGTGGTGTACAATTTTTAAACGAAAAAAGTCGATAATCGATAATTACGAAACAAAAAACAATTATCATCACGTTATCTTTTTTCAGTGTTTTTTTCAACAAAATTAATCTGAAAATAGAATTAGCTACTGTCCGTCTATAGTTTCAGTCGAAAATTCACAATTTCTAATGATTTTGCAATGGAATACGTGCAGAAAACCAGAAAACGAGTGACGGAGCCCTGCACGGCGTCTGATTCGGCGTTCCTCGCACGATTCGCATTAGAGCGCATTTGCATTCGGGGCCGAGATGCGCGAAAATGAGGCGATTTTTCGGCCACACTTTTTTGGAGCGCATTCACAAAGTGAAAAAAAATGGGAAAAATGAGGAGAAATTTAGTTCTTCTCGGCTGAAAAATCTGGAAAATAGCGAAAAAAGCATTGAAAATATATAATAAATGAGATAGATATATCTCTAGATACCCTCGGTAAAAAACCATTTCAAGAAGAAGAAACTAAAAAATGGACATTTATGCAAGAAAATAATTTACGACTCAAATGCATTTTACAGGTATGAAGCATGTCTAGAACTTTGAACCATTTTTGTCGCACTTACAAACGCCATTTAGCATTTTTGTAGCAGAAAACCAAGAAAAGCGACTTTGAATTGGACAGGAGAGAAAAAGACCAGAATCGGAAAAGAATGGGACCGGCCCCGTCGAGTATCTATTTACAAAAGTTGGAGAGAAGCGAAAAGTTCTTCGGAATGACCGACGACGGACCGGTCGTCACGATTCTATCGTTGGGGCACTGGAACAGCGGGATCAGGAAGCTGAAGCGGACCGTCATTTTGTCGATGCATCCGGAGCAGTACGTGTGGCCGCATGCTGCAAATCGGACCACGTTTGACATTATCCTATCGGTTCCGAAGCACTTGGATCGAAGCACCAAGTTTCACATCGATCGGATCATCTGGTCTTTTTGATTTCAAACCGGTATGGGCCAGATGATTTGAAACTTGGTCCCGAGATGCTTCGATCCAAGGCTGGACCAATAGGAGTTGTGCTACTATCAATTTGGTCCGTTCAAACTCACAAAGAACCCGTGGCACCCGGTCCCCTTCGGTTTTGTAGGGGACTGCGCAGATGCTGCACGTGGCCGCCTCGTCGATCTTGGCCCTCAGCTCGGCGGCCTCCTTCCTCGCCCTCTCCACCTCCTCGCCCGCCTCCAACTTCTGTTTCAGCGCATTTCCCTCCGCCTCGGACCATCCGAGCAGTCTGTAGAGATCCGAGAACGTGGGCGACGGTCCCGCTTGCTCGGTGAGCAACTGATAGGCCTGTTGGGCATCGGAAGAGCAGAGCTTTGCGGCGAAATCGGGATCGGGTCCCGGGATCTGATTGAGACGATGATTAGGGTGAGTTATGATGTGGTCCTTACCGGTTGATAGTCCGAAATGGCCGGAATGTTGATGTGGATCTGAAAAAACTGAAAACTTATCAAGTTCCACTCAATTTTCAGCCAAAAAGCTGGTCCCTACCTGTTGATGGTGCGTACTGGCCGGAATATTAATGTTTATCTGTAACACGTGAAATGGGTAGACGTTCAACGGTCCTAATCGATATTATACGCTTACCACTTGAGTTGGCCAAACTTGAGCCTCGTTTTCGACGGTCCCCACCGGATCGGACATGGTTTCGCCTGAAAACAGTACGGTTGAGCGCATTTGCATTGTGAAGCCGAGGTACCGAAACGGTGAAAAGTATCATTGACAGATTTGACAAAACGACAATATTAACATTAATTTTTATGCTTAGAAATAATGGTGCTTGTATAGGAAACAATGAGAAACTATTGTTAGACAATATCAATAGCACATATCTGCATGGGGCCATGGACCACGAGGGACCATATTAATCGCAAAAGTTGGAGAGGATCACAAAGTTCTTCGGCAGATCCGACGGACGATTGAATGACGTCTTCTTCTCGTCGTTCGGGCACTTGAAGCACATCTTCTTCTTGCGATCCTTCACTGCGATCGTCGAGATGCAGTGCTCGCAGAACGTGTGGCCGCACGCTGCAATACTGGTCCCGTTTCGTTGACGGTTTGCTTTTCATTATATTTTCCTTGTTGAGACAACCATCTGGTAGGACCACTGTCTGCCAGGGACCATAAACTGATTCACTCGACTTTTCCTACCCAAACTGAAGCTATTTGAAGTCCTGCCAGACTCTCATGCTCCAGGCTACAGTAATCTTACACCAGAAGAACTAGGCGTGCATTTTATTCGCCCTAGCCGCTTTCTCGGGGACCAGATGATCTGAAATTCAGACCCAATATACTTGAATCCAACTCACAAAGGACACGTGGCACTCTGTCGCCGTCGAGCGTGAACTCGTGCGCACAAACGACACACAGAACGGCGTCCTCGATGCGCTTCTTCAGCTGCTCGTTCTCCTCCTTCGCCTTCTTCAGCTCGACGACCTCCTCCTCCCTCGCCTTCTTCAGCTCGACGACCTCCTCCTCCTCCTCTCTCGCCGTCTTCTCCGGATGCTCTCGCTTCAGCACATTCTCGCGCTTCTCCAAAATCGCCTTATTCTCGTCGTGAGCGCGTTGGAACTCGTCGATTTTGCGCTCGTTCGACTTGACTTTCTCGCCAAACTTCGCCAGTTCGATCACCATCTTATCGAGCGTCTGGGCGGTGCTCGGTTCCGGCCAGTTCTGAACGGGCGACCATTTCGAGTCGGGGGGCACCATTTTTGTGTTTACCAGATAAGCCTGCGGTTGAAACGAAGCCGCTGTGTAGTTGGGGGTTCCCTGAAGTCCCCACGACACTCGGCTCGCCTGGAAAAGCAGTTTATGGTCCCGGTAGTTTGGGTAAACGTACCGCCTGGTTCATCAAATAAGCAGCACAGAAGCGCATTCCTTCGGATACAGCGGAGACCGGGTTGGTCAAGGCGACTCGCGCCGGAACGATTCCAAGCGCCATTTGCTCTCTCTCGTGTGGTCCCTCTAGTTTCAAGGAGGCCTGTGACTATAAAAAAAAGAGTAGTGCCAAAAGTTGCAAAAGATGCGGCCTAAAATGTCGCCCTTAGTATGTTTTTTTTTGGACCCTCTGGTACCATCAGACAGGTCCCTTTGTGGTCCCCAGTGCGATGAACCTATAAACTCACATTAATCGGCCAAATCGGCACCGGATTCGCAATTTCGGTCGGCGCAACTTCCGCGATCGGATCGATCGGACCCGCGTGCTCAGACATGGCTCGCCTGAAAATCGTGGATTGTGGAAAGTGAGTGAGTCGATCGGGATGACAATATTGAGTCCGGCCGAGCGCATTTGCATCGGAAAGCCGGCCGACCATCTGCCGGCCATACCGTTTTATGGTGGGGAGGGGAACTCGGCCGCGCGTGCCGGCCGGAAACAAATACGGGCGCTCGCGAGTTTTTTGCTCGTAAGAATTTTGAAACTTTATGCAACTATGTCAATACGCCCCTTAAATTGAAGCTTATGAGAAGGCGAACTCGGCGAGCATACGGAAAAAATTCTCAGGTGCACAGTTATTACATAAAAATTTGTTTTCGGCTTATTGACCTTGATGATCGAAAAAAGTGAGAACAAAACTTGACCACGTGTACATAAAGCATAGTAGCGCATGTGGGTGGTTGATGACGCATTCGAAAGCGATGAGTCATTTATGTGCTTTCGAAAGGGACCGTCTGACGTACGAATGTACATCTTTTGAAAGGGAGACATACACGCGCGCGCATAATTCGTAGACTAATTGGAAATAAATGCGAAAATCGGAATTTGCGCATAATTTCAGGAGTGCTTTCTTTCTCCTCGACTCGACAATAACACAATAGTCACTCGGATCCCATTTTCAAATTACTGTAGCACGGTGACCGCCGACAGCGGAAAAAGGGGCGTGGCCTCGCGGACACTAAATTCGATTTTCGCGCGACTTTCACTGATTTTCCACTCGTTTTTGACACAATTCATCGAATGCGAGCAGTTTTCATCAACTTTTTGTCGAAATCGGGCGTAAGATCGAACCTTTTCAAAAAGTAGTGGAAAATCAGACTTAAAATTTGAATTTCGCGCCAAAATGACAGGAATGCGGTGGAGCGCGCTTGCGCCGAATTTCTAGTTGGGGAGAGCGTGCTTTTCAGCTTTTTGCACGGCGATGGGGGCGGAGCTTGACGGTTACGGTGAAAAGCGAATGTAAACATGTTTTTTCGATCCGTGTCGAACACAAAAATCACTTTTTCCCAGCGATGGGAAAGTGAAAAACGAATTGAAAGGAGGCGATGAGGCAGAGAAATAAATTATCTTTATTGTTGAAACACTTCCCAAAAAAAAAGATGAATATTGTATAAAGTGATGCATTGATTACACAAGAGCAATGTTCGAAGTTGGGAACGAAACTGCACAAGAGGATGGAACAGAGAAGGAAAAGGGAGTGAAGCGGGCTCATCTAGACCGAGAAAAACCGGATTTTTCGGCGGTAAATGAGCAGAGATTCGACGGGGCAATGAAACGATGATACAGGAATGTCCGGGAATGATCACATGCCGAGCACGGCGAAGTTGGTCGGCAGGCCGGCGCCGTTCGGCGAGCGCAGTTCCTGGAACTTGCGGTCGAACGGGCACACCATGTACGAGTTGCCGGCGCAGAGATTCGCGATGCACTCGGCGCACGCAGTGTGGCCACACGCTGAAAAAAATTGGAGTCTTGTCGAAAAGGCCTAGCTCTTATCGTTTTTCGCTAAAATCCCATTTTCCCGCAACTAAACTCACGAATGACTTTCGGTCGGCGGTTTCCGGTCTCCTCGTACTGCTGCACGCACAGATCGCAAACCTTCCAGGGGATGGGCAGCTGCTCCTCGGAGCGCGTCTCCTCGTAGAGCTTCTGCGCCAACTCGAACGTCTGCCGGCGGAAGAACTGCGCCGTCTTCTTCGCCTGGCCTAGCTGCTGCTTCGTGCGCTTCTCGATCTCGTCCTCCACTTTCGCCTCGTATTCGCTCTGCACATTCGCCAGCTTCGTCTTGAGATTCGCGTTCTCGGTGGTCATTTTTTTAATGGCTTTCTCGTGCGTTTCCACTTTTTTCTGCAGCTCCCGCTTGTCTTCTGACAGGAATCGGATGTGGGCTTTCGCGTCATCGATTGACAGCCGGGAGCACATTGTCGCGAGCGGTCTCTTCATCGCCGTCTTCTTCGGCGGCATTTTGCTGAAAATCGACGACGTATTGCAAGTAATTTGATAGAATTTTAAAAAATAGAGCTTGAGCTGCGAAATTGCTTCAAATCTTCAAAAAACAAGTTTCGCAATAAGATAGTGATTTTCAAAGGTTTCTTCAGTGAAAAACACTTCATTTCTGTCATTTTTCGAACAAAAAACGTTCCGAAAACTTGTTTCTCATGTTACCGCCGAAAAATGAGGAATAAACAAGGGAAATAATGAGGAACGAAACGCATGCAGCTGATTTATAAAAAATGCGGTGGAGCGCACTTGCTGCCGGACGAGGAGGTTTCTAGGCCACGGCCATCGACGAAATTGGAGGGAGATACAATTTTCATTGTGGAAATGCGGAAAAATACTAGTTTTAACGTAATATTTAATAAAAAATAAAGAATTATGCTAATTTCTTTGCATAACATCCTCCACTTGCTCGGAACTCGCCGGCAATGAAAAACCTTTTGGAATTCTGAAATGCTCTTTTTTTTCCCCAGATAATAACTTGAAATCTAACCGAATTCCACAAAAAGTGATCGAAGACATCACCGCAAAAAATGTCAATAGAAAAATGTGAGTTTTGAGGTAGACCTGCGTCGCGTAGAACATTACAACGCAACCGGCGGCGCTCTGAGAATTTTAGTTAAAAACTGGTAGATTTTAGCTGGAAAACACCAAATATTAACAATTTTGAGCAGTCAGTGAACTGAAAATTTAGCGCCAAAAGTGCGGTAGAGCGGACTTGCCTGGAAAAATCGATAAACGGCGAACGCTTCGATTCGCTTGTCGTGCTCGAAAATGTCGCTGAGAATTGTGTAGCATTGTTGATTGACAATAGTGTCGCCAACGCCCAAAAAGAAGGCACAAATGAGCACAATCAGAGCTCTGAAATACAAAAAACGTTGTTTTTGACAAAAGTGTCATTCAGAGACCTTGGCGGATAGTATCCCAACTCTTCCGTCGGTTTCAGCGACGATTCATCGGGGAACGTGAGAAAAATCATTGAAAACGAGGAAATGTGAAGAATAACCGCGAGGAGAACCATGTTTTTTCGGCCGAGTTCTCGAACGCGAGCTCCGAGGATCGAAAGCGCCAGACTGCCTGGAAAAGGGAGAAGTTTCAGTGGCACCAAACTTGCTCAATAGGTTCATTTATACTCTTCAGTTGATTTGCTGACCTGTCACATTGCCGACGCCCACGCAAATCAACGTGTACGCGTTCATATCCCGATTGCTGCCCAGTTTTCGCGTAAAAGAGATCATCGTCGGGAAAACGACCGTGAAAAACGACGTTTCCATGCCAGTGTAGCAGAATGTGAAGAAAAGAAGGAGCAGGTTGCGGTCCGTCGAAACTTTCAGGATTTCATCTGGAAAAGTGACATGGCCTAACTGGTAGTGCCCTAAAAACGTACACAAATGCTGTAAATAGGGAATTTTCTGTTTTTCCGCAGTGTACACCGGTTTCGGCAGGAAGACGCCGATGAAAATGGAGACAACGGTGCAGGCGAGGAAGGAGGTGACCACCAGACGGATCTGGAAAACATCTGAACTTGTGGAACCTTTTTTTTCAGCTTACCAGAGGCATTTGGAACTCGTCTCCTGACTGGAAACGATAAATGAGCAAAAGGTAACAGCCGCCGAGGATCAGGCTGGAAATTGGGAGATTAAGACATCAGAGCACAAATATTGAATGACTCTAACTGATCGCATTGTCAAATAACTTCAATTTGAACAAAAACACACGTATTTCATCGAAAAATCGCATTTTTATCTGTTTCATCGCGATGACAAACTTGTACGAACACATTTTTCGCCGCGAAAATCTATTTTTCAGTTGAAAGTACTCACGAAATCTGCGACAATCCCCATAGAATCGAAGAGTTGCGGTCCAAAGTGTGCGGTTGAGTGTTTTGAGCCAAATAGTCGAACTGGCCCGTCCACAGTACTACAATTTCTTTTTTCTCTCGCGCAAAAACGGCTGGAAGAGAAATACGCACTAGTCCCCCGGCCGTGTCGATTTACGAGCATTTCTCGCTTGTTTTAGAGAAAATAGCTCAAATTCTGTTAGCGCGTGCGCGTTCACATTAAAATGCCCCGATAATACGCACTTACAAGAGCCGGAAAATCCGGAAAATGCGGCGGAGAAATAGAGGAAATACTCGTTTATCCAGAGAAACGCCATTTCGTAAAGGGCGTAGCCGACCAATCCGACGAGCACCGACCACTTGGGAGTGATGATTTCGACGATGGGAGTGGCGACGAAATGGCCGAAAGTGAAGATGAGGTAGGAAATGAAGGAACTGCAAAATGCGAAAACTTTGCAAAGAATATCGGCAAGAAAATGGCGTCTTGGTGTGCAAACGCGCTCTACCGCACTCGGCGCTTATAAAATTGGCTTTTTGTCAAAATTTCGGCGGAAATCACCGAGTATTGCGTTTAATAGAACGCGTTTGCTCACCGCAAAATCAGTTACCTATAATATCCGGCATGTTCGCCTAGGCCATGCGTTTTTGACACTTTTTCCACTATAGTCTGGGATAAGGCCGCTGAAAATGTGAAAAAAAACAATGTTTATATTGCGGGGAACGTTTTCTCAAAAAAACAGGAGGACTTACACAAACAGAACCAGGGAAAAAAGTTGAAGAAGAAAATGATGCCGAGCTGACAGACATTCCACGTGGATTGCGATAGGCCCAGCATTCGTTTTTCCTACGTATCTGACGAATAGTGAAGTTTTAGTTGGACACGTACGGCTACAAAACACGACAAACGTTCCGGTATCATATTAGGTCTGAAAAAGAGAGAAAAGGGGGGGACGAGATGATGATGGACCTATTCAGCCAAGTATTTTACTGGTTTTATACGCAAAAAAACCTCTTCCCCGGGGTTTTTTCCCGGTTTTTTCCTCATTTGAATAGGGTTTTTTGCGTAAAAACCCAGAATCGGGTCAATTCTGCTGGGCCTACAATAGTACTCAAGTGAACAGTGTTTCGCATCGTATGGAGCCGCTAAGAATCAAAACATTAAATGAGTTTGTTGTTGATAAGAGGAGAATCGAACAGACTTTTGTTTTCGGTCGAAAAAGATTCGTCTCTAATGAAGGTTTCTTGTAAATATTACCAAATTCTTTCGTTCCCCTTTGTTCATTACTGCCCTGTCTAGTCAAGTCTGTGTGAGTCTTTCAACTATCCGTCGAGGCACTTGAAAAACATTTTCTGTTGATCAGTTTCGCCCATGAAGCAATCTAATCGATAAACAATTCGCATTCTTTTTTTCAGTTTTTCCCTTCGCTCCCTCTCTCAATAACTTCACAGTTTTATTCGATATGTTCGAGTGTAAGGCAGTAAGTATTATGAGTGTTGATCCAAAAGAGATGCCTGTTCGATATTGTCCGATTGTTGAGTGCTGACCGGTAGTTCACTGCTTTTCGGTATCCGTATTCCGCAAAAAGTGATCGTAGACATGACTGCGAAAAAAGTGAGCAAAAAGACATGAGTCCTCAGGTAAACGTGAGTGGCGTACAGCATCATTACACACCCGGCGGCGCTCTGAAACACAATTTCTGATGGGATAGTTTTCAAAAAAAAGAAGAGTACCTGAAAGAAGCGATAAACCGCAAAACCCTCGATGCGCTTGTCGTGCTCGAAAATGTCGCTGAGAATCGTGTAGCATTGTTGATTGATAATAGTGTCGCCGACTCCCAACAGCCATCCGCACACCAGAACGATTAGAGCGCTGGGCGCGAAGTAGCTCTGTTCGGGCGTCGGTTTTAGCGAGCACTCGTTCGGGAACGTCATGAAACAGAGGGCGAAACAGGTGATGTGCAGGAGAACGCCCATCACGACCATCTTCTTTCGGCCGATCTCACGCACTCGTTTTCCCAGCGATGAGAGGAGCGAACTTGCTGAAAATAGAGGTTTATGATCCAGCTATTTTGCAACTGAACTAGACACTTTGCAACCGGCACAATTGCAAAGCGATCTGGTTGCAAACTGTCCTTCAGTGCTTCAACCAGTTGCGAAACAAACCGGTCACATTGCCAACGCCGACGGAAATGAGCGCCCACGCGTTCATATCCCGATTGTTGCCCAATTTCTGCGTAAACGAGACCATCGTCGGAAAAATGCCGCTGAAAAACGAGGCCTCCATTCCGGTGTAAACGAACGTGAAGAGCAAGAAGAGCACGTTACGATCGAACGTGATTTTGACGATTTCCGCTGCAAATCTTCACTTCAACATCTCTGGGAACGATGGTAAAAAGGGCGTACATAGATGCGCGAAGTACGGAATTTTGTACTTCTCCACCTGAAACGCCGGTTTCGGCAGGAACAGGCAGATGAAAGAGGCGAGAATTGAGCACGCGAGGAACGAGCAAATGACCAGATGGATCTGAATTTGAGGGCTTTGAGATTGCGAATTTTCCGATTTTTAGACTCACTAAAGGTAGCTGGAAGTCATCGCCATCTTGGAAACGGTACAGAATGAGCAGGTAAAGGCCACCGACCATAAGTCTGGAACATTTACAATAGTAGAAAATATAAACTTCGAGCGGGACTCACGAGATCTGCGACAGTCCCCAGAGGGTGGAGGCGTTGCGGTCCAAAGTGTGCGGCTGACAATTTTGAGATAAATAATCGAATTGACCCGTCCATAACACTACAATATCGCACCTGTTTGGACATTTTCCGTCTGTACACTTACAAGATCCGGAAAAGCCGACGAACGCGGCGGCAAGATAGAGCAACACCTCATTGACGTACAAAAACGAGGCTTCGTAGAGTGCGTAGCCGACCAATCCGACGAGCACCGACCACTTTGGAGTGATGATTTCGACGATGGGAGTGGCGACGAAATGGCCGAATGTGAAGATGAGGTAGGAAATGAAGGAGCTGTAGTAGCCGGCGTGCTCGCTGATATTGTGCACTTTCGACAGCTTCTCGACGATCGTCTGGGCGAGCGCGGCTGAAATTTTCTTCTTTTTGACGCAAAAATGTGCTGAAAACTCACACAGCGTGTAGAATGGAAAAGAGTGGAAGAAGAATATGGTGCCGAGCTGACAAATGTTCCGCGTCGCCTTGGATAGTCCGAGCATGGCGGCGCCGGTCAGTGAATGACCAACAAATGATCGAGAATCGGCCCCGATCTTGTCTCTTTTTACCAATTATTTCGAAAAAGGAAGTCGTCGAGACATTGGAAATTGCGAATCAATCGTTACACAAGGTGTCTGTGTGTCTGCGTCACCGCCGCAGTACACACTCTCTCTCTTTCTGCCCCCGTCTCACAACGTGATTTTCGCCCTTGTTGTTCTTATCATATTAGTTACTGTTATTGTGACTTTCGCTGATTAGACTCAAGATTACATACTTTCGTGTTTTTGAGACCGACCGAAAGACAAGATGTGGTTGAATGAACTCTTGAGTTTTATACTCTCTTCAACAGGAAGCAAACACGGAGAATTACTCGTTGGCGAGTTTGGAGATGGCGGCGGGGTCCATGCGGAACGTGTACCATCCCTCCACCTTCGTCAAATTCACATAATCGGCCGTGTCGTAGAGCGCAATCGCGTCCTTATTCCAGTCCAGAACCACCCACTCGAGGCCCGAAAGTCCGTTGTCGTGAGCCAGTTGGGCGAGCCGTTTCCAGAGAGTTCTCGCGAGTCCACGTCTTCGGAATTGGGGCCGCACGTACAGATCCTCCATTCGAATGTACTGACCGCCCCACGTCGAGTAGGCGTAGTAGTAGAGATTCATGCCGGCCACTTGATCTCCGTCGAACGCGATGAAGCCTGGAAGAGGAGGTTGACACAACTTTGCAATTGATCTTTACGCTTACCATGAACACTCTTGTTCTCAATGTCCTTTCGCAACTTTTCCGGTGTGTTTGCCACGAATTCCTTCATTTTTTCATACTCGGCGAGCTCCTGAAAGCTATCAAAATAGTTCCTCTCATTTTTCACTCGTTTCACTAGACGGTTGAGTTTGATCAAACATCACAATATCATCTCGAAAGTCGAGACAATCAGACAAACGGTTTCGATCAAATTCAATCTCTAAGCGTCATAAACACTCACATAAATCATGTCCATGAGTTGTTCGGCGTGTTCCGGCAAGATGTCGATGATGTTGAACGACTTCATGACCACTGAAACCGATGAAATGTTACGGAACCCAACGTGGTTATCAACAATGGAAAACGGATGGGATCGTTGTAATAATCAACTGGTTTTGTTGCCTCGCGGGGGCCTAAATGCCTAGTCACAAAGGCGTTATATCAGAACACAAGGCCAGAATGTTAATATAATATCAACCCGGAAATTTTGTTGGAAGTTGGTCGGATACACACGCAAGACCGTGTTCCACTTTCTCGTCTATGCGTCTGTGGTGAGGTTTGAAAAGTCTGATTTGTCAAATCTGACGGGTATCCTAAAAAGTGTCCATGTACAAACTGAAATGGAAACGAGTGAGGGGGGTGGAAGCAGAAGAACAGTTTGCTTGAACAATGACTGATCGGCGGCGGGCACGGAGAAGTGATCAGAAGAGAAATTGAGTCACAGCGTCGACGTTTATCATTGGAGCGCACTTGCAGCGCACGCGCGGGCGATTCTAGCGTTCTTCCGCGTGTAAAAATTGAACGGCGTCAATTTTTACGGTCATTTTGAGCACACACAGAGCCAAATCGGTGCAGCCGTCGTGTTTTCTTGGGCAACGGAGAGAGAGAGAGGAAGAAGGTTCGGACGTCGTCCCGTAAACTGTCGGCTGCTGATTAAAATATTGTGCACATGTTGATCACGTTTTTATATCACCACAGACGGGTTTCTTCGATGCAGAACTTTCAGATGTGCGGGCCTCCAGTACACGGCGGCAACTCAAATATTCTCGGTGCTATTCGCGGCCACTTGGAAATCCAAGAGGTTCGGAAGTTTGAGACCCAAGTATTGACTCAGAATATCAAATCACCTTTTTGTTGTTAAAACTTTTGTGCTCCCCAATAAAGTTGTTCTCTTGATGCAACCAGTTGGCTGTTAGCGGCCAAGCATGATATTCCTTCCGCTTCGTGCACCGTTCATTAGTCATCCGCAATTATTTGTCGAGCATTATCTCCAGATGTTTGTTCTCTGGTTGCCTAGTAAGTTTGCAACTTCAACAGACGGGCTGAGACATAGTCTCGAGCGCCGACACTCGAGCAAAAGCATATGGAATCGACGCAGCAAGTAAATAATCTGAAACAATCTGGAACACAGCGAAGAGTGGCGAGAAATCGTCGGATACCTGATGAGTATAAGCCCTCCAAATCTTGCCGGATTCAGATAGGAGTTGAAGTCTTCTTCTTACTGTGTATGTGACTTGTCAGAGAATGTATACGCATCGAAGAGCTCTCGAAAAAGAAATTAGAGCGTTGATGAGAAACGGGAGCACAACTGATCACGACTATTTTCGGACACGAAACGTTCAGTTTATTATGTCAAAGTGATAATAGTGCTACTCTTCGCTTTCTTCAACGTAGTCGTCTTTCTCACAAACTTGGGGTGCACTTCCGTTTGAAAATAGAGAATGACGAAGCCGTCGAATGCGTGGATCGACAGCAGCGACATTGTGGAAAAGATGAAACTGAAGTAGACGTCGGAATTGAGACCGACAATCAGTTGCCAGTTGATGATATCCACCAGATGCAGACAGTCCTGGGTCACACTCTGAAAGTTGGCATTCTTTTAAAAAGAATTGCTGAGAATCGAAAAAAATAAACCTGAGTGAACATGCGGTTCCTTCTTTTCCTTCTGCTCTTCATCGCGTGCGTCGACAATCCGCCCACCTTCTCCGAGCACAATTTCAAAAGAGTTGTGAGATTGAGGGAATTCGACAATAGCTCCAGACAAACGATGCTGATCGTGTTCGCGTTTTCGACGTTTGTCGCACAATCCGCACGCTTATAGGTCAGCCAAACCCAGAGATAACGTTGTGGATTGTAAAGGAAGCCGCACGACACTGAAACACACTTTATTTCTTTCGTAAAGCGCTAAAAATGTATGAAACTCACACGGGATCATTCCTCGAATCGTGAAGAACAGTGCGACGATGAGCACGACGACGAGAAGACCGTTGATAACGATTCCGCCGCGAATCGGCGGTTTGTAAAACGGGAAAAACATTGCGAACCATCGATTTGTGGCGACCAGGAACAAAATGCACGGGCCAGCAATGTAGGCGCCATACGCGATCGTCTGGCCTATGAGTACGTTCGGGAACACGGGTAGATCCGCCATCGACACTTGAAAAGTGGACAATGGGGCGGACCAGAACAGAAAGCCCGCACACACGAGCATATTCGGAACGGTCTTGGCCACACAGAGCTTTGTGAACGCGTGCGCGCTGCCGAATTTGGGCAATAGTTTGAGGAAGAGATAGAAGTTCACTAGGAAACCGGAGGAGCTGACTAGAAAGAGAGCGGTGACGGCGATGGCGACCAGCATTGGAAGAGAAAGAAGAAGAAGAAGAAGAAGTGAAGGGTTTGGAGCCGTCATGGTGCATCTATCATCACGCATCGAAGAGTTTTGAAGGGCTGAAGAGCGTAGATCATGGAGAAAGAGACATAGAGAATCAACATCATCGGTTTAGCAGCAAGTAAGTTGAAGGCCTAAACTGATACTGTTCTAGATACTGTCCAACCCATGCAAAACTGAAACTATACATACAAATTCGTTGACTTTCCGCTCATTTTCGACACAGTTTATCATTGTTCAAATGTCGGAAAGTCCGAAATGTCCCCGACATCTTTACTCCCCAAGAACATGTGTGCGGAACAAATTCCGTTCCGATTACTTTTCATTTCCGCTTGCCCAGTTTTCGAGCGCAATCTTTGAACTCAACACAATGAATATCAGTACGGAACCTCTGCAAAACTCTCCGAAAACAGCTTTCAATTCGGTTATTGTGTCGAGGAGATTGATTGAACTCATGTCAATCAAGCAAAAGTGATTAGTTCCTGGAGGACGGATGTCAACAATATCACGAAAAAAAAAACAACAAAATTTATTGAGTAATCAACCCGTCCACGTGATCGTTGCACTTTTGGATTTGCGGAAAAATTTCGGATGCACGCCCGTCTGGAAATAGAGAATGACGAAGCCGTCGAACGCGTGGATCGTCAGCAGCGACATTGTGTAAAAGATGAACTCCCACCACAACTCGTGCCTCATTCCCGCTATGAATTGCCAGTTGATGATGTCGACAATGTGCAGACAGTCCTGCGTGACGCTCTGAACATTTTGTTCAAAAGTTGAAGAGTCTAGTTGGATTTCTAGGCCATCTAGTTCAGATCACAGGTCAACTAGTTGAATTCAAAATGACATAGAAACAAAAAAACCAATCTCTCACCTGCATAAACATCCGCAAACTCTTCTTCCTGCGATTCTTCATCGCGTGCGTCGACAATCCGCCCACCTTCTCCGAGCCCAACTTTAGCAGTATCGTCAAATTGATCGAGTTGGACGTCAAATCGAGACAAATAATGCTAATAGTGGAGACAGTTCCGACCGCCGTCGGACACTCTAGCTCCTCTTGCACTAGAAAAGTCCAAAGAAACTGTTGGGGATCGTATAGGAAACCGCATGATACTGGAATGAAAGTGTTTGAGAGATCTGTGCTCCATACTGTAAAATTGATTGGAATAATTGGAAAGAAAAATTAAACGTTTCTTTTTGGTGCTATCAAAAAGTTGTCAACTAACAAATTGTTCTTCATAAAATCGAGTACATTTTGTTAGTTGACCACTTTTTCATATCTCTACTGGCAGCTGAGATACTTTGTTCTAAAGTTAAGAGAACGAAATGCGTTCTCGAACGGAGACAGGTGGAAAGAAAAAAACTCACAAGGGACCATTCCGGATATCGTGAAAAACAAGGCGATGAGGACGACAAAACAAAGCGATAGACGCGTGACCGAACCGCCACGGACCGGCAGTTTATAAAACGGGAAGAACATTGAGAACCATCGGTTGGAGGCGGTTAGAAACAAAATACACGGTCCAGCGATATAGGCGCCATAGCCGGTAATCTGGCCGATTAGTACGTTGAGGAAGAGCGGAAGACGTGGCTGAGACACTTGAAAAGTGGACAATGGGGCCGCCCAGAAGAGGAACGCCGCGCACACAATCATATTCGGAATCGTCTTGGCCAGACTGAGCTTCGTGAACTCGTTCGCGTCCTTCAGCCGTGCACGCATTTTGATCAGAATGTACAGGTTGACGAGGAAGCCCGACGAGCTTATGAGGAACATTACGGAGACTGCGATCACGGTGAACATATTGTAGCGTTTGAGAACTTTGCTCCTCTCAACAAAAAGACGTGGCTCTCCTCGTTTTCCTTCTTCCTCTTCTCATTCATTACGCATCGCAGAGCTCATATTAGGGCACAACTCATTGATTTGTTATAGTGGTAGTATGGTAAGGTGGCACAACTGAAAAAAGTGTTGAATTTAAGAGTCAGGTGTGTTTTGTTTGAGGGTTACTCGGAAATGTGAACAATGATTAAGCGGCGGCGGGAATCAGGAGCAATAAAAGGAAAGCGAACACGGGGGGGTAATCACGTTGGACACAATAACAAGCAATGCAATGATCTCTGCGCGATTATCGGATTATCGGGCAGCTCTCCGCGAATAGGAAGTGGGTTGATCGGAACGAAAAATAGGAATACGCACGTGACACGAGGTTGGAGTACATCTCGACAATCGCCTTTTCTTTGGACACTTATATCTTGAGATCCGATGAATATTTGAAAATGTGGTTAACTAGAAAGTTGTTGCAATTTTTATGCTCAACAACTTTGTAGTTGATCATTTTATTCGAAAACCCGTCATTCTTGAGTTATGGCCTTGACCGACAAGACCAGAAAAACTACATCGAGAAGTAGATTTCTCGTCGATTTGGAAAAACAGTTTAAAACTCGAAAACTAAACGATTTGAAAGAACATTATCAGGGTCAAATTTCCAGTTGACAACTTTTTGAACTGATGTCCGGTTTTTGAGATACAGGTCACAGAAGATGGACCCACAACAGCGCACCAGTCAAAATGACGTGTCGAGCAGTTTCAAGTCTGTACACGTGATGTCCGTACTCGTGACGCATTCTGTGTAGACAACCTTGTTTGCCATGCCACTGTTCGCAGTAGATTTGAGAGCATCAAAACATTAAAAGTCTGAAAAATGACAATGTTTTGCATCCGCCCCAATGAGTTTGAGATCAAGTTTCAATGACCTGAAATAGATGTGAGTGCAGAGAGCCACAAAGCGATAATATCTGTTAGACAATCTTTGCAATAACTAGGACGAGTTGTAGAATACCCAAGTACTTGTTAGGTAGACTCGACCGTCTTCCCACAGGCTGACTACGTGCGTGGCAAACAACCTCATTGATTAATCGATTTATTAAAAAGATTGAAGGAATTAAAGCAAAGCAAACACAAAAAACCCGTAATTAGCTCACATTTTGTACTCGTTTTCGATCTCCTCCACCGTCACCAACACACTCCTCGTCGTCAGCACCGCTCCCTTCTTTTCTTGATTCTTCTTCTTCTTCGTCGTCCTCGTCGTCGTAGTCGACGTCTTCTTCTCCTCCATCTCGGCAATCCGATCCTCCATCCGCTCGATGCGGCCCTCCAGATCGCCCTTCTCGATCGTCAGATCCATATTCCGTTGCCGTTCCTTCTTCAGATCCTCCTTCGCGTCGCTGAGCAGTTCATCGCGATTCTTGAGCATCGCCTGCAGAGCCGCCACCTTCCGCCTCAGCTGCTCGTTCTCTTTTCTCGCCGCCACGTCACTCGCGCCGATTCTCTGCTTTTCCGCGTCCGTTTTCGCTCCACGGTGCAGAGTTCGACGCGTCATTTCGCCTGCAAATCGTGGAATTTTTGTAGGAAACGGGAGGGGGGGGGGAGAAAGAAATCGAAGGAAAGGTGGGGAGAAAGTGGAGTGGACGCATACAAATGGGGGGAGGGAGACCACATTTGAATGCGCTAGCAGCGGTGAGTGCAGTGGAGCGCACTTGCGTGCCCTCCCCCCGCCTTGCCAGGAGGAGTGTGAGATGTGATCAATGGTAAAACAGCCGTTCATCGTTTCCTGCCGAAGCTTCCATTTCGGTCTGGAGACCACTAATTTCTGCTCTCTTCCCAACCAGCTGAACATTGAGGTTCAGCGCCACTTGCCGGCCTCAGTCAGTTGAGTCTTGAGCTCTCCAGAGTTCCTTCACCTCTTCACAGTCATTTTGCGTTTTTACGGATCCGTAAAAATAAAATTTTACGCCCCGGCACAAACATATCCCGCATAACACCTGTTCGACGATTCAGTCACATTACACCGAAAACTATACGGTTTGAACGAGTGAGAGATGACAGGGTATGGGAACGAGCCACATATTTATTAGTACTGAAGGCTTAGAAGTCATAGTTTTACTAGGAAAAGGAGAGGAATCGGTTTGTATGGCAAAAGGAGAGAAATGTACAATAGAAACAGGAACACTGAATCAAACCGATATTATGAGGAAACAATGAGATGACGTCTTCATCTTCCATCGGAATTCTAGAATCTTCTCGAATTGAACCTGAAATAGATCATGTTAGCACCTGAGATTGTGTCCAAACAAAACTCACTGAGCCGCGTGGAGTTGAGCAGCCATGTGCGCGAAATCGACTCTCGACCTTTTGAGCCACTGGTCCCGTTAGACAACGCAAGCCTGAGTCGCCGGTAGATGGGCCTTCAACGCTTTCACCCTGCCGGCTAGACGCTCGACTTCCGCCTTCACCCCTTTTTGGGCTTTCTCGACAATCTTCTGCTTCTCCGCCTGAAGCCTTTTCGCCTCCATCTTCACAAAATCAGAGTGGAACTTCTTGAGCTCATCGATTTTCTTCTCACAGACCGACAACTGATTCTTGTAGGTATTTGCTTCCACTTGCACCGAACCGAATTGAAGTTGCAAATGCTCAAGGCTCTGCCGATTGCCAACTCTGATCTCGTAGTTGTCCACGTCCGTGAGCCTGACTGTGAGCTTTTCCATTAGTTCGGCATGTTGCTCCTGCAACTCCTTCCGCAAACTATCCATGTTTTGCTCATTGATTGCTCTGATCTCGGAATATTCAGCCGTCGAGTAATAAAGTTTCGCTTTGAGCTGCTCCGTTTGCTCTCGAAGTTTATGCTCTCTTTCCATGGCCTCCTTCCGCAGTGTCATGGCTCGATCGGAGTGGAATTGCACGATATTTTCAGCTTTCTTCTTTGTCTTCTCCATGATTCGATGAACATTTCGGCTCTTTTCTTGAGCTGTCAGCAACTGGGCGTTCATCTGCTCCAGTTCTTTCTGGAAGCTCTTCACTTCCTGCTCGTGCCGTTCTCTCTCGATCTTCGCTTTCTTCTCGATTCGGACCTCTTCACTTTGCAAATAGGTCTGTTCAGAGCAGAGTTGGCCGTTCATCTGATTGCATTCTTTCACAAGTTCGCTATGCCGAGTCCTCAAGCGTCGCGAGCTCATCCCTGAGGCCTTGATTGCTATGCCTCGTCTCGACGATCAGCTTGTAGGCCCCGGCGCGATTCTCTTCGGCTTTTGCGAGATCGGTCTTCAACTGATCAATTGCCTGTCTGTTGATAGCGTCCACTCCGGCGTGTTCGGCTCTCAGCGCGGTGAGTTCTCGTTCGTTTGGGACTCTGAAATGAGATATGGTTAAAAATAGAGTCACACACTCTAAAACCCCACCTGTATAACTTTAGGATGGTTCTGATGATGACAACCTGAAATGAGAACAATTGGATGGATTCGAAACGAACGCCGAAATGTCCGTGTAATAGATGTGTAATAGAGGGCATTTGTAGAAGAGTCTTTTGCGCAATCGGAGACGAGAACACTACAAATCGGCCGGTAAACGTTCGAAAAACAACGCGCTCACAGCAGACGGCATGGTACGAGAGAGAGAGAGAGAGAGAGAGAGAGAGAGAGAGAGAGAGAGAGAGAGAGGGAAGAGAGGGTACTGGTCGTTAGACTATTGTAGGACTACTACACATCAGAATAAGGAATCTTGTTTAAAGTTGAACATCAGTCACAGTTCTTGAAGTCGGGCAAGTAAACCTTTGTAAATGACACAGGGAAATGATATAGTGATAAATCTAGAAATACCTCGTTGAGGGGGAAACGACCACCCGTTGCTTTTATATTACGGTCAGTCTGTTACAGCAATTGTAAGACATTAGCAGGACTGTCAGAACTGTAGATGAAACTAGTACATCTCCAGAATAAATCGTCCAATCGAACTGAAACATGGCGCCAAGATACTTAAACCCAAGTACCAGAAGCCGGAAAAGTTTAGAGCTTATTGGATTATAGCAACTCGGTTTATTCTTGCACACGAAGGGATCCGAGGAAAAGCTTGTATTTCTGATTTATTCAAGTGTCATTGCAGCATTTAACATTTAAAGAATGGCATGGTAGCCGATAATCACAATCACAATAGGCATTGATGGGAAAGATTGAAAGATTTCGGTTCGGAATTGCGGGGTAAACATAGTTCTACTCATCCTTTGGGGCTATTATGGAATCAATGGTTAGAAATGGTGTTTGTGGTAATTGAGGGGTAAGCATAAGCCAGGAGAGCACATAGTTTTCGGCTTTTCAGGAGAACGAGTAGGCAAACAAATCTCATAACCGCAAAGTTCTTTCTTTTTGAGTAAATCAATCGGCTTACACAATCACCCTGGCTCCCTCGCTACCGTACTCCTCGATGCACAACGAACAAGCAAGTGTGCCACGACATCGGCTCTCCGCCCATCGTCAGTTGCTGGATCTAGGCTCTGGTGGCGTAGAACACAAGTTGATTTGTCTGGCTGGAAATTGGGCTGCATCTACATAAATATCCGTGGTCCCTATGGTCATTGGATACCCGTAGACTCTAATTGTAGGTACTATCGGCTGCTGGATCGGCCGCATTTTCTTTCCTGAAAGTGGTCGAGGTGAAAAGAGTTGTACAGCAGGTGAAAATGATTGATTGGGCGGACCAATGAGATTCTTTTCAAAACGTGTCGCGTGTGTCGCCTGGCAACACATTTAAACCGCTCTTCAATAGAGCGAACTTGCTCTATCTTCTCGGAATTTATTGAGAAGACCGATAATAGAAGGAAAGAATGATGGATACGAAAATGATAGATTTTCGGGCGTTTCACACAATAGAAAGTATGTAAAAAGAAGTGAAAAAGTATTGTACATGTCTAAGACCAACTGCTCGCAAACTGTCGCCAGTACGTGCTCGTGTCGTTTCGGGTCCGGACCCGATAGTCCAACGGTCGAACACTTTGGGCGCCTGAGAATTTCCGACGAACTCCATACGGAATCACTTCGAGCAACTTGGTCTTCCACGGCCGAATCCGTGACACTGTCGATGGGATTATGAAGAGAGGGTTTCTGCAAGATATTGTCGTTATTTGGGGCGTTTTCATAAAGTCTATAACATTTTTTTTTTTTGACAAATAACACAACTTACAAATTCATAATAACCTCGGTGAGTTGTAGCCCAATCCTATGCATTGATCTCGGTAAAATTTGCGAAAAAACCAGGGCTATCAGAAGAGCGATCACTAAAAAAGCGACGAGCGCGACAACAGTAAGACGACGGACCAGCTGAAAACTTTCAGCCATTCAACGTTTCTTTCTTATAACAATACCTTCAACGACTGTAAATTCTCGCGAGCCTGGAACCGCTTTCCCAAATGGTATCCGTACCGCCGGTGCTGTCGTTCCAATCGTCGCGTCACCGACGAATTGTAAGTGTACAATATCGTAAAGGTCTTCAAAACAAGCGTTTTTTACCAACCAAACGCATGACTTTAACTTACGCTGACTGTGACACTGAGGACTATGGCGAGTGTGAGCAAGATTTGAAGATACGAATAGTGCCATTGAATGGTTCGATAGGAAACGAGTATGGAGAATGCGTGCGAGGACAGCAGCATCGCCGTCGACACGTACACTCGCGGGTGCTTCTCGTATGTTCTGTAGGGAAAAACAACAATTTGTGAATGAAGCACTTGACATATTCACTAATTCTGAATTCAATTTTGAAGTCAGCTGATCGGAAATGTGCTCGAGCGCCACGTGGCAGTTCACAAGGTCGACACCGGGTCAGTTACACACTAATCAAATCAAGAAAACATAAGGCTCTAGACGAAATACATTTTTAGGCCCGAACTAACCGAATAAAGAGACTTGCGATGAGCCTTTCGATGACGACCAACGGAATCACGAGGGAAATTGACAAAATGTAATGGGTCCGTAAAAACCCGCCGATCAGAAGGGGTATAAACGTGACGGACACTCGGACAACACCGCTTTTCGCGTCTGGAAACTTGTCGGGTGGTATTGTCGTGGCGAGACGCCCTTAGACACTAACCTTCAACTACAGTATCCCTGATGGCAATCCATCCCTCTTGATATGGAATTATGAGCAGTCTGGCAACGAAGCACTCGAACCACTGGCCGAGAATTGAGATTAGGATAATAGTTAGGTTGAAGTGAAAAATACGCGTTTGGCACGCGATTCGACAAAACGAATAGGTCAGTATCAGGCTCGGAATTAGGGAAATTAGTTCTAGAATTCTGAAAATCTCAATAATTTTGAATTAAGGCCCAAAAAAACTCTCACCGAATAGTCCAGTAGAGCAAATCGGAAAAGTTCTCGAAAAGTGGCATCGTCCAAATGGGAAAATAGATGACGGTGACATTGTGCAAATCTAGACGCATTTACCAATTTTTCGAGTGAGTGTGCAAAAAAGAGAAAAAACGCGTTGACAGAGCTGGCAGGTGAATAAAAACATTAGCGGAAGTGGCGGAGGGAGGGTAATTCGTTTGTCAGCCTGCCTTTATTCGGTTTGATAGCGAAATCAACGGAGCCAGTGCAACTTCTACCACAACTTTTTCAACTGCTCGAAATGAAGATCGGCCAACGAGTGACGTGGCGAGAAATGGCGGCGGCCCGTCGTGTGCTCCTGCGAGTATTTTGCGGCCACGTGCGTACGGTTGTGACGGCCCGGCAGCAGACGAATAAACTTTGTGAGCCAGTGCGGCTGGACACAGAACACTGCCGTGCAGATGAACATCGGATTGCTGCAAGTCGAACAAACTTCCTCAAGACTTTACCAATTCCGTGTCCGGAACAGAGATGTTGGGAATAAACATTTTACTCTACGGAACACGGAACACGGAAAACGGAACATTTTTTTTTTTACGGAACACGGAACACGGAAAACGGAAAAAGCTTATTTCTACGGAACACGGAACACGGAACACGGAATTTTTTTTTTACGGAACACGGAAAAAAGCGTTTTCAAGAGAATTCCAGTGATTTTTTTTAAAATAATGTTTTGTTTAATTCGATTATCTGACTGACAAGGCAGCTGTTTGACTCATGTGAAAGTCTTACTGCAAATTTCATAAAAATAACAAAACCAACAACACAACAGTAAACAACTACAGTAAAAAACGACTGAAAATTGAATCCACTTTTCACGAATATGGTCCGAATCCGAAAATTTTCAAATTTTGACCACAAAACGTCAATTGTCCTAATCTTTCCGGAGATAAATTTGTGATCGAATTTTTCCGCGGAAAATATAGTTTATACGGAACACGGAACACGGAAAACGGAAAAAAACTCATTTCTACGGAACACGGAACACGGAACACGGAAAAAATATTGCAAAAAAACGCGGAACACGGAACACGGAACACGGAATTCCCAACATCTCTGGTCCGGAAGACGGAAAACTCACACATGCATAAACTTTTCGATGCCGACAAAAACGAGCACGATGAGTTCGGCGGAGATGAGGTTGAGCCACGCGAGCACGATCGTCACCGCCACCGTAATGATCATGACTGCCACGTGGACGATGACCACGTGTATTACCTGACAATATACTTATTCAATGGGGGTTGACGGTATCGACGAACCTTGAGGGATCGAAAGTTTTCAGTGAGTTGAAATTTGACAGAAAGACTGTAGAAACTTGCGTTGTTCTGACACTTTGTCTCGTACCGTTTTGTGAACGATTCGATCGATCGGAAGCACTGAAATCGAGAAAAATACGATTTTAGAAACAGTCAAGCCTACCACGTAGGAAAAAGTCTGTAAGAGTGCGGCGGTGACGGCCAGAAAAAGAGGTGAAACGATCTGATAGGTGGTAGCCCAGGCGCCCAGAGTTGCCAAGATTTCCGACAAAAGTATGGGCGCCGCAGAAATGTAGCCACGCTTTTTCTGCTCGTAATCTCTGAAACAGGCCGCCGATGCACCATACGTTAGGACAATCTCACGTGACATGCCACGTGGCACAACATCGTTCGACTGCGATGCACGGCAACGCGAAGCACACCAGCAGCATGTAGCGGATCCGAGCGCCGGCGCCGACCAGCATCGGCACGACGCTCTTCAAATCGGCGACGTGGATGACGTCTTCGTCGAAAGTGTAGTGAAGTAAGCATCCGGGACGGGGATCGGAGACGTTGAGCGGCACGAATCCTTCCTGGTACGGAGTTAGAAGCAGTTTCGAGGCGAGCAACTCGAACCAGTGCAGCATGAACACCGAGAAGATGATGGTGATGTTGAAGTGGAATAGTTTCGTGTATAACGCCATGTAAACTGTGAAAATCTGCAAAAACAGGAAATATTTTTTGCGTGACCTAGTAGCACTTACCAGAAAACCGCCGCAAACAACAATGAGCAAGCCCTCGAGCACTTGAACTCCGCTATAGATCCACTCGTATGCCGATTCGACGCCACGCGATTTCAGATAGAAAATCGCCAACAAAATCGGTTCGGAACGTCCGTCGGTGATGTACATTTGTGCGGAAAACAAGGAAACAAGTTTGACGACAGCGTGCTTGAACTTTTTGAACCTGTAGACAGGTGAACTGAAATTATTCATCAATTATACATTTGGATCAATGATCGACTAATCGGACCAGAGCGCGACAATTTTTTTTGTAAATTTTTATAAGCTAGGCTAATGCCGGGTTTTAGGCAGGCTCGCTCGGCTTCGCATGGTACACAGACAGAGTTGAGCGGAAATGGAATTTTGAATTCCGGAAGACGGAAAACGGAAGACGGAACAAAAAAAATCGTCAATGCAGAACCTTTTCTCCGGTTTTTTTTTTGAAAAAAACAACTAAACAACAAAAATTTTGGATTTTTTTTTGGCCCGTGGAAATTCGCGTTCTTTGGGGCTAGTAAATGGCTTCTGAAAAGCTAGTACTCTTCTACGGTAAGAAAAAAAAATCCCGGAAGACGGAAGACGGAAGACGGAATTCCGCTCAACACTGGTACACAGACAGATTGCAACGGACGAAATATGGGCCAAAAATGGCCCATCGCTTCATCCATCGGAGAAAATGGGCGTAAAATGGGCCGATGGGTAATCGATGGTCTATTCTAGAGGACCTTGGTTGTTCCTCGGTCGCAAATCGATGATCCATATTTCGTCCGTTGCAATTTGCCTGTAGTACGCAGCAGAATTGAGCGGAAATGGAATTTTGAAATCCGCGGAAGACGGAAGACAATTTTTTTTACGGAACACGGAAAGCGGAAGACGGAACAAAAAATCTACGGAAGACGGAAGACGGAATTCCGCTCAACACTGGTACGCAGGTGGCCGAGTTGTAAAAGGCGCACGCGGTGCGGTTTCTGTTTTGTCCCGTCTGTCTTTTAAAGACAAACAGACTCTTGTGTTTTTATGTAAAAGAGAACGAGGTGCACGCTTTTTTGTATGGAAAGTAAAAACTCAAATGTAAAGAAACTTCCGCCCAAAACTAGAGAGAGACTCGAAAAGGACTATAATTACGCAGGCGGTGCTTTCGCGGAAAACTTTCAATCGGAAATGTCGAGCGAAAAAAGTGGAATGCTTCAAAAATCACGAATGCGACGTGCCTCTAATGAGGAGGCCGAAACGAAAAAAAAAGTGATAATGAGATCGGGACGTTACGAAAATGGGTAAAATATGATGTTAGCGGGTCTCGTCACTGCCAAAAAACAATGCGTCGTTGATTTGTTTTTCACAGGATTCGTGTCAGCAAAAGTCCAAACAATTTGTGTGCGTTTTGAATGTTTGACTTTGAAAAAAAACTCAAACTGATTCCGAGAATGTTCCGTTAGGGGCTATTAGCAAACATTTACAATTGTAAACACATTTTCAGCAGTTCTCGGAAAAAATCTGGGAAAAAAAACGAGGCTGCTACTGAACGTCGGTGTTTTTGTCTGCTATTTGCGCAAGAGCAACTCAAAACACGCATCAAAAACCGGTGTTTTCATCATTAGAATCGATTAGAGAAGGTGTCGGAAGTCGGAACTCGGAAAGTGTCACATTCTCGTGCTTTCTTTCAATACAATTGCATCAATACATCCATAAGCGGTCGAAAATCTGTAGGATCAACATAAATAAAGTCTCTGAGCACAGTTGTTCCGTTTATCCGCTTGAGAATGTACTCCTTCAAGGCCATCTCGAAGGCTTTGTTCTGACCACATGGTGCATCTCTCACAATTAGCAAATCTCGTGAAGTGGCCTAAATTCTTGATTTAATGCAATTTCTCTTGAACTTACATATTTGAGAATATAGGAGAACTCTTTGAATTCGCTCAGCTTCTCACCCCATACAAATATTATCAAATCTGAAAGAAAACACTTCTAGGAGGCCATATTGTCCACTTACAATTCAGTGTGGAGAAAGTTTCATACTTGTCAGCACTGGTCCGAGTTTCCAAGTGGAAAATGCGATTCCCATAGTCATAGACTAGTCTGGAGCGCTAACGTTTTGTGAGAAAAGACAACAATATTACTTGGCAGCGTCACCGCCTGTACATCGTCTTCCGGTCGAATTGAACAGAAGCCAGACGTGAAAGTCGTTGATGGCTGGATGACCGAATTCTGGACAATTTTTGGCAAATTTGAACGTTTTTCCGAAAAGAAAATACCGTATAACTTTAAATTTCGCTCAAACTCTAGATTGGTTTCATTTGTGAACTTTGGCAATTGCTTTGAAATGTCAATTGAGCCAAAGTCGTGAAGTGTCACTGAAAAGGCTACTGTAGCGGCAGGAGAAGCACTATCGTTATGAAAATGTTTGAGTGAAAAGTTCATGTCTAGTACGGTATTTTTGTAGTTGATCACATTTCTCTACGATTCCTCTCTGGTCTACTGTAGCTCTTGGAAGTTGGCCCACTTTTTAAGTGTCTTTAACTAGTCCCAACTTCCAAGCGCTACAATAGTCTTAGAAGTGGTTGTGAAAAAAAGTTGTCAACAGCAAAGTTATAGTACTAAACAACACCTTCATTTTTGCAGTTGACAATTTTTTTCTAGGACCACTCCCTGGGGTACTGTAACTCTTGGAAGTTGAGTTACACTTCAAGTGCCGTGAATACGGTCAACTACAAAAGTACAGTACTAGACATGTACTTTTCCGAAAAAAGTCACCAACCGGGCTCTGTCAACCGTATTTCCTTGATTTTTCGGGCAATCTCTTCAACTTTCAGCCGGTCACTGTAGGTTACCGGTTTTTCAGGAATAAGTACTCGCAAAAGTTCTTGTTTGCACCCTTCCAATCCTTTTTTCTCATCCTCCATTCTCGTGAACTTTTCCAAACAATATTTGAGTTGATCGGCACAAAGATTGACATGTTTTCGCTTAAATGACTTTTCCAACTCGTTCAGTTGGCTTCGAAGATGCGCAAACGAACGGGTGATCTGTAATATAGTTGGAATTTTAGAGAATTTTGAGAGTAAAACCGTACAATTTGATGTCTTTCTTCAAATTCTCGAGATTGTCGCTTCCAACACGCGGATTGTCTGAAACACGTTCAAGTGACCCAAACAAGTGAATCGATAATAGTCCACTCCATCAAAGCCGCATTTCTCTCCTTCAGCGTTGCCTGTTTCCGTGCGTGCGCGTTCGACGTGTCATTTAAAAAGCTGAAAAAGTCTGCCTTTTCCTTTTCAGTCAAAACTCTCAATGTTGAATCCTCTGGAACGGTCTGAAAGGGGTTACTGTAGAAATGTTGATATTGTCCATTTCATTCTTCTCACATTCGCCTCCTCAATCACTTGAATGAGCGCAAAGTTTCGCGCCAACTGGTTGACGTCGTAAATTTGAACGTTTTTGGTGCAAAATGGACATTTCAGACAAGTATTTGACAGTATTTGCTGGGCGCACGAGTGGCAGAGAGTGTGGTAGCAGGCTAAACTCTCAAAAGGTGTGAGGAAATGTGTTCGACTCACGTAGAATCCGCGGAATGCGTCTTTCATCGTGCGCCGAATAGTTTTCAGTGCAAATTGCGCATTTTGGAGCGCCCATTTTGAGTAGAATGGAAAAAGAGGGGGGAAGAAACGAGAAAAGTGATAAAAATGTTTGTTCCGAGGCGATCCTTATCAGTTGGTTTGTGGAATTAGTGGAACAAGACTAGAGCTTTTTGAGTTTTGAGTTTTTGGGTTCCAAAAAAACATCATTTAGTCGTCAGCCGTCCGAAGTCTGTGATTATCCTGTCTGTCGGCGTCCGTTTTCTGATGTTTTACGAGCACTTTTCATTTTTCTCGTCTCAGACATCTCTTCTCGACGAATTCACCTGCCGAGTATACGAAAACATGGCAGACGCAGCAGCGGAACACACAATATCGCTATAAATCTATCGACTTTTCTCGTTCCGTCTGCTCAAATGGCAAATGAGCTCAATTCGAGTGTTGAGCAACTTTTACAAGAGGTTAGTTCGCAGTTGAGCATGATCTGATGAAAGTTGGACTATGATTTCGTTGCAGTGCTCCTCGACGCTCCACTTCGCCGCCTTCCACGCGAGTCTCCTCTTCCACTCGCTCGTCGCCCTCGCCTCCTTCTTCGCCATCTTCCACTTTCTCGAGAAACACATTAAAAACTCGCCGATCCACAAAAGTTTCAAATTCCTCATAGTCGCCTATTTCTTCAATCGATGCATTCATGGAGTCGTGTTCGTCACTGCGGCGGTAAGATTTCACAGAACACTGGGAACAATTGGATTCATGTTGGCAGACATCCTTCTGGTACCGATTTGCAATGTTCAGCGACGACGTCACCGACAGTATCGCAATGGAGCCCGGCAATTACAAGTACCTCCATTTGATTTACGCCCTAGTTCAGGTGACCGATGTCACTATCAAGGTGCGCTCGCTTTTTTAGGCCTATTGTATCCAATTTTCCACTTTTTTCCGATGCTTCTCGTTCTCGAACGATTCAGGGCGACGAGTCGAGTGAGTCGCTACGAAAAAGAGGCGTCGTCCGCGGCGAGATCGATTCATTTGGCTATTGTCAGTCTCGGGTTTCGGTAGTTTGACCTGGCTTCCCCTGTTCCAGATGCTTCTTTGTCCGATCAGTGTAGTATACTTATCGTTTCGGGGCGCTGATTTCGATAATAGTCCCGGATGTTATGCATTGTTCGCTCCCAGAAATACAGTGTACTGGGTGAGTTCGTCGGACCCTAGTGACCATAGTCCTGGACAGTTCTCACCTATTTCCGGCCATTTCCAGGTCAACATCCTCTTCGTAACATCCCTCCTTCTCACAATTCTCTCCTTCGTCCTCCTCAGATGCCTCATCCTCCTGAACAGCAAAAAACTGAAAATGTAGGTCCAAAAGAAATCTCGAAAAGAAAACTGGGCAGTTGCAGCCACCACTTCCAACTGACGACTCGCTACCAAATCCGCGAGAACCTCACCTGTACCCACCTGATCTCCACCGTTCTCGTCGCCAGTCTCGCCGTCTCCATTCTCTACGCCGCTTCCATGTTGGTCTTAAGGACGGCGCACTTTCAAGTTTTCATCGACAACCGCCCGCTCTTCAGCACTGTCAAACTCGCGCTTTATGTAGGCACACATGCATGAAAATGGATATTATGCATTCAGTATTTCAGCCCATGCCCCTCGCCGATTCGATAATTCCAATGTACTCGGCAAGTCAGATGGACAGGACGAAAAGCGCCAAAATGTGCTCGTTGAAGAACGCAATTTCCACGGCGACCTCTGTCAAAAAGTCGACGGATGCGTATGAGCGAATTCTGAGGGCTCAGTGGGCTTAGGTGCGTGCGGTCAAGCGTACTGGTTTGTGTGTGCCCGTCCGGCCGTCACATTCTGACCACATGTGGACTTCCTCCTTATCACCGCACATACTCACATTTTTTCGTATAGAAAACGGAACTAAACGAGATGAGCAACGTAATTTCGATTGGATTGGTAAGTGAGGAATACAGGAACCGACTAACCGCCCCCACTTTTCATCTTCAGTGCCTCGATTCCCTCAACTACACGCCCTCCCGAGGCGGTCTTCTCTTCCAATGCGCCGCCATTCTCGGCTCGTTCGTCTCGATGCTCCACTTTTGCCGAAAACACGTCAGACACTCGCCGGTGCACCTCAACTTCAAACTGCTCCTCGTGCTCTACTTCATCAAATGCTACGTGCATGGATTCGTTTTCCTGTCGGCCGCCGCCAACTACTATTATCGGCAGCTCATTTCCGGCGACGGCGCCCCTGAACACGTGTTTGTGAGTCGCGAGTTCTACAAATACGTTCATTTGATGTACGCGACGACTGTACACGCGGATCCGACGATCAAGGTGCGTGCGGGGGCAGTCGGCCGATGCACCATTCTCCTCGTTTTCAGGTTCTGCTAGTCATCGAACGAACGTGGGCGACTTTCCGGGCGAGAAACTACGAAAATGAGTCTTCGCGGTGTGTTCGATGGCTTTTTGTCGTGTTTGTAAGCGAAAGAAAGCAGTTCGGATTGAAATATGAGTTCAGGCATTCATCTACCCAACATCTATGACATTGTTCGCCTATTGGAACGCCGACTTCGATAGTCCCGCCTGTTTTGCACTTTTCACACCGGACGGCACCATGTTAGGGGTGAGCTTGGCGCCTAATTTTCAGAAAAATGACCCGGTTTTGACCCCACGACCCACTTTTTCCAGGTAAACGTCATGTTCATAATACAGATCGTCACATCGGCTCTATCGATTGTCTATGTCAAATACCTCATACGCCTAAACACGCGGAAACTGGAAAAGTGAGTGCGTTCGCTCGCAGCAGTCCTTCGAACTTTCGGCGTTTCAGTCAACAATTCCACCTGACCACCCGCTACCAGCTGCACGAAAACCTGTCGTGTACGCATTTTCTGTCGACGGTGCTCGTCAGCAGCTTCTCCGTCGCCCTCTTCTTCGGCGTGTCCACGTTGGCTCTGCGCGTGGGACCGTTCGACGGTTTTCGAAACAACCCGCCGTTTTTCGCGTTTCTCCGCATGGCCATCTATGTGAGCGCTTTGATAGTGGGTAGATGAGCCGCAAAATGTTTCAGCCGATACCTCTGGCCGATTTGCTTATTCCGATTTACTCGGGCAATCAAATGAAGAGGGAGCGAACTGTTAAAATGATTCATTTGAATGAGGCGATCAAAAACTCGCCGGAAGTCTATGATAAAATGTTGAAAGCACAATGGGCTTGAAGATTAACTTTTATAAATCATCTCAATAAATAGTTGTTGTTGCTAGAGATCAGTTTATTCGAGAACAGCTTGCAAAAGGTACATCACAGCGGCCGATATCAGCCCGGATACCGGTATTGTCAGAATCCAGGACAAGAACACATATTTGACAGTTTTCCATTTGAGTATCGGGCCCGAGCGGACCAGGCCGAGGCCGAAGATTGAGCCGACGAGGCAGTGCGTCATGCTCTGCGGGATATTGTAGATGTTGGTGGCGAGGGCGCAGATTGCCGCGCCGAATTCCACGGAGAAACCGCTGAAAAGTGGGATTTTGCAGCACTTTTTTGTAGACGGTATTACTGTACTCACGTGGCCGGATTCATCTTCGCGAAATCCTCTCCGACAGTGCGAATAACTCGAATTCCGAGCGTCCAAATGCCGAGCAGAACGGCCAAAGTGGACAATAGTCCAACGTAGACAGTGATCTGAACACTCCGTTTGTTTTTCTGTTTTCCGGTTGACACTCGGCACATTCGGTGGAACTGGGAACACTTTCGCATGCGTTCCGGGCTGTTCCAATGAAAAAGATGTCTCCCTATGGTGCATCGATTAGTCACCCAAAAATAGATCACACTGTTGCGGCTTTTTCCGCTTTTCTGCATATTTTTGCTAATTTCCATTCTAATTTCCTCTTTATTGTGAAGCGGAAGAAAAGAGAGTCTAGACGGTCAAAAGGGTTTCGGCCGATGCACCATGGACACTTTGCAACCAACAAAGGCATTCTGGTTGGTTACAAAGTATTCACTGACTTGGGCCGATGCACCATGCCCTAAGGCCACATTGCAATCAAAATATTACTTCACCAGTTCGGCCGATGCACCATAACCCAAAGACCAACGTGTGGCCGGCCGATGCACCATGTGGCCCCTCCCCACTCACATTCAACTTGGTGTTATCCTCCTGATATCCGTGGTTGTACATACTGATCAAATCTCTCATCGGCGCCACGCAATTCCTAAAAAAATTTTTGCGTTTTGATTAAAACGTCTTGTTTTTCCAGGGTTTTCACATGCGACACCGCCCGTGTTTTGTCTGAGATTTGCGGAACAAAAAGCATGGAGGTAAGTTTTTGCAGGTGCGCTTATCACATTTGACGTTTTCATTATAATGTGCCGAAATTTGATTACGGGTGTTGGAAGTGGTTTTCCGAGGGCAAATTGCCGTTTTCTCACTCGTTTTTCGCTGTTTTTTGATCTCCCATTGGAAACTTTTAATAAATCTACAATATCAGTACTTTGACGAGCTCAGACTTGACTGAAATTGATCGGATTCACGCCAAGCCCGAAAAATAGTGTCCACATTCACGCAAAGTGCTGATATTGTAGATCTGTTCATCCAAACACTTACGTAACATCGTTGGCGCCGTGCGCAAAGCCCGCAAAACAGGCGGTCATGATTTGAAGGAAGGAAAAGAGGCGGACGGCCTTCTGATCGTCGTTTCGCAGCGGCGGAAACGCCCAGTAGACCGCTTTCCGCAACCATCCGCGCGGACGAATCGGAAACGAGTACGAAAGCGAACTGGCGATCCGCGGCAGCTCCGTCGACGTTTCTGGACGATTATTCGGTTGCGAAACGGGGCGGGGGAGTGGTTGCAAAACGTACTTTCCAATCTTCTCTTCATAATGGGTCCCGTCACGAAGAGCGCCAGAAATCCGGAAAGAACGGCGAGCAGGAGAGAGACGGCGATTGTGTAGAGGAGCGGAATTTCGTCGAAATGGAACACTGAAAGTGTCGATTTATAGACGGATGGATAATATTTGAAACTGACCTCTACTTCCATCCTGTAGAAACAAGAGAACATTGGTGAAGACCACGACCGCGTAGACCACTGGTAGCAGGAATAGACCCGTTTTCACGGGATTTTTCTGGAAAACCGGATATTTTTGTCAATTTTTAACATTTTTGAGTTGTCAGCAAGAACAAATTAATAGATAATGTCATGCTCTTTAACGTGATTTTTGTCTTGTTTGAACGGCACTCAGTAAAATGAGTATATCTTGGCCTAGAGACGCTATCTTGAAAAATGCTCAACTACGAACCTGTTCAGCATAAAATTCTCTTTCGATTCGTTTTTTAAACGTCAAAAAATATCGAAAACTGGCAAAGATACGATGCGTCAAAACTCACCGCTCTCAAAATGGTGACATCGATGACGAAAAACGTGATCATCGAAAATATCGCCGAAACGACGGGCGATAGGATCCAGACCAACGCGACCCACGCGACACGTTCCCAAATGATTCCACGGACTCCGCGCAGCACAAACGAGAAGCCCATCGTGGCGCCGAGCAGCGAGTGAATCGAAGAGACGGGCATACTGTAGAACGTGGCGATGATGAGCCACGTGGAGCATCCGACGAGCATCGCAATCTGCCCGATGACCAGCTCGTCGGGATTGTCGGCGTACGAGCTCGTGTCGACAATCTCGAGTGACTTGCCGAAGCTGCCCGTCAGTCCGGACGCCATCGAGCCCATCATTTCGACGACGGTGGCCAGGATGAACGCCTGGGTGACGGTTACGGTGCCCGTGCCGACAGACGTCCCGAACGCGTCGGCCACGTCGTTTGCGCCCATTCCGACGCCCAGCAGGAAGCAGACGCCGAACAGAAGCGACCATTGCACCACTTCCTAAACAAAGAGGCTCTAAGGATTACTGTAGTTGGACAAGGGGGGAGCTTACCAAGTTATAGTAGGGAAATGGTTTGTAGGGGGTGACGGGCAGCGGAATGGAAGTTGTGAAGACCAGCCGACTATTCAGAGCGTTCATCTTCCATTCCTGCACAAAAAAGTAGGTCAGTAGATCACGTAGAAATTAGGTCTAACCAAGGGCAAACCTTCTCAAAATTTCGTACTTTTCTTGCACACTTTGTTTGTGAGTAAGCGAAAAAGTGACCAATGACCAGCCACCCCCCGAACACACGGGAAAACGCGCAATAATATCGACTTCCCCCTTCCGTTTTCCGTGTCTGTGTGCATACAGTTCAAAGTGCTCGTCTCTTTGTGTACTCACTGGTTCGAACATTGCATACAAGCTAATGTAACATGACTCAACGGGGGGGAATGTACTGCATGCGAAAACCGGAAATAAACGAACAGAAGTGCAAGTTCAGATTCAAGAGATGACCGTCAAAACGTACCTGATCACCGACTGCTATTGTGTTTTCATCGCAATCCTCACAATCGTCGGCAATTCGTTGACGTTGTACCTGTTCTCCACGTGAGTATTGTCGTCGAGTTGGGTGCAAAGTCCGTGATTTCAGCGGACGACTGGATTCTCGCAGAAATTTGCGCATCATACTGTACATGGCAATGTCCGACATTGGGTTTGCCTCTATAAGTAAGTACGGGAAAGTGGGGTCCGTCTACAGTGGCCCGTTTTCAGTTCTCCCGCAAGTAGTCTACATGATAATGTACTGGGAGCCATTCAACGTGGATTACGATGCGATTCTGATGGCCGCCACCGGATGGCCTCTCCCAATGTTTCTGAAAATATGTCTAGGATTGAATGTGGGCGCTGCGAGCGAACGGATACTCGTAAGTGCCACACTAACGCGTACCTTAACTTCAATTCCCACATTTCAGGCGCTCTACTTCCCCATAACGTACCGCAAAGTGGACCATGTGAACTGCTCCAACTGGCTCATGTCCCTATCCATTCTCTTCGGCTCTTTCGACACTTTCCTCGCCGTTTTCTCGTTCCGATTCGAGCCTCGCCTCAACTGCTCCTCGATCGGTTGCTTCGTCCACTCGTACTTCCGTACCTACTGGGGAGCCTCTAATATGGTACCAGATATTATCCAATTCTCACAAAATTGTACGTTTTCAGGCGTTCGGCATCGTTATAGTCGTGATGAGTGTGTTTGTGTTTTTCAAAGTGCAAACGTTGGGACGGCACACCGTACTCTTGGGGACGACGCCGGCGGAGAGAAAGAGCACTTTGGTTGGTAAAGTGTGCATGAGTAGCTTCACTAAAATCCACAAAACCTAGCCAGAATTGATTCGTAAAGTTAATTTTAACGGAAAAAGGGTCAAAAATATTGTGGGTCTGCTCAATTTCCCACTTTCAGTCGACAACGCAAAAGTTCCGTCAGGCGAACCGAACCACATGCGGGGTCCTCGTCAGCTGCCTCTTCTGCCTCACAATTCCCTCTCTTCTCGTTTCGTTCATCGAAACGCTGACCGGATTTTCGGTTTTCGAAAAGATTGGCGCGTTCTACATCGCCTCCCTTCTTACCAGTGGTCAGTTTGCACAAAAAATTGCGGCGTTTAACCGAATAAGATGGATTTCTTGCAGGCTTCATGAACTGTCTCATCTTCCTCGTCCTGAATGGCTCGGTGAAGAGCAAGATTGACGCGCGGAGCCTTTCCGATACGATCGTCACTACCGTACTCAACTCCCGATCCAAACACACCACTTTTGTCGATTTGTCCTAGTCCTAGGTGATAATAAACTTTGAAAGCACAGCACAAAAACGACTCAACTCGCCACAAAGTTCAGTGAGTTGGAAAGAATGTTCTCTTCCGTTTTCTTCGATATTGTCGCCGTCTAAAAGTGGTCATTTTTGCATGAAATGAATTCTGAGAAACTCGGTGATTTGCTTATCACTCGGCTAGCCCCCGTTTGCCAAACTCACCTACTCGCACTGATATATTACACTCGTTTTCTACGTACTCAACGAAAAAGAATTAATTCGGTTTGAAAGGTGAGGAGGGATGTCGACGCAAGTGGCCGGAGGAACCAACAAACCGCTCAGGTACGACACACTTTTGTCAACTTTTTCTATTAAAGTGTCAAAACTCGGATGTGCTGTACTTTGTGTTTAGTTTTTGTCCGTTGTCTGAAACTATTTCCCGACCTCCTCGTGTCAACGGCTAGACTGGCTAGTCAATTTATGAAAAACGGATGAATGACTCACTATGAGGAACAATAAATCGAGTCACTTGGGAACTAGAGCGGCTGATGCACCATAACTATACAACTAGAGGATGTTTTTAATGGTTTTTCACGTCAAAATAAGCCCAAAGCTTGTAGCTATGAAGAGAAAACTTGCAAGAGCCTTAGAAACGACCCACTAAAGTTAGCCTCATCAGAAACCGGTCTGATATGACACTTTTGCTCGTCATTACCCTCATTCCACCTCATCGCTTCAATTGGCCTCATTTTAGTGCAATTAAGTGCACGTTTCTCACTTTTCCAAGTATACACTTCACCGAGTCATTTGATACCCAATAAAAGTATGTGCTCCCGGCCACAGCTGTGCTTGTTGCTCCACCCTGATTGAATGACTTTTGCACCCGGGAACTTAACTTGCCTTTCCTTCTTTTTTTTTCGCCGTCAAACTCATGTGATGTCGACGACGTTCAGTGCACATTTGTCATTTGTCATGGAGAGACGTTTCCGTTTTGAAAATCGCTGAATTTAGACGGAGAACAGGTGGAAACGTACGCATTAAACACTATGCCAACACATCTTGAGCGTTTTTTTCTTGGTTGACAGTTGTTTAATCTCTGAATTGACTTCCTTGTGATCATTTTTCAGTGTACGGTAGGCTCTCATCAACACGTCAAGTTCAAATCGATATATCTCAGCTGAGAGTGAAGATATAAGAAAGTTGTCAACTAGAAAAATGTTCACTAAGAAATTTGCGACCTTTTATCAGTTGACAACTTTTAAATATCTCTACAAACAGCTGAGATAAATTGTTTCAAACTAACAGAACTTTTGTGCGCTATAAAGCCAATATACTGTGAGTGTGTGACATGTACTGATCTACTGACCTACATTTTGGCGACCCCAAAAATGTCCCCAGACATCGCGTAACCCGAAAAAAGTGTCCAGGAAAACAGTTATTCCCTTCAAAACTCGATCATTTCCTCGTCCACCTGAATTTCAGCACGAACAACCAATACGTGAGTAAATAACGATATTACACATTTAACCCAACTTTCCGAGTAATGTTCTACTAGGTACATTCGAATCATTTTTGTCCAGGTTAGCATAAAAGTAGTGGCAATCTGGTTACTGGTCAATGAAGTATCTATCATAGCCGATACCGTACCCCCCCCCCTTTTAAACTTGCTGCCCAAACCACAATGACCACAGACCATACACGTTTCTGATTGCCAAATACCAAAAATGCCAAGTGAATGTGTGAGACCGAGGAAAACAATTCGATTATTCTTTATTCGTGCTCCGACGGCGCCACAGGTTAACTCGAAGACTTGAATGCTTTCGGGCGGCGGACCCGATGAGGACAAGTCGCAATTTTTTTCCCACCACCGTTGATTTTCAAAAAGCAAAATCACGGCTTCACTGCTTTGTTTTTTCGCAAATCGAGAACAAACTAACGCTTCTTGATTGTCAACTGGATCTACTAGAACGTATCTAATGAGACGTGTGAACAATTGGGAACCACCACGACCCATTTCTCTGCTGAGGCTGTAAACAGCTATCTTTAAAGCAAGTGGTCACTCGAATTCAGAAACCACAAGTACGGGGGCGTCAACAATACCCTTCGTTCATTAATTTTTTGATCTATGCCAAATTAGAGAACCGCTTGTGAGCATTCCACACGAAAAACAAAAGAAAACTTGTGTGTGCTGAACGCTTAGATTACTCATTCCAATTTCGAATCTCTAATTCCCATTTTCTTCTTCTTCTGCCCCCATGCTCGTGGAATGGTTGAGTTGCAGCCAGATGGCTGTCATTTATCTCGTCACCGAATGTTGCTCGCTGACCGCCGCCACGTTGAGCTTCTGCTTCAACCTATTCATTATTGTCAGCTTTTTGAGGTGAGCACTTGCGAAAGTATCTCGGCAGGTTGTAGAGATGGCAAAACGTTGTCAACTAACAAAATGTACCCAATGTTGTAAGCATCAATTTGTTAGTTGACAACTTTTTGATATCTCTACAAATGGCTGATTTACAAACCGTAGAAAGTTGTGCTTCTTCCAGAAAGAAGATCCCAGCACCCGAGAATCTCCGTCTCGCCCTCTATCTGGCCCTCGGAGATTTCGGCTACGCCACCGCGGCGCTCATCCACATCGGCTACCTGGCCGTCAATTGGTCGAACGTCTACCTCGACTACAATCCCTACGTCATCATCTTCTCCAACTCGTTCCTTCCGGCCCACCTCAAAGTGATCGTCGTCATCAGTTGCTCGATGGCACTCGATCGATGTTTGGTGAGTTTGGGGAGGGGGGGAAAGCATCACAAAAGCGACACAAGACGCAAGAGAGTTCAGGCCATCTTCTATCCGGTCGTCTATCGTCGGCTCAGCAAAATCTACTTTGCCAACTGTGCGCTCGCGTGCGGATTCTGCTGGTTTCTGTTCGATTACACGTTTCAAATGACGACGGCGCCGTACAAGCGCATGCCGAATTGCGCGACGATGGCGTGCTTTGTGAACAAGACGTTTCTGATGTACGTCAGCTACTCCAACACGGTTTGTTTGTGTCCTATGACGACTTTGTGACCCATTTTCCCTTATTTGCAGCTCGCCGGCCTCTTCATCGTCGTCGTGAGCGGTTTCGTGTTCCGCGGAATTCGTCAAATTTCGCAAAGAAAGATGGGTAGCACGACAAACACGGTAGGTGTCTACCGTACCCGACTCACCGAACCGTCGCCGAATTACAGTCTGCCGTCAAAACGACGAACGTCTTCCGTCAGGCCAATCGCATCACCGTCGGAATTCTCTTCTGCTCGCTGTTCTTCGTCACGATTCCCTCGCTTTTGGTGACCGGATACGAGGAGGTGACGGGCGTCTCGTTGTTCGCCGAATTGGGACCGTTCTACATTTGTGCCATTCTGGTTAATGGTGAGGTATACGCCGAAACAAACTTTCAATGGATATTGTAGCGATAGGGAAAATCCCTCGGCTCTCGAAATCGTTTTGTGAAAGCTTCACATCAAGTTAGAGCAATACTGTGCATCAGAAAAGTTCGTCAACTTTTGAGAGCTACAGTGGCTTCCAAATTGTCCTCATTCTGACTCTTTCTCTCTACGACCACCATTAAAAGTACTGTAGTCAGTTGACACGTCTCTTTTCTAACAACAACAAAACATTTAAAGGACTAGGGAACCCTCAAATGTTTTGATTTTTTTGCGTCTGTTTGAATTGTCTCTGGTGTAATGCTGACTCTCACAGAAATGCCCAATGAACGAAACGGCGTGCAGTTGAAGATGTGGCCGTGGCCTAGGAAACTCCGGCGGGAAAACTCTTCCGTGTGAGCAGTTTGATGCTCTTGCACTATTATGTATGGATGCGGATTTGTGTGAATGTTTTGCAACGTATGAATAGATTGTGCGCGAACGCAAAAAAAAATCCAGAAAAGATCACAAGGGCTAAAACTTACAACTTTGACTAGGCGCTGTTCCATTCACACAGGTATTTCTGTGAATGTGGCAATAAGAAGCAATTCAGTCAGACACATAAAATCGCCGGGTTGCCGGGCCATTTAAAGAGGACTAGAACGAACGAATTTGCAGGCTTCGCCGACGGTCTCGTGTTCGTGATCGTCAACTACAAGCAGATTGCGTCTCGCAACCGAACGCTCTCGTCTACGGTGAGCACAGTGCAACCGTCCTCCCGCAACCGGACAATCTCTATTGTTGACGCGACTTCACGCGCCGCCTCGCGAGTAGCCACGTTCTAATCGATGCTCGTGTCTAGCAGAGTTGAGCGGAAGAACTCAAACACGGAAGAAAGAATTTGTATCTTTTTTAGAAAATTTTTTCATGAAATGTGATCAACTGACGAAATGTATAGCAAAGTGAACTCTGCTCATAGAAAAATAATTGAAAATTTAGCTTTTCATACAAAAAAGTTATTCGAGTACGAAAGACGGAAGAACATTTTCACGCAACAACTCGATTCACTTTTTTGTATGAAAAGCTAAATGTGCAATTATTTTTCGATGAACAGAGTTCACTTTGCTCTACATTTCGTCAGTTGATCACATTCCGCGAAAAAATTTTCTAAAAAAGATAAAAACTGTTCCGTTGAGTTGTTCCGCTCAACTCTGGTGTCTAGAGCTGCCTGCTTTCATGTACTTGCATGTCGCCCCTTTTGTCTGTTTTTGTTTTTTTTGGAAAGCGCTAGGGAACGTCGAGCGAGAGAGAGAGTGAGCGTTTTCAGACGAAGAACACGATCGCTCCGCTGCAGCTGCACAGCCGCGATAATAGCATTGCGGTCCAGGCGTCGACGGTGCCGGCGGCGTGACGTGGCAACGGGTACGTTACCGTTAATTGTTGATATGTCTCATGTACTTTTTTATTCGAGGTTTGTGTGGAACTAATAAAACTGTTTGTCACTTTGTACTTTTCATGAAAACTGATAAAGCAAGTGGAATCATTCATGCAACGTTTTGCAACTGTAAAGTACTGAAAACACTGTTGTTTTTGTCTCCATTTTCGATATTATTGTTATTATTATCAAACCACGTGTGCCTAACCAAAAAGTATAGTGTACCCCGTCACATCAACACTACACGGAACGCGGGCGTGGGGGCCACACTGTACCCTTATCAATACACATTGTCTTTCGCTCTCTTTCTCCCTCTTTCTCACTCTTCTTCTTAAAACACCACCCATCTTCTCCTCCTTCTCCTTCTTCTTCTTCTTCTTCTTCTTGTTCTCACAAACACTTTTTCAGAAACTCGCCCATATTTCAACTTCAAAATGACGACTAGCACAAAGCCGAAAGTGTACATTGTCGGCGTCGGAATGACGAAATTCTGCAAGCCCGGATCCGTCAACTGGGACTATCCGGATATGGTGAAAGAGGCGGTGAACACGGCGTTGGAGGATGCAGGCATGAAGTATTCCGATGTGCAGCAGGCCACCGTCGGATATCTTTTTGGAGGTAACCGGACAATAGCGCAAATGGAACCGCATTGTGAATACTGTCCGTATCTCGGTTGTGGGTGGAGATATCAAAAAGTTATCAACTGATAAAATGTACAGCATTTTATACTAAACAATTGATTAGTTGACAACTTTTAGATATCTCAACCGACAGCTGAGATACATCGCTTTGAATGAACACTATTTAGATGTCGCTCTATTATAGGCTTGAGGTCTAGCTATCCAACTATCATAGACGTTTTTTTTCATATTCATACACATCTCAGGAACTTGTTGCGGTCAGCGTGCCCTCTACCAGCTTGGACTCACCGGAATCCCAATTTTCAATGTGAATAATGCGTGCGCGTCCGGCTCTTCGGGACTTTTCCTGGGAAAGCAAATTATTGAGAGTGGTAAGTCGAGGACACTTTGCAACTAGCCAATTTCGCAACCCACAGGAAACGCCGACGTGGTCCTGTGCTCGGGATTCGAGCGAATGGCCGCCGGATCGCTGGAGAACCTCTCGCAACCGATCGACGATCGTGCGATCCCTGTCGACAAGCACGTCGAGGTCATGTCGGAGACGTACGGCCTTGAGCCCGCGCCGATCACTGCTCAAATGTTCGGAATGGCCGCCCGCGAGCACATGGAGAAGTACGGATCGAAGCGGGAACACTTTGCGAAGATCGCCTACAAGAACCACCTGCACTCGGTGCACAATCCAAAGTCCCAGTTCACCAAGGAATTCAGTCTGGAGCAGGTGCTCAACTCGCGCAAAATCTACGACTTTATGGGACTGCTCGAGTGCAGTCCGACGTCCGACGGAGCCGCCGCCGCCATCCTCGTCTCCGATCGCTTCCTGGAGAAGAACCCGCGGCTGAAGGCGCAGGCGGTCGAGATTGTCGGTCTGAAACTCGGCACCGATCAGCCGTCCGTGTTCAAGGAGCAGTCGAACATCAAGATGATCGGCTTCGACATGATCCAAAAGATCTCGAACGATTTGTGGGCGGACACTCGGCTCACGCCGAACGACGTGCAAGTCATCGAGCTGCACGACTGCTTCGCGCCCAACGAGCTCATCACCTACGAGGCGATCGGCCTGTGTCCAGTCGGTCAGGGACATCACATCGTCGACCGAAACGACAATACGTACGGCGGCAAGTGGGTCATCAATCCGTCGGGCGGCCTCATCTCGAAGGGCCATCCGATCGGTGCGACGGGAGTCGCGCAGGCCGTCGAGCTGTCGAATCAGTTGCGCGGAAAGTGCGGAAAGCGACAGGTGCCCAACTGCAAAGTGGCCATGCAGCACAACATCGGCATCGGAGGCGCCGGCGTCGTCGGATTGTACCGTCTCGGGTTCCCGCAGCACGCGCACTCCAAAATCTAATTCGGTTTGTGTGTGGAACGATGGTATTTGATTGTTAGTTTCGTTTGTATAAAGAGACTTTTAATAAATGAATAGAAAATGGTTTCAAAGTGTCCCAGATAACCGGTGATCAAACGGAGCCAGAAAAATGGATTATAAGCTAAACGCTGAGTTCGTGGAATACGTTTGTTAGCAGAAATTCGCGTCTGGTGCCAATCCAATCATTTTCCACGACGATATTATAGGCTCACTTGAAATCTGCCCTCCCTTCATCTGTGCTCTTTTTGCTACCAACTTTTTTGTGCTCGAAAACAAAGAAGCGGCGTCACACATGACCAATCTTTGCTCATTTCTCGTCTCACTCGCGTCATTCATCATTTCAGACATGATATTTCTCATCAACTCGACGTCGTCGCCTCCGCCCTACCATCTATGGGTTCCGTTTTACATTTTCAACGGCCACGAGTACCGTAACCCGATCATCGCCTTCTTGATCTGTCTCGAGTTTATTCTCTCGCTGTTCTGTGTATTCATCACCATAAAATTGACGATTTACATTTGGAAAATCCGCGTTTTCCACGTGAACATGAGCACTCTGGCGATCGCCTACATCTCCCAGTACCTCGAGTGTTTCGTCGGAAAAACGGTGCTCACTCTCCATCAAAACGGTTTTTATCATGTTCCAGGTGCGTGTATTGTGCACAATTCGCCAGTTCATCGGCTATTTCAGGTGTGCCCGCGGACAGAAAGTACACAAACTGGTGGACGGACGATTGTGACGAGATTCCGGTGCTCGGCGCGTCGGCCGACGCATTTCCGCTCTTTTTCGGCGGATTTCTGATATGGCACTATATGTATTCGATGGTCGGCATCGCTTTTTCGTTTTGTGTCGAGAGGATGTTGGCGACGGTGTTGTCCGGGTGAGCATCAGAGTTGACGCTGACCGTAACCACGACGTTTGCAGCAACTACGAGCAGCTCAACCGCACCTACATCTCCCTTTTAATCCTTGCCACGTCACACACCTCAACCCTCTACCTCAGCTATCAAACGTTCTACGAACACGTACAAATGGTGCCTACCGTCATCGCATGCATGGTTTGCCTCATCATTTCTTGTCTGGTAGGAGAGTTTTGAGCAGGAAAAACGATGAGATTCGGGTTCAGATGTTCGTGGTGACGTTGCTGATGAATCAGAAGATCAACAAACTTCAGACCACCAACAGCCGACACTTTTACACGTTGGCCTACCGGTTTCAGGTGAAGGAGAACATAAAAGCGTTGAAGGTAGGCGAGCCGATGATGGATGACCGACAATATTTGTGTTTTCGTGTCCAGCTCGCCCAACGCGTCATCCTCTGCATCGCCTTTTACGTTTTCCTCAATCTCATCCTCCTCTCCACCGTTTTCTTTAACGTTTTCGAGCATTTCAACGAGCCGCTCATTTTTCTGCTCGAAAATTGCATCTACCTGAACCCGCTGCTCATCTGCCCGATCGTCTTCTACTCGATAGATCCGTGGCGGAAGGCGTTGCTCCGCGAGTTGCCCGTGCTCAAAGTGTTCGGGCGGTCCGAAAAGCCGCCGGAGAGCGGTCATCATCAGACCTCCGATCTCTACTTTACTCAGCTTCAAACATCGTGGCGGAAGAGCTCCTAGTTTTCAAGTCAAGCGGAAATTAATTCGGGGCAAGTGTGCTCTGTGTGCATTCATTTCGTTAATCTTAGTCTATCACTAGCCGCTCTTCTTGTTAGTCTCAAACACAATTTGATTTCTTTTTGTGTGACACCGTCACGAACCGGATGATATTCCTAGTGAACCACACGCTAACCTACCTCCCATTCTTCTCTTTCAACGGCCACGAGTACCTCTCGCCCTTTTATTGTACACTTCTCGCCGTCGAACTCGTTTTGACCGTGCTCAGCGTGATTCTGACGTGGCGCGTCTGTTGCATAGTCTGGAATGTTCGCGTTTTTCACATAAACATGTCAATCATCTCCAACTTTTACTTTTGCCAATATTTCGAAGTTGTCGTCGGCAAATTGCTCATGATCACCTGGCAATACGGCTATTCTCCCATTCCCGGTTCGTTTCTTTTCTGCTGAACATGTATTGCAAGTACGGTTTTCTTCAGGAGTGCCCAAATCGACGCACTACCTCGGATGGGCCAACGAGAACCAGCCGATGATGCCGAAAATCCGACGATTCGACGATGCGCTTCCGCTGTTTCTCGGCAGTTTTCTGATATGGCACTACATGATGCAAATGGTTTTCTTCATCTTTTTCTATTGTCTGGAGCGAGTGATTGCGACAGTGTTGTTGGGGTCAGTCTCCACTATCATTTTTCATTCGATACACTGGTAACCACGCCTTCTTTTGCAGAACGTACGAGAAGCACAGCCGTTCGTACATCGCCATCTCGATCCTGATCGCGGCGAACCTCACGACGCTCACAGTCACTTATCTGCTCTTCTTTCTCCACATTTCATTCGTCTCCAGTGTCCTCATTTGTTCGTCAGTGGTTACTGTATCTGTTATTGTGGGTCTCGATCTCGGACCACCGTAATCCTTCCCTTTTCTCAGATGTATGTCACTATACTTTTGGTGAATGTGAAGATTAGCAGGAACTTGAAGAATGACACGTTGGAGAGGCGAAAGAGAAAATTCGAAAAGTACTCGTTGGCCTATCGATTTCAACTCGAAGAAAACCTCCGAGCGTTTCAAGTAGGTCCAATTACAGTACTCCTGTTACCTACGTCTTGCAGCTCGCCAGAAAAGTGATAATATGGATCGGAATCTACATTGTGCTGAACATTTCGCTACTATTCCTGATCAACCTGGACCGCCTGCCCGCCCACGCAAATCTCGTCCTCGTGTTCGTCGTCGAAAATTGCATTTATCTGTGAGCGAACAGACACACTAAATATTTGGGCGGCGGTAGTTCAAACATCGCATTCTCAGAAATCCGCTGCTCGTTTGCTCCGTCACCGTGACCGCCGTCGAACCGTGGCGCTCGGTGGTCGAGCGCGATTTTCAAGTTTTCACGTCTTTTTTCGGCGCAACAAACAAAGTGGAGGATTCGGAGCGAATTGCGGAAGAAAAGAGTGGAGCCGCGCAACCTGCTCAGCTCGAAACGGACATTTATTTTCGAGATTTGAACGCGATGTGGGCTTGAAATGAATGCGTTGCGTTTTCTGTTGATTTTGTCAATCTTTGAGCATAAAACTGAGACGAAGGGGGCATTCTTGGGTTCTGAACGGTTGTGTTAGTAAAGGCCAAAGTTAAAGTCAAGTTCAAGCAAATCAAACCAAACTCCATCCACTTATTGGCCAAAACAGCCAGGTGAAAACAATGAGCCAAGAAGTTTTGTCGAACTACGAAGCGAACAACGGATCCCGACACTTTTGACATTTTCCACCCAGATGTGTGTGATTACCACCTCATTCCTGATGCTTTTCTGCAAGATCGGACCGTCTTCGCGTGCTCCTTTTCCGTAGTTGTGAGTTTTGACTGGTTGCTCGGGGAGATATCAAAAAGGTGTCAATGGAAGAATTGTTCGCTAAACGTTTTTGTACATTTTCACAGTTGACAACGTTTTCATATTTCTAACGGCAGCCGAGATATATTGTGTTGAATAAACTCACAAATCCAGTTTCAGCTTTTCTTCATCTTCAACAAAAACGATACGGATTGGGCGAAAACGATGCTGAATCCGAGGCGAAAGCGACCAGTTTACGGTCTCGCAATTTGAGAGCGGCTACTGTAAGTGCTCTTCTTTTTTTTGCACTTTTCGATCTTGTGCCACTTTCAGCTCGGCGGCGAAAGGTTGATATACTCTCATCCTCGAGCTCGTACCCTCTTTTCCGTGCCATTTTGCAGGAAATTAAGAGAAATCCGTGCCCGCTCTGTTTCGTGACAATGTACCGTATCCCGGCATTGAAGATCGAGTTTCTGAAGGCGTCAAACTGGTCAAGAATCGGCGGAAAAGTGGCGTGATCAGTGTGGAGCCAAACGAGGAGATGGAGAGTGACATTTATTTTGAGCAATTGAATAAATCTTGGATTTTATACCGATTTTCTCAGTTGAAACGTACAATATCACGACTTCCGACTTCCCTGAAACGTAGTCTCATCTCACACGTCAAAAGTGAGAGTAAATGCTGAGTTTGGCAGGTGAAAAACGAAATTTTCGTCTTTTTCGACTCTCAATGTTTTTTCGCAAACATTTCGCCCCCCTCCCCTCATTCTCACAACCGATAATATCTTTTTCTCAACTGATTATTATGTGATGTGTCTCCAAACCGCTCATTTTCTGCTTCTCCCCCAATTCGTTTTCACGTTCTTCTTCTTCTTCTCTTTCAGAAGAAATGATATTGCACGAGACGTCGAAAAACCGAACGTTTTGGCTGCCGATCTATATTATGAACGACTCGTCTTTCCGCTCGGGACCGCATTTGTACCTACTCCTCCTCGAACTGATATTGTACTCTTTCACGGGTGTCATACTCGTCAAAACGGTTCGGATATTTCTGAAAATCCGACATTTTCACAAGAATATGAACACAATGATGGCGTTCTTCTTGTTTCAATGGTTCGAGGCGATTCTCGGCAAACTCGTCATTATTCCATATCAAATTGGACTTTTCGACATTTCGGGTGAGTCATTTCCAAGTCTACAGTATCTCTGATTAGCCACTATTGTAGGTCCAAACGTTCTAGAATTTGTTTTTGCCAAAAGGTTTCACACACACTCCGCTATTGTCGCCTTTTCTCAGAATACCGCCGCGAGCAGTACGTCAGTTGGTGGTCCGCGGATTCGCACGAAATGATCGAGGTGGACGACGGTGTCGACCACTTTTTGCCACTTTTAATCGCCGGTTTTCTCGTCTGGCACTACGCCTACTCGATGATTTTCGGCATTTTGAATTTGGGCGTCGAGCGCATTTTCGCCTCGTTTCTGCTAAAGTGAGTGGCCCTGAGTGACCCAAAAACTCTGTGTGATTGTCAGCGACTACGAGAACACTCCGCGCGCGTACATCCCCGCCACGCTCCTCTTCGTCACGCACACCGTCACCGGACCCTTCTCGTTTCTCGTGCTGACGAATCGAACCGGATTCTACGTGGCCACGTCGCCTTGCTTCCTCAACTCGATCCTCACTTTCGTGGCACGTCCCGCCGCTCTACAATTCTACAACTTTTCGCGCCGTTTCAGATGTTCGTCGTCGTGTGGAAAGTGAACGAGGCGCGTCGGCAAAAGTTGGAGCACGCGGGACCGGGCTCCGATTACACGCTCGCACAACAGTTTCAGGTGAAGGAGAATCTGCGGGCGCTCAGGGTGAGTCGCGGTTCTTTGAAAGACTGACTGAAAAGTTTTGCCGAGCGTTTTTTTCAGCTGGCCCGAAACTTGCTGATTGTCGTGTTGTGCGCAATGTCTGTGCCGTGTGCTCTGCTCATTATGCTGGTGATTGGACTCGCCTCCTCGTTCAAAGTCTTTATTGCTCAAGTCATCGAGAACTCGATTTATTTGTGAGTTGGGGAATGAATGAAAGGAGAGGGGGGGTCAAATGATCGTTTCCCTCCAGAAACCCGATCATCATCTGCTCCGTGCTAATGTTCGGCGACGCGGACTGGCGTGGCGAGTACCTCAGCTTCATCCCGGGCCTGAAACGACTCAACAACACGGTACACGTTTTCGTGGTGAGACCCAGACCCTCGTCGCGGGCGGCGCAAACCGGCGCCTCGTCGGCCAACAACGAAGGACTCGTCTATTTCGAGCAACTCAAGAGGTCGTGGGGCGAGTAATGATGATGAGGATAAGGTGGTGGTTCTTGGAATTGTGTGTGTATGTATGTTATCTATGGTTGAATGAACATTTCGAAGAAAAGCATTGAAAATTCGCGCTGGCTTTTTTTTGCGTTTTAACTTGGCGCGCCGCCCCGCCCCCGCAGAGTTCCACTTCCCCTCGTCGAACAGGTGTTTTCGGTGCGTGCATTTTCCGGTGACATGCAATACCCGCTCGGTTGCGAATGATCGTCTCGGTGCTCAACTCGTCCGACGACACCTTCTGGCTGCCGTTCTATTCGCTCAACGACGAAATCTACGAAGCGCCGTTCTACGTGCTCCTCGGCCTCGTGCAATTGTCCGTCTACTGCTCGACCGCCTACACAATCGTCCGCACGTGCTCCATCTTCCTGAGCATCCGATTGTTTCACGAGAACATGAACATCCTGATGGCCTGGTTCTTGTGTCAGTGGTTCGAGGCCATCTTCGCCAAACTCATCATCATTCCCTATCAGGCGGGAATCATCAAAATCGGCGAGGATCCGAAGCGGTCCTACTACTCGTGGTGGTCCGAGAATCCCGCCGATATTGTCGTCGTGCGAAGCCGCACCGAAATTCTGCCGCTCTACGTCGCATGTCTATTCATGTGGCACTACATCTATTCGGTCATTTTCGCGCTTCTTGTCGTCGGATGCGAGCGTATCTTTGCCACTTTTTATATCCAGTGAGTCATTTCGGTTTTTCACCTGCAAACGTCGTCAAAAATAGATTGCTCCCGGTGAGGCTCGAACTCACGACCTTCAGATTATGAGACTGACGCGCTGCCTACTGCGCTACGGAAGCACGCTCGGACCCGGCCGCAGAGAGCGTTTATAAGACCGCCTATCGCGTTACTTAACTGACAAAAAAATTGCGATAAAATAGGATTGCAGAGATTACGAAAAAGTGCGTCGACGTCACATCCCCATCGGTCTGATCGTGCTCGTCAACCTCGTCACCGTTCCCTACGCCTACCAGATTTGCAATAATCGCATTCCGTTTCTGGTGGCCTACGTGCAATGTTTCGTGAACGCCGCCGCCATCTTTTTCGGCTATCTAATAATTTGGCGCGTGAACGTCGTGCTCCGCAATCGGATGGATCGACGCAACAATCTCGACGAGTACTGTCTGGCCAGGAAGTTTCAGGTCGAGGAGAACATTCGCAGTTTTGAGGTGTGTGTGCCTCGATCCATTCAACAACCGAATCGCCCTTTTCAGCTGGCCAAAAGAGTGGTCTATGTTGCCGTGATCTTTTTATCGTTAGCACTGGTCGTATTGAGTTTACTGGTTTTTGGTCTGGTTCAGGGAAATGATCCGATTTTTGTCTACATGCTTGATAACGCGGTTTTATCGTAAGTTTCTGTTGGAAAGTGGGTCACGGGGTCAGTAGGGCAAACTAGAAGTAGGTCACGTTGGAAATTAAACTTTTTGCTCTTTCAGCGCCGCCCTGGTCATATCCATAACTCTTATGTGCTGCTCGCCGGCCTGGAAGGACCGTTTCCTAAGCGGTCTGCCCGTTCTCCGACACTACCGTAGTCCCAAAGTATCCCACTTTAATTTTGCGCCCCGAAAAGCGGCTAGCACCGAATCGGAAGTCTATTTTGCTCAACTGAAAAATGCATGGGTCTAATTAGAGTTTGTAAACGCGAAATGTATGTAATAAAACTATAAAGATGCTCACAAGACACTCAGCGAACAGTAGTCATGACCGTGTAGTGGAACATGTTGTTCTACAATATTCGCATCACTGATTATTCAAAAAGTGAATGTCACGAAGAGGCACATGAACAAACTCTTGCACCTTACATTTTTACTGACAATGTTCATTAATGAAGGTCACTTTTTGCAAGATCATCAAGAGCATAGTAAAGTGACATTCTTGAAGAACCAGAGCTGGGCAACCTGAACTTTTGAACCACTTTCAATGATCTGATCGGACTCAAACTTTGCAGGATTGTTGGGCTTGGATTAAGGGCCATTGGGACCAAGTTTCAGCCTGATCGGATCGTCCGGTCCCGAGATATGTGGATCATTGGCTTCCGGGCAGATATCTCGGGACCAGATGATCCGATCGGGCTGAAACTTGGTCCCAATGGCCCTCAAGTCTACAAACTTCGGGTCCGATCGGAATATTGGATCAATTGGCCAGCCCTGTGAAGAACCGAGTCTTAAAAAGTGTGATCCCAGACCACAAGAGTCGGCCGGTCATGCGTGGTACCTCAAAGAACACGAGTAGACTATTTCACTTTCCACCTGTTTCAGACTCAACCTGCACCAAGCACTGGCGTCGGTTGAGACTGGCCGGCGTGTAATTGACTTACTATTAAAATGCGTACGACCAGCTCAAACAGCACACATTTTGCGACTAATTAATTCAACTTGACACGACCAAATGCGATTTGTTTTCCTCTTTTTTTTCTCTCTCTCTCTCTCTCGTAGAGATAACCATGTTTTCGCACGTCGTCACTCTCATATTGTTGCTTCAGTCATTTCCATATGATTCTGCTCGTGAACGGCACCGCCGACACTATCTGGTTGCCGGTGTACACGTTGAATTCCGACCGTCAAATGCTTTACTACGCTGTCGGATTTCTCGAAATGTTCTCCTATTTTGTGACCGCTTTTCTCGTGCTCAAAACCTCGACGATAGTCTTCAAATCGGGCATTTTTCATGAAAATATGAATTTAATGACTGTCAGCCTCGTCGTTCAGTGGTTTGAGGCGTTTTTCGCCAAACTCCTGGTAATGCCGTTTCAAATCGGCCTTTTCACGATTGGAGGTCCAATTTCTACGCGTTTTTTGTTCAAAACTCGTCTATTTCAGACCCGAACACAATTTACATTTGTTGGTGGACATCTGACAAATCGAATATGATATTAATCCCAAATTTTCTAGCCGGCCTGCCTTTATTCCTGCCCGGCATGTTAATTTGGCACTACATCTACTCAATGTTCGTCGGAATTGCGTGTATGAGCGTTGAAAGAGTGTGTGCCACGTATTACATCAGGTAAGCAGTCTGCAAAAAGCGAGCAAAAACAGATTGCTCCCGGTGAGGCTCGAACTCACGACCTTCAGATTATGAGACTGACGCGCTGCCTACTGCGCTACGGAAGCGTCCGGCGGAGCGAGAGCCAGAGGGCGTAGACAAGCGCGCTGCGATCGGGTTCGCGCAGAATGTTCAAACAATTTTTGTTCTACAGAGACTATGAGAAGACACCGCGAAAGCACATTGGAATCGGGCTCCTGCTCATGGTGCATTGTATCAGTTTTCCATTCTCCTATTTGATGATCAATAATCGTGTTCACTTTGTGATCGCCGACTTGTTATGCATCGTCTGTGCAATGATAGTGGCCATGGTAAAAAAAAAAGTATTGTTTTTTTGAAAGCTACTTGTCAAGGTCTACGGAATCCTATGGTACATCAACGAAAAGCTGAACAAAAAGTTCTCGGTGCCCGGCAGATATCATCTAGCTCAACAGTTTCAAGTCAAAGAGAACATCCGTCACATTTTGGTAGACACTATTGGCCGATGCACCATACGTAACCGTTTGCAGCTGGCGCGCAATATCGTGTGTGTCGCCACGTTGTTCGTGGCGATTGCCTGTTCCGTGCTCATGTGCATCGTGCTCGACGCGTTCCCGTATTGGCTCAAAAACCCGTTGGCACATTGTGTCGAGAATTTCATCTTTTTGTGAGTCGAGCTGTGTGCCGAGCAATGTGGCAATTGTTTCAGAAATCCTCTTCTCATATGCAGCGTGATGGTGTTCAGTGTGCCGGCGTGGAGAAAAGAGCTGATCGGATGGATGCCGACGGTCGCAAAATTGCATCAGAACGGTCTACGGCCCGCCGACGAGACAGAAGCCTACTTTAAACAGTTTCGGAGCGCTTGGGTTTGAGTGAGGCCGAGTTTGAACGAGTATTGTTGGCTACGTTGTATCTGAAAAAAAAAAAAGATTTTCGAATAAACATCATTAGTTTTTAGTATAAGCTTCAATACTGAATAACATTTTCCAGGAAGTACACATCTCACCGGCTTCACTGAAAACAAAGATTCGCTATCACAGATGCACGAGTTCCTCTTTCAAAACATTTCCGTTTTCTTCCGCTTCAAAAGGTGAGCTCGGAGCTCCAAGCACCAACAAACTTTGCGTCTTCTCGTCGGTCAACCCTGCAATCATACTCTTTCTTCACTGCTCAAAAACCCAAAACACCCGAACCTTTTTTGCTATTGATTTGCGCGAACAATGATATTCTTGGTCAATGGTTCGCATCAAATGTGGGTGCCGATTCCGATTCTCAACAAGGCGCTGTACACGTCCTCCAAGTACGTCTACGTGCAAACTGTCGACGTCGTCACGTTCATCATCACTGCGTGCCTCGTCCTCAGAGCCACGTACGTCATCTGGAGCTCCAAAGTGTTTCACATCAACCTGAGGCTCATACTCATCTTCCAAATGCTTCAATGGTTCGAAATTCTCGTCTCCCGCATCCTAATGTTCGACTATTTGGTCGGAAGAAGATTCGTGGGCGACTACTCGAAAATCTATCACAGATTCTGGACAGATGACCCGTCGGAAATGGTGCCGATCCGTTCGGCGCTCGACGAATGGACCCTGTTCCTCGGTGGATTTTTGTATACCCATCACTACGCCTCATGCTTATTCTTCCTATTCTCAGTGTCAGCTGAACGAGCAGTCGCCTCATATTTTTTGAGGTGAGAGAGTTGGGCGGGTTTGAAAGCCATTTCAGAAGCATAGTCAGCAGAGTTGAGCGGAATTCCGTCTTCCGTCTTCCGTTTTCCGTGTTCCGTAAAAAAAAACGTCTTCCGTCTTCCGTTTTCCGTGCTCCGGATTTCAAAATTCCATTTCCGCTCAACTCTGATAGTTAGGAACCGCAACGAGTTTCGCAAAATTCCGAATTTCCATAAAATTTTTGATGGAATGGGTTCCCCTACTCTATATTAGTACGCAAGTTTGCCGCACGCATTTTTTCTCATTATCGGGTGGACCAAACCAAAGAGTCAACATTTTAAATGAACAGAAATGATGTTCTAAAAAAACAAAACAACTTTTGAGGTCAAAAGTTTCGAACCCGACACCTCAAAATAGACGAGCGAGCACTCTGCCACTGCGCCAACCGGGCAGAGGCGCGCGCACCGCCAATCGCGTTGAAAAGCTCGGTGTGCGCGACCCCTCACAGTGGTGAAGTTAGTGCATTTTCGCGCTGAAATTCGAAACATATCTGACTATAACTTTTTTCGGCGACTTGAAAAATTATCATGTCGAGAATTTCACGCAGAATCCGATTCCGAAAAAATTAGCCGCGTGTACGGTACCTGTGACTCTCAAATCCTCGAAAAACTAGAATTTCGGCTGAATAGGTTTTCACAAAAATGCTCCTAGGGGGGTCTAGAGCTCTCAATAGTCAACATCTTGTTTCAGTGACTACGAAGCGTACACCCGACCGCACATCTCGATCCTCCTAATATGCGTATCGATGGCCTTCTCGAGCGGCTATTCGCTCATCTACGCGCTCAACTTTTTCACCTTCCTCGCCTCCTCCTTCCTGATCGTTTTGATTGCGGTGAGCTCGTGCAGTCTGTACGGTTACGTCTACTACTACAATACTCGTGTCATGCGAATGGGAATCGACGAGAATCGGACGACGAGTGCCGTAGCACGCTCCTCAAAGTACACTCTGTCGCGAAGGTTTCAGACGAGAGAGAACTTGAAGTCGCTGTCTGTAAGTACACAATATCTTCATGATTAGTGATAGAGTAACGCCTTTTTTTGCAGATGGCAAAATGGGCTGTGACAACGCACGCCGTCTACGTGGGCCTTTGTCAAATGTGTCTAATGTGTGTCTATTTCGGACACGACTCGGACGACTGGGAGAAGTTTGTGTACGTCATGGACGCCGTCGTTTGCTAGTCAGTTTTCCGTCGTCTTTTCCGTATAAAACTAGTGCTTTCAGCAGCAACGCCTTCATTGTCCTGTTTGTGATCGTCTCGACGGACACGTGGACGCGCGCCTTCTTCCGTCCCTGCTTCTTGTTCCGACACAGCCCGAATCGAGTGTCGACGTCGGAGTGCGACGAATTGCGGGCGGTGCACGCCGAAAAGATATCCACCTCGTACTTTGAGCAGTTGGGAAAGGCGTGGAGTTGATATTGTCGGGATCTTCCCACTGACAAACAACAACAGAAAAACCACGTCATTGTTCCCGGGGCTTCTTTCGCCGAATGAACAGCTGAAATGCTCCGAGAACCACCTGACACAAACAAAAATCGGTCGCCAGCCATTTTATTTCATTCACTTACCACTCTCTTTCTCATGATTTTTCTGGTGAACGCGACGTACACCGTCTGGCTGCCCGTCTACAGTGTCAACGACCACTCGTACAACAACTACTTTTACAAGCTGCTATTATTCATCGAATTGGCATTGTCGCTTGTGGCGTTTTGGTTCACAATAGTCACCGTCTACATCATCACAACGTCGCGCGCGTTTCACCGAAACATGAACTCGCTGATCGCGGTGATCGTAGCCTCGTGGCTGTTATCGTTGGTCTCCAGATCCATTCTGACTCCCTACGTGATCGGTAGATGGACAATAGACGGAATCGCGAGCGAGTTCCGTTGTTGGTGGACTGACGACGTGTCCGAGATGGCGCACATCAACTCGATGACCGACGCGTGGCCCTTGTTCTTCGGCGGAGCTCTCACGTGGTATTATATGTTCACAATGGTCACCTGCTTGTTTATTTTGTCGCTCGAACGCAGTTTTGCCACTTATTTCATAAGGTACACCGAGAAAAAGAGTTCCGCACCGTTTTTTGTTTCAGAAACTACGAGAAGACCTCGAGAAGCTACGTGTTCATTCTTCTTCTAATCTTCCAACACGTTCTCGTCATAATCATGACGTACATTGTGTTCTGGAATCAAATCCATTTCGCGCCCGCCATCACTTTTTGTCTCGTACTCAATATGGCAGCCGTCCTGGTTGGAAAAGCCTTCGGGCCTTTTGAAAAACCCGTTTTTTGCAGATTTTCTGGTTCAATCAACGCTACAACCGATTCTTGATACGAAAATTTGATAAGAACCGAAAGAAGAGCATCAGTTTATACTCGCTTCCCGCCAAATTTCAAGCAAAAGAAAATGTGAGGAGTTTCAATGTGAGTGTCGGCGTGGCCGTGGCCTAACTTTTTTGTTCCCCAAATGTTTCTCTTCCAGCTAACCATTCGAGTGATAGTCTGCGGATTCGTACTCATTTTCTCGGCAATCACTTGTATTATAGTGCTAACGTGTAAATTGCTGCCATCTCTCGTCACTTTGACCGTCTATGCGTCCGAGAATATTGTGCATTTGTAGGTTGAAAGTCGCGGCGTCCAGAGCTGACAATATGGGCGTGGCCTCGGCGGCCAAATGACGTTTTCATGAATTGAGCACGTTTTTCTCTGATTTTTGTGCTCAAAGGCGATGAAAAATGATTGTTCGACATGAAAACACACTAATTCTCACGGAATTCATGACGTTTTGGCGCATTCTTCGCGGACTCGGCGCTTTCTCGACCGTTTTCCAGACTTGCAACGGGCCGGGCCAAAATTGGAAATTTTCCGGCCCGGCCCGGCCCGGTCGGCCCGGGAGGATGCACCTAAAAATTCAAAGCGAACTAGAACTTCGAAACGAACATAATTTAAACTTTAAAGTCGCAAAATTTTCACAAAAATTACGAAAATTTTCTCAAGAGTGGGCGGAGCGATTGATTGCAACTCTGGCACGCCATTTTAGCAATTTTGCCGCACGCGTTTTCCTCTTCCTTCATATTTTTTTTGCATATTTTTTTTGAGGTCTAGCCGACCGGGCCGGGCCGGGCCGACGATTTGCCGGCCCGGGATTTGGCAAGTCTGCCGTTTTCAGACAGAATTGGTTTTGAGAATGATAAATCACGTAAATACAAGCATTTTGAGCGCTCGAACCGCGAAAATCACCGAAAAGCAACTGAAATTCACGCAGTTTTAGCCAAAAACCTTCAAACGGATAAATGTGATTTGCGACTTGACCAAATTTAACGCTAAAAAATTCGTAATGGCCTATACAATCGGTCTATCGAGAGACAAATGAGAAATTATCGGTTTTTCGTGGCTAATCTGGCAAAAAACACAAATTTTGCTGTTAAAATTTGAATTTCGCGCCATTGAATCGCTCTATTGGGCGGGGCGCACTTGCGCCGTGCATTGTCAGCTCTGGAGACCGTTTAAAGTGCATTTTCTCAAGAAAAGACAAAAAGCAAAAATAGTTTAGAAATCCGCTAATCGTGTGTCCGGTGCTCATCTTCTCCGTGAGCACCTGGAGCAAGGCGCTGATGCACTCGCGTCTTCATTGGATCCACAAAATCACCGACATCACTTTCATCGATCTACCTCAACGGAATGTCGGTCAGCAGCACGAGACCGACACCTACTTCTCGCAATTACAGACTTCTTGGGAGCGGAGGACGACTTGATTGGATTGAGCGAAGACGAAGATTTGAAAATAATTGAACTACTGTCAATAGTTGTGCTCTCAACTGTTTCCCCACTTTCAACTCTCCAACCGAACCGACAATATCTCTCAACTTGACCCGTTATTCTGGTTTGTGCTCGAGCACACTTCTAGGACCAATTTTCGTACAACTTTGTCTAGTACACAAACTTTAGGAGACGTGCACATCATAAACACTAATTAGACCGGCAAAATTGTACCCTCTGCTCCTCTCAAGCAGCCTTTTATAGGCCAAAGCGATAAATGTTCAATTGATCACTTTCACTCTCTCTCTCTCTTTCTCTCTTTTTCTCAAACTGACGTGAGACTTTCAGCGCCCCGTGACAGCTGAAAAAGCGGCTCGTTTTCGCGAGAAAACGCTCTAAATCTCCCCACGGACTCAATTTGATTTTATTTTTATATAATATTGTCCTTCTCTCTCTCTCTCTCTCTCTCGCCACGTTGTGATATTGTCGACTTCTCGCTCGTTTCGCCCCCCACGATTTATGATATTCCTGATCGGCAACTCGACACAAAACTACACAATCTGCTTCCCGGTCTTCATCATTCAGGATCCGCGCGTTCGCACTTTTCCCTACTCGATGTTGCTCGCGCTCGAACTCTTTCTCGCCGTCGCCACCGCCTACTACGTGGCGAAATTGGCGTACGTGTGTGTGCGCATTCGAAAATTCCATCGCAACATGAATGTGCTCATTTTGCTGTTCGCTCTTCAATGGTTCGAGGTGGTCGCGGCGAATCTGATGATAAAGCCGTACGAGACGGGAATGATGAGTGTCACAGGTGAGCGAGTACGTGTTATCGGGCCGCCAATGGCCAAACTTCGAGCTCAAAAACCGAGTCCAGTTGTTTCCAAACAACTCTCAATACTTTTGACTCATTCTCGGAAGCTCTTCCGCTTCCCAGCAATCTAATTTGCATACCTGGAATGTGAAAACATGTTTAGTTATCGAAAACATGTTCCTGGGAGAGTAGAACTAGTTGGAATCGGTTTTCAGATCAGAAAAGCCAAGCGGGCCGACAATTGAATGAATATTGTACATTTCCAGAGCCGGGCACAACGATCAAGCAGTGGTGGACGGACGACGAGACGGAAATGATCCGACTGGCCGACGTTTCCGACCAGTTCTACCTGTTCGTCGGCGGATTTCTCAAATGGCACTACATTCTCTCGATGTGCACAGTGCTCTTTGTGCTTTCGATCGAACGCGCGTTCGCCTGCTACTTCCTCAACGATTACGAGCAAAAATCGAGAAATTGCCTCCTCGTTTGTCTCGTTTTCGGATATCATGGCACTATTTTCGTCGCCAGCGTCTGCTTCTTCTACAACGCCGCTCATTTCGCGTTCGGAATGCTGTTTGTGGTCACGCCGAACGTCGTCGCTCTTTTGGTGAGTCTGTGGGGAATGGGAAATTCGATGAAAATCGTGTTTTGGTATCAGAAAAGAGTTTCGGAACTTGTTTTTGTTACAAAACCCGTTCCAGGGCAAGTTCAACAGAAAAGAAAAGAGCACAAAACATGTCTGGGTCTCAGTAAACACTTCTGGAACATGTTTTTCCGTGTCCACACAGCAAAACATGTTTCAACTCAGAGACAAGACGTTTCGCAACCAAGACCCTTTGAAGACGTTGATGAAAATTACATCTTTCAGTTGCCAAGTGTCCTAACCTAGTGCCTTGCAGATGTTCACCTACACACGAAACTTCAACCAGAGAATTCTGAAAGCAATCGAAGACTTCTCGAATCCGGCGGATTACTCGCTGCCGGCGAGGTTCCAGGTGCGCGAGAACATGCGTTGTTTTCAAATGATTTCGCGGGTTCTCTTCTCTGCATTCTGCCTCATTTTCTTCGGCTGCTCCGTCAATATTATCATGTTCTTCGAGCTGGCGCCCACGCTCGACCCACTTTGGAACCTGTTGTTCGAGTTTTCCATCCATTTGTGAGTGCTTTTCTAGACCCTCTTATTCAAAGCAACGTATCGCAGTTGTCTGTAGAGATATCAAAAAGTTGTCAACTGGGAAAATGTATAGAATTTCTTGGTGAACATTTTATTAGTTGACAACTTGTTGATATCTCCACTCGCAGCCGAGATATATTGTCTTAGACAAGTTGGCATCATTCCAGAAACCCGCTTCTCATCTGTCCGACGCTCATTTATTCTGTGGACGCGTGGCGCAATTTCTCCGTCACCGGACGCTTTTTTCAACGGCTCAGACTGAGAACATTCAACAAAGTGAGCTCGATTTCGTTCACGGACGCAAGTGGAGCGGTCGCCAGAACGGAGAAGAGTCGCAAAGAGACCGACGCCTACTTTGATCAATTGAACGCGGCGTGGACTTGATTCTAACTTGATAATATCTGTTTTATGTCACCGTGAAATCTTGCGAATCCGTCAACTTTTGCGTTTGTTTGAAGTTTGAGCTAGCCTCAACTTGCACCTGTACTTCCCGAGACACCCCCCGAATTAAATTAAATGAAAGTGCCGCCAAATTCTCGTAGTCTACAAACCTCTCATGCTCTAGCTAAAGTGCTCTTTCCGCCAACTTTGCTCGGATGATATTCGTCGTCAACTCTTCGCTGACCCTCAGTCATCCGAGCTTCATAATTCAAAATCAAATGCTATTGACGTTTCCCTACAATTTGTTGCTAGTACTCGAAGTTTGTCTCCACCTCCTCGCTCTATATTATATCATCATTTCAATATACATTTGCACAAAAATCCGAGCGTTCCACCGGAATATGACCGTATTACTCGTGATGTTTGCGTTACAATGGTCGGAAGCACTTCTAGCGAATATTTTTATAAAACCTTATGATATTGGCGTCTTCACCTTCCCCGAATTCGATAATATCATTATCAAACAGGGGTGGACTCTAGATCGCGATGTAATGTTGAAGATCCAAAAAATCGATAATCCCTCGGAGGTCCTTTTTTTCGTTGGCGGCTTTATAAAAATCCATTACATATTGACACTTGACACAATTTTATTTGCACTTTCAATCGAACGATTATTCGCATGCTTCATGCTGAATAACTATGAAAATGAGCCGAAAAACGCGATTCTGATCGGGATAATAGTTGGATATCAGCTCTACACTCTTCTATTATCAATCATCCTATTCTTTGTGCCCATTCAGTTTCGTCTACTTCTCATAATACTTGTGGCGCCGAACATTGCGGCTTTACTCGTAAGTTTATTATTACACCAATATTCCTAGAAGTTTAAAAGTGTGTTGAAGATATTTCTCTACGGAAGACACTACAATATACAAATCACAAAGCACATTGAAAACTTCTCGAGCCCGTCGCAATACACACTCGCGGCACGCTTTCAGGCGAAAGAAAACGTTCGGTGTTTTCAAATGCTGTCCATAAATATCGTTGTGATCTTTTCGTTTATAATGTTCGCATGCCTCGTCATTACTCTCATGTTTTTGGAGATTTTTCCTCAATTCGACTGGCTTTTCAACATGATCTACCAGTTTTTGACCCAATTGTAAGTTTATTTCATGTGCCAGAAACTATAAAGTACCCCGTAATTTGTCCAACTTTCAGATGTCCGCTCGTGTTTTGCCCTACAATCCTGTACACTGTCGAGCCTTGGCGCAAATTCGACTGGAAACTTTGTTCAAAACGGAACAGAACTCAAGACCAGATTGCGGAAAATCGAAGCACGCACGAGACGGACGCGCACTTCGAGCAACTGAGAGCCTCGTGGATTTGACCCGGAAAACGTTTGATCGGCAAGCAGGTGATCGAACCAGCAGCTGAAAAAACGAGAAATCTTGTCATTGAATTCATGCTCATACCTACCATAATCCGATGATTTTCGTTGTTACTTCCCCAAATACCATCCAAAACTTCACCCTCTTCTTCCCGCTTTTCATTTTACAAGACCGCCAACTGCTCCAGTTCCCCAACTCGCTTTTCCTAGGCCTTGAGTTGATTCTGAACGTTTTGGCCCTATACTTGGTCATAAAATGCGGGCGTTTGTGCTGGCAAATCCAGGTTTTTCACACGAACGCAACGGCGATTCTATTCTGTACGTGTGTCCAATGGTTTGAAATGTTGGCGGCCAACTTGATGATCAAACCCTACGAGCTTGGCGTCAGGAACGTCGAACCATCGGGAACACTGTTGAAACAATGGTGGACTGGGAACTCATCCGAGTATATTGTGCTTGGCTTACAGGTAAGTGCACCACTATAGGCCAATAAATGTTCGGAAAAGGGGCGCCAGGACACTGAAACCTGCTTCTTCATCCTGGCCGGATTCCTGAAGTGGCATTACACAGCCTCAATGGTCAACGTCCTTCTGGCCCTGTCAATAGAACGCTTATTCGCCTGCTACTACATCAGTGATTACGAGAAAAAGTCAAGGAATTGCATACTCATCGGAATAATGATCGGTTGGCACGTCTTCAGTCTCTTCACCGCCATAGTATGTTATTCTAACGTCGTCAGCTATTCGACGATGGTCATTCTTTGCAGTTTTCCCAATCTTGCAGCATTGGCGGTTAGTTTTCTTGACAATTGTCCACAAACTTTCAAGAATTACTGTACTTTCCGAAAACTTCCTGTCTAGTACATTGTTTTTGTAACGAACGTATCATAGCGGTGATAGTAGACGATTCGGAATTTTGGAACAACTTTTAAGAGCTCAGGGTGGTAGAAAAAGTGATTAGCTCTAAAAATGTAGTAGTGGACTTCAATTCAAGAGAGTTGATTCAGAGTTGAGCGGAAGAACACGGAAGAATTTTTTATCTTTTTTAGAAAATTTTTTCATGGAATGTGATCAACTGACGAAATGTTGAGCAAAGTGAACTCTGCTCATAGAAAAATAATTGTAAATTTAACTTTTTATACAAAAAAGTTATGTCCTTCCGTCTTCCGTTAGCCCCTTTTTTTCATGGAACAACTCGATTAACTTTTTTGTATGAAAAGCTAAATTTACAATTATTTTTCAATGAGCAGAGTTCACTTTGCTCTACATTTCGTCAGTTGATCACATTCCGCTAAAAAATTTTCTAAAAAAGATAAAAATTCTTCCGTGTTTGAGTTCTTCCGCTCAACTCTGCTACGTATCCACTTATTTCAGCTCTTCCTCTACGGCCGTCAGTTCAACTTGAAACTTATCCGAAGCCAAGCAATGTTTTTCACGCCCTACGCCCTGGCGGCTCGATTTCAAGCGCAGGAGAACATGAAATGTTTCCGCATGATTCAAAATGTGCTCATCGTCGCCATCCTCTTTGTTCTCTTCGACGCGCTGACCAATCTGCTCATTCTGTCCAACGCGGCTCCGTTCTTCGACACGCTCACCAATTTTATAATCAAAAATACCAGCAACACGTGAGTCGAGCACATTCGAGACGTTTTGCTCGATTCGAACAATTGCAGGTGTCCAGCACTGTCCACTTCTGTGCTCGTTTATTCGGTGAAATCATGGAGAAAGCATTGTTTCGTCCAAGTGCTCAACGAAAAAATCACAATGATCATCGAGAAAAGACAGAGGAGACGGCGAGTCGGGAACACGTTCGACAGGATCCACGCGGACACGGATGCCTATTTCGAACAACTTCACGCGGCCTGGAACTAACTTTGTCTTTTGTCTCTTTATTTGTTCAATCACAAATCTTTGAAAGTGTATGATTTTATGTAAAAAGTTTGAAAAATCAAGTCCAGGAAGCGGTGAGCTGATTGAAATAAGTGTCAGTGTCTTTGCGAATCAATTCGTTCTTCATCACACTTCCCTTCCGCATCGGCATAATTTCGGCGCTTCTTCTGCCGATTCGCTCCTTCGCGCGCTTGCAAATCAATATATTGTCGGTCAGATCGAACTTGCGCCACGACTCCACCGAATAGATCATAGTCGGGCAAATGACGAGCGGTCCTAGGCTCATCGCTCCCTGAATCATCGCATTGAGAAGGGTGTCGAGTTGGGGGAAAAGGTCGTAGAAGAGGATGAAGGCTATTGTGAAGCCGAAGGCGATGAGGAGCAGACCGGCCAGCACCACCGTTCGGATCATTTGAAAACAGCGGATGTTCTCTTTGGCTTGGAATCTCGCCGCCAGCGTGTAATGGTTCGGATTCGCAAAGTTCTCAATGGTTTCGGTGACTTTTAGGTTGAAGTGTTGAGCGGAGAGTAAGAGCTGAAAGGATTTTTGAGTTAGACGGGACTATACTTCTTTGAACCTCTATATCTCAAGATCCAGAGATTATTTCAAAAACTTGTCAACTAGAAAGTTGTTGCATTTTTTGTGCCTAACAACTTTGTAGTTGATCATTTTCTTGAAAACCCCGGCATTCTTGAGATATACACGCTCAAAGATGAGGGGTTTTTAGAGTAGAGCTTCGTAGACTTACCCCGATCCCTAGAGCATTCGGAATGAAATTGATCAAAACCATCCATATAAAATGAAACGTTTTAAAGTAGAGAAAAATCGTGGCAATCAAATTGAAGGCCTGATTAAGGGAAATGATCAGAACGGCTATCCAAATCCTGGACTTTTGTTCGTAATCACTGAGAAAGTAGCAGGCGAACGAGCGTTCCACGGAGATGATCATGAGCACTGTGGACATGGAGATGAGGTAGTGGATTTTTATAAATCCGGCTATGAAAAAGTAGATATCCTCTTGGTAGCTGACCACGTGGATCATTTGCGACTCGTCGTCAGTCCACCACTGTTTGATGGCATCGCCGGAGAGCGAGGGATCGAGGCCTGCCAGAAAAAGTGTTGTATCTCAAACACCTGAAGAGATGGCAAAAAGATGTCAACTAAGGAAATGTACAAAATGTTTTGACGATCAATTTGTCTGTTAACAACTTTTTGATATCTCTTAGGACAGCTGAGATATACAGTCCCGAAAAGGGTTGTTGTTCAAGTGTATAGCATAAAGTATACCTCTGAGAGTCCAGAACCCAGTCTCATAAGGCCAACTCATCGCATTCGCCAAAATCGACTCGAACCATTGACACGCGAATCCGACAACCAACGCCGTCATATTCTTGTGAAACGTTCGTATCGAGACGGTTATGTAAATGCACTTGAACACATAGCACGCTGCGACGACGTGCAGCACAATTTCAATCGATAATAGTAGAGTCCACGGAAACTCGAGCACTTTGAAGTTGTGCAGAATGAGAATCGGATAGCAGATTGTGTAGTTTTTTGTGGTGTTTCCGACGAAAAATAGCATTTGGGTGGCGGGTTGTGAAACAAACGAAAAGTGGGAGAATGGAAATTCGGAGCTTCGCACACTGAAACCCATTTTTCATTTTCACCTGCGTCATGACGAATATCGTGGAGTTTTGAACCACTTTCAATGATCCGATCGGATCCAAACTTTGCAGAATTGTTGGACACGGGTTGAGAGCCATTGGGACCAAGTTTCAGCTCGATCGGATCGTCGGATCCCGAGATATGTGGATCCGTGGACCGATTTTTGCCAAACAGCCCGGGCTTTCACATGATCCGATCGGGCTGAAACTTGGTCCCAATGGCCCTCAACCCGTGTCCAAGAAGTCTGAAAAGTTTGGTCCCAATCGGATGATTGCAAATGAAGACAGGTGAATTTGAAAAATGCATGTGCGACGCGACGCAACACATTTTCTGATAGACGTTACAGAATTTCTCCGCGGCCCAATGATATTTCTGATCGGCGCCAACGATGCCTCCTACAAGATCTTCCTGCCGATTTACATAATGCACGACGCGAAACTACAAACATTCCCCAATTTTTCGTTCATTTTACTAGAGCTACTACTCGACATTCTCGCCGTCTACTATGTGCTCAAATGTGTGTACATCACGGTCACAATTCGAACGTTTCACAAAAATATGACAATTTTGATTGTGCTCTTTGCCGCGCAATGGTTTTTGGTGCTTTTCGCGAACTTTCTGACGAAACCCTATGAAATGGGATGGCTAACGATTGGCGAGACTTCAAATCTGATTGTGAACTTTGTGTCTCAAAATCCCGAGTATATGGTGAAGGTGGCGAGCGGGTCCGGTCACGAGCTATTCTTTTTCGCCGGCTTTCTCAAATGGTATTATGTGTTTTCGATGGCGCACGCTTCCCTGGGGTTCGCTGTCGAACGGGCGGCCGCCTGCTATTTCCTCAACGATTACGAAAAGACGCCGCGAAGTTATTTGGCCGTTTTCATATTGATCGGAGTGCAGGGCTACAGTCTCGGCGTCACCTTTCTCATATTCTACAATCAGTTCTACTTTCCATGGCCCTACTTTTTGATCGGCGGTTACAATGGAATTAGCCTAATGGTGAGCCGAAAACATGCACATGTTTTGCATACTTTCAACGCTAATCTAATCATAAAACACGGTCTCCAGAGCTTACAATGGGCGCGCAAGTGCGCCCCGCCCAATAAGACGATTCATTGGCGCGAAATTCAAATTTTAACAGCAAAATTTGTGTTTTTTGCCAGATTAGACACGAAAAACCGATAATTTCTCATTTGTCTCTCGATAGACCGATTGTATAGGCTATTACGAATTTTTTAAGCGCAAGAGCGTCAAATTTGGTCAAGTCGCAAATCACATTTATCCGTTTGAAGGTTTTTGGCTAAAACTGCGTGAATTTCAGTTGCTTTTCGGTGATTTTTGCGGTTCGAGCGATCAAAATGCTTGTATTTACGTGATTTATCATTCTCAAAACCAATTCTGTCTGAAAACGGCCAAGAAAGCGCCGAGTCCGCGAAAGATGCGCCAAAACGTCATTAATTCTGAGAATTAGTGTGTTTTCATGTCGAACAATCATTTTTCATCGCCTTTGACCACAAAAATCAGAGAAAACGTGCTCAATTTATGAAAACGCCATTTGGCCGAGGCCACGCCCATATTGTCAGCTCTGGAGACCGTGTAAAACAATATTCCATTCAGCTCTTCTTCTACTGCCATCGATACAACACAAAAGTCACCGAAACGATTGAAAACTTCTCGAATCCCGACAATTACACGCTGGCGGCGAGATTTCAAGCCAAAGAGAACATCCGCTGTTTCCAAATGATTTACAAAGTGATAATAGCCGGAATCGTCAGTATCGTCTTCAACTGCTCCGTTCTCATTTTCATCTATTTGGGAACTTTCGAGCAGTTCGACAACACTTTGAACTTTTTATTTCAAGGCGTCTTCAGCTTTTTGTAAATTTATTCTAACTTCATTTTCTGATATAACAATGCTTTGTTCGTTCAGATGTCCGCTCATCATCTGCCCAACAATCATCTATTCCGTGGAGTCTTGGCGCAAATTCGAATTTTCAAAAAGCCCATTTTGGAAACGGATTCGAAAAATGAGAAATAAGAGGAAGGTTAACACCATCCCGATTTTAGTCAAGCACGAAAACATTCGAAAGGAAACTGACACCTATTTCGAGCAATTTAACGCGTCCTGGCGCTGACTTTGACTACATTATCTTTTTATCCGTTACCGATGCTCGGACAATGAGAAACTGAGATTTCGATGTGTGCAAAAGTGCGTGATGGTGTTTGCGTACACTTGGAACGCATAATAACGTTCCGAATTAACCCCTCAGGGGCCTATATTTCACTTACACTTTGTATAAACTAAGACTGACAGACTGATAAATAAACAAATGCCATGTACTTGATCTTTTTTCGAACTTAGATGTATTTTTAATGAATTTTAACTAATGTTATTGTATTTCTCACACATTTCGGTCTAAAATTCAACATGAAGCCTGGAAATACAATCCGATTTCGCGTAATCTTCGAAGCGTATCATTAATCTTGTTTCCGGTCGAAAGACGCCGTCGCCCGTGGCAACGCACTTTCAGCTGAATTCACCTTTTGTCTCCTTTATATATTTCTTCACTTCTGCCGCTTCTATTCCGCTTAATCCCGAAAATTTTGGCCTAAAATGGACAAATTCAGGAAGACTAGGGGGAAAATGGAGATTCCGCCGGATACAAAGTTGCGCATCCGATTGTGAGTTTTTATTAGCTGAAAAGTATTTAGAATATCAGAGAATCAACACATTTTAATGCGAAAACGATACGATTTCTGTGGTTTAGGTCGAAAATCTGATAAATCTGAAAATTTGCATTCAAAAATTGGCCATTCTCGGCCCAAAAAGTGTGCAAACACCACGGGTCCGCACGCGCTTAATTTGACGACATTTTTTAAAAATTACTTCAGCGAATTTCAGCTAAAGAATTAAATTTCAGCGGAAAATCGGTGATGCCGGTTGGAGAGACGAAGCGACTGCTGTCCGGCTACGAAATGCCCGTGTTCGGCTTCGGCACGTGGCAACTTTCGAGGGGAATCGCCGGCGAGCGCGTCCGCGAGGCCCTCGAGGTCGGATATCGGCACATTGACTGCGCGACGGGCTTCGGGAATCAGGCGGAGTGCGCCGAAGGCATCAAGGAGTGGTGTCGCATCCGCAAAGTCAAGGTTTGTACGCGAAATTTGCAAAAAAAATCGGGATTTAACGGAAAAAATCAATTTTGCAGCGAGAAGAGCTATTCATCTCGTCGAAAATCTGGAATACCTTCCATTCGTACAATCGGTGCGTGGAAGAGGTCAATAAAATCCTGGAGGAATTCGGCACCGACTACCTGGACTTGGTGCTCATTCACTGGCCGTACGGGTGGCTGGAGGGCGGCACGGGCACGGATTACCTGTTTCCGAGAGGGAGGAGCGGGAAAATGGAGCAGTCGACGGTGGATTTCATGGAAACGTATAGGGCTTTAGAAGCGGCGCATCGACAGAAAAAGATCCGGTCGATCGGACTGGCCAACTTCAATTTGAAGCAGATCGAACGGGTCTGGACGGAAAGCACGGTCAAACCGGCGGTGGTTCAGGTCGAATTGAATCCGTACATCACGCAGATGGACATCCGCAACTGGTGCTCCGAACGGGGAATTGTCGTGTGCGCCCACATGCCCATCGGAAATCCCGGATCGAATGTATTTCGGAAGAGCGGAGATCCGAACCTGTTGTACGATGACATTTTGCAGCCGATCGCGCGGGGGCATGGAAAGGTTTGTGGGCGGCGAAATGAAAAAACCGGTATCCAGAAATTCATTTTCAGACTGTCGTTCAAATAATTCTTCGCTGGATTTTCGACAGTGGCCTCACGGCCGTCGTCAAAACTTCTGATATGAGTAAGTATTTTTCCAGATGTTTCTGTAAAAAATCAAAAATTTGCAGAACGGATCAAACAAAACGTAAACGTGTTCAAATTCCGTCTGACACCCGAACAAATGGCCCAAATCGACTCGTTGAATCGCGATTTTCGAATTCTGAATCCGATTATCGGAAACTTCGAGAACCCGCATTTCCCGTGGCCGCATCGTCCGATTCAATAATTCTTCTACAATTTTCTGTATTTTTCTAACCATTTTCTATGTGCACACTGACCCTGTTTCTTCCGATTGTGATCTCATTGTGGTGATATTCATTTTGAATTTATTTACTTTTCAATTCTTTTTATCGGTAAACTCTCCATTCTATCTATTTCGTCGGAAAAAGACCGCCGAAACACTTTTCCGTCGTTTCTCTGCGCTCTCCCCCACTCTCATATTGTCGATTCTCGGCCGATTGTGGCCAGAAGACACCACAGTTCTCTTTTTAGTCGACCGACTCGCCTGTTTACCACAACACTCTTCTTTTCGTATTGGGTTTCGTAAATACGACATTTTTTCTAGAAAAAAGAGTTCTTCACAAGGTCGCCTGTGAACAATTTACAATTATCTTCTATTGTCGACTGAATTTGTTTTAATTTGACGCTGCCCATCATTTTCCACTCAATTTCCCACCTCTTGATCAAAAATCGGACTAATCGCACCGAAAACCAGTTTGTTGACTCAATTCCAGTAACTCCGCGTCCACTCTTGTTCCTCTACCGATTTACGCCGTTCCGACACACTCTTTGCGCGACACAATTTCCCTTCCAAAACACATTTCCAATTCAGAATGTCTTCGCAAACGCTCAAGCTGAATTCGGGCTACGAGATGCCGATAATCGGCCTCGGCACGTGGCAATCGAAGCCCGGAGAGGTGGCGGCGGCGATCAAATTGGCCGTTGCGGCCGGATACCGGCACATTGATTGCGCGCACGTCTATCAGAATCAGCAGGAGGTCGGCGCCGCACTCAAGGAGATCTTCGACGAGGGAAAGGTCAAGGTTAGTGGGGGGGGCCATTCGGACAGCTGTGAAAGTCCTGAGTTTGAAAGGATTTTAAAAATTCCAGCGCGAAGACTTGTTCATCACCTCGAAAGTATGGAACACGTTCCACTCGACGGCCCGTGCCCATGAGAACATCGCGACAATCCTGGCGGACCTGCAACTCTCCTACGTGGATCTTCTGCTCATCCATTGGCCGCAAGGATACGCGGAGGGCGAGGGACTGTTCCCGCAGGGCGAGAACGGAAAAATGAAGTATTCGGACGTGGACTACCTGGAGACGTGGAAGGCGTTGGAGGCGGCGCAGAAGGCCGGCAAGGCCCGCTCGATCGGACTCTCCAACTTCAATCACAAACAGATCGAGAGAGTGTGGGATGCGGCCGAGGTGAAGCCCGCGTGTCTTCAGGTGACTTCATCGGAGCATCATTTCTATAGTAACCGGGAGATTTCAGGTGGAATTGCACCCCTACTTCACGCAGCTCAAACTCCGCGAGTTCTGCAAGGGAAAGGGCATCGTGGTGGTCGGATACTCGCCGCTCGGCAATCCCGGATCCGCGTTCTTCCGCAAGGACGGAGATCCGAACGTGCTCACCAATTCGGTGGTGGCCGAAATTGCTAAGGCGCATGGAAAGGTTTGTAAAAAGGGGACTAGGAAAAGCTAGGCCAGCTGTTGCCTAGATAGAGCTAAGGAAATCTTCAACCACTAGAGAATAGGAAAAGCTAGACCACTGCTGACATAGGAAACGTCGGCTATCATCCATTTATGAGAGAGACTAGAAATAATAAGGCCAGATTTCGTGGCCCAGAAAACTCTACTCATCCATATTGGCAGGGATTGGAAAAGCTAGGCCACAATCGCATGGCCTAGAAAACCCCAACCTCCCCATCCATCTACCCGTAATCTCTTGCAGACCCCCGCGCAAGTGGTCCTCCGTTGGTTCATCGACAGCGGCATCTCGGCCATTCCGAAATCGGTCACTCCGCGTAAGTTTTATCCAAAAATCGTATTTAGCGGGTCTCGCCACGAACTGCTTTTGTGAAACTTAGTGCTGCGCCTTTAATATTGTACCACTTTCCAGTTTTGCGTTTCCAGCAATAAAAAACAAAGCAGCTAAAGACGCGGAACTAAATATTAACGTTCAGGAATTTTCATTCGTGGCGAGACCCAATTAGGGAAAAGCGTGGAATTTCAGTGAAACTCTTTTTCTTCGTACTCACCCACCCCCCGTTTGTGCCCCTACTTTTCGCCCATTTTTCAGACAGAATCTCGGAGAACTTCTCCGTGTTCGACTTCAAACTCACTCCGCATGAAGTCGCTCAAATCGACGGTCTCGACAAGAATTGGCGCATTGTGGACCTGAGCCAGCGCGATGGAGATCACCCGCATTATGGATTGAATTAAGAATTCTGAATTATTTTGTGAAAAAAAAACCCCACCCACGCTTTTCCCTATACTTTCCCCCCTGAAAGCATGCCCATTTTGCAAGTCGCCGCTTTTGTAAATTTTGAAATAAATTATACCATGTATTGGAATGCGAATCTTGCAGAACGAATCCGTGAGAACTTTGCCATTTCCGACTTCCGCCTCACCGCCGACGAGCTCAAATCAATCGATAATTTGGACCGCGCGTGGCGACTCGTGGATCCGACGGATCGGGACGGAGATCACCCGCACTTTGGATTCAGCGAACAATTCTAGACACAAAGTATTGCTCCAGTTATTTGGCACAAAAATGTGTAGACTGTGAAAATAGTTTATCGATTTTTTGAATAAAAATTAGACGGGAATCTGAATCTCGACATTCAATCGCAACGCCTGACAAATGAAGGGCAACTCGAGGGAACACGTGGAAATGCTCCACGAACCGTCCGAATCGAGCACTCCGCAGCCGTCGAGGCTCGAAAAGTTGGAGAAATGGTCCGAGTGCGTCGGCGGTCGTTCATCGACTTCGGTGCGAAGACCGAACCACGCGACAGTGATATTGTGCGCTTCCATGAGCAGAAAAGTGGCAAACGCGTTCTTGGACTCAGTGTCCAGATAGGCCAAGTGGCTGCCGAGCTCTTCGCAGTGCACCTGAATACAGTTTATTGAGCACACTTGGAAAAAAGGTGCACACACCTGAGCGTCATTCCAATTTTTGCTCTCCTCGAACAGTTTGTACTTGGTGCCGGCTTCGCTTGTATTCCACGAGTGTTGAAGTGCTTCTTGCATTGTTTCCAGTCGATTCTGCAGATATTCCATTCGTTCGTGGAACTTTTCAGAGACAGAGCCCGAGCCAATTCTCGCATTTCTGCTCGCTTCCACCAATGTGTTTGGCGACTTTTTCTGGAAGCATTATAGGTTGAAAGGACACTTTGCAACTTTCTGTAACTTTTGATAAGTCTGGTCACAAGCTAAGCAGTTGGGTCGAAGTTTCCGCCGCTTTACAACTATTGCGCTTTGAAACTTGGACATTTTGCAACTGAGACGCTTTGCGACACCACGATTAAACATTTATCACATTAAAATGAAGTATTTTGATGAGAAATACGACTCTCTAAGGCACTGAGGCATTTTTTTGAGACATAACCTTGTTGAACAACTTGTCGACGGCCTTCTTCCCGTACTTGAGAATTTTCGACGGTTTCCTGGGTCCGGCCACTCCGATGCCCAGGTCCTTTTTCACGAATCCGACCGCCTTCTGCACGTATCCGCCCGTTTCGACCTTCTCTTTCGCCCGTTCGAACAACGATTTCTTTGTGGTTTTCGGACGACCCGCAACTGGTTTTTTTGTGCTCCTCTTCGAGCCGACTCCAACTTTTCCTTTCGCCCAGTCGATTTTGGAGCGTACCCACGATTTGTCGGGTTTTGACGGTTTTTGCGTGATCTTTCGAGATTCCACCTTGAAATGAGATAGCCTTTAAGGAACATTGTTTCAAAAAAAAACAAGTACCTGGACCAAAGAACATACACAGATCAACAATAGCATAGAAATCAGTAGCCTCATTCTTTGACTCTCACCTCTTTGACTCATAACACATATTTTATAGGCATAAACATTTTCGCACAATATCCGATTACATAATGATATCATCAAAAAAGTATCACTTTCAAATATCAACACTGGTCCTCACGAGCTGACAAATAAACGGACGGAGCTGAACGCACGAACGGATCGACCAGACACCCTTGGAATCGATGACTGCGCATCCGTCTATCGGCGACTCCGAATCGAAATTTGTGAATGTTGAGCTCTGCGTCGTCGTCTTCGTCTTCATGCCGATCCACGCAAAGTCAGCCGTCTCACTGCCGTTTATCAGGTCTGGAAGTACGATTCTTGCGACACGCATCTTTGAACGCCTATATCTCGAGAACCAGAAGCTATTTGAGTAAGTGATCAACTGGAAAGTTGTTGCAAATTTTGTGTTGAGTAACTTTCTAATTGATCACTTTATCTGAAAACTTGTTGTTTTTGAGTTATGCTCTGGTTTTTGAGCAGTATTCGCAACTTGCCAACACTTAGCTACCTAATAACTCACTTTTAACAAAATTATTCTTAGCCTCATTATCAATGATGGCCAAATGAGCGCCGAATCCTTGACAGTGTCTCTCCGCAGTATCCCAATTCTTGCGTTCCTCAAACAATCGATACTTGGATCCGCTCTCGGTGACATTCCACTCTTTCAGCAGAACATTCTGCATCCCCTCCACTAATTTCTCCAATCTCTCCACTTTTTCGCGAAGCGTCTGGATTTCCGATTGAGTTCGACCCTCAAAGTTGCCCAATTGAGTCGGGAACTCTTCATCGGTCGAGAAGAAACTGGATGAGCCACGGAAGTTCTGCAAACGTTTCAAAACGGTGTATCTCAACAACCGGTGGAGATATCGAAAAGTGGTCAACAAACGAATTGCTCATTAGGAAATTTTGTACATTTCGTTAGTTGACAACTTTTTGATATCTCTTGTGAGAGCTGAGATAAACAAAGTTTTCAACGGACCTTTTTAATTTTCTCCAAAATTTTAGGCCCCAGCTTTTCGACGGCCTTTTTCCCGTATTTTATCACTAGATTCGGCTTGTTCGGGTCTGTCGAACCGATGTTCAGCACGGATTTGAGTTTGTCGAAGGCTCGCGAGAAAAAACCCGGTGCCGGCGGTTCAGGAGGGGTTACTGTAGTTGTGGCACCGTCAAAGTGCGTAACTGTAACCTTATCTACCAAAGAGTTAGGGGTTGTAGTGGTAACTTCAAGTGATACTGTAGTTCCCTGGGTTACTGTACTTGTCGTGGTGAGACCCAACTTCTCTCTAGCTCTTTCCAGCAAAGACTTGCGTGTTGTAGTGGTAACTTCTGCCACGTCATCACCACCACCACCACCAGTAACTATTCCTAGTCTAGACTTCATTCTATCCAACCAAGACCCATGAATTCCCTTAATTTTGGGGACTACTGTACTTGTTGCCAAACCGAATCTATTCCTGAGTCTATCCGAAAAACGTGGCGATACAGTGGATACAGTGGACGTGTCAACTAGACGCCTACGCTTTGGAGTTACGGTACTAGGCCTCGGGGTACTGTAGGTGGAACCCTTTCGACGGAAACCCGCGGCCCACTCCTGAACCCTCGTCACTTTTGACCGAATCCAGCCGGGAGAAGGACGCCGAGTTGTGCTGCCGGCCTAGAGTTTTCACTATTTTTTTCAATTCAATGTGCTTTTGGTTGTAAAACGGCGAAACGTGACTCACAAACTGCGTCTGAACGACGACGACGACGACGGCCAGGAGAATCACGAGAATCGATCGCATTTTTGTGTAATTGAAATGAAATTGAACGAAGGGAAGGAAGGTCAGAGGAAGAGGAAAAAGAAGAAGAGAAAGACCAGTTGAAATGATATCAAATCAACACAAACTTTGTCGTTTTCCGTTTCTGTGGGTCTTGTTTTCGCATCTTTTGGCGGTGTTTGACGAAGAAAAGTGAAGGGAAATGACGTTTTTTTCTTAGGAAATGATAATATTAATCGCTTTCTGGATGACATCATAGTACTTACTGTACTACTTTTCCAAATTGAGCGAATTACTGTAGTTGTTGCCACGTCAGCGGCGGCGAAGTGTTTCTAGACGATATTGTAGACATAATCAAAGTTTTTCAGGCTTATCAGTCAAGTGGAAGAGTTTTTGTACTTGAATAGACCAACTTTATTAGAACAAACCTTTATTACACCCATAATAACGAAACACTTTAACTCAACCAACTCGGCGACGCGAATACCGTAACCATGGCTCCATTCGACTCGATCGCGGGCGACAACGCGTAAGGCGACAAAATGATTCCGGACACGTACTGCGGGGACAGTACCTGTGGGGACAGCACGAAAGGGGACAGGACCAGCGGGGACAGGGCGAGAGGATTCAGAATTAGGGGGGTCAGGGCGAACGGGGACAAGATGAGGGGGGTCATGACTTGAGGGGAAAGAATGAACGGACAGAGAACCAAGGGGGACAAGATGAAGGGATTGAAGACTCCCGGGGACAAGATGACAGGGACCAGCGCCAGAGGGGACAGGATTATGGGAGCGAAGACGAAGGGGGTGAGGATGACGGGGGAGAGGACACGAGGCGACAGGATGACGGGCACGAACAGCCAGGGAGACAGCACTATGACGCCGAATATTGCGGGCGACTGGATCAGAGGGACCATGAGGATTGGGGAAAGGATAAAGGGCTGCGAGGCGAGGACCGGGTTGTTCACGACGGCGGTGGCCACGACCGGAGACAGTACTACGTCCTTCTGCCGAACCTCAAACTTCAGCCTCTCGTCGGCGACGTCCTTGATCGTCGCGTGGATGGATCTTTGAATCTGCGCGTGCGTCATGTTGTCGTAAGTGCGCAACAAGTTTGGATTCCGGAACGGCGATCCGTTCCCGTAGACCAAGTGCATCTGGTTGCCCGTGAGCACCGTGTATCCGGTGGTGTTCATGTCGTTGAGCTGCTGCACCGAGTACGTCTTGTCCAGGCGCTCCATCAGTTCGATCTTGCGCGCCTCCCTCGGGAACCGCTCCGTCACGTTCTCCTTTGTAAAGTAGAGGGGCTGACCGTCCGGTCCCCGGCCCATCGCGTCGTCTTTTCGGCGTTGCGCGTCGAGCAGCTTCTGCTCCGCGTCCTCCACCGCCTCCGAGACGCCCGTCGCTTCCACCAGAAAGTCCAGAAAATTCTGCGAATCCTGTGCGCTCATCGTCGTGCCCAGCACCGATTTGAGCGACGTTTTCTGTTCGAGATCTGTGCCAGAGTTGTGGAGGGAGAACAGTGAAGGGGACAGTAGGTCTATCTGAAATATAGATGCCGCTAGTGCTTCTATAAGTTCTCAGAACCCTACCTCTTGCTCCTTAGCTTCCTGGTCCTCCGGAATTACACTCAAGAATCGGGGACTCATCAACTTCAGACTTTTCCTATCGAAATCGCTGATATTCTGTCCGCCTAGGCTCAGCCCGAGTTTGGCCGCCTGACGGATGATATCCATTGGGATCATCAACACTTTCTCCTCTTCTGTCATGTTTGTACTCTTTTGATGGAACATTTCACGCAGTTCCTCGTCTTCTATGTACTTTTCCATACTCGCAAAGTTCTGCAAGGATTTCAAGATGCTTTGCGTTTCTGGAATTTTAGAATTTACTCACCCTCATGGTACTATCAATATTTCCTCTTCTTTGCTTCTTCTCCTTCCGCTCTCTGCTCGCGGAGCTCTCCCAGGACTCCCCGGATCTGGGCGCAATCCGGGCGGCCTCCTGGAACACCCGCATCCGTTTTCTGTGCACATTCTCCACCTGCTTCCGCTTCTTTATCAGCGCCCCTTCCTTGCGAATCCGCTCGATCACATCCTGCCATTTCGACAATTTCTCCTTCTTTTTCAGCATTTTCACAGTGTTTGCGAGGTGTTTGGTGATTATTGAGAAGGGGGATCTAGAGGTAAAATATGAGATGGAACACGGGAAAGTAAGGAGTTACCTGTCAAAATCTGATTTGAGACTGTAGCTCTCTGCTTTTTTGACTTTAATCTCTCTTTTTGCCCTCCTGAAAGAGCCCACCCAATTCTGCGAATCCTCGGAACTCTTCACAATCCTCTTCCTCTTCTTCTTCTTGTTTTCCGAACTCTTCGACGCTTCATAACTCTCCAGACTCGTCAACTTTTTCAGTTTTTCGGAAGACTTGCTCCTCGCCGCCGTTTTCTCGATCGAACTTCTCTTTTCTAGAACAAGTGGGATTTTCGCCGGGAAACGACCCGCAAGTACCGTACTCTTATCGAAATACTTTTTCCGTTTCAGCCACCGATTCTGGAGTCCGTCGGTCTCCAACTCGACCAGACACTTTGCATGACTCTTTATGTCGATCGCCTTCGATGCGCACTTCTCGTGCTTCTTCTTGTCGTACTTCTCCACCAGTTTCAGCCTGAACACGCGACACTTTGCCACCGGGGGGACACTTTGCAACCAACCGACCGTCTCGTGGCGATCGCCGAAATGAGTCCGCTGAATGCCTGATCCGTCCAGTGCTGCATCAGCTCCTGTCCAGACTCTTTCGAAATCGGAATCGACAATACTTTGTCCTTGTAGTACGGAGATGCCTTCACGTCTTTCACATCCAACGCCACCTCGATTTCCTTCTCGATCTTCAGGTTTGCACCGACTTCTGAAACTTGTCACTTATGCAACTTCACATTAAACCTTAAAATATTATCGGACTGTGCTAACTCTTACTTCTATAAAACGGTCAGAGTGACTGTCAACATTCCAAAATAGTTACAATCATACTAGGCTCTAGCCCAATGAAACTTTGTCAAGCTAAGGTAAAACTCGAGCGACAACTAACATTACAGCAATCACGGGCCGGCAAAGCATACGGAGGAGTGGAAATTGTGAAGCTGTAACTTCTCTCAGAAACCTTACATTTACCTCTGACCTGGCTCATTTTGAAGAATCCAGTAAAATTGAACTCTTATCAAAAAATCAGAGGTCCCTATGTTCGATTTCTGGAGATATATTGAACAAAACCGAAAGTCCTATGTATGAAAAGCCGAGCCGTGGCAATCTAAAAAGAATACACGACGGCTAAATGTCTACAATGTACAGTAGTAACTTAGTTTTAGTTAATGTACATCAATTGTTCAATAGCATACTGGTACTCTGTTAAAAGTACAGTAATCCCCCACTCACCCATCACAATCATCACCCAAACAACAGCGAAAAGGTTCGAAAACCAAAAAGTGTTCATCGTGCATCAAAATGCGGAACGTTTCAAACCCGCCGCTCTTTTATATGTGCCCCCCTTCACCCTCCTCCCAATTATATCGTGTAGTCGGTATTCCAGAAGGTCTCCGAACGCGGCGAGGTCAATTAGTGACTGATGCACTTTCGGTCGACGACGAAAAGCGGCATTATCAACTGGACGGGGAGCCTAAGAGGAGCGGCGATAGTTCGGGAGAATCGGCGAGACGGAGACGGAAGATTTGACGGCGAAAATGATGGGATTAAAGTGGTGCGGGCGAGACATCGGGACGAACGAACTTTTTAATGGAATCCTTCCATTCCCCCGCCCACCTATTCTCCTATTGTACGCACTTTTGAACTATTATCATTCATCATAAGGTACTGTAGCTTTTATGCCAGTCAACAACATTTCATAGTAGGTACATCATGGTGACAGTACAAGTTACTCAGAGAATTTTAAGCAGAGGTGCGGCACGTAGCGAGCAAGTTGCTGCACAGAACAGCATGGGTGCAGCAATTTGAACGCGAGCCTGTATCGAGCACGTGAGCAGCATAGTAGCAGCACACAGTCAGCATGGGTTGAGCATGGATGCGGCAAGCAAACGATATAACGGGAAAGTGAGGAAGCAATCTCGATCCGGTCGGCACCCATGCTGTTCTGTGCAGCAACTTGCTCGCTACGTGCCGCACCCCTGCTTAAAATTCTCTGAGTACCGATGATCATTTTCCACACAAAAGTCCAGTTTCCCGTCTCGTGTCCATCAATGATTAAGCGTGTCTGTTCGACAAGCATTTTTCGATCTCTTTTTCGCATTTACCGGAGACCCGCCATTAATCACGCCCATTATAACAACGATGCGACACAATCGCCCGGTGTAGACAGAAGTGATAAGAAACTCGGTTGGAATGGGGTGATAGAGATGTCTGATTGGGCTGAGGGAGGAGGCTTCCGATGATAAGCCGCGGAGTGGAATTCGGAAATTTGCTATGAAAGTGTCTTTTAAGAGCCTTAAGCCTCAAGGGGTTGTGTATGTAAAAAACGTTCAGTTTATAAATACTTATTATTATACCCATATGAAACATCACAATATACAAAAATTCTCTCTAACTCAACCAACTCGGCGAGCCGAACACCGTAACCATGGCTCCATTCGACTCGATCGCGGGCGACAACGCGTAGGGCGACAAAATGATTCCGGTGACGTACTGCGGGGACAGTACTTGTGGGGACAGCACGAAAGGGGACAGGACCAGCGGGGACAGGGCGAGAGGGTTCAATATCAGGGGGGTCAGGGCGAACGGGGACAGGATGAGGGGGGTCATGACTTGAGGGGAAAGGATGAATGGGGAGAGGAGCAAGGGGGACAGGATGAAGGGATTGAAGATGCCCGGGGACAAGATGACTGGGACCAGCGCCAGAGGGGACAGGATTATGGGAACGAACATGAATGGGTCGAGGATGACGGGGGACAAGATACGAGGCGACAGGATGACGGGCACGAACAGCCAGGGAGACAGGACCACGGAACCGAAGATGGCTGGTGACTGGATCAGAGGGACCATGACGGCTGGGGAAAGGATCAGGGCCTGCGAGGCTGTGACCGGGTCGTTGATGATGGGGGTGTTCACGATCGGCGACAGGACAATGTCTTTTTGACGGACCTGCAAAGAGTTGACTACTTTTTAACAATCTGAGCGTTTCTGGAAACACTGCTTGACCCAGAACTTTTTGAAATTTCTGTTGACTAACGAACGCCGTTGTTACATTTTCACCACCCGAGGATAACAAAAAGGTGTCAACTGAACAATTGTTCGATACAAAATTTAGTACATTTTCACCGTTGACAACTTTCTGATTAAAGAACCGAACACAAGTACGGTTTTCCTAATTCGCAAGGCTAAACGACCCAATTCCAATCATTTTTTAAGCGTGTCTGCCGAACCTCAAACTTCAGCCTCTCGTCGGCGACGTCCTTGATCGTCGCGTGGATGGATCTTTGAATCTGCGCGTGTGTCATGTTGTCGTAAGTGCGCAACAAGTTTGGATTCCGGAACGGCGATCCGTTCCCGTAGACCAAGTGCATCTGGTTGCCCGTGAGCACCGTGTATCCGGTGGTGTTCATGTCGTTCAGCTGCTGCACCGAGTACGTCTTGTCCAGGCGCTCCATCAGTTCGATCTTGCGCGCCTCCCTCGGGAACCGCTCCGTCACGTTCTCCTTCGTAAAGTAGAGGGGCTGACCGTCCGGTCCCCGGCCCATCGCGTCGTCTTTTCGGCGTTGCGCGTCGAGCAGCTTCTGCTCCGCGTCCTCCACCGCCTCCGAGACGCCCGTCGCTTCCACCAGAAAGTCCAGAAAGTTCTGCGAATCCTGTGCGCTCATCGTCGTGCCCAGCACCGATTTGAGCGACGTTTTCTGTTCGAGATCTGTGCCAGAGTTGTGGAGAGAGAATAAGGACGGCGATATTATATCGATCTATGTAGAACAAGAACAGAATAGTCTCGGACGAAGCGTCTTTTACCTCTTTTTTCTTGGCATCCGGATCATCGGGCAGCACACTCATAAACCGCGGACTCAACAATTTGATAGACTTTCCCTCGAAATCTGTAGTGTTATGACCAGCGATGCTGAGTCCGAGTTTGGCCGCCTGACGGATGATATCCACTGGGATCATCATGAGCTTCTCCTCTTCTGTCATGTTTGTCGTCTTCTGATGGAACATTTCACGCAGTTCCTCGTCTTCGATGTACTTTTCCATACTCGCAAAGTTCTGGAATTTGGTTGTTTGGTAACTACAACCTGAGACCTAGATTTGTGTCGCAAATGACTCTCAACGTCGGTTTACTGTTGCATAACTATCAAACAGTTGAATATAGTAAACTTACCCTGATAGTACTGTCCATCTGCCGTCTCCTGCTCTTCTTCTCCTTCCGCTCTCTGCTCGCGGAGCTCTCCCAGGACTCCCCGGATCTGGGCGCAATCCGGGCGGCCTCCTGGAACACCCGCATCCGTTTTCTGTGCACATTCTCCACCTGCTTCCGCTTCTTTATCAGCGCCCCTTCCTTGCGAATTCGCTCGATCACATCCTGCCATTTCGACAATTTCTCCTTCTTTTTCAGCTTTTTGACAGTGTTTGTGAGTTGACGAGTTATCAGTGAGAATGGGGTCCTGGATGGAAAAGTTTAGTGTTAGAAAGGATGGCTAGGGGGCTTACATATCATCTTTTGTCTTGATCTCGTACGTAGCTGCACTCTTCACTTTAATCTCTCTTTTTGCCCTCCTGAAAGAGCCCACCCAATTCTGCGCCTCCTCGGAACTCTTCACAATCCTCTTCCTCTTCTTCTTCTTGTTTTCCGAACTCTTCGACGCTTCATAACTCTCCAGACTCGTCAACTTTTTCAGTTTTTCGGAAGACTTGCTCCTCGCCGCCTTCTTCTCGATCGAACTTCTCTTTTCTAGAACAAGTGGGGATTTCGCCGGGAAACGACCCGCAAGTACCGTACTCTGATCGAAATACTTTTTCCGTTTCAGCCACCGATTGTGGAGTCCGTCGGTCTCCAACTCGACCAGACACTTTGCATGACTCTTTATGTCGATCGCCTTCGATGCGCACTTCTCGTGCTTCTTCTTGTCGTACTTCTCCACCAGTTTCAGCCTGAACACGCGACACTTTGCCACCGGGACACTTTGCAACCAACCGACCGTCTCGTGGCGATCGCCGAAATGAGTCCGCTGAATGCCTGATCCGTCCAGTGCTGCATCAGCTCCTGTCCAGACTCTTTCGAAATCGGAATCGACAATACTTTGTCCTTGTAGTACGGTGATGCCTTCACGTCTTTCACATCCAACGCCACCTCGATTTCCTTCTCGATCCTCAGGTTTGCATCGACTTCTGAAAGGTTTCGTCTCTAGTTTTGTGCTACAAATGCCTACCTGGAACTCTAAAAACAGCCGCCAAGACGCTCAGAAAGCGAAGAGTGCGAAAGATCATATCAGAAGTCAGAAGTCGTGGCGGAATGTCGCCACCACGTCGCCCTTTTATACGGACTCTCCGGGCGTCGCCGCGCAAATCGCACGGAGTTAATTAAGGCTTAAACGAGACACACAGACGCTCTTGAGACGTGAATTATTTGTTGAAACTTCCTAATGGGCGACGGCCGAAAAGTCTAGGAGGAAATATTGTGGATTGGTGAGAAAACGATAAGAAAAGATAACATTTTGATCGCTAATTGAGAGAATGCACACTTGACTGCCTCTAATCCGCCCCGTTGTCCTCTCTCTCTCGGTCGAAGAGGAATCAACTTTCGGTTTCCGCACTGAACTTGATCAGTCGGGACAAGGTGCGTCTGCTGAAGATCACTTCATCCTGTTAGGACAACCGATTTATGGGGGACACGGTAAGGCTGAAAGCACCCTTTTTCGGGGGAAGATCACAGATTTTGTGTTTTCACAAAGTCAAAAATCAGTTTGAAAGATAATCTTGCCCTTAATAATTTTGCAGTGTTCATTTTTTATAATCTCTCTCTTACCTTGAAATATCTCCATTCTTCTTTGCGTTTTTTAACTGAAATTTAAAAAAAATATATAGTTCAAGACATTTGTGAGTAAAATTTGTGTGAGCAAATAAATATAGCTACCATGACAAGGGAGACGAATCGGAATGTTCTAGGCGAAACAAAAATGGCACAGAATTTTTGGGGCAAAACGTTAGAAGTAGTACAAAGTTACAGAATTCTCTAAAAGCGCTATTGAAGGGGATGTTGGGCGGATTCGTCGAGTTCCGGAAAGACGTGCAGGAGGAGCCGGTCGACGAGCACGTAGAGGAGCTGTTTGTTGAGCCGCGGGTACTGTAGGGCGGTGATGATCGGCGAGAGCACTTGTTTCACGTCGTGGCGCCCGATGAGACGTTGTGCGTGGACGGGGATCTGCAAGAATAACAAATTTTCATAGGAACTTTCAATGCTTTAAGAAATTTAGCCGTGGCCGGTCGAATAGGAAAGACTAGACTTTTTGCCATTTTCTGCCCTAAATTCCCGAGTTCTCTGCATGCTCACATTATTCTGAAAGTATTCGAGAGTGCGCCGCCTCGCCAACTCCTCCCTCATCCGCATTTCCTGCTCCGTCGGCCACGGTTCTTCGTTGCAAAACAGAGACCATTGGATGTGTTGGACGAGGAATGTCAGATTGGATACCGATAGCGAGTTCTGGAAGGATCCGATTGGAGAAAAAGTTGCATTTCTGACGGCAAAATACCTTAAAAACCTGTCCGAAAAGTGTGCAAATCATCGAGTCAATCGTATTTTGGCATAGGGATCGGATGGCCGAAAAGACTGGCGCCGCCCATTTGAATTGAGATTTCAGAGGCGTCCACAGGAGGAGAAGGATCGAGTCGTAGGCCGAGCTGAACAATATTTACTTAAAGTGGGTCATTGCACCTATTTTGCTTCAAGACAAACACTTTTCACCCTATCGCTATTATCAATTATCCGATTGGACCCTAACCTTGCCAGATTATCCAAGTCAGAATAATCCAATGAAACTTCCAAGATAGACATTCTATGACAAGACCGATATACTGGTAAAGTTAGGGTCTGCACGAGTTTCTCTATATTCCCATCTTTCCGCGTGAAACCCTACCTAGTCCACAACTCTTGGCCATTATTGTGTGCTCCGCGGCTCGCCCGTTCTTTATCCACGATCCCATCGAAGTTATTGCCGTACACCGATGAATAAATGGCATTCGTGGCCAGATAGGCCCGTTCCCCGTCCGCCTCCGTCTCGCTCCCTGCCACTTGGACTCGTTCCGCCGGAGCAAGTGTGTGCGCGAGGGTCTTCAGAAGGTACGGCTTCAGATTCTGACCCTTCTCCCTTCCGAGCTTCCCCGGCATCTTTTTGACCACCTTCCACGGATTCAGGTCCCCGAGGGTCAGTGTTTCCCGGAACTCTTCGTTCGACGAGAGGAACGTCAGAAGAAGTTCGGATCGATTCAGGAGACGTTGTTTGGAGAGTGTGGAGAGGAATGTGGAGAAGATGAGACGGTGCTGTTCCATGAACGGTTTGTCGCGTGTCACAAAGGTCCGACGCGTCGGAAGCGGCGAGAATCGCAGCGAATCGCCATGGAATTCATTCAGTTTCGACTCGAGCACGTAGAATTCGTTGAACGAACGATGGATTGACCAGCGCTGAGTTTCGTGCGGTTTCGCGTCCGGGCGCTCCACTTCGATGATGAACACGAAACTTACGCGGTCTGAAAAAGCTGGGTTGCAAGTTGGGCAATCAATTTTTAGCCTAAAAAAGCAGAAAAGATTCGCTTCGGACGGTCCCGAACTTTTACTGGTTGTAAATGGTCCCCAGACAGTTGCAGCAGTTTTGACAGTTTTGTAGCAAAAAATCAATTATTATCATTTCTACAGAGAAAAATTGGACTTTGTGGTACATTAAGACCCCGATTCTAGTAGAAAGATAAAAAAGATTCGCACCGGACGGGATTCGAACCCGCGAGGTCTTACGACCATAGAACTCCCAAAGTACTACGCCTTAACCACTCGGCCACCGGTGCACGGGACTGAATTGGACACTTCCCACTCATCCTCCAACTTCTAGGGACCATTTACAACTAGTAAAAGTTGTAAAACCACTATTGAATACAAATACGAGTGGTTTTATTACGGTTTCTGGTTGTAAATGGTCCCTAGAAGTTGGAGGATGAGTGGGAAGTGTCCAATTCAGTCCCGTGCACCGGTGGCCGAGTGGTTAAGGCGTAGGAGCTTCAGGGACTCCTATGGTCGTAAGACCTCGCGGGTTCGAATCCCGTCCGGCGCGAAATTTTTTTGCTTTAAAACACGACATGTTCATGTCAATGAATAGTTTCGATGCAAACCTGAAATGCGATCGCGAAGTCCGCTGACTTGCGACACATTCACTTTCCAGCAGTTCAGATCGATCGGCTCCGGGTCCATAACCAATCCGGGCGTGGGCGGCATCGTCGGCCGCATCCCCTCCTCCTCCCCGTTCACTTCGCCATCCGCGTCGATCACATCAATCTCGGGAACGGGAATGCTCACGTAGGAAGAGGAGGTCGTCGAGGACAGCGATTCGGGCGTCTCCACTCCGTTCTCCTCCTCACCGACCGAAGTGAGTGCCTTCCGTACGCGGGCTCTCAGTTGCGAGAGGGAGAACGTTCGTTCGACAGGCGCGGGGCCTTTCTGCCGTTCCTGCTGGTCGATCAACTCGTTGATGGTGACGGGCGGGGAGCCGCAGAGGTAGCCGAGGAAGCACTCCGACTGGCAGAACGAGACGACGTGCGTGGATTGCATTCGGCTGTACACCTCTTGGTACGACTACAATATTCATTGGTCTTAACGGAGAAAACAGTTCTGAACTGATCAAAGGCAGGTCCAACATGATAGAACTGGGGAGAATAGAACCACGACATAATATAACTGTTTGGAGCGCCTTTTAAACCTTTCTGTAGAATAATTGTTTTATAGAAAAAGATAATTTCTGAATCTCGTGATCGATTTATTGCATTCATTAATTTCACTTCCGTCGTGATCCCTCTTCTCTACGGTAACGAAAACACACAGAAAATAATTTTATTGTACTATCAAAAACGAAAGGAAACCAATTTTCCAGGTATAAACTATGGTCTTCTGCTTAATTGTTCGAGAGACGAAAACTTTTGCGAAAGTTAAATGAAAGGAACGGACAAAATGCTCATATAAATACACGAAAACAGTTCTATTATGTCGCGGTTCTATTCTGCCCACTTCTATTATGTTGGATCGCCGATCAAAGTCCTATATCACAGCTAAAATTTTATGCCGGTCTCGAAAAAATTTTCAGAAATTGTCGTTTCAAGATGGACATTTCAATTTGAAGAGAAAAATCGAATTTTGACATAAATTTTTGCTCAAACAGTCACTATGATTCTCCCGGATCCCATACCGCTTCAATAATGCCCTCGAGCACGTCCAAATCGTTGACTTCGACCGCCGACTTGTACTGTTCCACCAGTTTCTCCTCCAGTCCCACTCGTTCCTGCGCGCTCTCGTGCACAAATTGTCCATACAATTGCCACGTGTCGTAGGCGATTTGGCTAGCCGTTTCCGACTGAAAACTGCCAATTTTATAGGGGAATTTGGGCACAAACGCGACTTTTCTCTGAATGCTCTCGTGAATTCGCGTGGCTTCTACGAGGAACTGCAACTCGTGGACCGGTCCCCGAATGTCCTGCAGGTACATTCGGAAGATCGAGTAGAGACGGGCGTCGCGCAGGATTTCGGTGAGTTTTAGTTGAAGAAGGGAGTCGGGAAGGTTGTCCGAAGAGCCCGCGGAGCAAGTGAGGCCTTTTAGCAGCGGTGTTGGCGTGATCTAAAACGAGAAAAATACGATGAATGCTTACTAATTTAAAATTTAAAACCTAGGTTTCGATATGTACAAATATTATAGGTCTAATGCAGAATTCCAAAGCAAGAAACCGAAAATCTATGATATCAGGCAAAAAGTTTCATTCAAGTTTCCCCGTGTTGCCCTAGTGCTTACATCCAACCGCTCTTCGCAAATCTCTCGATTCTTGTGCTCGTCGAACAGCAGAATGAGCCAGTAGTTGATGGTGTCCGGCTGCGTGAGCATGTCAAACACCGGCAGAAGCACCGCGTTCGTCAGCATTTCCCTCAGAAATCCTCTCGCCGATTTGCTCGGCCACGGCCGTTCGTTTTTCCCTCTCCGAAAGAGCCGTAGGGGACTGTCATCGTCATGAGCCCTTCCCGCCAACCTCGTCTCGTCCAAGAGACGTGGAATCAGAAAGTCGGCGATCTGCCGCACGTACTCGGTCTCCGTCTCCCGTCCCGACAGTGCCACGTGGCAATCCTCCAGCCGCTCGGCGATTTTCGACTCCAAAAGGGAGCGCGGCATCGGGTTGGCTGGATCGGCAGCCGAGACGAGCTTCTCGAGTTGCGAAAGACGACGGACGTGGAGGGTGGCGATCGGAAGGGCCGACGAGGCGGTGAACTCGGACAGGTCCACGCGGCGAATGCAGCGGATCAGGTTCGCAGAGGCGTAGCGCAGTTGGTACCTGATTTTTCGTGAAAAGTGATTTCGTGAACATCTAAAACGCGTGCCTACCGTATCTCGTTGATGAACGCGCGGTCCCTGCTGATCGCGGCGCCGTACCACCCGTTCACGTACTGTTCTACAATCTCGTTCAGCAGATTCTCCAGGGAATCGTTGAGGGCGGCGGGCAGGAACAGTCCCTGCCACGGCATCCGTCTCGTCTTTTCCGTGTCCGTTTTCGCGTCCTCCTCCTCTTCCGATTCTGGCAGCGAATCGGAGATTCGCGTCGGGGAGGGCGTCAGGTAATTCTGGAAAAGTACATGTGTGGCCTAGAACTCCGAATTCACAAATACTACTTGTTTAGGTGTGAGACGTACAAAGAAGCCCTTCTGAAATGTGTTCCCTATTTTATGGCACTAAATCTACTGATCATACTCGGATGTAAGAACGGAGTGTTGTAACGCGCTTCGAACTTTTAATAAATTTTAATAAACCAAGCGCGTTACAACACTCCGTTTTTACATCCCAGTCTGATCAGGAGGCTTCCGGACCTAATCACGCCACGTCAGGTCCATGCTAACTCTCGGATCAGGTGAGGATCGCTTTACCTTCCACTGATGGAGCATTTCGCCGTCGGAGCACTCGAAAATCCATTTGGCGAAGAAAACGCCGCCCAAAAGAGCTATGACCACCACGAAAATTGAGCCAAATCTGAAAAACAATGCTTCGAAACAAAATGCTCCGATTTTTCGTACCCGAATCCGGTGACATAAAAGACGGCGGCGAGGAGAACGACGGCCGACGCCACGTGGATTCGCTGATCCGCTTCCTCCATTTCTCAGCGATTTTTCATCTGGAAACGTTTTTTGGAAAATCTGAAAAAAGGTCACAAAAAAGATAGAAAAATGGCAGAAGAACCATTAAAATTCTGAAAAAAAATCCAAAAAAACCCCGGCTTATTTTTGGGAAACTCTAAACAGCAAAAACTATTAAAAATCAACAATAACAAGTGCGAATTGAGCAACAAAAAGGAGAAAAACATTTAAATATCAGAAGCGCTTCTCCGTTTTTCTCTCCGCTCTCTTTCGGGCTTCCGCTCTCTTTCGCTTCACGTTCACCGGAAATTCGATCGGTTGGACCTGAAAAAAGGTTCGATAAAGAATGGTAAAAATTCGTAAAAATGGGTACTTTGTAGAATCGGCTTCCGGGAATTCGTTTTCCACGAAGCGCCGCCGAGTATGGTAGAATCGGCTGGACACGGGCGGTCAGTCCTTTGCTGTCGGGGCTGAACGCGCTGAAAATTGTGCGATCAATCAACAAATAGTCCGATTTTCCAGATTTGCACTTCAAAATGAGTTTTTGCCTCTGCAGTACAGCAGTTTTGACAGTCTTGTAGCAAAAAATCAATTATTATCATTTCTACAGAGAAAAATTGGACTTTGTGGTACATTAAGACCCCGAATCTAGTAGAAAGATGAAAAAGATTCGCACCGGACGGGATTCGAACCCGCGAGGTCTTACGACCATAGGAGTCCCTGAAGCTCCTACGCCTTAACCACTCGGCCACCGGTGCACGGGACTGAATTGGACACTTCCTACTCATCTCGCAACTTTACAAGTGGTTTTACAACGTGTACTAGTTGTAAAAGGTCCCCAGACAGTTGCAGCAGTTTTGACAGTTTTGTAGCAAAAAATCAATTATTATCATTTCTACAGAGAAAAATTGGACTTTGTGGTACATTAAGACCCCGAATCTAGTAGAAAGATGAAAAAGATTCGCACCGGACGGGATTCGAACCCGCGAGGTCTTACGACCATAGGAGTCCCTGAAGCTCCTACGCCTTAACCACTCGGCCACCGGTGCACGGGACTGAATTGGACACTTCCTACTCATCTCGCAACTTTACAAGTGGTTTTACAACGTGTACTAGTTGTAAAAGGTCCCCAGACAGTTGCGAGAAGAGTAGGAAGTGTCCAATTCAGTCCTGTGCACCGGTGGCCGAGTGGTTAAGGCGTAGGAGCTTCAGGGACTCCTATGGTCGTAAGACCTCGCGGGTTCGAATCCCGTCCGGTGCGAAACTTTTTTGCTTCTATTCATTTTCTGCCCATCTGCCTAATCCAACTAACTTCAACGTGACATCCTTCTCCGCCGTGACCATAACCCATCCGATCGAGGAAAGTACAATATCACAGCAGCCTTCGTCGCGGCGCCCTTTCATCTCGAACACGCGCCCTCCGCCCAATCCGGGCCACTCGGCCATCCTCTTTGTGTTTCCGTGTGGGACGACGAGTGCCCGCGTGCCCAGCCATCTCCGCCAGAACTCCTCCACTTCTTTCGTTTCCATCACGTTCAACGGCAACTGTTCGTTCGCGAACGTCGTCAAAAGCACGTTTCCGTGCTGCGAATCGATGATATCCAGACGGGCAACTCCGCCGATCAGAAGCGATTCGCCCGGTTTTACGAGCGCCGTACGGGGTTTCAGCACTCGACGCGGAGTCACGTTCACCAGTTCGTCCAGGGTGAACAGGGAGAGCACCTGAATAGGAATTTGTGAAATTCAGAAACATTTAGGCATGCTAGATCTCAAAATGTTCAATTTCTTGTTCATAAAAAAGTTGACTCTCCTCTTTTCCACAAGTTTCCGTTTCGCAACCAATTCTGCAACTTGTTTTGTCGGAGCTCTTCAAATACATTTTTCTACTGCACTGAATAAGATTGCGAAACGGAAAACGAGGGAAATCTTCAGGGATTTGAAAATTCTACCGGCAATTGTTCGCTTTTCAACACTTTTCGCCCACAGTTTGTCCATTTCTGCACTTTCTACCGGGGTAATCACCTGGTTCTCATTAACAGTTCCGGGCGTATCAAAGCACCACTTTCCCTTTGCGAAGATGGCGTCGTCGAGTGTCCACTTCTTCTCCCCTTCCTCTCCTTCTTCCTCTTCCTCTCCGTTCAATTCGCTCAGTGCCATCGGCTGCAGCTCCGCCTCCGTCTCTTTGTACGTATTCTGGATGACTTCCGTCGGAATCGCGAACCGATCGTCGCCCGTTTCGCCCAGCAGCAGTTTCCGCGCGTACATCTCCTTTTTGACCCACGCGCGGTGGGCCTGAAGGCGTCGTCGGCGCATTTCGAGCCGGTACGGTCCCGGCTTCATCACCGGAAATTTCAGGAGCGAAATCTGCAAATTATGGGGTGTTTTTTCAGGAAAAATTCAGCGGTACCGTAGTTCCGGGCCAGATGCTCGTGGTCGCTCGATCCACCAGATCCACCGCACGCACTTTGCACAAATCCGATTGGAGCAGTGCGTTGAACATTGTACTGGAAGATGGGCTTTCAGGGTAAGAACAAACTAATTTTACTACTTGTTCAAGATTCTTAGGCCATGAGCTAGAAAATGCTTTAAAAAAACGCACGATTTTCCGGCATTCGTACATCCGACGAGGAAGATGTTGCCGCGCATTCCCATGCGGACATTCGTGTACTTCAAATAGATTTCCGTGACGAGTTCCTCCACTCCGTATCCCGTTTTCGCACTCACGAGCGCCGTGTGCACAATGTTAAAGTGCTCCAGAAGGCCCGCCTTCTCCACCGCCCGTTCGACCGTCTTCTTGAAACGGTACATGTAGCCGGTGCGGGCGTCCGGCGGCAAAAGGTCCACTTTGTTGCCTGCAAACACAAATTACTTGGAAAATCGTCGGAAATGGCCTAAAATCTAGGCTTGAAATGTCGCTTTTTTGCGAAAAATGTTCACACAACAACTGTACGTACCGACGACGATCATCGGCTTTCGGCTGCCGACCACCTGCGCCAGTTTCGGATAGATACTTCCCGGCAAATCGGTGACGTCGACGACCAAAACCACAAGCGATTCGGGCTGTTTTTTGAGTTCCGCCATCATTTGTGAGTAGTCCACGTCGCAAACGTTCACGTTCAGCTGTAAATTTGAAAAATTGAAAAATGCATCAAAAGTGGACTAAATTAACCAGAAAATTATGCTCTTTGAGCAAATGGCACCGTTTGCACAGCGAGTTCGTCTCCTTTTCCGCGCGTTTTCTGCTAGATTTTCTCTCGATTTTCTCGAAAATCTCGAGCGGAATGAAGCCGGGCAAAGAGCTGTCTTTGCAGTGGAAATGGGCTCCGCATCCCGAACATTTCGAAGAGCTCGCCGGCATTTGTTCGTCGACTGTGCCCACGAGGGACACCGACTCCGACGCAGACGACGATGCGTGGGCGGTCTGCAACAATGATTATGTTCGAGACGATTCCCGATACTGTGAAGCCATTTCTGGGCAAACTTTGACACGAAAACAGTTTGGTATCATAAAAACGCGTACCCCGTGGCCGTTCTCTCCCTCCTCGACGCCGGCCATTCTCTGTCCGGGTCGTTGGAATGAGATGGTCTCGACGGCGTCGTCAGCCCCATGATACTCGCGAATTCCGATCATTCGGTCGGCGGGGTCCAAATCGAGAGTGCTTCCGGCCACGTACTCGTCCACGAGCACGTCCGCTTCCACGTAGAACCCACGATCCGAGTCGGAATACGAATCGGACGGTTCCGAAGGAACGAAGAAGGATCCAGCGGGCCCGGCAGTCACCGAATCCATCGATCTCAGCGGAAAAGAGGCATCAGAAGGTTCCAATGGGGCGGGACCTTCAGAATCTTTCGAATCCTTCAAGTTCCCGGCTCTTTGCGCCAAAATCTTCTGATATTCGGGCTCTTGACTGAGCATCTTTTCTCCGATCATCGACTCGGTCGAATATCGCTCCGCCAGCGGGTTCGCCGTTTTCATCGTTCCGTTCAGCTGTTCCCGCTCGTACGCCGCCCATCTTTTGTGGATTTCGCCCACCTGAAGACTAAATTTAGCGCAAAAACCCCCTTTCCCAACCTTTTCCGATCGATTGATGCCTTTTCGCTTGAACTCGTCCAACGTCTTCCGAATCTCCGTGCGCGTACTCAACGCCCTTCGCACCGCCCAAACTTTCGCCAATTTCATCATTTTCTCCCCTTTTTCGGCTGATTTCTCGCGTTTTGAACGGGTTTAGTAGTGGATGGGACCGAAGTGGAACGCTCTCCAAAGTCGTGAGTCACTTCCTACAAAAAAATGGATAGAATGGATGGGAAATGGGGTTACTAATGGTTACTTGAATATCGTCAAAGATTTTGTAGCCGTTGAAATTCCAGCAATTGATGAGAAAAATGGCCGAGACGTAGAGGACGGGCGCCAAAAAGAAAAAGAAGCCGATGGCGAGGGCCCAAAGTTTTGAGGGGATGTATGTGATTCCTGGAACATTCGGCGAAATCATTTTGGCAAATAAATTTTTAAAGTTTTTACACGGGCACACTAATTTTTTAGTGACAGGCCTGACAGGCCTCCTTAAAAATGTTTTTAAACTGTTCGTCTTGGTTCTCAATTCGAGGCCGTTCCCACTGACCCAATCGATACAAAATCGGCACCGGAGTGATCGCCCAGATCAGGTAGATGACGAGAAGGCACCAGGAGACGATGTAGAGTGCGAATCCGTAAATGCCACGTGCCGGATGCGGTCCCGGTAGATGGATCTCTTCGGACGGAAGCGGCGGGTTCTTCGGCGCTCTTCTGGACGGTTGATCAGATTCTGATGATGTGGATGATGACGTGGCGACGACGACGTCCGGTGAGGGCATTCGTCGCGGTCGAGCACTGCAAAAAATTAGAGCATTTTTCGGTACATTTCTTGGTTTTTGCAGACATTTCAGCGATTATAACGCATTCCGGCCGCCCAAGCGGGGCATATTCCAAATATTATAGAATTGAGAATAAGATTATCAAGTACCAGTCAAATAATCGAATGGAAAAAAAGCTGCCGGGCAAGTGATGAAAAGGAAGGCGAAAAGGGAGGAAAGTATCACAGAACTATTGGGAAAAAACCTGCAACAAATGGATCGGCACATAGAAATTTACAGAATAATTTAGAAGAATAGAAATCTGAAGTGAAACAAAGCGTTCAATTCCATTCATCGTCGCTTAAATTCGGCGGAGCCGGAATCGATGACGATGAGCTTTTGGGAGCCGAGGAACTCGAAGAATTTCTGTCGTTTTTGCCGTTGATCGCTGAAAATTCGCAGATTTTTTTCAATCTTTCAGTGGCGCATGCGCCGTTAAAGACGCGCCAAATATCCTTCCCGGTCGATTTTTTTTGGAAAAACGGCGATTGTTACCAACTTATGGGTGAAATTTCTTAAATGTTCTGTAAGATACCCATGTTTACCTTTCCTCCTGGCATCGAGTGCCCTGGAAAGTGCGGACATCAGATCCCCGCCGCCGCCTCCCGAGTTGTCCGTCGTTTTCTTCTTCTCTCCCTCGCCGCCCAGAGCCGACGATTCGAGCAGTCCGTCGTACTTTCCCTTCCGTTTCGTCTTCTGACTCTCCTGAATCTTGTTCAGTTTCGCCTTGTCCGTTCCGCCGGCCGCCCGAATCGCCGCCATCAGATCCGCGCGTCCATTTCCGTTATCGATTGATTTCGTTGGACTGAAAGTCACAGACGACGTGGCGGATGAGGCCAAAATTGGCGTGGCCGGGGGAGGTGGGGGCGGAGGCGGAGGCGGCGGAGGTGGGGACGAAATCGGAGGGATCGGAGCGATCGGGGGAGGAGGAGGTGGAGGAGGATCAGAAGAAGAAGAAGCTTCTGGAACTGCAATCGGAGGAGGAGGAGGAGGCGGAGGAGGTGGGATCGACGGAGAAACGACGACGGAAAGCTCGCGAGCGCCTCCTTCGTCCCCTTCGATGCTGACGTCGTCGCAAAGATCCGGAAGCAGATCCTCGTCGATTCCCAGGTCGCGGAGGGTGAAATCGTGCGCGTGGCCTGCAAAAATGGGTCCGTAACAACATTAATTTAAACGTGTCGTACACGACAACGAAAAGTACACGAGATTATCTGGGGACTAGAAAACTGTGTACTTCTCGTGGTTTTCCAATTGTTCCCTTTACAGAATCTGTCCTTACAAACCTTTCAAATTGGGCAGGTTCTCCGGCATCTCCACAACCTCCTTCTCTTCGTTTCTGGCAATGTGGAACGCCAACGGATGATCGTCATCCACAGATCCGAACGCGTCGGCGAGCAGTCCGTTGCTGAGTGCCGTGTCCTCGAGCAGTTGTTCGTGCAGCCGTTCTTCGCGCATCTCGTCCTCCGCCATCCGGCCGCTTCTCCGCGTCGACGTCGATTCGGCGTCGAGATGGATTCGCGGAAAGTCGCCGGTGACGCCCTCGTAGACGGGGATCGAGGTGCCCGCGAAGAAGAGTTCCGCAATGTTCAGGTCGTCCAGAGGGGCCGGCAGCTCGCGCAGACCTAAGGATTACTGTAGTTAGAATAAAAAATTTGAATAGCGTTTCCGTTTTGCCCCGGAAATAGTCATTTCTAATCATTTTTTTTGCTGTTGGAAAGTTCATTTTCCCATCCAATATTACTGTACCTGTGAGGCACTTCTTCTTGAACCGCTCCCATCCTTTCTGCTCGTTTTCCCGCAAAACTTGGCTCGTCAGAAAGAATTTGTCCGCTTTTTGGAGCTCCTTCGTGAAATCGATGGGCTCGCACGGGCGCAGCAGGTGATCGTCGGCCCGTTTGTATTCGGGAAGGTCCTCAGAACTGGCCACGTGGGTGGCGGTCACATTTGAGCGGAAGAGGGATTGATCGTCGGTCGGCGGGGAACGCGACGGCGGCCATTTACGCGGCAGCGTCAGTGTGACCACGTTCGAGCACTGCAAACGGTTTCGCGTGGGAAAAATGGCAGAAAAGCTGTATTGACCTAGTTTTCCAGCTTTTTCTAGGCCATGGCCTAATTTTGGCCGAAAAACGTACTTCCTGTAACTTTTCCAACTTTTTCTCCACAATTTCCGTCCGCTTATCGATATTTTCGGCTTTTTGAGCGATTTTGTCGATTTTCGCCTCCACTTTATCGAATATTTCGTCGGAAACCTGCAAATAATCAGCGACTCTTAAAACAATTGTATTTAAAAGATTTCGCCACCTGCATCAATTTCTGAAGTGATTGATCGATTCGGAACATGGTCTCCTCGCGATCCGCATCGCGCGGCACCAACGGAACATGGTACATTTGGCGGGAATCTGTTCAAAAATCTAATTTTCTATCTACACCGAGGGAGTACAACAAATGTATGTAAAACCGTCGAAAACAGTGACATTTTCCACTAAACAATCGGAAAAATGAAGCCAAAGCCTTTTATAATAAGCAATTGTATAATTTCAAGAGAAGTTTGATGGAATAAATGACGAATAGTGATTTGAGCGAACAAAATGAGCATTGGGCATTTTAAACATTGAGAGAAAAAGGGGGGGAGGGGGAGGGGGAAATGGGCAATATTTTCAGTCGAATTTCAGACGAGCAATGTGCTCGGCGGCACGCATCGAGACGTTCAACGAAGGATGGACTGCGTTGACGGTGGGCTCGCCGAGCAGCGAAAGAGCGGCGATCGAGAAGTACGTGTGCAGCAGATCTGAAAATTCTCAATCTTTTCAATGTTGCGATACGTTTCTCACTGAAAATATCTCTGAAGCTGCGAAATTTTCAGAGAAACTGTCTTCTAAGCCTACCAGAATAGCCTCCAGGTTCGGGATGTTTGCAAAATCCGCCAATGTGCGGGTGTTGTGAAATCATGAGGAATTCGCGTAGGTGGGGTTTCGAGATGAAGTCGTAGGCGTTCAGGATCTGTAAATAAGCATAATATTCAGAAATTATTCAATTTCGAGAAACAATACTAAAGCGGCACTAAAAAAAGCTATCTGGAAATTAGTGATTCTAGTGCTCGTACAAGCTATCCTAGTGGATTCAAATAAGTGGCGGGGTCACGTGCTTTTCAAATTTTCAATGGCCCCTCTCATTTTCGGTACCTTGAGTGTGGCTCCAATCCAAAAAGCGTAGCAACTGTCGTCGGGTTTGTGGGCACGTCCGTGGAATCCAATTTCCTGCTTCTGGACCGCCCATCGGATTAATCGGGCGATGTCCGGACGGCTCAACACCTCGCCCGTCCACAAACGGTTCGAAAGTGACAGAGAGGCGATCGCGCAGAATGTCGAGCCACCTGCAAATGGTTTTTATTAGAAGAAACAATGCAAACTGAGGTGTTCCATTATTTTCTGTAGGACAAAGAAACATTTTCCTCGAATGGGGTTTTTCCGTGTTGTTTGGTCACTTTCGATGGAACAACGTACCGTGGCTCTCGTCGTGCGGCGCCTGTCCGATTCCGCCGTCAATGTTCAGAGATTGACGGAGAAAAGTGCCGAGGCGGTCCCAATCGATAACATCCTCCTTGTTCGCGTCCAGAATTTTCACGATCGCCGTCGCGCAGAACACGAAACGCATGTCGCTCTCCGATCCGACGCCTTGGCTCCAGAAACTGCAGAAAAGGATTTTTTAAATTGCTTTTTGCTCCAAACATCGCTCACCACCCATTATCGGTCCTCTGCGCACTTTTGACCGTATTCAGTATGGCCGCCCGGTTGACCCTCTTCAAATCGTCGCCCAAAATGGCGAGCGAGAGGAGTGCGCTGTACGTTTGTGCCAGATTCGCCTCATCGTATTCGCTATGCTCGCAAGAGTGCGATCCTCGGAATCCGCTAACGGCGCCTGCAAAAATTTGCAACATTTTTTTAAAAGAAATTCTGCAAAATAGGCATTTCGGAACCAGAACGCATCGAAAACGCAGTCTCCAACATCCAAACATTCAAAAATTCAACAAAATAGTACAAAACAACAGGAAAACAGGATGAGAATCAACAGGAAAGTGAGTAAAGATGGGCTCTAAACGGGTGGAAGATTCGCTTCCGTCGCCTTTTTTTCGGCCGCCGCCCACGTGTCGAGGGCGATCTTCGAAAGCACGCTGTTCTCGTCGTCCAACGCCAGAACGACCAATTTTTCGGCGATTTCGCGGGTGTCCACGTGGAATTGGGCGGCGCCTTTGCGTTGGGCCTCCACTGCGCGGTGTGTACATTTGGCGATCATCCGGCGATCCACTTCCGGCACGTCGACGTGCAATCGGATTCTGAAAATGGAAAGCACTGAAAGTTTTCGAACGTTTTTGGCTGGCACCGTGCCAAGAGCCATTTTCGAGCGCAAAAGCTTTCGTAACTCTTGAACCTCCGTGTGAATTACCTCCTCTGCGCGGGCGTCTCCTTTACCTCCTCGCCCATTTCGTCCGCATAAACGGGCCGCCACTCCTCCCGTTTCCACTGTTCCGCGTCCTTCCGTCGTCCTTCCGCGATCCTTTCCGCACTCCTCCGTTCCCATCCGATCCTCTTCCGGTCCTTCATGGTCCCACTGACCAGCGCCTGCCACCAAACGGCCCCATCGTCCGTTTGTCTCAGCAAAAGTGTGCTCTTCCGGGCGGGATTCTCCACTAAATGGAACGCGCGTGTCGGTTCCGCGACGATCCGCTCGCCTTTCGTGTGTTTTCCGCGTCGCACCGTCCGATTAAAGTCGTGCGGTTCGCCGAGGGACCGGAATGCGTGAGCGGACGACCAGAGACCGCCCGCGTGATGGTAGAGCTTCGCGACGGACAGCGACGAGTCGAGCACGCTCAGCTGGTCCAGACAGTACATCGAGTAGACCTACAATAATTTTTCTTCATATTTCCGCCTCAAAAATTGCCTTCTCACCTCTCCGTCGCCAATTTCGTCGCTCTCGGGCGTCTCGCCGACCACAAACCGATGTGCCCCACTCGAAAACGGGTGTCTCACTTCCAGAACAGACCGTCCGGGAAACCGATCGTCCACTAAATGGCACTTTCGATCACTCATCACAAGAAAGTTGTTGGCGGTCCGTGGGCATCGTGCCACGTGGCGCACAATCGCCGGAGCGGGGGCCGTGGCCTGTAAGTATTGGGGCTCTTTGAGTCCGCGCACTTCGAACTCCGGGCTCCGCCACAATTCCCTGGTCGAGCGGGACCGTGTGTCGACCAGATCCACGTGCGTGATTCCGGCCAGCGCCACCACCTTCGGATGGTCCGTAAACGTGACAATCTGCCAGACTTCCTCCGAATTCGTTTCCAATTTATCCGCTTTTTCCGGATTCCCTCCGCCGATATCGTGCATCCACACGCGTCCGCTGTAGTCGACCACGGTCATCTGGCCCTCGAGCAGATGCGATTCGGCAAAACTCTTGACTGCCACGTGAAAAATCGGTGTCTGCGCGCCGAAATCGTCGAGAAAATGCAAAAGAGTGGACGAGCGGAGGAAGAGACGCGCGGAGGCCCAGATCGAGGTGCGCACCTCCAGGAGTGGCTCGTTTCGGCGTTGCGAATGCTCGGATTTCGCCGGCGGCACCATTTTCAGCTTCTTTTCGTGGATCAACTGAACAGAGTCGGCGATCGGCAGACCTTTTTCGTTGAGCTGCAAAAATTTGAGAATTTTTTTCCCAATATTTATAAAAGTCCCAGCCCTAACCTGTACTTTAAAGCACTCCAACCACTGCCGTTTCGAGCGTTCGTTCACCGTCCAAATCTTCAAAATCTGTCCAATTTCCCCGTTATCGCGTGTTTCGTCCAATAAACGCGCGGTCAGCAGATTCCGATTGTACAATTCGAACTCTTTCGTCAGAAATGTGAAATGGCCGGGCAGACGGTTCAGGTTTTCCGGCTGAAAAAGGCGAGTTTAATGAAATTTAAAAAGACAAATAAAAATAACAAACCCCTCTGGTTCTAGGCGGAATGAGCGGTTCGACGAGTCCGACGGGAATCGGGGGAAGTTGGCGGCTGAAAATTAACTTTAAAACAGTTTTTCTTCCTTACTTTTGAGTGAACGATCTGAGAAACTCAGAATACGTTTCTGCGTCCGCCACCCTCCGGCTGACATTTTGCGACGCGGCCGCCGGAAGAACACTGATTCATCTTTACATTTTTCTTCATGAACGTGTTCTTTATGACCAGTACTTGCAAAGGGCAATAAGAAATTGGGTATGAGTGCTTGAATCATCATGCGTCCCATCGACGCATCCATCTAACTCTGGGGTGAGTCAACGCGTGCCGCCGGAGAAATCAAACAGATTTTTGAATGATTTCAATGTTAAAGTGATTAATACACTTTTTGAAAACAAAGAGCAATGAAAAAGAATAAAATGAATTCGATTCTCCTTTGTAGCGCCAATCTCTACTCGAAAATTGCAGTTTTTGTAGTGTCTCCGAGAGTTTTTTGCAAATTTCTTATTGCTCTTTGCAAGTAAAGGGTGTGATGAACCCATTTATGAAGAAAAATGGGAAGATGTAGTATTCTTCCGTCGGCGTCGCGAAATGTCAGCCGGAAAGCCGACAGAGGGCGGCGTCCGCGGCGCCCACCAATCAGCCGACGGTCTACGGGCTAGCGATGACGCAATATTGATATTGCGGACTCAAAACCAGAAACACACCCGCATTCTTCTGGTCAAAGTCCCCAAAGACATCACTATCTCCCAATTTCTGCAAAGCTCACCGCCAAAACGCCTCCAAATTGTACTGGGGAATCCAGTGGGCGGTCCCGTCGTCCGGCCCACTCAAATCCTCCAAAAGGCCACCGAATCCACGTTGTCCGTACCACCGCGCACCAAAATCGCGGCCTTCCGGAGCACAATAAAGAGCCGGAGCACTCATTTCCGGAGAAAAAGCAACAAAAAATAATAACAACACAAGTGAACAGTCAACAAGAGAATTAGCGAAAAAGGGGTTATTTTGATGCGTTCTGATGCGGAAATAAGGTCAAAAACGTGGCAATTTTTCGGAAAATTCACCGTCGGTGAACTGGAGGCCGTAGATCCAATCAATGTAGGATTGGCGGCGTTCGGGCGTCAGAAGATTGTCGAGTTCGCCCAGCAGGTCCAGCGAGGAGATGGCGAACAGGAAGATTGTGTTTCTGAACGAAAAACCACGTATTTCTACTAAATAATGCAGTTGTTCTTCAAAAGCTCACCTTGCCGTCTCAAGACTATTGTACGGTTGCGGAAATACGTTGAGATGGCGAATCAGGAAGCCAATGTGCTTTTTGTACTCGAATTTTAACGTTTCTCCACTTTCAGCAGCTGAAATTCCACTTTTCTTGCATTCTTCTGCATTTTGTGGAAAAATTTACCGTGTTTCGCAATTTCCAGCAGTTGTTCTACTGTACTTATATCGCACATTTAGGCGATAGAAACGTACCTAGAAACAGTTGATGTTTTCCTGAAAAGTACAAAAATAGATTGAAAATATAGAAAATGGCTCAAATGGACCAGAAGCGTTTCAAAAAATCATAGAAGAATCAAATTTAAATTAGTATTTTCGAAACAAAAAAGAGCAAAAACAATTTCTACGCACAAAAACCTATAACATTTAGAAAAAGTGCTCAATGAGCGTGTGGGGTTCCGAATCCGAGCATCAAGGCTACAAATTTGCGGAAAACGTCCATGTCGAGCTTCTCCACGTGTTCCAGCTGCTCGTAGTACGGTTTTGGCTTGTAGAGACGGACTCCTGAAATGAATCGATTCATGACGCATTTTTTGAGCAAACACCAGGGCTGGGCTCTCTCAATTTCGGCCCAGGCCATTTCAAAGCTTTTTGAGGTCTGGACTTTTAGACCACTTGTAACGAATCGATCGCGACCAAACTTTGCAGGCCTCTTAGACTTGGATTGAAGTATATTGGGTCCAAGTTTCAGACCGATCCGATCATCCGGTCTCGAGATATACTCCTCCAAGTCCAAGAAGCCTGCAATGTTTGGATCCCCCAAGTGGGTTAGAAGTTTATTGAGGAAGAAATGTGTTTTTAATGTTTTTATGGAAAAGTACCTTTCTCGATCCAAACGATATTTTTCTCGGCATTCTCGTCATTTTCAATCGTTTTCAGCGTGTTCAGCTGAAAGGCCACCAAATCGAGACGTCCGTTCACCAGTTGGACTCCGCGCACGAGCTGCAATTTGTCTTTGCTTTTTTAGAGGGAAAAATGCTGAACTTCTAAATTTCTTGAAGAAAAACGTACAACTGGTTTTTTCAGCTCCGTTTCTCCCTTTCTGGTGGCTTCTGCCACAGCGGCCGCGTACGTCGTCAGTATTGCGTTCGCCATGTTTTGTTCGCTGAAAGCTAGACATTTTCGAACCTTGTAGGCCAGATATGATGCATATTTCCAGGAAATTTACAAAAGCCCTTGCTTTATCGTCTCAACTTTTTCTGTTTCTATGCCAAAACTTAAGATACGAGTGTGGAAAAATCGGTGTTTGATGTCGGGAAATGTACTTTGTTCAAACTAGAACGAAAAGAGATTTGTACTAAAAAAGACCGGAAAATTTGCTATTTCTGGCAATGCGATATTAATCTAATTAGAAAGTTACTGATCTAAACGCGACCTAATTAGATTCGACTGTTTTTTCTTGGCGCAATCGAGATTTGAGCCAGCAGACGGTTGTCGTGAAAGTTGATTTGAGCACTTATTAATCTAGCTAGAAGATGTATTAATCTAGCTAGACTATTTATTAATCTAATTAGGTGTCATATCAACCTTATTAGGTCGCCGTTAGATTAATAACGGAAAATAAGTTTCTAAGACACTCTTATGATGTGCTCGCACCGAAAAACAATACAAAAAGGAGAAAAACAGAGGAGAACCGGCCAAAGTCCATAGTTTCGCGATGTGCGCGCAGATCAAATACGGAAGGGTCTCGCAGCGATCGGACAAATTTATGGGCGCGCATTCAAAACGAGCACGCGTTGCGGTCTTTTGGGGCGACTGGGAGAACGGGGAGAAAAAAAAGAGGATCGCTCTCGCCGGATAGTCATCTCGGAGGGAAGGACCGCAGAACGCGACGCCAGACTACGAACAGATGATGACAAAACCAACGAAACAGTCGTAAACATCGTTTGATCTCTACGACAATCCTTGAACGGTCCTGACCCGGTCACCAATTGTCATCATTTTGGAGTCCCGTTCTGCGGTCCTTCCCTCCGAGATGACTATCCGGCGAGAGCGATCCTCTTTTTTTTCTCCCCGTCCTCCCAGTCGTCCCAAAAGACCGCAACGCGTGCTCATTTTGAATGCGCGCCCATAAATTTGTCCGATCGCTGCGAGACCCTTCCGTATTTGATCTGCGCGCGCACCGCGAAACTATGGATTTTGGCCGGTTCTCCTCTGTTCTTCTCCTTTCTGTATTGTTTTTCGGTGCGAACATATCATACGTGTGTCTTAGAAACTGTTTTTTGACAGGTTTTTTGTCAAATTTTGCGATCTTTCCGAGTCTTTGCAACTTTTTGTCGTTCTAGCTTGAACATAGTACATTTCCCGACCTCAAACACGGCGTTTTCCATTTTTATCGATTTTTATTGTCATCAGGTAGAAAGTGGTCTATCTATGTAATTTTTGACTCAAATACACTATTTCTTGAACATTTTCTCGACAATTACACCACAAAACCCATTTTTTGCGTACCTGGTCCACGGATACTTCTGATCCTGTTCCCGCGCCCAGAGAATCGAGTGCACATGTGTATTCTGCTCATTTCTTGTTAAAAGAAGATCGTCGTTGTAGATAGAATCCTTTTCAAAGTCGATAATCGGAGAGATCGGGTAAATGTCCGGCAGCGGCTCCGAACTGCAATTTTCTCGCATTTTTCACGGAAAAAAGCTGTCTTTGCACTGTTTTCTCTCCAGTTGTTCAATTTTTGGCTCATTCTTTTTTTTGCTGCATACCTGGCCTCCTTGACGTCGATTGCTCCGGCCCACGGCTGAATAACATTGTAATCTGGCGCCTGTACGGTCAAATGTGGCTGAGCACGGAGCACCAGCGGCGTTTTTGAGAAATAACGGCCGCCGGAGAGCAAAACCGACAGGGGTGAGTCACGATTCACTCTGCAAGCTTTTTTGTTGAATTTATCGTGAAAATTCCTACAAGAACTCACTGCCAATTGAATTTGAGTGCGTGCGTGCGCAATCCGGCGAAAATCACTTGTCGGAGCAGGTTGTTTAGGATTATATTGCTGGAAAATTAGTTGTTTTCAGATTTCCAGCCAAATGCGTACTTTCTCTTGACAACAGGTGTTCCGTGAAGGCGTACATGACGAATCCAGAACATGACCGGATCGAAGCGCTTCGGAAGTTTGTCCAACGTCGGATTGTAGCGTTCACCGTGCAGAATTGCGTCACGCACCTGCAATTTTGCGATTTTTGTGAATTTAGAGATTGTCAGTGTTTTTCGATGGAAAACAGGTCCGGAAAGGGTTTTTGATAAAATTCTGACCGTTTCCTCGTCGATTTCCAATTTGGCGGCAGAATTGTGAAGAATGGCGTCCGGAAGACCGTTTCGGACGACGCTCCGGGTCAGAAGAGCCGCCTGAGCAATTCCGTCACTCATTGGCTCCGCCCCCTCGAATATATACGCCGGAACACTTTTGTGAAGGGGATGAACTACGTCGGCATACTGAAATTGCAAACAATTTTGAAATTTTATCAGATTTTACTACTTCTTGTGATTTTTCGATCAATTTTTCCAGATTCTCGCTCTGCTTGGCTTGACTTTCCACGAGATTCTTGCGATTTGAAAGCGTGAAAATTTCGTTTGGCTCGAAAATCGGGACTCCCAGCGCTTTGACGGCTTCTGGAATCTCAAATGCCGGCATTTTTCGCTTATTTCGGGAATTGTAAATCTCTTTAAAGATGCGCGTATCCATTTTACCCCATTGTTTGACGGCACGGTATTTTCGGAACACCATCTGCAAAAAACACAATTTTCGATGAAAATTGACGATTTTTCGAAGGAGAACAGGGTTTCAATAAAGAAATGAATAGAACAGTATACAGTAGAATTTAATTTTTGGAAAATCATTTCTGCAGAAAACCGGGGTTTGTTCGCTTCAAAACGGCGAATTATCAGCAAAGATTCTGAAATTACAAGGAGAATAGAAAAAATTGTAATTTCGTTGCGAGACCCGGAAGCTAATCAGGTCTGTGCCTTTAAAAATACGGTAAGTTACGGTAGCAGTCATAATTTTTGCCAGGCGTTTTTTTTTGTCAATTTTCATTTTTCATGTTCTTTGAGCTGAAAATTAATTTTCTTCGTAGAGTCTCAGACTTGTTTCTCTTCTAAAAAATTTTTTTGGAAATAACTAGCTGACCAGTAAGAATAATTAAAATAAAACGGTGAGAAAAAATAGCGAAAAAACGGTCATCACCGCGAGAATCCTCCGATTTTGCGCTCGTTTCTCTGCGTTTCCGGGGGCGAGTCAGCAAACGCGCTCTATCGATCTGTCGCCTGCGTCTCCGTCCGAAATTGGTCCCCCGCACGCGGCTGACGGCAAACAGCCCCTCCTCAAGGCCTCATTTCTCTGACCGCACTCCCCCCTTCCCCACATCTCTCGTGTTTCGCTCGTCAACGACGTGCGCGGCCATTCGCGCTCCGCCGCATTTTCTGCCCAACCGACGGCCGATTGTACGCACCAATTTGAAAAAAAGATATTTGTCTGCTTTTTGCTCGCAAAAATCTTTTTTTACGTTTTCTAAAACCATTTTTTGCAGGGAAAATGTCACTCGAAACACTCGAAGATATGGGTGAGTTTCCGGTTTTTGCGACTATTCATGAAACATACGATTTTCAGACCCATTCCCGGGCGCCGATGACTCGGGCGGGCTTCTCGAGCCGAACATGATTCCGGCGGTGGCCACTGAAGTTGTCATGTCCGGAGACGGAGCGGTAATTATTTCGAAATTTATAGGGGACAAGAACTTGAGCTACAGAAATATAGCCATAATTTTGTACTGGCGTGGCGCTCTGTTTCAATTGTGATCTTCAGCCCGGCGCCAACAGAAAACATAGAAAATTCTTCCCAAATTCGAGTGAGAAACAACCGACACTCAACAAAAAGAGGGATTTTTGAACAGAGCGCATTCACATTAAAAAGCCTGATAGTATTAATGTAGAGAGTTTTTTAATCGAAAACTCATTCTAGAACTCTATTCAGTTTCAGGACTTCCCGGGCGCCGGCGCCGATGACGAATATCAGTACGAATATGCATACGAGGACGCCGATGATCCGCATCATCTTCAAATGGAAGAGGAAGAAGTGGTGGTGACCGAGGAGGAGTACCCGGGAGCGTGGAAAGAGGCTTCACACAAGTAGGAATCCCTGAAAATGTAGAGAAATGTCTGAAAATCTCGTCTTTTGCAGAAAAATCAACCTGTACGACGTGCTCGACGATCACAGCAAGATTTACATGGAGGAGAAGCCGTCGAAACGAAGCCGTCTGGGCCATGACTCGCAATTCGGAGAAGTCTATCAAACGGAAACGCCCGGCGGAGAAGAATCGGCGGCCGGAGACTTTGCATTCGCGCCCGGAGAAGTGGAAGAATACCGCGAGTACACGGTCTACACGAATCGGGCCAACAAGCCGGTGGCGCACCATCAGACGAACGCGGCCGACCGATCATGCCCCGGATGCGGAATGACGCTCCGCAGATCCGTTTACTATCATCACGCGAGAATGATCCGCGAGAAAGGCGCTTGCAATCTGTTCACGCCGCAGAGATTCCCTTGTACTGAGGTAGGTGTCTGGAATTGACTTTTTTGAGAGTTACACATTAATACCGAGTCATTATTCGTTTCAAAATTAAAATCGTTTTCGAAAATTCCCCTAAAAACGCGATTTCAGTGTGACGCCCGTATCGGAACACTGGAAAAGTTGTGTCAACACATGGAACAGATCCACAATGCGCCGACGCAAATCAAAACTGTCATCTTTACGAATGAAGAGGATTTCAAGGCGTTCCGCATCGAGTTGGAAGGAAAAGGAGGCAATTTTAGGATGGCGAGAGGAAACAAAAAGAATAAGGTACTGACTGGAGAATATGAAGAAAATGAAAAGGTTTCAACTTTCAGAAAGGAGTCGTGCAATATTTCCGTTGTAATCGCCTCCAAACCCTCGCGCGATCGCAAACGTTCCGTCCGGTCGACAATCCGGCCCTTGAGGAGCTGCCGTCGAATCGGAAACGCGGAAGACTGCATCAGCAAGAGTTGAGGGCGCAAAGTGCGAAACAAGTGATTCGGACGGAGAACTCGTGCACCGCATTCTACAATAAGGCCTATCTTGATAATGGGTACGTACTGAAAAAATGAAGAAAACCCCGAGAAAACTAGTTTCTTGTCCAAAATCATCATTTCCTGCAGAACAATCGAAGTTCGCTACTGTGATCACCATTTGCACGACGACGAGAAGCTGAGACTTCCGGATGCGGTGCGCAAGCGGGTGATCGAGCTGGCACGCAAGAATCTGCCGCACGTGGTCATTCTGATGATTGTCAAAGACGAGAGATTCAAGTTTTGCGACCGCAACTCGGCCAACGATCGACGCATTCAAGAGATGAAGACGCAAGACATTCGACAAGTGCTCGCCGGAAACAATCGCGCTGAAAAGAGTGCGTTTTCGAGAAGAAGTCTCATTTAATCAAGCTCAATTTCAGAAGATTCAGCTCGTGCGCAACGTGGCGAACAGCAACGCGAAACCTCATTCGAGAAGCATCACAACGGAGATGAGTATCAGCCGGCTACTGAGTACGATCCGACATCGGTGTGGAACGATCCGAGACCCAGTAAGAACTACTTCCAGAAAAATAATCTAGAGCAAATTGAGAGAATCAAACAAAAAAATTTCCTTTCACACATCCTCACTGAAAAAAAACGGATATTAAATTTTCAGTTACCAAAGTGGAACGCTCGTACCTCTCAAACACGGAAACCCGCTATTTGGATCTGTTCGAGGCGAATCGCGAGGAGATAATGGCCCGTTTGAACGAGAAAACGCGTGCCGAACAGGACAAAAAGTAAGGGATGACTGAAGTTGTCACAACTTGGCAAAAAACTCGAAAAGCTAGGAGGCTTGAATTCAGTGCATTTTGTCAAAAAAAAAGTGAAAAATTAGGAAAATTAGTACGGCGAGGGGCGGAGCTTGCACTGTCAAGTTACTGTTAATTAACAAATTCTGCACACGCCACGCCGCAAAACTGAAACGATAAAGAGAACAATGAAATTATGTTTTTCAGAATGCTGTACGACTCGTTCATCCACCGTCTCTCGTCTTCGCACGAAGTGTTCAAACACCTCCACCCACGCCAAATCGTCGCCAACGAGGGAACACTTTTGAAACTGAAAAAGGCGTTCAATTTGCTGACGAAGATCGAGGCGGTTCTTTTGAATCCGCGCAGAGAGACGGGCGCGCCAGTCCACTTCAGTTCGTACATTCGGATGATGGAGGACGAGTATCGGCTTGAACGAGCCCGCAGTTTGGAGCACTCCGAGCAGGAACGGCGGGCGGAAGTCGATGGGGAAGAAGTGAGGAACACGGGCGGAGCGGGCGCCGAGGAGATTGACGTGGTGGGCCTCGACGAGGAGGAGTACCATCACATGCACCATCGGGGACAAGAAGTGGAGGAAGAGGAAGTGGGACGGTATCATCATCACGAAGAGGAGACGGACGAGTTCCCGACGGCCATGGAAGAGGACGACTACTTGCGCGGACAGATTGTCGAAGAGGAGGAAGTTGAGATTGAGATGGAGCAAGGTCAGGAAGAGGAGGAGCTGGTGGATCCGGAAACGGTCGAGGAGGAGGAGGAGGAGATACATGTGGAAGTGCACGAGGAGCAAGAAGGAGCAGATGAGGAGATGGTACGGGAAGAGCTTCACAATTCTAAATGAAAATAGTTTTTTTTTTCTGTAGTCGCTGAAAGATTTGCGTTTCAGAAGCTTCTCATGATAATTTTTGAGTTCCTTTCACTCAAAGCAAAAAAAAAAACGTTTGAATTTTCAGAACGGCGACGAGGAAGAAAAGGAAGGCGAATCGGCCGAGCCGACGGTGACGAGAGCCGGACGAATTGTGAAGAAGAAACCGCTTTTCGAATCTTAAATTTCCCCCACTTTTTCTTTAATCTTTAATTTTTAATAATTTTTCACCTCAAATTCACCCGTCCCCAATTTCAGCCTTCACTTTTTGATAATGTGTCTTTTGAAATGTTCGAACATTCATCCATCCATTTTTGTAGTAATTATACACTGATCTCTGTCTTTGTAATACAAACAATTTCATATATTGTGGGAAACGTGAAATAGGGCAAATTTGTACATATACAAAAAAAAGGTGAATCACTGGGTTAGCGGGCACGGAAATTCTATAGGAATAGGAAATTTGGGAATGACATAGATAGTATTGGCTTGATATTTAGGCAAACAACTGGAGAGAATCGTTTTTCCAGCTCGTAAATTCTGTTCGTTGCGAGACCCGATACTTTGAAGGCTTGCGCCTTTAAACAATTTGAATACCTGCTAAAAACGGGAATTCAAGTCTCGCAACGAACAGGAATTACGAGCTGGAAAACACGATTTTTGCCAGCCGAATGAGCGCATAAATAAGACGGAAACAAATCGAGAAGAAATCGATCATTGTCTCTCGAGAACGGCCCTCTTCAATGCGCCGATCTCCATCTCCATGCGTCCGACTTGCTCGCGCAGCTCGTCGTTGCGTCTCGTGAGCTCGCCGAGTTCCTGTTCGGCGCACTCGCGGGCCTCCCGCTGCCGCTTACGGTACCTCGCCGCCGCCAAATTGTTCTGGATCCGCTTGCGACGGAGGATCTCCTCAGGCGACTCTTCCTCGCGCGACTCTTCGATCTGCGAGTCCTTGAGCGCCACCACCACCAGTTTGACGATCTCCTCGATCGACATTTGTTGCTTGCCGTTTTGCACCTGCAACATTTCTGTTGTTTTTTCTGTTTTTTCGGTGTTAAACGAACCATCATGTGCTCCTGAATTTCCCTCTTCACATCGAACGGAATCGCGGCCATTTGTTGGGGCATCGGCGGCATTTGGGCCGCGGAGGACTGCGGGGCGAAGGAGCTGTACGGCGGCGGAGCCATCGGACACTCTCAAAAATGAACGAGGAATAGGTGAGTCAGCGGGGCAAATATTGTAGGGTTACTAATAGTTGAGAAGAAGAAGACGGAGAGAAAGAGAGAGAGAGAGAGAAATGGTCAGTCAACAATGATGCAATCCGACCGTCTTCGGTCTTTGATCCAAACTATTAGGACGAGGCTTTACCTATCGGACCAGGTCTGAAACTTGGATCCATTTCCCCGACTTACGGGTTCCGAGCGGCACTCCGTTCGTATCCACAGGGATCGGGTGTGGAGCGTGCGGACTCATAACCATGTGGTACTGAGATGGATGCGGAATCGCATGGGGCATCATTTCCTGGGGCTGATGCATAAGCAGATTGGGGTCGAAGTGAGGCGGTAGATGTTGTTGGGGACCGGGGTACGGGTTGTAGGACGGTTGAGGTGTCGTCGGACACGAAAAGTCGGGGCTCGTCTGGAAATGGTCAATGTTTTGTTCACATTTTATAGTCCCAATAGCTTGATCAACTTTGCGAGCCTACTGTTGCTCTAGAAGGTGTTCTATTGTCTTGAAAGTGTTTTCCCTAAAATTTCGGCATCTAGTACTGTATTTCGGTAGTTGATCACTTTTCACTACGACCTATTCCTGGAGTACTGTAGCTCTTGGAACTTGGAACACTATTTCACCATTTTAAAGCTATCTCAAGTTCCAGAGGCTACAGTACTCTATAAAGTGGTCCTAGAAAAAAGTGATCAACAACAAAAACACAGTACTATTCAAGATTTGTCTACAAAAAAAAGTTGACACCGGCGGAACTTCTCCGAACGCTACAATATCCAAAAAACTCACCAGTGGCGATCGTTCCTGAATGTACTCGGCCTCGGAGACGATTTCTCGATAGATTTCGTACTCGGTTCGGTTCTGCGGCGGTCCGATAAACTGCGGATGGAGGTGGTGAGGGTCTAGGTGAACGGGACCGGGACCAGGAAGAACGGGCACCGGACCGGGCGCGAATTTCGGTTGATGGGCTGGGGGTCCGGGCTCTGAAAGTGGAAAAAAAGCCGATGTTTGACGGGAAAAGGTGAGTAGTCATCGGTGGAAAGATTAGAAAGAGAGAGAGAGAGAGAGAGAGACAGGGCCATAATATGACGCAATTTGTTGGTATTGCCCCGTCTCTCTCTCTCTCTCTCTCTCTCTCTCTCATGTTGACTTCGAAATTTGTGAGGGGAAGAAGAAGAAGAAGAAGAAGAGAGAGAGGGAGCGAATCAGTGCGTCGGCGGTGGAGACGCCGATTTCTTGGCGCTACACACGCCGCATGATCGTCGGGAACACCGATAGTGACATTTTGGAAAACGTCTGGAAGTCTTACGAGAATTTTTGTTGGGAAAACCAGAAATGTTCAAAAACTCGTAACTGATAGTAACAGGCTACCCCGAAAAAATCTGTTCAATTGTTCAATAGGCGCCTAATGTTTATGTATTTGAAGGAGTATCGAGTTTCCCTCTTTTGAAAATGGAAACACTTTTTGGTTTGGAAAAAGTGGTTGATTTTGGTCCATTATAATGCTAGGAATACATGCGAACTGAACTGCCAATCGGTTTTTTTCTTTGATTCGGCGCCAAGGTCGCTCAGGTGGTCACTACTATTGTCTTTTTCCCGTCCCAGAGGTCATCTTTGACATTTTACAATCCAAACTGTGTGCAGATTTGAAAAAAGTATGAAAATCGGGCTCCGAAGCATTGTCAAAAGTCGCACTATCTTTGAAGGACTATATCTCGAGAACCGGACAATATTTCAAAAAGTGGTCAACTGAAAAAGTGTTGTAAATTTCGTGCCAAACAACTTTGTAATTGATCATTTTGTCTGAAAATGTGTGCTTTTCAAGTTATGAATCTTTTTCTGACTAGTAGTCACAATGCGAACGTACCCTCCCTATTTCATACGGAAAATTGCACAAATTACGTGCAATTTGGTAACAATTTCAGAAAAATGCTGATAAAGTCAGCGGACAGTGTGAGGTCGGTGTTAATTTGGGAGCAAAAATCAATAATAAAAAACTAACCAGTCTTGCTGGAGGACCGTTTCCGGAATCCGATAATAGAGCCGAAGAATCCGCGACGCATGAAGTCGTCGGCATCGTAGGACGGCTGCATCGTCTCGGCGGTTTAGTCACTGCAAAAAGTAGAAATTATAGACGAAGAGGGTCCAACAAACGTCTTTGAAACTAGGTTAAACCTCAAAAACGAGAGGTTGAGAGAAGAGCAAGTTAGACGGGGGTTTTTCTAGCATCCATTTCGCGTTACTATGTTGTACTAAAGTAGCCCTAGCCCTACCGTAACCTTAATTCATTCGGAGAAGATCGCAAAAAACGAGGAGACGAGGGCTTTTGCTTGCTTGAAAGAAAATGTGGAGTCATTTGGAGAGGTACTCACTTTTGTGCTGATTAGGCGGCGAAATAGTACTGGATGGGAGGAGGGTGTGTGCTGATAACAACACATGCACACCGCACAATCATTTCGGGTTCTGGTTTTGACTGTACCCGGATGGATGGGGGTGTAAATAAGGGAGTAAAGGGATGATGACCCTGGAGAAGAGGTCACAATGTGATATTGTTAATATTGACAACACTTTGACGCCTGTTTATCAGTGTTCAACGAGACTCACGGACTTTGACCCCTTTGTGACCCTTAACTTTGAGGAGCTATATCTCGAGAACCAGTTAAAACTTTGAAAAATTATCAACTAAAAAAGTGTTGCAAATTTTGTGCCGAGCAACTTTGCAATTGACTCTTTTACCTAAAAATGCTTCATTCTCAAGTTATGAGCATTTTTGTAAACACTACATTAAGTAACTTTTTAAAAAAACGGTGTCCCTCTTCAGATCCTTTTTGCTCTAATTTCAATAAAGACAGCAATCAGTTCGAGAACACGGAACTGTTTCAACCCTTAATCCTACCGTACTCCGCCACCAATCACGCCCTTATCAGGAAAAGAAATGAGCCGAGAGGGTTGCGAAACTTTTAAAGCGATTATGTAGAGCCATCGAGGTGATTCGTCGAAAAACAAACGATCTGTGGTACTGAACTTGATGGCGATCGTAAAAAATAAAGATATTTTTATGCTCTAAAACGGTGTATTCGATCGTTTTTCCTGATCCTCTAGTCCTGTGGAAATATTTCGATTTCAACGAAGCGCGCCCACACTTTGCTTCACAATGCGCTTCAGTAAATTGCGCATAGCTAAGCGCACATGGATTTTTGCTGAAAATCATGTACTACAAAGTTGTAGAGCACAAATTTCTCTTTCAAATCCTTTTTTAACCGTTTAAAAATCTTCAAAACCAATCGAGAAACGAGCGCTCAAAGTTTGAGCTTGACAAAAGCGGCGGCGACGAGACTAACCTCTTGGGAATCAGAAGCTCTGCCAGGAAGTCCGCATGATACTGTAGCCTTCAATTTTTTGGCAGGTAATAAATAAGGCGAGTCGGGCCGATCGTGTGCCCCGGAATGAGGCGGTGTTATCAGTTGGGCACTGCTGCTACACGGGTGAGAATTCAGTGAAGCGCTTTATCAAACGATAACGCGGATTAGCGTATTGACGTTGATCATCATCGAAAGCGGTGATTAAATGATAAAAAATCAATCGATAATCCCACCACCGCAGTTATTTTAAGACGATTATACGCGTGGAGCCGTCCAGAAGCTCGACAAGAATCAAAGTACGCAAAAATTTGATTTTCAAAGTCTTTTGCACGAAAAAAGCGAGGAAAAGAGTGTGGCGAGTGAGAGAAAGAGAGAGAAAGAGAGAGAGAAAGAGAGAGAGAGAGAGAGATAGTGTGTATTTTGATGGTTTTGCATCATGATCACCTGATGTTTGGGTCGAATTGCCCCCTCCCCCCGTCCCGCCGCTCCCCTTGTCTAGGACAGATTGCAACCGACCAAACAAAAATTATGACGTGGCAGGCAAAACATCAGGAGGGTAGGATAGGAAGGCAAAAAAAGAGAAGGAAAATGAATGAATCGACATTGAGAAAGAGAGGCAATAGAAACCAACAATAGATACCGGTTTGGAACTGTGAAAAGTCACGGAGAACGCGTCAACGCACCAAAAACGCGCACGGTTATCTTTGATGGAGTACTGTAGCGTTAGAACGGGACTAGTACTCTTGGAAGTGATTTTAGAAGAAAGTGATCAACTGAAAAAATGTAGTACTAGAGAAGAACTTTAATTTTACAGTTGATCACTTTTTTCTAGGACCACTCCCTGGAATACTGTAGTCTCTGGAAGTTGAGACACAATTTCACTGCACTTAAAGTTGTGCCAACTTCCGAGGACTACAGTACTCCAGAGAGTGGTCCTAGAAAAAAGTGTCCAACTACCGAAATACAGTACTATATGTCGAGATTTTACAGAACAATGTTGAAATCGATGTGACGTCTTCTGAGCCTACAGTACCCATTTGAAGTTGATTCAAGCCTCCCAGGCGCATTTTCGGTGCCATGACGTCATTCCGGTGCTGCCGAACTCATTTTTGTGCTCGAGAAGTGTGACACTCTAATCCGCCACAAAGTACGACTACGATACGCACAAATTGATAAAAAGTTTGTGTTCAACTTCTTCGTTTTTTTTTGATTGACAAAAAAGTGTAGTCTATTTGGAGTAGAGTTGAGTTGGAGGATGCAAAAAACAAAAAAACATGACGTTTTTTTGAGAATTCCATCAAAAATGGCCTCTGATCAGTTTGCTCCATGCCACGTGCCAATTTGTGCGCTTGTACAGTAATCCTGTGCAAAAATGACGGCGAAAATTGGAAAATTTTGATAAGCACTGTTTATCGAAGACTTTATTCATACAAGTGACGGTTTTTTGAGTATATAGCGACTAGTCGGAAAATTAAATTAATAATATTCGAAGAAAAATATGATAATAAAGTTGAGGGACATCTTTCACTTCTTGGCATCGTGCTTGGATTCGGTTGAGCTGAAATAATGGAGTACTGTAGGCTTGGGAGACGATATATGGGTCTCAAAATGTTTGGGTCAAATATTGGGATCTAGTACTGTACATTTGTAGTTGATCATTTTTCTGCACAACCACTACCTGGAGTACTGTAGTCCATGGAAGTAAGGACACAATTTCATAGCTCTAATGTTGTCTCAACTTCCAGGAACTACAATACTCAAGAATGTGGCTTTAGAAAAAAGTTATCAACTATAAAAACACGGTACTAAATGTCAAGATACCATACAACAAATTTTTGGAGCCATAGAACCTACCCAGCCGAGGAAGATCTTCTAGAAGCGGGGGTCTCCACCCCACTCTCAGCATCCTCTTCCTCTTCCTCTTCCTCTCCTTCTTCTTCTTCTTCTTCTTCCTCTTCCGACGCCTCCTCCACTTCTTCCGATCCTTCTTCCTCATCATCCGCCACCGATTCGTCCTCCTCTTCTTCCGAACTCTCCGGAGTTGGTTGTCTGAAAAGAAAATAACACTTTTTGTAGTTTCTAGAACTCTAATCCTTACTGCGATACACTTTTAGCCTCGCTGACTGGTGCCGGAGTGGCCGGAGCTTTCGGCGACTTTGCCGACGCGCTCCTCGACGGTCCCTTCGAAGGCGTCGGAGTTCTGTGGATCGTTGCCACGTCGACTTTCTTCGCCTCTTCGGGGAACTCGAGAATCTCGGCGGCGTTCGATTCAATGTTCGGCTGTGGCATGACCGACGACGCCGTCGAGACGTCCGAAAACGCGGTCGGGATCGGTTTCGGGGTCGCCGGTTTCGCTTTCTTGGCCGGTTCTCCTGCTCCGATCGCTTTCTTCGCCACTCCTACTCTTTTTTTGGGAGTTGGCGGTTTCTTGCTGGTCACAGTCGGCGTCAACTTCTTCGGTGTGATCTTTGGGACCGGCGCCTTGGGTCTCGACAATATCGGAGTCTCCTGCTTCTTCGCGGGAGCCGGAGGAGCTCTGGCGGCTCTCGATGTGGCGACAGAACCAGCGGCGCCATTTACTGCCGCCTTCGACTTGCGATCCTCGTGCAAAGTGCGCACCGATCGGCTTCTCTGCACCGCCGATCCTTGTCCCGCCGCCTGCTGCTGTCCACGTTTTCCCGGATCCTGGCTCCGTGTGCGGGCGGTTTTGATGCGATCCGCACTCATTATCGGACTGTGCTTGCGGCTCGGCGGCTTCCACACACGTTCGGTGATCTCGCCGTAACGCATCGGAATGAATTGGGCCGACGCGGCGATGTAGATCTGAAAAATCAATCTGCGGACGTTTTGTAACCGAGTGCAAAGAGTTCAATTCTGTCCAAAACCATTGATACATAGTTTAAAAGGTATCTAGAGGCGTGTAGATTCGGTGATGGCCTAACTTTCTCCCGGCGAAAGTTAGTCCCTCTCTCTCTCTTACCTTTCCGTCCTCCAACTCTTTGATCGAACTGATCACTTTTCCATCAGTCGTGTACAACTTTTTGGCGCCGTGCGAAAGCTCGATCCGATCGTTGATTTGATTGAGCAGCGGCTCCATCTCTTTGATAATTCGAGGATTTATCACAAACTGAACAAAAAACGGGTTAGACAGGATTACGGTAGGAGCATAGTACGGTACCTTGACGCCGCGATGGAAGCGATCGCCGTTTTTGTAGACGGAAATCTTGCGAATGTTGTAGGAGGAGATGCCGGAGAGCGACGAGACTCCCGACGAGGACAACGGGTCTTCCGCCGCCTTTTTCGCCTTTTTTTTGGCCCCGGCGGTTGGCATTTCGGTGGTCGGGGTCTTCTGAAAGTTTCAAAGTGTGCAGGGGAGCAGAAATACATTGCACCTGTCTGTGCCCGTTTTTGGTGGTGATGTGTGTGTGTGTAGTGCGCATAATTATAAGGTTCGCGGGTTTCGGGCTTGTGCGGAGAGGGGCTTATTCAAAACGACGTATCTCAGTTGTCGGTGGAGATATGAAAAAGCAGTCAACTAGAAAAATGTGCAAAATATCTTAATGAACAATTTGTTAGTTGACATTTTTTTGATATCTCTACTGACAGTTGAGATATATTAACTTTAATACACAGTATCAGCGTGTAACAGGAAAAAAGCAGTAAAGCATCAAATTTCAATTGAAACTGGTCCTTAGAAGACTATTAGTTTAGGCCTAAGGTTTTTACAATCTCCTAAGAATGTAAAATTAAAAAAATGCAAAATATTGTGGACAAGTTGTAAAGAGAACCACACTAATCTATCGTACCCTATCTTTGACGGACAATATCTCAAGAACCAAACAATATTCCAAAAAGTGATCAACTGAAAACTTGTTGCAAATTATGTGCCTTACAATTTAGTACTGGACCGTTTTGTCTAAAAACGTTTGGTTCTCAAGTTACATGCCCATTTCGTCGAACCAGTTGATTTTCTTGTTAAAACTCATGTACAGCTTCATTTTTTCCTCACAATCGATGTTTGCTGAGAGAAAAGTGACAGCAAATCACAATATCATCGTATTTTCAAAAATCGTTGACTCACCTACACACGCACACTTAATTAGTAAGATAGGCGTTAGTCGGAGCACAAGAATGAGTGAGCGAGTGAGTGAGCCGGGGCGGATTATGTGTGGGAGAAGGACTACACTCTCTCTCTCTCTCTCTCTCTCTCTCCTTATCTCTTCATATCTCTCTCTCTTCTTCTCTCTCTTCCTCCGGTTTCCATGACGATCCGAGGCAGCCAGGACGAGAAAATCGGCGAGTTGGAGAGCACGCAGACACAGAGCGGCGGGCGTGTGAAACCTTTCCACCAATTGAATTTGCTTCCGATTCGGGGCGCGTCGGCATGTGATATGTACTAGTGTGATAGGGGCGGTGAAACAAGCGGAAATTGTTTCGGGGACACTTTATTTCATGACGCTTAGTGGATTTTGAAGTTGGAGCGGAGATTCAGACGCATTGTGGCGTCGAGCCGCCGCGCGCACTTGTCCTCTTTGCAGCAACACGTCTTCTCCTCGGCTTTCTCATAGGAAAAGTCCTGAAAATTGCCGATTTTCGGTTAGAGCATCAAAAGTTACACTACACTATTTGTTACTCTTTAGAAAACGGCTCATAACGCGAGAAGAATGTTATTTGGAATCTAATAATCAATTACAAAGTTGTTGAGCTTAAAATTTGCAACAACTCTTCTGTTGACAACTTTTTGAAATAACTACTGACTCTTGAGATATGCTCGTTTAAAGTTAGGGTACGGTAGACAAATTGTCATTGTGACTACTGGTTGAAAAATGGTTTATAACTGAAAAACTAAGCATTTTCAGACGAAATAATTAATTACAAAGTTGTTCAGCACTAAATTTGCAACAACTCTTCCGTTGACAATTTTTTGAAATAACTACTGGTTCTCGAGATAAAGACTTTCAAAGCTAAGATTACGGTGGCATTGCTAGGCCCGAACAACGTCTAAAACTAACAACTATTGTCGAACTTTGTGCGTCCTTTTCAATGTACGTACCCCAATCTGCGGCACTAGCACTCGTTTCAGCGATCCCACACTCCGATCGATCGACTTGCTCGTCTTGTCGTTCTTGTAGATGCTCGTCGTGCACATTTTCTAAAGTGCCCCCCACAAATTGTTCAATTATTCCCGAACCTCCACAAACCTTGCACATCGCCGCCGCCTTCGGAACGTTCGGCACGCACGAGAAGTGCACGTTTCGGATGTGCGCCTGCTTTCCGTTCGACAACGTCGCATCCAGATTGACCAGTTTGCTGGAGGTCAGAGCAATGAAAAGTAGATCAACTCTGGCTCCCACCTGATACAAAATCCATTACAATCCTTGACCTTTTCCGTAATTTTCATCGAGAACGCCTTGTTGATGGCGCCGCTGACGAGAATCGGCTCATCCTCTGAAACACCATTCAACTTTGTGGGCCGATCCGCGCGTATCCGCTCACTCACTCGACGTGCACGTGATCGCCGAGACCGCGACGGGAGACACGAGCACGAGCAGTAGCATAAATCGATATTTGGGCATGATATACGGGAGGGGAGGAATGCGACGGCCGAAACGGACGGCCGCCCGTCTTTTTGTACTACTGGGAACCGCGTCGTTTTCACATTACGACATGGCATTCCGTCTCTTTGGAATGCGACTGTTTGTGAATGATTTATCGAAGAAAACCGTTTGGATATTGAAAAGTAAGTGAGACTTTCTGAAGGAACACAAATTGCTGGAAAATAAACGAATTTATGTCTTCCAAGAGTCCTCCAACTGCACAAAATACAAATTAGTCTCCATGCTGACTCGCAACTCGTGATTCACTTTTGCGTCGGCAAATCTCGTCGTCCTCCGCGCCAACTTGTTGTTTGCCATAAACGGTACATGTTTGCAGAATGCCTCCTTCCACTCGGGCACCGAAAACATTGCCGCCGGCACGATGAACAGCGGATTTCTGCAAAACCGAGGGCTGCTGCTGTTAAACAGCGGCCAGATATATTGTCGACGACTTACAGCGAGAAAATGCACTCGAACGCGCTCGTCACAATGTAGTTGGACTCGTCGGGAACGAGTCGGAACAGCACGATCAGCAGCATCGAGATGGCCGTCACAAAAATGCAGCAGATGACGGCGAACACGAAGATGGCGAGCTGGAAGTGACACGAAAAGTGGATCGATATAAATTCGCCCCCCCCTCACACCTTTAAAGATCTCGCATTTTCAGCCGCTTGAAACCTGGCTGCCAAATTGTACGAAATCTTGATTTGACTAATATCCAACTGATTTCGCAACGATGTATTGTAGTGGAGCAGAAAGAAAAACGACTGAAAAACGCGCGTGTGCTCACTGGACACACTCATTTCCGCCCCCCCGAAGCTCACAATAACGACAGAACTGAGCAGTGTGATCGTGATGATGAGCGCGTATTTGAGTGTGAAAATGTAGAAGAAGAGCAGAATCGACGATTGAATCACCGCGAATTGTGAGGTGAGCAAGAGACCGTAGCCGATGTAGCTTCGCTCGATCTTCTCGTAATCGCTAAAACCAAATCGTCAACGTTTCCCACAAAGCGCCACGAAAAACCTGAAGAAAAACGTGGCGATGGCTCGTTCAATCACAAAATTGCACATTCCGGACACGGTCGACGCGAGATAGTGCCAGATTAGAAAGGAGCCGAGGAGCAGGAACGTGCTCTCCGAGTAGTTGGTTATTCGCGCCATTCGTGACGTGTCGCTCAGCTCAAAGTTGGTGAACAGTTGATTGGAGTCTGTAGAAACGAAACGAAACGAAGCGGTTTGCGTAAAACTACACAAAAAGTTGGCTTCTCACCGTCGACGACGAGAAGACCGCACTTGTAGGGCCACGTGAGCACGACGCCGATCCAGCACTCGAACCAGACGCCGAAATAGAAGCTGAAGCAAATGGTCATATTCTTGTGAAATTTGCGAATCCTCCACGACGTGACGACCAGCAAAACGGTGAAATAGGCGGAGATCGACATGAGCACCATGTAGACGATGGTGAAAAGAAGGTAGTTGAAGTTGGTGTAGGCGGGATTGTTGAGCTCGTAGACGGGCAGCCAAATGACTATTTCGTCGGTCAGCAGCAAGTTCATCATGCGAATCAATATTGTCGGTTTGGGGCGAAACGAGAGCAATTTGTGTGTGTGTGGAAACGAAGGCGTGGCTTCTTCTCGAAACTTTCAGCTGCTCTCTGTTTGAGCGCTGAAAGTGTGCGGACGAGCGTGTAGGCTACAATATCATTTTCTGAAAATAGGGAAAAAGGGGGTAAATTCAGATTGGTTGGCTCTTTAAATAGGGCATGAAAGATGGGGAAAAAAGGGATTGGGGGGTCAAAACTCGAAACTTTAAGCCATTTTCAGAAAAACAGGTGAAAAGAAACAAAGTGTAGGCGCATATTCATGTTTTATCCAAATGTCTGTGGTTTGTGGTCATTTTTGGGGAATATCATAATATCAGACATGTTTTCAAGGCATTAGCTTTCTATTCAACTTTTTTTACAGCAACAACGTTTCGAGAAGCGGACAATATCACAACTATTGCACACGCTCTCACATCACTTTTGATTTGAAATGAAACTTCAGTTGGGACAGGTGAAAATGCGCGGAAAATGTGAATGACGCCAGTTGAACATCATGAACCCGACCGGCTCGAGTTCCGCTATTGTGCTTTCGTCAAAAGGTAGGTCGAATCTGTAAACATGGGCCTGAAAACAAGAAAGATCACCCAAAAACCTTCAACTTTTTTCAGATTCTTCTCTTCAATGTTGCTGTTGATGTGTTCGTCCGCGACGTGCCCATCTCGCAATGAATAATGTCCCCTCTTGCCTTCAGTTTCCATGCTCGTGTCGCCTAGTGACCCCCTTCCCTTCCCGTGTATCCTAGGACCCCTCGCCCGCCCTTTTTCATCCATTCACCCTTCTTTGTACGACTATACAATGTCGAAAAACCATGCGAAAACGTTCCGAAGCAAGTCGTCGGATCACGTGCCCGTCGTTCCGACGATGGTCAGCTCGAATGCGGTGGGAGTGAAGAGGATCCATGTCTACCGAAATGCTGACCTCTTTTTTCAAGGAATCCAGGTTAGTTGATGGGTTGAAATGTGTTTTTTTTAAAACTTGAGCTCTAGTACTGCATTTTTGTATTTGACAACTTTTTTGTACGACTACTCTCTCGAGTACTGTAGCGCTTGGAAGTTGGGAAGCATTGCAAAACTTGCCGAACTTCAAAGAGCTACAGTACGCCAGAAAGTGATTGCACAGAAAAATGATCAACTACAAAATTAAAGTGCTTGTCTAGTACTGTATTTTTGTAATTGACAACTTTTTTATGCGACCACTCTCTGGAGTACTGTAGTTCCTGGAAGTTGGGACAAGTTTAGTGCATTGAAATTGTGTCCTAACTTCAGGGAGTGGTCCTAGGAAAAAGGGATCAACTGCAAAAATGTAGTACTAAATGCCAAGATTTTGTAAAATCGTTTTTGGGAGCGATTGGAGTTCTTCTAAGCCTACAGTATCCCGAAATTGCAGGTGGTGATAAACACGCATCGAGTGCCGTCGATCAACGTGCTTCTGGATGTGATCAGCGAGAGGGTCGGCCTAATAAACGGTGCCAAGAAGTTGTACACGATGAGCGGAATCCTTGTGAAGGATGTGAGCAAAATCAAGGACGGAGAGGTTTGAGAAACGGATAATATTCATTTTTTCACCAATATTCAATTCAGCGCTACGTGGCTTCTAGCTCTCACTTCACTCCAATGGCCTACGGCGGACAGGAAGTGGAGAAGAAGAAGAAGAAGAAGGTGAAGAAGCGATCGAAGACTGTGCATAGTCGAGAAAGGAAAGAGAGAGAAGAAGAAGAAGAAGAAGAAGTGAGAATACCGTTCAATGAGGAGAAGAATGAGGAGAAGGCCGAGAAGAAGAAGAAGAAGAAGAAGAAGACGTCGACGAAGAAAGCGGCGCATCATCACGGATCACAGGAGACCATCACGGATACCGTCGAAGTCGAGTTGCCCAGTGAGATTGAGGATTCCGAGGAGGAGGAGGAGGAACATCACGAGGATCATCGGTCTAGAGGTAAGAGCGGACGTGAACAATAACTACAGTAATCCTTTTCCAGGCAAGACCCCCGACCGCCGTGCGACTCCGTCCGCCGCAAGTCGGCGGGGAAGTCGAAAGGATTCGCACGAGAAAGAGGAGCCAAAAACGGAAGAGAAGCGGCGCAAGTCGGTGGGTACTGTAGGTGCTACTGTAGTTGTGTGGTGTGTGGTTGCAAACTGTCTCCCATTTCGCAACCTCATCAATTTCAGCGAGTATGCACTGTTTCATAGGAGAATCGTATCGCTTTCGTTTCAAGGTACCCGCCGAAAGTGAAGTGCGCTCTACTGAAACATTTCTGCTTTTGTAAAGTGCGCTCTACTGAACTCGCACCGCTTTTCCTCGTCTGTAGTTCGGTAGAGCGCACTTTCCGCCCTAACTTTTTGGTCCCAAAAAAAGAGCCGATCCCATTTCAGCACGTCTCCACAACCCGTCGCAAATCGCACCAACAACCCAACTGGGGCGATTTGTCAAGTTTCACCAAAAACATCGATTCGCTGCTTCGCAATTGATGATTCTCCGATTAATCCCACTGTTTGGGAGGTGTGTATTCTCGTAATAAATGTGTCCGATGCGTGTTCGATGAGAAATGACTACTAGTATACGTGCCAATTGGAGCCACGACGACGACGACGACCAATTCGTTATGGAAACCCGATGATTAATGGTTGTGCAGTGGGGGGGGAGGGCTCCGTGAGAGAGCAGTGTATAATTGGTACGTCGCCGCGGCTCCTGACACCTTTTGCTCACAAGATCACAATAGTTTGTAGGAGTGGGAGAGCCAAAAAACAGTCGGACATGTCAAATTTCCGACTTTCTCTCCGAAAAGTCACGTTCTTTCGCGCTCTTGTGTCTCCGAGTACAATCCATTTCAGACATGTATTATAGTTGTTTTCCCGCCATCTTTTTCCGGAGAAAAGCATAGTTCTTGGGCTAAAAACGAGCGAGTGGGTGAGTATTGTAGCCTCATAACATTTCCAAATATCCACCACTAATTTGCGTGATCCTTGGGGACCTTATCACCTTGACAACTGCTTCAAACTCTCACTTTTTCTTCTTCTTCTTCTTCTTCTTCTTCTTCTTGTTTTCCTGCCTCTTTTCCCACCACTTCTTGGCCACACACACACACACACTATAATATTGGCTCCTAATCGGTCCCGGAGAGCACAAAAAACGCGCCGACGGCCACTCAAGTCGCCAATTTTAATTAGAGCGTGGCGGCGCTCTTTGCAAAAAGCGCGCCGCTTTTCGTACAATAAATCAACACGTTTTGTGACATTTTCCGGCGGTTTTTCATGTCAGAAAAGTGCACGTGACGATCAGAAAGAAGCCGGCCGATTTTCGACGTTTTTCCGAATAAAACGCGTCGGAAATCAGAAAACGAGTCAGAAGAGCACACGAAGGAAGTGTTGTTTAGCGATTCCGAATTCATTTGAGCCCATTTATTTGAGTGTTTCTCTTCTTTGCTTCCCTCCTTCCGCCTTTCCGCCGCCATTTGCAGCTTTCCGGCGTCGCTATGTCAACATTTTATGAAAAATAGGGTCACTGGGAAAGTGGGCCAGCAACTTTTGAGGCATATTTCCGCGTGCCACGTCATCCAGACACCCCCCTGCCCTTTCCATCTCTTAAAAGGTAAAAAGTGCGCTGCTCGGCTTGATGTTTTGATGATAGGAAGTGACCGGAAGACCCCCTTTCCTTGCTCTCCGATACGTACTCCTACTTTCTACTCTTTTTTCTCTTTCAGGGCCCCCTCTCGTGGCTTGTCACCGAAAAATATTGTTGATTTATGAAAAGTGTATAAAAATTTCCACTTTTCTCTCCCCCCCGCCCTGATTTATCGCTTTTTTCGACGACGCTGCCACGTCACTCGGCCGAGTATTATATGCGCGATGTGTATCGGCTATTCATGGCTCCAAATTGGATACACATGGACTGGACCCACTCTCTCTCTCTCTCTTTCTTTCCAGAGAGAGAGAGAGAGAGAGAGAGAGACTCTTCCTAATATGATTATTATTGAAAATCGGATGTGTATTTTAGGAAAAGAAGACGGATGGCCATTTCTCTTTCTCTCTCTCTCTCTCTCGCTCGCTCGCTTTTCCCAAACATTAATGTCATTTTGTGCAACAGCTGATAGAAAAATGCGGACCCTTACAGCTCGAGTTTCATTTGTCCTATAACTCTTTGCTTTCAAAAACTAGGGTTTCTTGATCATTTTGCGCAAAAAGTGCGTCACGTTTGCCTCCAACTTTGATGCGAATCCGGAAAGTTAGCAGCAAACTCATAATATCTAGGAGATGTTGAGTCACTAGTGTAAACCAGAAAATCGTTCATTTTCCCCTCATTTTCAATCTTTTTCTCTCCTGTTTTCCATTTTCTATTAGGGCAACTGTTGGAAATGGTGCTAACAAGGGGTTAGAGGTTGATACCCTCCCTTCTTGCTTTTCGATTGCTTCTCCTGACTTCCATCACTTCCAATTACCGTCGTGGGCAAAAGCCGTCATAAATGAGCACAAATTAGCATTTTCGCTCCTGCTTCTTCTTCTTCTTCTTCTCCTCCTTCTTCTCCTCCTTCTTCTTCTTCTTCTTCTTCTTGAGAGTGTGCATGTGCTCGGATTACATTTTCACGCCTTTCCAGAAGAAGAAGAAGAAGAAGAAGAAGAAGAAGAAGAAGTAAGAGGCGGGCTCCCCGCTCCCTAATTAGACGCCTTTGTGTTGTTGTGGTAGTGGATGGAAGGAAGAGGAAGAGAGAGAGAGAGAGAGAAAATGAAAAGCAGTTTACTTTTGAGAGAACATATTTGGGGCCGCCTATTTCTGAGTGTCTCTTCCAGAGAAGGTCCTACAACATTTTTCCACAAAAAAGTCTTGAAAAAAGTGAGATTTGTGTGCTAAAGCTACTATATTTTTAGACACCTATATCCCGAGAACCAATGATTATTTCAAGAAGGTGTAAATTGAAAAATTGTAGGAAATTTCATGCTGAACAACTTTTTAATTGATCACTTTATCCCGAAATGTTCGGTTTTCAAGTTACACGCCGATTTCTGAACAGTGATCCCAGCAACTCGTTCCTCAGTGATGTTTGACCGAAAAAGAAACATGCCACCTACATTTCCGCTGCTTCCTTTGCATAATTGGGTGTGAGCGCGTAAATCTGAAATCCGAGCACCTCCTCTTTTCACCCTCACTTTCAAAATATCAGTTTTCTGCGCGTCCTAAGCATCAGGGGCATGTGTGTGTGTGTGTGTGTCACTCGATCGCTTTGACTCGTGTTTCTGGCTTGTCCCAACACAGATAAATAAATATATATTCGCTCTCTCTCTCTCTTTCTCTCTTTTTCCTGAATGACGGGGAGGAGATGGAGTAATATCATTGAAATTGACATTAACTTCTAGTCACACACTTCCTTGAGGTCTAGTGGATGGCCTAACTTTTCGCTCACCTCTTCTCAACCCTCTACCGTAATCCTCGCTTCATTTCCTCGTTTTCAGACCCTCGCCCAAGTCTCCAATGCAATGAATGACCCGTCCAATGCGGTCCCCGTCCTCCTCCGCCATCCTTCCTCTTCTGCTGTGTCTTCTGTACGCGACGACGCGAGAAGCGACGATCGGCCGAAACACTCACAATCGCTGCTTCAGCTGCATGTCGGAAATGTACGAGGGATTTCTGAATAAGGGCATGGACCGGTACTTCAACCGGCCCCGCAACTTTAGCTCCCAGTGCGACGGCGAGATGGATGTGACGAATATGCACACGGTCCCGTGCCGGACCATCTGTCTCACTATCCAGCAGGATCTTGTGGTTATGGGTGAGCATCGGGGTACATGGCAGAGATGTTGGGAATTCCGTGTTCCGTGTTCCGTGTTCCGCATTTTTTTCAATATTTTTTCCGTGTTCCGTGTTCCGTAAAAAAAAAATTTCCGTGTTCCGTGTTCCGTGTTCCGTATAAACTATATTTTCCGCGGAAAAATTCGATCACAAATTTTATTTTTTTCATTATTATTTTGATTAGGACAGTTGACGTTTTGTGGTCAAAATTTGAAAATTTTCGGATTCGGACCATATTCGTGAAAAGTGGATTCAATTTTCAGTCGTTTTTTACTGTAGTTGTTTACTGTTGTGTTGTTGGTTTTGTTATTTTTATGAAATTTTCAGTAAAACTTTCACATGAGTCAAACAGCTGCCTTGTCAGTCAGATAGTCGAATTAAACAAAACATTATTTTTAAAAAAATCACTGGAATTCTCTTGAAAACGCTTTTTTCCGTGTTCCGTAAACAAAAAAAAATTTCCGTGTTCCGTGTTCCGTGTTCCGTAGAAATAAGTTTTTTCTGTTTTCCGTGTTCCGTATTCCGTAAAAAAAAATTTTTTTATTCCCAACATCTCTGGTACATGGGACCGGGAAAAAGTGTTGATATTGTAGGTCAACCAACCGGACACCGTCTTTTTATGCGTGGATGTGCACTGACGATCGCCAGGCGAGGCCTCAACAACCATACGTTGAGCATGTTTGATCGATACGATATTTGCAGGTGAGGCACGCATACAAACTTCTTCGACAATATCCGTTTGCAGAGACATGTCCGCGTCGGACCTGTTCCGTCACGAACAGGCGGATTCTCAACGCATTCGGGTGTGCAGCTGCCTCGGCGACCGCTGCAATTCGGCCGTTTCGCTCAGCGCCGACGGTCCCACCATTCCCATTCTGGCACTGATTTTGCTCAGTTTCTGCTTTCTCTAGACCCACTTTCTCTCTCACTTCTTCTTCTTCTTCTTCTTCTTCTTCTTCCTTTCCCTGTCACATATCTCCTTTCTATCATCATTTCTCTTCCATCTTTCGCCCCCCGTTTCTTCGATAAACAAGCTCTTTTTTTGAACGTGACGGCACCGTGACTTGAAGGTGTGGAAAGGCTCGAAACTTGGAGAGAAAGGCAAAAAGACATGATATTTCTACAGAAAATGAGTTCAAAAGTGAAAAACAACAATGGAACCGAAGTGAGGGTCTATGAAATTGTGAGTTTCTTTTGAGTGCTGTTCATTCAAAACAGTGTAGCTCAGCTGCCAGTAGAGATATCAAAATATTGTAAACTAAGAAAATGTAGCCAATATTTTAGAGATCAATTTGTTAGTTGACAATTTTTCGATATCTCTACCGACAGCCGAGATACATCGCTTTGATTGGACGTTATTGGGGTGCCCTTCTATTACGCTACTCAACTTCGCAACCGAGCCCTTACCTATTTGGTTGCGAAACGTCCCGTCCCCTTATGCAGACGTCGATAATCTTTGCGAGTGTGATGATTTTCGTCTCGATGCTCGTCATCTTCCTGAACTTTCATCTCGCCCGCCGCGTCCTCCACCATCGGCGGCATCCGATCATGCGGAAACTGCGGAAAATGGTGCCACGATATCGGAGTGCAGTCAAAAACGGAATGCTGACCGCCACGGAGACGGTGATTCTGGCGTTGGAGGCAGGAATGACACTCGAAGGCGTCCGACTCGAATACGTCAATTCGGGCGCCACTCGCGAGGAGATTCTCGAGTACGTACCCGTATCTGCGTTGCCGGCAGAGATATCAAAAAGGTGTCAACTGAGAAAATGTAGAAAATTTCTTCACGAGCATTTTATTAGTTGACAACTTTTCGATATCTCCACCGACAGCCGAGATATGTACAGTGCTGGCCATTAATATATGAAAAAATGGTTTTTTGAGGATAACTTTTTTTCTAGTCATCCGGGGACCCTGAAACTTATACGGTATACAAAAAGTGCCGTTACACTGAGTCACAGCGTGGACGTTTATCATTAAAGCGCACTTGCAGCGCACGCGCGGGAGTTCAAAAATAATAAATTTTCGGCGAAAATTGCGTTATTCCCCGTGTAAAAATTGAACGCCGTAATTTTTTCGTTTTTGTCACAGGCTATATTGTAGCTGGGAGTTAGACGGTCATTTTGAGCACACACAGAGCCAAATCGGTGCAGCCGTCGTGTTTCCTTGTGCAAAACTGTGTAGCGATGCGAAATAAATTTAAAAGTTTGAGGTTATTTTGAATTGTTTCGCAGATTTATTACGACAGTGACGCTTGAATACTGTTATATAATGGCTAGAGACGCTGTACGGATGAAAAAAAATCGCAACTCAATGCAAATAGACCGATTTTTAAAAAAACCATGAAAGAGTAGCGTGAATTTCTGGCTGAAATACATGAAAAGCAGAAGTTTGTCAATATTAGAAGTTGTAGAGATGAAAGAGAGCTTTATCAAACGTAAAAAAATGATTATGTGCGCGATTGTTACGTCTTTTTGCCGTCAGAAATCTGAAGTGTCGCTGAAAGTGAGCTTTGTAGGCAAACTTCCGGCCACAAGGATCGAATTTTTAGAATTGTAGAAGTGAGATAACATCGCGATAAAAAGAAAACTAAGAATATTTTTCAATAAGCTTCATTCAGTAATCAAACAAATTTAGTGTTCCGTTAAAAAAATTTTTTTGCTGGAGATTCCTGGTTTTCAGTTGATTAGTGCTTTTTTTCTATTCGCGTGTCCGCCGCAATCCGATAAAATGATGGGGAAAAACCTGAAATTATTTATCGGCGAAGAAAATAACTGTTCTTTTTTTATTCTAACCGCTACTCCGTGCCGCTCGGCAATTTCCACCAGCTTCGCGCCTTTCCAACTGCAGAAATTGTCGCAACGAGTCCTGAAAATTTAAATTTGAGTTTTTTGCAACAAATATTTAACGAAAAATTGCGTTTCGACAAGTTTTAAAAGATAAAAAAACGAGAAAAAAAGATTTTTAATTGCGAAACCAAATAATCCAATAGTGCGCCAAGTGAGTGCAAGATGCGCCAGCAGTCTCCTTTGGTCTCATGTCCACGCTGTGACTCAGTGCGTTAGGCAAAGTTGCGGACTTTCAAACTGCATCATCATTTATTTTTTTTTCAGAAAATGTTTTTTTTTCATTTTTTCGATTTTTCGATTTTTGACGTTTTTTTATTTTTTTCGATTTATTTTTTTTTCTGTGATATCATATGACTCTAAAATGATTTGTAGACGTGGGAAAACCTTGTGGAAGACAAAATGTGCCCATAGATGTTAAAAAAGCGATCATCCGAGGTCGCCAGCAAGGCATGAAGTTGAAAGATCTTGCTCAGCAGTTTCAGCTCGGTATTTCCACGGCTTTCAGCATTTTGAAAAGATTCAAGACGCAGGTAAGGTTCAAAGTGTTTGTCAAACCCAATAAAATATTTAGAATACCTGCATCGGTCCAAAGGCGCCAGGAAAACCTCGTGGAACTACCAAGGCCATGGATCGGAACATCCTGAGAGCGTCGAGAGAGGATCCCAGAAGGACTTGAACGGAAATCCAGATGGTTGTGAATTCTCCCACGGATCCAGCACCTTCTAGAAGAACAATCAGAAGACGTTTATTCCGTTGATACGTCTCAGAGGTCCCATAGCGTTGGCCGAGAAACATCCCCATACCATACACGATCCTCCTCCGTGCTTGACTGTTGGAAGATGGTAGTTGGAAGGATATCTGGTTCCAACGGGACGCCGAATCCAGCAATTTCCATCACTACCAAACAAATTAAACTTGCTTTCATCGGACCAGATGTGTTTTTCCTATTCGCGAGGTCCCCAGGTGAGATGAGCTTTTGCCCATGCAACTCGAGCCTTCCGGTTCTTCTGGTTTGCGAACTGGACGTCGTCCATGGAGCCCAGCATCTTGTAAAAGTCTTCTGATTGTTCTTCTAGAAGGTGCTGGATCCGTGGGAGAATTCACAACCATCTGGATTTCCGTTGAAGTCCTTCTGGGATCCTCTCTCGACGCTTTCAGGATGTTCCGATCCATGGCCTTGGTAGTTCCACGAGGTTTTCCTGGCGCCTTTGGACCGATGCAGGTATTCTAAATATTTTATTGGGTTTGACAAACACTTTGAACCTTACCTGCGTCTTGAATCTTTTCAAAATGCTGAAAGCCGTGGAAATACCGAGCTGAAACTGCTGAGCAAGATCTTTCAACTTCATGCCTTGCTGGCGACCTCGGATGATCGCTTTTTTAACATCTATGGGCACATTTTGTCTTCCACAAGGTTTTCCCACGTCTACAAATCATTTTAGAGTCATATGATATCACAGAAAAAAAAATAAATCGAAAAAAATAAAAAAACGTCAAAAATCGAAAAATCGAAAAAATGAAAAAAAAACATTTTCTGAAAAAAAAATAAATGATGATGCAGTTTGAAAGTCCGCAACTTTGCCTAACGGCACTTTTTGTATACCGTATAAGTTTCAGGGTCCCCGGATGACTAGAAAAAAAGTTATCCTCAAAAAACCATTTTTTCATATATTAATGGCCAGCACTGTATATCCGGTTCAGGAGTATTCTCGGAAAACTGCCCGCAAAGTTCTTCAATCGTCTCAAGACGGCCGGCCGCTTTCTGGAAGTCGGCATGGCCAACGAAAAAGTGTTTTTGGATTTGTGGAACAGCCAAAGCTACCGGGATCTCGTCATGACGGTCTGTTTTGGGCGATTTTAGACGGATTGGAACTATAGAAAAGCTAGGCCATCAAATTGTGATTCCTAGGCCACTTGTTCGAAAAGTTAGGCTTGTCGGATCCTAGGCCACCAACACTATTAATTCTAGTCCATCGTTTGTTGCAGGCAAACCTCGTTGAATGCCGTACCCAAACGTACATCCTGCCCGTCAACTCTGCCGCCCTTTCATCCGAAAACAACCAGACGGACGGCGATTCCACCGTGAACAAGGCGAATCCGGACAGATCGCCGCCGGGAAGAAGTCAGCGACAAAGTCAGCGTCAAACGGCCTCCGAAAAGGCGAAATCCATGTTTTTGCCGGAAGGAAAACCGCTCATTTGCTCCGGAGTCAACGATGATGCACAATAACTGTTCTTCTCGTTTTGTATAAACACGTAAATGACAGTAAAGATTACAATAGAATCACAGACGCCTTCTTGGCGGCCGTCGTCGTCGTCGTGGAGGTACAATTGGTGCAAACGTAGCCGGAATGACAGAATCCGCACGTGCGCGCACAGTAGTCGCGACGTTGTTGACACGTGTAGTGACAGTTGGTGCAGAAGCCGTTGAGCGCCCAGTTACGACAGCTGCAACGGAACTTTTCTACGTTTGATATTGTAGTCTTACTTTTCAATCAAGTTCACCTGATAGGAAGTTAGAAAAGGATAATATCTTACCGACTAGATGACCCAGAATATCATTGCCCTCCTATTTATGGTAGTTTTTCAACTTGGTGGCCTAGAACCCCGACCCACTTCAAGTATTGTCAACTTACTTGGCTCCGGTGTCCCTGCACACGTCGTCCAACTGCTTGGGACCGTCTCGAACCGCCTCCTGATATTGTGGTTTTGCAACAATCGCAATGACAAGGAGGCAAACGAGCAGACACTTCATTTTTTTGCAAAAATTGAATCAAAGGATGAAATCATAAGGTTTTATACACATTCTCTCAGTTCGTCAGCGAAAGGCGGTGCCCACTTTTCGAAAAATTTTAATCAGAAACTGATAAGAAGAACAATGGGGGCTTAGCGTTAAGGTGGATGGAAGTGACGGTTGAAACGAAAAGGAGTTGAGATCAAAAGTCAGACAATAGTTATTCAGGTTCATCGAACCAAATCAGTCATGACGCCATCGTTCTCGACGCTCAGAAGACTCCAGAATTGGGCGGTTCTATCGCAATCTACACATTTATCGGAAGAGCAGAAGCCGCACGTCTTCGCGCACCACTTCACGCGATCCGCGCACTTGTAGAAGCAGTTCGAGCAGAATCCTTTCTCTTTCCAGTGCTTGCAACTGAAACTGCTCACTTATCTCAGTCATAACTTGAAAAGCAAACATTTTCAGGCAAAATGGTCAACTACAAACTTGTTGGGGACAACATTTCCAACAACTTTCTAGTTGATCACTTTTTGAGAAGACTTCTGGTTCACAAGATATAGGCTTTCAAACATAAGGCTAACCTATCGACGGCGTCAAAGCACGGCGCGGGCGTCGTGGATACGGTAGTCGGTGTGCAGTCCTTGCACTCCACCGGCTTGTCGCCACAGAATCCGCACGTCTTCGAACAGTACTTTTTACGATCGTCACACTTATAATAGCAGTTCTCGCAGAAGCCGTGCTTCTCCCAGTCGACGCATCTGGAAAGTGGACAATATACTTTGCGTGGGAGCCGCAAAACTAAACGCACTTATCACTCGTGTCTTTGCAATCATCGTCGTCGGCGGCAGAAGAAGAAGAAGAAGCATTAGTTGCGAAAAAAGTGACGATGAGAACGATGACAAGTGTCAATTTCATGTTTCAAATACAATATTGCACTGATTTGAATTCGAATCGAGCATGATTTTGCCGATTATATGGGTGGGGACGGCGGGGGGGAATTTTTGATGATAACGGGCAACGTGTGTCTGATTTCGCGTTGAGCAATTCGAATTTTTACTTCTAACTTTCACAAGATATGCGTCAAGGCACCAGAAACGCGTCAGCGAACAAACACGTTTATTTATAAGAACTTGAACGTATTCGGCTCACAAAATCCGCAACTCTTTGCGCAGTTCTTCTTTATGGGAAAAAAAAATTATAAAAAAATTGGAGCAGAATCCGTTGGCCGCCCAGTGTTTGCAACTGAAATGGAGCACTGGAAACGCGCCCGGGCACCGGAAACGCGTCAGCTCACTAGTCGCCCTGATCGCGGCATTCTGCGACTAGGAGACCGGGTTTGAGGTAGAATTTTATGGTTTTCAGCGCGGTTTCAGGCTTCTAAACTGATTTTATACGAAAAAAGACACAAATTGTAGCGATAAGTGGGCGAGGAAGTGCATCAAAGCTCAGAGCACCGGGAAGGCGCCAAGACACGAGAAACGTGCCCCTGACGAGTTTCATGAAATTCTACAGTATCCACACGCTTTTGTACGAGGCCAAAATGTAATGAAATGGGGGGTCGAATCAATGTTTATTGACAAGACTCAAAATTGGATTTTTGCACTCGACACAAGATCCGGGCGTACAGAATCCGCACGTTTTGGCGCAATAGGAAGTACGTTGGGCGCACGTGTAGAAACAATTGTTACAGTATCCGTTGTTGGCCCAGTTGACGCAACTGAAAATGAAAAAGTGGAGAATATGAGTGGATCCGTTTGGATTGCTCACTTTGACGAAGAATCGTAGCAACGTGGATTGGCGGTGGTGGCGACGGTAGTGGCTCCGGGACACAAATTGCACGTGACCGGACAGAACTGCTTCAGCAACGGAGCCCATTTGTCGTTGGAGCACAGAGACTTGTATTGGGTACAGTCCGTCGACGGATCATCTTGACACGGAACGGCGGTGGTGGTCGAGGTGGAAGCATCGGAAGAGGTCGTCGAAGAATCGGTAGTTGTCGTCGAATCCGCCGCCAGTTCCTCCCAGTTCTCGTGGCAGGAAGATAGGCAAAAAAGCAGGGAGAGAAGGAGGAGAAAGGTCGAGAATTTTGACATCATTTCTTTAACAGACTGATTTCTTGACAGTTTGCACTCGGGTTTTATGCAAGTTTTAGTGTTAAGCAGGTCTAAGACCTCATGTAGGAACAAAAGGATTAGGGCAGAGACTGGGCGGGTGTCAGCTGTTGATAACCGAAATTTTGGTGTGGTCTCTTTGTGGGTAGAGATTTCAAAAAGTTGCAAACTGATAAAATGTGCAAAATGACTTTATAAACAACTTGTTAGTTGAAAACTTGTTGATATCTCCACTTTCAGCTGAGATACAGCATCTCGAACAAACCAGATAGCCGTTTCAGTGTGCCGTTCATTCAAAACGATGTTTCTCAGCTGAAAACTTCAGGCCTTGTCTTCGAACCGCCCACGTAACCGTAAATCATCCTTCTAACCTTATCACTTATCATCACTCCCACTCGCCTCCGCCCTTAATCCAGTCTTAACCCCAACACCTCGAACTTTATATATATTGTCAGTTTCAACTTTTCCACACAACTCAATCATGCTCAAACTTTTGCTCCTTCTCTCCCTGCTTTTTTGCCTATCTTCCTGCCACGAGAACTGGGAGGAACTGGCGGCGGATTCGACGACAACTACCGATTCTTCGACGACCTCTTCCGATGCTTCCACCTCCCCCACCACCGCCGTTCCGTGTCAAGATGATCCGTCGACGGACTGTACCCAATACAAGTCTCTGTGCTCCAACGACAAATGGGCTCCGTTGCTGAAGCAGTTCTGTCCGGTCACGTGCAATTTGTGTCCCGGAGCCACTACCGTCGCCACCACCGCCAATCCACGTTGCTACGATTCTTCGTCAAAGTGAGCAATCCAAACGGATCCACTCATATTCTCCACTTTTTCATTTTCAGTTGTGCCAACTGGGCCAAGAACGGATACTGTAACAATTGTTTCTACACGTGCGCCCAACGTACTTCCTATTGCGCCAAAACGTGCGGATTCTGTACGCCCGGATCTTGTGTCGAGTGCAAAAATCCAATTTTGAGTCTTGTCAATAAACATTGATTCGGCCCCCCCATTTCATTACATTTTGGTGGCCTCGTGACCTCAATCTCTTCCCAACTCCCCCATCATTCCAATACCGTTCATTCAAGGCAACCTACCCGTCTTGTTTGTAGAGATATCAAAAAATGGTCAACAGATGAATTGATCCTTGAAACATTTTGTACATTTTCCCAGTTGACAAATTTCGGCTACCTCTCTTTACAGCCGAGATACATCGCTTCGATTGTAACAATATCACATCACATTCATTGGAAAGGAAGCAAGCAATTACAGTTCCGTATATTCTTATCCAACCAGTGGAACCAATGTGACACATTTGCAACACAACACCACCTCCGTCACTTCCAATTTGTGTCTGCCGCGCGCAGAATTCGGAAATTCGCAAAGCCAAATCGCATCCGCCAACCCAAACCGCTAATTATGGCCTCGAACGAACGGGCTAAGCCCCTTGAACCCGGTTTTCGTGGATTATCCTGTGGCCGTGTTCATTTTTCCAACTTTATTTACGTCGACAATAGCGATGTGATCCTTTCACGTAATCCTCGCGGAACTGGGTGTGCCACACGTCACCTTATCATCCATTTTTATCATTATTCACTATCAGCATGCGATTATATATTTCGGCTTGTTTGATAAGTTTTTTTTGCGGGGAGAAGCGTCTATCCGCTTTGTCGCGGCGCTTACGCCACTCCCGACGACGACCAGAAGAGGCTACAATCTTTGAAAGATGGACAATATCAAGTTTTTTTTTTGGCAAGGATACGTAGCCCTAGAACAGATATTATCGGTCTAGAAATTTTGAAGCAAAATCTTGACGTCTTGTACTGTACTTTTGTAGTTGACACTTTAATTCTAGGACCCCAACCTGGAGTACTGTAGCTCTTGGAAGTTAGGACACAATTTCAATTGCCCCAACTTCCAAGAGCTACAGTAGTCCAAGGAGTGATCCTACGAAGAACGTGTCAACTACAAAAATACACTATTATCCATCAAGTGTTTGTTGAAAAACATTTGAAAGTGATCCAGCATCTGCCGGGCCTACAGTAATCCTTCAAAGTTACCGTAACCCCGCAAACACAGGAAGTGCGTTGGCGAAAAAGGAACAGCGGCCGCAACCCCCATGAAATCATTCAATCCTCTGTTATTATCTACCCGACAATTGGATAGGTTCACCAGAAAGAAAGAGAGAAAGAGAGAGAGAGAGAGAGAGAGAGAGAGAAATCCAGTTGTGTGGTGGTCAGCCGGTTCCTGTGTGTGGTCATTTCGGGGGAAGCTTATTATCCATCCACAAGAAGAATTCATGTTGCTTCTTCTTCTTCTTCTTCTTCTTCTTCTTCTTCTTCTTCTTCTTCTTCTCTTTCTTCTTCTTCTTCTTCCACACTAGATGCCATCTTTTCTTGGAGATGGATAATATAACCGTAGACAAAGAAAGTGTAAACGTTTCGGGACAAAGCAAAGTTATGGCCCGCTATTATAGGATTCTTAACGTGTTGTCACCTTGAAAAGCCGTATAAAATGTATGAACTTTTACAATATACCAACTTTTCCGCTTCAACTTCACTTTTTCTTCACAACTTTGGGGTCTAACCTGAACTTGATTGTTTTTGAGCACTTGTTAGAAATGCGTCTATAACTTGAGAATGAAGCATTTTCGGATAAAATGGTAAATTATAAAGTTATTGTGCATAAAATTTGCAACATTTTCTTAGTTGACAACTTTTTGAAATAACCACTGGTTCCCGAGATATAGACCTTCAAAGAAGAGGCACGCGTTTTTGTGCTACTAACGAGAAAAAGATCAATAACTTGAAAATCGAACATTTTCAGACAAAATGATCAATTACAAACTTGTTCAGCATAACATTTCCAACATTAACCACAAAACCTGCTGTCTCAAACCCACTTTTTCGGGGGAAATTTTGAACTTTTTCCGCAAAAGTACTCTTTTTGTTTGTTCTCCTTGTAAAAACCGGGTTTTTGTATGTACAAACCGTAACTTTTTCAAGTATATTTACACGCAGTTTTGGCATCTTCCCATTTCCGACAACATAAACTCATTTTCAGATGCCACTGGACCCGATTCAGATCCTCTTTCCGTTCGTGCTCCTCTCCGCGCCCGCACTTTCTCAGTTCACGTCGCAAACATATCCGGATCCCCGGCTCGACCCTTTTTCGTGCCGATTGGCGCTTCCCTCGCAGGTCTGCGATCCGTCGGCCATCGTTTCGGACGAGGAACGGACCCGTCTGGTGCAGAGGGTCAGCCAGTTGCACTCGTTGACCGCAGGCATTAAGAACACCTCTCCGTCGTGTGCACTCATGCCGGACAGGAATTTGGAGGTGAGTTAGACAAAAATGATCAACTACAAAATTAAAGATCTTGTCTAGTACTGTACTTTCGTAGTTCATAACTTTTTTATAGGGCCACTCCCTGGAGTACTGTAGTCCTTGGAAGTTGGGCAAAGTTCTGGACTTCTGAGAGAAGCCTTGAATTCCAAGAGCTACAGTACTCCAGGGAGTGGTTGTAGGGAAAAATGTTCAACTACAAAATTAAAGTGCTTGTCTAGTACTGTATTTTTGTAATTGACACCTTTTTTGTACAACCATTCCATAGAGTACTATAGGCTGTGGAAGTTAGAACACAATTTCAGCGCACTACCCCAGGAACATAGAAAAATGGCAGATTTTCAGATAATTGTCGCCATTATCGACAAGATCGGAAGTGTTCCAGGCGTGCCAGTGGATATTGAGAAGTTCGCGAACAATTTGAAAAGAAGATATCAGAATTTCCAGGTTAGTGAACATCTAGAAACTACACAACGGCACAAATAAAACCGCATCGCGAATACCGTTAATATCTCAGCTGCCAATAAAGATAGAAGAAAGTGGTCAACTGATAAATTGATTCTTGAAACATTTTGAACATTTTATGTGTTGACGACTTTTCGATATCTCTTCCGGCAGCAGAGATACATCATTTTGAATGTTGCAGGACGTCGGCATGTGTGACACGACAGTATTGATCGTCAATTCGCGGCAAGACCGTCAAGTGTTCACCGTGGCGGGAAGGGACGCGAAAATCTCAAAGGACACCCTAAAATCGGCATTCGAACGCAACATTGGCCACTTCAAAACAGGCCGCTACGCGCTGGGACTCGAGGGAATGATCGAGGTGATCGTGGCGGCCTACTCGAATGCGCACATTGTCCAGGTGCCGACGCCCGACGCGTTCCGGCCCACAGAGTATTCGAAAGTACACCAATCGCCGATTCTCAAACGATCCTTCAGGTTCATGCCGGCTCCGTCTGTGTCGGCCATCGAGGCCCAACCGTTCCGGGCCGCCGGTCTGCCGAACAGTGTTCAGCCGGCGAAACGGCCATTCGCAGCCATTCAGGAGACTGTGGACGAGGAGGACAAGGTGAGGTCGGGGGGAAAGTTAGGCCACCGCTTGGAACCGTCTAGGGACCGTCTAGGGACCGGGCCACAAGGTTGTAGAAACCTAGAATTTCGAAGATGGATCCCAGGCCAAGCCTAAGTCATCTTTACGGACCCTAGGCCATCCTTTTGGATCCTAGACCATCCTTACGGATTCTAGGCCATCCTTACGGATTCTAGGCCATCCTTACAGATCCTAGGCCATTCTTACGGATCCTAGACCATCCTTACGGATCCTAGACCATCCTTACGGATCCTAGGCCATCCTTACGGATCCTAGACCATCTTTACGGATCCTAGGCCATCCTTACGGATCCTAGGCCATCCTTACAGATCCTAGACCATCTTTACGGATCCTAGGCCATCCTTACAGATCCTAGGCCATCCTTACGGATCCTAGACCATCCTTACGGATCCTAGGCCACCCCATTGCTCACCTAAGTCCCCAACCCCTCAACTTCCAGGTCTGGGTCTCAATCCTCCAACAAGCGATGGCCAGATGCGGCCAAAACGACGCCGACCTCCCGAAACACGTCAGAGCAGTTGTGGAGGGTAATTTCCGGCACTTTTTGCACCTTTTCTCTGCATTTTCGATTTTCAGAAGCGATGAACATCTCGCTCAAGTTGATCTCCGACCCGCGCTACAACAAAATCGAGGAGGAGACGGAGCAGAACAAGGAGGTGCTCGGCAGCCGACAAAAGTGAGTCTTTCGTGTATCATCCGGTTTTTTGTACCCAATTTCGCACTCATCGTAACCCGGGAAACCACGAAAACCGCCCCCGGTTTCTGTGCACTTTTTTGATGCGTGTGTGTTTGCAGAGCCTGGGACGCCGCCACCGCCGACTTCATCCGCCCGCTCGCCCAAAAATACCGGCACACAATTCAGGCGGGCGGCTCGCACACGTGTCCGGCCACTGCTACCGTATCCCGGAAACGAAAGCACCTCTAGAGATTGGCGTTGTTCTCTCTCTCTCTCTCTCTCACAACAATGTCTGTAAATTTCCGCACACTTTTACCCTATTTTCTACGGGTTTTCTTCATCTGTTCGTTCGTTGTTTTTTGCAAACAAAAAACCAACAAATGAAATGTGTTTTTGACGTTTCGTGAACTTTTGACACTTTTTGCAAGCTGGAAATGAGTGTGGTGAGAGGACAGGAAACGAATAATTGCGAATTTGTTTTCCATTCATTTTCTATCATCAATCGTCAGCGATGCCACGTGGAGTTCAGGTTTGTTCGCAATTGAATTTGGGGGTCAGCAAGTGCGCTCCATTGAGAATGTTCACTGAAAACTGTGTATTTGCACGGAAAAAAAGCGAAAAACACGTTGAATGAGTGATGATTGCCCGAAAAAAGAATGGAATGAAATGCAAACAATAGTCAGCAGCCGGTTGGAATGATAATGTGCGGAGAAAAAGACGAAAAAGGAAAACGTTGATGATATAATTTTTGTTCCTCACTTTCCAATTCGTCTGCCAAAATTACGAATCAATTTCAAGTTTTTCCGGCCGGAACTCAACTCGGCAAGGTACTTGTGACGGTGAGTGTTGCGAAATTCGAAAAAAGGGACGGGGTGTCGGATTCTAGTCCACGTACCGGTTCTGTGACAACTTCTTCGAGTATTGTAGCATTCTCGGTTGACGTTTTTGACCTACGCAATCGTTTTGTCGGATCCTAGGCCATCGGGAAGTCCGGCCGCGTTGGATTATGGGGCAGTTTCTCGTATTTCTAAGGATTCTGCGTGTTAGGTGATCTCTTCGAGCTCTGGATTGTGTTGTCGGATCCTAGGCCACCTCGTCATCCCCCATTTAATCCCGTATTTGTCGTCTGGAAGCCGTTGTAGTACATCATTTTTCGTTCAGACCAGTGAGTCACTCGGAATTCGCTTTGTTTCATATTTTGTTCGATATGTTGCTTTTCGAATCGTATAATATTTCGCTATCTTCTTCAACTTTTTTTTTTTACGCGTTGCACCCACACACACACATAATATTTCGATGATGATGCATTAGTAATGGATATTTGGATTCGGTGAGCTCTTTCTCTCTCTCTCTCTCTCTCTCTCTGGACTCATCCGTCCTTAATCCCCCCCCCCCCGCTCTCAGCATCATCACTTCCTCTGAGCTCTGTGAGCCAAAAACCTCACTTTATACTGGTTTTTTGGGTTCTAACTCACGTTTTTGGATCCTCTGCCTCTCAATGAGTCCCTCGCGACCGAAAAGTTCAGCGACAGTGACTCCGGAGCCGCTGAAACCACCGGCAACGCCACGCGGCTCCACGGATCCGCCGGAAATGATATATTTCGAACCGCTGGAACCGTTTGGCGCCGAACCGGAATCTGTAAACTTTTTGCGAAGATTCAAAGAGGATATGGGCAGAGAGTCGGCCAGAAAGTGCTCGTATTCGACGAGTGGCGAGGAAAAGGTACGCGCCCGCCACGGGAGGGTTTGCGATCCTCAATAGACGGTATTCGGGTGTAAAATGTCGATGGCTAGCATGAAAATGTAGTGGAAGTCGTTTCAGCGTGACCCAGCCGCCGACGCGCCGCAACCAGGCTGTTGTGACACGTTCCTGGAGTTGCTGCGTGCGTGCGGACTCATCTGCTACGTGGCATGCCCGCCGGTGCCCTCAATGATCACCCGGAAACTGGCGTTCCACCCGCCGGAGAAGGGCGTCACCTACCGGATAGCACTGAAGACGGAGCCCGAGAAGCGGCTCAAACACATTGGCCAGTGCAAAGAGCTCGACTATCAGCTGGTCGTCCGGCACATGACGACGGGCGCCGAGTACGTGCATCCGGACGCCGACGTCGAGGTGTTCTCGGTGAGAACCGCGCATCGCAACGAGCTGGTGTGCGTGCGGTGCATTCCGAACACCTACTCGAACAATCCGACCGTCACGGATCAGGTGGGTCCCCCTGGCACAAGTGGGCGTCTTTCAAAATCGTTTAGGTGGTGCTGTTCTGTCAGCCGAACTCGTCGGATCTCGGCGGATTCTTGCAGCCGCACCAGATGAACTTTATCACCTACGCCAGCGTGTTCGAGACTGATCTCTATGCGTTCGACTATTCCGGGTACGTTTCGGGGGGGCGATGGACAATATCCACAAGTTGTTTTTATGTTCAGGTACGGATTCTCGACGGGCACTCAAGGCGAGAAGAATGTTTACGCCGACGTTCGGGCAGTCTATCAGAAGATTCGAGAGACGAGACCGGACAAGAAGGTGAGCAAACCCGACATCTCGGAAACTTTCAAAACGCTCCAGAAGTATTGGAATTTAAGAGAAAATGAAAATGTTTGCAGATCGTCCTGATGGGCTACAGTATCGGCACGACGGCGGCCGTCGACCTGGCGGCGTCGAACCCGGACGGACTGGCCGGAGTGGTGCTCGTCGCGCCGTTCACCAGCGGGCTCCGTCTCTTCTCGGCGAAACCGGACAAACCGGCGACGTGTTGGGCCGACTCGTTCACCAGGTACACACACACACACACACACACACACTCACTTTTGCCCGCCATCACCGATGCCCATTTGCAGCTACGACAAAGTGGGTCACATTGAGACGCGCGTGCTGATCTGCCACGGCGACCTCGACGAGGTGATCCCGTTGGCGCACGGAATGGCGCTCTACGAACGGCTCAAGAACCCGGTGCCGCCGTCGGTCATCCACGGCGCAAACCATCAGACGATCCTCAGCGGAAAGCACATTCAGGTGTTCACTCGCATTGCAACGTTTGTTCATTTTCACTCACTTGAGCACTTACACTATTCACTTTTGATTTCAGTTTTTTGCGCAACGAAACGCTCGTGAGCTGCCGAACCACCGAAATTGAGTCGCTTAGTTCGCCGCGCAGATTGTCGGATGGTTAATCCATTAATCCCCTATTCCCCCTTTGTAAAACGGTCTTTCTTTGCTCCTCGAATAAAGTACGAGTTTGATTGTTGGATTCAAATCAATAAATGACATGTTTGGTGGATGCCACCTCTTCTGGAGTTGATTTGTTAATCGTGTAGCAGAGCAAGCATCGTTTATTCACAAGTTTATTTGAAAATTAGCAGCTTCTCGGTTCTTCTGGAGCTTCAACTTTTGAGCCACCGGCCTCGCTTGCTCGGTATTCCGGGTACTCCTGGTATTTTGATGGTCCCTAGTCAAAAATAAAGATTGAGCTGAAGTGGACGCTTCATAAAATCTATGAATTCCATTTTCTTACATGAGTTGATGCTGAAATTCAGCTAGATTATCACATTCTCATCACTTCCAGGGCCTTGTTCTTCTACTTGTTTTACAATAGTATCATAGTACTGGCCCAATTTTAAATTTTTGCACTTGCAATAATAAAGAGTACCCCGAACAATTGGTGCTGGGGTTTTCACGTCTTTATCATAAAAAGCATTTATTATTCGCATCAGTTTCTGAGGGTGAAAGTGAGCGGGAATCCCAAGCTGGGTCTCATGATCGTCTCGGGAAGCGGCAGATTTTCGAGCAGTCCGACGTCGGTGAACACTTCAAACTTGCGTAGAACCCACGAGATGACCGTCTTCTCCTCCTGCATCGCAAACTTTTGGCCGATGCAATTGCGGGCGCCGGCGCTGAACGGAATGTACGCGTAGGCGTGACGCTTCGACATCTCCTCCTCCGAGAAGCGTTCCGGGTCGTACGTCTCGTGGTTTGGGAACGTGCGCGGATTGTTTTGGATGAACGCGGGCGACACGAGCAGGGAAGCGCCTTTCGGAAGGATTGTACCGTCTGGAATTGGAATTGCACCCGTATTCTAGAAGCTTCGGACGCACTCACCAATCTCAAACTCTTCATCGACAATCCTCGCGAATTGTGGCACGGACGGTCGGATTCGCAGCGCTTCTTTCACACACTTTTCAAGATATTTCATTCGTTTGATGTCGTCGACAGTACAATCACGTGTCGATCCTTCTGGAAGAGCACAATACCGATAAAAAGTGTTCGATTCTCTTCAAACTCACCAAAAATGGCGTCCAACTCTTGATGGCATCTCTTCTGGTACTCTGGATTGTTGGCCAGACACCAGAGCGACCATCCGATGCCCGCAGAAGTCGTGTCGTGGCCCTCGAACATGAACGTGTCCACTTCTTCGCGAATGTCTTCGTATCCCAGGCCGCCTTCTTCTTTCATCTGAAAGTGGTTGCGTACAAGCCTACGACACTCCACGTCAGGGGTGTGCGGAAAATATTTCGATTTTCCGAAATTTTCCGATTTTCCGATTTTCCGAAAATTTTCGGCAAAATTTTCGGAAAATTAGTGTGGATTCAAGGTCAATTTGTCCGAAACCACCGTATGCTTTTTAAAGGCGCATCACAAAATTTTTGGAAGGGTCTAGCAGCGAGCGTCTTTTTAAATTTGATTTTTAAATTTTACGCAATTTCTTTCGTTTTTCTCATTCTAATGAACCGATTGTTGCGATTTGTGTTGTTTTTTCAGAAAAGCTGACGTAATGGGAAAGTGGGACGTATATTTAACTGGGCGGAAAAACGGTGAGAAAGCGTTTTCGTATTAGAACGTTGTTTAAACACTTTATTGAACCAATGAACAAGTGAGTTTTCCGATTTTTCCGATTTTTCCGAAATTTTCCGCAAAAAAAAAAATTCGGAAAACCCGATTTTCCGAAATTTTCCGCACACCCCTGCTCCACGTACCTCGATCAACATGTCCAGAAACGCCTTCTTCTTCTTCTTGCCCTCCTCCTCCTCGCCGCCGCCGCCGCCTCCGTTCACCTCGAACTCTCTCGTCTTCTTCTCGATGACGTTCTTCGTGAACGACGTGACAATGTCCAGATTCTTGCGGTGATCGCGCTCGAATCCGGTCAAATGTCGAATCGGTTTCAGCCACAACCAGGGCATTCTTTGGAATTTGAACGCCAGATTGTTCATGTTGGCGACGGCGATCACGTACGGATGCGTGTGGTTCGTCTGCGCGTTCACCGTCGTTCCCATCGCCGTTTCTGAGCCACGATTACTGTACTTTCACTCCCATTTTATCCCAGAGTTACCACAGATAATGTCCAGGGCGCAACGTTTGATGTAGGGAAACGCGTCGATCGTCCGATCGTCCGCCGAATTCGCGGCCTCTTCGAGTTGATCCACAAGGATCTGAACAAAAGGTTACTGTAGTACCGTACTCTGACCGTACCTTCGATTGATAGTCAAACACCGCCTGAAAGTCGTTGAGGACGTTGAAATGGAAAGAGGGCGTCAGCATTTTCCGGCGGGTCCTCCATTTGTCGCCGCCGGCCAATAGGAGCCCGGTGCCGAGCCACGAGAGGAAAATATCGTATTCGCTGCTTTTGTTGATGAGCACGTTGCTTTCGAGCACTTTCTGAAACGCGTCAACTTTACGACTATACGTTTTCTATCACATGCACACCTTAACTGCGTCGGGAGTGAGCGTAATAATCATCGGAAAGGGACCAATCCAGAATTTCGCCAGAGACGCGCCCTTCTCGGCGTATTCGAGGCCCCAATTGAAGAGTTGGATCGAGAATTCTGATATACGTACGATTAGAAATATGCCAATTTTGAATGACTAACCAATGGGATCCAATTTGAACAGATAAGTGGTCCCAATCAGCGGTAATGCCAATGGTCCATCGATTTTCGCCACCAGTTCGTACATTCGTTTTCGACGCTGAAAAATGGTATTTTTTTGGTCCGTAGACGGTTGCGAAACGTCCTTGCCTCACCTTTAAAAACGCGAAAATCTTGGCCGCATTGAAGGCGAGGTAGATCAAAAACAAAGCGATCAAATAGATGGCGACGCCCATTTTTCAGTCGAATTTCTCTTGAAAAATCTGCAATTTCTAGACTCGCTGCCATCGAAAATGTTCCTTTTAAATCGGCGCAAAAGTGTTGTCTAGTCTAGTTTGCCCGGAATTGTTTCCATACGGAAAATCGAGAATTTATCAAAAAGTATGACAGCGAAGATAAAAAAGAATAAGGTTGAAATTGACCTGATAATGAATTGGGTAGAATTTTGGCTAGAAATGAACGTTTTTGGTGTTTTTTTTTTGAGTTACAGTTACAGTATCGAGAAATGCGCCAAGGGTGGTGTTGGCGCATTTCTGGTGCCCCGGACATGGTATATACCAATCGATAGAGAATTTTATGCTGATCATTTTTCTCTCTTGCCATTCGTACGTATCTATTCTAGTTTTCAAGATATACCCCAAAAACTCACAGGGCCTGAGGAAAAAGTCGTATAAAGTTGCAGAGAAAAAGGAATTCTACCTGGAAATCGAGTTGCACCGAAAGTACGTCAACAAAATGTTCTTGTTGACGAACTTTCGCGTCAAGTTTATAAAGGGATCCATTTAACGAGCAATCAACAAAAAGGACACATTTTATGGGAATTTTGTTGCAAATTTCCCGTACTATTACTTTGAAATATTGTACTTTTTGCGAAACGGTCTACAAAATCGAATTGGTCGATCATTTCGAAAACGCAAACAAATTGTAATCGTGATAAGGAGTGGGTTGACGTGCTTGAATTTAAATATCATGTGCTCACACACTCACACACACACACAAATAATTCATTTTCAGCTCAAATCGACAATAGAAGGGGGGGGGGAGCACCATTTGGGAAAACATGAAAAAAACGGACCCGCAAACGTAAAGTCATGAAATTTTGCAATTTTTGAGAGCTAGAAACATTAGAGGGTATAGCCAAAAATAGTGAAATCGTGTTCGTACAAATATCGGAAAAGCCGCCACAAATCCTCGTCCTCGCGCACCGTTTTCATGATTTTCAGCTCTTCTTTGCTCATTTCCATCGGGATTTCTGGGAAAAAAACGGGTTTTAAACTAGTAGTTTCCAAAAACCACTCACTCATCACTTCGTCCCGAATAATCTTCTGAACCGCCGGGCTGACTCCTTGCTCGCCGAGCACCGCATTCAAATTCCCCACAAATTGCGCCTTCTCCGTCGCGTTTCCTCCCAATTTCAGCGTTTCGATATTGAGAAAGTCGCGATTGAAGTGACAATTCCTACAAGATTCCAAAATTACGTCCTCAGACAGCCAAGGTATCTCGACATGTTCTCGTTCGGCTGTTGTTTTAGCGAAACCAGACCTTTTTTAGCATCACCAGACGTGAACGTGCCTGGCGCGGCGGCCGTTTACCTATTCGCGTAGCAGCCGACACCTCGCGGGTTCCGCCCACCGCTATGCTTTGTGTGCGGCTGGCGGCGAGAGAGTGCGCCGATCGAGGAGGGCGCAGCGTATCGCCACAGGAAACCGTGTTTTAGGGGTCCAAAAAAATTAGAAAAACTTTCTAATCGAAAATACAATGATTTCTGGATATTTTCAACAAACCTACCACGTCTGCGGACTGAAATTATTCGTCAAAAACGTGCGAATGTGTCCTTGAAGGCCTTCCGCCAATTTCTGATGCTCTTTTAATATTTTTCGCATGAAACACGCGATGCTGTCCTTGCAATCGAAACATTTTTGCTCTCTGAAAAATGCACTCTTCTTCAAGTATTGTCCGTTTCACACACATTTCACAAATCTGCCGGAACTGCCTCGCAAATCGTTCCAAAGGGTGTTGAACCACAGCGATTCTTCTCACTTTTTTCGTCAACAATTTCTTCCACTGTTCCCACGAGGTCATCGTCAACGGGGGCGACGCGCCGCAGAGTCTGCAAAAAGGGGCGGGGCTTATGTGAAAACTAAACTTTTAAAAAAATGGTGTTTTAAATATGGCTTCATGTATATCAATCGATAGAGAATTTCATGCTGATCATTTTTCTCTCTTGTCATTTTGCCGTATCTCTTCTGGTTTTCGAGATAAACCCCAAAAACTCACCCGTCGCCACTCAAATCCTCGGAAATTGTCCGATTTTCGTTGGCAAAAAGCTGCGAATCGAATAGATAGCAGAAGATTGCGGCGTTCAGTTCGGGAAAGTTTCCATTGATGTAACACGACGTGATATTGTACTTTTCCACGTACTTTTCCGCTCGGTACCCGTCCGCGAACGGCGGTAACGTTTTCAAGAGGTCCGGCATCCACCAAACTCGCTTTTTCGCTGAAAAACTCACAATTTTAGGCGAAATTATGAGGATGCGCTCTATCGTTTGTAAAAGAAAAGGTTCGTGGTGTTTGAAATGTCCGATTTCCGGATAAACTTGGCCAATTCGAAGACGGCGATGATAAATTGCGCCAATTTACGCACTTCCGATAAATCATCGCAAATCGGCCGTCGTTACGGTTGCAAAATGGCTTTCGGTTGTGAAAATTCAAAAAAAAGTGTTTCCGCACACCCCTTGCAAGCCCGCGCACCTCATCACTCTGGGCCCCTCCAGCGCCAGCTGCACGCATGGTCTTGTGCAAACGTTTTGGGATTGGAAGCGTAGGGTCGTGGGTTCGATCCCCCGGGGGGCTAATCTTCTTTCTTTTTCTTTTGCTTTCGTTCTCCGACCAACCTGCGGGATCCTGGGCCCTTTGCGGCGGTCTGTGTTGGACCTGCGGCGGATTGTGCCATTGGGACCAGGCGAACCAGACGAGACTGACGCAAATGAGCATCGGAATGAGCATGTACATCTTGTTGGAGGGCGGCCGATCCGCCGGCTCCTTACGCGATTCGGACATTCGTTTGTATTCGGTCGGCAGGGTTCCGACTTGTGGGGACCGCGACGACGAGCAAGAGGTTTCCGGCATCGGCAGCGACGTCTGGCACGGTTTTCCGGGTTTCACGACCATTTTTTGGCTGAAAATCGAGAAATCAGGGGGGTGAATCCAAGAAAACTGACACTTTTATACCCCTTTTTGTAATAATAAACTTCTCTGACAAATTGTTCGAAAAAAAGGTCTTGGACGCGAATTTTGCGGATTTTCACTCACTTTAGGACGACAAAGATCGGAGAGAAAGACGAGGATAGGTGCGAAAGGAAAGAAGAAGAAGAAGAGGGAGAGGGAGAGGGAGAGGGAGATGAGCGGGAGGATAAGGATTTGGGGAAGAACAAGTTCAGAGTAACACATCCTGGCAAGCGGTGACGTGGCAACTTTGACGAGGTATCATAGCTTCTGGAGTGATGCTATAGTTTTCAAAATTTTTTTGTAAACAAATCTTGTCTAGTACTGTATTTTTGTAGTTGATCGTTTTTCCCTAGAACCATTCCCTGGGGTACTGTAGCGCTTAGAAGTTAGGACACAATTTCACTGCACAAAAGATGTCCCAAATTCCAAGTGCTACAGTAATCCAGGGAGTGATCTTACAAGAAAAGTGTCAATTATAAAAATCAGGTACAAGACAAGAACTATAATTTTGCAGTTGACCACTTTTTGATACAACCACTCCCGGGGGTACTGTAGCTGTTGGAAGCTAGAACACAATTTCACAGCACTAAACTTGTCTCAACTTCAAAGAGCTACCGTACTCCAGAGAGTGGTCCCAGAAAAAAGTGATCAATTACAAAAGTGTAGTACTGGACGTCAAGATTTCACATGACAAGTTTCAGAACTGAATAATTTCTTTGAACTGAACTATGCACATTCAAAGATTGCCTCAAACATCTTCAACTAGATAGCGTTAACCATTGCCACTTTTTTTTGGATATTCTGTGAAAGTGTACCTGCATACACAGACTGATAATATAATGATTATTACATCACACACTCATCCCCCATATCAATCACTGCCGAATGACGAATCATCAAAAATCAGGAATGATTGAGGATCGGATTGGATTGGCATAGGGCTTTCTGGATATTATCGTGATCTTGATCTTTGAAAATATGCGGTATCTATGTAAAATATTAAGAAAAGAGGGATGAAAATCAAGTGTATAAAGAAAAATTGTTCAGTTTTTGGCAAAATGTTGCTTGTCGCGGTTTAGGTTCCTTTTTAGGGAAATACTGTCTCTTCAAAACGATGTATCTCAGTTGTCAGTGGAGATATCAAAAAGTTGTCAACACATAAAATGTGCACAATATTTCAAGGAACATTTCATCAGTTGACAATTTTTTGATATCTCTCCAGACAACTGAGTTATATTGTTATGAACGAACGGTACCGGGATGCTTTACGAAAGGTTACAAAAGTCATTTTTGGTCCAATTCTTTCAATGACCAGGCGATTGGATCCATCTGAAACTTGGTCCCCAGATACTTCAATCCAAGTCCCAAAAGTTTAGTCCCTACTGGATCATTGAAAAAACGACTAGGACAAAAATTGATAGACGAGAATCCGAATCCCAAAAACGAAAAATACCGACCGCTGTGTGTAGAAAGGGGAGGCAATCCACGACAAATATTGCGTAAAGGATTGGATATTCGTGGGTTTCAAGTTTTCCTCTCTCTCTCTCTCTCTCTCTCTCTCTCTCTCTAATTCTCTCTCTTTTGGCAGCCAAATAGAGAGGGAAAAGCAATGAAATACACTTGAGAGCGGCCGGCGGCAGTTGACCATGACGTGCCGTCCGATGGCATTTCGGATGCCTTCTGATGGTCTTGGATGTGGAGGACAAGAATGTGCAAACACCGCAAAAATGTCATTTGTCACCGGCGAGACTATCATCGAAAATCGCTTATAAAAGTGTGCGTATCATTCCGATCCACAAACGAACATCTTTTTCTCTCGCTTGTTGCCTTCCAAAACGAGATCCGCAAGTCGATTTTCACTTGCGTCGCGTAATCAAACGGAGAAACGCATTGCGTAAGAGGGAAAAGAAAGACGACAATATCAGAGAGGAAATTGAAGGAAAAGCGTCGTTTCGTCGTACGGTTGACAACAAAAGTACAAAGATAAACGAGGAAAAGGCGAACCAACCGTGCGTTGATTTTAATTTGCTGCCAAGTGACCACCACACAAAAAAGCAAAAAAGAAACCAGTCGGAAAAGGGGCGGGGCCTATTCTCACTCGCTTTTCGTTTTTTTCCAAAGCCCGCTGATAGCGATGGCCTTCAAATTGAATATTATCGCATTCTTTTGGCAAAGCTTGTATCCATCGTCACTCTCTGATCCAATTACACTTTCTACACACTGTCGGCGGGGTTTCTGTTGCGCCACAGGCTCGCCATTGGGACCAAGTTTCCGGTTTCGGTCTAGACACTTTGATGCAAGTTTAGGGATCCGAATCTGAATTCACTTGTTTTCATTTCTGGCCATAATAAAAGAACAGAGGATCCGTGAAATTAGTGGAGAGACTGAACGCCAAATGGTGGATTTTGGCGATTCCGTGAAGCAGTTTCGCCGTGTCGATTTCCTCGTTTTCTCGTCGTTTCGTCGGCCGTTTTCTGAACAACAAATCGAGTCAATTTCTCTGAAGCTGAAACTTGCGTCGTCGTTGTCAATTGTGTATCGATTGCACACGAATCGCAGAGGTGCAAGTGAGCACACGCCGTGTGGTCCGGCTCGAATTTCTTCAGTTGCGCGTACACTTCGCCCAGGATGTCTTCGACTGAAAAAAAAGGGAGCACCCCGGAATGGAACTGGCCCGGAATGGAACTGTACCGGAATGGAACTGGCCCGGAATGGAACAGGCCCGTAATGGAACTGCCCGGAATGGAACTGACCGGAATGGAACTGTACCGGAATGGAACTGCCCGGAATGGAACTGACCGGAATGGAACTGACCGGAATGGAACTGACCGGAATGGAACTCAGCCCTAGTTGCCGCACGGAAGACGTGTGCGTACACCGTTCTGCGTATTTTGCAACAGATATTACGCGCATTCAGCTGTGTTGACTTCGAATTTGTTTTTCTGCGAGATTTTGCGCAGTGTTTTGATCGATTTTTGCCGGATTTTAGTATTATTACGTCGTAGTCGGTGTTGAATTTCTACGCTGACACGTTTTGTTCCGTCTTTGTCGCCGATTTACCGATTATCGATTGATCTATTTCGCTTTTACCGAGATTTTGTTTCTGCAGATGCCTCCGCGCGGAGCGAGTTTTTTTTGCGACGAGTGAATTTCTGTTCACTGTTACTTTCAGCGCTTTCATTTTGTTTCCACCCTTGTTGTTATCCCGTTGTTCTTTCGATCCTGTTTTGCTTTGGTCTTGCCGTACGTTTCTGCCATGTTATTCTCCCCGTTTCGCCATCTCACCCCATTTTTCCCCGCCATAAAACTGTTCTATTTGGACTTATACATGTTTAACGATGAATTACAAATCAAATAACCGAGCCCCATGTAATTAAATGACATTTACGAAGGAATCGTCGTCGAAATTAGTGGCAACGTTCATTTTTTTCCGAATTTTTGTTGTTTTTTGGTCAAATTTATTTTCAGTGGGAGTTCCATTCCGGTCAGTTCCATTCCGGTCAGTTCCATTCCGGTCAGTTCCATTCCGGTACAGTTCCATTCCGGTCAGTTCCATTCCGGTCAGTTCCATTCCGGGCAGTTCCATTACGGGCCTGTTCCATTCCGGGCCAGTTCCATTCCGGTACAGTTCCATTCCGGGCCAGTTCCATTCCGGGGTGCTCCCAAAAAAAAACGGTTTTTAAGGGTGTTGTGCACTCAAAGAGCAACATTTTTTCAATAAAAAAAAGTTCAAAGTGGGGGATTTTGTGTTCGCAAAGTGACAAATTCGGAAAAAAAGCAATGGAGACGACGAGAAGTACACGAATGTTGAAACAAGCTCGAGTTATCCGAGTGCCGCACGAAAAATCGATAATCGCGTGTGCTTCTTGTGGTTTCTCATAATTTCGAAACATAAATTTAAAGAAAAAACATGAAAACGTACCGACAGACTTGCAAACCTTCTCCGTCACCTCGCTGAATCCCAAAAGAGAGTCACAAAGTGCGTTGGCGTCCTGAAAATTCAATTTTCTCCACAAATTTCAGCAAGACCCTTTCATTTGCAGACTCTCCACGAAACCCACTTTTTTGAGGCTCTGATTGTCGATCGCGCCGTCGACGTAGAGCACAATTTCCTTGCAGCGGGTGCATAGAAACGTGAAAAACTGCTCGATTTTGTGCACAATTTCGCCGATTCCATTGTCTTGCCGAATTATGGAATTTTGGCCAGAAATTTCCGGAAAATTAACAAGAAGTACGCACAAAATTAGAAATTTCATGTGGTTTTGGGGGGGGCGAATGAATAACAATTGAGGGGAGAAAATCACAAAAAAGATTGTTTTTGAAAGGAGGAAAATACGATTAAAATTGGAGGGTTTGATAAGGGCGAAAACACTCAAAAATAGGGGAAAATGTCAAAAATGTGTCCGTTTTTCGGTCGTTTCCGGTCACTCGTTCTCCTCGTCGTCGTCGTCCGTCTCGTCGCCCACAAAGTACGCCTCGTAGCGGTCGTTTATCGCGATGCTGCAACGGAAATTTTCAACATTTTTAGAACATTTCGGTCGTTTGCTCAGCCCTGGACCGATCCGATAATCCGCTCCCGAGATATGTGGCCGACAAGGCCTCCAATCCACATATTTCGGGCCTAGATGATCCTATCGATCAGAAACTTGGGCCCAAAACACTTTAATTCAAGTCCAAGAAGCCTGTACAGTATGGGCCCGCTCCGATTATTGCAAGTGGGTCAAAAGTCCAGACCCCAAGCCCAAAAAGAAAACTCGTTTTACCAGGAACGTACTTCTGGAAGCGTCTGTGAAGATTGTCCTCCGGAAATCTGGCTCCGTGATGCCAGTTTTCGGCCACGAGCTCGCCGTACGGATCGTTGTGGTCGCTGTCCTGCAACTAGTTCTTTTTTGCAACAAACAAACAAGGAAATTGCAAAAAATGCGAACCTCGTCGTAGGAGTCCTCGTCGGGGTAGTCGTTGCGCCAGTTGCCCTCGTCGTTCGAATCGTCGTCGTCGTCGGCGGCCGCATCCGAATCCTCATCCTCCTCGCCTCCGTTCTGAATCAGATCTTCCCGATTCCCGAAGCGAACGTCCACCAGATTCATGTCGATTCCCTGACTCAGCCAGCCGGACACGTCTTGCTGACGATCCGCCGGAATACGGTAATAGTCGGTCACCACTTCTTCTTCTTCTACCGCTCCCTTTTGGGCCGATCCCACTGGCTGCAGGAGGCGTCCGTTCAGCTGAAAACGTTGAAAAATGTGTGACTTTGAAGAAAAAAACGTTTTTCCGTGCGGATTCTCTTCTGCAGAGCATACTACATTCTATTGTACATTGAGCTTCATTTTGTGACACAAAAATGTCGGATTTCCAAGGATTTATGGCTTAAAATTCGAGAAGCTTCAAAATTGCTGCAAAGGTCCCGAAGATCAAAATGTACGTGCCGTCAATCAATTTTTGGTCCGAAGCGGCTAGACGCGGCTGCCATGGAAATTGTGCGCGGAAAACTAAAAACGGCTAATGTTCCGCCCGATTATTATGACATTTTTGATGGGCTGCACGTCAAGAGCACTTTGAATTTCGTTGCGGGACCCCAAAACCTCTAATTTTGCAGCGTTAGGCCATTTTTTTCCGTAAACAACTGCAAAAACCTTCTGACAATTCAAACAATTGTGCTCCTTACCGAAATTTGCTGCGCCGCATTTTGGCCACGCCCCTTTTGGTGCTCCATCTCTCCGACAAGGCCGACGGCTTCATCCTGCACGAATCCGAGCGGATTCTCCGGTGCCGCCGCTGCTTGTTCTGCAATATTTGAAATTGTTTTGAAAAAACCGCTCGGGATTTTCTTAGTTTTTGTTCATTGTTAGTTAAATTACGCATTTTCTGACCTTCCATGGGTTCCGGAACGCTGGGCAGATCGAGCACACGAGCTCCCTCCAATTCCTCGTCGTTCCGATCGGCGGCCGCTTTGAAAAGCGCGAAAACGAGCGGCGCCGCCGTTTTTGCTCTTTTGCTATGCAAAATCAGAGCTTCGTGCGGGTCGGCCGACCGTTTTCGGCTCACTCGGATCAATGTAGTGTTCATCTGAAGTGCGTTATTGATTTTTGCTGAAAATATGAGAAAAGCGGTAGAAAATCGGGAAAAGTACCCAAGAAACGTAGAAATAATCGGGAAAAAATAGGAGATCAATTTATACAGTGACAGGAATTAACTAATTGTATCCCCGCTCGTGCTCGTTCGCCTGATTGCACTTTTTGATGGCGGCGTCGAGTCGATGCTCGAGAAGCGAGAGTTCTCCGACCAAATCGGTGATCGCCGTCGTCAGAGCGTCGGCGGGCGTCGTCCGGCTCGTCGTTTGCACGCGGAGCAAGATCTTGTGTTCCAACGGATGCGGGTTTTTGTAGCCGGCGAACAGCACCTCCGGATCTTTGAGCAATTGACTGAAATTCTCGACTTTCGGGGATTTTTGCGATAGACTCACACTTTGAGCATGTTTCCTAGCGTGTGATCCTCCTTGTTGATGGTGAAAATCGCTGCGTTCGGTACCTAAACTCAGCGAATATTGATTTTTTTCGATTCGAAAAACTACCTTTGTATCCTTTTCAATGTAGAATTTTTTGTCGTCGATGAGCAGAAATGATTCGAAAGCAGCTGGAGCATTCATTTCTCGCTGAAAAAATCCAGAAATGAGCGTCTTTTTGCAAGAAATGTAAAGAGAAATTAACGAATATTCAAATGCGAAACAACTCCACCTACTCGTCGCCGACGCTTTGGAGTGTCGTAATGACGCCCGGTTTAGCAGAAAGCGGCATTTTCCGAATTCGCCAAAGAACAGAAAAGAACAACGGTAAAAATGCTTAAAAACAGAAGAAGAAGTAAAAGTGACTATTTTACAAATTCGAGAATACATTTTCGGAATCCATATCACATTTTTTTGCTTCCTTACAGCAAATTCCCTTTAGTTTTCGAAAATTCAGTGAAATTGATGCTGGAGATGCTGCTCTTCCAGCATCCGGGCGAGACGTCGTGAGATTCTGATGGGTCAGGTTTCTGATAAGCCCGGAGACTGCATTAGAAGCGTCCTGTAAGCAGTAGAAGTGCGCAGAAGGCAGGGAGGGAACGGCGACGCGGGCGGATCGCACGCAAGTGGCTCCGCTCGCATAGTCTCGCGTTTTTAAGCTTTTTTACTTTTCTTCTCTTCTGATCTTCAACGAGTTGTTTGGAAAAATCTGAAAATACCGCTTTCTGCTAAACCGGGCGACGTTACGACACTCCAACGGTCGGCGGCGGCCAGTGAGCGAAAAGCGCAAATTCAAATCGAATATTCGGGGGGAAAACCCGCAAACCTGAGCTAAAGTGTGTGTGTATTTTGATGTTTACACAATTTTTAAAAGCGTAAAGCGGCGAACATTGAAACTCAATACGAAAAAAGTGATTTTTCGCACTGCTCGTCGATCTTTGTTGTTTGCCGTCGCGGGTTTCGTGATACATATACTTAACTAGCATGTCTCAAACGTTTTTTGCACGTTTTGTGTACCCAACTACCGTAATCCGTATGGAAATGCAGAAGAAAACAGTTTGTTTCTCAACTCAACTACACAGCCCATCAAAACCAATATTATCCGATTGTCAAAGTTGGACGCGAGCGATCTTGGCGCTAAAGTAAAGTACAAACGCTATTTTTAGACGGACAATAGTAAATAACACCTATTTTTAGATCGGCTCGAAATAGACTACTATAAAGTTGACATTCGATAAAGAAACAATTGGCGAGAGAGTACCAAAATGTTTGTTTTCGGTTGACCCGCGGTTCGAACCCGGATCTCATTCTTTTTTTGAGAGTTTGAAGATTAGGACACTTTGCAACCGTCCTGGGCCGTTTTGCAACTAGTCCCTAACCAATAGACATTCCGCAACTAGACATTTTTTCCAACTTTTACCTCTTTGAAGTGCATGTAAAGTTTTGCTGCTGTCTAGTGAGCGGTCGTTTTGCAACTGAACACTTTACAACTGGCACTTTGCAACCAGACACTTTGCAACCTATGTGGACATTTGGCAACTGACTGAGACGCTTTGCAACCAACTTTCGGGCTCTGAGAAGAGCTGGGAATGCGTGGAAAACTCCGCCGAATCACACGGTTCACCGGGTGTTCATAGAGGTCCCTAAGAAGTCGGCAAAAGTTGTAAAATCGTAAATGTACAATATCTGTTGAGAATGTACCTCTTTTTGGGGTCTTTTCAGTGTAACAAAACTGGATATTGATGAGACGGCGAACAAATGCGAAGGAAAGCGGAGAACACTTGCTATTTCGGTGTTTGTACGGTTTTGCGAACCTACAATATATATTCTATGACTTCTGGACACTTTGCAACCAGTTGCCAAAGGGCCTTGGTTGCAAAGTGTCCCGGCAAAATGTCCAAAGCGTTCGAACAAAACTTTAGAACAAACTTTTAGTTCCTTTTATTCAATCTGGCTTTGAACTTTTTCAAAGATCCGGGTTGCAGTTGCGAAGTGTCCGTGTTAACTTGGTTGCAAAGTGTCCCAGTTGCAAAGTGTCCCAGCCCCTTGCAAAACGAAAAAAAGGCCAAAAGTTCAAGAGTGACCATCAAAACAGCGCCACAATTATCATATTTATATTCATTCCCATCCACAGTATCCCAACGGTGCAATGAAATTTGCATAGGGTTTTTGCAAAAAAACGGGGTATAAATCGAACGATTTCCGTCGCCGTTTTATCACTTTATCGTCTCATAAACGGCCCCTCCTCCGTCTTTCCCTTCTTCTTCTTCTTCTCCCCCTTTTCACTTTGTTTCTTTCCTACCTTCTCCCCCATATTTACCCCCCGCTTTTTCCCGTTTTTCCTCTCGAATCGGCCCCCTGTCAGGGTGGTCTTGTGTTTGAGTTTTGTCCTTTTGCGGACAGTTGAGTGATCGGTGACGAAAAAGAGAGAGAAAAGAGTGCGCCGACGGATACAGTAATCCATGGCCAATCGGAGCACCTCTACAGTAATCTTTGTTTGTGAAAATGTGGTTGTTAGAGGGTTAGGACACTTGGCAACTCGTCTGGACGTTTCGCAATCGGGTAAAACACGGAAAAAGTTAGAGCTTTGCATAGTAGAGCGCCGAGTATTGATGAAATTATGGAACAACTTTGAAAGAGTACTGTAGCGTTGGGAGTCGACATTTCAGCCCCAAAATTTTTTTCTGAATTTATCTTGTCTAGTACTGTATTTTTGTAGTTGACACCTTTTTTCCACAACTTCTCCCTGGGTTACTGTAGCTCCTCAAAGTTGGGACACATTTTTGCTTCTCTGCTGAACCAGGCCTAACTTCCACTGGCTACTGTAACTTTAGAAGTCGACCTATGGTTCTCAAAATTGTTTTCTGAGATCACCAAGAATACTTTTGTAATTTTGTGGTTCACAAGTTATTTGTATCATCTCTCCCTGGATTACTGTAGTCTCTGGAAGACCGGACACGTTTTTAGTGCTCTCAGCCAGGCCAAACTTCCAAAGACTACTGTAGCGTTGAGAGTTGACGTGTCGTTTTCAAAATTTGTTGGTAAATGAATCTTGTCTAGTACTGTCTTTTTGTAGTTGACCACTTTCTTCCACAACCACTCCCTGGAGTACTGTAGTTCCTGAAAGTTGGGACAAGTTTAGTGCATTGAAATTATGGACCTAACTTCCAAGAGCTACAGCGCTCCAGAAAGTGATCCTACAAAAAAGTGATCAACTACAAAAATAGAGTACTAGATGAGATTTATTTGCAAAACATTTTTCAGATCCATATCACGTCTCCACATCTTTCTGGACCACTTTAAAGTTGGCCTTCCTCTTCTGAGTGTTGTAAAACGTTTCATTCTTATCACTTCCCCTACCGCTTTCCCCATCGCTCCGATCGTTCCGAAAACGGTTCGCATCGGTCGCCACACACACACACACATTTCCAATTTGTCCTTATCACAAAGTGTGCGTCGCGGATCCCGTGATCCCTTTCTCTTTTTCTCTCTCCCTCCTCTCTACCGTACATCAGTCAAATGGGCGGTTTCGAGTGATTTGTGAGCGTGTCTAGACATTCTACGATCGAAATTTTCACGTTCAAACTATTGTAGGTGTCTTTTTCCGCTGCCATAGACCGCCGCCGCTCCGCTAAACTTCATAGTTATGGCCATTCAAGTTTGCGTAGGCCGATTTCCGCGGAACGTCGTCGCATCGGCACCAAACTTGGTCAGGGCCTAGCTTAGACCCTATGGATATTGTAGACTTGTGATTTTCGGTCCCTCGGCTCCTAACAACGCCGTCAGAAGCAGCTGTCCGACGGGGACCACGTCAATATCGGCGGGGGAACAGGTGAAGTCGACTTGCATATCCGCACCTCTCATTCGCCTCTTTTTCGCCGAAAACAACACACACGTTTGCGGTTTTTCGGACTGAGGACGTTTCGCAACCGTTAAATTTCGCAGCCGAGTCTTTAAGCCGCTCCTACTAATGGTCCAGGTTGTCTAGTTGCGAAATGTCCTATCTTCTCACTCGACTTTGTTGTATATACGGTTGCGAAGTGTCCGTATTGGTTGCAAAACGGTCGTAGACCCGTACAAAAGACAAGAAATGGTTGCAAAGTGTCCGTTTCGGTTGCAGACCGATTTGCAACTAAAAGCAGGTGAAAAGCATGAGCACAGCACAAGAAATGACGCAAATATTGTCGTTTTCTAGAAACTTCTTCTCTCTCTCTCGCGTTTTTTGTTCAGGAAAAGTACAATATCTGCTAGTTTTTTGCAGCGTTTAGGATAACAATTATTATTATTATTATCTATATATGTATATGCCCACCCAACTTTTTCGTATAGATATTGTGCAGTTCAAAATGTCATCCTGCTCAAATGTTGCCAAGGATTACGGTAGTCGGGCGGTAATTTGATACGGAAGGAGGAGCTTCACGTTTTTTTTTATTGCAAACCGGGTATAAAAAGTGGTAGCGAGAGTAGAAAGTCACTTTTTTTTTGTGAGGACACTTTGCAACCGGTCCTGTGGCTTTAGACGTTGACGTATAAGCCTCAAAATTGTTTTGTGAACACATCTTGTCTAGTACTGTATTTTTGTAGTTGATCACTTTCTTGTAGGACCACTCCCTGGATTACTGTAGTCTCTGGAAGTTGGGACGCTCTTTAATTGCACTCAAGTTCCAAGAGCTACAGTACTCCAGGGAGTGGTCCTAGAAAAAAGTGATCAACTACAAAAATACAGTACTAGACGTGATGTATTCACAAAAAAATTTTGGGGCCACCACGTCAACTCGCGACGCTACAGTACTCGCTCAAAGTTTGTTTACCCAACTTCTTCTTCTTCTTCTTCTTCTTCTTCTTCTTCTTCTTCTTCCGGACTGCTCTTCCATTGTCTAACTCCAAATTGATAACCGACGATTCGGAGCGGTTCATGGGCGTCTCTCGGAGACGCAGACACACAATTCGTCGTCTCGATTCGAAAGACGTGTCTGTGGCGGCGAGACCCACTGCCTAGTTCGCATTTTGATAAGCGAGCAGAGGGAGAGAGAGAGAGCTCCCGGGACCAGATTTGCTCTTTTTGATTCTTTTTCCCATTTTTTCCGCTCAAAATTCTCTAGTTTTCAGAGTGTTTTTGGGGGGCCGAACAACAAATTCGTTAT